ATGCAACCAACACACTCACGCATGCACGCACCCTCGCTTTACTCGCCCCCTCGCCCCATGCAACACACGCACGGGCAATCGCAGTACGCTCCGCCTCGCGGCCAGTTATCTCGACACACGCAAGCAACCATGCTTCACAAGCCCTCTCGCCCCATGCAACCCACACACGCATGCATGCAAGCACTCCCGCTCTACACGCCCCGTCACCCCGTGCAACACACATATGCACGCATGCACGCACCCCGCTTTACTCGCACCCTTGGCCCATGCAACCCACTCACGCATGCACGCACCCCCACTTTATGTGCCCGTCCGCCCAATGCAATCCACACTCACACGCATGCAAGCACCATAGCTTTACGCGCCCCCTCACTCCACGCAACCCACGCCCGCAGGCATGCATGCATTCCCGCTCACTCGCCCCCTCGCCCCATGCAACCCATACACGCACCCCCGCTTTACTCGCCCCCTAGCGCAATGTAACCCACGCGTGCACGCATGCACGCACCCCTGCTTTACTCGCCCCCTTGCCCCGTGCAACCCGCGCAGCACGCATGCACACACCCCCGCTTTACTCGCCCCCTCGCCCAATGCAACCCACATATGAACGCATGCAAGCATCTCCGCCCCCTCAACCCATGCAACCCACACTCGCACGTACGCATGCAAGCACCCGTAGTTTTACGCGCCCTCTCCCCCATGCAACCCACGCCAGCAGACATGTATGCATTCCCGGATTACTCGCACCCTTGGCCCATGCAACCCACGCACGCATGCACGCACCCCCACATTACGCGCCCTCCTGCCCAACGCAATCCACACTCGCACGCATGGAAGCACCATAGCTGTACGCGCCCCCTCACTCCACGCAACCCACGCCCGCAGACATGCATGCATTCCCGCTCACTCGCCCCCTCGCCCCATGCAACCCATACACGCACCCCCGCTTTACTCGCCCCCTAGCGCAATGTAACCCACGCGTGCACGCATGCACGCACCCCTGCTTTACTCGCCCCCTTGCCCCGTGCAACCCGCGCAGCACGCATGCACACACCCCCGCTTTACTCGCCCCCTCGCCCAATGCAACCCACATATGAACGCATGCAAGCATCTCCGCCCCCTCGCCATATGCAACCCACACTCGCACGCATGCAAGCACCCGTAGCTTTACGCGCCCTCTCCCCCATGCAACCCACGCCAGCAGACATGCATGCATTCCCGCTCTACTCGCGCCCTTGGCCCATGAAACCCACGCACGCATGCACGCACCCCCACACTACGCGCCCTCCTGCCCAACGTAATCCACACTCGCACGCATGCAAGCACCCGTAGCTTTACGCGCCCCCTCACCCCATGCAACCCACGCCACCAGCCATGTAATCATTTCCGCTTAATCGCACCTTTGGCCCATGCAACCCACGCACGCATGCACACACCCCCACATTACTTGCCCTCCTGCCCAACGCAATCCACACTCGGGCGCATGCAAGCACCGTAGCTTCACGCGCCCCCTCGCCACATGCAACCCATACACGCACCCCCGTTTTACTCGCCCCCTTGCCCCATGCAACCCGTGCACGCACGCATGCACCCCCTCTAATACTCGCTCCCTCGCCCCATGCAACCCACAAATGAACGCATGCAAGCATCTCCGCTTTACTCGCGCCCTCACCCCATGCAAACCACACTCGCACAGATGCAAGCACCCGTAGCTTTACGCGCCCTCTCCCCCATGCAACCCACGCCAGCAGACATGCATGCATTCCCGGATTACTCGCACCCTTGGCCCATGCAACCCACGCACGCATGCACGCACCCCCACATTACGCGCCCTCCTGCCCAACGCAATCCACACTCACACGCATGGAAGCACCGTAGCTTCACGTGTCCCCTCACTCCATGCAACCCACGACAGCGGACATGCATGCGTTTCCGTTGACTCGCCCCCTCGCCCCATGCAACTCATACACGCACCCCCGCTTTACTCGCCCCCTAGCGCAATGTAACCCACGCGTGCACGCATGCACCCCCTGCTTTACTCGCCCCCTTGCCCCGTGCAACCCGCGCAGCACGCATGCACACACCCCCGCTTTACTCGCCCCCTCGCCCAATGCAACCCACATATGAACGCATGCAAGCATCTCCGCCCCCTCGCCACATGCAACCCACACTCGCACGTACGCATGCAAGCACCCGTAGCTTTACGCGCCCTCTCCCCCATGCAACCCACGCCAGCAGACATGCATGCATTCCCGCTCTACTCGCGCCCTTGGCCCATGCAACCCACACACGCATGCACGCACCGCCACACTACGCGCCCTCCTGCCCAACGTAATCCACACTCGAACGCATGGAAGCACCATAGCTTTACGCGCCCCCTCACTCCACGCAACCCACGCCCGCAGACATGCATGCATTCCCGCTCACTCCCCCCCTCGCCCCATGCAACTCATACACGCACCCCCGCTTTACTCGCCCCCTTGCCTCATGCAACCCGTGCACGCACGCATGCACCCCCTCTAATACTAGCCCCCTCGCCCCATGCAACTCACACAGGCACGCATTTAAGCACCTCTGCTTTACTTGCCCCCTCACCCCATGCAACCCACACTCGCACGCATGCAAGCACCCGTAGCTTTACGCGCTCCCTCGCCCCATGCAACCCACGCCCGCAGACATGCATGCATTCCCGCTTTACTCGCGCCCTTGGCCCATGCAACCCACGCACGCATGCATGCACCCCCACTTTACTCGCCCCCTAGCACCGTGCAACCCACGCATGTAAGCAACTCCGCTTTACTCACCCCCTTATCCCATGCAACCCATGCACACACGCATGCAAAGCAACCCCGCTGTACACACCCCCTCGGCCTATGCAATCCACACACGCATGCCCGCACCCCTGCTTTACTTGCCCCGCTCTTTGCCCCATGCAACCCACACACGCATGCAAGCCACCCCGCTTTACTGGTAGGGCCGCCATGTGAGCGTGTTCATTTTAAGGCGTCTTGAATGCACGTGTGCAGCAAGCAACACGGGTGGCATGCTGGGCGATACGATGTGGGCCTGACATTTCCACAGCCCTACTAACGAATGCAGTTCAGCCCGATTTGCAGATAGATAATAAAGGACTAGCAAAGCTGGTAATAGTAAGGCGCGATAATCTAAAGTTGGCAAACAAGGCCCTCCGAAAAAAGGACATCCTACGTCCGTTTTTAGTACGACAATTGTCACTACTTGCCTTTTTACTCCAGCGACAGTGTCGGGTTGCCGCGAAAACAAAACGGTACGCACTCATATATCTGCCAGGGCTTAAGTACAGACGATTGAAAGGCAAAACGGACCCGAGCATACTGCGATGCCAAAGCAACTTTCGACAACCACTAACCCACGTCCGAACCAAGCTATTCTGCATAGCATTTATGATGTCTGAACTTATGATGTATTAATTGAGCTGTTAGCAGGACGATAACGTTGTCTTAGGTTGACTGATGTACGTATCGCGAAAGGCCACAACACGTTATCAAAATGAAGCATTTGAACTTGCCATGTGGCGCCTGAGCCATGTAGGAGACCCTCGCTAAAGAGCACCGCAGGCGAGTGCGACTACATCCCGACTTCAAGCAAGGAGTCGACTCGACTTGCACACGGATACAACGAAGTATAACCAGCCATGTAGACACCCTGACATCCTGACGCTAACAGAAGCCGGTTGGCCATCTAAGGTGGAACTCGTAAGATGCTATGATAGTAAATCGAAGCAAAGTAAACGGGGAAGCCAGCTTGAAGTAGTGCATAACTATATTTTGTCTATGAATAGCGGTACCTTCGCTTACTGCAAAAGAAGAGAGGGAAGCCGAGTAGTAGGAGGTACGGCATGTGAGCGAGGGCGAGTGGAAGGCCACCGCATGTTTGATGGCGCGTGCGTGGAGCGTAGCTTGATAGAGGGTGAGTCGGACAAAGGTGGCAAGCGACAGGGCGATTGGGTGGGGCGCTGTGCGCAATATAGAGAGCAAGCTGGAGGCATATACGGGAAGGCAGCATGGGGAAACAACACCCCCCCAAACCCCACCACAGCCCACAACCCAAGTTGCGACGGCCCCCCCCTGGCACGCCCCGCCATGTCCGTCCGTGTGGCCGTATGTCCGTAACGGCAAAACATACAAACTAGACAAAACTATTTATTGCACCTAATAGATATTTGTTATTTGTATTCAGTAAAAATCATTGGAAGCCAAACAAACGATTTATTGACCAGCCATTTAACAAGGACCACCTCGGCAACACCGATTAGCGCTCCTCTTTGTCCTGGTACCGTAAACAGTATTTAGTGAATTGGTAACAGCGGCGTGTCGCAAAAGTGCTACCTGTGAAAGTCGGCGGGAGCATGCTCGCATCTACTGTGCTACTCAGAGCCCACACAATCCTTTGTGACGATGTTGCAAGCCTTTGCTATGGGTTTGTGTGCCATAATGCGTATGAACTGTAACGCAAACGGGTACGGGGTACCTCGCTTAAAAGCTAACATGTCATGTGCCGGCGCAATGGCTGAAGTCCTTCTGAGCACGATGCCGAGATTGCCGAGCCTGACCTCCTCATCATGTTAGTAATGTAGGTGAAACTCTAACGACCTGCGGGACCCTGAAAGCACTCCCATGTGGCAGTTACGCCGTCAATTTGGGTTCTGTAGCCTAATGCGTGGGTGTTATCAAGAATGATAAGACGTTACTCGATTGAACAGGCGTAACCTTACAATGTGTGCAATGAGTGAGGACACTATGTACGCCATGGGTGAACAAGGCGGCCGGCCTCGGCTGGACAAGGGGCTCTGAGCTCGTCTAGCCATGCAACGAGCACTAAAGCTACAGTAAACAAGGGGGTTCAGCGTCCGTATAACAAGGTGTGTTAGAATGCGAAAGTTACAATATGTATGTGTATGTGTTACAAGCTTCGTACCGAGCTTGTAAGATCCGTCCGAGCCAGAAGGCTCATGGATCGCGAGCACAAAACGCGAAAACAACCAAAAGAAGAAAAGTAAACAAAAGAGACAACAAACAGAACGCTAATCATATGATAAACCCTGTCTGCGCAATCCTGCGACTTCGCATGCTAGTGATTACGCTAGCAAGCAATGCCTGATTCTCCATGCCCATGACAGCAATCATATCAGCATCCCGTGGGACACCACTTTCCCATATCTTATCACGCAAATCATCGTAAGCGGGACATTCAATGAGGATGTGTTTCTCATCTTCCACTCTCCCCGGCGACCCCTGCACGGCACACATAGGACAGACACGCGCTACTCGTTGCCTACCCCTAGGGCGATTGGCTTCAATGCCCCACACACACAGCCGAAAACGCATCAGGTTCACATGCTGCCGCTGAGTAATGTACCCCCTGTCAACCGGGTCACCCATCCAATTTTTGTACCTGCACATCTTAACTCCAACCCCTGGTACGGGGTCTACTGGGTTGAAAAGCCGCGGGTCATCTTCCAAACTCCTATCCTCCCAATCCGCATCCATTCTATCAGCAAACTTTTTAGTGAGAGCAGACACATTTAGCTCCGTGCCAGCAATACGTTCCACACGCGCATTCAAGTCCAATTCACCCCCCAAGGCCGTCAAATCCGTCCCTAACATTTTCAGAATCTTCAACACCTTAGAACCCCAGCCATCATAATGCTCAGTACTGAGAGCCGAACGAATTTCACCTCGCAACGTCTGGTGGTAGACCGTGTCCTTCTGCTTGACCAGGTCATTCCAAAACCTCAGAAACAGTTCCAGCCAGAAGACATGCAAGGGGCGCTGGTTAAACTCCTTAAACAGCAACTTATCAGGCGAGACTTTCACACCCGCAATCTCCCGAAGAAATTCCCTTTGTAACTGCACCATTGGGTCCCGCAAGGATCTGTCAAAGTACCTCGCGGAATTCTCGCAGTCCGTCATTAGCTTCAGCACCACATCAGGCCCCCACACCTGGACACCGTACGACAAGATGGAGCGGACTTGCACGTCGAAGCACTTAACTGCAACAGCAGGGACCAAAAGACCTAGGCGTTTTAATTTACGCTGAAGAGAAAACATAGCACGTCGGCCAGAGGTCAACAGTTCCTCTGTGCAGGAAACAAACGGTGTGCCAGGACCAAAGTGCAAACCAAGGTAACGGGCTCGTTGTACCCAAGGAATAACCATAGGTACTCGCGCATTTCCCTCAATAGAAGTCCACACCACGGGGCAAAGGGCAGCAAAAGCCTCGCGGATATTGGCACGAGGGTGGAAAACCATCAATTCACATTTACGAACATTCACCCGCATCCCAAAGGCCTCACACCACTCTCTCAAATCAGCAAGCAACACAATCAGCCGTCTGTGCGTCGTAGCGAAAAGGCTGAGGTCGTCGGCATACAGTTCCAACGGGATACGCCGGCCATCCGCATGGGGAGTCTGCTGCTTAGCGCGCATAGCATCAGGGAGCCACTTATCCTTAGCGTCAACATAGTCAGCAAACCCCTCGCCAAAAATCCCGTAAAGCGTAGGGCTGAGAGGGCATCCTTGCTTGACTCCCTGCGAAGATTCAAAAGGATCCCCCGTCACTCCGTCTACCCTGACACGCATCATGACCTTGTTGTAACAAGTCTTGAGAGCCTCCAGCATAGCGCCATGCACACCCCGTTCCTCCAACCTTAACCACAAGAGATCACGTGGCACCTTGTCAAACGCTTTCTCAAAGTCAATCTGACAAACGAACAGGGGGTCAACTGCATCTCGCCCCCCCTTATGTTTGTCCGTCAGATGTCGCAACAAAAACAGGTTGTGGCAGGTACCCCGCTTGCGTCGGAAACCTCCCTGATACGGCGACCTAGCTCCCACCAGCTCGCCCCAACGAGACAGCCTGTGCTCCAACATAAACGCATAAAGCTTAGACAAAACACCACCCACTGCTAAACCCCTATAGTTACCCTTCTCCATCACATCGCCTTTTTTGTGGATGGGCGTGAGCGCAGAGACCTCAAACTGCACAGGATAATCCCCCGTGCTGCGGATATGCTCTAGTAGCTTGAGCAGGTAAGGGGCTAAAACAAACATCCTTCTACCCTCAACCTCTCTCGTCGCACACTTGAAACATTCAGCCGGTACTCTGTCCAAACCCCCAGACTTGTTATTACGCAAAGACTTCAGCGCAGCAATGACTTCCGCCAAGGTGAACGGAACATTGAGCGCAGCAGCAGCGGTGACTCGTGCTACTCGATCGCCTGTCGCCCTTACCCATCCTCTTCCCCTCCCATGTGGCACACCGTTGATGGTACTAAGGATGGTGTCCGCGGAAACTTCGTTAAACGCATTGACTTCCCCATTAAACAGCGCATTAAAGTAGGCTCCCCAACTGTTGACATCCGTGATAGGGCACCCCTGACTAAATCTGCCATTCAGCCGACCCCACAGCGCCCGTGGATCCCCCCGACATTCTTCGATAACTCCTTCAAAATGCATGACCCGGAACTTGTCCTTAGCCTCCCTGCGTAGACGTTGATACTTCGTGCGCAACCGACTGAACTCAGCTCTGGCATCCTGATCCCCCAGCAGACCGTTAGCACGCATGAGCGCCTTTTGAGCAAACATGGCCTCACGGGCTTCCGCACACTCATGTGTCCACCAAGGCGCATCCTTGTCCGTCCTGCCTGCACTAGGAATGGACCCTTGCCCCCTCTCAAGACGAAACGTGGCGTCAATAGCCTTCTTAAGAGCCCGACAGATCACTGTAACAACCTCCGTACTGTTAAGACCATGGCCCAGTTGGCTAACAGCCTCGTCAATCTTCTGTACGACAGCAGCATCTTCTACCTCAAATAGGCGCGTGTACCGCTCCCACTCACGTTTCCCCAGGCGAGAGGAACCCGTGTTGCCACCCCTTCGCGTTCCTCCTAATCCAACGTCCAGAGTGAGTGACACCGGGCAGTGATCGCTGAGCCTCGATCCCACTTTAGGCCCCTCTATAGCAATGGGGATGCCAAGCACTTGCAAATGCGACGCCCGCGAGAACAAAGCAGGCGTGCAGACAAAAAGATCAATCATACTGCAGGCAAGGCCGTGGGCGTGGTAGAACGTGAACTCACCCTCCATGTCACCGGGCACACGACCATTCATGATAATCAGTTCAGTTTCGCGGCACAGCTCGACCAAACCTTGCCCAAATGGGTTGCTGGATGGGTCCTTACTGCGCCTGCTCGGCATGCCTTGAATGAGCCCATTACCTCCGATCGACACACCTGCCGCCGCCTCCAGTTCAGCATCAGCCTGGAGATCTGGTATATCACTCAAGCTGGCTACTCGCGCATTGAGGTCCCCCAAAATGAGGATTTCATCGCATGGACGCACATATCTTCGCAACAAGGCACGGAGTCGACCAAAAACACGATCCACGGTGTCAGTACGCCTTCTACCCGCATGGTCATTGTACTGAACAGAACCTTGGGGTGCTGCATAACAGGCTGCTATCAGCAAACTACGCCCCCCCATATTAAGAGCATGCCCTTTCACCCTTAACCAGATACTCTCCATGCCCTTAGGAACCTTAGACACACCAAGGAGCTGCACATCCCTAGCTAACATACGATTTACCCAGACAGCTACCCCACCTCTGTTGGGCGTGCCATCTACTGTGAACAGGAGCGTACCCGACGGTAGCATCTCCTTCACTACCGTATCTCCCACTAAATGCGTTTCCGTAATCACCACAATGTCATAACTACCCGCTATACCCCGTAACTCATTGTTATCAAGTTTCCAGTCCTTAAGCCCGCGAATATTCCATTGTACTACTTTCAACGCACCAGCCCTCTGGCTCGGACTCCTCTAGGTGTCCTCCATGGTGTCCGCTCCTGCCGGGGCCCCGTAGGGCCCGGTGTAGGGCACCAAAGTTACAAGGGGGACCGGAGTTCCTGAAAGCCTGAGAGCCGTACAAGAGACCCAATCGCTAGCGGTACACGCTAGGCAGCCGCAACAAAGCAACCTACCCCAGGGACATGCCTTGCAAAAAACAAGGACAAGGGACGCGCCAAGGTGTGTTAGGTCAACTGGTGCCGTGGAGTCACAGGAGCGCATTCCAGGTCTATAAGGCCCATAGGGTTGTGCATCGCACTTGAGCCGTTCCACTCCCCTGGAATAATCGCATTCATTCCAGTTGTAATAATACGTTCCTGTACTGAAGAGGAGGGTCTCCGCCCTTTTCCAGCTTTGAGGAAGCTGAACCCCCTTGTCATAACGGTGGAAGAAAATAAATTGTCAAGCATGGCGGAATGTTTTAGCAAAAATGTCCTGTGGAGCGCCTGTATGCATTTGTTGGGATAGAGGAGGCTGGCGGTGCAGCTAGGGTCTTGCTCTTGACGACCCTTGTTCCCGTTTCCACTAGCTCAGGCACCGCACCGCCTGGCGGTGCTTTACCGTGTCGTACCGGAGGGGCGTGCTTCCGTGCGCCTCTTGTCTTACGCACCGCCTGAGTGGTACGCACCGCCAGACCTCGCGTCGAACCACGGGCACACAGGCACGCCCAAGGGCCGAACTGGCGCTTCTACGCACAACACTGATATGTAATACGCATCCCAACTGTACTACCTCCCTCCACTACGCTTCGCTAGCTACAACAAAGCCAGCACTAATACAGCCTGGGCACTACTTGACCGCGAGTTCGCTTTTCAAAAGGGGGCGACGGGGGACGCGGGGACGGCTCCTTGCACGGGGGCTGCCGGCGGCGCCGCGTGACCATCGCCAGCGAGGGCTGGCACGTGCGGCGGCTGCCCTGTGGCCGCCGCCGCGGCCGGCGGCGCACCCCGAGGGGCCGCCGCCGATGCGCCAGCACCCGCCAGCGACGAGAACAGTTTTGGCGGATCCACCGGCCACCCGCGCTCGTAGCCTTGCAGGTACTCCCTCAGCTCACGAGCATATTGTGGCCAGTGCAGGCTGCCGCCGGCCCGGGCCTTGAGGCGTCGCAGCAGGTCGGCAATGAGGTCGTCGGCTGTGACGTAGGCTCTCGAGCTGTGCCCCCAGTTGTGCTGGGTGAGGTTGTGCAGGTGCCAAAGCAGCTGCTGCTTGCTGTAGTCGTCGGGGCCGTAACGCACGGTGGCCCTTGGGACCAGCGGTGGCTCTAGGGCGCTGATCAGAGCCTCCGCGGAGACCAGGTTACCATTATGCCAGCCGTGCGCCCGCAAGAACGCGCGGTCGGTCTGGAGGCGCCGAGCTAGCAGGCAGAGGTCGTGCAGCGGTATGGGCAGCTCAACCATGTCGTCCGCTATACGTTGGACGGTTGGTCCTAGGAACACGACTTGCACACGACAACGGCGCACAATCCTAGCCACACCCTTTCTTCGTACGCAAACACGTTGTTGCACGGAAGCTTCCAAAGACCCAAACAAAGCCTGCCTCCGTCCTCATACACCAAATCTGCCCTGTCCAAACGTCTGGAACAGCCCACCAGCCCTATGCTTGCCAAGCCCACTCCGCTACCTCCACCCAGTAACCTCCCCCGCGCCCTAGCTGACTAGCCGATTCGGTCCCCGGCCCCACGCTGATAGATCCCCATCCCCTACCGCCACCCCTACTATAGCCATCGCTCCTGCCACCCCTACCGTGTACGACCACTCCTCTTCCTCGCCATCCTCTGTCCTGTGTGCTGCTACGGTACACACGACGACGTGATGCGAATCGTACAATACGTTGCCTCCCATCCACTGCCGCCCACTGCACCCACTTACCGTTATTTCGCAGACACCAATCATAGCCATGCAACGAGGATTGCAGAACGCCAAGCGGACGACAAGTGTCGTAACTCAAGTAGCTATCAACGCGCTCTATTCTGTGTTCACCTGTACAATAGGTGTATCTCCCCACGCATGCCGTCCCAAACGTACGGCGCTGCGTATGTATGTTGGTACACAATACCATCCAAGCAATCCACACGGCGCCCCCTCATCTGCCCCGCTGCCAAATCGGCAACAACGGCAGCATCATGCCCCTCGCGGCACAGCAGTAGCGTATCCTTACACCGCAGCTGACAAGCGCAAATCTACACACGCATTTCAAAAGCTAGTAATCCTAGCAAGTAATAACATACTGCCCTAAAATGAGACTGCCTCCCCAGTTCATCCCACTCATTAGCGCCACGTTTAACACCGTCTCCTCCCTTGCTCCTGTTTCCTTGTGCACCTTGTAACGGCCCGCATGCCCTAACACCCGTATGCTGTTTACGTTAGGTCTCAGCAACAGCAGTGAAGGATAAGACACTAAAACATAAAAGGCACACAACTGGGGTAGCAGTACCAAGCACCTGTATCTACTTGTACAATGCATCGGAGTTGTACTATCGTACATTAACACCCAGCGGTGCGTGTATAGCCACACCAAGACGACCAACATACATCCCGTGCATGCTATTTGAAACCAACGGAACCCACGCTACGTGCATGCCTTGACAGCTAATTCACTGTGAGGCACACCCTGCGCTACTCTGATGCTACAGTTCGTCCGCCCAGTTCGTCCCACCAGTCGTGGCAACTCAGCCATACAGTTATTTAATGAGTGGCCAATTGCCCCCCATAAATCAACGGTTACTATACGCAAGAGGCCTGAATGCGGGACAGCAAATACAGGTGTGTGATCCGGAAAGCAGGCAGACGAACAGACGCCATACACGGGGTTCTGAGTAACGACCTCTTGATTTCGACCTCATCGTGCACGCATGCATAATAAAACACATAAACATGGTCGCAATACATGGCGGTAAAGCGCCAACCCCTCACTGCATGCTTTCTGGTCTTGCTGTATGTGCCGAGTCATGTATACAACAATGGATGCGCACATCCCGCAATCGACACGCACACCGCACATACAACTGGGTCAGGCCGACCCACCGACCCACCGATCCGGCAACCGCACTTGCCGGCCGCTGGCACGTACCCACGCCCACCGCACATACAACTGCAACCAAGTAGTGTATAGAAGCCTACACGCTAGGATAGGTCCCTACAACTGCAATAAAACTATTACTTCTAACCATTACTCACTCTTCGTCACCAGTACGGTACTCCGCCCCGCCGCTGCCCTGCTGCTGCTGCTGCAGCTGCTGCAGCTACCCGCCCGATCGCTGTCTGTCCCGCATCTGCCCTGCCAGCCATGCCTTGAAGCCCGGCTGTGCGAAGGCGGGGTGCGTGTCTGGAGCCAGAATGGGATCATGCAGCAGGCTTTGCCAGGCCGAGTAGCACTCGGACTGCTGCTTGAGCGAAGGAACCTCCCTGGCGGTGGCGGCGAGAGGGGAAATACCGGTAAAGCGAGGCGGGTACGGCAAGGGCGCGTACGGAAAGTGAGGCGAGGGTGCGGCAAACGTGGTTAGGTGTGGTAGGCAGCAGGTCAGCAGGAGCACCGCGCTTTCCGTTGTTAGTGATGGCGCCAGAACGTACGAGGCACCGAGGTACACGACTCACTCCTGCATACGGTATGTACAAAAGGTTCCCCTCCCTCGTATCCCTTCTCTTCCCCTCCCTTCCCCTCCCTTCCTGGTAATCCGCTGAATGGCTCGCGACTCACTCCGTCATGTACTTGATCCGCAGCACCCGCTCCACGTCCGCCTGCAGCCAGCTGGCCAGCTGCTCGGGCGCCCAGTTGATGTGGTAGCGGATGCTCCATAGGTTGCGGGCGTCGTAGGAGCCCTCGCGGTGCTCGGCCAGCAGGCTCATGACCGCCTCCATGTCAGCCACCTGCGGACGGACGGGAGGAGGGAAAACGGGAGGAGGGAAAACGGGAGGAGGGAAAACGGGAGGAGGGAAAACGTAGTAACGGGTGCGGTAACAATTGCGGGTCAACAAGAGCGGTACAGACGGGAGGCATGGGAGGAAGGTAGGCATGGGCAGCAGGGGGCAGGACTGATAACTGTCGTTGGTCGTTAAAGACCCACATTGGTCACATGCATGCATTGCAACCATCGCCACCGACCCAAATACGTCGACCGTCGGCTTGCTGGCCACCGCAGCGACAACAGCCAGGCGTGTGCACCCAGCTGGGCTTGCACTGCATGTGGGGGGTCACACGGCACGTGCGGTGCAGGGGCTACCTAAGACCCCGCTTGCGCACCACGCACCTGCTTGCACAGCAGGTGGGGGTTGCACTGGAGGACGGCCGAGATGAGGGTGCGAGGCCTGTAGGTAGGGGGCCGGGGTGGCGGGGGCCGGGTATGGGGAAGGGGAGGGTGAGCACCATGCACAATAACGTGCACGGTACAACGCAACACAACAAGCAGCGCCATGTGCACCATGCTCGTAGCCATACACACCCCACCCCAGTACTCCCCATGCCGCCTCCCCCGCAGCCCATGCAACTCATCCCACCCAAGGGCCCAACAGCAACCGCTCCCCTCCCCGGCCGCGCATGGTATTTTTCTTTCCCTCCCTCCGCCCTCCGCCCCCCGATCTTTCTCCTCCCCCCGCCAACAGCCCCCCTCAGCTCACCGCAGGACATGCAGCCGCTGCTCAGCCGCCCGAGCGAGCCCCGCCACCGTGACCCCCACCGGACCCAGGTCCGCAGACAGCAGCCAGGGCGCCTTGGCGGCCAACCCCATCACCGCCTCCACAGAGCTCCCCAGCACCTCGGCCAGCTCAATGAGTCGCCACAACACGGCGTTCACGGGCTGCCCGACCAGATCGCCGGGGGCTGCTGCCAGCAGCGCCCGCACGGGGTCAGCGGGCAGGAGCTGCAGGAGCTGCTCCGCGCGCTGGGCAATGACCCGTGGGTCGGCGGCAGCCAGCAGGCGCTGCTGGGCGCGCGGCGGGCGCCAGGAGGTGAGTTGGGCGCCGGGGAGCGATGGCAGCTCGAGCTGGTGGGGGGCCGGGGTGAAGAGGGCGTAGACAGGGAGGGGCAGGGCTCAGGGGTGCATGACAAGATGAGTATTGCCGGGCGGAGGAGGAGCGCACATGGGCGTGTTGGTTTGGGTGAATGAGGCAAAGCGTTTCGTGTTTTTGCCCATCCAAGCAGTCAATGCGTGGCCGACTGCTTACGTGCAGGAGTGGGAGAATGGCTCATGGCCGGGAGGGGAACGGCAGACATACCATTACCAAACGCCAAGGGCTACTTTGCAGCACTATTTGCAGCATCGAGTAAGCGGTGCGACAGCCAGTTAACAACATACAAGCTGTGTGACCGCTCATTTGCACACACCTGGCCTTTCAAGTACCCAATTGTTTCGTCCAGGGCTGCTTCGGACATTTCATCAGCCTGACCACCCTGCCAGCCCTCGCCCTCGCAGCCAGGGCGTTGCTGAGATGCATCTGTCACAGGCTGCCCCAAATGCTGCGCATCATCTGCGATGCTGCCTGAGGATTTGTGATGGCCTTGCACCTCAACCTCGGAGTGACATGGAATGACAACGCTGCTAACTGCAGCTGCGGATACTAGTCGAGGAGTAGAGCGCGATTCGACAAGCATGTCTGCTCTGGCCGCAGCTGCGAGGGCAGCATGTGGATGCGAACTGCCAATGGCACGATTGCGGCTTGCGCACGCCGCTATTGCAGCTGGGGTTGCAGGACTATGGCCCTGTCGTATAGTAACTAAAGCAAGCAGCGGTCGGATGGGCGCCGCGTCGTGGTGAGGCGCGAGCCTTGGCATCTGCGGTCCGAGCGAGCGACGGTCAGAAGTTGGAATACAGAGGAGTCCTCAAGTCGCTTTTCCAATTTGCAAGACCAACAGTTGGCAATCGTGTACTAACATAGGTTGCTCTCCAGTAGAACTCAGCAGTGGCCCAGACGCGTGAAAGTAAACACGGGCGGTCTAGTCCCGACTGTTAATGCCAACAGGCATCATGAAGAAAGAACTAAATAGTGAAATCCTATCCAGACTATGCCAGGCTACTGCTTTATCCGCAATGGCCGAAGACCGTTAAGCTACGAAGGCCTTGGACAGATCCGGCTTGGCTAATGCCGAAAACAGCAGCACACTCGTAGGCAAGGTGCTTTAATGTAGGGTTTTGATCACCACCCAAAAAGGCCTAGCTAAATGGGTAGTTAGTGTCTGCAGGAGCTTTCCTTCGCTGACATCGACATACCAAGGTACTAAGTGGATGGATATGATTATGAGGATAACATCTATCGGTGCATTTTGAAATCCGTGAATGTCTTCAACGGTCATGGGGAAAGCGTATAGGCATTAGTAATATCAAAGTCGGCTGTCGGCTCCTAGCTCGGAGCTATTTCGCTATTTGACACGCGTGCCGTGTGTAGTGATAGTCACAAGTCACGAAAGAAGCCTTGATGCGCTGCTGATGTAGTATTATGCCCTCTTAGCGGCAAGGGCCAACCAAAGGCCCAATGTGCAAGTTGCACCTGGAGCAGAAGGGAAATCCGATGGGCCCTAGAGCTCCGACCCCACGTGAGTCCTGCGCTCAGTAACCGTTGCTGGTTAACGAAGCACAAAGCGCGCCACGTGACACAACTGCAGGTAATGCCAACATGCAAGTAGTACGGCAGGGCGTTACAAAAGCTGGGACACGCCAGGGGCGGAAAGTTCAACCGTCCCCAGCATCTTTGAATAGCCTCCCTGTGCGCAGTCTGCTTCGGCCTATAGATGGCGGGACGCGCTATAAAGGCCAATGGAGGTACGGTATTGGTCCCGTGAGCTCAATGTAGGCAGCAATGGGCCCCAGTACTTTCCTGTGTCTTATCCATGTCGTGCGTGTGATGTGTTTCAGTGTGATGTGCAGTTACGTGGAATTCCGGCCACCTCCCCTCATAGCATCATCTTGGATCGACAGACAGCTTGTCACCGCCCTACCGGTATCAATACATCTCGCCCAACTAGTGCACCAGAGGTGTCTGAGTGGCGTTTGGGAGTTGGGGCTACTAAAACGGCACTACCATTGGCTGACATTACAAGCTGGTGTGTTGCAAGTTGCGAGGAGCATTCTGATTGGGGCTTCCTGGCAAGGAAGCCGTAGCAGCAAATGGGTGGTGGGTGGCGACCCGGGGGTCAGCGGTCAGGCACCACTCGCCATGCGAGCATGTGGGCATGGAGGAGTGTTAAAAGGCACAATACGCTTGGCATGTATACGTGTTCAGTGAGATACGGCACGACAAAGGAACGCGGATTGAACCGTCGGGTAATGTGCTCTTGTGCCAGCTTGTGCTCGGACGTTCATGATTGAGCTCCGGTAAGCCAGTAAGGCAACTTACGCATACTACGCGTATCCTACAATCAAATGACCTGTCGTACCCTCCGACCACACTGAGGCAGCTTCGGTACGGCTACTTCGGAACGCATTCGTCGCAAACACGCGGGTATCTGAGGTTGGAAGGCACAAGCTGACCATCGTCCACGGTTTCAGGGTAAAACATGGAAGGCTAACAGGGAACAGATATCTGAGCAACAACAAGGACATATTCGTCCCCACCTAAGCGACTGTAGGTACCCACGGCCTATCCGCGCGCCGGAATAACGGCTGATGGAGCTCTCGACTCACGGTGACCGATTACAGCCTTGTGACACGGGGTTGAACTCATCCGCGGAATGTGTGGGTGGACGAATTCACGTCTTCACCTAACCTAGCAAGAGGTGCAGCCCTTGGGCGCAACCACGATCCAATTTCGTCAAGGTCACTTTGCAGCACGACAGTGCTGAACGCAACCATAAGCGTCATATGTAACTATCACCCTGAGGATTTCTGTCAGCCTGTCGGCATCTTCAGCGGAAGTGTCCGTCTTGTACGGCACTGTTGACAACGCTTTTTTGCTGCGATATTCCTGACTGGCAGGCTGGGACATCCGCAGTGTTAAAGATCTGGTATACATGACAGTCAGACATAATGATAATTTGTTAGGAAGAGCGCTGGATAGGCAAGCTGTAGTGCGAACAGGCTAGGATGGCTTCGAGCCAGGGCCAGCAAAAGACTTCACAGTCGCCCTTCAGCTTATTCAGGCCTGCATCAGTAAGTAGTATTACTTTAGTGCAGCACTTGTTATTGAGCTGCGCGTTTGCCAAGAATGGGCCATCGTTCTTCGTCACCCAACGCTTTGACCGGACTTTTGCCACGATCACAGTGGTCCAAGGGCATCAACAAGGCCAAGCAAGCAAAGCTTGGCGAGGAGAACAACATGTATTTCCACCCTGAGGTGCGCATTGACGCCGTTCATGTTCCCTTCTAGTTACCTTTTCTTTCGGCATGTTATCAACCGCGCCATTGTATCTGTTTGCAGCTTAAACGCTGGGTGGAGAGGGGCAAGGAAGAGGAAGCCGAGCGAGAGGCTGCTGGGCCCGGTCCTCCACCCGTGGTGTCCGGTGGGAGCTTCAATGCAGCACCTTTGCACAAGTAAGGGCACGTATCATAGAGCTTTTATATGTCAGTTCTTGCGCACTTCGTGTTCGCGCGGGTTTCGACTAGTCTCGGCAACCCACACCTGGGCATGGACGTCGCACGGTGCGTAGGCGTCACGGTGTCGGTCCTATTCGTAACACGTGCTGCACTGACAGAATCGGGTTACTCTCCCAGTTTTCCTGCCATTGAGCGCCTTGTCCTAAACTCGGCCCGTAGTTCCTGACTGCACGCTGACGGACCCCTTCTGTTCTTGCCAACGCTCGGCCACACACTTCTGCTGCCGCACGTGCATGTCCTTCCGCACTTCAAACAGCAGCTTTCAGTTTGTCACGAGCCTAGAGAGGGCCCTCTTAAACAAGCCCTATGCGCACCTTGCTTCTCTCATGTTAACCTCTTCCTTCCAACTTGCCCCATCCCCATCAGGCGTTCTCTGTCGCAGCGCTATGTGTTGCAGCCCAACCTGTCGGTCTCCTCCATGGCGTCCCTCGCCGGCTCCCTGTCCCAAACCGACCTCGCCAACCTGACGGGTCCCGGCGACCTGTCAGGTCCCCCAAGCGGCCTGGTCAGCACCGCACCCTCGCCACCGCAATCCTGCAGCGGTATGCCTCCAATTGGCTCCGGACCACCTTCGGGGAGTGGCATGGCGGGTGCACCGCCCGCGTCCTCGTTCTTCGTGCCCGCCCCGCCTCAGCGTCACGCTTCGCAGCCACTCGCCGGCTTCTTTGTGCCACCACCGGCGACCCCAGAGGACCGCCAAGCCGAGGAGGAGGGCGCGGTTGCGGGAACGACGATGGAGGAGGCTGATGGGGAGAGCGGCGAAGCGGCACACGGCGCCACGGCTTTCACTACCTGCATTGACGACGATGTCTCGGGGGCTCCAGATGGTGCTAGTCAGCAGCAGCAGCAACAGGCCGCGGCAGCGACTTCCGACGCCAGGGAGGACGGTGAAAGCTGCGCCTCGGGTTGGAGTCCCCTTCCTGAGGTCTGCGAGGCGTCCTTCTGCGCAGTACGGCCACAAGGCGACGTCAGCTTTGGTGGGGCGGTAGCGCAGCCTCCGCCTCGCGCCGAGGCTGCGGCCGATGCCGTGACCGATGAGGTGCCTCTGGACTTGTCGCCTACCGCGATCACCGTGGATCACAACAAGGTTGAGGACTGCGCTGCCGCCAATGGCAACGGCGCCGGGGAGGAGTCTCTATCCTTTGATGCTGCGCTGGGTCATCACAGCCAGCAGCACCAGCACCATGTACTGGCGGATTCCTCACAGGCTCTGGCGTGCAGTCCCGTCAGCAGCCCCGCGGGTCATTCAAAGCAGCAGGAGTGGCCGATGCTAGGTCGGGAGGTGCGCCGCATTGAGAGCAGCGCCACCACTGCTTCGGACGGCGGCGCGGTGATGTCACTGCATGAGGGCATGGGTGTCGGCCCGGTGCAGCAACATCAGCAACATCAGCCGCAGCTTGAGGAAGGTGCTGAGGCTGTGGCGGCCGAGGCGACCACTCCAACGGTGACAGAAGCGATGGCTGAAGAGGTCGTGGCCTTTACAGTCGTCAGCAGCCAAGCTGAGCCTGCGGTTACGGGGGCGGAGGCAGCTGTTCCCGAGACCGTTGTCTGCGATGGTGCTGACGCTGTGCAGCTCTCCGACACCAGCAGCATCCCAGCTGCCGCATTGGAGGCCCCATCGGACAGCGTTGACATGAGCAGCGCTGCCATGGCCGCAACCGTTTCTGCTGACTCGGCTGCTGCCGCCACGGACGCCACTACCTACTACTCCCAGTACTACTACCAGCAGTACGCCTACCTCTACCAGTACGCCATTGAGCAGGGCTACAGCGAGACGGATGCGGTGGCGTATGCCCAGTACTACGCGGCCTCGTATGCGCAGCAATACGAGGCTCAGGCTCCACAGGGCCAGCTAGGTGTTGATGGCGTTGCCGGTGAGGCTGTGGCGGCAAGCGGTGAGACGGCGACGGCTGCAGTGGTCGCTCAGGAGGAGTTGCAGGCTGGTGCTGTGGAGGTGGTAGGCACGGAGGAAGCAGCAGTCGCGGTTGAGCAGGAGTCAACATGGCAGGCGGCTGCTGTGGAGGAGGCCGGTGTGGAGGTGGCTGCGCCGGTGGTGTTGCTGGCGACTGGCGAGGCTAGGGAGGAGTTGGTGGTTGCTGATGACTACTCACACCAGCAGCAGTCTGTAGACATCCCGGCTGTGGCGGAGGTGGAGGCGGATGCATCGGTTGTAGCGCTGTGTGCTGCACCGCTGCCAGCCGACCTTACCGCAGCTGCCGCCGCAGCCGCCGCTCAGCTCCGCCAGTCCACCGTAACGGCTGCAGTAACCGCCGCTGTGGCTGCCGCAGCTGCCGCCACCGCTGAGCTGCAACAGCAAGACGCTGGAGCCACCCCTGACTCCGAGGCCTCAGCAGCTGTCCTCGCCGCAGCCAGCACTGCTGCCGCAGCCGCAGCCTCTGCAACGCCGGCGTCAGTCCCCAGTGGCAGTAACGCCCTGGGCACTCAGCTTCTGCAAGGCCTGGGTGCTGCAGGCGCAAAGCTCTCTTCCGCCGCCACGGCCGCTGTGGCCTCACTCGGCGCGTCTGTGGCTGCGGCCGCCGCCGCCACCGCTGCTGCCGGGCTGCGGGCACCGCAGTTGGGCGCTGTGGGTGACGAACTGACGGAGGACGACTTTGAGCGCATCATGCACCCCGGGGACCCCGCCAAGCTGGACGGCCCGCTGCCCTGGGAGCTGCCCGACCACCTGCGGACCAGCCGGAAGTTCCTGTCGGTGTGCGCCAACTGGCAGCTGGCGAACCCCGGGATGCCGTACGCGCCGCACCTGTTGCTGCAGGAGCAGCAGCAGCAAGCGGTGGTGGCCCAGACGGAGGAGCAGCAGCCTGCTGCAGCGGAGGTGGGAGCTGAAGAGGTGGCGGCTAGCGGTGATGCGGACGCTGAGAGCAGCGCAGTGGCTGTTGCTCCGGCTTCAGCCCAACAGGAGGAGGAGCAGCATCAGGAAGATGGCTTGTCTTCGTATGAGCGTGCGTGCCGGCTTGCGCAGTTCGGGCAGCCCACATCCGACCTTCTGTCCAGCCTGTCCTCACGGCCAGCTGTGGAGGTGGAGGCGCCTGTTGAGCTCGCTGCTGCTGTCGAGCCGCCGCTTCCCGACCTTGTCGACCAGCCACAGCCGGCCGCCACAGCGCCGGTGCAGGACGCTGCGCCAGTGCTTGAGGCCGAGGATGAACAGCAGCAGCAGGTACTGCTTGAGGGTGCCCAGGAGGCACAGGAGGCGGCCATGGTCGCAAGCGAAGTTGCTGTCCCTGTTCCCATCTCGGCTGCTGAGGAGCAGCCTGTGGAGGAGGTCCTTCCTGTGGACGAGACCCCCGAGGCGGCTTCCGAGGCGATCGCAGATGCAGCGGTGACAGCAGCTCCTGCCGTGGAGGCTGTCGTGGAGGCTGTCGACGCAGTCGTCAAGGCGGCACCGCTGGAAGTGCCAGCGATCGACAGTCCCACGGGTCACGGCTTTAACCCTGACCATGTCACTCCTGGCTCTGCTCGGTCCGAGGATCCCTTTGCTGGCGCTGAGCACCTGCCGCTGGCGCAACAACAGCCGCAGCCCAGCCCACTGTCATCTCCGGAAAAGGCTGCCTATCGTGGTGTCGTGCTGGAGGAGGTTTCGGAGGATTCCGAGGACCTGCAGCCTGGCGCCGACGTGGAGGAGAAGGAGGAGGAGGCTGCTGCAATTGTGCAGGAGGCCGACGCCTCTCCGGTCGCTGCCGTACCTGCCTTGCAGCTGCCCGTCATGGGCTCAGCGGACGCTGCGGATTTTTTCGACCACCTGGGCGAGACACCGCGGCCGCCGCAGCAGGAGCAGCCTGAGGTCGCTGAGGCTGCGGTCGAGGAGTTGGTTGCCGAGGCGTCAGTTAAAGAGGCGCAAGCTGAGGCCCCTGCTGCTGATGTGCCGGTCGTCGCTGAAGCTCCTGAGCCCTTTACCGCTGCTGCTGAGGAGGCGACAGCAACCGAGGCCGTCGAGGTGGCTGAGGTGGCTACTGTGGAGGAGGTTGTTGACGAAGAGGAGGACGAGGCTGAGGCTGCCGCCGCTGACCTTGCACCGGCTCCCGCTGTCGCCGCTGCTGCCGCAATCGACTCTGTCGTACAGGCACTGGAGCACCTCCGCAGCCGCGCAGCCGCCGCCGAGGGCGACGCCGTGACCGCTGCTCTGGACAACAACGCTCTGCTGGTGCAGATCCACTCCTCCCTCGCACAAGCCACTCAGGCTCTGGCGGGCATGGGCGTCGACGTCGGCGCGTTGGCGTCACTGGCAGCCGGCGTGCAGGGAGGTGTGTCCACGCCTGAGGAGTGGTCTCCTGCGCCCGGCAGCAAGCGCCCGCGCAAGGATGTCAGCCCCGCAACGCCCACCCGCCCTGGCACCACCGCCACCGCGGCCTCCAGCGTTGCGACGCCACTGCTGCCGCCAGGTCCGCAGCCCCTCCGTGCTTCCGTGGACGGTGACGCGGCGGCCACTGTTGTGGCTGCGGCAGCCGCCGCCGCGGCTGCTGCTGCCACCACCGCGGGAGAGCGGTTCCAGCAGCTCGGTCGGCGCCTTTCGGACGCCTCTGCCGAGGCAGAAGCCGCCGCCACCACACCCCTGTCTGCAGCCGCTGCGGTATCAGAGCGCATGGCACCGCAGCCCCTGCCAGAGCAGCTGCAGCCGGTGGTGGTGTCTCTAACGGTGGCCGCCCCGCCGGCAGTTGACGTGACAGCGCTTGAGGCGCGTGTGCGCTGCGAGGAGGCGGAGGTTTGGTGCGCCCGACTGGATGCCGCGGTGGATGCGGAGCGGGAGACCGCGGCCATGGTCATCGCCTCCATTGAGTCGGAGCGTGACGGCCTGTCGGCGCGTGTAGGCGCGCTGGAGCAGCAGCTGGCTGCTGCCACTGCAGAGTGCGGCAGCCTCAAGGCTCAGCTGGCTGAGCTGCACGGTGCTGCGGGCAGGGAGCGGACGGACGCGGAGGAGAGGATGCTCCACGCCGTGGCAGCAGCGCGCGCCGAGGGCGAGGTGCAGCGCGGGGAACTGTCGGCTCAGCTGAGTGTTGCATTGGCGGAACGTGACGCCTTGGCGGTTGAGCTGGCGACGGAGCGGTCGGAGAAGGCTGCGCTGGTGGCGACGCTGGCGTCGGTGCGGGCGGAGAATGATGAGCTGCGTCGGGGCTACGCAGAGCGCTTCCAGGGCTTGGCTTCGGAGCTGGAGGCGACCCGCGGGTCACTTGATGAGCTGCAGGCGGAGCATGATGAGCTGCTGCTGTGCCTGGGCCAGGAGAGCACCAAGGTGACGGTGCTGGCGGATGCGTTGCGTGAGGCGGGCGGCGACCCGAGCCCCATGATTGAGCGGATTGAGGCGGAGTATGAGACCATGGGGATGGGAGGTGCGGGTGAGGGTGGTGAGGAGGAGGATGAGGAGGAAGGCGGAGAGGGAGAGGAGGGGCCCGGGGAGGTGGCGGAGGAGGTGAAGTTGGAGCAGGAGGGGGCGGAAGAGGGCTGGGAGGGGGAGGAGCTGGAGCTTGATTTGGGAGTGTCGGTATGAGGGGGTATAGGGAGTGGGGCAGCGGAGGAGGAGGTGTTCGGAGAGTAGATGTAAGAAATGTGTGAAATAGCAGTGAAAGAGATGTTCGGCGGTTGTATCTATCGTGGTTTAGTCTTGGTAGGTGGTGTGGTGCTGGAGAAGGAATTTGAAAGATGAGGTACAGTACGTGTGGTACAGATTAGTAGCTTAGTTTCATCGCACTGTGATATGCCAGGTTCGATTTGTGCGCTGCTGGTTAGCTACGTAATGTTCGCATGCGCTGGTGGGAGTAGTACGTGCGTAGGAAGAGGACAAGATTGGACAACATATGGTCGCAGTCATCGAACATATTGTAACGGGATACACGTTAATGCAGCAGTATACTGTCTATCTGTCTGCAAGGATTACATAATGTTTCGGAGATGATGTTGTTTTACCACATATCCCTACCGGAGTAGGAAATTGGTACATAGGCATGTCCACTCGTTGAAAAATATTCTACACCACAGTGTTATGCACAAAGAGATTATTAAGTAACGGTATACATACATGCTGCTGTACAAGGATGTCAACAGAGTATATGTCGGTCAACCATACAAACCGCACGAGTTCCCTCCTCAAGGCTCTCTCACACGTTACCCTACCGTCCCTCACTTGCTTCCGCTCAACAACTTATGACAAGATACATGCGAGCAGTTCGCAAACATCAAAACACCAACTCTGCACAACTCAGCCAATGTACCATACACTGTCCGTTCACTGGCCGCTCTTCAACACAACCTCCAGGCATTGGATGAATGGAAACAGCACACCAGCCGACCGCACCTCGTCCAGCGCACTCGTTCTCTCCGCACGGCAGCATCAGAGAAATTCCTATAATCCGCCATGCATTGTTTCCCCTCAGCGCTCCTCACTGCCTTTCCTCCCTCTCTTCCCCCCTCCTCTCAAAAGCCCGATGCCGCCCCCAGCAGTCCGCTCAGCTTGCCGTACAACACCAGTTGCGCCAGGATGCCCCGCCCGCTGCCCGCCTCCACCAGCACCGCTGCCAGGAACCCCAGCATGGCGGCACGGCCTGCGGGGGGAGAAGGGTTAAGGGGGTGGAGGGAGAGGAGTTAGGCGGGGGGGGGAGAATGAAGGGGAGCTGAGACAGAGCGAAAGTGGACCAGCAGGCGGGGCTGAGGGGCGAGTTTCAACTGCGCGTGACTGTTTATGCCAGGACCAAAGGGCCGTCCAATGCCCTTGTGCCCAACTATCCAGTCGTACGTGGCCGTTGGCGCCGTACTTCCCCGCCAACCACTAACAGAACCTACCGTTAGCTATCTCCACATCTCGTGCGTACTTCCCCTCGTCCAGGCCGTACAGCTCCTCCGCAGTCTGGGTACGACAGATTGCATCGCGGCGGGCGGGAGGAAGGGGGCGGACGAAGGAAGAGGGCAAAGTCAGGACAGGGCTTGAATAGCCGAAAGGGGACTGCTGGATACCTGTAAGAACACTCCTACCACACAAAACACAAAACACGTCAGGGCTGGTTGCGTGGAGGTGCCGGTACGTGCCACCGGAAGCTGCAACACGCACTTCACGGTGTCGCCACCAACGGATCAACCCATGTAGAGCAGCCCAGCTCATCAGACACCTACCAGGGTTGCATTCCTTGATGACGTTGCTGCAGCTGCTGGTTGCGTGGGCGCCTGCTGCGGCCTCGCGTCAGCAGCTGCCGCTGATGAGGTCGACACCACTCCCGTCAACGACCCACTGCGGTGAGGGGGAGAGGGGGTAATAGGGAGCAGGGGAATGGAGGGTGGTGGTGTTTCCAGCCGCACAGCGTTCAAGCGGAACCCCACCACCGGGAAGGTAGCCCACCGGGGGCCACTGAACCCCTCTTGAGTCGTACACGCGCCTTCTGCGCTTCCTACCGGGGTGACCTCCGGGGTCATCCTAGAAGCCAAACCCACTCATACGAACCCTTCGCGCCCTCCACTGCGGCCCACAACCACGCCCGCCGCACCTCCACTGTCCAATTTCCTTACACACCCATACGCGCCCTCACACACGCAACCCAGCCTCGCGCACGCAGACCCCCGTTCCCCAACAAGCAGGGACGCCACCCCATGTCGACCCCACGAAGCTAGCAGTGCCCATGAACTCACCCCGCTGCCCGGCCCTCCTCCTTCTCGGCGATGAGGGTGGTTGCGGCCTCCATGGTGGGGGCAGTGTCGCCAGCTGTGGAGGTGGCGGCTGCCGCTGCTGCTGCTGCTCCTGCCGATGCTGATGGTGGTGGTGCTGGTGCTAGTGGACGGCCGCCCTTGAGGCTGCGAGCTGCGCTTTCCGCCGCCAGCTCATCCCCTCGGGTGAGGCCCAGGAAGGAGCGGTAGCGCTCCAGTTGGCTGCGGCGAGGGGGCAGGAGGAGAGAGGGGAGGGGACCGGTAGGTGGGAAAGAAGAGGAAGAGGAAGAGTTGCGGCTACACATGCAGGTGTCGTTAGGCGCTGCTCATGTCGCTCCTCGTTACCAACACCAACTGCCCACCTGACCCCAGCACCGCTGCTGTCGCTCCCCGTTTCTTCCTCTGTACCCCTCCATCCCTGCCCCGCCTGTCACTACCCCCACCCCACCCCGCCCCCCCGGGCGTTACTCACGTGCGGCTCATGCTCCGCTGCCGCAGCTGCTGTACGGTCACTGCGGAGGCGGCTGCGGTGGCGCCGCCGCTCAGCAGCAGCAGCGCCGCCAGCAGCGGGGTGGAGGGGGCGGACAGACCCAGCTGCGCCAGGGTGCCCTTGCCTGTGAGTGGCAGAGGCGGGGAAGAGGCGGGGTGTGGCCAGTAGCGCTGGTGGGTGTTGGGTGGTGGTTGAACATGACAGCTCGCGCGCAACTCCACCGGTCCATCCGGCCACCCTTCCACCCGGCCCTCAAAGCGCCTCAGGGCAACAGGACTAGAGGCAGCGGAAGGATACCGTAGATGAAGGCGCTGGGAGCAAGGACCAACTTCTGTACCACTACAACATGGGTTCAACCTTACCGGTCGCAAACTCCACTGCAACGGACGACACGAAGCCGATCATGGCCCAGCGGCCAACCCACATCTGTGCAGTCAAGCCAGCAGAGGGAAACAGGTCAGGAGGGACACAGCCCTTTGAAAAAGCATGCAGGCATGCCATGCAAAACCTTGCAAGATGCCGCTAGTATGCCTACGCCGCTGCGTTGTAGGTCGTGATGTAAGCTTGGGGTAATAGTTAGGGGGCCTGGCCAAACACGAACGTCGTAGGCCATGCTCGTAGCACTCACCTCGCTGAATGGTGTGAAGCCGAAATATCCCTCATCAGTGGGCATGCCCATAGCGTCTGACAACTGCAGAGAAACATGTACGAGAGTTGCTTTGGTGCTGCGTCGGGCTTGCTAACCAAAAGAAATTGGCTAATGGTCGACAAAAGGACCGTTAAACCCGGTGAGCAAGCTGGATGAGTTACTAACCTTTGCGAGGGCTGACTTCTCTGCGCGCACACGTGTCGTTAGCAGCCGGGGCACGCGACGTGGAAGCGCACCATGGCGAGCAACATGGGCTGCCGTCGGGCGAGAGGCGTTCATTCGAAGCGTCATTGTGGCTGAGTACCGTAAACGGCTGTAGGTGATGAAAATAATCTTTGATTTACTGAAGCTGTGGCGTGCGCTTTAGTAGTCATGCGACGATTCGATGTGTGGACACCGTACGTTACTAAATTGTGAGCCTCATATCGCGCCTGGGTTTACTGGACTCACGGCATAGTTGTTGGAGGTTTCCACACTATAGTCATAGTAACTTCGCTTTGCGACCAGTTCTTATACCCGGGAGTCAGCGGAAGTATCCAGTTTCATTTGCCCATCTGAGAGCGTACCAGGGATATCCTGGTGATCTATGATACATGACATTGCCGTGCGTACACGCACTTCTTTCACATGCAGTGTAACGGCTAGGCTTGAGGCCTTGAGCGTCGCCCACATGCCATGGCACGCAACCCCTCCTGCTTTACATACTAACCATGTTTACTTGGCGCTAGCAACCCCGTTGTGGTGGTTTCCCTGTTGTGAATCGTGCTATAATACCGTTCTATGCCATGTCGGTCTTCCGTTCTCCAGCTCCAAAGGGTTGCCAGCGCCCCAACCCTCAAATGGGGCAGTACGGTATGCAAGACTGCCTTTTACGATGAAATTCCAACCTCATTATCAGACAGCACCAAAACAGTACCGGTGCCATGCGCGTGTTTCTTACATCTTACATCGGAGGCCTAGCACAAGCCGTGTTAACCCGACCCGTATTTCCACCTAGCACGTGGAAAACCCGACCAACAGAGTCACATTAATCCACTTGCTACTGGTCCTAAACCCACGTCAAAAGCGGGATAAGTAGATTCAAGGGGTGTCCGTAGTCAAGTTAAAAAGCGTCTCTTACTAGGTCAGTCCAGACCGTTTCTGTCGGGTTGCCCTGAGTGCGGACCCAGACACCAAGGACGCACTCTTGTAGGGCAGCGCGAGTGTTACGGCGAGCGCATCCATACTACTGGTCACAGCCTTTACGAAGAGGGATACTGTTCGCCTGTGCATATACCTAGCATGTCCGGGGCCCCTAACACCAGTCCCCTGACCCTAAGACCACAGCCCCATGTCCTCCCGTCGTCGGTGGTGCCCCTTCCTGTCTAACGGGAACTAACGGCACAACGGTGAAACCAAGCGGTGCCTACGAGGCACACCAAGCCCCTGAAATACACTGGGACTCTCAAATACTATGCCCGAATCCATAGCCGCCCGAGTCACCCAAAAGGACTCCGCAGCCGTGCTTCTGCTGCTGCACTTGCGGGCTCATCACGCTCATTGCGCCTTCTTGGACGCACCCTTGCCCTTGCCCGACGCCTTCCGCCAGTTGTCATAGGGGGTGCCCTTCACCCACTCATCGGCGTTGTCAGCCCGGCTGACCTCCACTTTCCGCGCCTTCTTGCCCACCGTGGTCTTGTACAGCTGCGACTCCTTGACGTTGTTCCACACAGAGTACACTGCACAGCCAGGTGAAGGGCGCAGGGGTACGGCAGTTGAGATCTGAGACCGGTATCTGCACCTCGTGTCATCAACCGGCAAGCAATAGGCAAGCGTGAGACCCAGAAGGATAAGCGCTGCTGCAGTGTCCGCGCTAACGGGCAAGCATGCCACGCGTGTCAGTGCAATGTGTGCATGCCGGACACAGGAGTCGCCGTACAGCGTCAACTGTGGGGCAACAGTTGCCGATTGCCATGACTCCTCAACTAACTGGCCCTGCACCAACCGATATGTGCAAGAAAGACTGTGCAGATGGAACACACGCCTGAAGTGCTCGGACAAGTGGGGGCAAGCTCTTTCCCGGCCCCGGCTGGCTGCTATGCGGCGCGTGTTGGCAGGCTGCAACGGACAGCCCCAAATGCCGTGCAGGCCAGTCGTGCGACCCATTTGTGCGCGGGTTGTTAACAACTATCGCTGAATGCGCAACATGCTGCTGACCTTCAACAGGCCCGATTGAGCAACCGAGCACTTGGCCTATAAACCCCTGGAGGTCATACACATGCAAATCACGCATCCTCCGTTTCTCTTCGCGCCTCCCCAATTCTCTTCCCCCCTTGATCCTTATGTCTCACCTTCCCTTCATGTCCCCCCTTCGCGCGTTTCTCCTCCTTTTCTCCCCTTTCCAACCTTCCCCAAGAGCCCTCAAGCAGCACTCACCGCCAGCGAACACGAGGCCAATGAAAATGACGTACAGGAAGATGAGCTTCCAGTCAATCAGCTGCGGCTTCTCATTGATGCTCACGGTTTGGTTGAAGAAGGTCGTGCTCTTAAAGCCCTGAGCGTCCTGGTAAAAGACGGTCAATGCGACCTGGTAGTCGTTGGGGGGCAGGTCCTTAGGGGGCAGGAAGCTGTACTCCACAGACAGCTCCTCGCTGGGAGCAACGGCCTGAAAGTAAATCTGTTGGGGGGAAAGGGAGGGGCGGGCGGTAGAAGGTGGCGTGTAAGCAGGAACGCAGAGGAACGAGGCAGGCCGCAGAGTGCACGCGTAAACCGTGACAAACGAATGACTCCGCCAGGCACGATAAAGGGGCACTGTGGCGCTTCAGTCTATCAGGACAACAGCTATTTGCGGAAAACATTTACCTGCTGGGTGAAGTTCCAGTAGTACGCGCTAAAGTCCGCAGCGTTGTTCAGGCTGCCCATGATCGCGCTAACGTTGTATGCCTCCGACGCTTCATTGCGAACGCCAAGCACTACCTTGACCTGTTGACAGCAGTGATGGTAACATAAAGTTCCTGGGTTGTGTACTATTAAGTACTATACTTAGTACCCCCCACGCACCGGCTGCCCAGCGATAAACTGACGCGTGGGGAAGTCTGGAAAAAAGAAGCCTGTCGAGATCTCCCCAGCTGGCGGCAAGTTCGTCAGCGGATGAGTCTGTGGGGTCTCTTGGGCCGCTGCAAGCGCAATCGGCAGATCGCTAGTCAGGATCGTGTCGGTAGAACCGCGTCAAAAAGTGTGCTACCGGCTCACCAGCAAAGGCAACACATCCAGCTAAAAGTGCTAGTAGAAGAGATGCGCCGGTGCGCATGATGGAGGCCATTACTTCTTGATGCTATCTACACAGTCGAGTGTTGACCAGCACAGATACACGGCAAAATGTATAGTAGATGTAAACCGACTTATATGTGACAATCAATATGCACCTGCATCAGGTTTGCGCTTTTCCGAATGAGTCTCAATGGGACACCTGGCCAGGTTGGGAGGCCCAACTGGAGGGAGACCAGTCGTTGCAAATTGAGGACAGTGTTTTCAAGCAAACCAAGCTAAGGTAGTCCATAACTATGCTGTAGGTACAGTTACTTAAAACAACTTTCGTTATTTGCAACATACCTTACATTTTGGGCGATGTCCGCTTGTATTCTGGCTAATGACTTTACATTAACTGGGTTTGTCAAGTTAAACAGCATAGGGGCTTGATATTCATGCTTTGCGGTTCAGGAAGCGACCCAACTGGAGTTGGCGCCGTTCCTTTCCAAGCCTTTCGGGTAGTATATACCTGTTACGTGGAAGTCCTTGCTGCACTCTATCCATTGCCATCCTTGGCTAATGCCGTCGGTTACGTGCGCACGGACTGAAGGTCAACATGCCGCATTCCCTTCGCCGACAGAAGTATGAACCAAGGATGGGGAAAGCGTCTATATGTAAACCTCCGGTAGTGATCACTTGGTTGCTAATTAGCTTTCATTGCATAGGTGCGTTTAGACAAAGATGGGGTCAAGGCAGTAGCGGTTCTTTCGCAACCCTAGCGGCCTAGTGGCCTCACTGCTTAGCTGACTGCCCACGATACCGTCAAAGCTAAAATGGAGCCAGGCTGCGCACAGGTGTTTGCACTTGGGTATGGCTACTTGGGCAGGGCACTAAATGCTTGTTGCAGAGTAGCGTCGCATGGTAGTAAGACGGGCCTTACTCATGCGGTGTCTGCCTTCTTCTGCACAGGGAACCTCTTTCCGTGCCGCGATGTCGGCCCCCCTGCCTTTGCCTTTGTTACACATACTTTGTACCTTTCCTCTGAAAAAATGGAACCCGGAGCAGAAGGGGTGAAATTTTTAGCTTTTAGGGGTATATGTCATAAACTGATCCTGTGTGTGCCAAACTCGAACATCCGAAGCAATAAAACCGCAGCGTTGTTACCTGCACCGGACCACGAAAGACACATTGCATGTTGTACGTTGTGCGTGGCACGTTCATGTACGTAGTACACTGGGCGCAAATGCTACCAACATGCTGCAAACCGTGCACCTCACACCCCTGAGCGCAGCAACACAGCAGCACGCAGCTTTCAGAGCGCCAGGTCCCTCGCTCCCTCGCGTCTTTCCCTGCCTCTCCGCATTCCATCCGAACGCTGCAGCAGGGGCATCTCGGGCCTGATTGCACGGGCTGCATATCAACATGCTACTTCACCGGACATGGAAAGCTCCACCCTTCACCTTTACGTTACACAACCGATACATACGAAGGCCCATCGGCGTGTTTCATCCACTGCCAATAGCGTTCCGCAGCACAGCAGTAGCAGCCCCGAGCTTCAGCCGCCCCCCTCGTGTTTTGATGCTGCTGCGTCAACCAGCCTCAACATGCCTCCACAATCGCTCCCCTTACGAGTGAAGCAACACGCCCGGGGGGGCCTCCCCAGCCACATGGGCTACGTGCCTACATCCCAAATTTCCCATTCCATGCTCACAAGGTGTTGCTGCAATCAGTGCTGCCGGTACCAGTGCTACAATGGATTCGTTGCCAGGCTACAGGCGCCACCGTGATACGGAAGACTGCTGGGAACCGCATTCTCTGCAACGGAGAAAGGGGCTACTCTGCGTGTGTGCTTCGGGTACAGTGCCTCGGGCTGTTGATTGGAACCAACGAACGGCGTGTGGTTGGTGCATTTTAACGGATTGCAGGCGAGGGAGAAGAAGGAAAAGAAAACCAACATACGCAGTGTAACCGTACACAAGGTCATGATGCCGCAGAGGCGGTACTGCTGGTGCTTCGGGTTGTGAGTGCTGTGGTGGCGAGGCTTGGGGCGGTGGCATGCGGGACCAGCGGGAGGGGGAATTCAGGGGCGGTGGTGCCGCAGAGGGGGTGCCGCGGGCCGCTTGGTTGGCAAATGGACGGCTATGGGAGGTCTGTTGCCACTGCTCAGGAGGAGTAGGAGGAAGAGGCCGTTGGGGACTTGGCGGATTACCTGAAGTGTCGAATCTCGAGTGCTGCAACCAGAGCTGATGAGGAAAGCAGGAAAGCCCGAGTGCCAAACCCTTTGGCCCTTGAGCCCGTCTCTCCCGCGGGTTCAACCCCTCGCTCCCTAATCCAGTGCTCTCTCCCTGCTCTCTCCCTCCCACCCCTCCCCTACCTCCCTCCCTCTAACCAGCCCTATGAATGGGCCCCTTGCGGGGGACGTACCAGCCCCATGAACTCCTCGTGCCTGCTTGCACGGAAACGTGTGCTGCAGGCACAAGGCCCTCGGCCGTTTCGTGTACATGTACTTAAAGGTTGATCTGTTAGGCATGGATCGTTCATACCATAGTGAAAACCGCCCATCCCATCAGCACTGGGCACGTAAGCACCATTGGGCCAGATCAGTAGTACGGTGGGGGACCACGTGCGAACCCCTGGTGACGATCTGTTTTGCAGCCCTCACAAACCGATGTTTTGCGGGTTTGGCCGCGTAACTGGGTTGGCGGGAGGCCCCGTTAGGACTGCGTGTCGTACCTGCACCCCTCAGCCAGTCCTATGCGCACATGCCTGGCTGGCGGGTGCTGGTGGCCTCTGCTGTGCGTGCGTGGATGCCTGGATATCCAGGAGGCGGGTCCAGGAGTTAGATCAGCGCATGCATGGGTGGTTGGGTAGGTGGCGCTTTACTTGCGCATGCGCAGGTGGATGGCGAGGGCTCGGGTCCTGCGGCCCTTTCCACCTGCGCAACGCACAGATTCAGCGCATGCATGCATGCGCGGCTATGAGGCTGCGGCTCCCATGCCAAAGCAAGTGCGCTACTGCCCAACACGGATGAGCGTGGTGGGCGCTGGAGCCGGCCCTGAATGCGGCCCCGTACACTGTGGCGGGCGTCTACACTTGAATCGTTCGTGCCTGCTCGCACGGAAACGCGTGCTGGGAGACGCTGCAGGCATAAGGCCCTCGGTCCTGATGTAGAATAGTAATTAATTACACGTACAGCTCTGTATGTCATGTGAGTAGGGTACTGTGAACCATGGGTCACTTCAACGATAAATTCTTGCCACGTCCTGATCCTGGACTAAAGCGCTAAGGTCCTGCTAAAGTGCCGCAGCCCCGTGCAGCTAGCTATAATCACGGCATTTGGTAGCATTGCATCTTGACAAGAACATTAAATTAAACACTGCAGCCTGTCACACGCACGGTCCAAGTGTTAACGGCGCTCGCGCCCCTCTACCGGTATGTGGCCACAGTCAGCCTCTGCCATATCACCAACTTCAGCTGTGAGTGTTCTCCAAGCCAAGAGCGAGTGAAAGAAGAGATGGGAACATACCAGACTTAGGGCCAGAATACACACACACGCACAAACGACTCAACGAGTCTGTAGTAAGACTGAAGAACAAAGCCATTGCATGGGCGCTTAGCACCTGTTTAGCACCCCCGAAGCTCGCCAGTTCACATGTGCAAGCTTCGGGAACATTCGGAAACTGTCAACATTCATCCTACTTCAGGTCCCTGGCGAACCTCGGTAACACACGACGAGGCCCAGCCACGATACCGGTAAGCACGCTTGCGAGGACGATAACATAGGAAAAAGCACCGTCCTACCTAACACAAGGCAGATACCACGTGCTTTGCCGCTGTTATCAGCTTTAAAGTCACGCTTAGTTGAGCATGAATAAGTAAATGGTCGAATGGGCAGACAACCCATCAGCCCCTTACTTACTACTTCGCATAGACATGCATCCGTTACACGTTCACGTCCCAAAGCAAGCAGCTGGTGTTGCAGCGAAAGGCACCACACAGTTTTTAGAATCCCGACATCTCATGTTAAGAAATGCCTTGCATCTGCCCAGATAATCAAGCAACTGAATTGGCCCGTACATTATGTAACCTGCCCGTACATCTCAATGCAAAAGGGTCAGAACCCTGGCTGAGGAAACTCCTCAGGGAAGGTATGAGCATTGGTAGGTGCATTGCGATGGTTAGCTGGTGTGCACGCAGCTGTGTGCACATGGACACACTGTGACGGCCCTAAAAGGATTGCAAGGGAGGCGCGCACAACGTCAAACATCCGACTGCAACATCCGATCCCATCCCTGCATGGACGAGTCACTCCTCTCACTCTCAAACACGAGTTTCTTCTATCTCTTCATCTGTAAGGCAGTCCTAGCATTGAAGCGCCGTAAATAGCAGAATGCGCAGCCTGTAAAACACTTCCTCTCTAAAGCCCTGGGAACCCCGGGGTGAACCCCAATGCAACCACGGCGACTGGTACTCCACCCTACCCGCCGATTAATATGGCTAGTTTCGGTCTACAGACAGCCGTCGTAACCCGCCACTGCATGCACAAATGCAACCATAGTTCATATGTCGAAAGCGACTGCCGGATTCCCCACTCGTATGAATTTTGCAACAGGAAGTATGATCGTGTTTCTCACCCGATCCTAGGTCAACGGGTCCCCTAGAATGCATTAAGGCTGCTGATTGTAATGAATACATCACTCACTTGCACCCGAAGGAGAAACTAAACGACATAATGAATTCGCACTGCAGTGCAACGCTGACCCTTGCTTTGATGCATTGGTGCACCTAGGAAGACACTGGCACATGCATGCAGTTTCTTCGCAGCTCGGCTGCCTTTACCAACATATGAAACCCGTGCACATCCAAGTGCAACCCAATGCCCCAATCAAACCTTGGACCCAGCCACTTTGCCCATCCAATCGGCGAGGCATGACAAGCCGTACTTGCTTCCACCAACTGTCCACTACACTCTCTGCTTTGGCATTCTTGGGGAACTGCCCCGGCGTGGCTGCACACCCTGGAACCCCTTCCCACCTAGCTTGTTAGGCGATATCCGGTCTCCGCCCCCTCCTCCTCCTGCACCAGCTGACGTGGCTGCTGCTCCAACCTCACTTCGCCGCCGCCGCCGCCACTTACCACCGCCGCCCTTTCCAGCAGCAGCTCCGGGCCTGGACGCGGCAGGCTCCAGGATGAGTTTATCGTACGTTCGCAGCACCTGTCGTGTGTGAGCCAGTACGTCCACCTCTGCCGGCACGTGGCTGAGGATGCCAGCCAGTCGTACAGCTTCCCGTTCAATCGCCGTGCGGTAGGGCCGAAGTATGAGCAGGGCGTAAAGGATAAAGAGCACGATGGTGGCGGCCAGCAGAACGGTATGCAGCAGCTTGACGTTGGTGTACCTGGGAGGAGTGTCCAGCATGCCAGTAAAAAGGTGTAGTAGGCAACAGGGCCGTTTCCGTATGGCCAAGCAGGGTCACAGCTAGCGTAACTCCAGGCATGATCACATGACGTGACAAGAAACGATGGGACCTTGACCCTGGCCCTGTACCACCATAGAGTTTCCAGCTTACACGGTCAAGTGCGCTACGGTCAAAGCCTGGTCAAAGCTTACCACCATCCAGCCTACCACTTGTACCCCCGGGGCTTATCAGGCCCTGCAGGCACCCACCTGCTCAGCATGAAGTCCACGAACAGCTGAGCGCTGCTCTGCAGCCCCTCATACAGGTCCTTCACGCCCACCATGTAAATGGTGGTATACCGTGTGCCGTTGTACGTCGCATCCGCATCCGCGTCCTGCACCAGCAGGCTCATCTCCGATATGGTGCGCCGCATCATGACGTCCAGGCCGTGGTGGGTCACCTGGGGGAGGGAGGGGGAGGGGGGAAAAATTATATAAGTGAAACAACGAATCCCAATCCCATATCCCGACTCATGCAGGGGAGGGGGGGGAGGGAGGGAGCGGGAGGGAGGGAGGGATACGGGGAGGGAGCATGCCGTATGACCAGGTAGCTAGCGAGCTCCCAAATGCCACACGCCGCACAGCAATCTACCGAATTTCTTTCCGGACTAGAGTTTTGGCCCATTCCGGGGCCAACATAGCCCCGCTTGTTCCAGCATCAGCCCAGCCGCTCCCGGTTGCCTACCTCATAGTACGGGCTGCCCTCCGTGTAGCACTGGCTCTGGTCCCAGCGGAAGCAGCGCTGCTCCTTGAAGAAGTTGGAGGAGAAGGAGGAGCTCTCGAACGTTGATGATGGCACCGGATGCGTAAACACGCTGCCGTTCTGCGTCAGGGATGCAGGGCACGCATGTGGGCATGGTGGGATAGGAGGTCCAACGCAGCCGTTCTAGAGCCCCTTGCTTTGATCTTCCACCTTGCTTGCGTTCCGATACCCGCGCATGCCGTATGCCCGCATCCGCATAGACCATGCAGACTTCTAGCATGTTGCTTGGGATTGGCAAGCAAGCTAAATGCAACCATGCGCAGAGGATGCTTACAGCAAAACACGGAATTGGATACATGTAAACCTTCGGCCGTGGTTTATGGCCGATGGTTTACGCACATTGGCCGTAAACCATGTTACACACATGCAGGCAAGTACCCGCGTACAAAGAAGGCAATACATGTCGCCACTCAAACACGCACATCCAACAACCTAAACCAAGCCCTGTACGCATGCATGCGCTGTACATACACAGCAGCCAATCAAGCCACCATCACACCTGTGTTATGGCCGTACCGCCGTACAACAGTGTGTCGTACTCGTTCTCCAGGTTGCCTAGCTCGTAGCTCAGCACGGAGCGCCACGAGGCTCGCTCAGTGGCAGAAGCGCTCGTCACCAGCAGCAGAGACAGCATCCTGTCATGGAGAGTAATGCCACCCAATCACGGCCACATGCACGTCGTGCGGCACGTCTCATCTCGTACGGGTTGCCATGATGGGCCGCATTATAATAATTTTAAGATGCACGGATAAGTCACATGGCACGTGCGCTAAATAAATGTCGTAAAAGATGCATTCCAGGACAGCAGGAAGCTTTGACCGTGTACCGTGTCGGTTAGCCATACCGGCTCACCTTACACGGGTGTAGCGGTACAGCACGTGGGATGCCATGTTGAGCGAGGCCAGCGGGCCCTGCATGCCCTCCAGCAGCAGGTAGCTGATGCCGCCGGACGCAACCAGCGCGATCTCCCACAGCACCAGCGGCGCCTGTGCCATCAGATGGGGGCGTATGCATGAGGAAGCAGGTGGTTGACGAAGGCGGGGATGGAGAGCTGCTGGGAGCCCTTGTTAGCGGCGTTAGCTGCCTGATGATGGACCGCATGTCACCGACAAACACACCCAGAATGGTTCATTCCCACCGGGCCCACCCACCATAAACTTGAAGTAGTGCCGCCAACCGGCTGATAGCACCTTGCCGTTAATCGCCAACCGCCCAGCGCTCTGCCACGCAATGAGTGCTGCACTGCGTCGGTTGCCGGATGAGGATGTAGGGCTGCCGGCACCGCCGCCGCTACCACGCAGAAGCTCCATCACGGGAGCGGCTTTCTCCCTTGGATCTGGATCGGCGTCCAACCCGGCAGCAGACACGGGCACGACAGGCCGCGGCGGTGAGTCATCGAACAGCCGGACCCGTGGTTCAGGGCTGCGCTGTTTTCTTGGTCCTGACGGGCTGGATATCCGGACTAGACGCTGCTGCTGCATGTTTGGGTTGCCACCCAAGTCGCTACCAGGATGGCCGGCGCCTTCTCCAGCCTCATCCCCAGCCGTGGTCGCCGGGGTCCTTATCGGCCCGGTATCCATGGAACTTTGGCGATATTCTTGCCGCGGCGCCATCGAAGATGTCGATACGGCCGCTACCGCCTCCACCTTCCTCTCGATGTAGTGAACCTGTGCTTCGCCAGTCTCTATGGACACACGCCGGGGCCGGTCCACAGCCAGTTGAACGCGACGTCGGGGCCGGTCACCACCACCACCAGCGTCCCCTTCCTCCGTCTCCACCCGCGGCCTCATGGGAGCTGCTGCGAACCCCCCGCTGCCTTCTGCACCGACAATATTGCCCTTGCGGCCGTCGACGTCATCGCCATTGCCATACCCTTCAACACCCCCCTCATCAGCGGTGCCGGCAGTGCCCGGGAAGGAGATTCGAATGGGCGCGTACTCCATAGATGACCGTCGCCGGGTGCGCGATTGCCCCTCCCGCAGCGCCTGATCGAGGTCGGCAGCGGAGGTGGCGGCCGTGAGATCGTCGTAACCATCTGTGGAGTGGCGGCGGGAGGTGTGGCCCTCATGTCCGTCTGTGTTGGCTGCCTGGTCCTCGGCCTCCTCGTCCTCGCTGTCCTGTCGGGTTACAGGGGGTGCGAGGCAAGGGCAGGGAAAGGCAGGCGTGAAGATCGGGAATAAGGAAACCGCTGCGAACAGGATTAGGGATGGCGCACAGTTTCAAATTCCTTTCTCCCCCCCTCACCTCTAGCACCACCAGCGGCTTGCTGGCCAGCACCCGGAGGATGGGTCCCGGCAGCCCCAGCCCCGCCAGCAGCCCGCCCCGCCGCCCTAGCTCCACCCGCCGCACGAGCAGCCACTCCCAGCAGATACACGCCAGCTGCACCAGCGCCGCCTCCACCAGCAGCAGGATCACAAGGCCTGGTGAAGAAGGCAGAAAAGGAGGGAGGTGTGCGGGGCGTTGGGAGAGCGCCATGGAAGGGAAGGCCGTGCTCAGTTTCAACCTGGTCATTGGATCTGCATTTGCCCGTTTACCTAATCCGTCCACCGCTCTACCGTGTGCCGTCAATGGCCTGAACCCTCCGCCGCATGAAGGCGGCGGCGGGTTTCTCCCCAGCCGCTCCCTCAATCAGCAATTCAGCATGTGTTTTAATATCGTCTTTTGACGTGCATTCAACCCTCCCACCCTCCCTGCCAAGCCCTGGTCCCTAAAACCCGTCCAAGGCCGCAGGTTCGGGTCGAACGGCCACCCGCCCCCAGCAGCCCTCCACCCAGCAAAAGCCCCGCCCCTCCCACTCACTGCGCTGCAACGTCGTCACGTCCTCCCACGCAGCGCGGGCCACAAGGTCCAGGGACGCGGCGTAGGCGGAAAACAGTGACCAGTGACCGTTGAACAGCAGAAATCTAAAGGAACGAGTAGAGCTGCGGGAAGCAAGGAGGTCAGGGTGTGTGTGGGGTGAAGGTGACCTGCTGAAGGGGGCCGGTGGTGTGTCAGCTTGAGGCTAGGTGAGGCCAAGAGGCCAGGACCAAGAGCACAACAGCTAAGGTTAGGAGGTTGAAGCGTGTGATGGGAAGTAGTAGTCCCCAGCAGTAGGGTGCTTCTGGCCTTTAGTCTGTGTTGGACAGTAAAGCATGGTCGTGGAAGGAAGCGAGGGGTCCCGCCATCCCGCCAACCTGTCCCCTCCTCACCCGATGCGCCCCTCCAGGGCCTTGCCCCAGTACAGCAGCTCCCTGCCCGCTGCTATGAACCGGTTTCCCAGCTGCCACACGCCCGCAGTCAAGTTGGTCCAGCGGGGCTCAGACAGGTCCATGTAGAACTGCACGGAGGGAGGAAGGTGGAGGGGGAGGGACGAAAGGGAGGGCGGGAAAGTGGTAGTAAAGGCAGAGAGCGGGGAAGGAGCCGTACTACGGGGTGTACGAGGGGGACAGAGAGAAGTGGTGAGCGGGAGGTACAAAATGTTGCAGGCGTGGCGTTCCCCCGGGCTTTATAACAACTACGTCTTGCGTAGAGGCTCAACCGCGGCCTCGTGCATGAGGGGCGCGCGTGACGACACCTGCCATGTTGCTGTGATGTCAACATCGCCATCCCTGCGTTTCGGTTACTTCGTCCGACCCGCCTCGTCCCATACCCACACTCCGCTTCATCCCCTGACATCCCGACAGCACACGCAGCATACCCTGTATGACTGCAAGGGATTGGTCCACAGTGCTTGCAGCAGCGGATCACCAACCTCCTCTGGCACCTGCAAACATGCATAGCACCGTACCTCAGTCCAAAACGCAGTAGACCACGACCCCTCTCTTAGAGTACCAGCACTCGAGACTCAATACCCTGCTTTAAAGCCCGGGTCAGTTGAATGATACGGCGCAGCAAGGCACGCTTAAAAGGCAAAACCAGCATTGGATGGGTTTGACCCAACAGTCCACAGCCTACTGCTGCATCCATGGTACACACACTGCAAGTATAGGGCCAAATACTCAGCAGCGAAACACCCGCCCTGCACACCTTTCCCGTGCCCAAGTAGGTACCCTGGTGGTAGCTCTCCAGGTCGTCCAGAGCGGCCCGCATATCAATGACAGTGGAGTTTAGGCTCGGCGTACAGAAACTTACAGGCGCTATGTCGGGCTGCGAGCAGAAGTCCATAACCGTGGCCTTGATGCTGGCAACCTGCGTATGGAGCAAGTGTGTGTTCGTTATTAGCGCCACTCAGCCGCGTTGCACTGACACTGGGCCCGAGTGTGGATGTGTTGCTTGCTTGAGACGAAGAGGATTTGCAACCGAGGTGTCTTTCACTCAACGCTTGTTGCCAGTAGTGTATATAGGAGACAGCAGGTATTGGGATACGGTGCAGCGTGGTATGCGAAGGCTTGCCTATCTTCCACCCCACCCACCCACCTGGCTTTCCTGTCATCCAACCCCTCCACCCCCCTCGCCCACCTGGCACCTGTCCGCCGCTAGCGCCACGCGGTGGAGCTGGTGCACGTGGGTGTACTGGGAGTCTATCAGGCGCATCAACACAACGTAGCAAATCTGTGCAGCATAATGCGGGGTGACCCGAGGGTCGCAGGTGTAGATGTTAGAAGCTATTGAGGATGACGCTGGAATCGTGATGAGCATTCATGGCTGTGACAGTGAAGGGGGTTGGGTCTAGGACGGCTAGGTTGTTTTGAATGTCGTGTGTACACGTCGGGCTAGCTTGCCTTGCCACTGCAGAGAGAGAGCGCTGGGTGTGTGGTACTTACAGCGTGCGTCGCTGCCATGCAGAACAGCAGCAGCAGCGTGCGGAGGAACAGCCGTGCGAGGGGCTCCGAGAGGGAAGGGCCAATTAGCACCTGAGGGGGGCGATGGGGGATCCACATGCGTGTGTGCTCATGATGAAGCGAGACGAAGGCACAGCAGACGCTTTCTCGGGAGGCACCGGAGGAAGAGGTTGAACACCATGCGTGCTAGGCAATGCAACCTTGCGCCTACCGGCTAATACAGCAGCTCCATACTTGCTCCGGCTGACAAGCACCGGACGATCAGGCCCCACGCTATCATGCATATCAATCTGGAAGCTACCGTACGCTACTTTGAATCCGGCACTCAACACCCTCCATTCTTGCCTGCAAACTGGTTTACGTAACCGCCAACCATTGCTCCCGCAGTCCGCCAGCCGGCCCACATTCGCACTTAACATGTTCCCCAGTAATACCTTTTTCATGCGCTTCAGCAGCCGGGCCCGCCTGGCGTCCACATTAACGTCCAACTCCGTGGTGGAAGCGATGTCGGAGAGCGCTTGCCCGGCCGCAGCACCGATACCGTCCTCATCGTCTCCAGCCACACTGCCGGTGTCTCCACCACCCCCGCCACCATCACTGCCGGGCCCTGTGGAATTCATGGCCGTACCCTTGCGTTGGTGAGCTGAATGAAAGAGACCATCTAGGGATTGGGCTTGGTTGGCAACCTATTCAATTTTGAAACCAGCTGGTTTCAGGACCACAGAGGCTTGCAGGTGGTCAGGTGGTGTACTTATGGTCTTCCATCACAATGACCCGCCGCTCAGTGAATGTCCCAATTACCTGAGGGTTCGTCCACGTCCTCATCCGAACGCTTTCTGTCCAGGGCGTGCCAGTTGAAGCCAGTGCTTTCTCCGCGCTTGAACGGAGCTTGCGCAAGGCCCTTGTGGTGCTCATTATTAACCTCATCCAACGCCAAAGTGATAGCCTCAATAGCCCCCGCCGCCTCTCCAGTCCGCAATTGGGGCCCTACCGATATTTGCACTGTCGGTGCATCACCAGCTGGCGGCGATGTCAACTGTGGCGAATTTGCATGTGACCCAAGTTCATGCCCAGAGGCTGACGTCCGCGCCCGCTCGGCTTCCGCCGACACGGGGAGGCTCAACGGGTCAAAGCCGCCGCCAATGACGAACGGGTTGCAGTACAACGGTTGTAGAGCGCTGCCGCCGGCGCTTCCATGACCGGTCAGAGGTGCCGTCACCGCGACCGCTGCTGCCACGTCCGGACTGGTCAAACCATTGGCCCCGCCGTTATCTGTAGTCTGGGTTGAGAGGTAGTGGTGCAGGGCCAGCTGCTGCTGCTGGTGGTGATGATGATGGTGGTGGTGATGGTGGTGCGATCGGTCACCTTCACCTTCTGCTGCCCCGGGTTCAGGGCTTGGAGAGATGCTTTGGCCTGAAGCTCGGCGCTTCAGGCTGCTTCCTTGCCTCACAGCGGGTCCTGCGCCAGCCTCTCCTGGAGTGGCTGCCGCTTGGAGGATCTGTTCCAACGCTGCGGCCATGTGCCTGGCCACTGACTGTACCCACTGCGCCACAAACTCTGACTGATTATGGGTGCGCTGCGAAGGGATGTACGAGGGAAATACGGGATTTCTACCACCAAACTGGCTGTCCCATGTGTTCGAAGCACGTATTTCAGGTAGGTAATAGGAGCATGGGTGCATGCGGCAGGAGGTTACACATGAAAGGCATCAGAGCATTACGCCGTTGAGATGCATAATCGGCGGGGGAGGTAGCGTGGATACATACAATGCTGTAAGCGCGATCTACGAAAACCCACCCAGGCCGCCAGGAGCAACGCGCGTATCTTCCAACCCTGCCATCTTTTTCAAGAGCTTACCCATACCTTACCTTGTACATTTTGGCGGCCTCTGTCTCATTGTTGCGCTGCTCCTCCTCTCGGCCGTCCGCTTCCTCGCCGTCCTTGTCATCGTCACCGTCGCCGTCGGCGCTGCTGCTGCCGCTGCTTACGTTAACACGTGCATGGGGATCCTGGCTGCACGCCTCGTTATCAGCAGGGCCCGAGGAAAGCGAGGGATAAGACTCTGCGTCATGAGGAGCAACAGCTGATCCCTTGCCGCCAAGGGTGCCCCCCGTGCTACTGGCACGGGCCGCTGCACCTGAACCGATGCTATCTACCACTACCACATGGCGATTGGCGGAGTGCTGGTGGTGGATGTGTGACTGCTGGTGCTCTTGATGGTGGTGGTGATGGTGGTGGTGCTGCTGCTGCTGCAGGTGCTCTTGAGCCCATGTCGAGGCGAATGGCGTAGTAAGGGCAGAGGATTGGACTTGCTGCTGCAGTGGCTGCTGCTGCAGTGGCGGCTGTGGGTATGGAGACGACGTCACTGCTGGCGGCTGTTCCTGCTGCTGCTGTTGCTGTTGCTGCTGAGAACCCTGTGTGTTTGTAATCAGAGCTTCAAGTCCCAATGAGCGGTACACGTTTGCGCGCGCCCCAACGTATGCCGTGTCCGGGTGGAGGGTGGCGGTGATGTTGCCACCAGTGCTGCTGCGGACGCCCTAGGGGTTGCCAGAGGGTTTGCATGGAGGAGAGGATTGCCATGCGTCGTGAAAGGTGTCGCAGCAGTGCACATTTGATGAGGTACAATCCGTACAAAGCGACATAGGCAGGGTAAGGACTAGAATGGTCGGTGCATGACGCAGCGTCCTGGCAGCGCACAGTAAGTGCGGGTTTGGAAGGTATCTTAAGAGCGTCCTGCTTGCAACCGAAGCTGCAGAACGTGGAAGAAGGCGAAAGTCACCTTTCAAATGTTAAGCCATTAGCCAGCACGTTGGGCCCACCTGTATCATGATGCGCATGGAGCCGCCGTCCGGGTGTGAGCCCACAAAGGCCTTGGCTGCTGACACCACATTGGCCCCCTTGAGCGCGCTCCTTTCCCGCTTCTTTCTGTTGCCGGCCTTCTTGTCGACCTGCATGCGTCGTCAACAGGCAGGATCAGGGTATTGTGGAGACGAGCAGGACACCCCGGTCCTAACGGTCATTCATTCACCCCGGGTTTGGAACGATGGACGGCAAAGGAGGTCAGGAAGGGCCCTACCATAAGCTCATTCCAGATGGCACCCTTGGGGATGTCTAGAAGCCTGCAATAGGAGGAAAGCATAGCAGGTACGACAGCACCATCATTACTACCAATGGCTTAGATGTGTGAAACCTGACTCGTAAGCATGACCGGCATGTGCGAGCAAGGTTAGTGTTCCAACGAAGACAAACAAGTAAGGACGACTTCGCGTTAAGCCATAACTGGTGCGCCTGGGTAAACCCCATCCTCCTCTCATCCTCCTATCCCCACTCGGGCTCATACCGGTACCTGTGTAGCGGCATGCGCTGCAGCGCAGAGGGAGGCAGACCCACTATGAGCCCAGTGCTGACGTCGGCCTTACGCACGACAAGATGCTCGTCCAGCTCGACCACACCCATCAGCAGATCACGGCGCCATCTGCCGAAAGGGGGGATGGCAAGCAAGGCATTCAGCACACAGCAGCTGATACATGAATGCAGAAGCGACGCACGTATGCCGTTGCAACAACTTCTGCCTGTAACGGACAATAACCCTGCCCCTGCCCACGCGCCCCTTTCCTGCCAGGGACCTACAGGATAATCCTTGCCACGGTCTTCCCATGCAGGTCCTCGCTCATCAACAAATCCCCCTTGCCGCTGGCACCGCCTCCGATGCTGTTGGCCCCGATGCCGTTCGAGGAGTACCGAGCTGGCAACCCCAGCAGCAGTGAATGCCTCCTGGACGCCACACCCTGCTGCGTGCCCGACCCCTCCTGGCCGCCCTCCTCGTCGCCGCCTGCAGCCGCAGCCAGCTTCAGTGCAGAGTCCACATCCACGAGCTCTGCCTGCAGGCAGGCGCTACGGCCGCTTGCGTGACGTTGGTGCGGCATGCGGGGGTCGATCGGCGGCAGGCGGTCCTCACTATCCGGGCTGTGCACCTTCACCCGCCAGCTGGTTCCCGGCATCTCATTCTCCTTATCAAGCAGACTCAGCAGCAGCAGCTGCTGCATCTGGTCACCGCCGGCCTTCTCACGCCATTCCGCAAAGACGTCGATGCAGTCCGCGAGGTAGGTACCCACGGTTGCGCCCGCTGCGAAACCAAACAGCGCGGAGTCGGGCTGGTCCACGGACAGGATCTTGCCGTCCATGGAGCACAACAGCACCAGGCGCTTGTCGTGGTACATGGCGACGGGATTGGAGGCATCCACCTTGGCAACCTGCATCGAAGAGGAATCCAGGCTGCCTGCTTCACTGGCTCCAAGGGCGTATGTTGCAACTACTATCCAACTATAAAACGCATTAGCAACCACAACCACAAGTCAGCAGCCCCTATATATGAGTACCATTTCATACAGCTCTATGTATCGTTCCGAACAGCTCCATCTGCACGATCTACAGATACCTCCAGCAGCCTGTTCTCTTCCGCTCCCGCTTCCCCCACCTGCATCACGTGTTTCACCCGGCCGCCCGACAGAGCCACGTCGTCTTCTTTGGACGTGATCCGCAGCCGTACGGCAACACTCGTGCCGTTGCTGTTGACCAAGTGTACGACACGACCTGCCCGGCAGCTGGTGGGCAGGATGGTGTGCGGCGGGTCCTGCAACCGACAACCAACCAACAATGAGTGGGGGTGAGACACGATGGGTGCTAGCCGCAACAACGGCAAAGTATGGTATGTAGCACCACCATAGCATGTCGCATACAAAACGTCGGCAACAGCAGCTACTTCTATTCCTGCATCTATCAGGGTTGTCGGAAGGGTGACGTTTACTCTAAGGCCTCCTTACCCGTACATAGGTTCCATGCATGGTTGCAATGGGCTCTGGAAGCAGCTGCTCGAGCTTCATTTTGAGGAATTGGCGTAGCGGGTAGCCCAGCAGCGCCGCCACGTCCCAGGTTGCAAAGTTGATAGTGCCCTTGGAGTCAACCACCATGAGGCCGTCCGTGTTGCCGTCGATGCGGTGCGCGTTCAGCACATAGATGCGTTGGGCGTCCGTGCCGCCCGGCGTGACTCGGATCTTGACGGGGATCGGAGGGAGGTACCTTGGAAGAGGGGAAATGGGCGAGGTAGGGGGCTAGGCACGCGTGAGGTATGAGTATGGATGAGGCGGGAATGGATGGCGACATGTAGGTCGTGCAGGAGGACGTTTGCTTTGGGTAATGGACTCCTCTTGTGTTTTTTTTCCTGGAATCTGCCTAAGAAAAAAACACAAGAGCAGTCCATGTTGTGCACGTGTGTGCTGACACATGAAGGCATCCTTCCAAGGCTGTAACTGCTCTGTTATGTGACTTATGTCAGGTCGTGCGTAAGGCTTTATTACACGACAGCAAAAGGCTTACTTGTGCGCCAGTTCGATGCATGTCTCGATGCCTCCCCGGCGTAGCAGCGCGTAGTGGGCGTTACGGCATTTCTCCAAAAGATCGTCCACCGCCGTCATGTCCGTAGCCAGGTTACGGAAATTGCAGTTTACCTGCACAGATGACCCATGGGTCGTCAACAAGGATACGGGGCCGGACAACTGTATCACCTGTATCCGGCACACCACCACGGCACATGCATCTGCGTATAGTCATTGCCGTCCACGCTCCTTGGTAGCCCACAATATGAAGGACGTGACGACAGACCCTTAATTAAAGCCAACCCGCAACCCACCATCTCCTCTCCCTGCATGCCAGTCAGACTGGCGAATTGCGGATCAGCGCACAGAATGGCGCCGGTGGGTGAAACCCAGATCCGGACGTTGTGCGCGTCTAGCTGCGCAGGCCGCAGCAGGCCCAGAAACACCGAATCGCTGCAGCGGGAGGGGCGGCGGGGAGGGCTCAGGAAAGGCATGGCAACATCAGACCTCGAGATGCCAGGCACCCAGAGCCCGTGTGCCGTATATCTTGGGCTGATGCCCTCGCCAAGCCATCTGCCGGCCACGTGCGCACAGCGATACACAGCAATGCACTGGTACTACACGGCATGTCAGAGCCTTACGTGCCAATGCCCGACAGCTTGGTGACGCACAGCTGCAGCGGGAAGACGTAGCGCTCCTTGTGCAACGCCACCACGTCACGAACCGTGTCCAGGATTTGTGGCACACCGCCCTGGGAGCAGGGGGTGCAGGAGAGGAAAGGAGGAGGCGGAGGGTGGCGGCACGGTGTGACTTGGCAATGGAACAGCAGGGGCTGCTGGCGGGGAAAGCAGGGATTGGCTAGATAAGCAGGGTCCCGCGGCAGAGGACTTTACTGCGCCAGGTAACAGCCCCCCCTCCTCCGAAACACCCTGTCTTTGTTCCCCTCCGCGCCTTTCTATTCTGCTCCTCCTGCTCCCACATCCCCCTTACCTGCACATAGTGAGCCAGGTAGGAGCTGTGGCGCCCCGCAAAGGGCTGCGGCATGATCATGCTCACGTTGGCACCCTGTGGCGGAGGACAGGACAGGGAGACGGGGGCAAGCAGCCCAGGGGTGGAGGGAAGTAGGAATGAGGCAAGCAGGGTGTAATGACCGGAGCAATGGCAGCCAGCCATTAGCTGTGCTAAGACTCAAGTAACACGGAAACCGAGGAGTACAGCAGCCCCTTGCTTTTACAATCGTTTACCCCAATGGCCCAAGGTGGAAAGGTATGCGGTCTAGCAAGATATGTTCCCGGCTCGCTCCACTGCCTGCTCCCACCTCACCTCCAGCTCAGACCGCGAGTAGCCCAGCAGGTCCGTGACGCACTGCAAGGGGGGCGGAGGGGGGGGCGGCGGGGGGAAGGGGAAGGAGTTGTGAGAGCGCCTATCACCTATATGGCAAGTGGTGGTTTCTGGGGTTCGTGCCCCCTAGCATACATCGCACGGATAGCACCATATACCGGTAGCCCTGTTCCTCCCTCCCTCCCTTTCTCCCTCCCTTACCGCGTTAACCATGAGGATGGTTCCCTCGGCATTGATCACGATGCATGCATCCTCGTGCAGGTCCATGGTCGTCAGGAACTCGGGCTTGTCGGGCCCGGTGACCTGTGAGGATCCCAGGACGGAGGCGGTGGTGGGTTAGAAACGAACAGAGGAGGGAGGGAAGGGCCTCAGGTCAGACGTCGAAGGGCGAGAGGGAAGGAAACACCAGGTAAGGCGGCTCTTGGGAGGCGGGCTTGGAGGGCTGCTGCTGCATCAGGAGTAGGGAACTGGTTCGCCGTCCACCCAGCTCGCCACTTGCCTAGCACCTTCAGTGTACACAGGACCAACCAGGTCTCATCACGTGTCCGCAAGCACACCCTTCCCTCACCAGACCCGCAAGTCCCTTCCACCTACTACTACCACCCGTAGATCCTGTCAGCCACCGCCACCCCACACCCGCCCCCCACCGGCCCCAACCTGCAGGTCTAGCGACAGCAGTCCATCGCTACCCCCATTCCTCGCCGCCTCAACATATGCCCTGCCCGCCGCCGCCGGGTCGTTCTTCACGTCCTCCAGGAACTTGCCGTAGCAGCGCAGCAGCTTGCCGTTGCTGGGGTAGCGCTCCAGCACGCGCAGGTACACCTGCTGTGCCGCCTGAGTGGCGCGATCCATGGCCTTCAACGCCTCCTCCACCGCCGACATGCGCACGGCCGAGCGCTGCAGCAGCTGCCAGAACTCGCGTTGCGCGGTGAGCGCCGCCTTGTGCACGCGGATGACGGCGCGGTAGTTGCGCTTGAACTCCACGTAGCTCTGCAGGTCCAGCGCGCCCTCCTGGCCGTCCTTCAGCCGCTTGCTGTTTTCTACCGTGCTAAAAATCTGATATCGCTGAACCAGGCTGCGAGCGGATGGAACGGGGGCGGGGGCCGGCAGGAGCTGAAAGGATGGGGACGTAAGGAGGTAGCCTGTACGGGGCCCCGTGCACCCTTGACGCGCTTACCCAAAGCCGCCGGATACAGAGCCATGGATACGGGACCACAGATAGGCTATGCAGCGAAGATGTCTCGAAACCATTCCCCCTCCTGGCCCCCTCACCTGGGCCCCCCCTTGAGTGCCAGCTGCAGGTGTGTTCGTGCCGCGGGTCCATCCCCGCGCACCTCCATCAGATAGTTGGCGTACAGCACCAGCAGACCCACGTGGCCGGGGAACACAGCCATGCCGGCCTGGGGGAGCGGGCGGGGGCGATGGGGCACTAGGTCAACTGGCTGGGATAAGTACTGACGGGGTGGGGTTACAAAAGCGGGGAGGGCATGTCGAAGGTGTGCGTCGAGGAGGGTCGAGTGAGGGCTGAGGAGGAGAGGTACAAGGAGCGCACATGCCAGCGTTGCGTGACATCTGACATGTATTGTTCACCCCCATCCTCTTCCCCCCCCGCGCGACCCAACGTGTCCCACCTTGATGATCACGCCCCCCAGCAGCGCGCGCTCCTCCAGCACCACTCCATCCGAGTTGAAGCGCCGCATGCTGCGAGCAATGACCTCCACATCCTCTACGCGCAGCGAATGCACACACACAGTTTCCTTAATACACAAGTGGTTTCTCCTCGTATACACAAGTAGTGGTCGATAGCTATGGTCGGTACCGTCATGCGGCTCAGTTAACACAGCACGCATGTGTTAGCACCCGTGCACTCGCTCACTGCTGCCCGCATGCGGTTCAACCACCCCATGCACCAGCACCCCCTGAACCCCTCCGTTCTAGCAGGCTTCTCAGGGGTTACCTCCCAGAGGCTCACCTGGGGACCAGAACTTGTGGACCTTCCGAAGCACAACCTTGTCCGGCTCTATCTCGAGGAACTTGGCCGCAGGTCGCAGCCGGTTGTGTGCCCAAAGAGCGGTCACGCCGGCCCCGAACAGAGCAGCAGGGAAGACGCCGTACAGCACAATCTGCACGAAACGTTTGAAGCGAGAGGGTTAAGGGGAGCACTTAACGGCTGGCGATGTCGTTCATTCCCCTGGGGGATTCCTAAGCAGCTGGCTGCGGCTTGGAAGACAAAGACGCAATACGGAGAGCGAGGAGCAACTCCATCTCAGGCGACATTGTTCCTACGTACTAGCCGAACCCCGAGCTGCTGCTGCGCGGTCCTCCGTGCTCACGTGCATGTAGCGGCGGCCTACGTGCGGGTCATCGTCCGGGTTGTGAAAGTCCATGACCATGTGGACGCAGCTGAGGAATGAGACAAAGCGGGAGGCACAACAGTTGTGAGAAGTTGGGTAAACAGAGGAAGGGAAGAGAGAAGAGGGCGACCTAAAACGCCATGCCGAACGTCCGTTTGAACGTCCAGTTGAACTGGACGCAATTACGTCTGCCATACATGTGGAGTATGCCTTCCAGGCGTAGCAAGTCATACGTGATCCTTACAGACCCGTGGGTCACATGACATTCCGGTAGACGCCTCTACTGTCATACAACCTAGACAACCACCTCCTTTGCACCGGTTTCAAACCTACCCCAGGTATGTCACGGCGAACCAGCCTGCCGTCCAGGCGTAGTTGACGTACATGCGGAGGAAGGGCAGCTGCAAGCAGCAGTATCACAGATACACAGCATGGTGGGGCATGGGGTGAGAGTTGGAAGGAGGCAGCACGTCAGGAGCCGAAAGAACCGCTACCACGGCTGCTGCCTGGCAAGCACCTAAGAATGCGGATTAAAGCGCATGCAAACGCGCCTTAGCTGAGGGTTTCCCTCCCCTTGCAGGGCTGGTACCCATGGGGGGGAGGACTGCTGCATGTAAACGGCAACGCAATGTATGTCCACGTTTCAAGGTAATGTCGGTTTGCAAATGAATGCAATGAGTACTTAGGAGACCAGTAGTGGTGAATAATTCATGTATTCCGCCTACCGTCTTGATGTTGAAGTAGGTGATGAGGAACACAGACACAAACATGAGCACGGATTGCAGCTTGCCCAGCGACACCAGCGTCACGGCGGCGATGACGTAGAAGGCCTGCGGGCGCGAGCACGGGAAGCCATACAGCCGCGGGAAGCCCAGCGGAACCCAGCGGAAAGTGCAAAGGTCCTTTATTTTCCCAAACCGGTGTATGAAGGCAAGGGTATGCTATCGCCCAGCCATCATTCCTGCTGAGCTCACATTTCACTTTTGGTTTATGCGTCTTCCCCTTATTACCGGTACTTGCACCAGGGCCCCGCCCTACCTTGAGCACCAACACCTTGAGTCGTGTTGCGGCCGCGGGTGAGGCCGTGATCCCCCGCGCCAACGGGCTTAACTCACAACCGGCAACCAACTGTTGTGTACGGCACACACCGCGGGGGGGGTTGCATGCGGGACACACATGCACACGGTCATCAGTGGGCACGCTTTCTTGACATAGGGTAAGCCGGCGGTCACGTCCTTCACATCCCTCTAATTGGCTGTACAGACTGTTGTACAGCAGCAGGTTGCAAAGAAACCCCTTCTTCCTCGTCCTTCCTCTGTCCAATCATTCTCTCCCGCCCGCCCCCTGCTGCTGCCCAACCGCTGCACCCTGCTCCCCAACACGCCACCGCCACCGCCCCGCCAGCCGGCCCACCATGAGGCCGGTTGTCACGAAGAACACCACCGCCGTCACGCCCGCGGCTACAAGGTGAGCTAGGTGCTTGCCGGACAGGCACTCTAGCGGAATAGAGGAGCGAGGGTGGGAGGTGGGAGGGCGGGGGAAGGGGCAGGAGAGGATGCGGGTGGGCCAGGGAGCGAGCAGGTAGCGGAGGTTCATGAGATTGGGGCAAGATATGAGTTAGGATGGGTGGCAGATAGGAGACACGTTAAGAAGGGCCATCACCATGATCATCATACATCTGAGCGACGGGGGCAGTGGGGGGCCGCCGGGGTTGCCAAATAAGGACAGCGCAATGCTTGCTCCCTGGGGGAACCCTATGGGCGACGACGGGTGGGAAGGGGGATATCAGCCATTCCATACCCCGTAATTCCAATCCCATTCACTAACCGGTTAGCGCAACTGCCATTTCCGTACGGAGGCTGTACAACAAAACGCCCAACTTACTAACATCCGGCCAGTAGTCATGATATGCTCCGCCTTTCGCCCCGTAGTGGCAGCTGAAGAGGAAAGCGATGAAGTCGAATATGGCCACATACAACATGCCGAACATTGCATCCGTGAAGATTTGGAGCAGCCGTGCAAACTTCTTAAGCCACTTGGAGTTTTCCTGCTTAGGATAGGCATTGGATACTTGTAAGCGGGAGCAAGTCGCGCCATGTTGTCCAACTGCCGTCAACATACGCCCCACAGTGAGTGCAATATGTACAGGGTATGCTTGTGTATGCTCAGCTAAGCACCCGTGTCCGCATATGGTATGGGCCCGCCTTGTCCGCGGCCAAGCGTGCACATGTGACACAGAGTGGTGCATGGGATGGCGTGATGAATTGCCCTGCGTGCACGCAAGCTATTGGCACCACCACTGTCGTGCAGACTTCGTTTTACGGCACCATGCACGGCCCCGTACAGCACCGCACGGCATTATTGCCCCGATGACATCGCCATCAACCCCACCTGCTTCCGCATTGCTAGGGTGAGCGCTGCGATGGCTGCTACCACTCCGAATATCAGCGCAACGAGAAAATAAAATATCCCCATATAGGTGTCGTAGCCCTGCGAAGCAACAAGCCAAACCGTGTGGAGCGACAGGTGGCACATCCAACTAACCCGGGGGAGTCAAGATGCATTGCCCTACGCTGTTTTCAGCACGGCCCTGGCAGCAACGAACGGCCATGCATTGCATGAACACTGGGCCAGCAACAGCTTCGAAAGCGCTCCCCGGCAGACGCAGTTTCAAGTGCTCACCCAGATTTTTGTGATGGGCACCCGTGGCAACAGCCAGCGCACGACTTGCCACAGCGGGTTGGAGGTGTCAATGGGCCAGTGGTTGGGGTTGAAGACCACGAGGAAGGGTATGAGCGCCTCTAGGAGGATCTTGGTGGTCGCCAATTTCCAATTGTCTGCGCGCTTGTTTTTGGCGAGCAGGTACCTGGTATCCGGATGGTTGCAGTCAGTGGGGAGGAGGGGGAAGAGGAGGAGGGAGTAGGGATTTGAGCATGCGTGTGTTCAGAAAGCTGACCGCGAGTCGCGTGTTGTGTGAATGTGTGTGTATGGTTGTGGATGCACGTTAGGGAGACACAACGGTGGCATGAAGGTACTGCCCGTGGTGGTGCTGCTGTCCGTGGTTTAGGGTACGAAATAGACCTTGCTTGAAGGAAAGGTGGTCTTTGATGACAATGCTCGAAACCACAAGAATCAAGGTTCGCGCCAGAAATGACGCAAGAAACGGCCCCCAAAGAGTGGGTTAGCTTGTGCCCCTGAAGCCATTATGGGTCAAGTCTGCTCTCACATGCTTGTAAAGACCGCTTCTTGCAGCGTTTTGTTTTGCTCCAAAAGATCCTCCTCCTCTTCCTGATTCATTCCTGCTGCATGCCTGCACGCGCCAGATAGGAGAGGCCTTTCATGGTAAAAGGTAAAAAGGTAAAAGCGACCGAACGCGCTGCTGAAGTGAGCGGTTACCGGTTAAAGGGATTTTCCAATTGCAGTGAAACCATACATTAGGCCGCGGTAAGGGGCGAGCTTCGCGAAAAAGGAATACGCACCCACATCGAAGCGAAGGCACAGCAGACCCGGAACTACACCACTAATCCATAAACCCAGCGCATTTAATACATGTCTCCAACATATCCGCATGAATCATATGGCCGCCAAGAAATATACATAAAGGACGGGCTTCAATCGCAACAAGTTCACCCGCCTACCGCTTGTGAAGTCGCTCCATAGCATCCGCAGCTGACGACGTTTCAGACATCCCCCCAGAGCGCTCAGAGCCTGCATCTGAGCGTGCCATTTTGGACGCTTGCGTATTTCCTTCAGAACGCCATTGTCGGTCACTGCCAGTGTAAGCTCAAGGAACTATCGGAATAGCACATATAATATGCTTACGCCGAAATAACTTTCATTGGGTTAAGGTATTGAAAGGGGCGCGCTATGGCCAACGGCAAGCGGTATCAACGGTATACGCTTCACCCTAAGGTTTTTTAGCTGCAGTTGACACGTACTAAAAGGCCTGGTTGCGCTTAGTCCTTTGCAAGTGCTTAAGCGTACAACGAAAGACCGTTAATCAGCAATTTATGCAAGTCAGACACCACTGGACTGTCCTATGGATTCCCGTTAGACCATTACTGCTAGACATGGGAAGCAAATAGGTTTATTATGCAGCCGTGAAATAAACAAACGCGCTCCTTTTGCAGTACATGTAGAGAAGCGTCCCGTTGAAATGTCCACTATTCATTAAAGAACTAGTGTACAAGCCCTACACACTTCAAGACTGTTTACATAAGCGTGGAGTAGAACAGGTGTCTGTAACACATTTGGGTGTATACCGTGGCCTGGAATTACGTTGTTATTGGTTAGGCCCTTTTACCCTTCCGACGTGAAGCACACAGCCCAACGGGAACCTCCAAGAGGATCGTGCCCGAGGGATAGGACTCTGAGCTGGTCGGGTGTAAACGACCGTTGACCCAATGGTCGGTGGAAAGATAGAGTAACAGGGCAGCAGAAAGAGTAACAGGGCAACAATCAGCATGCAAACGTTTATGCCGAAGTTGCAAATAAAAGGTCGGTTAAAAAGGGGCAGTAAAAGCGCAAGCTCCTACAGCCGTCGCAGAAGTACGGCGTTACTGCCGCACGAAAAGCGACCTTTTTTACGGGTAAGCCGTAATCGGAATGGAACTGCTTTCGGTTGGCCTTTGATGTAGATGGCTTGGGTCTACGCATTCCCATATGAGGACAGGGTATGTTCATTACAGTTGTTGTGATGGTCCACTTGCACTATCTGATTGACGGTAGTTCACTGCGTTCAGGATAGGAAACACGCTGAGGACACAGGTGTTTCTGACAAGTGTCTTGCCAAACAATTTGTGGCGTCTTCCAAGTTTTGAACAATGCCGTACGTCATCTGTGATTGCGATGGCCTGTACGACATCTTCCCTCCCACTGGCTCCGCCTACAATGGGCTCCGCCAGTTTAACCGGTAGTTTTCACTACCTCCTTCCATGGACGATTGTGATTAATATCACATCAATGGTTTAGGCGCAGGTGCCATGTGTGGCATCACCTGGGATAACGTTTCGACACTTGCTTCCAGCCCATCTGACGGGAATGCAGTGTGTGCAGGGCAAGGACACAGAGACATTCGGGCGTGCGTGCAGCGTTGGGCATCTGCAAGGCTGCTGTGCAACATTCAGTAGACATGTGCGCCTTTGTTTGCTGCCTGATTGACGCCGCTTCAGAGCATGCATGGGCGGGAACACGATGGGAACACGGTAATAACATGCAGTGTGTTCCGGGGTTTTAGGAATCAGTAGCTAACTAATGGTTTAAGCTTTCTCACCGTATCATCATTACAACTTATCATTCGTAGGCATTTGAGGTGTTTGGAAGGTGGGAACACGGAACATGCTCCTCGCTGGACAGCCGGTACATTAATGGGAACAAGGAACACGGATCCCTACCGGGCTGCCGGTCGGGTCGCTTACTGTGTGCCCAGGCATGTGACCATGACACCAAAGTCCTATCCGAAGTATAGGATTACGGGCCTAAGCACTAAAGACCCGGCAATCGTTAACATGTACTTACTGGTTGCAGCAGGCGCCAAGGAGCCTGCTGGGGGCAGCTTCAGCAATCCTAAGTGTAAACATGAACTCCTTGCAGGCCACATGGAAACCGGTTACCCGAGGAGTCAACCTATGCGACACATTCATACATTCAAAGCCGGTGCAACCGTTGCTTACACTGCAAGCAAAGGTCAGCAATGCGAGTTGCTAATTCGAGATGGTCTCTTTCTACGCCTCCTTCACACCGAAGCAGAACCATGGCTGGGTCGGTCTGCATGTGCTGTCGTCCATCGTACGCTGTACGACACGATTGTATGGGTCTGCAACCCTAAGATAACGGGAGGCCCCACGAAGCGAAATCCACAAACTTCACTAAGATGCGCTACCAGCAGCTGCACATGCAGATAGAATCGCGTTGAATGGACGTCATCTACCACATTTGCGCGAACAGACAAGCCCTCAAAAGCGCAACTGTTGACCGCTCCGAACACCGAGGGAGCCGACCTACTTGGCGAGTGTGAAGGAGGATGGCAAGCAGAATCGTAAAACGTTGAACAAGACTCGTGTTGCCTTGTTCAATCGTAGCAAGGCATCAACGATAACTAGAGCCAAAGAATGTGCACCGAAATCGACACGTGAGCACGCGGCATACTACAGAACGAGCGCACAAGCACAATCCGAACGGGAGATTCAAACAGCACAACCGAAGATATGGCACAAACGCGGGTCCGAACAGTCCTTCCTCACATTGCCTCGCAAGCAAGTTGCGGCAGATTATGAAGTCCTGGATGTATCAGGTGCTCAAGAAGGCCAGAACCTCCATGTTAGCTTTCCCCAGGGGTTTGCGGGCACTGCAAGACTTAAGGCGTACGACGGGAGCTACGACACAGCATTACGACCCAGTATCAACACACGGCCGTACATCCAACCAGACGTTTCTACAAATACAAAAGCGTACTAAACAATCCGCATTCATACGCCACTTGCAGCAACGACACACGACTACTGCTACTACTGTACAACAGCGCCTTTCGGGGATAAGTTACATCCACGCTTACAGTCAAGCACACGCCCCTTCCTCGTATCTTTCGCAACGCATCTTTCACACCGCCACTGGACTACTCCACCCACCACTCCGCCCATTTGCGGCTCCACCAAGCAAATCCGCCCCCCCACCACCACTCCTCCATCACAGACCGCCACCGGCTATCAATTACCTCCTTGCCGGCATCCCTACCTAGCTAGGTAAAGCCCCAAACCCGGCACCATAATCTCTCCTGGACCCCCGCCTCCGCCCCGTCACCCCTGCCCCTGCGCTGCTGCTCACACCTCGAAGCCCGCAGCCGCCAGGTACTCGCGGTAGATGTCGGGCTGCGGCCCCGCGCCGCCGTTGCCGCCCAGCCCGATGGGGGCGCGCAGGATGTGGTCGGGGATGGCGAACGCGTCCACCTGCCGGAGAGGTGGCAGGTGGGGGCGGGGTAGGGGGGAATAAACCGACACATGCAGTAAGCGCATACGGGTGAGGTGGGGGTGGGGGAGAGCGGAGAGGGAGCGAGGGAATGAGCTGAGTGACGTCCAGGATGCAATACGAATGGAGTCACCGCCTGGAGGACGGGGCAGGTCCCAATGCATTACCCGACTCACACACGACTCACATGACTTAGCATGTCCCCCCCCCCTAATCCCCCTCCCATCCCCTCCCTCCCTGCCCTACCAGGTTCAGCGCCTGCCCGCGCAGCTCCGAGCACAGCGCCACCACCAGACGGCTGATGGCCTTGGCCTTGGCGGGCGCGATGTACTCGTCGTTTCTGGGGGAGGGGAGGGGCAGGGGCAGGGGAGTGAAAGAGGGGCAGGGGGGTGGTGAATCCTGATGAGGGGAAATGATGTTGGGGGAACGAAACGTACGGCTCAAGACAATACAGCCTGATGGTCAAGACGGAGTGCATGATACCCAGCGGCCACATCGCGCAGGTGATAACATTGCATGATGCAATCACGGCGGCCCCTCTGACGGGGCCCCTAAGCTTGCCGACCGCAACTCCCCATGCGTCCGCGCCTTGGTGCGGTTTCCCCTGCTCCTTAAAGCCCCCTCTCCCACGCCCCCCGCACCTGAACATCATGTCCCCCTCGATGAGCCGCAGCGCAAACAGGTCCGACATGGCCTTCAGCGAGCGGCGGCACTCGGGGTCCACGCAGCCGGCAACCGCGCGAAGGAACGTCCTGGTGGGCGGGGGGAAGGGGGGGGGGGAGTAGGGGGGAGGGGGAGTAGGGGGGAAGGGGGAAGGGGAAGTTAGGCCGAGACTGTGTTTGAGCCACGCAAAATGATGACAGTGATCGTAGCACACAAAAGAAACGACGTCCCAGGTAGCGGGGCAGGAGGAGCGAGGTGGGAGGAGGACCACACGCACATTCCAAGTACTCACGTGAGCGAACATCTCACTTGCCGCCCCCCCTTCTCTCCCCTCACTTGCCGCCCCCCCTCCCCTCACTTGTAGATGACGCTCTCCACGTACGCCCGAGCCAGGCTGAGCACGTGGTCCAGGCACTTGTTCCAGGCGTGGAAGGAGCCCAGCTTGGGGCCGTGCTTGCGCAGCCGCAGCGACAGCGTGAACAGCATGCGGGCAGTCCTGGTGGGGGGGGAGAAGAAGGCGGGTGAATGGAGCATGAGCATAGCGGGTCTTGTTTGTACCAGGCATGTACTGTGAACCATGACGAACGAGTAGGACGAAGAGGCTAGCAGGAAGAACAGGTGTGTGTGCTGTCCCTCTTCCTTTCCAACCCACCTCTTCTCTTCCACCCCCACCACCTCACGGCTCGGCTATGTGTTTCATACCCTTTCATTGTTCCACCATCCCCCCCCCACACCCACACCCGCACCTGTTGCTTGCGGCACAACCCCCTCCCCCCACCACCCGCCCACCCCACCCACCCACCTGTACTCGAGCGCCTTGGCCAGGAATGCGGGGTCGCGCAGGTGCCGCGGCTCCGTGTCGTGCGTCACCAGCGGGTTGTTGGGCAGCGCGCCCAGCAGCGCCGAGCGCAGGTAGTGGTAGCTGGCGGTCAGCGGGGCGCCCGAGAACTGCTGGCGGTACTCCTTCAGGAGCATGGCGGACACCTGGGGGGGGAGTTGGGGAGGGGGGGAGGGCGGGGAGGGGGAGAAGGGGAGGGAGAGTGATGCAAATGGTGCCATACCCGATGTGCATGGGTAAAGGAAGGAAGCTTACAAGCTGTATGACGAGGCACGGGTAGGGGGTGGGGGTGAGTGCTGAGGTGGTGGTGTGACCCAGCAAACGTTGACAGCACACCCTGTTCCTTCGTCCCCCCTACTCCTTGTTCCCTTGTTCACACACTTCCCCACTCCCCTTCCATCCTGCCCTTCCTCCTCCTCCCCAACCCAGTTCGTCAGTTTTCCTTGTTCCTCCCCCCCACTCCCCCACCTGCTGCAGCAGCACCGTGTTGTCGCCCTCAAAGGTCTGGAAGATGTCGTGGTCGGAGCGCAGCGCCCCCAGCCGGTTCACCGCCGCGTACCCGTGGCCGCCGCACGCCTCGCGGCAGGTGGACAGCGCCGACTGGGTGTAGCCGGTGGTGTAGGCCTTCAGGCCGGCAGACAGAGCGTGAACCTGGGGGGTGGGTTGGGGGGGGAAGGGGGGGCGCGGAGGCGTCGACATGCGGTTGATGGCGTCTGGCACATCATACCCGGAGCGTTTCAAATCGCATCACCTCCCCAAAGGTCCCTCCCTCCTCAACTACCCCTCCCCAACCCCCTTCCACACACCATCTCTACCTGCACCCAACTTTCTCCACGGCCCTACACGCACCGGAACGGAACCCTCTTCCACCACTTCGCTCCCTCCCGCCCCCGCCTCCCCTCCCCCCCCCACCTCCTCCACCAGCTTGGGCTCCCTCGTGCGCTTCATGTCCACATACTTATCCACCAGCAGCCCCCGCGCAAAGTGCAGTCCGTAGCAGGTGGCCAGCAGCGGCATCAGCCGCAGCTGCGTGGACTGGTAGTCCAGGATGGCGACCTCGGGACAGTCGGGCGGACCAAACTGCTGGCGCAGGGCGGCGTAGCGCACCGCAATGGTGACAGCACCCTGGAGAGGGGGAGGAAGGGGGGAGGGGAAAGGGAAAGAAGGATGGCCAGTGTGTTGAATGGGAATGGCTAACAAGACGACGAGCTCTCTCCACCCCCCTCTCGTTGCTTCACTTGTAAAATCTTCCCTTCTTCCCCCCTCTCCTCCCAATTCCCGCCCCCACCCCCGCCCCCACCTTGAGCACGCCCACGCTGCCCGCCGTCAGCCCCACCCGGCCGCCCGTCAGCTCACCCAGCGTGGCAGCAAACCTGGGGGGGGAGGGAGGGAGGGAGGGAGGGAGGGAGGGAGGGTGAGAGGGAGGCGACCGGCATGCAACCTTGTCCACGGTACGAAAGAACCCCATCATACACCGTCCCCTCGCTGTCTCCCATCTCCTCCCCCCGGCTGACACCCCTGTCACAAAAGCCACCTTTCCTTTCCCACTCCCTCCAGTATGGGTCGGGTGGTGATCCGGGCATTGGGAAATTCGTCACCCCACCACCCTTCTCCCCCCTCGTGCCCCCATCTTCCCCTCCTTTCCCCCCCCACCTCCTGGCCTGACTGGTGAGCGGGCTGCTGTATCGGCCGCTCTTGTCCACCGAGGCGAAGCGGTCCAGCAGGTTCACTCGCGGGATGCGCACGTGCGTGAAGCGAATGGCGCCGTTGTCAACACCGTTGAGACCCACCTGAGGGCGGGGGAGGGGGCGGGAGGAAGAGAAGGGGAAGGGGAAATGCGGGGGGAAGGAGACTTGAAGCGGTGAGATCTGCTTTAAGGGGTGGTTACGCGGAATCGTCGGTGCGAGGCTCCTCTTCTGGCCGCCTCATTGCCCCCATTGATTTGCCCTAATTCGTGGTTTTCCTTGGTTTGGTCTTTCCTTACCCCCCTCCCCCTCACCTTGTACCCACAGTCCCTGATCTCCACGCCTCGCAGCAGGTTGCCGTTGGGGTCGCGCAGCGGCACCACAAAGGCGTGCACACCTGCGGGGGGAGGGGGGCGGCAGCGGGGGGAGGCGGGAAAGAATGAAACAGGGAGGGAGGAAGCAGGGGAGGGAAACGTGCGGGGCAGAACGGCACGGGAGGGAGGGACAGGAAAGGCCACATGTGTGCTTGGAATGCATGCAGCCTGGACTGGTGCGGTACCAAACAGCGACGGCATAGAGACCCGAGTGCCGAACAGGATTGGACACAGCTCTGCTTCCCTGCATGACCCAAATCACAACATTGGCAACACTGGCAGCAACCGAATCCGCCAACCCACCGCCCCCGAAGAGGGGAAGAGGGCAAGCGTCTTATCCCCTACCGACTTGCGTCACAAGCTAACATCCCCATGCAGGTCCCCCCGGCGTCCCACCCACCGTGGTCTACCAGCTTGGAGCCTCCGTTGGGGTCCGGGACCTTGAGCCTGCGGAGGAGGAGAAGAGGGGAACAGAAGCATACCCAATGTGTTGATGGCAAACCAGAGGGAAACCGTCGTACACGCTGGCCATGTGCCGCGGTGGTACATGCCAGCCCTATTCTCTATACTTGACATCTCTGTGGCCCTATGTGGCCCTCCAGCGCCCCCCCCCCCGCCCCACACCTACTCCACCCACCCCACCTGGCAAACACGGTAGCCGCGCGCCCGTCCTCCGCCGCGTTGCCAATCCACCACTTGATGGCCCCCTCCTCCGGCGTGTGCACCACCCACTCGTCACTCAGCACGTCAAGCACCGCCTCCGTCTGCAGAGCCGCCACGTTGCTGCCTGGAGGGGGGGGGAAGAGGAGGGGAAACACATGGGGAGGGGGGGAAGGGGTCCGGGTGGGGAGCAGAGGAGGGGTGGGTCAAGAGAGATAAGGGGGAGGTAGGACAGGAGGTGGGCACGTAAATGGAGTGTTTAGGAATGCTGGGATAGTTTATTCGGACGCCCAGGGCCAAACAATTAGACCCTAAGCAGAACACGTGTGCTGTTGCAGGGCTGAGACATCCTGACAAGTGACAAAGGGTTCAGCAACATGGCAGGGAGACCCACATTCTCCCATTTACTCCTTGACTCGTATTCCAATCCACAACCACTAAACGCCCCGACCCACATCACAATCCACATCCCGCTTTACGCCCCGACCCACATCACAATCCACATCCCGCTTTACGCCCCGACCCACATCCCGATCCAGACCCCAGGTCTCCCCGCACGCAGCCCCCCTCCCCCACCGTGCTTGAGCTCCGTCATGGCGAAGCAGCCCGGCAGGCGGAACTGCGCAATGTCGTCAAAGTAGCGGCGGCGGTGCGCCTCGCTGCCCAGGTTGAGCACCGACCCGCCCCACAGACTGTACTGCACGCCGCTCTTTACCTGCAGGGGTGGGGGCGGGAAGGGGGGGTGGGGTGGGTGGTAGGGATAGAGGAGGATTAGGAACGTGGGGGAACAACGGATCATGGCGCAGACAGATGGCGGAGACAGAGGGAAAGATGAGGCTGCTGCTGCTACAGGCAGCAGGAGCGGCATGGTACTGACTACGTCGCGCAGAGAAGCGGAGACCGTCACGTACAGCCGTTGCTGTGGCCGCTTGACGACGGCCCTTTTCCCGCCATCACCAACTATACCCTGCTATCACCAACTACACCCTGGTACGGCGGCAAGCAAGCGACCCACATACGGAAAACCCTTCGCGTACCATGAGCGAGAGGTCGACCATGGAGAGGCACTCTCCGAGGTAGAAGTACTTGCGAGGGTCGCGAGCCAGCATCTCGAGAGGACTGTAGCCGGCCTGTTGAGGGGAAATGGGTGGGCGCGCAGCAGCAGCAGGTGAGCTTGGGGGGCAGAGGGAAACCGCGCGAGTAAAACTGTGTCCTATCCTTGCCCTAGCGTATTCAATCTGCGTCAACCCGTTCGTGAAGCCCGTGCCAAACCCAACAGGTGTCCATGCTCCTTTCGGTGTCCCTGCTCTATTACTAACCCCTGATCCTGGCAAAACGCCAGACAGGTTGGAAATGCTTCCCCCACTCTTGAATTAAGGGAGTGCAAATCTAACCTGTAGGATGACCTTGAGGGCGCGGCGGACGAGGTCACGGTGCTCCTCTGCAGAGTCACAAACAAGGACGTATCAGTAGAGGAAAAGCCAAAACCGTATGTCTTCTTCATGCTTGACGAGCCCTTGGTTAACGCGGAGCGGAAGTAGCTGACGTGGAAGCGGCAGCAACGACCATGAGCAGTTGATGGGGGTACCCAACACAGCGCTCCGACTAGCCCAGGGCCAGTTGAGTTCACCTTTAGACAGGCCTTCCTCTACATTAGGAAGCAACTCCGGGTGCTGGCGGAACAGCTCGTTCACGCGGGCTCTCATGTCGCGCATGTCGTCCAGGTATGTTTCCATGACGCCTGGGTCAAAACGCGGCAAGGATTTCGTGGCAGAACGTGGCCGCGTTGATGATGTGGCTGCGGCACAAGGAGCCATAGAGAGTTGCGGCTCGTTGCCGCCCATTTGCTTCGGGCCGACTATTCCGTCGGCTGAAGCCATGTTTACTAGCAAGTTTAACTCTCTGCCAACAGAATCTAAAGCAAAAGGTGTGGTTTTGTACCGGCTGCTCACAGCGGTCAAATAATATAGCGACAACTTATGGCTGTGCTCTTACAGCACGCCTTTCGATACCGGTATGCTGCGTCCGTCACAGTAAGCAATCACGATTTCTTCCTGTTTTTGTCTTAGGGAAGGCCGCATAGCAGATCGCTGGTACAACCGCCGCGCATGATGACTCGGCACAACCGTCTCGCTGGGACCCTTCCAACCGCACAGCTTACAGACATAGCAAACCAATGTCCATTGCTTATACCTTTTTCCAACGCCATCTTGCTTGAGGCGTTTGTGGCATACGGCGGCATTTAAAGGGCAAGGCTACCGGCGTTTCTGGGGAGGGGTATGTTTTTTCCTATCTGTGGCCTGCATCTCACGCAACAGCAAGCAGCAGAACGGTTGCCTGTGAGTCTTCGAGGGTTTGGTTTGTAATGCTGTTGCACGGCTCCATGCTATGTATCCGATGTATGGTAGCCCCTGCAACAACCAAGCATATCTACAAGCAACAAACAGAAAGCAGCAACAAGGGAGGTACCTGCATGTGTGTTCCTTGTCGGGCTGACCCTACTCATGGCCTGCATTTCTTAGGCATTTTCGAATGAGGAACCCCAACCTATCCTTTTGGGGTTGCAGAAGCTGGCAGAAGGCTACATGTTACATGGCTACGTGTTCCACTTTTACACGGCGTTCGCACGTATTGTGTCTGCAGTACCTCCATACCAACATCCCTTTATTCTGGAGTCGCCGGGTTATCTGCAGCTTCACCAACCCTGGATCGCGTCGCAGGGTATCGAAGTGCACGACATAACCACTGCAGTAGGGGCAGCTAGGCAATAAAGGCAAGCAAAGAAAAGAGGTGTTAGCCACGTGGAAAAAGGAAAGCCTTCCTTCCACCCCTATACGGCCGCTCCTCTACCCCCTCTCCCTCGCTCTCCCCACGCCTCCCGCTGGCCCTCCACCCTCACGTCCGGGCCTCCTCCCACGGCTTGCTCCGCAGCTCCGCCGCGCATCATGCTCGCCAGCGCCGCCTGAGTGCCGGCGTCGCATGCGGGCAGCAGCTGCGGGTACCTGATGACGGGGACGATGGCGAGGACGTGGAAGGGTAAAGAGGAAACAACTAACTGACCGTGGAGGTGGCGTGAGATGGACGATGATGGTTGGAGCATGGGAAGCTGCCAGCGAGACAGTCCGCAGATGCTGCGATGCACAGCGGCACACGGCTTGGTTGCAACGGTACCGGTCCAAGCAAGGAGGCACATCCTACTTGGGACACACGCGCCCCGCTCCCACCCGCCCCCCCTCTCACCTGGCGGGCATGTGCTGCTGCAGGCCGCTGATGAGCGCATCCGCGAAGAAGACGTACGGGTCGCTGGGCGTAGGCACCTCCGTGAACTCTTCGTCCGACCTGTTGTTTTGACTCGTTGTTTCATTGATATAATTTTTTCTTCCCACCGCTGTCGCCATCGCCCAGCAGGCCCTGAGCAGCCCGGATCACCTCGTCCTCCTCCTAAGGAGGGCGGGGACCAATTTACAGGAACCAAGCACACATGGGCAGAAAGATAAACGGTATCTACTATCTGTCTCGCTGTAATACATCGTCGCTGGGCCCCCTCCTGCTGCTCCTGGAGCAGCAGCTGCATGACGCCCGCCCGCACCCGCGGCAGCCCCGCCCTCACCTCCGCCGGCAGCGCCTCCTTCCCTCTGGTGCGCTCTTCTTGGTGGCGAAGATGGCGGTGACCCAGGCGGAGAAGGGGGAGCCCACGCAGCCCATCTGCGCCTTCAGCACCCCCAGCGCGAGGGGTGAGCGTTGTAGTACAGCACGTTCGCCACCGCCAGCACCAGCGTGTCCTGACCGGAGGGGGGAGGAAGGGAAGTGGGGAAGGCAGGGAGGGAGGTAAGCGGGGCCGCTCATCGGATTGAACACACGAAGCATGACCAGAGGGAAGGGGGGAGGGTCGTAGGGAAAACGCCTTCGCAATCTTCAATGCTTAGTATGGCATTGTGCAACATTTGGCAACCGTACGGCAAAATAGGTGCAGCCTTCGACACGAAGCAGCATGCAAACAATCAACACTGAACCTCCAATACTACACGAACTGAGCACATGTATGCGTATTATGAAATTCTGCAGCTAGGTGCCATGGATAGGTGCACATTGGCAAGCTGCCGCGAGCACTTCCCATCCCTATCACAGTAACCTTAATTTCTTACTACAGCAATGTTTATATAGGGCGCTAGCCTACCTACTTGCTGGAAATGGCGGGAAACGGGTGCCGTGAACTTAAGCCCCGACGAATTTGCAGCTTTGCTCCTGTAGATTGGTTAGGAGTACTATGCCTGCTTCACCTATCAGCTAGCTTGGGGAGGGCGCAAAGCATTGTGAGCTTACAAGGTGCGAAGGGTCATCGCATAGCCAACACGACTAGCTGAATTAAAGGGGCAATTCGCATTGAAGATGAAACGCATACCAGCTGCGCAGCACGCCGGAGTGAGTCAATAATACGCTTGCGAAAGTCAACTGTCACGTTGTAACACCCATCCATTGACTTCAATCTCTCCCTGGAAACCTTTGGCGACATCTGTTGCGTCTTCTTATACAGGCAAGCTCGTGGTGCTCAATGAACCCCGCAGAGGTTCACACCTTGCGGGTCGCACCACCTACCATTTCCGGTTGCCAGCCCCTGATGCGACAACCAACGTAAGAACGGTCGTGCGAAGGGCGGGTTAAATACCTTCTGTGGTTATCAAGGAAGACGCGGTTGAATTGAACAAACAGTGTCAGGCGGTTGGGAAGGCCAGACTACTCGGCAAAATTGGATGCACATGTGCGCATTTTTCCGACAATACCTGGCTTTCACCCATTCCTTCAGGATTGGGTATTGTATTCCCTCCGGTTCGCCCCTGGGGTGGCGCTGCCGGAGGGAGCAGGAGGAAGGGCCTACCTGACCGGTAGGATGGCTTTGTGCCGTACCGGGCTTTGGGATAGACGTTGGAGCTGGAGAAAGGATACTGTAATAGCTAGACACACCCCCAATGACCCCCTGCACCTCTTACCCTTTCCGCTTTGCTGTTTCCCGCCTTCCTCACCTTCCTCCTCCTCACTCCGTGTGTGCACCCCATCACCCGACACCCTTTTCCCTTTCCAGGCGATATCTTCCAGCTCTCAGTAGACCTAGACCGCTCGGGCCCATTGCCCGCCGGAACCCCCTACCAGGACTCCAGCGATGCCGCCGCCGCAGCAGCAGCAACCGCCAAGGGCCCCGCAGGCACCCTGTACGTCAAGGCATGGTCGTACATGCCTTATTCGTACGGACTAGCAAACTACCTGGGATCTGAATCCGCATCCGCGTCATCAGCCGCTGCTGTGTCGTACTACCTAGGCGGCTCGGATCCCCTGAAGCTGCGGATGATCGTGTGGGTTGTCAGTGAGGTGTGCGGAGTGGAGGTGGCGGCGGGAGGTACCGGAGCTATTAGCGGCATGACGACTGAGGTGGGTGGGCGACGTGGGTGGGGTCACATGTCACAGGGGTTTGCATGCAGGCGGGAGTGTAGGCGAGGGAGGGGTCGCCGGGTTGCACGTGTGCCCCTGACATGCATGCATGCATGCATGCGTGCACCGAGCGCTTTGTTGGTGGGGACAACCCAGTACGTTCCTACTCGCGGCCCGTTTCCTTAACGCACGCGTTTGCACCAGCATGCATCACTTTGAGATGGGATTCCGTGAAGCAGCTCCGGGGCCTACTGAGTATGTGCGCGCGCACTGTTTCAGGACTCCCTTCTGCTTCCCCCGCTCCCTCCCTCCCCCCGCTCCCTCCCTCCCCCCGCTCCCCCCCCCCGCTCCAGGACGTCTCAGAGCTCTTGTTCGGTCCGCAGCGTCCCTCACCCGCTTCAGCCCCACGCTACCCGCCCATGACCCTGGCACGGCTCTGGGACGCCTGCTCGTACGGATCTGTACGGCTGAAACGGCCGTACATTCAGGTCGTGAACATCAGCCTGCCGTGCGGGGGGACCCGGGCCAACGGCGCCGCTTGGAGGCTTCCGGTGGCCGCGGCAGCAGGGGCAGCAGCAGCAGCGTCGGAGGGGGGTACGGAAGCGGGGGCGGCGGAGACGGAGGCGGAGGCGGGGTTGAACACGACAGCCGGTGGCTGCGGGGCCAATGCGCTGTGGGGCATGATGGAGTACGCTAGCAACTTCACCCGGGAGGTAGGGGGAGGGGGTCGGGGTTGGAGGAGTCCCCAGGCAGTTGGGCAGTTGGCAGTTGGGGGCGTGCGGGGGCAGGTCGCCGGCAACAACTGGACTGTGCCATTTGCCCGGGGAGGTTGATGAGGAAGAGGAGAGCTCTTGGGCACACTGCTTGGCTGCCTCTTACAATCCATGCCTCATCGCAACTACTTCTCCTCTCAAGTGTCACCCGCATCGGCACCGCATCGCTTGAACTGCCCTTCCTGCTCCCTCACTACCCCGCCCCCTCCGCCTCTCCCCCCCCCTAGGTCCTAGGTCTGGACCCCGCCCCCTACCTGCGCCGCGTGCTGCTGCTGCCGTACTCCGCTGCTGCTGCTGCGCCCGCCTCCTCCTCCCCTCCTGCTGCATCAGCGTCATTAGACGGCAGCAGCGGTGGTGGTGTGTCGCTGTGCCCCGGCTGGCAGCAGCGGGGCTCACTGGGATGCGATGCGGCGCTGGGGTGCGACATGTGGATCAAGGTAGGGGAGGGAGGATCCGAGGAGGGAAGGGGAGGGAGGGAGGGGAGGGAGAAGAGCATGGGCAGGGAGGGTTAGAGGGATGACCCGGATGCGTGGACAGGAGCAGTGCCAGGGTAACGGAAGGCCTCTACGAGGGCTTTCCCACCATGGCCTGCGGACAGTTCAGGAGCTCCCTCCCTCCCTCCTTGAGGTTGCCAACTAGGGTTGCTGTTGCCGAACCTTTCCCGCATTGAGCCTACCCCCCTGCTCCCTGCACCTCATCCCCTCCCCCTCCCCAGTCCGACCCCTCGCAGCTGCTGCAGTGGCTCACCACCCAGCTGGGAGCCAGCATGGGGCTGCAACCCGCAACCGCACCCCCCCACACCGCGCTGTTGACAGCCGCCGCCACCTCGCCCGCTGCTGCTGCTGCCGCCTTCGAGCCCCCTGCTGCCCCCGCCAGCACCTCCGCCGCCTCAGCGGTGCGCTGGCTGCCCTCGGACCCCTCCTGCGCTATGGGATCGCCGGGTGGCGGGTACAGGTGGGCGGTGGGGGGGCAAGAGAGAGGGCGGGGGAAGGGCAAGGGAAGGAGGGAGGGAGGGAGGGAGGGAGTGGGAAAGCGTTGCCCGGTCCGGCCTGCGCGTCGTTCGCTTCCCAGGCAACGTCGCTCGCCTCCTTCAAGTCAAGCCGATGTTTTGTCCTTCTCGTCCCTTCAGGTGCTTCAACGCGCCCAACTCCCTCAAGCTCTTCTTCTCGCAGCCCGCCAGGCGGCTGGACAGCAGCAACATGTCACCGGGTGGGGGTTGGGGGTTGGGGTGGGGGTGGGGGTGGGCGACACGTGCGGGGTTGGGGTGGGGTGGGCTCTGGCTGCACAGGATCTACTGGTATCATACGGTTGGTTACAGTTACAGGTTGGACGGGCGAGGTGTGAGGGGCGGCGAGGAAGCGAGGCGGCGCCCGCACTGTGGGTTCATGGCAGTGGGGTCCTAACCGGCACCCTTCCCCACCCATCCTCCGCACAGTTTACCCGCTCCTCCTCCTCCTCCTTTTGCTCGCTCCTCCTCCTCTTCACACATCCTCCCCCCCTCGCACCGCCCCCTCCCAGGCGCCAGCATCTCCGTACAGCTGCCCGCTGCAGCAGCCGGTCGCAACAACCTGCTGCTGCTGGCGCCCTCCGAGGGACCCCTCCTGTCCCCGCCAGCCCCCGGCAGCACCCCGCTGTCCCCAACAAGCGGCCAGCTGACACTGTTTGTGCAGTACAGGGTTCCAATCGGGGGCGACGCGGGTCTGGCGGCGGCGGTGCGGGCCAAGGTTGTTGTACACAGCTTGAACGCCTCTGCGGGCACTGCGGGGGGACCCATGGGTCGGTCGCCGCCCAGTCGGCTCGTCGCGATGATTACACCGGGTGAGTGATGACACAGGGTGGCGCAATAGTGTGGCTCATGCATCCTTCCACATGGATAGTGTGTACGTTAGTGTGCCACCCTGTCACCCTGCCGCTGACTGTGCGGACACACGAGACTGTTCCGTCGAGTGCTGACGGCTGTTGGCTCGTTGTGATGTGTCGAATGCAGCTTACTTGGCGCGACCTTTGCTTTCCCCTCCCTTGATCCCTACTTCCCCCGCCCCTGCACCTGCAGGCGAGGTGTACCGTGATACATCCGCACGAGTGGTGATCAGGTGCGTCGGGGATGGGGTGGGGTGGGGTTGGGGGTGCGCTTGCACGGCTGCTTGGCTCGTCTCCTCGGCATTGTGAGTTTGTGACATCTCGCTCATTTGTCCTTAAACCCAACCCCATTGCCTCTCAGCATGCAAGCCCACATACTGGTATCCTCGGTTTTCCCGCTGTGGTGCCTTTCACCTGCATGCTTCCCTTGTTCCCGAACCTTTCCAGCTGTCTACCCGTTGTAACCCCTACCTCCCCCCCTGCAAGGTTCCTGGCGGCCCTGCCTCCCCCCGCTGGGGATGACGGCGGCGTGACGGGCGGCGGCGCCTCCCTGGCGCTGTGTCGCTACCTCTGGGAGAGCGAGGCGGCGGCGGACGGGGGAGCGGGCTGCGCGAACGGCGTGGATGACGAGTGAGTGGGGAGCGGAGTAGTGATTCGGAGGGCTGGGAACGCGGCAGAGGGTTAGGGAAGCGGTCTTATTGGCTCCAATACGGCTAGGGCCTGAGAAGTGGAGGAGTGGGTGCAATGACTGGCTATGACTGCAATGCCCTGCACTGCCCACCGACCCACTGCATCACCGTCAGGCAAGGCAGGGTCCTCGCATCCCTGTTCGTTGTCCTCACACCTTTTTGTCACCCTCTACTGGATCTGCTCTCTTCATGTTCACCTCGTCCGCCTCTCCGGTCCTTCCTTCCCCGCTTACGGCACTCTACTCTATGACTCGTGCCCCCACTGCAGTTGCGATGGCCTTGTGGATGAGGACGACCCGGACTGCGCACCTGACGTTTGAGACGTGCTTGAATTGCTTCGGCCGGCTGGGGATCTTTGTTTTTTAGGCGTCTGCGACGAAGGGGGGTTGGTGACCTATGGGACCTCATAAGGTGGCGTGCAGGTAGCTGGGAGGGGGGAGCGTGTCTGGGGGCTACCGATCCTGGTGTAGATGTGGGGGTTGCGAGGTTGGTTTCATGAAAGGCTGCGGTTGTTTGACGAGGTGTGTGGGGACTGGCGTGGAGGCGGGAGTGCGGGCGAGCGGAGGAAGGGAGCAAGTGGTTAGAGGCTATGTTTAGTGCGGTCATCAGGGGCTGCGGTGACCCGAATTTCAGATAGATGGCCCTGACGTTACTGCACTACTTGCCAATGCAGCGCGGGCAGAACGTTTTTGTAGCTGACTGTAGTAGAACGTCTTTGGGAAGGGAACTGTCTAGGCTGTCTTTGCGCAGGACAGTGTCACAAATGGACATGGCCATGACAGCGGCATGTCCCACCCGACACCAGGCAAGTAGCCTTGTGTATGGCTTATTTATATAAGTATTAGGCCAATGTAGACAACACGCGCAAAAAGGTACATTCGCCAACGGGTACATTGGCTAGCAGGTTTTGTTCAGGTGCAGCCGTAGGAAAGCCCAGACGCGTTTGTGTGTATTGTGATTTTACTTGAACAACACAAAAAAGGGTTTTATCAGGTGACCCTCCCTTGCGCGAAGTGCGCTACTTCCCTTACGTACCGGTACGGCATCAATGGGCACTCGCGTTTTAAGGCGCCGCCGCCATTTCGTAAAGGCCTTCTGTAGCTGTAACACCAATGAAAGCCCTTTTATTCTAACCTACCAGACGAGCAAGCCTCTAGTTTACAATGCCTTCTTTACAATTAATGAGGTTCTGCCTGCCAGCTGTCGAGGAATATAAGGTAAGTCGTCTATGCACCTTGTAAGATGAGGTGTTGGCTTAGCAACATGTTACCGCCTCACCATTATCTTTTCACCGAGTTTACGAGCCTTGCTAATAAATGCGCCGCAGGTGGCTCTTAATGAAAAACCTACCACTAACATGGCTTCTTAAGATAACGTGCGCTTTTACTCAATGTTGCCAAGGCCGTAAAGGTGAGGCCTCGCAAGCGAAATTGCCTCTCAGTTTAGCTACCGGTACATGGCTTGAGGCACTTTCAGCAACTTAGCAGCGAAAAAGATCCAGCAGTATATCTAGTTCTATATAGCCTGCAGATTTCCATTCCGCGAGTATATAGCACCTTGGGTCCATGGCACAATGCTCATGCCGATGGTGCTTACCAAGTTCAGCCGCCTCCCTACCGCTCCCTCATATAACTTCCTAACGACAACATTTTGTCTTGCTTGCAGGTCAAAGCGTGCACAGCTACAAGGCAGCGCTCCCTAGCTACTCAGCTGCCTTCTGTGAAGCACACATGTTCAGCCAAGGTTCAAGGCTTGAGACTACGCAACCAAGACTACGCAACCAAGAGCACAAGACTCCTACGCGGCGAGGGCTTTCGCCACGCGCGTATTCAAGGCAAGTTAGGAACCAGTAGACGTCGGTGAAGTTTTGCACAAGCAGCCGGCCTAGTAGGCATGCCACAAGCAGCGCCTGGCCACCGCTGCATGTGGCATGTCTATTAGGCCGGCTGCGTGGGCAAGACATGTTGCTCTGATGACGGCCCGTTGCATGGGGCAGGAGTGTCTCCGGCTTGCTCGCTGCCTGCTTTCCAAAATGTGCATTGCTCTAGTTGTCCCATCCGTTCTCTCATCGCCACCATTCCCATTAGCCCCTCCGGCTCCCCACCTCGGTTTGGATCCCCGCATGTTCCCCGGCGCTTCGTCCGGGTGTAACATCGGCATCAGCTTATGACCCTTGCTGCGAGCGTCAGCAGTACCGGAGCCACAACGAACGGTACGGCTTGCTGCTGACAGTTGCCCTTGACGCCGCTGATGAAGTAATCGACGTAATCCCCTTTCCTCTCAAGTTGATGCTGATCCAATTATTTGCTTTCTGTGCAGGCGCGACGCATGTGTGGCGTGCATGTTCCAAGGGCACCGTATCGGTAAGTAGGGAGTGGCTGCATAGGTGTGGGATTAGTTTGTTGCAAGAAGACGTGGAGGGATTGTTGCCCCAGCCCCCGCATCAGAACAGCAACAGCCAGCCAGCCTCAGCTCAGCATTCTCAGACCCTTCAGCAACAGCCGTCAGCAAACCAGCCAGCCAGCCAGCCAGCAGCAACAACGGGGTTTGGGGCAGCGCGGATGTCGTGTTTATATGCTCATGCTTGTGCATTCACTTGCGACTGTACGAATATGCTGCCGAGGACGCATTCCCATTGTGTCCCTTTCAACCCCCGACATGTTGATCCGCACTGGTACGGTCTACGTGTGGAGCTGGGGCGACCCACGGGTCATTGTGCTGCTTTCGTCGACTTCCTGCTCTGTCATCGCCTTCCAAGCTAAGGAGAGCTGAATACAAGATAGCTGCAGACAAATCCAGCGGCGTGCGGGCATCGTTGCGGCCCCTTCAAGGCACGGGCGGGGCAGGTAAGTGCGAAGTACGACCCCGCGCTTCGAAGGTAGGCCCAGGGGTGTCAAGCATCATGTGTATGCATGTGGGGGCATTTAGCTGCATCATACTAGGCATGTTGCATGGGCATTGAGCATTCATTGAGGGGCCTACCTGTGGCGGGCTCGCACCTGCTTTTCATGCTGATCCGTTCTTCCCCCCTCCCTTGTTCCTGCTCCCTCCCTCCGTAGTTCTGGGGCCGGCGCTCCGCGCGGCGACGGCTCCCGACGCAGGAGCGGGGAGCTAGCGGCGTGCGGGCATCGTTGCGGCCCCCCCCCAAGGCACGGGCGGGGCAGGTAAGTGCGAGGTACGCTCCGCGCTTCGAAGGTAGGTCCAGGCGTGTCAGGCATCATGTGCATGCATGTGGGGGCATTTAGCTGCATCATACTAGGCATCATGCATGGCATTGAGCATTCATGGAGGGGCCTACCTGTGTCGGGCTCGCACCTGCTTTTCATGCTGATCCGTTCCTCCCCCCCTTCCTCGTTCCTGCTCCCTCCCCCCGCAGTGCCTTCACTTTTATATAATTTTCCCCCCGCAGTTCTGGGGCCGGCGCTCCGCGTGGCGACGGCTCCCGACGAAGGAGCGGGGAGCCAGCGGCGTGCGGGCATCGTTGCGGCCCCCTCCCCAGGCACGGGCTGCTGATCCGTATTCTCCCACGGCTGGATGCTCGGACGTCGGGGTTGGACGTTGGATGCTTGATTCCCTTGAGGGCAACAGGGTGTGCCCAGTCATTCATGGCGCCTCGGGGGTCTTTCAGGGGAGCCGAACAAGGGCCCGAGAAGGGTAGTTTCACAATGGTTCCTGGGTAGCCAGAGTTAGGCAGGTCGAGTGGTGTGCATCTCAGGTGGAATGTTTCATGCGTGACCCGAATGTCACATCTTGGTTCCTTGGCGGTCTGGGTGGTTTTGTCGCGAGCGTGTTACGGTCATGTTTTAGGGTGGTCGATGTATTACAGCGAGACAGATAGTAGATACCGTTTATCTTTCTGCCCATGTGTGCTTGGTTCCTGTAAATTGGTCCCCGCCCTCCTCAGCCTGTGCAAGCATGGAAGGGGAGGGCAACGCCTCTGTGCCTCTTGTGTCGCTTCATACACGAATCCTACAGTCGCGCAGCGTACAGCAGAAACAGCAACGCAGTTCTGTAACCTAGAAAACAGCAACATAGGGCACTGGGCTTTCGGGATGCACACATAAGGCACACATAGGCCGGCATGTGCCTTGCCAGCCCCTCATAGCCTAGAAGCGTGAGGTTGAGAGATGGAGGCGGCCACTGTGATTAGACCAGACCTCTAGGGAGGCAAGGTAGATGCGCTTTTGGTGTAGGGAGCTAGGGTTCATCCTAGCTAGGGTTCATTTCTGCAAGACATTGGGGAAGACGGGAGGAGTGCAGAAGGGTGCAGGGATGGATGACAAGGCATGGAGCATTTTCACGTGTCAACAGCGGGAACCCTCTTGTCTTGCTGACTTGGACTGGGAGTTTTGCGCATGGACATGAGGGACAACGCTGGAACGCAAAACCCGTTGAAGAACAGATAGGAACAATGATAAATAGGCTGCTTACAACGAGGTTGGACAAAGCTAAGGCAATGCGTCGGGTCTCGCCAGCAATGCGTTTGCTGTGCTCCGCAGCCATTCCATCGCACGCACAGCAGGAACGCAGCCATGTTACACTTCGCATTCCAGGCTAACCATCCTACTTCAATACACAAAAACACACAATAACTCATACGGCTACCAATCATTGCATATATAAAATGGAATAGCAATTTTAACTCACGAGGATGGGGGGGTGCGTCGCTACCCGGTTGCTGTTCATTTGAAGTGACTACAACGTTATGTATATTAAGCGCGTGATGCCATTTCAGCACCGGAGTCTGTGAGTGAGCAGTTGTGGTGCAGCGTCGCGCCTGCCCATGACGACGGTAAACCGCCCCCCGGCCCAGCCTTGCAAGGATGGAATAAAAATGTATCTTTCCTTGGTGAGGACAATATTGGTATTGCTTGTGGCGCACACCATTGCAAACGCTGTGCCTAGGACCGGGGCCACATCATGGGTTGTAATGTATTCCCCCGTTACACAGTCAGCCCCGAACCCTCAGAATGTCCATTGCCCACTGCCCCCAGTCAACATGTAGAGCGTATTCGTCATTGTCTGACGTCGCTCACAATGTGTTGCCAGTGTTGCGGTCCGGGGGGTTTCAATCTGTGCATGGCTGATGGTGCCGACGGAATGGAAAGCTCCCGAAGGCTTCCCTACAACAGAAAACCATTTGGGAAAACCGTTTCCTGGCTTCCCCCGGTGCATGGCTTGTCTGTTTCGCAATCCCTTCTCATGCCCAGTACATCACACCCTTCTCGTCTGATTAATGCCTCCCGTGCTGACTTCCATTGCCGGGCGCGCGGGCTGCATTTTCCTATGATTTTATTTACCACTCTGCCTTTCCCTGGCACACAGGACGATGTGCGGATCGGGTCGCTGTACACGGTGGACACCGGTGGACGACAGGGGACCGAATTCAGCCTCTTCCAGGCACGTGTTGCAGCTCACATCCTTACACCTTTCGTAGCTTCTCCTACATTGTGCTGCCCGCGGATGCCAAACATCGCACCGTCGATAATGTTTGCTGTTGCCACGGCTATAATTTCCTTTCCCCTGAAATCTTCCTCCCTGTGTGCCCCCGCTGCTGCGCAGGTTCATGAAGTCGTCCATCCAGAGGTGTGTGTTGCGCGGTTGGACTGGGGGCGCACTGCGCCGTACGACACCGGAGACCTTGTGTACTATGTACTATCGATGGCAATACCAAGAAGCCAAGGGCAGCATACCCTACAGTCGGTGTACGAATCAATGTTGCCAACCTCGCCAGCCTAGGACTTGACTTAGCCAAGATGGCAGCCCATTTAGCTGCCGACGCCACACCCTCACCCCTGACAACAGTCCCTGCGGGGGTGTTTCTTTTCCCCTCCCAACGCCCCCGTTAGGGCTGGGCAGCAGCAAGCAAGGCCCGACGACAGGCGCTGCTGAAGGAGGTCAAGTTGAGGGGCGTTTGGTTTTACCAGGTGGGTGAATGAGGGGGCGGCACGGCATCCTCCAGGACAGCCTACCAGCTGCTGCGTGCGCGTACCATGCAAGGATGTCGTACACGATGCGGGTGACCGGGTACAAGTGGCACCCTGCCTGCTCGGAGAGCCCATGATAGGTGATGGGCAGCAGACAGGCTGTTAGGAGACGGACAGACCGACAGGATGGAAGGTTGCCAAAGTGCTGAGTGATGGGTGGCCCCTGCTGCAGTGCGCCGCTTGTGCCTTTGTAACCTAATATCTTGCCCTCCTTAGGCCGGGATAGGTACACCTGCATGCACCGGGAGGGTGGTTGCCCCTGTGTGTTTCATGATGTCAAGATGTGCCGTACACTTGATGATGTGCCGTACACGTGACAGGCCAAGGAGACGGCTGCGGGCGTGCGCCTCGTGAACCCCAGCAAGCTCAAGGGGTGAGGCGTGCGGGGGGGGGGACTGCTGCTGCTGCTGCTGCTGAAGTGGTTCAGCGCTTTTCATCATAGGCGCGTGGATGTTTGAATTGAGTGCAAAGTTGTGCCGTCCCCCTGTCACCTGGAGCCAGAAATGACATGGCAGCTGCTATTACAATGTGCCTGGTGTGTTAAGCTCCGCCCGCTATCCCCCTACTGCTACTGCTACTGCTGCTGCTACTTCTATCACCATCCTGCCGAACGACCCGCCCATGCTTAGCCCCTTGCGTCCTTGTCCTTCTGTACGCAGCGCGAATCGTGATCCGGGGGACAACCGGCAATTCCTGTTTGACGATGTTGATGACGAGCTGGACGAGCGGCGCGTCTTCCTTGCCACCAACAAGGCTGGCACTTGGTCGCGTACGATACCGTTTGGCTCCCTCCGCAAGTACGTCGGATGGTCGTCGTTAGCTTATTACCCATGGCACGTACCATGCTTGTAATTAATTTTTAGAGGCCCGGACTGTGTCGACTACCTGTTGTCGGACGGTAGAGGCAATACGGATAGAACCGGTTGAATACTTAAATATACAGCTTGGTTGTAATCCGCTAGAGCCTGCACTGCATTGCATTCCAGTCACGTAAGTAAGCAAGCCGCTGTATGTATGTCAGTGTGCAAACCCCGACCCTGCCTGTCCCTCCCTGCAGGGAGGTCCGGCTGGTGCATGGCACCCGTCCAAGCAACGGCGGTGCTGCCGACACCTACTATTACAACCAGTCGTACGACGAGCTATTCATGGTGCGGAGGAGGGGCTAGAGTAGTGCGGATGTTAGCGTACGGCAGCTTACGGATTGGGATTTTGGGACGTGCATGCCCCGGTCGTGTCCTTGGCCCCGGTGGCCCTATGCGCGCGGTCCACCACACATGCCACCACACGGCTGGCAAAGAACCCTACCTTGCGCCTGCGCTCTAGCTACGGTGTAAGCCAAAGGTAACCGCTTGTCAGTGTGTATAGCTGTGCCTGATAAGGTCCCCGCGCCACCACCAACACCCATTTGCTGTTCCTGGGTGCCGCTTCTGCTTCTGTCCGATGCTCGCAGACGTACGAACAGTGCCCCCCTTCAGATGTCGCGGGGGCTGCAGCCACGGGCGCTGCTGCTGGTGCTGCTGGTGCAGCTGCCACAGCAGGGAGGGCGGCGGCGGCGGCGGGCCCCTCACAACTGGCCCCGTCCGCAGCAGCAGCGGCGGCGGGCCCCTCACAACCGCCCCCGTCCGCAGCAGCAGCAGCGGCGGGGCCCTCACAACCGCCCCCACCCGCAGCAGCAGCAGCAGCTGCTGCCCGTTCATTGCGGCCCCGAGCTGCCAAAGCCAGCACCGCCAAGACCAGCACCCAGCGGCAGCAGCCAAGCCGCAAGCTGCCCAAATGCCTGCGGGAGCCGTCACCGCCCGATGAAGACGAGGAGCCATCGTACGTGCCCTTGGTGCCGTACCTAACCGCTAAGGGCAACGTGCCCTCGAAAGCAGCCCTGAAGGTGGCCGGAGGGCACCGGGCGGGTAACCCGGCTGCCCGACAGTACGGCAAGGACGACGTGTTGGCCTTCCACGCTTGCTGCGGGGCGGGGGGTGCCAGCATGCATCAAGTGGATGAGATGGTGCAGAAACTGGTTCAGGAGCGGCGGGAGGAGGAGGCGGCGCGGCGGAGGGCGGTGGTGCAAGACGACGGCCACCAGAGGGGCACCGGAGGGGTGAATGGAGGAAGAGGAGGAGCCGCAGCCGCTCCTGTCGGCCGCAACGCTGCGATGAACGACTCGGGCCGGCCAGCGGGCGGCGAGGTGACCCGTGGGTCGGCAGCGGCTGCTGCCACTGAGGATGGTAGTCCCCCTTGCCCGCGCCTGCTCAACTTCTGGGGCTGTGATAACACAATGTCGCCGATACTGTCATGCTTGGCGAACCATGGAGAGGGCATGGCGGTCACTTGCGCGCGCTTGGCGGAGCTGTACGTCTTGATCCGGCTGGCGAATGAGCTGCTGTCCTGGTTGGAGGCCGCAGCGGACGACAACAAGGACACGGGAGGGGGTGGCGGAGGAGGTGCGGCAGACAGCAGCAAACGCCGTGCAACTAGCAGGAGTCGACGCGGACGGAAGCAGCAGCAGCAGCAGCAGCAGCAGGAGCAGCAGGAGCAGCAGGAGGGCGGTGGCGAGCAGGAGAGTAAGGACCAGGAAGGCAGTGATGATGATGATGCTGAGGAGAAGGAGAAGGAGGGCGAGTGGGAGGTGGCGGATGTGGTTGCGATGCGGTTATTCCATTACGTGCCTTCCAAGGACGGGCAGCTGCAGCAGGAGCTGGGCCTGGAGGATTGCGGGCTGGAGTTCCTTGTCCGATGGCACTACGACCCCGTCCGTCACAAGAAGTAAGGCAGAATGTTACGCTTGGCAGTTGACATTGCAAAACCTATCCCCATTCACAGTAGCCATCCCCGACACCCAGATGGCTGCTGCATCCCTGTGTCCCTACCACCGTCCCCTTCCCGCTCCTTCCTTCGTGCTTCGCTGCTTCTCCAATCCCCCCATGCCGCCGATGCCGCTGCCCAGGTCCTGGCCCGACTACCCGGCTAACCAGTACCAGTGGCTGCCGCTGTCGCGTCTGCTGGGCTCGGTGGGAATGCTGCGGGGCTTCATGCGGCGGGTGCTGCTCACCGAGTCGCTGCTGCCCCGCCCCGGCATGCGCATCCTGCTGGTGGCGGGGACACCCTGCCAGGACGTAAGCTGCATACGCACGGCCTGCATGCATCTCATCATGTACCCAATGGGGTTGAGGACGGGGCCTTTCTTCCTGTAGTTTTCCTGCAGCCATTCAGCATATTTCTTGTGTATTTCTACATCGTCTGCATGTGTACCGTTGCTTGGGGCTTGACTACTGGGGCTTCGGGACTCACGGGTCCCTTCTGAATAGCCCACGGAATAGATCCACATCACCTTGAAGTAAGCGCTTGATCTGGTTATGGCTTACAATCACTTCGACCACACATACCGGTACCTACGATTATTCCTAACTGGTGGATCCTCGGTTCTTCGTCCCCTCCACGCAGATGAGCGGTCACAACCGGGAGATCCGCAAGCGTGAGCTGTTTGACAGCCCCAAGAACCGGATCATTCTGACCCTGCTGGCGCTAGCCTCCTACCTGCAGGTGGGGTGTGTGGGAGCGTCAAGGTGTGCACGACCTGTGCTGCAGCCCCTCGCCCCCTCTCATCAATAGCAGCAGCAGCAGCAGCACTTTCGCTGCCTGTCTTCACCTGCTGCTCACCTGATGCCCTGAACCCTGTGGCGCACCGTACTTGCTGCTGCTGAGGCTTGCTTGGTCTTAAACGTCTTTAGGGTTGTTGCCCGTGTCTAGCACCGGTAACGGTATGTGCGATGTCCTGCCAAGCACTGAACTGCAGCCCCGTGCTCCTTCTGTGGCTGTTGCTTCACACCGCAGGTGGACTATGTCCTGTTGGAGCAGGTGGGGCGCTGCTGGGTGTGTGTTTGGGGTGGGGGGGCGCTGCACGGGGGTATGAGAGGCTGCGGGCACAGCAGGACGGTCACAGCAGCCCGACTGGGAGGCCAGCCCGGCCGAGCAGGCGCCCCTCTTGCTTTGGTGGCCTGGAGGGAGCATTGGGGGCTGCATTGCATGCACATGCGATATTTCGCAGATCGGGCCAGCAGCAGGCGGCGATCCTCCAGGGTTTCGCCTGAGACGTTGCGAGCTCGGCAAGAGCAGGTTCGGCGCAAGCAGCGATGTATGCATGCCGCTGCCCTGACACGCGCTACTCCGCGCTGTTTTGTTTCTTATCCGCAGGTTGGCGAGGCGGCACAGCTGCAAGACGGCAAGTGGTTTCGGACTGTCGTGGTAAGGCTGCAGCCCCTACAGCTCAACGTGCGGGCTGGCATGCATGCTGTGCGCATACTTTGGCGAGCATGCATGCGTGCGTGTCCCTGCGTGTTGCGCGGCCCTCACTTTTCGTTTCCTCAGAGGCCCGGGGGGTGAGTCATCGCCATGCCGGGGTGCAGGTGGACCGCATGCGGGCGGAGTACCAGATTCGAGTGGGGCTCATCCGGGCAGGTGCGTTCACCTTCTGTTTTGCCTGTACTCGCGGTTCACATGCGAACCTATCCCAACTGCTTGCTCTTGTTTCCGCTCAACTACACACACAGGGGTGTATGCCCTTGTCCCTTGTCGCCCTTGTGGGGCGTTTTCACCCAATCCCAGTGCACGTTTCCCTCGGCCACCAGTTTTGTGGAAAGGAAATAAGTCGCTTGCAGTCCTGCTGCATAAGAATGCCCTTAGGAAGTCCTCCTTAGCCGTCCCACATACACACTCATTTCGGCCAGTTTTCTTAACACACTCATTTCTCCTTTCGCTGATACATGTTTCTCGCCTACTTACAACATGCCTGATATGTGTCTCCCTCTTACTTACAACGACTCGCCTCGCACGTCCCTATCACACCATCCCGCCGCAGCTGGACACGGCTGCCCCCAGGTGCGTGGGTGCTGCTGACCTGCCAGCTGCATGTACGACCGCATGGGACGCGGCTGTGGGAAGCGCATCTGCATTTCTTCCCAAGGCGACCGAGCTCCGCCCTTCTCAGTCCCGACCCATGGGTCATGTGTGTGCTTGCGCAGGTGCGGCCCAGGGTGTTCATCTGGGCCGCAAAGCCCGGCTGCGTGTTGCCGGGCTTTCCGCGGCCCGAGTTCTCCGCCCGGTTGCTGCTGCGTGGGGACGAGGAGGGGAAGGTGTGGCAGCCGCTGAGGCGTCGCATCTTGTAGGTTTGGGGTCCGTTGGGGGCTGAGGTCGGGGGTTGTGTTGTGGCCCGTTGGGGAGGGCCGTGCAAGGGAGTTGCTGCATCACGGGAATGATGCGTCTGGCTTCTAGCTGGCTTAGACAGCTGCTTTGAGCACACGCATGGCTGCGATGTCAACCGGCAGCTGGGACGTTTGGGAGTTACTTGAGAGCTTTGAAGCTTGGAACTCTGCCAACGGCTATGCTGCCTATGCTGTTTATTAGAAGTGCATCCATAAAGCTTAGGCCCGCATTGGTTTGAGCGCGGGTTCCATTACTGTCCAATGTTGTCTTCCGCAATCCGCAGGGCCCTACAGAATTGCTACCCGATGGCTGCCGATGGGGCGCTCCTGTATCCCAGCCAGGTGCGTGCGGCTTCACCGGGCCTGTTGTGGCGCCACTGCACCACTCCACCGCACTCCACCCTCCATCCCTGTTTAAGGAACCTACCAACCTGCCAAGTATACCTGCTAGTTTCAAGCCACGTGTTGTGGTTTCCAATGCATGGATGCTTGCTGTTGCAAGCAACACCGTGTACGTATCCGCCGGTTATTAGGTCCGCACCCCCTGCATGCAGCTTTCGTAAGTCCGCACGTGTGCATGCCTTCCTTCCTTCCCTCCGCTTGCTGCTGCTGCTGCCACATACCACCACTCCCATCATCAGACGCTCACGGACGCCATCTCCAACCTCGAGCCGCGAGACAACTTTTCCATGTCGCCCGTCAGCACAGTCACGTGAGTACGGCATAGCGCATAGGCAGTACGTACGACAATGCCCCATGACGCAAACCCCTTTCCAATAATTTTGGCTCGTTTTCCTATAATACCAGCATTCCCCTCCACTCTTCTACTGCACTGCACTCAAGGGCTGTGGACTTGTGTGCTGGCCCTCCTTTGTCTTGTGGCACCCTGCCGCCTCCTACTCCCTCTGCTTTGCCCTAACCTGTGGTTTCCTATGGTTTGGTGGACTTGTGCTGCCCTCCCCCCAACCCGCAGGGAGTTCCACCACCCACTTCAGTACACGCTAGCCCGGCCGCCCCCTGCCGGTACCCCCAGTGCCGAGCTGCGGTTCGCTGCCTATCTAGGCAACTGCGCTCCCGCCATCCTCGAGTTCCCCCGACTCGTGCTGCTGTTCTACTATGCGTGCCGAAAGGAGGCGGAGCGGGCGGTTAAGAAGCGAATGGCGGAGAGGCGGCGCAGGAGGGCCAAACGGGCGGCAGCAGCAGCAGCAGCCGGGGGGACAGGTGGGGTGGCAGTGGCGGCAGCAGCAGCCGGGGCGTCGGCGGCAACTGGTCGCCAGACGCAGACGACGGGGGACACGCCGCAGGGTGACACTTCAGCCATGGAGGCGGAGATAGTCGACGAGGCTTGCGTGAGTGCGAGAACGGGTGCATGCATGACGCAGGGGGCCATGTTACAGGCGCATCCTTGTATTGTATGCATATTTGGTGTCTCAAGAAAACTGGCCGCAAGTTTGGTGGGCATGCGACATGGCGAGGGTTTGACACTTCACAGTCTGCATTGCGGAAGGGTTCGCATAAATGGGCTGCAATTGGGTGTGCTGTCAAGGGTATCGTTCGGCTTCCAATCCGCTGCCTCCCCTCCCCTCGCTCGTGCAGGTGCGGCTGGGCGACTTGTTCGCTGAACTGCCCCGGAGCTGCAAGAAGAGCGCGGGGGGGGAGGCGGAGGCGGAGGCAGCAGCTCAGGAGGTACGTAACAAGTTATTACCGTCACTGGGACGGAGGTGCATGCGTTGCATGGTTGGTTGTGTGAGTTGTAAGGTGCATGTGGGGTCACTTTGTAAGGTGTATGTGGGGTCACGTGTCAGTGGGACTGCAGGGCTGGGAGCTGCTGCTGGCTGGGGTGTCTATGGAATGGACTAAGAGTAGAAACGTAGAGTGCAAGGCGGCGTTGAAGTGGCATCACACACTAGGCGCCGTAAGAAAAAAGAAATGTTCCAACCTTCCTTCCTCTCTCCCGGCAGGCAGCAGCGGTGGGGTCAAAGCGGAAATTGCAGCAAGATGCCTCACGTCGCCGGCTTTCCCATTTGGAAGCCGGGAAGAAGGTGGGTCCAACTGATATATATGTTTGTTTGCTCAGGCAAGCGGCGGCTCCCCTTCTCCATTCTGCATCAGACCTGTACATATCTGGTGTCTCCTGTTGTACCTACTGTTGTATAGAAAACAGGGATTAAAATGTCTTAGATGTCATACCTGGTCATCTATCACGCGAAGTGCCCCCCACTGCTGCTGCCCCGCTCTGCTGGCCCCCACCATTGATGCCGCCCGCAGCTGCTGCGGTCCTCCCTGGACGCCCTGACCAGCAGCCTGCAGCACGCGCCGCACATGCTGGGCGTCCTGCGCGCGGAACGAGAGCGGCTGGAGGGCCGGACAGCAGCAGCAGCAGCCGGCGCCGGCGGCAAAGGCAGCGGCGGCGATGCGGGTGCTGGTGCTGCACGTACCGCTGCTGCCGCTGCTGCTCCTGCCGCTGCTGCTGCTGCTCCTGCTTTGGCAGGTGCGGCGGCAGGTGGCAGCGGAGGCGCTGCGGGTGGAACGGCAGTCGCCGTGCAAGCAGCGGCAGCAGCAGCGGCAGTAGCGGCGGCAGCAGCCAGGGGCAGGGGTGTTGGCTTGGTTGCGGGTGGCGTTGTGCAGCAGGAGGGAGGTGCAGCGGGGGCTGAGGGCGCCGCCGGCAGGGTCAGCAGGGGGGCGGCGGCAACCAGGGGGGCTGATCATCATCATCATCATCAGCAGCAGCAGCAGGAGCCGGGAGGTGCTGAGCGGCGGCGGTGGGAAACCGTGCTTTCTATTCTCGTGGCCAACCACGTTCCCTACCAGATGCAGCTGGAGAACTACGAGCGCGTGAAGGCGGTGCCCACCGGCGGAGGGAAGTGCCTGCTGGACGTGCCTGGTGGGTGGGTGGGTGGGTGGGTGGGTGGGTGCTGTATGCCTGGCGCCGTGGTTGCTGTGGGGTTGCTGTGGGGAGTCATGGATGCATGCATGTGTGAGTTCATGGGGCCCATGGGGGATTGTGGTCGCGCAGGCTGCATGCAGTCTGCATGAGCGGTGTGCTCGTCGTGTTACTGCACTTGTGTAAGAGTCCCTCCTTGCATCCTGCTGCTAGTTAGTATGGTAGCGTGCAACTGCATCAGCGTTGGATTCGTGGAGCTCCCATGCATGATGCTGAATTGCTGATTATACCGGTAACATGTGCTCAACACACAGGCGTCGAGGAAGAGGGCAAGCAACTGCGCTGCGGGAAGCCCCTGCTGCCGGAATCGCTGCGAAAGTGGTGAGAGCGTCTCCTCCATGGCCGTGTGTCGCCTCCCTATCTTCACTTCCTCACTTCCTCATGCACATCAAATGATACTGGTTGTGTAAAGGACCGCAAAGGAACCACGTGGCCGACCCGTGCCCTCATCAACTTGCCTTCCCTGGACGCCAAAACTCCTGACGTTTTGTTGTAAATACATGCATGAAATTTTGATTCGGTCTGAATCGGGTGCTGTGGCCAAATGCAAGCAGGCTGAAGAGGCAGCGCAGCTCCGAGACCGCGGGTCGTACGACGGTGAAGAGGCAACGCATCTCCAAGACCGCGGGTCGTACGACGGGGAACTCCAAACCGTACGGCAGGTTGCTGGAGAGCCAGGCGCTGGGTACCGTGTGCGGGGGCGGCCGCATGACCAACGTGCGCGAGGTCGCGGTGTGCCTGCCCTATGCGGACCGGATCGCATCACCGCGGGAGTTTGCCTGCGTCCAGGTAGGGCGGGCCGCATGCAGCCCGTTCTGGTATACCTTGTTTAGCGGTAATAGTCAGTATAGGGCGGCTTGCCGTTTTGGTATTTTGTTGCAAGGTGCCATGTGTGGCCGCTCCAGTGCTGCACTGCGCTCCAGATGTGCCCACGCTCCCACCCCTCCCACCCCTCCCACCCCTCCCTCATCCTCCCGCCCTCCACCTCAGGGCTTCCAGCTGCACACCGTCTTCCTGACGGTCCACTCGCCCTTCGCGGCCCACCTCCGCCGCCACACGGGCACCGTGTCCTGGCTGGAGGGGGTGGTCAAGCCCGCCATTCGGGGCCTGAAGTGGCTGCTGCAGGTGGGCCCAGCAGTGGCTGCAGCTGCAGCAGCAGCGGCGGCGGCCCGGCAGGAGGGCTGCGAGCCGCCCTCCCTGCAGGAGCTGCGGGCTGCTTGGCACATGCAGCACCGAGTCATCAAGGACGAGATGCAACAGGTGGGCGGGGGCGGGAGCGCGGGGGCGCGGAGGCGCAGGGCAAGCAAAGGATGAAGTCGGGAATAATAATGGAGTTTGAGCAGGCCAAAAGAGCGGGTTGTGGTGTGCAGCGGTTTTGGCGGCTGCACACTAGGACGCGGATGTGGCAGTGGTGGTGCAACACCACAGCCTTCGACCGCTGTGCGACTTCATCCGCTTGGGCCCAACGTGCCTTGCACCCAACAACAATACTAGTCCCTTTGCCTTCCTTGCCATTGTACCGCTGCTGCTGCCCGCTGCCCGCTCTCCCGCAGATCGGCAACAGCTGGGCGGCACCGGTGGCCGAGGGCCTGGGCCGCTGCTTCGCGCTTGCCCTCGTGGGTCTTCCCTCCCTGGAGGGGCAGGAGAGCGTTCCCGACCCCAACTGGCAGGCTGCCTGGCAGTGGGCGGGGGCGGCGGGGGTGCGGTGCGTGCAGTCGTACGTGCAGGACCGAGAGGGCCTGTGGCCGGCTGAGCCGCAGGAGGTGTCTCAGGCGCCTCAGGTGGCGGAGGGCGACCCGGAGGCGTTGCTGGAGGAGAGCAGCGAGGAGGGGGAGGAGGAGGAGGAGGAGGGGGAGGAGGAGAGCGAGGAGGAGGAGGGGGAGCAGGAAGAGGAGGACGACGAGGAGGAAGAAGAGGAGGGCGACAGCGAGGATTCTGGCGAGGAGTGAGGACGTGAGCTGTGGTGAGGGCGACGCGTAATAGGAGGAGGAAGAGGGCATGCATGGGTCGGAGGTGGTGCACTGCGCGGGTTTGCATGCATGCATGGGATGGGATGTTTGTGGACGTAGCAGCGAACGTGTGGGTGGCTCGTGGCTCGAAGCGCGTGCGGTTCGTGCGTTGTACCGTATGTGGAAGGCTAATTAGTCTAGTCTTTCAACTGCAGCTACTAGCAAACCCGGTTTGATAGCGTGTGACATGGACAGCGACATGTCACACCTGCATGTTCGGCCTCCTTTAGTCCTTTCCTTGCTTTATGGGTTGTGTGCGGGTGGCAGGAGGGCCGCCCAGCACACCTTGTGAGCAAGGTTGTTGTAGGAGCGAGTAGCTTGGACTACTGCCGCAGCGGTTGGTGCGGCTGGGTGCTCGAATGGACGGTCAATGTTGATGATGATCACGAGCCTTCATTCCTCTAATCATCATCAATGTTGTTGGGTTCACTGTTGTGGGGAAACGGGACGGGCCGCATGCCAAGGGCAATGAGCTTGGGCGGAAACTGCTTGTGAGACTGCTTGTTTTGTTGGAGACGCGTTGGTTGTTGTTGCTGTAGGATGCGTGCACCATCCGATTGGTGCGCAGGTGGGTGCACCGGTGGTGACACCTAGCTAGGCCGGTGGGTGGCGGGTAGGATGTTGCAAGCTCAGCCTGCAGTGGGAAATTCCCCAGTGCTGTGGGCCTGGTGATGTGCTGTGGAGAGCTCGGAGCTCCATTAGTTATGTAAATACGCCCACGCACCGCGGTCAGCCCTTTTGCGTTTTCCGCAATTTGGATTGGAAAACACCGCAGCGTGCGGTCCCCAGGGAGCCACGCTATGTATGAGAGCGCTCTGTTGTTCGGCCTTCCACAATACCCCATCGTTCGCAGCGTGTTCAGGTGTGCCCACATCGCCCAGTGCCCCTCAATGGTAGCATGTAGGTAACATGTGTGGCGCACATGGTCACCTGTGCAACGCCGCCTGGAGGGAGGGCACCCGGGTGTCCTCTGGACTCCCCTGTCCGCGGCTACCCTCCGACCTACCCTCCGACCTACCCCCGCCCCCTGCAATTACAGGGGACCGACCCTCCGTGGGACTGTGGGGCCTTCATCATCTTCATCATCCAGCAATCACAGAGTACGTTCGTTCCGAGGCCAGTTTCCTAAACACAAGGCGTACCATCCGCGCTACATCGCCGTAACCCTAGCCCCACGAACCCCCGCACCTCCTCCTACTCCTACAACCTATTTGCTTCAGTGCCCCCTCCTGCCACCGCCGCCCTACCCATCTTCTCCCCCCACTTCCACACCCCTACCTCCTCCCAGCTCCTCCCAGACAATGACCACTCGCACACCTGACATCCCACGGTCAGGTAGTTGTTTCCTCTTTACCACCCGCCTCCCTCCTGGGGCCACCTGCTGACAAGGTGCCCCCTGCCTTCCCAGCACCACACGGCTGCGCGCCCCGCCCCCACCGTCCATGCCCATACACACACGTTTTTCCCCTGGAAGGGATGGGGGGGCTGCCGCACCCCCCCTGCCTCTACCGCCCTGACGCCCTGACACCCCCGCCTCACGCGCCCATGGGAGGCAGCCCCCCCCCACCACCCCCCCCTCGCACGCGCCCTCTCATCACGCGCTCTTCCGCAACCGACCCCACCAGGAGCTGGGGGAGGGGGTGGGGGTGTCAGGGGAGGAGGTGGGGGCAGCCGCCGCCACCGGGGGTTGTCCGGGTGCAGGGGGCGCAGCAGCAGCTGCGGGGGCAGCAGCGGGGGCAGGAGCAGCAGGCGGGGCGGGTGCTGCTGGGGCCGCTGCGGCAGCGGCAGACGGAGCAGCTGCTGCTGCTGCCGGTGCCGGTGCCGCCCCCTGTGTTGTGTCCCCCCGGCTGCTGCCTGCACTGCCACTGGACAGCTGCAGCTGCTGCCCCTCCGCCTCGTCCTCCGCCTCGTCCTCCGCCTCGTAGGAGTGGGCGTTGAGCAGCGCCTGGGAGGGAGGGAGGGGGGGAGGGAGGGAGGGGGGGAGGGAGGGGGGGAGGGGGGGAGAACTCGTAGAGAAGTACATCAACGGAGGAGGCTGTCATTCCCTGTCGGATTCAGCGCCGGTACACCTTCCACACGCACCCAAGGGACCCTACTCTCCCCCACCCACCCACCCCCTCAGTTGCCTCGGCAGTGTCCGTATCTATACCCCTCTCCTCCTCACCCACCCCTCCCCCCCCCCACCTTGATGAACGGCGCCCTCAGCTCCCCCAGCACCCCGCTGCGCCCGTAGGCGGCCGCATCGCCCACCACATACACCCGCGACTGCTGGGGCTGCAGCTGGGGGGAGGAGGGGGAGGAGGGGGAGGAGGGGGAGGAGGGGGAGGAGGAGGTGGAGGAGGTGGGCAGCAGCCCTCCTCCCGCCCCCCCTCCCGGTGCGGGCAGTGCCTGCTGCAGCTCGGGCCCCAGGTCCACAGCCAGCAGTTTCCAGGAGTACTGGCCCTGGGGGGGGGGAGAGCGGGCAGGGCAGGGCAGGGGAGGGAGTGGGGTCAATGAAGGGGAGAGGGGCCTGAGGGGGGGTTCAAAGACCAAATACCAGACCATAGGGGACCACAGGTTGGGGCACAGCATTTTTTAAAGAAGGGGGGAGGGGGGAGTAAATGAAGAGTGCAGCAACTGGCGTCCCAATTACATCATATTCCGACTCGTGCTGCTGTGCGCGCATGCACCGCCCGCTTTCCCCCCCCCACCTGCTTGTGGTCTCCTATGGTTTGTTATGGTCTTTGACCCCCCACCTGCTTCCTCTTGGCCTCCAGCGACACCAGCCCCCGCCGCTCCGAGCCGCTCAGCGGGAACATCATCTGGATGCGCCGGCTGCGGATCTGGGGGGGGAGGGGCGGGAGGGGGAGAGGGGGTGCGGGTGTGTGTACGGCAGCTCAACTTCCCCCCGCATGCGCCTTCCCGCCTCAATTCCCCGCTTACGTTTCCCCGGCCCCCCCCCCCTACCTTGGGTCTCCAGTTCTTGGAGAGGTACAGCCCCCCTCCCGTCACCACGTAGGCGCGCACCTCGCTGCCCACCAGCCGCTTGCCCATCACCTGAAGGGGGGGGAGAGGTGGGGGGCGGTAGGCTACTGTGGGAGCTGAGAGGAGGAGCAGGCCCCACAGCAGCAGCAGCCCCATTACCCGCTTCCAACCCGTGTGCGGGCTGCCGCATGCGCCTTCCAACCCCAGGCCTACCCGCCCTCCCTCACCCCCCCCCCTCCCCCTCACCCCCTCACCTCCCCCCCTCCCCCTCCCCCCCTCACCTCCACCACCCCCGGGTGGCTGCTCAGTCGCTCCATGGCCCTCCGCACCACCGCACCGGGGCTCACGGAGGAGCGCCAGTGCAGGTACTGCGCGAACACGCCCACCAGCGTGACAGCAAGACCCTGCATGGGGGGTTAGGGGGTGGGGGGTGGGGGGGTTATGATGGGAAGAAGAGGAATATGCCATGATGCTGGGAATGATGGCTGGCGGAAAGGGAAGAAGAAGCTGGATGGCCCCTCTCGCCCCACCTCGAAAGTGTCAACCCCCGCCCCCCGCATCACACCCCCCGCCCCCACCCCACCATCACCATCAGCCCCCACCCCACCATCACCATCCCCGCCCCCCGCCCCCACCATCCCCCCCCCCGCCCCCACCATCAGCCCGTACTCCGCCAGCTTCTCATTCACGGAGATAAAGGCGCTGGTCACACCGTACATCAGCCGCCTGGGGGGGGGGGTGAGGGGGGGAAGGGGGCGGGTTACGGCGTGTGTTCGTACATGCGTGTGTTCGTACGGCGTGCGTGCGGCCTCTCCATGGCACGCAAAGCTAGGGACCCCGGACCCGACCCGAGGCCGGTAGCCCACCCGCCCACTTAGAGGAGGCCCACCACGCACCACCACCACCCAGCCCCCGCCCATCACCCCACCCCTACCCTACCCCCCACCCAACCACCCATCCCACCCACCACAGCGCATACACCGCCGCCACCGCCGCCGCCGCACCCAACGCCATGCCGTACCGCTGCCAGGCTGCAGCCGCCTGCAGTCGTACAGCCTGACCCAGCCTGCTGCTGCTGGGGGTGCCGCGGGCGACTGCGGGCAGCGGGGCAGTGGCCTGCGGCTGTGTGGGATGGGGTGAAGGACCAGATAAGAGATACCAAACCATAGGAAACCGCAGGTTAGGGCAAAGCAATGGGGAAGGAAGGCAGCAGTGGTGTGGTGTGGTGTGGGCTGAGGTAAGCAGATGCAGCCGCCATAAGAAATGGACCAGGTGGCATGGGGAAAGGAAGCCGTGTTGTGGAGGAGTGGGGTCCATTTTGGTGCGTGGTGTGCACTTGTTGCGCCTTGCAGGTGTTGCCCCTTGCCGCACCCACCGCCTGCTGCTGCTGCTGTTGGGTAGCCATACGGCGCACGGGAGCCGCCCGCAGCGACAGCGGCACCGACGAGCCAGCAACGCGAGTCAGCACGCCGCCTGCACCTCCGCTGCTGCCGATCGCACCAAGCAGGCCAGCGCTGCGGGCTGTGACGGAAGGCGCGGATGCAGATGCGATGCCAATTGCTGCTGAGTTGGCAGGCTGCAAAGCAGCTGACGTGCTGGATTGGGCCCAGGTTCGCAAGGTCCGGGAGAAGGGTACGCCGCGGCGGCTGCAGCAAGCGGCTGCGGCCAGCGCTGCGAAAGCTGTCGTGATAATGGGCGAGGCTAGCATCGGAGCTGGGGCCGGCCCCGCCGGGTGGCAGGATGAGAGGAGCTCCGATGCTGTACTACATGCATTGCTAGCGCATTGTTTCGCCATGGTTAACAGGCCGCTGCGGAGGTCCCGGTACCGGTAATTGCAAAAGTGTGCAGGATACCGTGTAGCGTACGGACTGCAAAGTAAGTCAAATAGGGTAAACCTTCCGAACAGCAAGGATACGTTTCCGACAGCAACGACTATAGCTGCAAGCCTTTCCTCAGCGCAACTATCATGTTGCTACCGAAGTTCCCATACGCAACTACTCCTACTGCTGAAGTTCGAGTGCTTAAAGCGTAAAGCCGTCGAAAGCGTCATCATGCTGTTCCTCCCGTTGTACGGCTGTCAGTTTACCGTATGCAGCGAACAAAGGCCTGTACGTCTGCTTCTCTGCTTGCGCGTTCGATCGCTTCGCTTCGAGGGGTTGCTTGCATAACACGTGAACGCAGACGTGGTAAAGGAGCTTAAGAATTCCCAGATATAACAGGTCCTTCCCTCCAATCGTTGTGCTTATCGCTCGCTCCAAGAAGGTAAGTCGATCACAGGCCTTGCCAGCTTAGCTGGTGTTTTATCTACGCGTTTAGTCTTGTGATGGAGCAAGCTGTCAGCGATGGGCTGCAGCGTTATGCAAGTAGCTGACAGGGGTACTAGATCTGCCGTTTCTCGTCGGCTTCTGGATTTCGCTTGGGCAAATTAATTATCATCATAAACATTTTAAATAGTAACACTGCCATGCGGCCTTGGTTTTGGCTTTGACAGCCCTAGACTTTTGCGCTTCCTAACCGCAGAGTGTCTTTGTTCTTGTCGCTAACGTTCGCTATTTGTTTGCTTTAACAATATCAGCAGGAGTAAGAATGGAGACCTTAAAGGGCCCTCGGATAGGCATGTCGCGCAACGCGCGCGGCCGGATGGCCACCGCGCGTCCGCAGGCGCTGCCACTTCCGCGTGCAAGTCAACCTTATGTCAGCAGCCCTGGCTTCAATAAGCGTGCGTCACAGCTCCAGCGCGTCAACGTTCGCCAGGGCCCGCTCGGCAATCGCTTGCACACCATCGCCTCTGCGGCCGCTGCGGACGCTGGGGGCCACAAGGCCAAACCAGCCTCCTCCACATCTCCGTTCGGCAAGCTGCTGTCTGTCTTTAACGTGTACTCCGATGAGCGCTGCAACAGCAAGCTGCTGGCGCTGGCCGTTGGTGAGTTCGTTACCTTCTTCGCTGCGGGTCACCCCCTGCCGTACGACATGCTGCTCCCTCCCTGCCGCTGGTCCTGACCTTGTAGCGGCCAGCGATACAACACATGTAGAACCAGCAGACGCACCTAACATGTGTTTTCTGAGCATCCACGAGCATCTCATCAGCCTCTCGCCCGAATCCTGCCTCCTGCTCCTATCCCTCTCGTCTTCCTCTTTACCCTCCTCCCCCCCCCACCACAATGCCGCCTTATCATACGGCCAGTTAGGGTTGTTTCTTCTTCACCCCCCTCCCCCTCCCCCCTGCCCTCCCCCCCTGCAGGCCAGATGCTGTGCTCCATCGCCACCCTCATCCACGACTCCTACCTGCCCATCTACGTGCATGAGGAGCTGGGGCTGTCAACCGGCAAGGTGGGGGAGGGCGGGGGGGGGAGGGGAGGGGAGGCGAGGGGAGGGAGGGAGGGGGCTGCCAACCGGCAAGGTGGGGGGGAGAGGAAACAACTAACTGACTGAGTGATGAGGCGTCAGGGCGGAAGGGGAGGGAGGGAGGAAGGGGCTGTCCACGCGCATTGCAGCCAGCTACCAGCAGTCCAGTTGGCGGAAACCGTGGCAGCTACCAGATACACACGTTGTTGTGGCTTCCAGCGCCCTATCTGAGGCTTAGCAGAGTTACCTCACGCTATGGCAGCAGCAGCAGCAGCAACAACAACGACAGCAGCAGCAGCAATAGAGCCTGAGTGGCTCCTCCTGTCTAGCCACTACCCCCTAACCCCACCGACACACACACACCACACACACACCACCGCACCCCACCTGCCGGCTAACCCTAAAGCCAGCAGACATCCGAATTCACCCCGAGTCCCAAACCACTTACCCAACTAACCACCGCCCCCCCCTCCCGTACAGATCGGTGCCGTACAAGGCGCCGCCCAGTTCCTGTGCCAACTGAGCAAGGGGGTCAGTGGCGTGGCGGGGGACGTGCTGGGGTCGCAGGTGGGGTGATGGGGGTGGGGGTGGGGGGGATTGGATTGGAATGGTGAGGAGGAGGATGGTGAAGAGCTGTGGGTGACAAGGTGCTGTGGATGACAGGGTGCTGTAGCACAGTGCGAGGCGGTTTGGGGCCGGGTGAGGGGGTGCCACGTGGCCCGGAGGACGGCAAGCAAGGCCGTAGGAGTGTAATGTTGAGGCACGAGCGAGGGGTAGTTGATGTTGAGTGTGATGTTCAGGCGCGGGGCCGCCCCCCTGCCCTCGGGCCCCATGCCTTCCTGACCCCACCCGGGACAACCCCCCCCCTTCAACCCCCCCTCCCCCCGCCCCCTCCCCCCGCCAGACCCGCGTGCTTGTGTTTGGCACGTTCCTGACACTGGCGTGCAAGCCCATGTTCGCACTGCTCAGCACGGTGTACGGCGTGTTTGGCGTCACCGCCTGCCTGTACTGGTGGGTGGGGGGGATGGGGGGCGGAAGGAAAGGCTGGGTGTGTGGGGGCGGGGAGGGGCTGGGGGGACCGAGTGCTGAGGGCGCGTTTGAGCGGTCAGGCGGTTTGTTATGAGCGCTCAGGCGGTTGCCCCCCTCTCCCTCCCCCCCGGCCGCAGGTTCTTCATCGCCAAGCTGCTGGACCGGCTGTCCAAGGGCATCCGCGAGGCGCCCACCAAGGCCGTTATGAACGAGCTGGCGGCGGAGAGTGGGGACGCGCCGGATGCGGCGTACGGTGAGGGGGGGGAGGGGCGGGGAGGGGGGAGGTGGGAGGGAAGGGGCGGGAGGGGAGGGGGGCGGGGCGAACGGTGTAGGAGACATGTAGGCGCTGGGATGAGCCATCCGCACACACACTCGTTTTCTTAATACACCCGTTACACTCCGCCCGCTCCCTCCATCTCCCTCTCCTCCCCTAATTTGAGATGCGTGTTATTAGTGCCTCCGAATGCGCTCACTGCATGAGTCGGGATATGGGATTGGGATTCGTTGTTTCACTTATATAATTTTTTCCCCTCCTCCCCTCGGCCCCCGCTAATTCCCAGGCCTGCGCCAGTCCCTGGCCACTGCCGGCATGCTGATCGGCTCCACCGTCGCCTCCCTCACCTTCGCCGCCACCGGCAACAACTACGTGCTCACCTTTGCGGTGGCCGCACTGCCGCCCGCACTGGCGCTGGCGTGGCTGTGCGCGGTGAGGGGGGGGAGGGGGGGGTGGGGGAAGAAGAATGCGCAATGTGTTTGACACTGGTAAACTAGCTGACTAGCCCTGGGGGAAAACGAGTGAGTCGAACCGAAGTGGGAGGAGGGAGGGGCGCTGAGGAAGGGGAGGGAGGGAAGGAGGAAACAGGGCTTCACCATGGGTTGCATGGGCGAAGTGAACGGAAGGAGAAAGCATGCTGTCTACTCGTAACCACCAACCCTCCTGTCCTCTCCTCCCTCCCACACCTCCGCCCCCCCCTCCTGCAGAACTTCCGAGACGAACTCTTCGGCTCCCCCTCTCCCTCCCCCGCCTCGCCTCCTCCCCGCCCGCCCCCCTCCTCCTCCTCCCCCTCCCCCGTAACCGGCCCCGCCAGCAGCGTGCTGGGCTCCACCCTCTCCGTGGACATGCCTGCGGGAGGGGCGGGAGGGGGTGCGGGAGGGACCCCGCAGCCGGGGGGCTGGGTGGCTCCCGACTGGGCTGCAGGTGGGGAGCCGGTGGTGCGGCTGAGTGCGGTGGAGAAGGCGGTGGCCATCCTGAAGGCCTTCAAGCCGGCGTATTGGCAGGTGGGGGGGGAAGGAGTTAAATTTGGAAACAGAATCCGCATTACGCTGGATAGTTGGGGTAGCAAATAACTGTAGTTGTTGTATAGTTAGTAGCATCAATCAATAACAAACCGTATTGTAAGCTCCATGGCGGCTGGGGAGGAGGGGGGAGGGGGAGGGGCGGGGGAGGGAGGAGACTGGCAGGTGGGGAGGGGGAGGGGGAGGGGCGGGGGAGGGAGGGGAATGAAGGAATGAGAACTGCATAGCTCAGTAGGGCATATCCCATGTCCTGAAAGGGTGGGGAGGGTGGGGTCTGCCGCGTCACCTCCTCCCGCATGCGAGCCCCGCCCCCCCTCCTCCTCCTCCCCCCTCCTCCTCCCCCCCGCACACGAACCACCTGCCACCACCACCTCTCCAACCACACATGACACCCCTAGACGCCCCCTCTCACAACCCCTCCCCGCTTACCCCTCCCCCTTTTTCTCCCCTCCCCTTCTCCCCCTCCTTCCTCCCAAACCAATACACACACACGCACACGCCCCGCCCCCAGGCGCTGCTGGTGGTGGCGGTGCTGTACTTTGCCCGCTTCGACGCCTCCTTCCTCAGCCTGCGGGCTAAGGCGGTGAGGAGAGGGGGGGACTGCTGCTGGGAGGGAGAGGGGGGGGCAGGGAGAGGGGGGGCAGGGAGGGGAGCGCTCGGGGAGTCGAGGAGAGCTGCTTTTCCGTGCGTTAAAAGGCGTGGCCCTCCTAACAGCGAGGAGGTGGGCCAACAAAGCACACCCCTCCGCCCCTGTTGTCGTCCCTAAATAGCTTACCAACCGGCTTGCTACTCTGCTACTTGCCTTTGTGCTGCCTCCTGTGACTCCCCCCCCTCTCCGCCCTCTCCACCCTTTCCCCCCTCTTACCCCCTCTCCCTCCCCCTTCATCCCCTCTCCCCCCACTCCCTCCCCCTTCACCCCCCCCCCCCCAGGTGATGCCCAAGACGCTGCTCCCCATGCTCACCCTCATCAACACACTCATCCAGGTGGGAGACGGGGGGAGGAGGGGGGAGATGTGGGAGAGGGGGGAGAGGGGGCCGCAAAGGGATTTTGTTTATTTTTTTAAAATTGCTCAAACCACCCCAATGCCTTCCCTTGGTTCCCATCTACTAACCACCCCCTCCCACCCCAGATGCTGCTGACCGCCCCCCTGGCCCGCCTGTCGGGTGCCTCCGTGACCAACCGCAACCGGCTGCTGCTGGTGGGCTTTGCGTTCATGGTGGTGGCCAACGCGTGCTTCGGACTGCCGGCAACGGCTAGCCCGGCGGGTAGGGAGGGAGGGAGGGGGGGGTTGGGGGAAAGGAGGCTACCCAATGTGTTGAATGAGGCTGGCAAACAAGCCTACGAGCTCCTGGTGGATGGAACCGAGGGGGAGGGGGGAGGGAGGGGGGTAGAGAAGGAGGAACAGTGCATGAGAAGTGAAGCACAACCATAGTTATGGGGAGGAATTGCGCGCATGTGCAGCAGCATCACCGGACTCCCGATGCTGTGTGGATTGCCCCCCTCCCCGCCCCGCCCCTCCCGCCCCTTCGCCCCACCCCCCCCAGGCATGTTCGCGGGTGCTGCCTGCATCGGCCTTCATATGGCGCTCACGCACGCAATCACCATCTCCATGATCTCCTCCTACATGCCCACCGGCGTCATCCCCGGGGTGGGCAAGCTGAGCGGCACCGCGGTGTCGTTCACGGACCTGCTGCTAGGTGGGTGGGAGGGGGGGCGGGAGCGGGGGCGGAAGGAGGGTGCGGTAGGGAGGGAAGGAGGGCGCAGTTGCTGTGTTAAGGAGACTGGCCGCGAATAGGAAAGTACTGGTTTGTGGGGAGATGATGTCCCCACGTAAACGCCACGGAAATTATTGTGCCGTCTCCCTCGTTTAATCCTTCATCGTCTCCTCCGCCTCTGCCCTCTCCCCCCAACCCACCCATCCTCCCTCCCCCGCCCCCCCCCCAGGCTTCGTGCTGGCAGCCAGTAACGCGCTGGCAGGGGTGCTAGCGGACAAGTCGCGAGCCGCGGGGCTGGGCAATGTGGGCTGCTTCGCGGGTAGGACCCGTTGTCGGTGACCCGTGGGTCGGTGGGGACTGCTGGTGATGCTGCCTGCCGCCTCATTCCCCCCTTGTTTTGCCCCTAACCTGAGCTTTCCTATGTCCATGTTTCCTTCTGTCCTCCCCCCTCTTCCCCTCTTCCCCCCCCAGGCGGCGCCGCAGCCTGCTTGCTGTCTGGTGCGCTGCTGCTGGTGTTCAGTCGGTGGGGCGACCTGGCGCGACCCGAGCTGATAGTGCAGCGGGGAGGCCGGAGGGGAGGCAGCAAGGCGGCGTGAGAGGGGCGGCGGAGGGGAGGGGATGGTAGCAGCGCCGGTGACACCGGCGTGGAGGCGGTTTGGGTGCCGGAGCGCGAGAGAGGGAGAGGGTCGTGACGTGGTGTGTGAGGAGTGAGGAGAGAGAGAGATGAGGGCGGTGAGGGGCTTTGCGGAAGGCACCATACAGCAAGCGAAGGCGATGAGGGCGGGTCGGCGGTCGGGAGGCAGAGGGGCGCCAGCAACTCAGCCGTCCTGGACACCTATCGGTCCTATCCTGTCACCCCTCCCCCCCCCAAGCACCTCCGATAGTGTCTCCGAATGCACTCACTGCATGAGTCGGGATATGGGATTGGGACTTTAGTTGTTTGCATTTCTTATATAATTTCCACCCCCCCCCAGCACCAGGGCATGAGTCGGGATATGGGATTGGGACTTTAGTTGTTTCACTTATACTAAAATGTTCCCCACCACCACCCAGCGCCCGTATGGGAGCTGCCGCGCAGGGGTGGGGGTGGGGGTGGTGTGTCGTTTGCAGGGGTGCGAGGGGTTGGGTGTGGGCTGTGGAGAGTAAGCAGCCGGGCTCACACATACGCCCCCTACGTTGGTTTTTTGCGTTGTGGCTGTTGACGCTTCTTGCCTGAGTGTGTGGGGCCAAGCTCGTCTGGATTTGTACTGATGTAGGTTTCCCTGACCTGCCTTGCCTTGGCGTGATAGAGATGCACTTCCTAGAACGAAAGAGGGTGTTGCTTTTTGAGAAAGCCATAGCACATGGAATAAAGTTTGTCGATAAGTGCAGTTGGGCAGTGAGAATCCCCGTGTTCCGCGTGAGTTGCTGGTGCACGTTTTTGGTGCATCACGCAGTTGGAGGTTGCACACAATTGATTGTTACGTAGAGGGGTTCTCATAGGGGTTCCAGTCAATGGTAGAGGACTTCAGCGTGGGTAGGAAGCTGAAGAGGCGCGAGGACCTGAAGAGACAATTGAAGACTCTGCCGCATTGTCGCTATAAGCATCGCTTTCAAGAGCGAGTTAAGGTGCCGGTCGACACGTGCCATAGTTTTCGGGGCACAGAAAGCTTTTTGTGGGTTGCTTGTGCTGGCGAGTCATCCCATACATGGGTTACGGCCACCCGTCGGGCCAAGGGCTCGCAGTGTAACATGCCCTGCAACCTGAACGTGCGTTCTCTTAGCCGCTTAGCTTGTGTGGCGTAGGTGCATATGCGGGGGCTCGTGCTCCCAGTATGCGAGTATTACTCGGGCCTCCAATGTGTGGAATACAGGTACTGTACCGGTACTTCCGCAACACCCCTAAGCGGTTTGTCCCAGCGATGTTGCCCTCTAACAATCTCAACCAGATGTTCAGCACATGGCACTTGGTTGGCAACACAAGGACATTGGGAGGCGCAGTTGGTAGCCCGGCCGCAAGGGTAACCACAGATGGAACCAGTACTTATTCTGGAAAATGGTATTACTTCCATAACGACGCAGGTCCACGCTGAAAAGCTACGCAGGAAAGGCGCCTCGAATCAGTTCTGAACCAGCACCTAAATGACGCCAGCCGGATAGCGTTCATCACAAGTAAGCAAAAAGTCAACCAAGGACTTTGTTCTTACACAACACCAAAGTGAACCGCTTAGTTAACCCGGGAAACGAATTTAAGCTTTCCTGTAATATATCTGCTAAAACTTATTGACTTTCTAAACGTTCGAGTCATTCTCAAAGCCATATTGATAGCCACAGTGCCCGGCAGAACAGTGAACAGTGCCGTACTAAGTACCTGGCTTCTTGCCCGTTTGCAAACAGCTTCTATGTTTCACTGTATGCTGTTGCTGAAGTTTGTATCTTGCACTTCAACTTCTGCGAGCAAACGCTTAAGACTTTTCTCCTCTTGATCGTCGACCTATAAGCATAGCGGCGGCCTATGTTGATACGCTAGGAAAGCCATACTGCCCCTTAAGTTTAGCTGCCTTTGGGGAGGCTCCAACCCAGGGGCGCGGTAGCTATAGCGCGCCACCCAGGATTTTGAGGAAGGGACGCCTAGTTACAGCGCCATGGCGCGCAGTACGTATGATGATTTTATCATTAAGGAGAAGATTGGGAGCGGTAGCTATGGCGTTGTCTTCAAGGTGGTGCGGAAGGTCGATAAGCATGTATACGCAATGAAGGAAATCGACCTCCAGGGCATGTCCCGAAAGGTGCGGCTTTGCCGGGCTGAGGCTTAATATATATGGCAAATCGTTTAGTCCAAAATCCTCAGGGGTTTGGGCTGTGGGTATGCTGGTTTCGGACGCCATACTCTCTTCCGAACTCCCACAGGAGCAAGAGGAGTGCATCCGGGAGACCCGTGTGCTGTCGTCTTTGGACTCGGACTACATCATCAGATATTACGATTCCTTCCTTGAGAAGGTAGGCCGCAGCATGGGTTGCAGCAGCATTGTGCAAGTGTAGGTGCCAAGCAAGGCTTGCTGCTCCGCAGGGCAAGCTCTACATCATCACGGAGTATGCCGCAAATGGCAACTTGCACGACTACATCAAAAAGCAAAAATCACGGCTCACTGAGGAGCTCATATGGAAGCTCTATATACAGGTAAGCCGACTGGCCTGCTCAAGCCATTTTGCACGCGTTCCCCTCACAACGTCTTTTTCCTATGTGTAGATCTTGTTAGGTCTTAACCATATGCACTCCAGAAAGATCCTGCACCGGGACATAAAGACGCTGAACGTTTTCCTCGACGAGGACGTCAACGTCAAGCTGGGAGACATGGGCGTCGCAAAGGTGGGATGGCCAAGGCTCTTAACCTTGTTAGAATGCTTTTGCTGTACTTCTATCTCAACATGTGTTTACCTGCAGATTCTGAGCACAAACACCAACTTTGCAAAGACGATAGTTGGCACGCCCTACTACTTGTCACCGGAGCTCTGCGAAGATAAGCCATACAACGAAAAGTCCGATGTATGGGCGCTCGGTGTGGTGTTGTATGAGTGCTGCACGCAACGGCACCCCTTCGATGCCGACAACCAGGTACGATTGTTTACAGCCGCAGCGTGTTTCCACGTCATGCGCGGACGCAACCGTAGTAAGCGGCTTCCGTGTCTGCAGGGCGCGCTCATCCTCAAAATCTTGCGCGGCAAGTTCCCGCCGGTGACGGGTTACTCCCCAGACATCTCCGACCTCATCAAGCGTTGCCTGACACAGGTGAGGCCGAACTTGTCATTCTCTAACCCCTAACTCCCAAAAGAAAAACTGGTAACTAACAAAGGGCTTCCGCCTCTATGCACCCTAGAACGCAAACCGGCGGCCAAACACTTTCAAGCTCCTGATGCTTCCCAGCATTCGGCAGAAGGCGGAGGAGCTGGGGATCTCTCTACCGGACCAGGCGTCGCTGCGTGACATGGCGGACAGAAACATGGCGAGCAGCGCCGCAAAGGTTGGTCGGTTGGGGCTTGAGCCGAACAACTGTATACCGGCCCAGGCCATTCCTGCCCTGGATAACACTTACCCCTTCCCCCGTTTGCCTTGCTACCCTGCATGGTCGTCGCGGCATGGCTAACACCACAGCCCCGACCAAAGACGCCGCAAGGTGAGCCGCTTCGGTTGCATGGGTGGATCCTTGTGGCGCCGGGGTTGAAGCCCAATTGGGACGGCAATCCCCACTAGCAATGGTCGAGCTGTTTGGAATACTCATTGCATCATTAGCATCAGGTTGCTGACCTCGTTTTCAAGGTTACGAAGCTACCCTTGTCCGTTGCAGGCCAAGAAGCCGAGTCCCAGGAAGCACCGGATCAAGCGGCAGCTCGATCCTCCGGGAACCCGCAGGGGCCTGCTCGCGCCGTAGGTGCGTTGAGGGCAAGCACAGCTTGGAGCGGGGTTGGTGAAGCTGGCTGGACCACCCTGGTGCTGGCCAGCCTGGGGTACCGCAAGCAGAAGCCCTTTGCAAGTGTCGACTGCCTCCCTCTCACGGATTTACAACCGCGCACGCGCCCTGCTGTTGGCTGGCAAGCAACTGTTGCCTCGTGCAATCGCCCACAGGGGACATGAGCTCGTCGCCTGATGTAGCTGCGCCCTCCGCGGGTGAGGACGGTGCGTTCGCCTCCACCATCCGTGCGAGCGAGGTGGCGGGGCCGCGGCCAGTGGAGGTGTCGGTGTCATGTGTGGAGCAGACGTCTGGGGAGGGGCAAGCGCTGGGCACAGCACCGGCGCCCGTTCAGACGGCGTGGGCGGAGGAAACGGCGAGGCCCAAAGCGAACCGGCCGCCAGCTTGGGGCTTGACACAGCAGATGGGTAAGCAGGATGTGGTTTCGAACAGGTCTGTGGGATAAGCAGAACGTGCGAGCAGCAAGAAAGGAAGACAGAGATGTCATGTCATGTCGGGGATCGTCTCGTGTGTTGCGAGCGCCCGTGTACGGGCATGCCTTTGCGCCTACCTGGGTAACGGCAGCTATACATGCGCAGCTATGCGCAGCGATACATGCGGCACGCCCGGGTGTGCAATTGACGAGGTGGCTGGACATGTGCACGATAGTGTTTGGGGAAGGGGGGACACGTTGGTGCATGCTGGGAGCCAGTTCCACGCGCGCAATGGGTTTAGTTCAGGCTCTAGGTGGTATCTTAACGCCCACTACCGAGCCACAACGTCCTTACCTTGCCCTCGCGCTAACGCCAATCGGGCAACCCTCCAACGCCGCCTATCCGCCACAGACACCCTTGACGTGGACGACGACGGCGAGGAGGAGGACGACAGCAAGAACCCCTACCTGCATCCCGTACAGGCAGACGACTCGTCGGTCGAGGAGGAGGAGGATGACGGGGAAGGGGAGGAGGGCGAGGAGGACGACTACGACAACGGGGAATACGACGCGGCCGGCGAGGACGGGGAAGAGGGCGAGGCCGGGTGGGCGCCCGACCCTTGCCGCATCGCGCACATGCGGACGGCACTCATGATCCAGCGAGCAGCGTGCTTGGACCTGGTCGGCGAGAAAGCCTTCAATGAGCTGTGAGTCGCTGCGCGGGAGCAGCGGGCGGAAAGGGGAGGAGGGCGAGCAGCGGGGATCACTTTAGTCTTGTTGGGGTGTAAGGCACCAATGGGCATCACGCATGGGATTGCATGCACGCATGTTACGAAAAAGGGTTCGCATGTTTCACGCAATTTGCGTGCCCAAGGTCTTTTGGCCCCGCGCCCACTTCGCCTGCTGCCATTTGAGGCCACATTGGGATAAACCTGTGGCCCTGCTTGACGCGTTCGCTCCATTTGCCTGCCCGCCCGCCCGCCCATTCCTTTCCCTTGCCCCTACAGCTACGCGTTGCTGAAGAGCAACCAGGTGGACGAGGCGAGCATGACGGACTTGTCGCGGTTGGTCTTCAAGATCATTCCCTATGACAAGTCGGAGGTGATCCAGATGATGTACAAGCTGCTGTACCTGGAGTCGCAGCTGGAGGGGCACTAGCACCGCGTGTGACAGGAGCCGTGGAGGAGCGACGGTGGAGGGCATGGCGTTGGTGGTTGCGATGTCGACCATGCATCAGGAGCAGGAGGAAGGAGGTGGAGTAGCATGTTTCTCCAGCAGCGGCGCCCGTAGCAGCAGCGTGAGGCGTCTAGGGCCGAGCGTTGAATTGGTAGCAGCGAGCGACGCGAGGAACCCGATGCTCCTGGTTGTTGAGGCTGGAGAAGGCGGGCGGATTTGGCGAGGTGGAGTGAAGTGGGGCAAGGAGGGGGCGACCGGACGGCGCAGGCAATGCGCGAGAGGGAGCTTGCTGGTGCCGTATGAGGCGCTGCTTCTGTTCCTGAAGTAGAAGTAGCTGGTTGTTGTGGGGGTTGGAGGGCTAGGAGCCGTTTGTGGCACACGCGAATGCGGATGGCCTCACCTCCTTGGAGCCCCCGTCCCCTCTCAGCTCAGAACAGCGAGTACCACAAACAGACAGCAAAAGTAAACTGCGCATAAATTGAGTGATTGTGAAGTGAGCAGTGCGACAACACCGCCCGTTGTGCGAGCATTTGCCGTTTGGAGGTCGGGCGCGCGTCTGCAGTCTTGCCAACCTCCAGTGGAAGCCTGTCCTAGTGCACGTTGGGGACTCGCCTCGCCCTGCCTGTGCCGTTACATACATTAGACGCTGCAACGACCAACACTTGGTTGTAGGAAGTGAAGTCGTCGCCTACTGGGTGACGCGCCCAGTGATCCTCTCTCTTCTGGTTGGTGCCTGCATTGCCGTTTTGATCGCAATCACGTCTTTAAGCGTGGGGCAACGTATAGTGAGTGGTTTCGAAGCCGGCATGATGCGCCCAGGTGCATTGTCTCAGTGTGCTGTCCCCGTGTTTAGGTATATCTTCGAATGCGCCATCACCATGTGCTTTAGGTGTGATGTGCGCATGGGGGGCTCGTTTGTTGTGTTTTGTGTAGCCTGCGCGGGAAAGCACCGGAAGCTCCGGGTCCTTAACTTGGAACAGGAGCCAGCTGCGCGCTGGTTACGTTTGCGGTGGTGGACTGTCTCGCGCGCTAACATGGTGCAGGCTATGCGAGGTGGCTTTAGGCAGGAATCTGGTTATTACGCGATCCATGTCAGATGGGCAGGGTGAGGAAACGAGGGGTGTTGCTGTGTCGCGCACTGCTGTACTTTGACGTGCACCCGTGCAACTGTTTAGAGCTATGATGTACACCCCTTCCGCGGCTTTTGCAGGCGACGAGCGGATCCATGAGCAAATTTAGTTTTGTGATGGCTGTGCCTTACGTCAGCTGGTTGTTGCTCCATCGTTGGTTAGTTTGTCGAGTGACTACCTGAGGACTGTAGTCGTACGGCAGGTGGGAGTGTTCCTTTGCTTGGTTCCTGGGGCTTATCACGCGCCTCCGGCTCGTAACGAGGGAAGCTGTCGCGCAGGTCACAGCCTGCTGAGGGGTGCGTTATGGCTTGGCTGCAGTTTTCAGATAGGCGACAGCAGCGGCTAAATGGGCTCTATTGACAAGTAGGATGGAAATGGGTAAATCTCGCGTGGTGGGATCCGGCGGTGAACGAGCTGAGACGACGGCTATGGAGGCCGACACAAGCACAAGCGGCCAGTTTACAGGCTTGTGCGCTAAATAATTCTCGCTTTGACTCTCGGTCTACGATTGGGGCAGACGGTTATGGGTTCGTGCCCCGTCTCCCGGTGGGGATTTCGCGAACGAAAGGGCTGATTAGTATGCCATTGTGCATCGGAATGGTGTGTTGAACGTCGCATGCATTCTACACAAGGGGAGGAGGCCTTGTAAACGTGGAGACGCTGGTGAAAGGGTCTTGGTATTGCAAACGGTAAAGCTAAAACCGAGCTTTGCAGTTCACCCAACGCGCAATCAGATGCTTACAAATGCGTCCTTGACACGGCAATGCCAGCTGTTTAGTGTACAGCCTGTGAGCAGTTAGCAATGACCCTGGAACCGGAAAGCAGCTTTACGTAAGGAGGTAATCTCCATTGCGGTAATATCCAACGCAGATGACAGCTTCGTTACGACAACGCAACAGCAACGCTATATTTGTTTTATATTGTTGTTTGCAGCGAATACCACCAAGCTATAAGCAGGCGACATGTGTGATGCCCCATCCGGCAAGCCGAGTTCGGCATGCGACGGCCTCCCGTCAAGTATATTTGTTAGCGACGATACTGAAGTACATGACGTGCCTATGTCTGTAATCCGGAGACCACTCATGTCAACGGTTGAAAGAGCTAAGGTGGAAGACTTCAAGCAAAAAATAAAGGTGAACAGAGGCAAGGGTTTGTTAGCTTTTGCGGTTACGAATTGGTTTTTCATCACAAAGTCGTGGATAGCATTCGGTACTGCTTGACCGAAGGCTCCTCAGCTACCGTGTGAACCGGCTGCAGTATTAGTGGGCTTTAGGGCCAACATATTCCCCGTGCCAATCTATAGGACACGCACCAGCATCCTATAGTCACCCACCTAACCATAATACCATATATGTTCCGTACCCTACATGGCATGCAGTCCGGGGTGGCCCTAACACCCATAGAGGTGGCCTGGGTGGAGCGGCCCGATGGCTCCTACTACTTCTCATTCGGCGGCTGCCACCGCTGGGCGGCTCACTCGGAGGTGGGCGGGGTGCGTGTTGGGCCCACATCGAACCGCGAGCTCAAACAAGTCGTGCATGTGGGCTTTACTTTGTGTGTTTAAGAAAACGGGCCGCGAGTCGGAACGTACTTTGTGCGTATGCATGCTGTTGCATGTGTGCGCTTTGCATGCGGGTTTTGGGACCTGCGGCCTGGCAGCCAACGGCTTGCATGAGAGTGTTACCGGTGCTCTGTGACGGCGCTTGAAAAGGCTCATATCCGAAAACACTCTGCGAATGCGCGGATCTCAGAACGGTGGCATAGGAGCACTAGGGTGTAATACGACTTACAAGTAAAGCAAACCGATGGATGGGAATACTTCCATTCGTCCCAACTCCTGCCCTCTTGCCCGCGCATGTGTTCTCCGCCAGCTGGGCAGCACCACCATCCCCGCGCGCCTCATCCGCGTGTCTCCCGCCACCATCAACACCTACCTGGGAGCCAGTAGCCCCTTCAGGAACCTGGGATGAGGAAGCTGGGCTGGGATGAAGAACATGGGAGCATTGTGTGCCCCGACCCTGCTGCGTACACAATCGGAGGGCTGATGAGCGGGAGGGCGGACAGCGCTGGGAGCAGGGGAGGGCCTGGGGCTGCTGGGTTGGGCGGCAGGTGCGGCACACGGCATGCGAGTTGCAACTCGCAAGGGGAGTGTAAAGCTGGGCCCAAATGGTATCCTGCATCTTCTCCATACATCTGCAGTTTGCAAGCGTGAACAGTGTGTCCGTATGATCCATGGGGGGTAAAGGACACTATAATAAATATATTTAGGCGCGTTTAAAAACCCCCCGGGTCCGGGGACAACAAGAGGACTCGACCCAGTTTGGGTGTTGGCATTGAAGTTGTGCGGGTAGGGCATATGGGTCCCAGCACACGCAGCAACTGGCGCGGCGGCGGCTTAGATGGTGGAAGCGCGAGTCGAGGGAGGGCGCTGCAGCTCGGTGCCACCTTCATCCAGCGCCACAGGGGGCCAATCGTCGTCGTCCGCAGCGGTGACGGCGGCAGCAGCGAGGTAGATGCACCGCTAATCCGCTATCAACAGGGGTCGGAAAGGACCAAACCATAACGGGGGGAAGTTACGTTCGGCTGTGGCATAGGTACGAAAGCATGGCGAGCAGGAACGCGCAGCTCAGGAAGCCCTCAAAGCTGCGCCCCAATACTGCACCCCCAACCTGCCCCAACCCTAACCGAACCCCACTTGTCCACTACCCTGTGACTAGACTTACGAGGATACAAGCCGTACAGACTTCTGGCGTGTTGAGCATATACAGTAACCCCCCAAGTGCGGTCATTCGGTCCCCAGACAACATCAGATTAGGAAGCTGCAGGGGCGTGCAGGGGGCGGGACCAGTATAACCGTCCTACTACGACGTGCCCTGTCTGAACACATGCGCTACGCTCGCTCCTGCTGCTCTCTTGGTCGCCATCGACCCCTTTAAGAGTATATTACCACGGAAGACGGGCAAAACCTGTTTGGTGCGTCAAGCCGCGCGACCGTGAAGCACTATACGGCTGATGGTTATGAAACAGGTCTTAGCCTAGAGGCACAATTCCGATCCAACTTAACACCGGGTAGCACAGTCTTTCAGTATTGTGATGGGTTGACACCGTAACTTTCAAAAGAAGTACAAGCTCAAAGTGCGCCTTGCACACCTCCTGACATGGTTGAGTCACAGGTCTGAAGGCTTACCAGTTGCGTAAGGACTACCATTGCCGGTGTTCTTTGTGTCCTTTGTTTGCGAGGAGGGCCGAAGACATCTTGTAGTTCTTGTACTTACGGGAACGGCCCCGTACTGTAGCTATGCATCACAGTGCCCCTCGTACCCGGCGCACATGGTTGGGCGCTTACCGCTATCTCAACATGCAAACACGGCCACAGCAATGCCAGTAGTACTGAGCTGTATCAATTGTAAACCTACATAGAAACGTATCCTTGCCCTATGAAGGAGCCGCAGTTCACTCTGGCATATCCTCTCGAAAGGGCCGCCTGCTGATAAGCTAAACAAGTCAATTCAAGTGCAGGACAAATGGCCCATCCCGATTGGGATCCGGCTGAGTATGCTTGGGATGGGGTGAGGCCATGTCCATGAGCGCTTTCCCTGAAGGCGCTTCGTACCTTTGTAACCTCGGCATTTATTTTCACAGGAGACACTTACAGCGTCACGAAAGCATCCGAAAAGTAAGCCGACACACTTGATAGGTCTCTCTCTTTACCCCGGTCCTGTTGGACAAGGAACATAAGCTATATCCCTTTCACCTCTTTCGTTAGCATGTTGCGCTGCTTTGTTGATCCGCACTGCCGTGTGGTCCCCTATGTTAGGGAACGCCATGGCCTCCGACACAACTCCTTACTCGGAGTACCTTGGAGTCGACGTACCCACGCTTATGAGCCGCCCACCAGTGGGCGCCTTGTCTAAGGCGCACAGATTGGTTTGCCAGGTACCAGCAAATACTGCCTAGTCTGCCCTTCCTGCTGAGCTTCCTGCTGCCGGCTAAGTTGTATTTTGACAGCAGGAAACCGGGAATAAACACATGTTGGTGTGGCTGACCTTTTCTTTTCTCGGCTTGTCGTCCGACTTCCCCTTTCCTCAACAGATTCAGGGTTGCAATCGCAGCCTGCAAAACAGCAAACTTTACTACCAGGTGAGCTATATATTATATTCGCTCTACACTTTAATATGCGCCCAACAGACCTTGTGTTGCTTGCATGCAGCGCTTTAAGCTTTGCGAGGAACACCTGAAAGCACCCGCCATATCGATCGACGGCGTGCTTTCGCGGCTGTGTCAGCAGTGCGGTCGCTTTCACGAGCTCGCAGCATTCGAGGGCAAGAAGCGTACGTGTCGCGCGCAGTTGAACCGCATCCGTAAGGCCAAGGAGGAACGCAAGCGCAACGCCGGCAGCCCTGACAGCATGGATCGCGATGCTGATGCTGTTGAAATAGAGGCGGTCAACACCGACAATGGAGACGCTGGAATGGATGAGGATGTCATGGATGCGACCAACGCAGCGCGGCGACGGTGCGGGACCGCTGGCGGTAGTTCTTCTAGCACGCAGAGCGACAACGCAAGCAGCGGCAAACCGACTCGGCTGCAGGCTTCTCATGGGCCTGGAATGCGTGGCAAGAAGGCTGTCATGAAGCCCAAGCCAGTCCTCCTAAAGCAGGAGCAGCGTGCTGCTGGCAGCGACGGCAATGGCGCCGATGTTCGCGTCTTGGACGGTGGCTCCGGTTCCGCTACCACCCTCAGGGTCCCAGGCCTTGCAGCTGCTGGGCAGGTGGTTTGCGGCAAACATGGGGAACATGGCGGCAGCAGCTTTGACGTTTGTCCGCATGACGCTGTCGGCGGCGGCGGCAGCAGCGGCAGTGCCAGCGGCATTGTTATCGGCGTGGAGGACGCTGGCCCCTGCGGAGTGGTGGCTGGCCCGGTGCCGGGGTTTCCAACATCTGTCGTACCGCAGCAGCCGAACCAACAGCCGCAGCGGGTGGTGATGCATGCGTTGCGACAGGACGAACTTGGAGGCAGCGGTGGTGCCGTTGGCATGAATGCTGCTGGTACCGCCGCGGTAGGCAACGTTGTACGGCAGTCGTACATGCCAACGATGGCGCCGGCTATTGACCAGCTGGCCGGTGAGGGTCGCGTGCCTAATATGGACATGTGCTTTGGAGCTGGCGTCTCCATCCCCTCAGAAGCTTGGGAGTTCCAGGGTGGCGCGGCGCCCAGCATCAATCCCCGCTTGGCCAGCCAAAACCTCAGCCTCGGCTCCTCAAGCCTCGGCGGCGGTTTTGCGGATCGAGGCGGTGTGCCCCTCAACGTGCCGCTCTGGGCTGGGTACTCAGCCATGAAGCCGGCGCCGCTGCAGCAGCAGCAGCAGCTGAGTGCCCAGCAGATGCTTGATGAGAACAGCGCCCTGCACTACAGGGACCCGCAGGCGCAGACGACCCTGGGTCAAGCGCTGGCGGAGGCCGCGCGGCTGGGGTATGACGTTGACGCCGGCGGCAGCAGCAGCAACGATACGGGTGCTGTTGGCGACCCGGATAGCGCCGCTTTCGGCAGCAGTTTTGGCGACGGCGGGGTCAGCTACGGCAGTCTGGGTAACGAGATCGACCTGGAGATCCACACCATGCTGGAGGAGCTGGGCTGGGGCCCGGGTGCGGTGCCTAACCTGCCAACACCCGCGGCCACCGCATCAGGTGGCGCGTTCAACGGTGCCGTTGCGGCCAGCGGCGTCCCCCCTGGAGGCAGCGGAGTTGCAGGGCTGGGTGCTCGTGCCAGCTGTACGGCAAATGTGGCGGCAGCAGCAGCAGCAACGACCGTAGCAGTCGTACATGACGAGAGCGGCAGGCCGGCAGCTGGTGGCGTGTTTGGGAGCAGGGCCGCTGGGGGCGAGTGCGCTTTGGAGATGCTGCTGGTGGGGAGGGCGGAGGGCAAGGTTGTGGGAGTTCTAGCGGATCAGTGGGGTCTTGGATAGTAGTGAGTTGATGGTGACTCAGTGCCATTGTAGTCATGTCGACTTTGTGCGCAGGTGTCAGTAAGTACCCGTATTTCTCCTATTCTCTCCCGCAGGCATCGCGACCGACACACCTCTCCTCCACCATCCCCGCTGGAGGCGAAGTGTACAGCGTCGGGGGCTCCTCTTCTTCTCCGCCTCCGCACTCCTTCCCGGGCCCTGTCCCTGCGGATGCAAATGCCGGCAGGGCCAGCACCCAGGCGGCAACACCAGCCTTGGCACCTGAGCTGCAGCCCGGCAACATGCCCCCCCAGCGGCTGTCCCTACACAGCGGTCTTAGGCTGCTTGGTCGCGACCCGCAGGGGGCAGCAGCGTCAGGGGACGCAGACATGCAGCGAATGTACGACTCCATGGCACAAGAACCCGGGCGGGTTAGCGATCTGGGTTTGCCTCCGCCGCCGCAGCAGCAGCAGGTCCAGCAGCAAAACCCCACACTGCTGCAGCAACTGCAGAAGCTTTCAGAGCAGCGCAAGGCGGCTGCGCTGGCCAAACTGAACTTCCAGCGGCAGCAGCACCTGCAGCAGCAGCTGCAAGGCCTTCACCCCTTCGCTCAAAACCCCTCCGGCATCGGTCTACTCAGCAACTCCTTTGCCGGTGGCCCCATGTCGTACACACCCGCGCAGCGGCACGCGGACCTCCTCCTACGTGGCACCCAGTCAGCAGTACTGCGGCATGGACCTGCCGTACAGCAGCCTGTCGTACTTGCAAACGTCACCCCAGCTTTGCTGCCTTCGCAGCAACAGCCGCCAGCGCAAAGGTTCGGTGGTATGCTGCCCGCTTGGGGCGCCCCCATGGGTGCTGATATGGAGGTTGGCGGCGTTGGTGTGGGCGATGTGGGAGGCAGCAACGTTGGCGGCTGCGGCGCCAGCAACCTGCTTATGGCAGGTGGTGGCGGTTTCGGTCGCGTAACGCAGGTATCCGCGGGAGGAGGGGGCTTTGACGTGGGAGGCCGAGGTGGTGCGGGTGGTCTGCCGTACACCTCCAATGACACCATGACCCGCGTCACCATCAAGTTGATGAACTGCCTGCCGGAGGACCTGCCGTGCTCGCTGAGAGCCAACCTGCAGCACTGGGCGGCTGCGGGCGGCGCGGCGGAGGTGCTGCATGCGTGCATGCGGCCAGGTGGGGAGGGGGGGGGGGCCAGGAGGGAGGAGGAAATGGAGAAAGGAAGGCCGCGAGTTATTGGCGGTTATACAGAGGTAGCGCAGCTGGAATTATTGTTCCTATTATTTCGCCGAGCTCCTTTCCGATCTCATTTCCAATTCACCTACCGTACTTGGCTGCGAATCCGACCATGGACTTCCATGGTCCTTACCGGTATCCCTTTCTGCCACCAATCCGTCATGGTCTCTTTCTGCTCCCTTCCCGCCCCGCCCCGCTTTCCCCTTGCGCCTGCCCAGGCTGTCTGGAGCTGGTGGTCGACCTGGTGCACTCGGGCTCCCCGCAGCACTTTGCCGACCTGCTGACGGGGGGCGCATGCGGCAGCAGGGGCCCCGAGGCGCAGGCGGCGCAGCGGGCGCTGCGTCGAGCCATCACGGAGCGCCTGGCTTCGGGTGAGGGTTGGGTGCGGATGAGACGCGAAGGAATTGGTGCTAGCACGTGTTCTAGCTGCTGCTGTTGTTCGAGGTGGAAGGACCCGTGTCGGTGTTGGGTCCGCAGGTCATGTGCGTCCTTGCTATGCCTGCTGACATGTCCTGGGTTCGCGAGGTCCTGGGTGCTCGCAGCGTGCAGCAGCTTGTGCATTGAGGAAACGCATGTGGGCCGTTCTTCCCTGCTTCTAGTATCGCTTTTCCTTGCTCCTACTAATGCCTCTGTTGTCTCATCGGTGCTGCTGCTGCTGCAGACAACGAGGTCATCCTGGAGGTGTCGGGTCGCGTGCTCTGCCTGCACCCCAGCGGCGAGCCCCTGCCCGGCGGCCCGCCCCCTCGCAGCGGCCTGGCGGGCAGCTGCCTGCCGCTGCCGCCGCCCGCCACCGCCGCTTCCTCCGCTGCAGTCCTGTCATGGGAGGAGGCAGCCGAGGCCTTTGCACGTGTTGACGGAACTGTAGCAGCAGCGGCGACAGCAGCGGCAGCTTGTAACAGCCCTGCACGGTCCAACCCCGTGTCACAGACGGCGTCGCCGCTCTCGGGCTCCTCGGCCACCGACTCCTTGTGCCCCAGCTCCTCCAATACCCTCCTGCCATCTGCGCCGAGCTCAGCCGCCACCTTTGCTGCTTTGGGCGCTTCCGGTCGCATGAGGCTCGCAAGGACGTCGGTGGATGTGGCGGCTGCAGGTGCAGGTGCCGAGCGTGTCAACGAATGCGGGTTGTCGGGTGCCGCCGCATGTGGCAACGGAGGCGGTGTGGGTGCTACGTCAGCATGCTTGGAGGCCAAGCAGTACATGCCGCCTGCTATCCTGGGCTGCTCCTTGGCTGCTGCCAGAAGTGGTGAGCGCCTTCTGGCTTGCGCGAGGGGTCGGGTAGCAGCGGCAGTGGCCATAGGGGGGTTGTGTGCTCGTCATTTGCATGGTGCTTCATGTTCAAGTATGCCTGTGCTCGTGGGTGCCGAACGGGGTGTGTGTGTGTGTTTGCATGGCCCTTGAAAGTTCAAGTATGCCTGGGCCTGTGGCTTTCCTTCTCCTCAACTGTTCTTCTCCTCACATCTCTCCTTGGCACCCCCCGCAACCGCAGCTTCCGTGCTCACCTTCACACTGTACGGAGTGGTCCTGGACGAGCAAGACGTGGCGATCTGCGCCCGCATGGCTGGCCAGAGCGTTCCTCTGGTCGCAGCCAAACCCGTCAAGATGACGCCCTCATCCTCGTCGACATCCTCCGGAGTACGTGTCCAGGTCCAAGTGCAGCCGTCGCGACCCATGGGACTTCTGGTCTTGGAGGCTCGGCGGGGCCGGCTTCTGGGCGAGTGGTGGCCGCTGGTGGTGGTGGCGGACGGCGGCGTGGCGGGAGAGCTGAACGCGCTGGCTGAGGAGGTGGCGGCGGCGGGTGTGACGGAGGCGGGTGCTGCTGAAGGTGCTGCTGCTGGTGACGGCGAAAAGACGTGCATACCCGCCTGGTAAGCTGGGTGTCACATCGCAGCCGGGTGCTGGGGGCGTTGGGTTTGGATGAATGTTTCCGTGATCAGCTGGCGCCCCGCGCCGCGAGTCCTGTAAGAGCGAGGAGGCTACTGCTTTGCTGTCAGCGCTTTGGCAGTGCAGGTCACCTTTGCAGGTCACTTCCCCTCAGGAAGAGGTCCGTTGTACCCAGGTTGGCTACCAATCCAGCTGCCCGCCAACCCAACTGCCGCGCGCACGCAGGTTCCGGTCGTTGCTGGTGGACCTGGGCCAGGTGCTGGACTGGGCGGTGCGGCGGGGGCCGCCGGGGGCTCTGGTCGGGGAAGGAGACGAGGATGGCCCCACCTCCAGCACCCCCAGCGACATGCAGACGTCTGGGGAGACGTGGGGCAGCGGCGACGCAGACAGCATTGCTGCTGCCGGCGCAGCTGCTGTTGGGGATGCAGCTGCAGCCGCTGGGAGCTTCTCCACGGGTGCTGCGACGCCCCTTCCTGACATGCAGAGCGAGGTGGTGAGGGCTCCAGCAATGCCAGCGTCACCGGAGGCGGTGCCACCCGCGGTCGACACGAATGCGTCGCAGGGCAGCTGCGGTACGGCGTACGGCACTGAGGCGTCCGCGTCGGCGTCGACCCTGTACGGCAGTAACAGCGGAAGAGGCGGTCGGCGGCGAAATGAGGTTTGGGAGGCGGGTGCGATGGTGGCGCTGCGCGCAGCTCAAGCGAACCTGGAGCTGCGCATGTCGTACAAGGCGTGTCGGCTGCTGGCGTTTTGCGTTGTGCGGTGAGTGATAAGACGGGTGTGGATAGGGTGCCGGGTTTCGCTGGCACTGGTGTGGGGATGCCTTGGAGCCCTGCATCCGCCATAAGGTCTTTGTACACGCGGGTGCGTCGTCCCTAGGCCTGTACCTGGCGGTGCGGTGTTGGGCCTGCTTTTGCTGCGGGGCGGCGATGGACGGAATGGCGGGAGCCCGTTTGGACCCTTCCAACTACCGACCCAGCACTCCGAAAGAGTCGCACGTCGCACAACAATCATTCCGCAAACCGCCGGCCCCAACTAACCCTCTCGCCCATCGTCGTCTCACCCCACTACACCACACACATCCATGCCGCCGCAGGGGTCTCGTACACACGGCTCAACTGCTGCAGGGCGTGGCCACGGACCTGGGCATGACGGCGGGCGACATCCTCAACCGCGCGCAGTACGAGGGCGAGGAGCTGCTGACGTGCGCCGTACGGTCACGCTCGCGGCCGATGCTGGAGTGGCTGCTGGCGCTGGGCGGGCAGGGAGCTTGGCTGGCGCGGGATCTGGCGCAGATGGGTGAGAGGGGTAACATGGCTGCTCTGTTGGTATATATATATATATTTTTTTTCAGAACATGGTGGTCTAGGCACGGGTTTTGTTTACAACGAAAAGGGACGCTGGTTCCAGCGACGGTGTTGGTTGCGGGGCTCGCACGTGACTCTGTGCGAACACGTCGGTCTGACCTTCCCCAGAGCCCTCTCCTTACACCACCACCGCGTTCAAACCCCAGCCGTCAACCGCCCTACTTTGCTTCTATGCCTCTGCACAAACCTCCCCTCACCCTATCCCGCAGGCCCCGAGGGTCTCTCACCGCTGCACCTGGCCGCCTCCCTGCCCGGCTGCGCCCCCCTGGCGGAGCTGCTGCTGCGCTCATCGCCCGCCGCGCCGCAGCTCTGGTTCACGCTGAGAGCACCGCTGGCCGGCACCGCTGCTGCTGATGCCGGCGCGAGCGGCGGTGCATCCCCCGCCGAGATGGCGGTGAGCTGCGGTCATGAAGCGCTGAACGCCCTGGCTGCTCGGCTGCTGCGCCGGGCAGCGGCCTCAGCGGCGGCGGCGGCAGCCATCACGGCGGTGGCGGCGGCGGGGGTGTCCGGTCCGCCCATGCAGCGTGTTCAGCTGGCTAAGCGGCTGGTGCAGGCGCTGCAGCACCAGCAGCAGGAGCAGCAGCGGCGGCAGCGGCAGCGCCAGGAGCAGGAAGCTGCTGGACAGCTTGAGCCCCAGCAGGCTGTGGTGAAGGGCGCAGAAGGGCTTGCTGCACCGCTGCAGGAGCGGCGTGGAGAGGAGTGCGTGGAAGAGCGGGTTCCGGTGCCTGGGTGTAAGTCGGAGCAGCAAGAGCGGCAGGAGGGAGGCGCAGGCCCTCCAGACAGCAGCGGCAGCGTTGAGCGCGGCAGCAGCGGTGCTGGTGAGGGGGAGCGCGGCGTTTTGGATCCTCCCGCTGAGAATGCCAGAAGCAGCGGTGCTGGCGACAGTGGCGGCAGAGGCAGCGTCCCTGACGTCGGCGTTCTTGCGGCCACCGGTGGTGTCCTTGCGGGTGGTGGAACGGTCACGGCTGGTAGCGGCCGCGACGGTGGGGGTGAGCGTAGCGCCGTCAGTAACTGGTCCAATGGTCCTGCTGCTGCCGCAGCTGCTACGGAGGCGGCGGCGGCTGGTGGCGGTGGTACCGCTGCCTCTTCTGGTGTTGCAAAGGCGCAGAGCTCCCGGCGGCGGCTGAAGGCATGGCTGAAGGGCCTCGTGTCACGGAGGCAGCCGTCTTCTGCCGGCGGCAGCAAGGAGAAGTGAAGGGGTGGTGCGCAACAGGGCAGCCGCTGGTGGAGGCAGCAAGGGTGGAAGGTGTTACTGTCCTGGAATGGCGTGGCGCGTGGTACGGGTCTGGTCAGAGGGAAGCGGGAAGAGCATTTTTATTCCGGTTTGGGGTGAAAATCTCGGTGCTTAGGGTGGCTTGTGAGTCATCGGGGGCGACCGCCCTTTCCCACGGCCGTGTGTGGCTGTGGAGACGCAGGTGAGCCGCATGTGTCGATGGGAGGCATCTTTTGATGGCTTTGTCCGTGGGTTGCATGTGCACGTCGTTTGCTGGTGTCTGGTGGGTCTGACAATTGGGTTTAATGCGACAAGTTGTGGAATGATTCAGTATAGTGGTGGTGCACAGGCGTGGGTACGTTACCGTGAACGGTTGGTGAACATTGTGGACTGTCGTACTTCGAAGCCGACATGGTACTACGTTCTGCGACAGTGATTGTGAGAGGGGCTGTTGGACAGTGGATGTGGTCTTGGTTGTTGTTGGGTTGCCTTGCATGCAATTCGGCGCGTTTGTCAGGAAACGCTGCCGATTTGGGCAAGTTGGATGGAGATTGTCTGGATCGCGGCTGTGACATCCAGTCTTAACCTGTTTATTATATCTGAATCGGCGCGCGCTGTAGCTGTGAATATGGCTGAAGAAGGGGAGGCCCAACGGCGTGTTCTGTGATTGCAATGGACAACTATTCCGTTATGGATTGCGCTGGTTGTTGTTGTTGAGCTCGAGAGAGGAGGATTGCAGCTGGGTTCGCTGCTAGGCGTCCAATGCAAGGAGATCATTGTCTTTTCTCTTGGGTGTTAATTGACTGTGCAATTTTACGTGCAATCATTGTCATCCAGTACGCCGCATGCGGTACCGGTAATCTGTGAATCGGTGATCTCACCATTCGAATGGGCATTCTCCGCACGTCTGCTGGCCTGTATGCATCCGTGTTTGTCATGTGGATTTGCTTGTGCTACGCTCTGTTAAGTTCTTTGTACAGGACGATTCTCGTGATTTAGTGTACGTTTCGGTGTTTTGAGTTAATCCTTTGCTGCATCCACCAAGCTGTTATGGTGGGGTTGAATGCGAGCTATTACATGGCGCGCTGGACTGCATGCTAGGGCGAGCAATCACCTTAAGCAGTCGCGCGCCTGATTTTGTATCCTGGCCGAAGCTGAAATAAGCTTACATCGATTGGTGTGTCGCGGGGTTGCTGCAGAAGTGTTGATCAATTGAATGACTGCTTTAGGAAAGTGTCCGGTGCGTTACGGTGGTGTTTGACACAGCCTTGGCTGCCGTGCGGCTGCTACTTTGCGACGTTAACTAGCCAAACGTCATATAGTATATTTACGGGGTTTGTTGAGCAGTAGCTCCTGTAATACCTAGTTATGTTTTTGGTTTCCTGTGGCCAAGCCCCTTGGGTTCGTCTTCACAGTTGCGTCCCTTTCCCGTAGTGTAACCATGGTTTGCAGCGTCCCATTGTGCCGCTTCACTGGCCCAGCTCCTCACATTGGATATCCTTCTTTTCGCCCAGCTCAGCTCTGTTTCCGGCCTGGCATGGGGCCACCTGAACAGTCTATGACTTGCCATGGTGTCGGTGAGTTCCTGTTAGTTGCGCACCTGCAACATGCACACAGGTGCCACTGTTTTTCCGTTTCAGCTGGCGCAGCGGTGGGGTGCAAGGGCGTCCTCTCCCGCACAGAGCGCTGTCGTGACTTGAGGGACGGACATGGACGGGCTCGCTGCGGTCGGCCCGCTTGCACTGCTTGCATAATGCACACGCGCTATATAACCGCAGCGTCGCAAGGGTATGGTTACACAAAAGGCAGCCCCCTAAGTTGCCGATGCTCTGAACGAACAGTGGCCAAATACTTACTGCCACAACGAACACGCACGCCCCCTTACGGCCCTGAGGCCCCAACGTCACCACCGCGCTTAACTCAGAAACACAACTGACGGAGGAAAAGCCGGGCAACGTCTAGAACCCCAACCCCGCTCATCCCGGTGGCGGTTAAGTGATCACTGATGCAACCGCTTGGTAACCCAGCGGCCCGTCAGTACCGCCGCGGCGCAGCAGGGCACACACCAGACATGGCTAGACGGCGAGCCTGATATGGAACGTCCGAAAGCGGTCCAAACCAACCCTGCAACGCCAACGGGAAACCAAAGGACCCGAAAATGATAAAGCCGCGCACGGTGGAATAACTCACCGTTAACCATCAGCGACGCAGGCGCCAGCGGCACCAGCAAACTGTCATAACACACACCAGACAACACAAACCACCCAAACATTGACACCGTAACATACATACATCCATACCAGATATCGGTATACTAGATATCGGTTCACATTGTATGAATGGGCGGGTAGCATATCCCAACTTCCCAGACGACAACGGGGAGTGCGTCTCCTCATGCCCACACAGGCGGCCTTAACCCAACGCTAATCAGCGCGGACAATATATAGCTCACAGGGCGATGGATTCAAAACGGCTTCCGATCTTCCGATCACGTGCAACAACACAGCAGCACCCTCACTAAGCCCCAACCCCTAAAAAGCCCCCTCGGACACGTCATGCAAGCCATACCCCCGCCTCAACTGCGCATCTGAATGCCAACCAACCCAGCAGTACGACAAGTCACAAGGATACCGGTATACGCCGAATGCTCCGAACCGCCGTACAGTTACTGCCAAGAAATAGCACGAATTCGAATCCGTAATCGACTTGTACGCCGTCCATGAATTGGAAATGACGGTTAGACAGGCACACTCCCCGCCTACTACGCGAGCCGTGTCCGGCACAAGCATTTAAAAAGTCGTCAACCCAACAACAAAGCAAACAAGCGACATTGTGCCATCTAAGCGATAATAAACCACTAAACAGAGAAGCAGGACCTCCGAACACCAAACAGTATGGCAGTCATTTGGTCACGGATTGGCCGCTCCTCAGGACGACCCGCAATGACAGCCGCCCGGGACCTAACGGCCGCATCCAAGCTGAATTGTCGTCCTACACGGCGAACGACTTCAACTGGACAACCCAACAACACAACCGTCCTCTACCGTACCTTACAGGTCCGCACATGAGAGCCAGCAACCGGCAAGACCGACAACATTACACAGAACAATAACGTCTCACTACTGCCCACAAAATTCCATTTCCGTTTCCTGCAACCTTTCCGGAACCGCAAAAAGCCCCAATTCCTAAGGGATACAGCGGGAAAAGAAGGGACGCCATCGGCATGTTGTCCACCACATCCAATGCCGTGCTGCGCCCTCTCCTTTCCATATCACGTCCCCACGCATTCTTCATCTCCACCGCACGCCACATATGCGGTGTTGACGGAGACAGATGCCACCGTTCCCTCCCAGTGTCACTAATTCATCCGTATGAACCATAAAGTTACGTAGGCGAAGGATGGGGATCGGCGCCTCAACACATCCGGCGCCCGCCCCCCAGCAACACCATGTACACATCTCGCTCGATCACATAAGGCTCAGATGACCTGTCAGGTATCCGTCAGTCAGGGAGCGCAGAGAAAGCACTCGCCCCCTGTCGGCACTGCACAAAACATACCACACATGCTCCTTCACCACCTGCACACAGCGGCAGCAGCAGCAGCAACCCCCGAAAAGCTAAGAGACGCACACACGTACATGCGCCCGTCACTTGGCACACGCGCCCCCGTGCGCTCACCACCCTCCGTCGCGCACTCATTCAAAAACTGAGCGGCCTGACGCTGGATCTCGAGACACATGAGAGACCCGCGGGTCAGTTGTGTTTGCAGCTACCTAGCCACATTTCCCGCCCCCCTCACACAACTCTTTAACTCATCGCAGCCTAACAACGCAGGCCTAGCATCAACGATTGGCTTCATTCAAGCGCCGTCAGCATTCACACAGCGCTCAACCCATGCACCCCCCAGTACGGTTACCCGCACCCCCCCATGCAAGCCCCTCCAAGCGCAGCACAGCACAGCCCACCGCACACTCGGGCCCCAAGTGCCACAAGAGGGAGCGCCGCTACAGGTGCCAGCGCCGTTGGCCAGTCCGCCCGCCTCGCCGGGCCCCACACGCCCGCGAGCGGCTGCAAGTACCGGTACCTGGCTTCAAAGTGTCTCAAAAAGCGCATAAAGTCTGGCTAAAGCACACAGGAGAGGTTTCAGGACTGTTAGGAGTTGTGGTGGTTGAAGGGGCGATGCAACACAACACAACACAACCGCACCCCACGTAGCCCAAATTGTATGGCTCCCTACAGCTCCTAACACACTTCAACTTCAACTGCGCGGCAGCGCAACAAGGGGGGCGACATACTGGCGTCAATCGCGCATCTTCGGTGTCTGTCCCGTCATGCAGCTGTACTTGCAGGTGTCAAGAATTTCTTCAAAGCGGCGGGCTTTCTGACATGATTACCCCCGCAAAGACAAGTCAATAATCACAATGCGCTCTCTCTCACGGCTTCATGGTTGGCACACATCCAACCCTAAAAGCCGCTAACGGACAATTTGCGGAAGATTTCTGCTTCTCACCTGAACCCCTCGGCATGCATGCAACCCAGGGCAAACCCATGACAAACCCCAAATCCTAAACACTTTCTTATGCCCTCCCCAGGCCAACCTTCCTCCCACCTCTTATTTTTCTTTCTCCCACCGCCCCCCACCACCCTCACCCTCACGCAATTACACCTTGGACCTATCCTTCGGCGACGGCAGGATCATGCGACCCTCCGCTCCCACCCCTCCCACCCCGCCTCCTCCTCCATCCGTGCTGCGCCGGCCCCTGCCCCCCGCCTGATCCAGTTTATTCAGCGATCGCAGCAACTGTCGTACGTGACTCACGACGTCCATCTCCGCGGGTACGTGACTCAGCAGCCCCGCCAGCTGCCCCGCCTCCTTCTCCGCCGCCGCCGCGTAGGGTCGCAGCAGGGTGACGATGTAGAGCAGCATGAGGAAGATGGTGGCGACCAGCAGGATGGTGTGCAGCAGCTTAATGCTGTTGTATCTGGGGAAGGGGGGCAGAGGAAGGAGCAGAGGAAGGGAGGAAGGGGCAAGGAGGGGCAAGGGGGGTAGTCGAGGATTTTCAAAGGCTGACCGACGGGAGAGGGGGAAAAAAGAAATTCCAAAGTGTGGTATGAGATTGATACGCGTGAGGGTGGTGCGTTGGTGATACGCGCGCCGCCTCATGAAGAATAGGCTCCCCACCCATACCCCCCATACCCCCCACCTGGTGATTGAGAAGTCCACGAACAGTTGTGCGGAGCTCTGCAGACCCTCGTACAGGTCCTTGGTGCCCACGAAGTACCTGCGGCCCCGCATAAGCACCCCGCGGCAAGCGGGCAAGTCAAGAAGACATGCCAGCAAGCAAGCCAAAAGAACACATGTAAAGCAAGCAAGGCAACAAACAAATCAGGTGGGCCACAGCATGCGCAGACATACACAACAACTTCAGCGTCAACCACACAGTGTGTGTGTGTTCCACTTCGCGGGGGGTTCTCTTGCCTCGAGGCAAGAGTCAAGGCACAGGCGCGCCCACAATTCAGCACCCCCCCATGCCCCCCAACACTCGCAACCCCGCATGACACAACCCACGAAACGCCCCAACACCCGCCCCCCCCCGGCCCCCGTCCCGCCAGCCCCTCACATGGTTAGGTATCGTGTGCCGTTGTACGTGGAGTCGACGTCCTCGTCCGCCACCAGCAGGCGCATCTCACTCAGGATGCGGCGCAGCATGACGTCCAGGCCGTGGTGGGTCACCTGGCAGCGGGGGAAAGGGGGGGAAAAGTAAATTCCAAAGTGTGGTGTGAAAGGGAAAGGAAAGGGGGGGGAAGGGGGGGAGGGGGGGCGGGGTGAATATAGATAAGTGCAGCAACGGAGTCCCAATCCCGAATCCCGACTCATGCAGTGAGCGCATTCGGGGGTAAAAAATATAATGAGACACTCATTCGGGGGGGGGGCGGGAGGGAGCCGGGAGAGCGGGAGGGAGAACACAACCATGGGGGGGGACAGGAGGAGGAAAAGGACATCACCATGCGTTGGGTGGTAGAGGAGGGAGGGAGAGGGAGGGAGGGGGCAACGTAAGCTGCATTCGGGTGGCGGCGCAATCTCTCTCCAAACCCCAACCCATGCAACCCATGTTGACGCCTTATCCCTCAGTCAGTTAGTTGTTTCCTCTTTTACCTCCCCCCCCCCCAAAACCCCCTTACCTCATAGTACGGGTTGCCCTCCGTGTAGCACTGGCTCTGGTCCCAGCGGAAGCAGCGCTGCTCCTTGAAGAAGTTGGAGGAGAAGGAGGAGCTCTGGAAGGTGGAGGCGGGAACCGGGTGTGTGAACACGGTGCCGTTCTGGGGGGGGAGGAGGGAAGGGAAGGGGGGGAGGGAGAGGGGGGGTGTTACGTGCGCACGCATGAAAGCAAAGGGCTGGCTGGGAAAGCGCCCTGGGGCAAAACATGGGGCGGCGGCAGCGAGGCAGCAGCAGCAACAACAACAACAAACAGCCCCCCCTTTTGGAAGAAAGAAAACCCCTCCGGCCTCTCCACACCCACAACCACCTTCACACACGCTCCTCACTTGCAACCCCCGCACCCAGCGCACACACACAAACACAGCCAACGGACTTCACTTCACCTGTGGCGTTTTCGGTGGGAGGACTCCATCTTTCGGCAATCACAGTACGTTTCGCCTCGCGGCCAGTTATTTTAACACACAAACACAGCACGTTACTACTCGCGGCCAGTTTCCTCAACACACGCCCCCTGTCATTCCCTTCTTCCCCGCCCTCGCACCCCCTCCCCAACCCCCTCCCCAACCCCCTCCCCGCCCCCACTCGCCCCCGGGTACAATACCCTATCCTCCTCCTTCCCCCCACCCACCTGCGTGACCGCGTATCCGCCGTACATCAGCGTGTCGTACTCGCTCTCCAGGTTCTCCAGCTCCGCGCCCAGCAAGCCCCGGTAGTAGGCCATCTGCGCGGGGGTCTCGCTGCTGACCAGCAGTAGCGCCGACATGCGCACTCGGGTGTAGCGGTAGATGACGTGGGAGGCCATGTTGAGGGAGGCCAGCGGGCCCTGCATGCCGTTGAGCTTGGTGAAGCTGATGGCGCCGACAAGGATGAGGGCGGCCTCCCACAGCAGGAAGGGGATCTGGTAGGTGGTGGGGGGTGGGGGTGGAGAGTGGAGGGCGGGTGGTGGTGGTGGTGGAGGGTGGAGAGGAGGAGGTGGTGGGAGAGGTGGCGGGTTCGGAGGTGGTGGTAATGGTTGACGAGCGCCGAGTAGCCGGGGAAAAAGGAGGGAGGGAAAGGAGGAAGGGAAAGGCAGGGAGGAAGGTGAAACAGATGGGCCAAGGATGAGGCTGGGCCGGGCCGGGTACCGGTAACAGAAGGGAATCGTCGACTGGAAAGCTTTGTAAGGTCGAGATCGGTTGTGTTCGCAATCAAGGGCCGTTAGAAGTTGCCAGAGAACGCATTAGCCGCGTGCCACAAGACACGTGCGCGCTTCGATGCATATGAGCCCAAAACATGGCATTGCACCCTATCTACACTATAGTGTATTCCAACAGGGATTTCGCAAGTGATGTCATCGACAGTCCCCTCCTCCTAGTCTTCTACAACAGCATACACGGCTTATCCCCCACCCCCCCGCCCCCCTTCCCACAGCTCCCCCCATCTCACCATGAACTTTAACGTGTTTCCGTAGCTCTTCTGCAGCTCCTTGCCATTCACGTGCATGCGCCCGCTGCGCCCCTTCCGCAGCCCGCCGCCCGCTCGCTTGCCGCCAATCAATGCCCCCATTCCCAACCCACCGCCGCCGCCGCCAAAGCCGCCAAACAACCTCCTCTCCGGCGTCTTCTCAGGCCGCTCCTCGCGATCCCCCATGTCAGAGAAATCAGAGTCGGAATGCCGCAAGCCGGCGCCACCACCACCACCGCCTCCGCCTCCGGGGTGAACTGGAATGGCCTCATTGGAATTGCGACGCTGCCGACCGCCGCCGCCGCCGCCGCGGTGATCTCGACCCGTCCCGTCGTCACCCCCGCCGCCACCGCCACCGCCGCCACTGCAAAAGATGGCAAGCGAGGTGTTGTGAGGACACAGTATGTGCAGGGGGTCTGCCGGAGGTTTTCAAGCCGCAAGAGCCGGCTAACAAAGATGTGTGGTGTAGGAGTGCTAGCAGTGCTGGCTGATGTCATGTTTGGGGGGTTGGGTGAGTGTGAAATGGTGGTGGTGGTGGCTCAGCTCAGCTCCGTGCGAAGGGGAGGGGTTCATCAGGAAGCGGAAGCGGCACTCAGGTGGAGGAGGAGGAGGAGGAGGAGAGGGATGAGAGGAAAGAGCCGCAACCCATCCAGCGGCACCCCAAGTCCCTGACCCTGCCTGCCCAACACGTAAACACACACGCCTGACGCCTCCAAAACACACACACACACACACACACGCCTATCCTGACGCCCCCCCTGCCGTCCCGTGCCTCACCCCTCCACGCCGCCGTCCTCCTCCTCTGCATCCTCGTCGTCGCTGTCCTGTAGGGGTTAGCGTGGGGGGTGTTGTTGATAAGGTCGTTGTGAGGGTTGACGGTGGTGCTGGGGAGCACCGGAGGGGGAGCAGCAGGAAACCACTCCGTTGCCACGGCTCCAACCCCTCCCGGAACTGGGCTGCTGCTGCAAGCCGAGGGGGTAGGCTCTTCCACAAACGGACCGGAAAGCCACAGGGGGCAGGCAGCAGCAACAACAACAGCAATCTCAACCCGCCCCCCACCCCCCTCCCCCCCTCACCAGCCCAATTCGGGCTGGGCGGGTCGGGCTGGCTCACATGTTGCAACCCATGTTGACGCCTTATCCCTCAGTCAGTTAGTTGTTTCCTCCCCACCCCTCACCTCCACAATCACTACCGGCCTGTTGGCCAGCACCCGCAGCATGGGCCCCGGGATGCCCAGCCCCGCCAGCATGCCGCCGCAGCGCACCGCCTCCACCCCCAGCAGCAGCTGGAACTGGTAGACGATGCAGCAGAGCTGTACGGCAGCCGCCTCCACCACCAGCATGATGATCAGGGCTGGGGGGGGAGGGGGGGGGGCGGGGGAGGGGGGAGGAAGTAAGCCAAGATCACGAAAGGGGGGAAGGTCGCGTCGTGCCGGAGCAGGCAGGCAAACACATGGGGGGGGGGCGAGACACGCAATCAGCTATTAACAACAGAGGAAGCCTTGTCAGCCCGATATACAGGTAGTATATCTCGTACAGCTCGTACATCTCGAGAGGCCTTTTAGGACCGTTGTTACAGGTAGTGTGGTAGGAGTGGCGGCACGAATGCATGATAGAGTGCGCGTCAGCAGCAGCAGCAGCAGGCCCCCTTCCCCTCCCCTCTTTCCCCTTCCCCTCCCCTCTTTCCCCTTCCCCTCCCCTCACCCGTCTGAACCTTGGACACCTCCTGCCACGCGTATCTCACAAAGTAGTCCAGCGTGCCGGAGTAACCCTGGAACACCGCCCAGGGACCGTTGGTGATAACGAACTTGTAGGTGCGCAGGTCCCTGGTGGTGGGGTGGGGGGTGGGGGGTGGGTGGGGGGTGGGGGGTAAGGAAGAAGATCCAATGTGTGGTGGGGTGGGGACATGGGGGGGGGTAGTAGGGGGGGATTAGATACCGGTAAAGCGAGCCGCGAGGAATGCTGTGACCCTGACCCCGGTACCTACCGAATGATGATGGCGGTGGGGTGTCGATGTGTTTTGAAACGTGTGGGTGTGTGGGTTGGCTGTGGGAAGCGACAACAGTGGAAACACGCACCCGCTTTCCTCCACTCCCAGACTCCCCCTCTCCCCCCCTCTCCATGTCACCCCCCCTCCGACCCCCGCTCCCATGTCCCCTCCTCACTGTATGCGTCCCGCCAGCACGCCCGCCCAGTACAGCAGCTCCCGGCCCGTGGCTATGAAGCGGTTGCCCAGCTGAAACACGCCGTCCGTGTCGTTGGTCCAGTGGGGCTGCAGCGTGTCGAAATACACCTGAGGGTGGGGGGGAGCGGGGGGTGGGGGTGGGGGGGGGGGGGTGGGGGGGGGGCCGATAAGCTGATGTGTGGGGGAGGGAGGGAGGTAGGGTTGTGAGTGGCAGGGGATCATGGGGCCATGCGAGGGCACAGCAGGGTGGTCCTCTCGCGCAATTCGAGACGTCATCCCAACTCCTCCCCAGATGCCCTCCTCCTCCCTCCTCCCCCGCCCCCTTCCCCCACCCCTCACTCCCCCCCCTCTTACCGGGTACACGATGCTGTTGGTGTCCGTCCACATGCGGTACGCCTCCGCGTCCTTCACCCTCCGCGGCACGCCGCCCGGCCCCATGTAGGTGCTCTGGTGGTAGGCCTCCAAGTCCTCCAGCGCCACCCGCAGGTCCGCCAGCGTGCCGTTCAGCCCCCGCTCGCACACGCTGACGGGCAGCATGCCGGGGCGCGAGCAGAACTCCGCGATGGCGGTCTTGACGACCACCAGCTGCGCCCGGTCGGCGGCCAGGGCCAGGCGGTGCACCTCGCGGACGTTGCTGTGGGGGGAGGAGGTGGAGGGGGAGAGAAGGGGGGGAGGAGGGGGAGAGAGGGAGGGAGGGGGATAATTGAGAAGTGAAGCAGGAGGAGAGGCGAGGGAGGGAAGGAGGCGAGGCTTGGGAAGAGGAGAGAGGAGAGTAGGTTGGATTGGCATTGGGGGAAATGGTTATATGCACACATGCGGGATGGTGGACCGTGCATGCATGCATGGCCGTGCAGCGGGGGAGGGGGGGCATGTGCGGACAGTTTGTACGGCAACAGTACGGCAACCAACAGTTGGCGGTTGTACGTTATACTCACGTGAACTGGCGGTTCACCATGATGACGAACACCACATAGACGATAACTGGGGAAGGGGGGGGGAGGGAGGGAGGGGCAGATGCGAGGGAGGGCGTGAGGAGGGGGGGGAGCGGGAGGCAGGGCGTCAGAGAGAGACTGGGTTAGGCCACCGCAGCAGCGTGAAGGGACAGTGAGGAGGATCAGCGAGGCGGACGAGCGCTGCAACACCAAGTCAACAACAAGTCAACAACAACAACACATACACCCTCTCCTTCCCCCCCTCCCTCCTCCCCTTGGGGTACAGCTGTGACAATGCATGTTACAACCCCGCACATGTTACCTCCCCTCCCCCCTCCCATTTGCGGCATTGCGGCTCAGTTTACCCAATCACCTCCCCCCCTCCCCTCCCCACCCTCCCCTCCTCCCCCTCCCCCCTAGCCCCAACCCCCCCACCGTGTGCGACCAGCATCACCGCCAGCAGCGCCCAGGTGTGTCGCCGCATGCGGTCCAGCGGGACCATCAGCCGGGGGCCCGACAGCAGCTGGGGGGGGGCGGTGGGGAGGGGGAGGGGAAAGGGGTAAAAGATGGATACCCAATGTGTTGAATGGGAATGAGCGGAGGGGAGGCGGAGCGTCAGGAAGAGGGGCCAGCATCCCGCCTCCAGGAAACCACACACAGGTAAGGGCAACGGTGAAAAACGCGGTTTGGACTCTCGCGCGTCCCCCTCCTCCCTCTTCCCTAACCCCCACCACCACCCCTATACCCGCCCTACCCTACCCATGTTGCACCACAGCCTTGTCATGCGGTCAATCCGTTGTTTCCTCCTGCCCCTACCCTAAACGTCCTACCCCCACCCCACCCCACGCCACCCCGCCTCGTTAGTTTCCTCTTTTTACCCTTTCCGCTCCCCCTCCCTACCTTGACCAGTCTCTTGAGTAGCCGCGCCCTCCGTGCATCCATCGCCAGGTCCACATCCACCGCGGAGGAGCCATCATTGAAGGTCTGCCCCAGCCCCTGGCTGGCGGTCTCGTCGTCGTCGCCCTGGCTGCTGGCACCGTCGTTGTCGACAAAGCCTGGGGGGGGGGGGGAGAGGGAGGTGGGGGGTAAAGAGGAAACGACTAACGAACTGTATGGGGACCCCCCATATACACACACACGCTACACTTCATCTTTCGGCAATCACAGTACGTTTCGCCTCGCGGCCAGTTATTTTAACACACGCCCCCCCCCCCCCCACACACACGCGGCCAGGTTTCTTAACGCAAGCACCTGCGGAGTGTGACTTGGACAGCACGCCGCTGAGTCCGCTCTTCTGAGGGCCGTACAGGAACTCCTCCTCCTCCTCTCCACCCTCCCCGCCACCGCCACCCCCCTCCCCGCCCCCCGTCTCCGCCTCGTTTATGGCCTGCAGGGCTGCAAGGTCCAGACGCCGCCTGCTGCCGCGACTGGGGGGGGAGAGGGCGGGAGAGGGGCACAGGCAGGGGGTTTAGAGCAACGGAGCCGCGAGGAGGAGGGGGAGAGATGAGTAATGCTCTAGCCTGCACTGGTACCGCTGTTACTGTTACCAGTGCTAGTAACCCCCGCTACGTCTACTGCTGCGTCTACTGCTCCCCGTACTCACAGGTTCAGCGACTCCGTGCCCGGCCCCGCCCAGGCGCCGCGACTCATGCTGCTCACACGGCCGAACCGCCCGCTGCCACCTCCACCACCACCACCACCACCACCCGCCATGCCGGCAAACCCTCCTCCGCCTCCTCCTCCGCCAATGCCGCTGGGTACCTTCCGCAGACCTGCGCCGCTCAAGCTGGGTAGGCTGCGCTCCGCATCCCCCGCCCCCCCGCCGCCCATGGCATCCTCCTCCGCCTCCTCATCATCCTCACCGGCCGCCGCTGCAGCTCCAGCTCCAGCTGCTGGACCCGGGGACCCACCCCTGAAGGAGCTGCCATGCAGGGGGTGGTGCTGCGAGGCTGAGGCGGCAGCGGCGGCGCTGGGCTCGGGGGGAGGCGGGCTGTGCAGAGCACTGCGGCTGCGGTTACCGAGGCCGGAGAGCTGGCGCAGGGAGGATGACCCACGGGTCAGTGGGATGATGTCGCGATCTGGGTCGGCCAGACCTGCCAGCTGCTTGGAGAGGGTTCGAACCCATTGGACCACAAAGTCGGACTGGTTGCGGACGGTCTGTGGGAGGTGGGTGGATTTGCATGGGGGAGGATGTGGAGGGGGAGTGAGGGAGGTGGGTTTTGCCATCGGGTTCACGGGTTTGGTTGGAATGGGTAGTCTGTGATCCCACGGGTTTACGGTATCACACAGGGAACCCCATGATAAACACCGTCCGCACACCAACGGCCAACCATGAACGACCCGTCCAACCAGCCAACCGCAACCGCAGTACACCTTACCTTGTACAGATGCGTCGGATCTGCTTCATTGCCCGCACCCGCCTCCCCATCCTCCCCATCCTCCCCATCCTCTCCATCCTCCTTCTCTTCATCCTCCTCCTCCTCCTCGCTGTCACTGGCACTCGACTCCGACACGCTGCCCTCGCGCTCGCTGGCGCCGTCGCGATCGGGCAGCGACGACTGGTCGTCCGCTGAATGACAGACAACAGCGAGCGAGCGGCAGCGAATGACCCATGGGTCATGGGTCAGGAAGAGAATTATGTCAAGGAGAGACGGCAAAGGACGCATTGAGGAATGTGGCAACGGCTAGGGCTGATCCATGATTTGGAATGTATGTGTCTCTTTTTATCTCATGCTTTCCCGGTTCTGCCCGCATCGCCTCCGCCTCTGCCCCCGACAACGCCTACCCATACCCATATGCGAGGTACCCGCCCATGTCCTAGCCCATGCCCCCACATGCCCTCCCCCCCCACCGCCCCCCTCCCCCCCCCGCCTCCCCTTCCCTCACCGGTATCCTGAATGGCTCCCTCCTCGATGTGCACATGGTGGTTGTGGTGGTGATGGTGGTGGTGTTGAGAGAGGCTGGGGTGCAGCGAGCCGCCACCCGCGATGGAACCACCACCCTCAGCCGCCGCAGCCCTTCCGGCTGCTGCTGCTGCACCCGCTGCTGCTGCTCCCGCTGCTGCTGCTGCCTCTCCCTGCCCAGCCGGAGCTGAGGGGGCAGCACCAGCAGGCGCGGGTGCGGCGCCAGCAGTCGCATCGGGGGCAATCGTGGCGGCAGCAGGATCTGGAGAAGGAGCGGCAGCACCCGCAGCAGCAGCAGCAGCAGCAGGAGTTGTAGCACCAGCAGTGGTGGCAGCAGGCTGGTCGCCTTGGCCCTGCGCCTCCGACGCCGCTGCCCCTGCTCCGGCTCCGGAGGTTGGTGCTCCCGCGCTGGAGTCATGATGTTCGTGCTCGTGGTGGTGGTGGTGATGGTGGTGGTGGTGGTGCGTGACTGAGGTGTCGCCCATAAGCCCGTCCAGTCCCAGAGCTCGGTAGATGTTGGCACGGGCGCCCTGTGCATGCGGCCAGGGGGGGCGGTTAGGGGGGATGAGGAGAAGGAAGCGGAGGGTGTGAGGGGCGGGGTCGGATGCGGCGACGGCGCCGGGCAGCAGCGAAGGGCATGCAAGGGCTCGCAGGCAGCCAAGTACGGCAGGTACGCAAGCGCGCACGACCCCGCACCTCCGAGTAAAACCCCGTGCAAAGTATTATACCACCCCTCCGCTCCCCTCACCCCTCCAAGTTAAACCCCCGTACAGCGTTAATCTACCCCTCCGCCGCCCCTCTCCCCTCTCCGTTGCTTCACTTTTCATTTACGTTTCTCCGCCCCCCCCCTCTCCCCACCCCCCCGCACCGTGAAGCTGGTGTCGGGGTGCAGTGTGACGTAGATGCGGCTGGCGCCCGGCCCGCTGACACCCTGCATGTGCACCCGCATGACCCCACCGTCCGGGTGCGGCCCCGTGAAGGCCTGCTGCGGGGACACCACCAGGCCGCTGCTGCCCTTGAGCGCACCGCGCTTCTTGCGCTCCTTCATCAGCTCGTCCCAGCGGGCGCCCTTGGGCACGTCAAGCAGCCTGGGGGGGGAGGGGCAGGAGGTGGGGGAGGAGGTGGGGGGGGGGGGGTGATGGAGGGGAGAAGGGGGAAAAGAAGGATACCCTGTGTGTTACAATGAAGGGAAAGAACGACACACGTGAAGGGCAGGCAGCAGGCGGGGTTTGCATACAGACTGCCTCCTGTGCCCCCCACCACCGCCCCACCTGAGTTCCCGTCCTACAGCTCCTCAGCTCCCCCCTCCCCCCTGTCACCCTCCCTCCACTCCCACCCCCACCTGTGCAGCGGCATGCGCAGCAGTGCCGAGGGCGGCAGCCCCACAATCAGCCCCGTGCCCACGTCCGCCTTGCGCACCACCAGCTTCTCATCCAGCTCCATCACACCCGCCAGCAGGTCGCGGCGCCACCTGCATGGGAAGGGGGGGGGGAGGCGGGAGGCAACAGCAGGACGCGTGTGACGAGAGGTGGGTAGCAGCCACATGCACCCTGCATCATTACCCCACGACTTGTAAGGCATCCTCCACGGCTCCCTTTGCGAGACCATTGCGGCCATCAAAACAGCCTCCCTCCCACCGCCGTACCCCCGTCCCACCACCACCATCGCCCGCACCCCACCCGCCACCCCCATGATGTACGGTACTCATACACCCACAATATGATCCTCGCCAAGCTGCTGGTGCTGGTGTCCGCCTCCCTCAGGTGCATCAGCCCGCCCGTGTCGTCCGCACTCTCCACAATCTCCGCCTGCAGGCACGCGCTGCGCCCATGCGCATGAGAGGAGGAGCCGCCCGGCGGCTGCCGCGGCGGCGCCCTGGGGTCAATGTTCGGCAGCACCAGCTGCGGCTGCTCCGCCTCGTCTGATGCTCTGTGCGGGCTTCGAACCTTGACACGCCAGCTGGTACCCGGCGTTTCCAGTTCTCGGTCCAGCAAGCTGATGAGCAGCAGTTCCAGTTGGTTCAGCCCCGCGCGCTCGTGCCACTCCTCGAATATGTCAATCACGTCCGACAGGTTGGAGCCGATTGCAGACGAGGCGGTGAAGCCAAAGAGGATGGAGTCGGGGGGGTCGGCGGATAGGATGGTGCCGTTCATGGAGGTGAGCAGCACCAGCCGGCGGTCGGCGTAGGTGTGGGAGGAGGAGGTGTCCACCTTGCGAACCTGGGGGGGCGGGCGGGAGGCGAGGAAATGGGAGGGGAGAACATGGGGGGATTAGCAGGCACATACACATACACAAACAGACACAAACACGTTCCAACTCGCGGCCAGTTCACTTAACACACCGCTGTCTCCTAGGTCCGCACCCCACTCCGGATCCCCCCCCCCCCACCTGCACGATGTGTTTTGTGCGCCCGCTGACCGCGTCCTCCTGTGTGGCCACCTGCAGCCGCACCGGCACCTGCACGTTGTTGCTGTTCACCAGCGCCACCAGCCGCCCCGCGCGGCAGCTGGTGGGCGGGATGAGCACCGGGTGGTCCTGCAGGTGGGGGAGGGGGGAAAATTATAAATAAGTGCGTGGGGGAGGGGGGGAGGAGGGGGGAAGGCGGGGGGGGGCGTGTTAGTAGGGATACACATAGCTGGATTGCGTATACCGGTACCCGGTAGTCGAACTTGTTGGGTTCGTAGCAACACTCAAAAGTACAAAGGGGGGAGGGGAGGGGAGAAGGGTAACAAGAGGAAACGTACGAGAGCTGTGTGGCGAGGGGGCTTCACCATGGGTTGCTACGTTAACCCCGCCCCACCCGCCCCTCCCTCCCCCTCACCAATACAACCAGCCTACCTGCCCCCTGCCTCCCACCCACACCCTCGCACCCACACCCTCGCACCCACCCACCCACCTTCAAGTACTTGGCATGCATGGTTGCATAGGGTGGCGGCAGCACCTGCTCCAGCTTCATCTTCAGGAACTTGCGCAGCGGGTAGCCCAGCAGCGCCGCCACGTCCCAGGTTGCAAAGTTGATGGCGCCCTTGGAATCCACCACCATCAGGCCGTCCGTGTTGCCGTCGATGCGGTGCGCGTTGAGGACGAAGATGCGCTGCGAATCGGTGCCGCCCGGCGTGACGCGGATCTCAACCGGGATGGGTTGCAGGTGCCTGCGGGTGGTGAAGGGACGGAGGGAGGGAGGGGAAAGGTACATCAACCGCAAACAACAAAAAACTTTATGACACATGTGATATGTCGTACAGCTTCACTGCCGTATACATACACACACCCCCACGTTTCGCCTCGCGGCCAGTTTTCTTTCCACACCCACTCTCCCATCCCCCCACACATGAGTCGGGATCTGGGATTGGGACTCGTTTGTTTCACTTATATAATTTTATTCCCCCCCACACCCCAGCCCACTCCCTCCCATCCCCCCCCTCCCCACTTGTTCACGATGAGCATCTCCTTCACAATCGCCCCCGCCACCAGCGTCTCGTAGCTGGCCTCCTTGCACAGCTCCAGCAGCGACTCCACCGCGCTCATGTCGGTGCACAGCGTCTGGAAGGACAGGCCAACCTGGGGGGGGGAGAGGGGGGGGGGGAGACGCAATAAGGTGGAGGGGGGGTAAAGGGGAGGAGACGGACGACCGCGGCCTGTGCGACCCCTGCCTGTTTTGCGGCCAAACCCCTCACCACCCACCCACCACTCACCACCCACCCCCTCCCCTTTCCCCTAGTGAAGCCTCTACATGTCCGCATCCTCCCCTTTTCCCACCCCCCCCCCCCAATACCCCACCATGTCCTCGCTGAGCACGCCCGTCAGACTGGCGAACTGCGGGTCGGCGCACAGGATGACGCCGTTGGGTGCCAGCCACACACGCAGGTAGTGCGCGTCCAGCGGCATGGGGCGCAGAACACCCAGGAAGATGGCGTCACTGGGGGTGGGGGGGTGGGGGGAGGAAAGAAATTCCAATGTGTGGTGTGATAAATGATATAAGTTGTTGGGGGGAGAGGAGGATTGGAAAGGGGCAGAGGTAAGCGGCTGTGGCAAGGCCGGGAGCACATGTGAACGAGCCATGGGTCACAGAAAGTAGGATGGAGAACCCGGCTGCTCCTCAACCCACATCACCCACCTCCTCCATCCATGCGGGCCCCCGCCCGCCCGCCCCACCCGCTTGCATGCATGCACCACCCCCCCTCCGCCCGCTCCCCCCCACCCCCCCCCCTTCCGCCAGCCCCACCCCCACCCCCCGCCACTCACGTGCCAATGCCCGACAGCTTGGTGACGCACAGCTGCAGCGGGAAGACGTAGCGCTCCTTGTGCAGCGCCACCACGTCACGAACCGTGTCCAGGATGTGTGCCTCGCCGCCCTGGGGGGGGGAGCAGGGGGGGGGATGATTAAGGGGACCAAACCGTAGGACCCAACCACGGATCAGGGCTGAATCATGGGGGCAGGGGGTTTGGGGAATGTACCGTACGTACGTATGTAGGTGGGTTGGTGTTGTAGGACGGAGGGGATCAGGAGGTCAGGAAATGGCACAAACGGCAGAGCGGAAAGGCGTCATGCAGCATGCCGTCTGTAGACTTGTAGTTTTGTAGGGGGGGGGATCCGTCCTACTAGTCATGGAGCGATGGAGCCGCGGGGATGACAGGCGACTGAGGCTGCATGAAGACGTCCGCCCTGGCACGCCCCCAGCATCCCCATGCGTGCCGCCGCCCTCCCATACCACCCACCAACCCCTCTGATTCAACACATAGGGTATTCTTCTTCCCACCCACCACCCCCCTTACCTGCACGTATCGGGTGAGGTAGGCGGTGTGGCGCCCGGAGAAGGGCTGCGGCATGATGACGCTCACGTTGGCCCCCTGTGGCGGAGCACAGGAGGGCAGGGGAGGGGAGGGGGGGAGACAAGAGGGGCATGAGACGGGGGGTAAAAAAAATATAATGAGACACTGACGAAGCAACTGACGAGCTGTATGAGACGGGGGGGGGGAAGGATGGGGCGACAGGGAGGGGAAGGCAAGGTGACAACATGATGGCCAAAGGAGGATCAAGGAGGTACGTTGCGGGTTCACACTGTGAATACGGCAGGTACGGCAGGAAAGCAAGAGGGATGTGGGACGCACTTTGGCAGCACATACCCCCCCCCCAAGTCAAGCCAAGCTGAACCCCGCCTGCCTAGAGGGTGGGAGACCCCCCATGTACGACGCACAGCCCAGTCCCCTCAATTACCCCGAGTTCCCCCCCCTTCCTCTCCACCCCCCAGGGCCCCTCCAGCCCCCTGCTGCCTACCTCCAGGTCCGTCTTGGGGTAACCCAGTAGGTTGGTGACGCACTGGGACGAGGGAGGGAGGGAGGGAGGGAGGGAGGGAGGGAGGGAGGGAGGAGCGGGGTTAGGACGTGGGTGTTAACTAGCGAGGGAGACAAAAGGGCGGTTGCTGGCGAGGGCTACCGGTGGTATGTTTTAGTGGGTACTAGGCGGGTTAAGTGGAGGAGCGAGCCGCGGAGTTATTATACTGTTGGAAGGTCTACTTCACTGAGCGGAGCAGGGTGTTGTAGGCCATGCAGGTGATGAGAAGCCAGGGTGACCCATGGGTCATAACATCACTTTGTGGCACCGGCCTCTACCACACCTACAGCAACAAACGCCCCTTTCTTTCGTCGTTCTTACCGCGTTAACCATGAGGATGGTTCCCTCGGCATTGATCACGATGCATGCATCCTCATGCAGGTCCATGGTGGTCAGGAACTCGGGCTTGTCACTGCCATTGATCTGTGGTTGGGGGGGGATCAGAACAGGGAGGGGGGCAGGTGGCAGGGAGGGGAGGACACAGAGGGGAAAGATGAATACCCAATGTGTTGAGTGATAGGGCGAGATAGGGGGAGGCAGGTCAGAAACTCTGCGGCAAGCCCGTGGCAGTGATGGAGACAGCGACGATTTCAGTAACCAGAAGAAAGAGGAGAAAGAGGAACCGCGACTTGCGACTTAGCACGATGACAACAGCGCTTGGGGTTCTTCGTGCAAATGAACAGCCCCCCCCCACCCACCTGCAGGTCCAGGGACAGCAGTCCGTCCCCCCCGCCGTTCCGCGCCGCCTCCGTGTACACCCGGGAGGCAGCCGCCGAGTCGTTGCGCACGTCCTCCAGGAACTTGCCGTAGCAGCGCAGCAGCTTGCCGTTGCTGGGGTAGCGCTCCAGCACCCTGGGGGTGTGTGGATGGGAGTGGGTGGGCGTGTGCGGGGGGGGGGGGGTCAAAGGATAACCAAACCACAAGTGAGGGCAAGACGAAGGGGATAGGAGGGGGAGAATAGTGGTGGGGATGATGATGATGATGAAACATGTGGACGCGTATGAGTGATGCGGGAAGGAGCGATCCATGGGTATGGAATGTGACCCCACCCTGACCCATGGGTCACAGCAAGCGGAAGGTTGCGGCATGGGCCGGCTGTACCATGCCTGCAGCCCCCCCCATGGTGAAGCCTACATGTCGTTCACCTCCTCAACTTTCTTCCTCTTCCTCTTCGCCCCCGCCCCTCTTACACCGCCCTCACCTCTTATACACCTGATGTGCCGTGTCCGCCGCCTCTTCCATGGCCTTCAACGCCTCCTCCACCGCCGACATGCGCACGGCCGAGCGCTGCAGCAGCTGCCAGAACTCGCGTTGCGCGGTGAGCGCCGCCTTGTGCACGCGGATGACGGCGCGGTAGTTGCGCTTGAACTCCACGTAGCTCTGCAGGTCCAGCGCGCCCTCCTGGCCGTCCTTCAGCCGCTTGCTGTTTTCGATGGTGTAAAAGATCTGGTAGCGCTGGATCAGGCTGCGGGGGGGTCAAAGACCATATCAAACCATAGGAGACCACAAGTTAGGGCAAAACAATGGGGGTAGGGGTAAGGCGGGGAGGAGGGATTATGGAGGGCAGCTGCGGGCAGGGTTGGAAGCAAGATCTCTCTAAGGTGTTCTAACCCGGCACAGGCTTTCCCATGCTTTCTCCACTCCCCAAGCCCCAAGGTGTGTTCGTGCCGCGGGTCCATCCCCCCCCCTCCCCTGATTATTGCTACTAACTACAATAAATTGCTATCCCTAAAATCCAGCCTAAGGCGGATTACGTCTCCAAATTAACCCCCTCACCTGGGCCCCCCCTTGAGTGCCAGCTGCAGGTGTGTTCGTGCCGCGGGTCCGTACCCCCCCCTCCCCCTCACCTGGGCCCCCCCTTGAGTGCCAGCTGCAGGTGTGTTCGTGCCGCGGGTCCGTACCCCCCCCCTCCCCCTCACCTGGGCCCCCCCTTGAGTGCCAGCTGCAGGTGTGTTCGTGCCGCGGGTCCGTACCCCCCCCTCCCCCTCACCTGGGCCCCCCCTTGAGTGCCAGCTGCAGGTGTGTTCGTGCCGCGGGTCCGTCCCCCCCTCCCCCTCACCTGGGCCCCCCCTTGAGTGCCAGCTGCAGGTGTGTTCGTGCCGCGGGTCCGTCCCCCCCCTCCCCCTCACCTGGGCCCCCCCTTGAGTGCCAGCTGCAGGTGTGTTCGTGCTGCGGGTCCGTACCCCCCCCTCCCCCTCACCTGGGCCCCCCCTTGAGTGCCAGCTGCAGGTGTGTTCGTGCCGCGGGTCCGTCCTTCTTGACCTCCATTAGGTAGTTGGCGTACAGGATGAGCAGGAAGACGTTGTTGGGGAACACGGCCATGCCACACTGGGGGAGGAGGGGGGTGGGGGGTGTGAGGGAGCGAGCGGGAGAGGTAAGAGGGAGGGAAAACACACACACGCAGTCGGTATCGTTACACGCGGTTCAGTTGGCTCAACGCCCACCACACCATGCGTCACCCCCCTGTGCCGTGCGCTTCGCCAGTTCCCTCCTTTCTACGATTCTACCTCCCCCCCCCGGTGTGTGGCACCGCCGTACCTTGATCACCGTGTCCCCCAGCATCGCGAACTCCTCCAACGTGATGCCGTCGCGGTCGAAGCGGCGCATGCAGCGGGAAAGCACCTCCACATCCTCTGAAGGGGGGGGTGTACAGGAGGAGGGGGATCAATAGGGGATAAGGATGGACAAATTAATGGTTGCAGGGGGGTCGCGTGGGAGGAAGCCGGGGGTACAGATAAGGAAAACGGACGAACCGGGGGGGGGGATTAATATGGAAACAGAATCCGCATTAGGCTGGATAGTTGGGTTAGCGTATAATTGTAGTTGTTGTATAGTTAGTAGCATCAATCAGTAACAAACCGTATTGTAAGCTCCGTGGCGGCTGGGGTGATCTGAGTCACTCTGCATTGGCGAATAAAAGGCGGCTGCTACTGTGATAACTGGCTCCACTGCGCTAGACCTGATGTCTGTGCTGCAATGCTGTCAGCAGCATAACGTATGTAAGCTCCGCTGCTTAGCTGGGGCTGTCATGCGGCTGTGTGCACCAAAGCATCCCACCCTGCCCGACCCTCGCAAATGACCCATGGGTCTAACAAAGCCCAGCCCACCCACTAGTCCGAACCCTGACTAACCTGCGTAGCAAGGGAAAATTGTGCAGCGAAGGGGGGGAGGGTAAGGATGAACAAACTGACGAGCGGATGACCAAGGGCGTCTACGTGGCTGCATCACCCGCCCCACCCGGCCATGAGCTCTCGCTTCCTCTCCCTCCCCTTCTTCCCCTTCCCCCTCACTCACCTGGCGAACCGAAGTTGTGTACCCGCTTCAGCTTCGCAGCGGGATCTAGGTTCACAAACTTCTTCATCACCCGCCGGCGGTACCGCATCCACAGCTGAGTGGCCGCCACGCCGAACGCCACGGCGGCAAAGATGCCGTACAAAACCAACTGTACGGCATGGTACGGTGCCGTACGACACACAGCAAAACGGTACGACCGGGCGTTATGGGCGGCGTGATGGATTCCACAAGTGTACGGTAAACGGACAGAAAACATACATGGGCATGAGAGGAGCGGGGGCACACCACAGCCGACGAGGCGCAGGGCCTGCAGGTCATACCGTGATACACCGTGCCCGCACATCACCCACCTTTGTCATGCGGTGTTGGAAGTCCTCCTGCTCCTTGCGCTTGCTGAACTTGAAGACGCAGAAGATGATGCAGGTGTAGCTCACACCCGTCCAGCCGCCCACCCAGGCCAGGTTGATGTCCCAGCGCAGGAAGGGGAGCTGGGAGGGATGGGGGGGGACAGGGAAGGAGAGGGAGGGGTGGGGAATTAGGTCATATCTGAGCCGTTGAAACACTGACCCTAACCGTGGCATCCGGAGGGTGATGGCGTCCCAGATGTCAAAGTATTGTAAGCAGCGTCGTAGGTAAGGGGTGGGGGAGAGGGAGGAGTGACACACAGTGACGTGGCTACTGGAAGAACGGGCTGCAAAGGATGTGGAAGCAGGAGATCACGAGGAGGAGTGAGGTCGGCAGACGGAGAGAGAGGCGGGGGAAGGAGAAGGGAAGGCACACAGGGATACACACACCAAGAGCGGATTGGCACCAGCATATGCCACCACATGCCACACGCCGCGCCCTCCCAAACCTCCCAAACCCTAACCCCTCTGCTCGAGCACTGTCACATGGTGTTCGTTGCTCCTCCTAGTGTGCCGTCCTCCTAACTCCTCCTAACACCCTCCCGGTGCAGCGCTGTCACAGGTTGCCCCCCCCTCCGAACCCCGCCCCACCCACCCAGCCCCAACACACCCTCCGCCCTAGCCTCCAACCCCGCAACCCCGCCCCACCCCCTACCCTGGAGAAGTTGAACCACAGGATGATCATGGCTGCTGCCGTCATGGACACCGCCTGCACCTTGCCCAGCGAGGCGAGCGTGTTCATGAAGATGATGTAGGCGGCCTGGAGGGGGGGACAAAGACCATACCATATACCATACCATACCATACGGAGACCACAGGTTAGGGCAAAGCAATGGGTGGGGGGGAGGGGCAGTAGGGGTTGGGTGGGGTGGGGGAAGAGGAGACAGTGGGGTCAAAGACCATATCGCAGCAGTGGGAAGGGGGCGGGAGAAGAGGAAACAACTAGCTAACCGAGTTGGGAGGGGGCAGGAGGGAGGGAAAGAGTGAACGAGAAATGAAGGGGGCGGGGAGTGTAGGTGTCGGCCGTTACGCTAATGGCAGCAGGTACACGACTGATCAGCAGACTTGAGAAGAGAGGCCAAGCTGTGCGCGAAGATGTTGGCCTCTCTTCTTCAAGTGTTGTTGTTGTTGCTGCTGCAGTGCACACGGCAGCCTTACAGCACGTACCTTGAGTATGAGGACCTTGACTCGCGTGACCGCCGTGGGGGAGGCCATGAGGCCTCGAGCCACGGGGTTCAGGTCGCAACCCGCCACCAGCTGCACATGGAGGGCCACACACACATGGCGGCCAGTTTTCTTAACACGCATGGAGGACTTCATCTTTCGGCAATCACAGTATGTTTCGCCTCGCGGCCAGTTATTTTAACACACACACAAGGAGGGAACACGAGAAGAGGACAGTGGGGTGGGGGGTACTGCAGGAAGGCAGACGAGCATGCTGCAGGACGGCAGCAAACAACAAATGAAACAGTAACTGTGGTGAAGGTGTGCTCAGTGAAGCTGCACCCAACCTGTCCCTGCAGGCCATGTTATGCGGTGGCTCAGAGGGTAACCCGGTCGTGTACGGCCTCCCACTCAGCGCATGCATGGGCGGTTGGGTAGGTGGCGCTTTACTTGCGCATGCATAGGGGTGGGCATATACGTTATACGCGTAAAACATTCGCCCACCCGCCCCTCCCCAATGTCCCAAACGCAATCCTGTTATGCACTCCACCCTAGTGCTTCAGGAGAATCCATTCCCTCCTAATCTCCTCCTCGTCCCACCAAGGAATTGGGACTCCAAGGAATTTGCCTCACGTCTACTACTTCTTTCCCCATCCCCCGCCCCTGCTCCACGTTTCATCCATTTCCCCCTCCTCCCCAACCCCTCCTCCCTCCCCCTCCTCCCCAACCCCACCATGAGTGCCGTACTGCAGAAGAATATGATGGACGTCACCCCCGCCACCGCCATGTGCACCATGTGGGGGGACTTGAGGCACTCTGGAGGGGGGAGGAGAGTTGGGGGGATGAGGAGGGGGGAAGGGGGGAATGAGGGGGGTGGAGAGGGGGGGGGGGAATGAGGGGAAAAAGTTATATAAGTGAAACAACGAGTCCCAATCCCATATCCCGACTCATGCAGTGAGCGCATTCGGAGCATTCGGGGGAATGAGGGGGGGTGAAGAGGAAGAAATCAGCCAACCGTATGTGACATGTAGGCTTCACGATGGGGTAGAGGGTAGGGAGGTGAGTGCTTGGAGTGGGTGAGTGTGCAATTGGGGGAAGATAGCGAGGAGGGCCAAGCGAGGTGGCAACGCGGGAAAGAAGAGCCCCCCCCCTTGGACACGATTTCCCCCTGTTGTTGCACTTATTTATAATCCCCCCCCTGCAACACCAAGCAAACAGCCCGCATGCGTGCGTGCACCCACTCACCCACGGTTGTGAAGTAGTTGTGGTAGTGCGAGCCGTGGCCGGAGAACTTGCAGTTGAACAGGAACATCATGTAGTCGAAGCTGGAGGGGGGGAGCAGGGGGGTGGGGAGCAGGGGGAGCAGGAAAGTCCGCGATTCAGCGGGATAGCAAACATCCATGGGAAAGGACGCAGACCTTTATGGACAGAAAGGACAGGACTAGGGGGCGCTTACTACGCACACAGCGGGCGGGAGCACTGCCTGCCTCCCTCCCCCCGGCCCCCGCACACTGCCGCCCTCCCCTCCCCACCCTGCCACTCACACGGACATGTAGAAGAGGCTGAACACCACCTCGGAGAAGGTCTGCAGGTAGCCAGCGAACCGCTTCAGCCACTTGGAGTGCTCCTGACGGGAGGCGAGGGTGTGTGGGGAGCGGGAAGCAGGGGTAAGGGGGATCAAAGACCATACCTGCCCATAGGAAACGACAGGTTAGGGCAAAAGCAATGGGAAGAAGGGGGGGGGCGGCAGAGGGGCATGGGCGCGGCAACGGGGCATGGGAGGAGCCCGTGTGGGTGGCTTGTACAGCGCCGCTCCCCCTCCAGGCCCCGCGGTGCGCCATGCATCTGGTTCCGGCGGTGCAGGCTGCAGGGGGGCTTCTGACACGGGGGCTGCGAGGTGCTGCCTGGGGCGGCAGCGGCCCAGCAGCAGCTGTGGGGCTCTTGTGGACCTCCCAGCACCACTGGGTAACAAGCAGCACAGCGCCTTCCGGCTGGTGCTGCAAGCTGCCAGCGCAGTGCTGACCCGGGTGAGGCCCCCCCCCCGGCCCCCCCCGCACCCACCTGCTTCCTCATTGCGAAGGTGAGCAGCGCGATGCAGCCCACCGCCACGTACACCAGCGCCACCAGCGCGTAGAACACCCGGATGTAGGCGGTGTAGCCCTGGGTGGGGGGAGGTGGGGGGGAGGAGGGAGGGGGGAACAATCAACTGACTGTGTAATAAGGCGTCATGATGGTTTACAGCAACATGTGAGCCAGCCCGACCCGCACAGCCCGGGGGAAAGAAGAATACCCATTGTGTGGAGTCAGGGGGGGAGGGTGGTGAGGGAGAGGGCCCGGGAAGGTGGAAGGTGCAACGGCAGCAGGGGGCGCAGCGCGGCGGGGTTGGGGGGTTGACCTGGGTTCCAACTGTCGTCTGCTGTCTGCTGGCTCCTCCCAGTGCACCATACGCCCCGATGCCTGGTATTGTACGGCAGCCTCCTCCCAGACCCGCTAACCTCTGACCGTGATTTGGGTCGTGAAGCCGTACAGCACTCGGCCGCTAGGGATCATGTGACTGGAGCTCTGGCCACCCCGCACTGGGTCTTTCCCCCCTCCCTTGCCTCCTGGCACTTGATCCCAAATGCTTTGCCCTTACCTGTGGTTCTGGTATTCCTTTGACCCCCTGCCTCCTGTATGCCCCTTCCATCCATGCGTATCCCCCCCACCCTTCCCTCCTCACTTCCCCATCGAGCTAAACCCAGGGTGCACCCCAAGGGCCTCCCATGCGTGCCCTCCCTCGCAAACCCTAACACCCCCTCTCCACCAGCCCCTCCTCCTCCTCGTCCTGCCAGCCCCTTTCCCTCCTCCCCCCCCCTCCCTCCACCAGCTGCTGCCATTGCTGCTCCCACCCCGCCCCTCTTCTCCAGCTGCTGCCCGCTGCTCACCCAGATATAGGCCACGGGGGTGCGCGGCAGCACCCATCGCAGCGCCTGCCACAGCGGGTTGGAGTTGTTGATGTTCCAGTGGTTGATGGGCGTGAACACCACCAGAAAGGGAATCAACCCCTCCAGTACGATTTTAACCACCGCGAACTTCCAGCTGTCTGCTGATTTGCTGCGGGAAAGCATGTACCTGTGTGGGAGTACGACGCGGTTTGAAGCGCAGTTGGGGCAAGGAGGGATGATGAGGTGCAACACCCCTGCAGAAGCACTGGAATGGTTTTTTCCTCGTCTAGTGAGTGCTACTTGGGTAAAGCTTCACGTTGTAAGAGTGCTGGGAGCCTGTTAAGTAACCGGGTGTTTGGTCTCCACGCCCCGCAGTTCAACCCTTCTTGCCCAGCCCTATAGCGTTGCAAACCCACATGGCCGAAAAGACGCCCTCTTGTAGGGACTTTTTCTGCTCCAGAAGGTCATCCTCCTCGCCGTTGACATTGTTGCGGCCACGGTTCCTACAATCGGGCAGGGTGAATGCGCTGAGTAACGCATATCCTCCACGACACAGGTAAGGACATTGCAGACACGTTATACATAAGTGTGTTTATGTTCATAGCTGTTTGGCCCACCTCCTAACGATGCAAGCAGACACCCAAAAGACGGAATGAAAATTGACACTTTCGAGAGTCAACGCGACATCAACATTTTACCCTTGCTGGCAGAAATGGTAAAAAAACTATCAGCACGACGGGCCCACGACGCCTGCCGCCAAGCGGAAAGGTACGAACCATCCCACCTCTTCTTGAGGATTGCACGGTCTGCCGCTTGCGACGAAGTCTCAGATGCATCATTACCGCTTCGTTGTGATGCGGTTTCAGACATTTCGCCAAAGCTGTACTAGATAAGGTCTTGCGCAACCAAAATCCTTACGGGGCGTCTGCCGGGGCCCGCGCACCGGCGCGTGCCCCTGGCTATTAAGTACAGCGAGGCTTCTTCCTATGGTATGAATCCAGACAATGCTCGGACCCTCGTCAAACTTATACAAGAATTGAACGTTCGGAACATACAACTAGTGAAATATGGTCACTGAAATCCTTATAAAAGGTAAAACAAGTACACATGTCACTCAATACGCTTTCCAGTTCTCCAAGGGACCCTACTCCATAACGTTCGTACAGGTCCGCTCCGAAAGAAAATCGGGAATGCCCACAGCCCCACACTCCATGCAATGCCTGACTTGGCAATAGTAATAGCCTCCCGCTGACGCGAAGCATAAGGGCAAGTAGCCCCCATGAAAAGGCTGCTGAGGTCTGGCATGTTGCAGCCTATACCCGACAATGTATCCCAGACGTGAGTATGAGCATGGGAAGACCAGACATAAAATATATTTTCAGCAAATGCTACAACCCTTGACATAAAAGCCTGCTGGGAAACGAATATGGACCAGGCCGGTTGCATGCCAATGTGTACCGGTAAATGGATTCCTTCGTGTCGCTGCTGAGGGTAGGACCGACACAGCAGGACCGGCGTTTGCTTTACCACGTGATTCAATGCAAAGCTGTGCTTGTGAGTCGCGGGGGAGAACCCTTAAATAAGCACAACCACAGGGTGGGCCCAGCTTTGTATTTTAAGGCATCGTATGTTCCTGCCGTTTACTTGTTATTCTTCAACCGCCACAGCAATGGGTGCTCAAATCCTTCGCAGCTGCTGTGCATGAATGGCTTGTTCCAAGGGCTGTTGGTTGCAAGTCGAGGTGGCGATGTGGCTACAGCCCCCGTGAGAGCGATCCAGCAAGAACCTTACTGCGTGCCCAAAGGAACATGGACTGAAATGGGCATGGTGTTGGATCACAAGGTCTGCTAATGCAGCTTCGTACGCCCTGCATACACCAGATCTTTATTCGCCTCTCCCCTGCCATCCCTGTCTTCCTGTCACACCCCCTCCCACCTATCTTGTACCCGTCCGCCCATTCCTGTCCCCATGCGCCCCCAGGCCTTGTCGTATTCCGCATCCCGCACCACTTCTAATTTTGACCCTCCCCACTTATTCTTTCTTCCCGTTGCCGCGCCGCCGTGTCCATAGGAAACCCTACCACGCCATAATCGCATGTTTTTCGTTTCCCGTCTTGCATAATGACTGTTACTCACCACCTCCTTAACGCGCCCTGCCTCTCTTTCTTCCCTATTTTCCGCATATTGACAACCTCTTCCTACTGGACCTTGGACACGACCCTGGTGCGGCTATGTTGGTCTGCGCCTCCAATCCATCGGACCATGGCAAATGGCTTTCCCTCTCCAGGTAAGTTTCCCGTAACGCGTCTCGATAACATGTGTGCTCGTATACCCCATATGCGTGTTGCTTTGCTTTTCGTGACCGGCGGCGCGGCGCATGTCTCCCTAGTGTTACCACGCAAGGCGGCTTCTTCCTCAAGTCGTCTCGGTTTACGGTAAGCAACGATTCGGTAAGTAATTTGAGATGCGTGTTATTAGTGCCTCCGAATGCGCTCACTGCATGAGTCGGGATATGGGATTGGGATTTGTTGTTTCACTTTTATATAATTTTCCTCCCCTTTCCTGACCCACACATGTAACAACGAGGACTTTCCCCAGCACCCCGTGTATCGGTGTTGAACTTAAGCTCCTCGGGAACGGCCTTTTTGTGCCACCGTGAAGCGCTGGCACAGGCAGACAGACAGGGAACGGAGCGGCACTCGTGCCGGTAGTTGCTCCTGATCTAGCTATGTGCGACTTCTCATCAACGGCAACCAACCGAGCACACACGTTAACACTATGAAAGCTGCAAAGATTTTGAACAACATGCATACCTGCTTTAGGTTCGCAATTAGGAAGCCGGAGTGCAGTACCGGACTGAAATCCTAACCAACGTTGGTTTCTGCGCGGGCTGGCGATACCGGAATCACATAAAATACTAGTGTCAATAAGCCTCATTTAAGTCATGACACGTTAGAGTCTACGGGCAATGCTCGTTACAAACATGCTCGTCCCCATGAAGCTCGTCCGCGGCTTGCTCGTGCTCGTCACAGATGCCCGTTCACTTTGACCACTATGGCTTGATGGCCGCGATTTAAAATTATTTACACAGGAGCACGGCCTCTGTTGGTGCTTTTAATCTTGAGTATTTTGGGAATTACTACGCGGTACGGCAAACCACCTTTCATGGTACACGGTGGTCCAGCGCCTGTAAGCCCCGCAGGAAGTAACATTACTCGAGCTGATCTTAACCTCCATGTAACCTTAACCGTCGCGGAAGCTCCCAGTCCCAGCACGTCGCTTTGCAGCTCGGTTAAGCATTGTAGCTGAAGCCCCTCATATTATGTGTGACTTATATTAGCTCTGCCTTGTTGCTGAGGCAGCTGATACAAAAAGGTAATTTACCTGCAACTTTGGCGGGCTTACTCGAGCAGCGCATATCCCTACGGTATACAGGTGTGAAGCGGCTAGCGGATATTGCTGTGACTACTAGTTGCTTGGATCTTTCCTTTGTGATGTAAGAAATGATGTTGTCGCGGAATGGCTCCGGACAGCTTTGCGATGGCTCATGTGGCTTGTGCAGTGCGGCATTCCCATATAACTCGTAAGGCCAAAAGCTTTTAATTTCTGACAGGTTTGGAAAGTTTTCGCTAGTCGCGAGAACGTTTGCTCGCAGCGATGCCCCTGTCATGTACCGCTGTGACCCTCTCGTGATGTGCGCTTCCCCATCACAGGCCCTTGGAGATAGTATCTAACGTGCACGTATCTCAGGCTACGTGCCGTCTGCACGAACACGGCACGCCCATCCGCGGCCAGGCTGGCTGGTCGGTCTACCAGGTGCGCAACTAAGACGCCCGATCCACACCCGTAGCTGGCTGCAGCTGAAGGGAAAGCAGTCAAGAGGCAAGATGAAGCTGTTGCGGTGTTGGTAGCTGTCTTGTTCGTGTAGGTATGCCGCCGTCTACAACCTAAGGTGTTTGGCGATCGTCCTACTTGTCACACCCTTTGCGGCAACTGGTTCAGCAGCTGGGTGATTCAATCCGCTGAAGTGCACATCGGCGTTTGGTTCCAAAGTCCCGGTGCAGCATTGCTCATGCCGTATCAAATGAACTGGATTCTCCTCCCCGCTAAGCCTCCCCTGCCCTGTCCGCTTATTGCTGCTCTACGGTTCACCAGACGCCCGCCCTTTGCATGCCCATCAACCGCCACGCCCATCTACAGAGCCTTCCGCCTGCAATCTGGGCTTTGGCGCCAGCCCAAGACATGAGCCCAACGCCTCACTTCCGCAGACCCTCGCTTAGTGCAGCTGGTGACGACGCACCTATAAGTTCTCGCAGCTAATTACACCACACACACCAGCCAACCACCCGGTTCGGTACGGCCTTCTACACCTGTCGTACACCCTCCATCTGTGCCTCAAGAAAGAGGCAGGGACAGAACTGCTTATAACAAGACGTCTGCGCACGTGTGTGTGCGTGTGCGTGCGATCTCCACATTAACACTTGAGGGAGGCGCGTACGTGCGTGTGCACTCTCCACGTCCGCCTGCCGTACAGCGTGTACGGCAGGCCCTAGATGGGCAACATCGATGACCTGTATGACCGTGACAAGAAGACGCTGCTGGGAACCGGCACGTACGCCACCGTCTACAGTGCTGTCTGCAAGCGCACCGGCGAGCGAGTGGCGCTGAAGAAGCTCCGCAATGTGAGCACAACGACAGCAGCGGCGGCGCCCGCGATGGGAGGGGCCAGGGATGGCATCATGGCGACACCCATGATGAAGACGCCCTTCGGCTGCTACAACCCTGGTGGCGGCGGTGGTGGCGGTGCTGGCGGCGGCGGCATTGCCGGGAAGCCGCTGATGCCCGCTGGAGCAGCGGGAGCAGTGGCGGCAGGCGGTGCTGCGGGTAGCGCTGGAGGAGGAGGAGGAGGGGGCTGCGGTGCGGACGATCGCGGCGGCGTGTCGCAGGCGGCGCTGCGCGAGATCAAAGTCTTGCGGGTGCGTGTTTTCTGCCGTACGGCCTGGTACTGCTGGTACGGCAGTAGTTTTGGTGTGCAGCTGGCAGTCGGGTTGTTGGCACGGTGCATGCGGTGCTGTTGGGGGGTGGGAGGGAGGGGTTCAGCGGGTTTGCGTGTGGTAGCTTGCGAGTAGGAGGGAGGTGGGGGGTGGTCTGTTGCTCATGTCGTGCCATGATGCACGCTGCAGGGACGGGTGCAGCGCGCATGCTGCGGGTGGGACTTGGGAGGGATTGTCATGCGGCACATCTGGCATGGTAGTGTCCCGGCGGTGTCATGGTGGCGGGTGTACAGGGCAAACGAAGGGACTGCGATCTGGGTCCATTTGGGTCGGTCTGGGTTGATCTGGGCCCATTTGGATCGATCTGGGTTGGGCTTGCGGCTATGAAACTGACAAGCCAATGCTGCGCTATCCGTCCTCCCAATAGTCCAACAGTCCATTCGTTGCTGCCACCCCTGATTTGCCGGCAGCCAGGCGTCGCTTGCATCTCGTAACCTGCCGGCACAACCCCGTCACGCCCTTCGCCGCTCGCTCCCTGATCGCACAGCTGCATCGGATGGGGCTAGCGTTAGGCATGGGACTTCCACTGCGCCCCTCCCATCACCTACCCACCCTCACTTGTAGTTTGGGTTTCCTCTATCACCCACCCTTCCTCCCTGTCCCTTCCCCACCTCCCTATCACGATAAAGCCTCGTCATGCAGCTCGTTAGTTTACTTTTTTACATAACCTATCCCTCGCAGCTCGGTTTGTCTAATCCCTATCTGATCCCACCCTATCCCCGCCCCCCCAGGAGTTGCGGCACCCGCACATCATCCGTCTGCGGGAAACCCTGCACCATAAGAAGACGCTGGTGCTGGCATTCGACTACGCGGCCGGGGGCGATCTGGAGCTGCTGTTGTACGGCAGTAGCAACGGCAGCGGTGGTGGCGGTGGCGGCGCCAGCAGCGGCAGTGGCAGCGGAGGTGTGCCCGGCGCGCCCCCTCCGCTGGATCCGGCGGTCGTCAAGGCGCATTTGAAAGCCCTGCTTGAAGCTCTGGCGTACTGTCACGAACAGGTAAATATAACAAGGTTAACAACGGGCTACAGGAAATGGCGCATTTGCGGTGAAGTTTGCTTTCCGTACTACTTCCGTACTTTCATTCAATCCCGGAGGAACAGGATGCCTCGCAATGCGCTCCTGCACAACACGGGCGCCCTTCGTGCCTATTTGCCTTTCATGCCCCCAACCGTCACACACAAGGGCAACACGGTGACTTGCTCTGGTGGTGCATGGAATGCGTGCTACACGTCCCTTGACCTCTCCTTTCCCTGCATGCAAGTGCTTCTCCGTGTGTCTGCTCCCCTCCCGCCTCCTCCCCCCCCCCCAGGGAGTGCTCCACCGCGACGTCAAGCCCAACAACTTGCTGCTGGACGGCGCAGGGCGGCTGCTGCTGGCGGACTTTGGGCTCGCCCGCTACCTGCCGCGGGAGCTGGGGGAGGAGGAGGAGGGGGAGGCGGTGGGGGTGGCGTCGCACCGACAGTCGGCAGCTGCGGCTGCGGGGTCTGCGAGTCTGGGAGCTGGAGAGGCGTGCATGAGGGATGGTGGCTTGCGCAGGGCCGGCTGCAGCGGCGGTGGCGGCGGCGGCGGTGGCGGCGGCGGCGAGGGGTTGGGAGGGGAGTCAGCCCATGCGGGGGGCGCGGCAGGTGCCGGTGGTGGCTGCAGCGGTGGCTGGGTCGCTGGCATGGGAGTGGCGGCCGGCCTGGGAGGCGGGGGGGGAGGCGGGGAGGGCCCAGGCGGCAACAGCAGCTGCGGAGGAGGGAGAGGAGGAGGAGGAGGAGCGGCTCCTGCGCGGGGCGGGCTTAGCATGGAGGCAGGGCCTGTGATGACGCACCAGGTGTGGGTGGGGTAACGGGGGGTGGGGGTGTGCCTGTGTTAAGGAAAGTGGCCGTGAGTCGGAACATACTGCGTGTGCCTGTGGTGTCTGCGGTGTCAGCGAGGGGGCGGGGCACGTGCTTTCGGGTATGGTTACTGCTTCCTGATTGGAGGGCTGCAGGGGTGGGGATCGCGACGTTTGTTAGGGGACGCGGTTTCAGGTCCCGGGAAGTGGAGCGTCATCTTAGTCCACTTCGTCAGGAATGAACCTTCCATGTCCATGCTCACGCCCGCCTCTTGCCCTCCCCAACAAACGTCCCCACTTTTCCGCTTCGTGCGACACCGTGCTTTCGTGCCCGTGCTTTCGTGGTTTCCTTCGGAACGACTTGGTTTCTCTCTGCCAGCCCCACCTTTACCGTTCTCTTTGCCCCTATCATCCAGCCAATTGCGGAACATGTATCCCTCCTCCCCACCTCACTGGAGCGCTCACTGCATGAGTCGGAATATGGGATTGGGACTCGTTGTTTCACTTGTATAATGTTTTTTACCTCCCCCCCAGATCGGCATGCGCTGGTACCGCCCCCCGGAGCTGCTGTTCGGCGGCCGCACGTACGGCGCCGCAGTGGACGTGTGGGCGGCGGGCTGCGTGTTCGCAGAGATGATGCTGAGGAGGGTGTGGTTCAGGGTGAGGAGGGCGGGGTGGTGGGGCAGGGTGAGGGTTCAGAGGAGGGCATGGTTCAGGGAAAGAGCAGCGACTGCTTCCTTGACTCGTTTTCCTCCCCGAGACCCCAACAACCCCAACCCCCCTTCTTCTTCCCCCCAGGGCAGCTCCGATGTTGACCAGCTGCGGCTGATCTTCGAGGTGCTGGGCTCGCCCTCCGAGAGCAACTGGCCGGGCGTCAGCAGCCTGCCCAACTACCTGCCCTTCACGCCCATGCCGCCGCAGGTGGGGGTGGATTGTGTTAGGAGTAGGACTGGCCGCGAGTCGGAACGCACTGTGATTGCCGGAAGCCCACAGAAACACCAGGGGAGCCGGAGGTCGGGCGTGCTTAATAAACTGGCCGCGAATAGGAACGTACTGCTAACCCGTCAGATGGAGTGTATGCTACGCTCCATTTAGGAAAGCCCCTCAGAGTACGGTATGCCATCCCCCTTTCCGTACACACGGTCTGCTGGTCATTCCTGCACATTCCCACCGCCATCCACCTCCCCGCCACAGGACCTCTCCAAGATCTTCCCAGCCGCCGCACCCCATGCGCTAGACCTGCTGGCCCGCATGACACGGCTCTGTCCGCAGCAGCGCCCGACCGCCCGACAGGCCCTCGCACACCCCTACTTTGCAGCCGACCCGCCGCCGGCGCCTCCGGGGCAGCTGCCCCTGGCGGCGCCACGGCAGCCCGTGGATTCGCTGCGGGCCGCAGGCGCGGAGGAGCGAGCCGGCGGTTGCGGCGGCCGGGTTGGCATGGTGGGAGGGCTTTCGGGGCTGGCACGGCAGCTCAGCGTGGGGATGCCACAGGCACAGCGGGTGTCGTACTCTGGTAGCCTCATGACGGCAACAGCGGGGGTGGCGGCTGGCGGCGGCGGAGGAGGAGGAGGAGGAGCAGGGGAATTGCCGCGACCGCCGCTCCCGGCGTTCCCCGCAGCCATGATGCTGTCAGCGCGACAGCTCTCGGGCCGGCTTTCCTTTGATGGCGCCGCCGCCGCCGCCGCCAGGCCAACGGCGTCGGCAGGGCCTGCTGTTGCTGACGCCGGCGTCGGTAACGGCGGCGACCAGCGGAACGAACACCCGCAGAGCATGCTGGTGCGCAGGTCGAGTTTCCATCTACCCATTCCGACCGGGCCCTTATCCGCCTTTTTCGTACAGCCGCCGCCAGGGTCGTCTGCAGCTGACGATGTGGCGGCGGCGGTGGCCGCGGCTGTTGCTGCCGCCGCCGCCGCCGCTGCCGCTCCTGATGGAAGCAACGGCGCTGCTGCTGCTGCCGGTGACGGGTCCGGACGGCGCTCATGGCCTGGCTTTGGCGGCGGCGGTGATGGCGGCGGTGTAACGCCGAGCACAGGGACTGCAGCGGCAACGGGGACGGTGGCAGCAGCAGCAGCACCGCCTAAGCTGGCGCTTCCGCTCCTAGGCGTGCAGCAGCAGCAGCATCGGCAATTCGGGCAACCCCATGACTTCAGGCCACGGTCCATTTTCGATGTGGTAGCAGCAGGTGGTGGTGGTGGCAACGGGCCAATGGCTGTTGATCAGCAGGGGCGAAGCAGCCTGCCGCTGCCTCTGCCTCTGCCACCGTTCCTGCAACCTCGCCAGCAACCGTACGACGACCCGCATGACCGCATGCCGAACCCCCAACAAAGACAGCAACAGTTGCCGCCACAGCAGCAGCAGCAGCCACAGCCACAGCAGCAGCAAGGAATGGAGCCCGGGGACCGGGACGCTGCCCCCATGTGGGCTGAGCCAGCGCCGCAGCCAACCACGACGACGGCTGCAGCTGCTGCTGCTGCGTCAGCGCCACGGCGGCGCCGACGCGCACGTCGTACCCGCAGTTCCGTCGCTGCGGACATGTCTCTGTCCGCGGGAGCCTGGGTGACAGGCGCCGTGGACTTTGAGGCGATTGCGCGGGCCCGGGAGCTGGAAGATGCAGCTGCTGAGGAAGCGGGTGATGCGATGGAGGGGATGCGGGAGGGCGAGGAGGCGTTGGAAGAGGAGGGCGAGGCGGGGTACGGCGAGGAAGAGGAGGAAGAAGAAGATGAGGACGAAGAGGAGGAGGAGGACTACCAACGCAATGTAGTGCGGAGGTTCAGCTTTGGAAGCAGCTTGGTAACGGACGCCGATGTGCTGCATCAGGCAGGCGCCGGAGGGGCAGGCGATGTTGGCGGCAGCGGCGACCCTGCATGCACGTACGGCGAACCGGAACCCATGATTACCACCGTTACCACCACCGCTGGGGGCTGCGGCGGTGACGGAGGCCCCATGAGTATGAGCATTAGCATGGGTCTGAGTTGCGGGGGCGGTGGCGGCGGCGGCGGCATGTGTGGTACCGTGGGCTCGAAGCGGCCCCGATGGATGCGCTCCTCCTCAGCTGCCTTTCACCAGGAGCAGCAGCAGCACCCTTTCTACCAGCAACCGCGCCTGCAGCAGCACCAGCAGCACCAGCAACAACATCAACACATGCAAAGTGAACTCTGGCAGGAACAGCAAAAGCAGCAGCAGCAGCAGTGCAACCTGTTGTTTACACATGACCTCAGCAATCCCCAAAGCGATCAAGAGCGGGGTCCCGAGCAGCACAGGCCGGCTGAGGCGTCCTTGGTCTTGCAGCATTCCGTGGCAACAGCCCATAACAACAACATGTGTGCTGCCGGCGGCGGCACGCACGGCGTTCACTTTGACGTTCACATGCACGACACGCACGTGCGGCGTGGCAGCACAGGCAGCGTTGGCGGTGCACCGGCACCCTCTGTTTCAATGGTCTCGGCGATGATGCCTTGTGCGTCAGTCAGCGCGGCGGCCATGGGCAGCGCTGGCCGCGGCGGTGGTGCGGATGATGCCGCGTTTGCCGAAGAGGCGAGGCGCCGATGGGCCGCGGCGGCGGCTGCAGCCACTGCTGCCGACGCTCTTGATGTGCCTAACTCTGCTGACGGCGCTACGGACGCTGTGCAACCGCCGCCAACCACCATCTCCGCCGCCGCCAGCGCTGCACTCGGCGCCGCATTAGCCGCCGCATTGGCGGAGGCGGCGACGAACACGCGTCGGCCCATCGGCGGCCGGCGTTCAGACGTCACCGCGTCGGCGATGTCCTTGTCCTTTGCAGATGGAGTTGACGTCGCGACAACGCATGCGGACTGCTCTCGTGCGCCGCCGCCTACGGTTGTCGGGCCGCGTAACGCCGCCGCTACTGCGATGGCGGATGAGCTTCCCTCGATTGGAGGTCCGCTTGCCGCTGCAATGGAGGCAGCAGCCGACGGTGCTGCAACGTCTGCTGCTGCGCCCGCAGTTGGTGAGGGCACTCGTTCAAGCTTGCCGCTTCTTCCGCGGATGCCTGCTATCAGCGTGGACGCGGGAGTTATGGCGGCGGCGGCGGCAGCGGCGGCCGCTGCTGCCGATCGCGGTGACGGCGGCGGCAGGGCTGCTGCTGCTGCTGCTGCCAAGGCTGCGGCGGCTGTGCCGGCGGGAACGCTGAGTGGGTCTTGCCACTTGCGGGCTGGGCCCTCCGGCTTCCAGCGTCCAACCATGCCCAGCCCAGACCTGCAGTACCTTCGGTGGGTCCGTCGTGGGGCTGCTTGCGTGCTGGATAGATACTGTTGTCCGTCTGAACTCCGTTTGAAAGCATGCAAGCCGCAGTCAGGGGTCGAAGGGGCTGTTGGTTGTCGGCCTCAGGCCCCCGGCGGTCTGAAAATCCTCCTCCGTTCGGGAATCCCTGCACTGCACTTGCCCCCATGCATGCATTGACAATCCTGGCCGCCAGGAGGGGGAACGTACTGTACTGAGTTTCCGTCCAGGTGTGTCATACCCCGTCTGACTCCGTTGACACGCTTGTTTCTTTCCCTTCCTCTCCAGGCAGCTGAAAGCGGAAGTCGACGAGGCGCTTCGTCAGGTGGGTCCGGGCAGTGCATGACGGAGGGAGGAAAGCTGAGGATGAAACTGAGGAGTGGAAGCGCAGTGTAGTTTCACACCACACCACACGCATGGCACTTGATTGCACATCGATTGGGGATCTCGGCGGATGGCTTGGAAGGGCTTGGGTGGGGGTTGCCTTCCTCCAAGATATCCCATGTCCGTTTACCACGTTTAACACGCCCTGCTCCCACCAACAGGCTTCTCAAGCGGGAACTCCGGAGCGGGGTCAAGCGGAGCCCGCAGACGATCCCGAAAGCGACACCGGGGCTGCAGGGGGTGTGGATCCCCGGCCTCCTCGCTGCCCACCACCTAGGAGTTCGGATTCCGCTCAGGAATGATGCAGCAACAAGGGCAGGAGGAGAAAGCAGGACCTGGACTGCCGCCACAGCTGGGACTCTGTGAACGAGCAGCCATTGCTGCTGCCTTGCTAGCGGTAAGGCAGGCGCTACAGGGGCGGCAGGCTGTACGGTGAATTAGCAGCAGTACAAGCTTCGGGCCATTGCTCTAGTACGATTGTGAGTAGCACGGGTAGGTAGTGGCAGGCTATGCTCAACCAAAGCAGGAGCAGCAGCAGCAGACCCACCAACTACAGTGGCGGCCCGTAATAGTGCCAGATCAACGCATTACATAAGGCAGTGGGTAGCGCAATAAGCATTGCCATAATGTTAACATGATAGTAGCTTCGAACCACATGTTTCCGGGCAATTTCCTCGGTCACTAAACTCTGTAGGATGGGCTTTTCCGCCCATATCGGTATCCTTTTATGCCGCTTTTAGCAATTTGTACACGACGCGGGGGCCCTTGACTGCTAAACAACAGCATGCCATGAGTGTGTTCGATAAAAACGTGTGCGCCGTCATTTCGTAAGGGTCAAACGCCGGATATCTGGTTTACCGAACGGCAAGGCGATCGACCTACATTGTGTGCGTGGAGGTACGCGGCCAGCGTGCGGGGCGTGCCGGCTGTACATGGCCCATCGCTTGGGGGCCATTGTCTGGGTATTGTGTGTCCTTGAAACGGTGTTTCCATGTTTCCTGGTCCGGTCAAAATGTGTGTTCTGTGGGTGTTCCTTACTAGGTTGACGCCGTAGCGCCCGGGTCGCTTCATTGTAGTCCCAAATGACCCATGGGTCAGCGTGAAGACCTTAATGGTTGCAACCGTGTCCTTTGGGTTCTTCTGACTTAGAGCCCTTGGGGGCTCCTGGCCAAGAAACATAGCTAGGACAGGCTAGGAGGTAAGTTCACGGCTTTGCACCCTTGGGAAGCGTTGATAACGGATGCAAGGATGAGGACGTGGTGAAAAGGAAAGGACTGAAGTGCGAGCGTTCATGCTGGCGTAGGTACTTGCCGAAACAACTAGTCGTCGTTTACATGTGGAATGCATTGATTTTTGGGCTTATACGTGGGCGTTAGCTATCGCAGTGGTCGGCGGCATCCTCTAGAAATGAATGGAAGCTACTATGGTGGGGATACGGGGGTGTAAGACTGGTGTATGAGGAGCATGGCAATGCGAATTAAAGGGCGTACCGTTATCACTTTTTGCGAAGGGTGAACACTGTTTACGTATGGCGGATAGGATCGGCTGTAATGACATGAGATGCAAACGCTGAGATGTGGCTGCTTGTGGTGCGGGGAGGGGTGCAATATGCATGCCTGTGTCATGCATGCAGGGCCAATGTCCGCAACCTCTTGTAATGACTGGGTACAGCTCTGCGGTGGTGGATTGAGATGGCGTCAAGACGGGTTGAGATCTTCGCATGCAGGTTGGGTTATCGGTGCACTTCGGCGAAGGGGCCGCCCCTAAAGCCGCTTCCTGTGCGCTTCTGCCTGGGCGTTTCTTTCCCCTCACCTCTCACCTGTGCCGGGTTCCTACTGAACCCCCGTGCGAAAGGTTGCTGCAGAGGGGCAGGCATACAAGATGCGAGTCGAGGGGTACGTTTGTCACACTGTTGTGCTGGTTTAGGGCTAGGCGTCACAGTGAGACAAAAAGAAGAAACAGTGGATGGCGGGGGTGTGGCTGATGCATGTAGTGTCGTAGGCTGTAATAGGAGGAGGACTCGTTTAGGCGCGCTGGACCCAGCGGTCGGGGGTAAGTGTTTTAGCCAGGTGGAAAGTGCGCATGCACCTGCGCCTGTGGTGCGCTCCATACGCGTGCTTATTCCCTCATTAGGTTTCCGTGCATTGTCCATTGCACGTATACGCAAATTTGTTACGAAGGCAGTTAAGAAGCGCGTGGGATCCATGTGTAAGGCTTGGGGGATTCGCAACCAGAGGGGGGCTGCTGCTGGTCCGAGGTGAGCCCTCTAGACGCCCCCTCCCCTCACAACGGCAACAACCCACATGCCGCCCTGTTAAAAATACGGTTCCACACTCATGGCAAGATCCCCTCAGGACCGCACAAGTAAGGAATTGCAAGCAGGCAGGCAACAGAACCGCAACAACGCACGGTCCCTCCGCGGAGAGAGGTCGAAGTTTCTGCGTGGACGCGTGAACGTCCCAACTAGGCCGCCTTCTCGGCGACTGTACACAACCAAAGCCAAGGCAGGCCAACGCTTAATTACGCACTCTCTATAACAACAGTATCGTTCCATGCGTGCATGTAACCATGCAAATATTAGTAGTGGTTAGAACCAGCACAGTCAATGTGGTACCAATGCACGTGAAGTATCGTGGCGTTGGTTAACAGAACACGCACGACGCACCTCCTCGATAATGCAACCCCACTGGGGTAAGGAACCGGGCAGTGACTGCTGCCTTGAGAAAACACAAAGAAGGAACAACCGTGAAAGCCAAAATCGTTCCCTAACGCAATCACACAGCCTCCCTTTCCTTCCCAACACGGCATGCAACGGATGAATGTACAGGTGGTTGGCAAGCCAGGGAAATCCTGAAAACACACACGCTCCAACCGACGGAGGAAGCGCCGTAGTAGGCTAATCACAAAATGACCGCAACGCGAAAAGGCAGAGTCCTAATGTCCCCTCAGGGCCCCTCAAGCCATTCCGCCACGTGTGTTCTTACGTGGGATCTTAGCGTTTCCTGCAATATGCATCGCATGCAAACGTTGCTCGCTCCCTAGGCATGCATCCCCATGCCACCAAGGAGCAGTAACACAACCACCCCTGGACCGTGCTGCGAACATCCACACGTCCAAGCTTATACGTCAAGCTGCAGTGAACGTGGGTTGTAACCCAAAACAACAAAAGCCCCTCACCAAGGCGCTAGCAGCCCAGTCCGGAGTTGGACCAATCCTGCTGGAGCGGTTCAAAATACTATTTATATAAAAAGTGTAACGCAACTTGGAAGCACAGAAATACAAGAGCCGTACGTGTCTAGGAATACAGGTAAAACGGCTCAGACTTAACCTGCAATCAGGTCCATATAATGTAAACAACAATAATCTTTACCCACTAGCACCGCCCGTGCCCTGCAAACCCACCCCATAGCATGTGTTGGCAGGGGTGTGTTATGCAAGGAACGGCTATAACTCCTGCATCGCGCGTTTAACATGAACATGACAAAAGTACATACATACCAGCCACAGTACTAACAACTGAGAAGCTGCAACAGGAGGTTAGGCCTCGCGTTTCGTAGCTTGAAAGCATCTGTTACCCATCCATCTAACCCATTCCAAAACCAACGTCCAACGCAGTTTCCATGGCCATTCCAATCCAGGCACCTCTTGTCCTTATGTACAGGCCACCACTGGTGTGCATTCGGCTATCTTAACATGACCACGACCACGCAAGCCGCTCCGCCGACCCACTACTCACGAGTGGGTCGCTCTTACTGACGCCGCCGCCGCACTTCCTCCTCACCGCCATGCCACCTCACACCTCACTAACCATACACACATGCACACGCGCAGCACCCTTCCCTCACCAGTACTGCCCGTAATCCTGGTACGGCGGCGGCCGGCCCTGCGGCAGCCTGCCCCCAGGCGGACCGTAATACCCGAATCCGGGGCTGTAGCCGGGTGACTCGCTGTCGTACCCGGGGTCATCCATTCGGTACCCACCCCCGTTGTAATACCCGCCACCGCCGCCACCGCCACCGCCATTACCTCCGTGCCTGGGATACCCGGGACTTGAGAAGGACGGGCCGGCGGCGTGGGGCGGGTAGCGGGGTTGCGGCGGCGAGGGCGTGTGCAGGAAGTTTGCGCTGGGCAAGCGGCTGGGCGGGAGCGGCGTGGGCATGGAGGCAAGGGAGGGGCGAGGAGCGGGCGGGGGCGAGGGGTAACCCGCGGGCCGTACGTAGACGACTTGGGGTTCCGGAGCGGTGCGGTTGGGTTTGCGAGTGGCGAAGAAGATGATGAGGACGAGCATGACTAGGAGGATGGCGCCTCCGCCGGCTGCTCCTGCAATGATGGCGATGAGGGGGATGCCGGCGATCTTGCCGCCGGAGGACTTGGGTGGCGGCGGAGAGGGGGGCGGGGGCGGGGCGGAGGGGCAGATGGAGGAGGCTTGGGTGCCGGCTGGGCAGACTGCGAGGAATGGGGCGGGGGAGGGGGAAAGAGGGAAGCAAAATGAAGGGGGAGTCACGAAATGCTAGGGGTTGAGGGGGCACACATGTGGTACCGGTAGGCATGCGTACGACTCGACTGGGCCTCGACCACCACCTTCCCACGCCGCCACACCCACCGCCCCTGAACACAAGCACCCAGTCGCCCCCTGCTGTCCCCGCACCCCCTCCTACGTTGCTGTGGCTGCAGCACCGCCAGGCTCTGCGAGGTGGAGCTGCTCACGGCGCCCCACTGCGCCTGGAAGCTGGCACTGGCCTGGGAGCTGAGGGAGGCGGCGGCGCTGTAGGTGTCGGACACCTGGGGGGGGGAGGTGAGGGGTCGAGGAAGGACAAACCAGAATTGAGGGCAAGGCAAAGCAGGGGGGGGGAGCAGGAGCGGGAGGAGGAGGCGGTGGAGTCGTTGTCATGCTGGCTGTGTGCTGTTACCAAAGGGTGTCTTGTAAAGCCAGGTGGGGGGCTCAAGGGAATTGCACGGGGTAAATGCAGTTTTGGCCATGGCTATGCGGAAAGCTATGATACAGGCTTTAGATGGCTGGGAGGGGCTCAGGCGAGACTATAGGGTGTGGCTTGGGCGGAGTGCTGTATGGGAACGACGTGGCAGCCAGCTTGAGCGCACGAGGGGGGGAGGTGCGGTGGGTGAGATGGGGGTTTGTGTGATGTGCGCTACGGCGCTACACCGGCCGCCGCAGTGCCACTCACGTCTGCAGCGGTGGAGCCGGAGGGGAAGTCGACGGTGTAGTCCACCACAATGCCGCACGCCAGGCTGGTGATGGTGACGTAGCTGGCGGGGATCTGCGGGGGGGGGCGGGGCGGGGCAGGAGCAAGAGGGCAAGCAGGCAGGAAAGGTGAAGCGGGCGGGCAGTCGGGTGCGCATGAGTGTCGCAAGACATGCAGCAGCAGTCGTGCAAGGGCGGGGCAGTGGTTGTCTGGCGTCAGGAGCGTTTGGTTGCTTAGGCATTGCAAACCTGAAACCCCGCTTTGCCCTAATCACCAAGCATGGCTACATCTGCAGCAGCGGCGGCCCACACACACACTGGCTGCGGTGGGCCCCGGTGGGCAGGGCGGTGGGTGGTGGCCACACCGGCTGCTTACCTCCAGCACCCGCGCTATCTCCTGGTACAGGTCGGCCTTGAGGGAGGTGATGTTGTTGGAGAGGAGGGAGCAGTCCGCGGTGATGGTAAGACTTGCCTTGAGCTGCGCCACGGTAACTGTGGGGATGGGGTGGGTGGGTCGTTAGGGTGGGGAGTGATGAACACCTTAAAACACTTCCGTACGCACACAGGCATGCAGGCGGGACCTACCAGAGGGTGGCGGGCTAGCCGCGGGTGGGGGCCGCGGCGGCGGCCGGGGGTTCGGCTGTGGCGGCGGACTGGGTGGGGACATGGGGCTCGGGGCCGGCGGGGGTGAGGGTGGGCGCGGTGGGGGCGGTGGGGGGGACGGCGGCCGCGGTGGGGGCGGCGACGGCGCCGGAGGAGATGGCGGCGGGGGACTTGGCGGCGGACTTGGGTTTGGACTGGGTGGGGGTGAGGGTGATGGGGGCTGTGCCGGTGGAGGGCTGGGAGGCGGGCTGGGGCTGGGGCTGGGCGGGGGAGACGGCGGGAGGGGAGGCGGAGAGGGAGGGAGCGGAGGAGGGCTGGGGCTGGGAGGTGGTGAAGGAGGCGGCGGCCTTGGGTTTAGGTTGGGCGGCGGGGCGGGCGGTCCGTTGGGCGGGGAGGGCGGGACTGGCGGGATGCGCAGGTTGGAGAAGTAGACTCGACCTGCGGACCCGAAACGGAAAGGCCGAATGACATCAGCAGGGTTGTCCGAAGGGAGCCAAGGGAGCATGAATCGCATTCACAACACAGCACTCGCCTCGGTCAGGAAGATCCATCACCTCATATGTGCACCATACCGATGTGTGCTAACATTACATTACAGCAACAACACAACAACTGCCGCCGCGACGCCGCACCCCACCGCTGTGGCCCGGTGCCCCACCGCTGCGGAGCCAGCCGCCCGCCCCCTCCCCCCACCCCACCTACCTCCGCAGTAGCTGGTGTTGAGGCTGGCGGGGCAGTACACGTAGGGCTTGGTGTTGTCGAAGAAGGCGCAGGAGGAGCTCACCTGGCACCTGGGGGTGGGCAGGCGGGAGGGCAGGGGGGCAAAATCAGGACGTATACTAGATACACGGGGGAGGTACGACAAGTACGACAGGAGACCGGTACGACATGTACGACAGGAAATGGGTACGACAGGTATGCCACGTTGTTGGTGAGGAGAGAGCTGTCGTGCGCGCGCTCTCACCAGAGTCGTGAGCTGCCGTCCGGTGAGGCGCAGTAGCTGGAGAAGACGCCGTTGAACTCCCAGCTGCTCCGGCAGTCGCAGCCGTTGCTGGCTTTCTGTGAGGTGAGGTGAGGTGAGGTGGGGAAAAAGAGTGTCAACCTTTAAAAGAGTTAACAAAGCGTTGCAAGAAAGGGTCGACGGAACCGGAACAGGAAGGTCTTATCGACCAAGTTCCTTACGGCAAGGAGTTAAAAGCCCAGCGGGCTGGGTTCCCCGGTAAGCCAAGCGTGCAAAGTTTTTAAGCGAAAACCTGTTAGCGATTGAGGAGGCACGAAGCTCCTCAAATCAATTCAAGATACGGTAGCGCTATGCGGACAATGGGCCGGTGCGGACGGGTATGCGGTTCGCCCACCTGGCACGCAGCGGGGACGGAGCGAGGGGGCGGCGGTGGCGGCAGGGGCGGCGGCGAGGGCGGCCGAGGTGGTGGCGGAGGAGGTGCGGTGGTGCCGGGTGCCAGGCTCTTCTTGCACTGCCGGGCAGTTCCTGCAGGGTCGTGCGGAGCGGGGGCAGAGGGAAGAGAGGGTGAGGGGGATTGGCGGGGCTGCGTGAGGCTGATGTGAGGTCGGTGCTAAGGACAGGGAGGCTGGAGCGCAATGGGAGAGAAACACGCATTCAGAGCATGTCGCGTAGTGACACAGCAGCAGGAGCTGCGCTGTTGTGCGTGTTCCACACTGTTAGCTCCACACCCCACACCAGCAATCGTCCGCCCGTCCGCTGCCTTTACCTGTGCAGCTGAGGATGCAGGGTGTGGATGTGCAGTCGGAGCAGCTGCTGGGGTCAGCAACCTCGCACCTGCGGAGGGCGTGGGAAGGAGGAGGGAAGGAGGATAGGAAGGAGGAGGAGAGGTAAGGAGGAAGGAACTGCTTAACCCGACATGACATGACAGGTAGGCTACGGGTCACGCGGGATTACGGATTAGATAGAACTTCGCGTCGCGTACATGTGTTTGCAACAGCAGCAGCAGCGTCTGTCACAGGAGCTGAGTACTCTGACACGCGGCTCGTCCTCGCTTACGTTAGGAAATTGGTGAGTCCTGTTCGGTCGCAGTAGGAGTAGGTGTTGCCGTTGTAGGTCCAGGAGCTCTTGCAAGCGCAGTTGTTCGCGGAGGCCTGGGGAGCGGCGGAGGCGTTAGGATGAAAGCAGTTAGCAGCGGGTGGTGATGGATTGCGCAGTAGAGGAGCAGTATACGGACCATCGCTATAAGCGTGATAACACATCGAGGGGTATGGACCTGCGCTGCAGGAGGTAGCCCAGCATCGATATATCGAACGCACGCGACACTGCATGCTGCGCTTGACAAATGGTGTTTGGGGTTTTGGTTTTAAGAGACACGCAAGCCTCTGCGCCGCGCGTAGAAGCAGACCCATTCAGGCGCCTGCACTGCGGGCAGCTGGCAGCCTAGCAACGCACACAACGACGGAGACCAGCACGCCCCACCGGAGAGCACTGGCAGCGGCTGGCTGACAGCTTTTCATACTAGCAACAGTTTCGACACACCGCAACTACGCAGTTTGCCTGGCAATTGCGCACCAACCGACAACGCAAAGAACAACCTAGGTAAGCCTACCTTGCATATGTTGTTGTAGTACTCGGGCGGAGGCGACGCCATGGGAGGCGGTGGAGCAGCGTTCTGCGCGTAGTATTGCCCCCAAGCATACAACACGGGGTTCAACTCCGACGTCACAAAGTGCGCGCGTTGCGCCTGACCAGCCGTGAAGTGCCCCAGCGCCGCGAAGCACACCGGTGTGTTGTACGTCATGTAGTTGCCCAGCTCATCGTATCCGGCTAGGGTGGGGCAGGTGTCGGCCCATGCGTTCATGTCAGCCACCGGGATTCCCAGGTTGGTGCTCCAGCGCGTGTAGGCTGCGTCCCAGTCGCCCGCGTATTGACCCCAGAACAGCTCCATGCAGTAGGCCTGGGCGGTGGAGATGAAGCTGCTCGTGCTAGCGGCACCTGCAAGCAGCAGTGTTGTTGGCGTGCTGGGGACAGTAAGAGCCTCCGTCTACCGACAGTTAGGATGTGAAGGCCATATGGTGCGGAAAGCTGGACAGAGCTTTCGCAGCAAAGTACGGCAAGTACTGCACACGAAAGCTACCGTGTAACAGAGGTCCACTAGGTGTTTGAACCGGGGTACAGCCCCTTCTATGCTTCTTTACCCACCGTAAGTGCTGGGCGTATCAATGACGTAATCATCGTCACTGCAGGTATTAGCTTCGTCATTGCCGGGGCCAAACGGGTGCACCAGACCCAGATGGTGGAAGAGCTCATGCAACAGGGTATTGGAACCGTCGTCGTACATGGTCAAGGAATTCGAACCGTCCGTGGAGACGCTGTCCCAGGTGATAAACACGTGGCCCTGCGAGGGTGTGATGTCGGACCCGGGCACGAAGGCGTAACCAAGAGGCACGCTGCTGGATGCAGTGGAGTCGCTCGCAACGAAGACGTTGATGGTCCGCGGCCAGTCAACCACCATCCTGCAGTTAAGTTAGTAGGGCAAGGGAGTGGAGAAGGTTGGAAGGCTGTACGCTTCAGCACCAGCATTTTTGAGGACCCTGTTTCCCAGACAAAATAGACAACTTAAACCGCTGGCCAAAAGAGATCTGTAGTCATAGGTAGGTAGCTCTCCGGCCTGATTCGGGCCGTCACAATTACGAGGTACGTTCTGACCCGGGCGGCCAGTTTTTATTAACACACACACACATACCACCACTTCGCGACCAGTTTTCTTAACACACTTCCTGCAATCACAGTACGTTCCGACTCGCGGCCAGTTTTCTTAGCACCCACACTTACGAGGACATGTAGGTGTTGTTTTGGAAGCAGTAGGTTCCGGAGCACAGGGGCGTGTTGAGCCAGGTGCTGCGGTCAGGCAGCAGCAGGTAGGGGTAGGTGGCGGCGCTGTTGCGAACCTCCTGCAGGGGGGTGGGGTGGGGGTGTGCGTGGATTGGGGGTTGCGTTGTGTGAGCATTGAAAGGTGCACTGCTGGGTGTGTGGGTTAACAAGACTGGCCGCGATGGTCCGGGTGTGTTAAGTTAACTGGCGTGTGTGTAGATAACTGACCGCAAGTAGGAACGTACTGGCCGCGAGTGTGTGGTTGGATGCAAAGCTGCAGCATTGCTGGTGCAGCGTGGTGCCCGGTAGATGGTGCCCAGTAACCCCGGATGGGGGCAGTGCCGGTGATGCTGCGGCAATGCACATGCATGCCCTTGTAATGAGGGAGGGGGGCAATGACACGGGGGGTAATGAGCAATGTGACCAGCCAACAATGTGATCAGCCAAAACCTCGCGTATGTCGCATCCATGCATGCTCTGCCTCTTGATACCTACCAACGTAACAGCCCCAGATTGAGGCTGGAAGGCACCCCATCCCAACTTTCCAACGCACCTTGATGAAAAATTGGAAGTTCGTTGGTTTCGCCATCAGGTTGGTCACACGCACCAGGCGTTGCATGAACGACAGCGCCTGGTCGTACTTTGACGGCGCAACGGCGCCCGTGCTGTCCGTGTACAGCATGACGTGGAAGATCAGGGGCACCATGAGCGCCGGCATGCTGGCGGGGGCGGTCAGGGTGTAGGAGGTGCTGGATGGCAGGGCGTAGTTCAGATTGGACGCCACCGCCAGCAACCGGCGGCGGAAAACAGACGCGTCGTCTAGCTCCCGCCGGAGCTCCTCCTCCTCGTCCTCGTCTGAGAACTCGCTGCTGATGCTGCTACTGCTGCCGCTCCTGCCGCTTGCGCTGCTGCTCTCCGTGCTGCTGATGCTGCTGCTCCGATCAGCATTACCAGCTGGCTCAAGCCTATCACCCTGGCTACGGCTGCGGGCCTCCTCGTCCTCCTCCGCCGCCGTTTCCAGGGATGCTTCATGAGGAAGGGCGCCAAGCCCTGAAAATGCACCCTCCTTACGGGGCGGCCGAGCAGTGAAACCGATGCCATCCGAAGTGCCCCACACCCTCTTTCCCCAGTGCTCCAACGCAGCCCGCCGACGGCGGAGAAGCCCGTCCTGCACGTCGCTGTTGCGCACGCTCGCCGGCGTCCAGTGCGAGTTGTGCAGGGTGGATGCAACGTCCTGCAGCATGGGCAGGTCTGCATGCAAGCGCGAGAGTGCCACGGAGATGCGTGGAACCAGGATGGCAAAGTCCGTGGCGTTCAGCCCGCAGCTGCCCTCCAGCAGTGTGGCTGCGGTGTCGCCTAGCTGGCCTGCATTCGACAGGGCCGCCAGCACCGCCGACATGAAATCAAAGTCGGAAACAGTTGTGTCGTCGGGCCAGGCGGCAACGGCCAGCGGTTGGCTCGGGATTTGCTGGTATCGGAGCGGGATGTTGTCCCGCACCCATGCAAAGGTGTCTTGAAGGGATCTGTACAGGGCGTAGTGGCAGGCCTGCGCATGGGAAGGGGCGGCGACGGAGAGTTGAACGTCAGTGTTCAGGCAAGCAGCCGGAGCGTTGCATGGGTCGTACATAGGAACTGTCGCTAGTAGGGAGCTAGCATGGAGCCAGCGGCACTATAGCCAGTCATTAACCCTGGATAAGTAATACTGGATCTCATGTTGCACCTAGTGCCGTACCTGGAGGCTTGCAGTGCCGTACAGATTCTGCGAGAGCTCGAACAGCAGCTCAGCCAGCGCGGAGCTGCAGCGACTGGGTCGGGAGACGTACAGCCGCAGCATGGTGGGAGTCATGTACGGCAGCAGGGCGTTGGACGAGCCTGCGGGTGAGGAGAGCGGGCAGAGGGAGCATGGGAGAGGGCTGCACTGGTCAAGGGCCGCTGGTATGGCAGACATGAGGGAAGTGCTGGACAGGCATGTCGTGCCATGGCGTGTTGTCGGACTTGTGGCTAAACGTTGCAAGCCTGACGTCTCGAAAGCCCAATGCACCGTGGCAGCGCGAACATGGAACCGCGGGTTGTACATCATAACCGCGTCACGGTCATAACTCAATAGGTAGTGCAGAAACCCATATCGTGGAATCGCATCAGCAGCCCAGCGGCTTTCCACCATGCGCCTGTTCGCCGCTGCATGCACAGCCCAAGGCAATGATAGCTCCGGCCCCGAGAAGCCGCTGGCTGCATACGGTTTTAGCCGGTGACGAAGGTGTCGCCCGCGCCGTTCAAACCCGGCCCTGGGTGGCACACACACCACCTGCCAGCATTCTGGGTGGCCAGAGCCGCCGGGGTTATCGTGCCGCAACACCCCATGCATCAGCAGCTGGCTGGGCTGGCACTGTCTGATGCAGTCTAGCCCGACTTTGTGATTCCGCAGCACCCCATGCTTGGGGCGGCCCAAAACCGTGCATAGCTCCGGAGCGTGCAGACCCGCGGCAGCCCACATGCCGGTAGCATGCGCATACCTTTCACGCCCCCACATGCGCACATGGCGCGTCTAGCATGTACGTATGCAGGAGGACTGGAAGGCGCAGTGGAGCGCTGCATGACATGCATGCTGCTGCATGCCCTGTACCCGGCTGCACGCATGCGCCCGGTCACCGCACCCCAATGGCAGGTATTGCCTTGACGGTACTGCAACTCCACTCCGCATCATGTGTACCTCTTATGCACCACCCCCGGCACTCCCTATCTGCGAAGGGTGGTACTAAGTGCCCGGTTACCCGCGGCTTAAGCCACTGCGGACTAGGGCCAGCCACTCCTGCATGTAACCCTGCCAATAACGGCTCCTCCCGCGGTCTCCCTAGGCCTCTTGTGGACCAGCCACCCACCTTCCGCTTGGGAGAGCGGCTCTGCTGCTGCGAATAGCAGGTAGGCAATTGCTGAAACGCTGGCTCCCTGCTCATAAAGCGTTTGTACGTCCTTACTGGCCGCGTGCGTGGGGTCCTTTAGGGCCAGGAACGGCCGATACTTCACCCCAGGGACAACCACGTAGCTGCTGGCATCTTCAGAACCTGCGTGAGGGGGACGGGGTGATAATTGGCATCGGAAGTGGCCAGCTAGCATAACAGGCATGCCCATAGCTTTAACATAAACAACAGAAGTAAAATTACCAACTAAACGATTTGGAAATGCAAACAACCGTAACTTCAAAGGTCAGTCCAGCTCTCGGCTCTGCAAGCGTATACTGGAAACCGGGCGCACCAGTCGAGCTGGAAGCTCCATTTTGCTGCAGTTGCCGTCCGTGTTGCTCCCCATCAATTGCAGCTGGCAGCGTGGAAAACAGCAACTGAACCAGAACGAGCCGCAGGACTCCACTCCGAGCGCTCCAGGCCGCTAGCGGCATGGATAGCTGAGCACAAAGCAAATGTAAGATTCACTAGAACTGTAACACTGCTTGAGTTTGTGCCCTGTAGTCGCTAGCATGGAGTCGCTAGCAAGCAGGGCAACCCATCAGACGCCCTGCTGCTAGTTTTAACCAAATTAACATTGTAAGAATGCTGTCTATCCAGGGTCATCTAATCGTTGTCGCAAGTTGGATGTGAACATTTCGGCAACAAGGCATGCAGCCGAACAGCTCTTGTACGTTCCCGAAAACGTTAAGATTTATAACGGTAGTACTTAAGAGTTTACTGCCAAACACACTTCAGCGCTTGGCACCGTTGCCCTGTCGGTCGTGTTGTCCTGTTGTGAGAGTGTACGAAAGCTGCAAGCTGCATGAGACAAAGATTAAATGCCTCACGCGCCTACTCTTTAGGAACACTATTACGCATCGTGCTGTATAAGAAGGCAGTATGTCCTCTATGCAAAAGCAAAACTGAGTAGGCGCAGTAACCACCGGTAACCAGCTGTGCGCCAGGGTTGGATCAAACCAACGCGGGCAATGACTTGAACACTAGCAGGCCTGTCACACTTGGGAACCGAGGCAAAGCAGGAAGGAAAGCCCGCGCCTAATCCTAACAACCCTTTGCGCCACCGTTTTATGACCAGCCATGTCTACCGGATACCGGTTTCGAACACGTTCATTGTCGTTACGCTCTTGGCTCAGGCTGCAGTGTGGACGCACCGCACAGCTGATGCAAGCCCACGCCCAACCGTGTGCCCCTCACCGCATCCTTACCGCCTCACCCAAGGACCCGTGCCGTGCCTGCTTAGAACCTCTAGGGCAAAGAGAAAACAACTTGCCTTCGCAGCTCTATGGAAACAACTGACTAACCGGATGCTAGGAAGGACAAGCTTGGGCCCAGCAACGTAAGTGGCCGGCTCATAGCACCGGTTATGGTGGCCTGGTTTGCCCATGCCTTACGTTCACCACCGTCAACTCAAACGGTAGACCCAGGGACAGCAGACCCGTGAATCAGGGTTGCAGACACTCTGCATTTCGCTAAGCTGAGTGGCAAAGTCTGAGGCTAGCCACTTCTACATCCCTCCATCCCATGGCTGCAAATCTCCTCCGGCATGGCCCACGGGTCAACTTGAGCAGCATGGTTCACCCTGGATATCGGGATGTCACCTCAGAACGTTTTGCAACTTCTGACACGCCAAACACCTACGTGCGCTTGTTGCGCTTGGTTACACATAGTTATGGGTGACCCTACCTTGAAAGAAATTGGAAGCGCATCCTGCGTAGGGCTGATGATGCCCAATAACTACAACTTAACATGTTAACCTATTAGCGTATGCAGTACGTGTCATGTAGCGTGGTCATTCACTTGCTTCACGGACGGTTAGGAAGCCGGAGTACGGCCCAATATACTAATTCGATATCCTGACACACCTGAGTTAACTTCGGGATCAATTATTGCCTACTTAGATCGCCTGTTACTTGCCTCGGCTACACAGAAGTTGTTTAACTGTATAATTGCAGACCCTTATTTTCCCAAACTGTCAGCATGCTTCATTTCCTGAACTACAGTACTAGGAATTTGCAAGCTTTTGTTAAGGAGTAGGTTACAACGTAACACGGAGCCTGAAGCTTACACCGCGGCTTTTGGACGTGCACAGACGTCAGCGCTAGCCGAGGACGCGCGTGTTCCGGGTTGCGTTTTAATTGGTATCAACAAGACTTCGCATGTTGCAAGCGCTTAGGTCAACGCGGCTGAAGAAGTTCGGCAGTTTCGTGACATGGCTGCTGTTGTCGTTGGTTTTGAGCATCAGTGGACAGCCCTCGACAGGCAGGTTGCAACAGAAAGAAAGGCTTCGATCTTAGAGCGGGTTATTGTTTATAGGCATCGGGAACGGCCGTCCGGTTGCCGGATGCATACGAGCGGTTTATGGCAACTTGTGGGCGCGGGCCTTACATGCCGCCACCTTCGCAGCAACAAGAGCCGCGTGCACATCTGCAAACAGTTCAACTCACCCTAAGCCTTTTGCCGCTGTCCCTCTCTACAGGCTTCCATCCACCCAGCGATGACAAGACGGTTAGGGAGGGCCAACGGCCCTTCCTCTCCCTGAAGGATCCCAGCCATGCTGTTCGTGATGATGTACAACGCCTGTATGAGCAGGGTGCCAGTGCATCGGCAATAGCCTATCTGCTCTTTGCAGCAGCGCAGCCCCTGTCCGAAGCAGAGGGTAAGTAGCTGAATACCTCGGTACGCAAACCCACGGGGGGTGCGGGCAAGGAGGCGATACACGTACACCAAGCACTTGTGGGCGTTCTAATCTAGCCATCCCCCTGCCCCCGGCCCCCCGTCGCACACATCGTGCTAGTTCGTGAGGGTTGCCAAGTGCATTGGCGGGCTCCGATTTTCCATGGTTGGAATCGACATGGTTGACGATCTGGGGGTTTGGAACAAGCAAGCAAGGCTAGCATGAGGCCAGTTTGTGGGTGTGAGGGCTGGACGTTTGCGTAACGCGTGTGCGGTTTTGCAGTGGCTGTGTTTACCATGCCCACGGACCTTGTGGCAAAAGGTAACATTGTACAGAATATCGTACACCTTTCCCTAACCCGCAGGCTCGTCTAATGTGCTGCTGCCGTACCTGACGCCCACTGTACTACGGCTGTACGTGTCGCGTCCCGAGCGATGCAGCTCACCTCTTGCGGAGGAGTTGTTCGATTTGTCACAGAATCTGTATGGCTCTGTTACACTGCAGGTACGACCATGTCCTTTGCACAGCAGGGAAACTGCAATTTTATAGTTCCCTTACCTGAGATTACACTCATCTCACAGCAACCTCTCCTAATACAAGCGCTTCTGCCGTCACTCCTTCCCATGCGCAGGCCTGCCACTACGCCCTGTACAGATCCCTACAGGCCACCTTTGCATGGGTGCGGGACAACATCCCGCTCGCTCAGCAAGGCATACGCGGCCAGCCGCTCGCAACCGCTGCCTGGCCGGACTCCTCCCTCTATCCCGACGCCCAATTCTCAGCTGCCGTACTTGCAGCCCTATCGGAACCCGACACCCTGCAAAACACAGCCACGCTGCTCAACGCAAGCTGCAGCCTGTCCACCTCCTCCTTCGCCTCCCTGGTTCCCCGCATCTCGGCAGTGCTAACTCAGCTGCATGCGGACCTGCCGCTGCTGCAGTCCGTAGCAGAGGGGCTGCACGACTCGCATTGGGCACCAGAGGGTGTCCGACACAACAGCAGCAGCCACGACGGGGGCGGCAGGCGCCGAGCGGTGCTGGAACGCTGGGGCGGCTCCGCAGCACGTAGACTGGAGTTGGGAAAGAAGAACGTAGGAGGAGGAGAAGGGGTTGATGGAGATGCTGCCGACCCACATGAAGGGCGTTCCCATGGAGCAGCTCTCCTCTCCAGACGACGACAAGCGCTAACGCTGCCTTCGAACCTCTTCTACTCGTCGCCGCCCAGTAACTTTGTAGTAGCAGGGCCGGCGAGCACGCCGGCGCTCATGATTCCGATGATCTTCCACATCATGTTGTACAAGGACTCGACGGGCGCCACTGCGCCTGCAAAGTACGACCAGGCGCTGTCCTACGCACAGCGCATGGTCCGTGTTGCAAACTACATGGCCAAGCCGACAAACATCCAGTTTTTCATCAAGGTATACCCGGGGATGGTACCCGGATGGTATACTTCGGCGTTGCGACTGGGCCCATGCGTCGTTAAGCTGTCGGTCGCTCCGTCTGGCATATGATTGACCTCCGGGTCTCCTAGTCGTGTACAACTGCTAACAACTGCGTGCTGCCATTTTTCTTGCCTTGTTTTCCAATCCCTGCGCAGGAGGTTCGCAACGACGCAACGTTGTATCCGAACCTGCTGCTCGCGGACCGAAGCAAGTGGCTTGCTGCGCCGTCGTCCAGCTGTACGGGTTCGTACTGCTTCTCTGACTCTACGTACATGTCAAAGTAAGTACGATAGTAGCGACGGTAAGGCCTTTCCTTGTAAAGCAGGTTGAAGAACTTCCATTGCCATTTGCTATTCGAATGTAATTGGTCTATAATAGACACGGGCTGCATGTTGTGTTGTACATGTATGCGTACGACAACGTTGTTCAGAAAAGTTAGCAGGATTGCTTTGTTTTGCCGCCTGCTAGTAGTTCCGGCCATCGTTCCCTCGGCTGGGTATCCTGGTGATTGGTTGGTTATTCACAACTAACGCAGGCAATTCGCTGACTTCACACTCTGCCCTCCGCATGCCCCATCCCCGCCTCCCCCCGCAGACTGGTTGCCGACTTCCCCCGCTCCATCAACGTGTTCGTGGCCAGCGACTCCACGTCTGGTGTGCCCTTGGGTTACGCATACGTCCCAGGGTAAGTGTGTGTTAAAATAACTGGCCGCGAGGCGAAACGTACTGGGGTGTGTGTGTTGTGATCAGGGTAGTGCAAGTGTACAACCAACGTTTACGCATCAACCGTCAGGCACCAGAGGCCCGTGGTCTCGCTGTCGCACCGATCCTCACCCCTCCATATTCTCAGGAACTCCCATGCGTTGTGTTGTGCTCTCAGCATGCACGCTGAGTTATCCTCTGCATCCTGCTCATCGTCACGCTTCCTACCTACCTGATCAACGGTGTGGTGATGAACTACCGTCCTACCGCAACTCCTCTTCTTACCGTCCCACATCTGTTTCCCGGTGCCCCCTCCCAACACAGCTCGGACCTGTACCCCGAGTTTGGACACATCTTTGTGACCTGGGACAGCCTCTCAGCCGACGGCTCCAACAGCCTCTCCCTGTACAACGACGGACCCAACACGCTGCTGCACGAGGCCTTCCATCACCTGGGACTGCAGCACCCCTTTGGCGCCACCAACGGAGCGAGCACCAGCTGCGTGGACGGAGACTACGTGATCGACACACCCGCCACGCTTGGTGAGTCCCCCTGAGTAGTGAGTAGGCTGCTGCTGGTGCGTTGCGGTTTTGCCGCTAGAGCAACCGCAACGCTACAATGCGCGTGCAGGAAGGAGCATCTGCATGGGCATGGGCATGGGCATGGGTATGGGGGCTTGCTGGGCTTCCCTTGGCACCGGCACCCATGGCATTGTACGATGTGCGGTACCCAAAGGCTTGGCAAGGAAGGGCGTTTGCTCGGATCCAGAATCCGCGGATTGCGTTTCTTACCAGTTCCGTTTCACACATACCTGGTAGCCTTTTGACATACCGGTATATACCGCCGGCACCGGCACCGGTAGCTACCCTGGGTCACATGCCTGCTCACGAACGGATTCAAGTCGGTCCTTTCCGCTCCCCTGTGCTACCGCTCTCCCTACCTCACTCCCTCGTCCGTTCATACATCTCGTTACAAAACCTGACTCACCCCCCCCCTCACGTGCACCTGTTGTGTCCCAGCGCCCGCCACTTCCAGCAGCTTCTACTCCACCGCCCAGGCCTACTGCATGGAGCTGTTCTGGGGGCGCTACGGAGGCGATTGGGACGCAGCCTACACGCGCTGGAGCACCACCCTGGGCATTCCTGACACGGATATCAACACCTGGGCGGACACCTGCCCCACCCTAGCCGGATACGACGAGCTGGGCAACTACATGACGTACAACACACCGGTTTGCTTCGCGGCGCTGGGGCACTTCACGGCAGCGCAGGTTCAAAGGGTGCACTATATGACGTCGGAGCTGAACCCAATCCTGTATTCCTGGGGCCAGTACTACGCACAGAACGCTGCTCCACCGCCTCCCATGGCCTCGCCTCCGCCCGAGTATTACACCAACATTTGCAGGGTGCGTTCACATGTGGGGATGCACATGGGCAGGGCATTGACACACAGCCCTCTTGCGCTCTTTCGTAAAGTGAGCTGAATCGAGAGGGTGCACAGACCCGGACTGTACATGCATGCCGTCCAGCCTGCTTGTGTTGCGATTGCGTGTGACATCCTGCTGGCTGCTGCTGACTGCTGCTGCTCACCACGTGATTGATGTGTGGTCGGCGCACCATGCAGGCAACGAAGAACAACTGCGCCTGCAAGAGCTCCTGGACCTACAACGGCAACACCTACTCCTACTGCGACCGAACGGGCAGCTCTAACTCGCTATCGTGAGTACACATGGAGCGTGACCTTGTTGCATCTTCGCACGTGCGTTATCCTGTCTCTTACGTACAACACCGCATCTCCTACTCGCGGCCAGTTTTCTTAACACCGCATCTGTTAGTGCCGTACTATGCCGTTGCACTTGCCGCGTGTTCGTAGTGTGGCCAAGCAGCAGCAGCAGCAGCGCCCAAGCCAATCCCAGCCGCATGCGGTAGTCGCAGTAGCGCTGCGCCGGCGGAAAGGCTTACACCGTGCCTTTCCTTGCTCCTGTCTTTCCTGTTCTCCTTCCTTCCAACAACGCTGCCGCTCGGACTGTCCACGCAGCCCAACACTACTGCTGCTGCTGCTGAATACTGTCCTGTCCCCCTTTCCTCCCCCCGAATTCCCCTTCCCCCCACCTTCCGGCAGTTGCGAGGTGGCCACCCCCGGCAGCTGTGCGGACTGCTCATCGGGGTCCTCCTCAACCTGCATCCTGAGCTGCACAGGTGCGCGCACTCCCCCCCTCATACAGCTCGTTAGTTGCCTCGTCAGTAATTCCATGTTTGTAACCCCCCCGGGTGGGGGGGTAACATCCGAGCATGCGGCGTCATGTGCGGCGGGGCGCGTCATGCTTGTGTGCTTAGCCGACAGCATGAGCCGCAGGAGACGTCACAGCAGCAGCAGCACTGCCACTGTGACTGCAGCAGCACTACCTGAACCGTAGCTAGCAGCACAGCCCGGTTGCCTCCTATGTCCTATCATATCTCACTCTGGTCGACTGCTTCAGGTCACTATCCCAGCTGCTCCTGTACTCCTGCACTCCATATGCGGTACCCTCTTGACACCCTCTTGATACACTCTCATGGCTGTCCATCCTGTTGCACCGCAGGCACTGCCAGGCAGTGTGAGAAGTCCCTGGCACCCGGCTTCTCAGCACCTCCTCCGCCACCGCCACGACCCCCCTCGCCACCGCCCCTGCCGCCCCCGCCGCCCCCTCGCTCCGTCCCAGCTGCCTGCCAGGTATGGGGGGCTGGGGGTCCTGGAGGACTGGGCGGTACCCGCATATGGCCCCGGAACCATGGGTGTGGTCATTCATGCGTGCTCGCTGAGGTCACGGCATGGGAACGTCATATAGATGGCATTGCGTGCTGAACGAGAACAACCAGCGCCATAAGGCATATTGAATTCGACTGCTCTTGCGGTTAATGTGATGTAGAAAGGCCCCATGGTTTGTGTTGGCCCCCTTGGACGTGGACTGTGATGTAACCCGTATCGCACACATCGCATTGGTGCGTGCGTGCGATGTGAACCTGTCAGGCGCGGACGTGCCATCTTTGATATGTGCTTTTTCTCTTTTTCCTCACTCCTGCAACTCCTCTCTCCCCCTTTCGCGGTTGTGCAGAAATCCATCAGCGGCTGCGACTGCCGGAGCACGTGGGAGTACGACGGCCACTACAACAGCTATTGCGCCTCACCGGACGGCGACCCCCGGCTCTGGTACGTGTACGCTCTATTTGTGCACTTGTACCCACTTGTGCTCATTGTACTCACTATTTGCGCATCCCAAGTCGAGCGTAAGCTGTATCACAGATCGCCCTGTGCTGTCAAGAAGAAGATCATCACGTTTCCTCGCGCCGCCTTCCCTCATTCATTTCTCCTAAACCCCCATCCACCCACCCGCCCACCCCCCGGGGTTGGGACTCCGTTGATGCACTTCTCCATATTTTACCCCCCGCCCCCAGGTGCCAGGTGTCGTACACGTGCGCCTCCTTTAACAACAGTAACCCCTACCAGTACTGCTCCGCAGCCATTAACACCAGCTACTGCGGGGGTGAGTGGGCGGGGGGGTCGGGGGGGCACACAGTGTCTCTGCGCCGCTATGGGGCGGTGCGGCCGGCCACAGCATGTTCCTCACTATCCACCTCACTCATCGCCCCCACCGCATCAAACCACACTGGCCTCGCCACATCACATCAGACATCGCCCACCACCACTCACCGCTACCCACCCACACCCCACCCCAACATCCCCTCCCTTGCATCCCACCCTCCTCCCACCCACCCCATGCGACACACATGCACGTCCCCCCCTGCCCCAGCAGGTGAGGTCTACTTCTCCACCCTTCGGTCCACTCCGCTGCCGCCACTGCCGCCCCCGAGCCTGACACCCAGACCTCCGCCAGCGCTGTCGCCTCCCTCACCTCCTCCGCGCCCTCCGTCGCCGCCACCCGCACCCCCACCCCCAGGTGCGGAGGAGGGCGGGGGGCACACGGGCCCCCTTTACTCCTGGGGCTCGGGTTATGGGGTGGGACGTTTGATAGGGATACATATTCGGAGTAGCGGTATGGGAGTAGGGGGGTAGGGACTTGGGAGGCTCTCATGGGGGCGCTATGAAGTGGCTATCCCGTATCAGGGCAGTGCTTGCCGCCTAATGACGTCTTTATCCCTCCTCCTTCCTGACTCCTCGCTCTTTCCTGTATTACCTTGCTCTTACTTCTGACTTGGTCCCTCTCTAACCCGTTGACCCCTTTTGTCTCCCAACTGCCTCCCCCCTGCTCCCCCCTGCCTCCCCCCTGCTCCCCCCTGCCTCCCCCCTGCCTCCCCCCTGCCTCCCCCCTGCCTCCCCCCTGCCTCCCCCCTGCCTCCCCCCTGCAGTTGTGTACGTGGCGGAGGTGCGCGGCTCCCTCACCCTCAACGCCGCCTGCGCCCTGCTGTCCAACGCCATCGACGCGCAAGCCCTCAACGCCAGTCTGGCCTCCGAGCTGGCCCGCGTGCTGGCGGTGCCGCTGAGCTACGTGCGGGTTACGGGGCTGGCGTGCGGCTCCGTGGTGGCGGACTACACGGTGGCCTTCCCCTCGGGAGCCACTGCAAGCCAGGTGAGGAGGGAGGGAGAGGGAGGGAGGGAGGGAAGGAGAGGGGAGGTGTGAAGAGGTAGGGAGGGAGGGAGGGAAAAAATTAAATAAGTGAGGGAGGGAGGGTGGAAGAGGAGAGGGATAGGAGGAGGAGGGGGTGATAGGAGAGGAAGGTATGACGAGGGAGGAGGGAGGAGGGTACAATACCACCGCCAATGGGGCCCTATCATTGTTCTGTCTTAGTGCCACCCTGAACCTTCAGAGCTCTACTACGCTGAACCTTCAATCCTGCTTATAATCCGTGCACCTTTAGCTGCACCGACATTTACTTTCCTTCCCCCTCCACACCCGCAAACCCGCACCCACCCACCCAGGTGCTCGCAGTCAGCAGCGCCACGGCCTCCCTGTCGGGCCAGATCAGCACCAGCTACGGAGCCGCAATCAGCTCCTCCTCCGGCGGGGTCACTGTGATGCAGTCCTCGCTACGTACGTACTTGAGGGAGGGAGGGAGGGAGGGAGGGAGGGAGGGAGGAACATAGTACCTGTTGCGCAACACCTCCTCCTCATCACACCTCCGCTTGCTCGCATGCGGCCCTGCTTAACTCCTCAGCAAGGCACTTCTCCTGCACTCATGGTACTATGATGACCCAATGCCCTGGGAGCGTCCATACCCCACATGGTGACATGCTCACTTGCACTCCCTCCTCGCCGTCCTCTGTCCGGGTCAGTGTTTCCGCGGCTCAGTTTACCCCAATCCCTCCTCCCAACACACCACCGCCGCCCCCGCCCCCCGCAGTGTGCCCCGCGGGTACCGCTCCCTCCTCCGTCTGCCCCGGCTCCCCCCCGCCCTCACCAAGACCTCCCAGCCCGCCAGCCCCACCGCCCTCACCTCCCAAGGCCACCAAGCGCCAAAAACTCGCCATCATCATCGGAGTGGCGGTCGCAGGCGTTGTGGCGCTGGTGATCGTCCTCACACTGCTGGTGTACTGCATCATCCGCATGAAAAAGGCCAACCACCTCGCCAACCACCACCACAACAACGCACACGGTCAACCGCCGCTGACTGGTGGGGGTAAGGTGGCGCCAGAGCCGCAGGCGCAATACCCGGCGCCTGGGGCAGCAGCGCCGCCGCCGGCACCAGGGGTGGGGGGCATGGGTATGGGTATGGGTATGGGGATGGCTCCTGGGGGGTACCCACCCCCGCCGGGGCAGCAGTACTACCAAGGTGCACCAGCTGGTCCGTACGGCATGGTTGCGGCACCGCAGGGTATGCCGTACTATGCACCGTACATGCAACCCGTGCCTGGGGCGTACAACGGTGCGGCGTATGCACAGTAGGGAGATGGCCAGTAGGCAGGGCTTGGTTGTGTGGCTTCACTGGCTTGTATGTAGCGTTTGTACATAGTGGATGGTTCTTGTTCCGTGCATATTGGTAAGACGCGTTTGGCATGACTCGTTTTATGGTGTGGACGTACGTGAAAATTGAGGTACCGTACTAATTTGGGACTCGACTTGGCTTGACTTGACACGTGAAAAGGTTGTTTCTCATAAACCGAGCGGTTAGCTCGAGGCAGGTGTAGGCGGGTGTTGCGTCGTTATTTTTCCGGCGCTTATGTATTGGCTATGGCTATCCTACACTGTTCATCCATTCTTTGGGTTTGGAGGTATTGAGGCTGCGCATTGGAAAGGGCAGCTCTGGAAGCACTCCTTTGGGGCAACAACGACGACTCTTTTGACGAGGTGGGGTTAAGATTTCATCGTGATTCCGCTGGGTGTTGACCCCCAGCTACATACGTGTGATCTGAATTGGTTGGTGTATGTTGGAGCAACGGTTGTTTCCTGCAGTTCATATGTGCATCCCTTTCCGCTGCCCGGTACTCTCCTCCTTCACCTTTCTCCCCTTGTCCTTGCCCTTTTGTTGGAAAACGTTGGGTATCACCTAATCCTCCCCCCAGTGTTACTTGGCTAGTCAACAAACCATTTCAACCCCGATTTGAGCATGAACTATATTGATACCGCACACTGAGGTTTTGCATGTTTTGTCGCAATAAGGGGCCGACAGCCGTGCCACGGGGCAACAACCCTGTGCACGTCACACACCTGCCCGTGCGGCCAGTTTTCCTCAACGCATGCCCGTTGGAACGGCGCCGTGGTTACCCGCTTGGTTCCATGCATGTGTTGTTAAACGGACGGCCTGTGATGGTTTTTCCTGCTGCTTGCAATGGGCGCGTTGGCCGCATGGTTTGCACCGTTTCCTTGCGACCTGGATGTGTTTTGTGAGGGCAGCTTGACAAGCGGCAGTCCTTGTTGTGGATCAGCTTGGAGTGGGTACACTCCCGTGCATAACTCAGCAGCCGTGATATGCGAATGTAGGGGTGTTGTTGCGAGAAGCGCGTGGCGCGCCTGTACATATGTCTCTCGCATTGTGATCCGGACGTTCGTGATTAGGCTGGAATTGTGGCGGAACTTACAAATTTTACAAACTCCCCCGCACTTGGTGGTGGAAGCGGGTCGATGGTGGTGACACGAAATTGTTTAACGCAAGGTTTGCCTTTTTAAAACACACGTGCGCGTCTGGTTGGCCGTATTTCGCTAGCTGTGACGAAAGGGGTTCGGCTGGTTGGAGGTGCGGCTGGTGATAGTACGACACACCTAGACGCGTGCTAATTGTACGACACACCTAGACGCGCGTGCATACATTATGCATGAATGACGGGGTGCCGTGACCAGGCCCCACACGCGGCATTGGTGTTCGTTGCCCATCATCCTCAGCCCCTACAGGGTTTGGCCTGCCCTGCGTTTTGCTGCGCCAATCTGTCTCCCTGCGTCCGTCGTCGAACAACTGTAAGATTGTCGTCGTACACTGTAAAGGAGGGCGGCTTTGCTGTATCCTTGTGCTCCCTAAAGAAGACGCCAGTGCTGGGCTGTTGCGGTTAACACAGCTCCGGACGCATGATAACCCGCGCACCGACACAGCGGCACTGCCAGATACCTGCATAGGCTTATCTACTGCGAGGCACATTACATGTGTCCGGGCGCATTACAAGCGCCCAGACCGCACGCTCTTCGTTGCGGGCACACGTGTATCCTCCCAGGACACTTTCCCCGACACCGCCATTTCCATCATCAGATGAGCTATAGACCCTAGAAAGATGCGCTCGCTCGCACTGTCCTGCACCTTCCCGACTCACGCCCGATAACGCTATAGGGCCTCCCACAGCCCCCCATGAGCTTGGGAATTCCCTCCACAGTGCTACCCACCCATGCTATTAAGCTGTACGACCAACACGTCTATCCACTTCCCCACGGGCTGCAGCAACACTCCAGCAGCAGCTGCATCCTCCACTCGCCAGCCAAGACAGACCCAACGTTTTCGTACCCCCTGCCGTAACATCCGTACATGTACGGAAGCGTTGACTGGACCGTACACGGCTGGCGGAGGGGGTAGCGTTGCCGCGCCAAATGCTGCCGCCAAATGCGAGCTGTGCTGTGCTGGGGCAACTCCGTTTCGCCCGATAGGCAATCCGCGCTAACTGCCTAGTTCCTTACTCCGCCTCCAGCTCCTCGTAGATAGCCTTCAGGTCCTCCGGAACGCGGCCCGTGTGCATTCCCATCTTGACCTTGTACTCATTGCGCATGAGCACAAGGTCATAGGCCTCCTCCTCAATCATGTTCAGGTTCTTGCACACGGCCACAAGGCGCTCCTGCAGGTCCGGCCGCTCGTTGAGCTTGTCCAGCATGCGCTGCTCCTGTTCCAGCTCCTTGGCAGCGCGCGGGGCCGCCCAATACTTAATATCGAGCGCCTCGAGCGGCTTAGCATGGTAAATGAGGTAAATGCCCACAGCCGCGCCTCCATAGCCCAGGTACCTGGTCGTAATGCAGCATAGGCATGAGAAGGAAGAAGGCTCTTTATAAATGCTGGATTATGGCCTATTGCCGACACATCTCAGCCAAAAAGCGTTCTTACACTAGACTCCCATGCACCGCTGTAACTGATGGAAACTATACATCTATGGTTGTGCAAAGTATATGGAATATAGCACTTACCAGAAGGGCTCCCACCACAGGGTCTTGCGCGATTGCCCAGGCGCCGGTGGGAGCTCGCCGAAAAGGAAGCCATTACGCCCCGTCTGCGTGCCCTCTGACCAGAAGCTGCCACCAGGATACTCGCCACCGCCACCGCGAACGCGAGGGTTGCGGAGGAGCTGCGCTCCAGCCCGCCGGCCAAGCCCCCGCAGAAGCGATGCCATTCTTCCCAAGTTTAAGCTATAGTAGAAAAGCTACTAAAGGACTTGTGTATAACCTTGACAAGGTGTAAAGCAGGCGGAAGTGAAGCCTACACTAGTACCACCCCCAACAGAGGAGCGGATGCTATGGACAGTCACTGTCCCGCGTATAACAACACGACTACCCTATGCATGCCTGCCGTGGTCAAGAGGTTCGGAACCTGTGATCGTCCAATTGTACGACGCCCTTGCGTTTGCCCCATCCTTTCCTTAAGAAGGCCACCACACCCGATCAAAACTTGGTTCTAAGTTCAAGTAGTAAACATGCAGCTTCACGCTCGTTCGTGTGCCCCCGCCTCCGGCCGGATGGCCGGCAAGCCGCAGCGTCCAGTTGTGCAGCGCAGTCGTATCGCAGGCGTGCGGGTCCGCGCCGAGGCTGCCAGTGCTCCATCGGCACCAGCGATCTCAGACACGGAGGCGGCTGCTGAGCTTGCACGCCTCCAGAAGGGCAATGCGGTATGTGGTAGCGTCGTTTCCGACAGCTTGGCATTCCGACCCAAATGATTCTGAGGCAGCCGATGAAGGATTGCTCCCCAGCATCAGGAACAGCAGACGAATGTGGTGTTTCGTCCTTCCAACCGTACGCATGCCGGTTCCTTATCCGCAGTTTGAGGAGCTCAAGGCCCTCAGCACGTCGCCGCGCCAATCCGTCAATCGCCCCCAGAAGGTGCGCGATTAGGCTTGGTGTTGTAGGCAGTCCTGGCCCTGTAACGCCTTCCGCTCAGCGGATCGAACGCTTACCGAATTCTCAGCGAGCCGCTATCCCATGCTATAGCACAGTATATGGGTTCGGATTACGCTTTAGCAGGCGTTCTTACATCCTTGTTACGTGCTTTGTCTGCTGGTTCGTCACTCCTCGGCAGCATTGGCCATCCGGCTCTTGCAATGCCGAAAGCCCTTGGACAGCCGGCGACCTCGAAATCCAACAGTTAAAGCTTAACATTTTATTCTTTCCTCCCTGTTTATCGCAGAACGACGACTTGGCTTTCCGCCAAGCCCCAACCATTGCGGATTGCTTCCCGGCTAGCGAGAAGCTCTACAAGAGCGTGAAGTACGATGATGAAACCACGCTGCAGGTGCCCTTCCGCCGCATCCACCTCAGCAACGGTACCGACTTTGACGTGTACGACACCAGCGGTCCCCAGGTGTGTCGTACACTGTCGTACAACCCCGCCATGGCACAACCATGTCTCGCCCAACCTACACGTTAGTTAGGAAGGCCATATGCCACTTCACCTTATCATGGCCTCCTCCTCGCGCCGAACCTCTTTTTTTACTGCCAAACGCGATCATCCTCCTCCCTTTCCTCCTCTTCCACATCCCCCACTAAGTGCGCATGCGCCCCCACTCCCCACCCAGCAACACACATCCCACGAGTCCCGGCACTCGCCAAGCACGCTACCTCCACCTCCCAACTCCCAACTCCACTGAACCCATCTTCCCTGCCCACCTCCCGCACCCTCCGGCACCACACTGCATTGTTGGCCGCTGCTCCGCCCGCATGCCTTAAACAGACCCGCCCCAACTGTTTGCTCTTGTTTCCGCTCAACTACACACCCGCACCCTCCTCAACCCCCTCCGGCCCCCCCCCTCCGCCTCGCCCCTCCAGGCCGCTGACCCGCGGCAGGGACTGCCCAAGCTGCGTCAGCCCTGGGTGTCTCGTCGTGAGGCCACCGGCGTGACCGCGCGCGCGGGTGTGACCCAGATGGCGCTCGCTCGTGCGGGTATTGTGAGTGAGGAGATGGCGTTTGCGGCGGCGAGGGAGGGACTGGACCCGGAGTTCGTGCGGTCCGAGGTGAGCGGGGAAAGAGGGGGGTTGAGGGGGAAAGGGGCAAACGGAAGCCGGGTTTGGGAGCCTGACTGCCATCAGCTCGTGCTGGCTCTCTAAACCTTCAAACCCCTCTAAACCCCCTTTCTTTTTCTTCTTCTCCCCGTGTGCCTCCCCCTCCCCCTGTTGATTCCCTCCTGTTTTGAATTGACAACGTGCATCCTCTTCCCCTCACCCCTCTCCTCTCCCCCACTCTCCTCCTCTCTTCCTCCTCTCCTCTCCTCCTCGCCTCTCCCTCCCTCCCCTTATCCACCACCCCCCAGGTTGCCCGCGGTCGCGCCATCATCCCCGCCAACAAGCGCCACGTGGAGCTGGAGCCGTGTGTCGTGGGTGAGGGGGGAGGGAGGGAGGGAGGGAGGGAGGGAGGACTGAGTAAGAGGAAACAAGTAACTGACCGTGTGATCAGACGTCGTCAAGGGGAAAAGAAGAATCCCAGGTTGTTGAATGTCATCAAAGAATGGGGGAGATTCCGCTCGGGCTGTTGGTGAGAGGGTTGCCTGTACGAACTGTCATAACTGTCGGGGAGGGGAAGGGGAAGGGCAAACACAATGAATGCCATACCATGGGTTTGTAATGGCAACTAGGGGTAGGGAGGGGAGCTCGGATGTGAGGGTGAGGTGCCATGTCGGTGGGATGAATGTGTTTCTCTTGGCTTTCTTTGGACCCGTTGCATGGTCCAGGGTTGGGTTGGTTGGTACAGGGTTGATTCAGTGCGAGAATGCGAACCAGCGGTTGGTTGGTTGGTTGGTTGGTTGGTTGCGGTGTTCAGTGCCGATTGGAGTATTGGGGTTTGGCTCGCGAACTACAAGGATGCATTTGCGAGTATTGCGACATCACAATTGTGTGCTGTAGCGTGACGCAGCTAGGTATGCTTCATTGTTTCATCATCACCTTGACTAACCTCAACGCGCGCCACGGAACCATGGGTCACTAGGGGTGCGCGGGGTAGTGAAGGCCGCTCGCCAACGGTTCGACTTCTCAGTCAACCGGCCGCGTCGGTTCCTCTCCCCGAGCTGAGATCACACCCTCACCACTGGACCAGGTTAGGACCTGCGTCGGGAAGTGGCCCTGTGGGAACCCGTGCGTGTGTGTTTTGTGCCCCTCCTCCCCCCCGCCTCCCCGCATTCCCGCCGGGCCGGTGGTATGTCGGCTCGAGCGTCGGTCCATCCTGGGTCGACTTCGGTAGCGTGGCAAAACGTCGGCGTTTTGAGGTATTTTGGTTTTGTGGGGTATACAAGGTATACGAGGTATATACCATACACACACGGAGGAAGTATGCGAGGAAGTATGCGAGGTATATGCGAGGAAGTATGCGAGGAAGTATGCGAGGTATATGCGAGGTATATGCGAGGTATATGTGCCATGTGGGTCAGGCGAAGGAGCTGAGCAGCAGTGAGTGTTCAGCCGCCGCATTCACTCATTGCTGTCCCGCATGCCGCCAGATATATGGCACGGGGACTCCCCCCGGACCCCACCCAACCCCCTTGTCATACAGCTCGTCAGTTGCTTCGTCAGTGTCTCATCATATATATTTTTTTACCCAACCCCAATGCACACACCGCCTCGTGACCAGTCCTTTTATCACCCGCACGCATACCCACAACACGAAGTCGCGGTTCACATGCGAACCTCTCCCAATTGCTTGCTCTTGTCCTACTCAACTACACACCCACACCCACAACGCGGCTTGCGTTGTCATGACACGGCGCCGTACCACGTAACAAGGGTGGTGTGGGTTTGCGGGGTGTGTAACCTAGCTGGGCGCAGACTTGGGATCAGAAATGATGGACTGGAGGGAGGGAAAAGGAAGTGTTATTGTGGTACGTTTAGGGAGGGAGGGATCGGGTTGCTGGGGCTGGCTCCGGGCTTGTTTAGAAGGGGGGAGGATGGGTTGGCGGCCCATGACCCGTGGGTCGTCATGGGCAGAGATGCTCAAAGCCCGATTTTCACAATCGTTCCGTTGCCCTTCAACCCTAGGCCCTTTTCCCGTTTCGCTCGCCTAATTATATTTTTACTAGCCCAAACTGAGCACCTGCCTTCTCGCATGCTGTGTTAAACTTTCTATAGTTGTGAACATGTTGTTGTTCCATGACCCCTCGACTCGCCCGACGCTCGTCTGGCGGTGCCTGTTCCGCCCGCCTGTACCGCCGTACCGCCGTACCGCTGCTGTACACACGTGTGACCTGCTGTTGTTGTTGTTGTTGTTGTTGTTGTTGTTGTTGTTGTTGTTGTTGTTGTTATGCGACCAGCTGCTGTTGTGACACACCCATCCTGACTCTGTGTGTCATAACAGCAGCAGCAGCAGCAGGTCAGTTTTCCTTGCACACACAGAGACACGTTGGCTGCTGTGGCGTGATGTGTATTGTTGCGACCCGTCCACACGCACACGCACACTGACGCCCCCCGGCTGCTCCCAGGCCGCAACTTCCTGACCAAGGTGAACTCCAACTTCGGAAACTCGGCCATCACCAGCTCCATCGAGGAGGTGGGAGCGGGGGGGGGGGAGGGGAAGGGGATGAGGAGGGGGGCTGGGGGGAAGAGGGGGGAGCTGGGGGGTGGAGGGGGGGATAAATGTGTATCTATGGGGTTTCCTCCTCGGAGGTGAAGGGAAGCTGCACACGGAGGGAACGCATCAGGCGGGATGTTGCTAGCGGTGCTGGTGGGATTCGCGTGAGAAGCCGGGCGGGTGTCATAGGGGGCGAGGGTCGCACTGACGAGGGGGTAAAGAGGAAACAACTAACTGACGAGGGGGTGGTAGGGCATGGTAAGGGGGGTGGGGCATGGTGGGCATGGTAGGGGGGGCGGGTGGTACCGCCCCGCTGCTGCTGCTGCTACTGTCTCCAGCTGCAGCGCCCCCGTGAGTGGCCGGCCCCACGCGCCTCGCCGGTCTCGGGTGGGGAGAGCGACCCGGGAGGGAGGGGAAGCAGGCAGAGGGCCATGCTATCGCTAACACCCCCCCCCCCCGACCCCACCCCCCTACCACCCACAGGAGGTGGAGAAGCTGCAGTGGAGCATCATCTGGGGCGCCGACACGGTGATGGACCTGTCCACGGGGCACAACATCTTCGAGACGCGCGAGTGGGTGATGCGCAACAGCCCCGTGCCGGTGGGCACCGTGCCTGTGTATGAGGCGCTGGAGAGGGCAGGTGGGGGGGGGGGAGGGCGGGGGGGAAGGGGAAAAAGAAGAATCCCAAAGTGGGGGGGAGGGGGGGGAGGTGGACGGGGGACCTCCTGTACCCCTTTATGGTGGAGCCTACATGTCATACAGCTGGTCAGTTTCCTATTACCCCTCCTCCTGCCCTTTTTTCTGGAGATTGGGACTCGGGAGTTGCTTCACTTCTCATTTACTTTTAGTTGTTTGCATTTCTTATGTAATTTTCCCCCCTAGATAGAGTCTCCGAATGCGCTCACTGCATGAGTCGGGATATGGGATTGGGACTCGTTGTTTCACTTAAATAATTTTTTCCCTCTCCCCCCCCTGCCCAGGTGGCCGGGTTGAGGACATCACTTGGGAGCTGTTCCGGCAGGTGCTGCTGGACCAGGCGGAGCAGGTGGGGGGGAGGGGGGACGGAGGGGGGAGGGGGGGAGGGGGGTAATAGTTAGGACGGGTGGAGGGAAGGGGGTGACATTTGGGGTATTTCACAACGGGGGAGATCGGGGGGGAGGGGACGCTGATGGCACTCTTTACCCCTTCTGCCGGCCCCACGCAGTTCGTCAGTTCGTCGGTTCACCTTATTTCCCCCCGCCCTGGCCCCCCCTCCCTGCCCGCCCCCCCTCCTCCCCCTTCACAGGGTGTGGACTACTGGACCATCCACGCTGGCGTGCTGCTGCGACACGTGCCCCTCACCGCCAGCCGGGTGACGGGGATCGTGTCACGAGGCGGATCCATTCACGCCAAGCTGTGTCTCATGGAGCACAAGTGAGGGGGAGAAGGGAATGGCGAGGGGGAGGGGGGATGGATGCTTACTACCTGTCTCGTGACACATCTGCATCATCAACCACCCCGCAGCCACCCCAATACCCACCCCCCCTGCCCCCCCCCTGCCCCACCTCTCTGTTTACCACTGCCGTAACACACGTGGGTTTGCCTCATCCCCCCACCCCACCCCACCCGCACCTTCCCCACACCCCCCCACTACCCCATCCGCACCTTCCCCCCACCCCCCAGGGAGAACTTTGCGTACGAGCACTGGGACGAGATCCTGGACATTTGTGCCGCGTACGACATCACGCTGTCCATCGGGGATGGGCTGCGGCCGGGGTGCATTGCGGGTGAGGGGGGTGGGGAGGGGAAGGGGTGATGGGGAGGGGAGGGGCGGGGTTGGGAGCGGGGTCGAGAGGAAGAAAACACGAGCCATGTGGGAGTTGGGGTTGTGGGAGTTGGGTTTTGCTTGACCGGCCAGTCTTTTTGTGACGCCCGGATAACACACACGGACACCCCGACTCACGGCCAGTTTCCTAAACACACTCACCCGTCCTCTCCCATGCAACCCCCCCCCTCTCCCCCCACTCAACAGACGCCAACGACGCAGCCCAGTTCGCGGAGCTGAAGACCCAGGGCGAGCTCACGCGCCGGGCCTGGCAGAAGAACGTGCAGGTGGGGGGGGATGCTGGGAGGGTGGAGTGGGGGGCAGTGGGGGGAGGGGAGGGGGGAGAAACTAACCACCCATATGGCCAGGCTCCACCATGGATTGCAGCGCGGGGAAGGGGGCGGGGGTCGGAGGGGAGGGGAGGGGAGGGGATTGGGGGCCCGCTAGCCAACCTCTTCCTCTCCTCCCGGCGCTGCTGGGGCCACAGCGCAGACGTGTCTTACACTCTTACTGTCCAAACCAAACATATTGTCACCAATGCTGCTGCCCCCTGTGGTACACACACATCCTCACATGCTATCACATCGTCATCACCTTCCGGCAATCACAGCAAACTCCAACTCGCGGCCAGGTTTCTTAACACCCACCCACCCACCCTCCCCCGCAAAGGTCATGAACGAGGGCCCGGGCCATGTGCCGCTGCACAAGATCCCGGAGAACATGCAGAAGCAGCTGGAGTGGTGCGATGAGGCGCCCTTCTACACGCTGGGTCCGCTGGCCACCGACATCGCCCCCGGGTATGATCACATCACGTCGGCCATCGGAGCGGCAACCATTGGCGCGCTGGGTGGGTGCGGGGGGGGGAGAGGGGTGGGGGGGGGTGCGTGCTTGTGTATAGCACGATCAGGCTCTGCCACTTGCTTGTGTGCTATCTCGTTTGCTTGCTGCGAGGGCCCCTGCCTCTCTTCAAGGTTCTTTCGTATCCACGTCCCCAAAACCCTTCTACCTACACGCCTCACCACCTCCCCCCCCTTTCCCCCCCGTCCAGGCACTGCGCTGCTGTGCTACGTGACCCCCAAGGAGCACCTGGGGCTGCCCAACCGGGATGACGTCAAGGTACGACAAAGGGGGGAGATAAGGGGGTACGACAGGGAAGGGAGCGGGGTACGACAGGGGGGGAGATAAGGGGGTACGACAGGGAGGGGATACGACATGGGGGGATACGACATGAGAGGGGGGGTACGACATGAGAGGGCGGGTGCAACATGGGGGGAGGCGATGAAGAAGAAACCGCTACCACAGAAGGGAGAAAGAGGGGTAGGGTCGAACGCAGCCTGCTGCCTGCTACCTTACCGCAGTGCGTCACACATCCTTCGAACCCCCGTCTCATCGATACACTTGACTCGATGTGTTGTATCCTCCCTCATGCCCTTCCCCTCTTCCGCCCTCTCTCACCCCCTCCCCTCCCCGTTGGGTACTCTTCTTACCCCCTTCCCCCTCCGCAGGCGGGTGTGATCGCCTACAAGATCGCGGCCCACGCTGCCGATCTGGCCAAGGGACACCCCGCGGCGGCCGCATGGGATAACGAGCTGTCCAAGGCACGATTCGAATTCCGCTGGTGAGTGAGGGGGTGAGAGTGAGTGAGTTCAGGTAACTGGCCGCGAGGCGGAACGTGCTGCGATCGCCGCGAGTAGGACTGTATCGGTACTGTGTGGTTTCCACTTGGTTTGGCCTTCCCCCCTTCCTCCCTCGCTTCCTATGGTTCGGTATGGTCTTTTGACCGCCCTCCCTTCCTCGCCCTCCCTATATACCCCACCTCCCTCCCCGCCCTCCCCCATCCCATACATCCCCCCCCCACCCACCAGGCACGACCAGTTCGCGCTAGCCCTAGACCCCGTCACCGCGCGCGCCTACCACGACGCCACGCTGCCTCAGGAGCCCGCCAAGACGGCGCACTTCTGCTCCATGTGTGGCCCCAAGTTCTGCTCCATGAACATTACGCAGGTGGGGGGGCGGGGGAGCTGGGGGGTGGGGGGGGAGGGTAAGAATAAGGAAACTGACTAGGGGGGTGATGCAGGACGGTGGAGATGCCGGGGGCTGGTTGGGGCACATGCGCGCGGGAGGGAGACGTGCCGCAGAGTGGCACATGTGGGAGGAACCTATGCCCTCACGATTTCGTGGCACGAGCTCCCAACCGCCCTTCTCATTCGCTCCCAAACCTCCGACAGGAGCTGCGCACGCTGGCCCAGTCCGAGGCCGCTGCCTCCGCCGCCGCTGCCGACACCACCGCCGCCGCTGCTAGCGCCGAGGAGGGCATGAAGACCATGAGCGAGGAGTTCAAGCGCCGCGGGGCTGAGCTGTACCACTAGAAGGGGGGTGAAGGAGGAGGAGGGCTGGGGGAGAGAACGGAGGTGATTGGGAGCAGAGGAACGAGGGATGCAGGAGGAGAGGGCGAGGGGAGAGGGGCAGGAAGGATGTGGAGGAGGAGGGGGGGTTGGTTGAAGTTGTTGTGTGGCGGGAGAGGCCGCAGGGGGCATGCGGGGGTAGCATGCAGGAAGTGGGTGAAGGTGGGTGTGTACAACGCAGGACGTCCATGGGTCTTTGCGTGTCGTACTTTGTCTAGGAGAAAGGCTTCTTGGACCCTACGGCTGTGACGTCTTACCTGGCATAGCGGTCGCCGCATTGGATGGGTTGGTTGGGTATTTACAGCGCAGATCTTAACCTGTTTTTGCCAACACCCTGTTTGGTTGCGGCACGCTCTTTACAGCGGTAGGACAGCAGACCCATGGTTCATAATATGGAATGAGGCTGAAAGGCTGGTAGGTTCTCTGGAGGGAAGGTGCTTGGAAAGGCTCCTGCTTTGGATCGATTCCTTATGAAAAGAAGATTTGAAACGTGTCAAACGTTTGCGCTTCACTTTGTTGCTCGGGTTGATGTTTGTTTGTTGGCTGTTGGCAGCGGTTGTTGATTGCTGGCACTTCAGCTGCCTCGAATGGAAGTTTACTAATGTTGAATGCCACATTGGTGTTGATGCTTATTGCGCTTCAGAGAAGGTATAAACGTCGCAGGGGCGTGTAGGACGTGCCGTAGCGTACGGCTTTTGCTGTTCCTCGCTGGTCGTTAGGTTAACGACTTGCAGCGGTTGCGTGTGGCGGGTTAGCGCGCCTTTTGGGGCGGCAGTTGCCGTATAGTTGTTTGTTACCTGTACAACCCTCACTGGCAATCCTCACTCGTACCCATGCCATTTGACGGTTTGCTGTGTGCCCTATGTCAGGACTCAAACTTGATAAAAGTAGAGGTGCTGTGCTGCGTAGGTATTCTCTTGCCTGTGCCCCGACCGTCCCTACCACCGCGGCGGCTGGGGTTATGGCTAGGCCTGCCTTGTACGGCAGATCGGTCGGCAGCATTGCCCGTCCGACTGATTCACAACGGGCCCTCGTTTCTACCTCCATGAAAGGCGAGGGGCTGTGGGGCGCCTGTGTACCCCGTAGGGGCATGGCCCTGTAAGGCAAAATAAACGTCTTTTGGAGATAAGGAGATGAACGACTTGCTCTTGCCTGCAGCAGCCTTACAGTCAGCGGCTGGGCACCTGGGTCATTAGGTGGCAGCAAAGTAGGGGCGGGGGTGGGGGTAAACATAGAAAGGGAGACCTAATGGGGGTGGGGTTAGGTGGCACTATAGATAGGGTTTGACTTTGGGTGCTGTACTGAGGCGATGTGGTCCCCTCCCCTCCTGCATTCGGAAGTCATCACGCAAATCGCCGCAAGTCAAGGTCGCACGCAGTAGGGTCAGAGTCCAGCAACAAGGTGATACGATACGACTAGTTTGACCACAGGGACGAGCATCTTAGCGACTACAAACTACGAGGCAATCCGAGCCCTCACTCCTTACTGCAAATGCTATATCCGTCTTGTACAGAAGCGGACTGAACCCTTGTTACCGGTATTAGGATAGCTTGGGAAACTGCGGTACAGGGGTGTTGTAATAAATACCAAACATGGCTTGCAAAGTCGAATACTTTTACGTAGATATTAATTATAAATAAAAACGTAACCATGCTACTGTCTCGTCAAGCAACTGTTAGCCGGCGGCCGTTCTCTTCCGCGCCCGCCAACATTACCATCAAACCTCGAGTCCTTACGCGTGCGACACCTCGTCCAGAACTGCCATCTACAACAAATGTAGCTAGGGTTTGCATTCCGGACTTGCAATGGAGCATCGACAATGTCGATGGAAAACGGTACGGTGCTGTACCGAGCAGACCTCGGGTTGTTCTCCTCGGTCCTCCCGCATGCTTGTGGGCCTGCCTTCTGGGCACTGCCCCCTTTCTCGTTTTCTCCTTTCTCGTCAAATACTCGACTGAGTTATTGAGGCTCTTAGCAAAGCGTGACTGTGTGTGATTCTGCCATGTACATCTCAGCCATCGTATGCACCATGCACCTTTCACTCGAATTGCGCAAAGACACCGCCCGTAGTAGCATTCTCAAGTCCAATCACGGTTGTCATTACAACCACACACGGGCTAACTCCGCACCTTGCGCGCATGTGTCCGCACAGGCTATCCGTGGCCATCTTCACACACCTCGCCGCAACCTACGGCAACAAGCTCACAAAAGAGGTACGCCCAACACACTCAGTTAGCTGTACACAACCTTATCACTTGCCTGCATGTCCCTCTGCAGAAAGTCCTTACATCCCTGTACGCTAGCCCACAGCGCAGCTCAGCAACACATAGATAGCCCCACGACCACGTAAAAGATCCTAGCTGCTTCCTTTCGCGCGCAACAAGGGAGGCGCTACATCCGGGGGCCATCGGGTGCCTCATATGGACCCTGTTACCCGCCCACACATGCCTCACCCCTTTCTTCTCCCCGACCAGCCGTCCTTACCTTCCCCGCCTTTCCCCAACCCACCTGTGCCCCGGACTTTCATAACACTCCTACCCCCCCCCTTTACACACACGCCCCAAATACCCCCCCCAGGGCGCCGAAGAGGGGCTGCGACTGTACGGAGATGTGGTGCAGGACGCACACGCGCGCCCCGGCGCCCACCCCAACATCGAGTTGCTGATGCGGGTGGCCCAGGAGGGCAGCAGCTATGAACTGAGTGTGGAGCGAACGCAGTAGGCAGGACTCCCTGTGTGCTGTGTGGGGTGCTGTGCCGGGGTTAGGCTGTGTGATGGATCCTGGCTGGTCGGCTGCAGAGGCCCGCTGGCCCTGAGGTCGCGCTGCTGGTGGAGGATAGGAGGAGGCGTGCATGCAGGGAAGCTACTGTAACGGTCGAGCATGCATACCGGTACATGCAAGCTGGGTGCCCGCAGGCTTGCTGGTTGGGTTCACTTGTTGGGTCTGGTGTGGGTGTGGATCGCAGCTAGGCGGCCTGCCGGCTTGGCAGCAGGTGTGTGCCCGGAAGGAGGTTGAGGTGAGGAGAGCAGCGGAGTACTGTGGATGCGCCGGCAGGGCTGGTATAAGCAGGTGATTAGGCAGGTCGGGCTGTGGTTGTTATTACAAACTTACAATGGCATCGGGTGCTGTGGGGCAATGAAGGGTCTAGGATGCCTTCTGTGCTGCCATGCATCACCGCCGCTTCCAGCCAGGCGGCGGCGGCGTGCTCTTGTGTCCGCACACACCAGGATAACCGAACGACGGCCAGTCAGCTCACATCGCTACCAGGACTGTTCGAGGAGAAGCATCTCCAACATGCATCATACCCATAAACCGTCATGGTTACGTCGTGTTCACGGCCAGGTAAAGAGTTGTCCCCATACTTCCATGCGTCAAAAAGATGCAAAAAATAGAAGACCAGGACTTGACTAGTCCCAACCTGGCCCCTGGGTACCATTATCGCCCTGACCCCATGCAAAGTACGTGTGTGGCACATCAAGTGACCGCCCATGTCCGAGCAATGCCCTACCTCCTCCAACGCTGTTATTGTGGCATGAACTCCTCCACGACAAACTCTAGATCCATCCCCTGACTGTACACGCGGAAGAGCAGGTCGATGTTGGGGTAATCCCCTGGCGTGTTTTGCGCTTCTTGAACGTCGTCGCGATCATACATGCAAAGTGCTGTCATGGCGGACTTGCGTGTAAGCCGGCTCTTGTACTGTTCGTCCTTGTAGATGTCGTAGAAGATTGCGAGCGAGGCCATGCGCATCCCCTCATTCTGCTTGCTGACGACGGTGTAGTCCAATTTTGGTATATAGATACGCGAGACAGTCAACGGCAGCGGCGGCATATCCTTATAGTCGTAGTACTCCTTCTTCTCTGCGCGGACGGCGACGGATATTTGCCGACCATGCCGAGCCAGGCAACCTTGCCGTCGATGGCGTGAAGCGGGCGGGATGCAGCCAAAGGCAGTTCTACAAAAGGGTCTTCCGGCAGATGTTGTGGCGTTCGCATTGCTTAGCACACGATGCTGAAGCATTCCCGACATTTTGCTTGTCCGTAATTGAATACTACTTGGCTAACCAAGTACTTGCACGAGCATATTCAAGATAGTCAATTGCAGATGTTCGGGGCGGAAAACATGCCAACAAGGAACCATCCGAAACCATTCCATGGATCCTGTTTATGGTCGGCCCAACAGGAAACCTACAGGACAAAGCAAACCATGACATGTCGTTTATGCAACAAATTTATATCATTTTGACTAGATAAACATGACTAACGTAGCTGCGACGTTAGCGCAGCTGACGGAGGTGGCAAATGGGGAACTGGCTGGACAGCTTGCTGAAGATGCACTAGTAGAAGCAGCAGAAGCTGTTCAGGAGCTTAGGGCTGAGGCTGGTTGGGCTGCACTTCAAGGCGAAGACCTCTCGGCCGTGGCGCTGACTCGCGCATTAGGAGACATCCTCAAGCTTCAGGACGCATCTTTAAGGAGCAGAGCAGCCACTGTTTACGGGACACTTCTAAGTTTGCCTGATGCACCGGTAGGACTTGTTTACCGCTCGCTGCTGGCCTTCACCCAACATTACAGTTGGCTGTCACTACTTGACGTTCTCCACAGGTTGGAACGCTCTGCGAGCCATATGCTTTCGTGGGCTTTGTCCACTGCCTTAAAAGCCTGTGCCTGCCGGCTAAGCAGCAGCAAGCTGGGGATGGCGTCCAGCAGCAGGATGCAGCGGCCGAGCCCGCTGCTTCTCCCCTGGCCCTCCTCGAGGACCTGGGGTCCTTCCTCAAGCAGCACGACATGCGCAGCAGCCCTGAGATGTTTACCATGCTCCTAGAAGCCTTGGTTGACATGACCGGAAGTGGTCTTTCGTCGGAGGCCCAGGGCAAACCTGGGAAGGCAGGAAAGCGAGGTGGCGGAGCCCGCAATCAAGGTGGGTGTGGCGGACACCACAAACCAGCATCCCGTCAGCTGCATGACGCTAGAAAATCTTCTCTTGGCGGGAGGTTGCGGGAGGTGCTAGCTGTTTCCATGCTGACAGACCTGGTTTGGCCTGTTTAAGGGCTCGCCAAAACATCTGCAGCTACCTGTAGCAGCGGGCTCGCTAACCGCATCCAAACCCCGTTACTACCACAACCGCGACGGCCTGACTCCTGGGCCGCCGGCCATGCTTCGCAGGAGGAGCGAGTGTTGCTGAGGCGGCTTTCTCGCTGCTTCCAGTCATGGTGGATAGCCGCCATGGAGACGTGGTGCAGACGATGGCGGTGCTCTGCCACCGCCTCGTGCCCTCGATGGTGGGATCGGAAGGTGCGAGGCGCGGGGGCCATGGCATGGACCGGCGGTCAGCGGCACTGGGCCTAGTGAACGAGTTGTTAAGGTGGGTAGCTTGAGGCACAGGGCAGGCAGGGCAGCGTCATGCATGACGCTTTTGGTATGGGCGTGCGTGGGTATGCCGTGTGGTGGCATGCCACGTCAAGACGGAAAGATGGCTGTAACCTTTCGTCATGCCCATGGGCAGTCAGGCTTGGGAATGCATCCTTTGCCTGCCTTTGCTTTTACACCTCGATGGGCTTTTCATGTCCCGCACTACTATGTCGCTGCCGTACCAACCCACTTGCGGTGTTCCTACGCAGCACCTACACCGCCGCCAAGCCCTGCCTGCTGGCGCTCATGCGGGAGCTGTGTCTGCGCGCACCTGACAAGGCGGACAGCCGGCAGCTGGCGGTGGCCGCCGTACAAGCGCTGGTGGGTTGGGGGGGGGGGCAGGCGCACACTCCTGCGGTTTTTACAGCTTGGGAGCGAATGGCGAATTCGGGTATATGCCGGGTTGGCTTTTGTTAAACTGCGCACGGGGTCTACCTAGGTATAGGTTGCTTTCCTTCCTCTCTCTTCCTTTGATGCTTGGCATGGTCATTGCGGCCCCAACAGCATGAGAGCCCTCCTGTTCCTGCCCCTTTCAGCTCCCCAACTGCACTCCGGACGACGTGCACAAGTTCTGTCTCTTCCTGCACCGCCTCTCCCGCACACACAAGGTGAGTTAAGGCGACATTTTTATCTACGCTCGGTTCAAAAAGGTTGCATGGTGCAATTTTTCTTCCGCAAGCATTGATGCACCCTTTGTTGGGCTTGCACTGCATGACAGCCCTAAGACAGTATGCTCTCTGTTCCCCTTGGCACCCCCTGACTCCATGTGTCGGGGCTTTACGGTGTTCAGCATAATGGTCCCGAATTCAAGCATTCGAGCTGCTGTTGCCTCCCGCATCGAAGCCCTTAACCGCTTCCGGCCTATCTCCTGTCTCACCTCTGCACAGACCAGCAACCGTATGGTTGCGGTGGAGCTAGCAGGAGCGCTGCTGTCCGCGCTGCCAGCGCCCTTCGCCGCCACGGGCTCCTACCAGGCACGTGGGAAAGGGTGCATCCGCCAATCCGGCATAGGACTCAGCGGTACACATGCTAGGATATGCTCGTACGTATCCGCAGCCGCCGACATCCATGCCTTCATTGTTCCACTTGTGGCTGGGACCGCGCGGCTGTGAGTGACCTTATTCGTTGCTCGTTAGCGCCGCGGTAAGCCTCCCACCGTTTGGGACTGATGTTGCCTTTTTAACCCTGCGCTCTGGCTCTGCATGCGTGGTGTGCAGCGGATCATGGACGGCAGCTGCGGCGCGGGTGATGAGCTGGACGCCCCCTGGAGCGCTCTGTGTCTGGGCATCGTGGTGGCCCGCTCCAACGACAAATCCGCAAGTAGGCCAGTCGTGCCCAGGGGGGGCAATTGGGACAGATTGGGACAGATTAAAACGTGAAGCAAAGAGTCTGGGCATTGCTAGCATAGCCGTTGCAAAAGCCGTACGGTTGTAGGAAGAGCTGCCGTTGCCGCGGTAAAGGAGTAGGCCTCTCCCACCATTCGCATTCGTGGATGGAGAACCCAACAAGCTGCCAAGCAGCACCAAGGGATGCCTTGCGTTGCGTTTAACACCGTCATGCCCCCCTGGCGCTGCAGGCGTACGCTGTAAGGCCATGGCCTGCCTCGCGGACTGCGCGCAGTCCTTTGCCAATCTGCTTCGCGTAGCTAGCAGCGGCGGTGGAGGCCAGGAGGCGGCAGGAGCGGCAGCGTTCGTGCCCGCACTGTGCGCCTCGCGGTGCATTAGGGTCCAGGTGCGTGGGAAGGGGGTCGCTCTGGTGCATGCAAACGTGAGGCGTTCTGGAGCGGGGCCTTCAGGGCCAAGCACTTCTAAAGGGCTACTTGCTGTCTGGAAAGGTTACTCTTCTGCAAGCCCCAACACCATGCGCAATCTCTACAGGAAAAAAGCATGCAGCCTGTATCAGCGCACATCACACTCGCATGCTGAGAACCCATGCCGACTAGCGCGTCGTGGCGTTGGGCCCTTGTCGTGCTACTAAGACCCGGTAAACCTGGGCAGGTGACCGAGCCACGTAAACCCGGATCAGCTGGAGGCGAGGGTGACGACGAGGATGGCGACGAGGAGATGGGGGAGGGGGAGGGGCCGCAGGCGTTCCCGCCCCCGGAGGCCAAGGTGACCGCAACCATCCCTGGCAAGCCGTCCATGGTGAGTTAGGTACATGTACGGTCGCATGCTTTCCCCCTTGTAGCTAACACTGCTGTCACTACCGCCATGCTAGCACAAATACGACCCAGAAGCCTGTCCCAACCAACACACCAACAACACACCAGCTCTAAGCCGTAATCAGCATTACGAAAGACCCTCGGCTGCCCTGCCCAACCCTCACCCTGCCAGGACCTCTCATGGATGACCGTCATGTGCCACGACCGCTGCCGAGATGACAAGGCGGCGGTGCGCAAGGCCGCGTTGTTGCTGCTGGAGGCTGTGATGGAGCTCTGCGCTGCAGCAGCACACGCACCCGCAGCCGACGGGGCGGGAGGCCAGCCTGCTTTCGAACCCACTGCGCAGGACGTGCAGGTGCTAGAGGACGCTACAGCGGACTCGCTGGTAGGTCTGTTAGCCCGCTCCTGTGATACCGGTACCTGGCAGGAGCTGGCTCACCGCGGAGGAGAGCGGCACCTCCCTAATAAATATGGAAATAGGATAGCTCTTTAACACCTGCCCCCCTCTCTTTCCCCACCACCCACCACCCGCAGGTCAGTGTGCGCAAGGCTGCCCTGCAAGTCGTCTGCAGCCTCGTCAGCTGCTACCCCCATCACGCAGGCCTCGCCGGCGTCTGGGCCCGCTGTGTGCTGCCCATGATCCGCGATCCTGAGAGTGCTGTACAAGATACCGTACTGGACCGCCTTTCGGCGCTGCTTCTAGACCCTGTTGCGACGCTCGCCAAGGGTGCCGGCGGCCGGGGCGGAGCAGGCCGGGGCGCCGGTGCAGCGGCTGCTGCACAGGCAGAGGTACAGCATCGTCTTGCTGCGCTGGCGCAGATGGGCCGCGCTGCGTCGAGCTGCCTGGGCAAGGCGCTTGGCATGCTGTCAGCGAAAAAGCTGCTGCGGGGGCCGCAGGTGGCGGCGGGTCTGGAGGTCTTCCTGACTGCGGCAGGTACGCTGGCGCTCGCAAAGGCATAGCTGGGGTGCTTTTACGTCGGCTTCGTTACCTTTGCTGTGATCCAACCCTCCCATCCTTAGTGCTGCTGTCTTTCCAACGCCATGCCGCTTCCACCCACCCGCAGCAAACGAGGCGGCTGCCGAGGAGCCCATGCAGGCTGCCCCTCGCGCCCGCAACCAGCGGGACCCCGCCGCCGTTGCGGAGGCGGAACAGGCCCGCCAGCGGCGCCGCGAGCTCCGAGACCAGCGCGAGGGCGCCTGGATGCTGCTTGTGGAAGTGGCAGGTCAGGACCCCGCCGCCCCCTCCTGGCAGTTCCTGCAGCGCTGCTGGGGGGAGCTGCAGGCTGCGGGCGCGGGTGCGTCAGCGCAGGAGGGTGCGATGCTGCTGTGGGTGATCAGCCATGCGGCGTCGCGGTTCCCTGCGGCCGATGCCACCAACCTGGCGGCGGGCCTGTTGCAGGTGCGGCTGTTGACCGTGGTGGTGGTGATAGTTGGGGAGTGGAAACGTGGAAAAAATTATAGGGGTGCGGTGGTGTCAGGACCCGGCAGGTCTTCTTGTGTTACTTGCGACATATGAGGTGCTTGGAGGCACATCGTAGGACGCGCCCAGGCTAGTGCGTTTGCGTCTGGTGCCGTAACACTGCTTGCGAAACCTTACGCACTCTGCCCTCCTCTCCTCTCCCTATACTTACCACTACATTGCCCGGCCGTGACATCGCTTGACCCCGCAGGCCATTCTGGGCTTCAACCTGCCGTGTGCCGCGGTGGCCGCCCACCTGGCGGCACTGCTCAAGTTGACACAGGCGGAGGGCGGGCAGGCGGTGGTGGGGGCGCCGGCGCAGTGGTGTGCACGCGTGCTGGAGGCGGCTGAGGAGGTGCTGGGACAGGCCATGGAGGCCAGGGGCAACCTGGTAAGGGGCATGATGAAGAGGGGTTAAGGAGACACCGTTTGGAACAGGGGCACAGTAAGCGGGGGCTGGAGCCCACCGTGCTCCTCACCTTATCCTCCTCATCCTCCTTCCCCTTCTCCTGCCCACTTGCTTCCCGCCTGTCCCGCCCGCCGCAGACCCCCGTGCTGGCGACCCGCTGCCAGCTGGCGTTGTTCACGTTGGGGGAGGTGGCGCTGCTGCGGGAGACCAAGATGCCCGGCGGGGTGCCGGTCAAGGTGCAGGCGCTCACGCACGCACGTGCAGGGGGGGTCGGCGGCAGTGCTGTCGGAGCAAGCGGAACCGCCGTTGCTCAGGCACGAGCGCCACAGGTGAGATTTGAGGTCCGTGCAGCGTTTGCCGCTTACGCGCATAAGTGTTGTTGACACCCTGGTATCCTCCGCATGCCAAAACCTTGCCCAAACCCCACAGGCTTTCAGTGCGGTTTCTGCGCATGCATGGACATGCCTGGGTAAGCTTTGCATCGCGGACGAGAGCCTGGCCAAGAAGTGCGTACCGCTGCTGGTTCAGGCAAGTGCCGGTACCATGCAGCAGCGTGGACAGACAGTGGTCCAATGCTGGGGCCTTGGGGCTGCACACTGCAGCCGCCATCAATACACGCGTCCCTTCAGCTCCCTTCGCTCATGCATGCACCAAGGTCTTGCATGCATTCTCCTACCGGTATAACCCCTGCCGCCTTACACCTGGCCCCACCCCACGCCTGCCTTCGCCTAAACGCCTGCCCCCCACTATACAACACCACTACCGCATGCAGGAGATGTCGGGCTCCCCCAGCCCCGTCATCCGCAACAACCTGCTGGTGGGGCTGTCAGACATGGTGGTGCAGTTCACGGGGCTGGCAGACGCCTACGTGGGGCGGCTGGCAGCCATGGTGCGCGACCCGCATGAGCTGGTGCGGCGGCAGGCGCTGGCGCTGCTGGCGAACCTGCTGCTGAGGGACTTTGTGAAGTGGCGGGGCGCGCTGGTGCACAGGTGGGGGGGGGGGCGGATGCCGGCAGGGCCGGGGGGAAACGGACTTGTGTTAAGGAAACTGGCCAGTGCGGTAACAGGAGAATTCCCGAGGCGTTGAATGAGAACGCGTGGGGTGGTTACCGGGAGGGCCTGGAGGAAAGGGACTTGCGTCCATGTGCGGTGTCCATGCGGTGTCGGTATACATGCGCGGAGAGGCGTTTCTTGGTAACGGGGATATGAGGCGTCAGGTAGTCATGCGCAGTACGTGTGCAAGGACGTGGAAAAACGTTGTTGGGGTGTTGAAAAGGACGGTGAGCGAAGCATGCACGCACGCGCAGGAGGAGCAACACTGCCCCCCGGCACACGTAGTAGCCAGGATCTACACTGTCGCATGCACTGTCGCCGCCGGCACAAGCTCCTTCTCCGAACCTGCTCCCCACCTTCTTCCTCCCCGGTGATCGCCAACTGCCCAACCCGCCGACCCCACACACACAGATTCCTGCTGGCCCTGGTGGACGAGTCCCCGGGTGTACGGCAGCTGGCGCAGTACCTGTTGAGTGACTCACTGGCCGCCAAGGCGCCCATGCTGGCGTACAACCACTTTATCGAGTCGCTCTTCGTGCTCAACGACTGCAGGTGTGTGGGGCCTTGTTGATCAGCGCTGTGGTTGTTTAAAGAAGGCCGTGGCAGCGGTTGAGCTTGGTGCTAGGGTATCTGCCAGTCGCTGTTCCCTGTCCGGCGCGCCAAGGTGACCAGCCAATATCCTCACATCGTCTACCTGACTACCACCCTATCTTGTCCATCACTGGCAAGCGTTACGCCGCAACCCTTCCCGTTGGTAGCTTCCCCCGGAAGCCCAGCTAGACACCGGTAGCCGTCCCGTGTTGCGCCTCTGCGCTGTGCCGCAACGCCTGCACCCTGCCCCTCATTCCCCGCCACCGTCCCCTTCAACCCTTGCACCCCCTCCCCTCCCCCAGTGCGGGTGTGCACGCCAGCCGCGCCGGCGGGGGCTCCTCCGAGCTGGCGGCCGAGCTGGCGCTGCACAGCGCGCTGGAGGGCGGCGGCTTCCACCTCAAGGGCGCCACGCCCGTCATGAGGTGCGTATGCGTGTGTTGTGTTTTGCGGGGTCGTTGATTATGAGTACCAGTAGTTTGGGTGGGGCAGGTGTGTGGATGCATCGGGACAACTGGTGGACAGACGCAGTTGCTGCCCATGCACCCGCCGACGCACAAATTCTCCCCCACCTGCCTGTCTGCCCACCTGTGCTCCTCCCCTTCGCCTTCAGGGCTAAGCGCGACATCATTTACACGGCGCTGCTGCGGCGCATGAGCCCCGAGCAGCGCTTCTCCGCGGGCGCCAAGCTGGTTGCGGAGGTGCTGAGCGGCGTGGTGGACGGGTTGCTGCCGCTGGGGGAGGCGGAGGAAGTGCTGGGGGATGCGCTGCGGCTGCTGGCGTGCAAGGACATGAAGGTGCGGAGGCGCGGGGGGCCGGGGGGGGATTGCCAGCGGTGGGTTGAGTATACCGCAGAGGGTGTGCGTCGGCACGAAGGCGTGGGATAAGCCCATGGGGTGATATCCCCGTGATATGGGATTGATGCACCACAAGCCGCTTGGCACAACTCCTGTTTGTTCCAGATTCATGCAACTAGTCTCATACGTCATAATTGAATCTTCTTTGCCCGGTCAACGCCAGGTCAACGCAAACCGCTTCGGAGCGTCCGCTGACGACGACGGTATGGACCAGGGTACCCAGGACGATGCGAGCAAGGCTCGCGGCAAGCTGGTAAGTAGTTGGCGCTTTCAGGTGTTTCTGCTTAGCGTGCTTGGTACCATGGGCAAATCCTGGTTGCTACGGTGTGCGTTCCAGTGCTGCTGCATGCTCTGGGTCATCTGGGACCAGGGTGCATGCTAGAGTGCATGCCTTGCACATGCAAAGTACCTACTTTTTGGTCTAGTTCGGTGTCCGGATAAGTATCTGTCCCTGCGAACCTATCGGACTTGCGCGCATCCTTCTTGGCTACCTGTCCTGTACACTGCAGTACACCACACCTTACACTGCCGTACGCTGCCGCCGTTACGCAGGTGGGCGCCATGATGCGGAAGCACCTCACAGAGCACGTGATTCCCGCCATGGTGGAGCTGCGGTACATGCTGCAGGTGAGTTTCCATGGTGGTCCTTTCTTGGTCCGAAGGTGTGGGCTACCGGTAGTTGAAGGCCCCATGGCTACCGGCATCGTACCGGTATCGTGGCCTCTTCACTTAATAACACGACATGACGTGGCAATGTAGCGAAGCTTGGCATCTGCCCGTGGCAGTTACCTGCAGCTTCTTGAACAGACTCGGGGGGACGGTCCTAGGCTCCATGCCGCTGTGTAAGTGGCAAACCACAGGCTGCAAAAATCACGTTCTTATAACTGTTGCCGCTCGCTCACGCCCCCAAAACCCCCGATCCTGCTGTTGCAGGCGCAGAAGCACCCGTTGCTGGGGTCTCTGATGCTCTGCATGGCCTCGCTGCTGCGTGACTACAAGTCCGAGGTGGAGGACATCATTGTGTGTGACAGACAGGTGCGTGCCCACCCACTGACTGGTGGCCTGGCCGCTATCCCTTCCGTTCTTAGCCAAGCTTCCCGGGATAGACTGGGATAGAGGCCACCTTCTTCCAGGCTCACATCCCCAATTACCGGTAACCGTCTAACCCCTCCGCTTTTAACGCACATGCTCACACACGCATCATCAAATCCGCGCTACCACCTGCCGTACACGCAGCTTGCGCGGGAGATCATGCACGACCTCAAGCACTACGAGACGCTGGCCAAGCAGCAGCAACAGCAGCAGGAGGCGGCCATGGCAGCAGCCCTCGCAGGCGGGGGCCAGGCAGCAAACCGCGGCGCTAATGCCACCGCTGCACCGGCGGTTGCACCAGCTGCCGCCCCGGCGATGTCGGGCCAAGCGGCTACCGGTCCCCATCATGCGGAAGCGCAGGCAGCTTCATCGGAGGGGACGCTTGCCCGCATGCCGCCACCGCCTCCGCCGGTTCCAGGTGACAGACAGCGGCGGAAGACGGCGGTGTTGCCAGGTATGGTACACGGTACACGACGCTGATGTTGCCCTTTAGAAGGGATGCATACGTATGCGCATGGTTTGGGGCATTGGATTTCGTCCGCCGTGCGCCTTTCCATCTTGGGCAATTATTTGTACGCAACAACATAGAGCTTGACACTTCTCAGTGTCAAGCTTCATCCCCTGCCGAATGCAACGTTAGCTAACCTGCCTACATCTCTTGTTAATGTAATCCCCTACACATACCCAGGCGTGGAGCCAGGCCGGACACCTCTCGCTGCGGAGTTGCTGGAGAGTGCCGCCAACAACCGGCTCAACGGCCCGTCGCTCACACCTGCCGGCGCAGCGGCTGCGGCGAAGACCCCTATCGCAGGCCTGTTTGGAGGAGGTAAGCAAACATCTGCATTATGGCGGGTTAGCTCATGGACATTGGTCGTCGCCTTCTAGCTAGCTAGGTACAGGATCTCCCAGGCCCTTATTAGCGGGCCTACAGAGCTCTCCACCTCCCAGTCCACGTACTAATCGGCATATGCGCCCCACCTTTGCCGCATGCGTCGCGCAGATCCCGCAGTCGCCCTGCGCACACCAATTACCGGGCTTCTTGGCACCGCACAGCGTGCTGGCAGGGCCGCCGCAGGCGGGATCCCTTTTTTGTCGCCCGCGCCACTATCCGCCAAGGCACGCGCGATGCAGCAACAGCATCGTCAGCAGGGCGGCATGACACCCGCGCCTTCGCTAGGCCCGGCTCGTGGTCGGCCGCCCATTCCGCCTGCAGCGGCCGCAGGAGCAGCAGCGGCGGCCGCACCCGCAGCGGCGGACCCCAACGTGCGGGTTACCGTGGTCTTGCCGAGCCCCGTGCCCGGTGCCGTCAGGCCCTTGGGATTGCATAACCTGGCTGGCAGCCAAGCAGTAGTGCCGGCACAGCTACAGCAGGAGGCCCCTGCTGCTGATGCTGCTGCAGGTGGGAAGCCGCGGTCCAGCAGGCGTGGGGCTGCTGCAGGTGCGATGGCGGACGACGAGGAGAACGAGCACCCTGATGACGGTGTGGACGATGCGGCGGGTGAGAAGCAGCATGCAGGCACAGGAGGAGGAGTGGCCTCACGGCAGGAGGCAAAGGAGGTTGCGGAGGGGGCGAGGCCTCGCCGTGGTGCTGCAAAGGCGGGCGGTGGTGTGCAGGTGAAGCAGGAAGCTGCCAGTGTGAAGCGGGAGGCTGCTGCGGAGGGAGTGCTAGGGCCTGCTGCAGCTCAGGCAGCCCCTGCGGGGCGGAGCCGCGCGTCCAAGCGGCGACATGACTGACAACATGCTTGGCGGGGCAAGTTAACATGGACTCGACACGGGTGGGAACACTGATATGTATGGGCGGTGCTGATGATATTGTGCACTGGCGAAAGAAACAGGGCGCGCTGTATGATTACATGTTTTATTAAGTGATCTCGGATAGACTTAAGCGGTACGCAATCGTACCGGGCTAGGGGTTTTACGACACCCCTTATAGGACTTCCAGCAAACATCGATGCAGAAACACGTCCTGGAGTGGCCTGCTCGCTACAGTGCCATATCGTATTGTTGGTGGAGGGTATGATAGCCCTGCCGCGTGGGATGCTTGACACACAACTTTCCTTGGAGCTAATCAGCCAGATATCGTCTGTGGAGCAAGACAGACGCGCCAATGCCGCCACTGGTCCATGCTACGCAGCAACGACTCAAGGAAGAACACTGTAAAAATACTTACGGACTTGAGCGGTTGCCCACACGCTGCGAAAACCCCAAAGCGGGATTGTTTAGCACACCAAAAGGTAGTACCAGACAGCTAAGCCCTCACAAGGACACTCCTAAGCCCTCACAAGGACACAGCTAAGAAACCTGAATTGCCCGACATCACAGGCCACACAGTCAACGAACGGCTTCCCCTTCCGCCTTCAGAAAAAAACGCGACAACGGCGGATAACCTTTCCAATGCATGTACGTGCACACGCGTACCCAACACACGCCTAGCTTTAACCGACCCCACCTTTGGGCGGGACACTAATGCCAATGGGCAAGAAAGCATGCAGTTGATGAAAATACACTTCTATGAGAGCACTACCGGTGTCGGGCACGTAGCATGGGCTGCATGCTAGGTAACGTGCCCCATACTCCCTAAAGCGACACCAGGAGGAGTCTGTTAGGGTGCGCAGACGAGCCATACATGAACCCCCTGCCAGCCGTACACGACCCCGTATGCCAGCCGTGCACGACCCCTCTTGACATATGCCCTTCACGCAACACAGCCGCCCTTATTCTGCCATCCAGCCGTATCCTCCGACCCATGCCATGCGCTTATGCGATTAATCAAGCACTATTGAGTAAGCGTCACACCTCACCCCGCGCACACGTAACACCTGCACCAAACAATGTTAACCTGCCGTGGGTGCTGTAGCGCGTGCGCACGTGCATGTCACATGAAAGCAAGCCCTCATGTGCTCCTTCGGCCTCAGAGCACACAGGTAAGAACGCATGATGGGTTCGGCCACAAGCCCCAGAAGCGGGATACCAACACCAGTACGTCCCTACTCGCGGCCAGGTTTCTTAACACACTCAGCTCCTGCAGCGGTTCTGTGGGGACTTCATCTTCCGACATCCCAGTATGCTCCTACTCGCGGCCAGTTTTCTTAACACACTCGCGGCCAGTTTTCTTAATACACGCACATATAGTTCCACAGCACGTTCCGATACGCGGCCAGCTTGCTAACACCCAGGGTAAGTGCGCCTGCATACCCTGTGGCAGCGCACCCACGCACGTGCTGACGCCGACCCTGTCAGCCTACCCGAATGCAGCTAAATGACCTTTCACCACACGAGAAGAAACGGTGTGCACATGAGAGGAACTGGTGTGCATTGGCACACGCGCACGCTTGCACCACGCACGCAAAGTACGACGTCAGGAAACGCGCCGGCCTCCCGTCACGGCGCAATACCTGTCACACAGTCGCCACCGGTCGCAACACCTTTCCGGCGTCAAAGCTCGACATCCACGCACATGCACCAATGGCAGCTGCTGCAAGACCCATGGGTCACTGGCAGATCACGACCTGCATTCACTCCTCATGACCAGTCACGTAACAACTACTCACCACAATACACAACGCGTGCTGGGATCAACACGCAAAATCAGACCCCTAAGGGCTGCTCCCGATGAGCACGTGAAACACCAAACACCATCCAACCACATCCGGAGATGAGCTCCTCAGCTCACCTCATGTTCTCACCTGCTCCCAACATCAATCCAACACATTCTAGCAGTTCTTCGCGCTTGCAAGCACCGTGCCCTTACCCGCCGCCGTCCAAGCCAGCACCAAGGCCTGCCTCCGCTTCACCGCTCTTCACAGCATGCGCCACTCTGACAGCATGACGAGGGCCAGGGAAGCAGCGGCACTACTGCCGCCACCACCATCTGAAGTGATGCCGAAGCCGCCGCTGTTGCGTTTGCGGTAAACCCAGCGTATGTCGCCATCAGGAAAGCTCGTTTAGGGAACTGTTAGCAGGAACAGCAGCCTCAGCACGGCTGATGGTCGCGATGTCGGCAACTACCGGTCGCTCCAGCTCCACGGAGACTGATGGGATGGCTGCTGCGGTGGATGGGGACGGTTCGAGCCTCGAAGATGATGTCCCGGGTGCGCCAGTCGAGGGTGCAGGCGGCTGCGCCGCTTCTGTCGTGCTTTTGGTCGCACAGCAAAGACACCATCCGACGAAGCTGTTGCAGAAAGAAAGGATTATGTGATGCAAGGGAAAGGCAAGAAGTGTTATACAAGTTAGAGGAATTTGGTGCTGTCTAAGCTTCAAGCTACACGCCATCTTCCCAGCGCCTGGTGGCGACTGCGGCAGAAAGCGGTTCAAGCACCACAGCACAACACAGCACAGCAAGCCATACTTGCGCGCACGCACCTTTTCAATACCGCAGCCAGCGTCTTGTAGGCCCCCTTGACATCCAGAAGCAGCGTCAAGAACATCTGCGGGTACATACATCGACAGATAAAGCAACGCACACGCAAGGCCAGCATTGTCAACATGCGGGATGGATCAGTACGTTGTCAAATTACCACTTGCTCCGTTTCCCTTGCAGTGTAGAGCTGGGGTTCATCACCCATGCTCCCTTGTAGGGGAGCATTTACCGGCCAATATCCAGCTTGCATGCTACGGTGCAAGCGATCTGGTAGAGCACGTGTGCCGTTTCGCCGGACAGCCCCTGCCGCGCATTGTCCTGAGTGAGGCAGGACGCCACGCTAGCAGAGACAACAGTTTGCCTCATCCTTCAGCGCGCCCTTTTGGTTGCACTCACCACCACAGTATGGCGATGAGCCTTGTACAAGAGTTGCATGAACGCCAGCAGCCGCAGCCCCAGGCCCATGCAGAAGAGGATGATGTTGGCCTCTCTGTAATATGTACGGCAGCTCTTGGGGTTGAAGGTCTGCATCAGCTTTACAAAGGAGAGCACTTCCGGCTCGCTGAGCCCGTCGCGGCCTGTGTATGTTAGCGCGCAGCAGGGGACCAGGAGGGGAGCCGTAACTTGTACATGCACAACTGTGTATATAACTGTGTATATATACTACCGCCAGGGCTTACCACCGCACGGTGCAAGCGAGGACACGGGTTGAAGCATGGAATATTGGCATTGTGGTAGACTTGAAGCGTTATTCAGTAGGGTAGCTGTGACGTGCCTGGATGTGTCCAGCAAACAAGCAAGCACCCCATCCTTACCGTCATCGTACAGGGTCCTGTCCATGTTGCATATGCCCAGGTCGTAGTAGATCATGACAATCTCATTGCTCTTGTGCTCGTAATAGTTCATGAGTTCCTGCAAGTGAGCCAGCGATAGCAAGATGTATCAAGAGACAGGGCCAGAGGAACTTAAGAGGCGCGAATATATATTCCCAGAGGCGCAATTGATCCCAAGAAGCGCGAATTGACCCATGGGTCAGAATTATATTCATGGGCTTAATACAAAATCAGGACGTCTTTGTTGTGTTCTAACTGCCCAGTCTTATCACTCAAGCAGGAGTCAAACGCATTCAGCTGTCCTAATATTTATACTTAAACCCAGTACTATGTACCTGGATTGTTCCTGCCTCCACAGCCCAACGGTTGTAACTAATGCCCAACACGACCTCCAGCAAGTTGCCTCGGCCGGATCGAAGGGTAGGATTGAGGCCGTTGAGGAAGGCGCCCAGGATTAGCGTAATGATGACCGCAGTGATGGGCTGGTTCTGTAGTGCATGGCATTAGGCATGGTTTTTGGCATGGATTGTTAGCAGTGAATCGTCAAGCAGATAGTACCGGGGAAGCAATAGCTACTTAAGTTCAACTCCATCATTAATTATAGCCCATTATATTTAGCAAAAGCACGCCAAATGTCCTAGATACGGTACACCCTTGCCAGCTTGCCCACTAGCATCTTGCCTTTGCGGAAAGCGGTGACAAGGAAATCATGTATGCCAGTCCTGAGCTCCAGAAGCACACCAGATTGCCCAAGTTGTAGTAGTCGGCAAAAGAGGCGCGCGGCAGGGCCAAGTAGTAGTAGACCGCAAAGTAAATGGCGGGAGACACGAAAATCCAGATGAGGTCGGTAAAATTGGAGGCGAGGAAGGTGGAGATGACGGAGACACCTGCCATGCGCTCGCGTTTCTGTGGGCGCCACGTTAGAAGCAAAGAATTGTTGAAGCAAGGTTGGTATTACTTTCCTAAGCCAGCATAAGTGCCCGGTCATACCATGTTGTTGGCTTGCAAGCGCGCGCTGCTTGCGTTATGTATACATTGCCGGCATTGCGAAAATTTGAAAGCAAGGGAGGCAGAAGGAAGGGACAACAAGACATAGCAGGCCACTGCTTAACTTTGCAGAAATGTGCATGTACACTAGCGCACCAGGCCCCTCAAATCAGTATTCTGCAACGTGGCACCTGAAGGCAAGCATACACGCACACACACAGCGCACGGACCTGCACCAGCTTATGCTCGGTGAACGTCCGCAGGTGCGTGACGGTTGCCAGCACCGACAGAACCAGGTAGATCATGGCCACATTGGAGGGCACGGCGGTGAGGCCCCACTTGGAACTCTGAGGGGGGATGGGAGGCAGGGAGGGATGGGGAGCGGGAGAGAGGCGGGGCCCCAGGTTAGGAAGCTTTGGAGCTGTCGAGAAACCATGCACACCACCGACCTTACAACGCTGGGAAGGACCACCAACTGCAAACCAACGGTACGCATGTGCCTCTCGTACGACCTTCGGTTGCGTCTGGATGCAATGCATTGGCGCAATTGACGCCCTTTGCGGCCTGCACACGCTTAACAGTGAACACCCGCCCGTGCACACCCGCCCGTGCACACCCGCCCATGCACCCATGCATGCATGTACCCACCCACCTGCACCGCCCCCACAATGAAAGCGGCACTCAGCAGCAGCAGCACGTCTACGATGTGGTCGGGCCAGAACGCCTTCATGGACTTGCGCATGTTGCGAGCGACCAGCCAAAACAGCTGCCAGATGGTGCTGCGGTTGTCGGCATGTCGATGCACGTACGTGTTGGGGCGGGTGCAGAGGCGGGGGGGGGCGTGCGGAGTGTTACACGGCAGCAGGAGGTGGAGCAATCGCGCTACAAGTACAGCCCGTGAGTGCAACCCACATGAGCCCCCTGAGCCATGCAACAGAAAAGGAATGCCTAGGCATGTACACACGTTGCATGCCTTCACCCTCACACCACCCCACCTGATGAAACGCTCCTGAAGCCTTCCTAGCAGCGTCTCCTCATCCGGCTGCTGCACTGGCTCGCCAGCCTGCGAGATCCGCTCCTGCTCGGCAGCACGGTAGCAAGGTAGCAACCCTTATGCAACCCCAAAGGCAACCCTAAGGTCCAACCTATTTTAACCCCAAAGGCAAGTTACGTGGGTGGGGACGGAACTGCGTAGCGCCGATAGGTTTACTGAGGGAGGTGATGCATGTAAGATAAATAAGCTTTACAATAGCACCGCATACCGACGCGCACATGCAAACCAGCCAGCTGCACGCATGCGGCCACACGACGCTGTTGCTGCGGCTTACCCGGCTGCTGTATATGTATTTGATATCGTCGTATGGGTAGTGCAGCTCGACCTTTCCGTAGGAGGCCTCCTCACTGCAAAGAGAGAAAGCAGCTCTCACCACAAGTTGGTGTATCAACTTAGCCGCGCGTCACCTACCTTGCATACACCTAATCTAAGCAACATAGGAAGGTCTGGAAAGTAAGTAGCCTGAGGCTTTCAGCACCACTAGGCGCTACTTCTCTGCAGGGTCAAAGGGAGGTATCCCCAGCCTCCCAATTCGGTGACACAACCAAGCCCCGTCGCACTTACGGCTGAAGCAAAGACTTCTTCGAAGGCGCCTTGGGTACCTTGAGTTCAATAAACACGTTCGTGCATTGCAACGGGGAACGGAGCGGGGCGTGAAGCGGATCCCCACATACAAATTTGTGACAAGGGCGGACAACCCGCCAAGGGCGCTGAGCACCTGCTGCACGGAGCTGCAGTTTGACGTCCTACACATGCGCACTCGCTCGCAAAGCGCATCCTGCCGAGCCCGGTATCTCTTAAACAGTCATCAGTCAGGTGCCGGGGTTTATTTGGGTATTGGGCGCTTCGCTCTCTTCCCTCACCCTATCCCCTCGTTTCCCCTACCCACGGCTACCATAACGGCCGTCAAGCGTACCGGTGCACTAGCGGTTACCAGCTAGCTTCTAAACTGGCTAGCTTCCAAACTAAAGTAGCAACCCCCAGCCATATATTTCCTGCCTTACCTTGCACTCCTTCTTGATGTTATTGTACTCTTCATACTCTATAGGAAAGAGTATTTGCTGGATAGACACAGGGCAACGACCGCGGCATGGGCGCGGTCAGCACAAGGCACGTGAACCAGGACACAGCAACGCATTAGGCGTGCTCAGGCAGGCAATCTAAAGACGGCAGCAGCAGCGAGGCGATCTATGACGCCTCCGGACCGATCTTTCAGGATAATTAACGCAACGCAACGAGTCATGAAACTCCCTCCCCCAAAGAACCCACCAAGCGTTCTTGGAGCGGACGGTCCAGCAACGCCTCGCCTTTTTTACCAACCGGCTCAACGGTGCCCTACAAGCAGGTAACGAGCAGAAGGTTGTGCAAACCAGCTGTTGGCGCATGTGTAGTTTGGGGCCCGGCAGGGCACCTAGTACGGTGGCTCCAGCCACGTAATCAGTTATGTGTACGGTTAGTCTATTGTGCGCACGATACATATGCGCCAAATCCCTCCATGCTTTTGACGTCGGCAGTGCCGTATTCTATTCCTTTATCTCCGGATACGTCGTTGACCAGCGGAGCAGTGCGCACTTACAGTGCTATATGAAGTTTTCTTTCCTTCCCCCCCCATGACCTCCTTCAAGCACTATCATTTCCCCAATACCACTGTTCCCTACTTCCATTGTATGCCTATGTCCCTGTGACACGCGCATCACAGTTTTGGTGGCACCCCCATTGCCGTGTTTGTCCGCCTCTTTGCTCTGCTTGCACCATGTGTGCACTCCAAAACACACGGTGTGCACTACAACACATTGAAAGCAGTACTGCCCCACGGCGTTGCAGGCTGGGCACGCGCTCAGCAGCAAGGCACCTACCGAAGTTGTTCGCTTCAACCCGTGATGTAAGGGACACGAAGCGGTTGCCGGCGCAGGGATCCCCGTTGTTGAAGCTGTGTTTTGGGTTTGCGAAGGAATTGCCTTGCGCTTCTCAGCATACGTGGCATCGTAGGCAGCCAACTGGTCGAACGGTAGATCAGCAACCGCTGCGAAGGCGCTGATAGGCAGAGGCTTTACTACAGCTGTTGCGGCTGTTGCTGCGGCTGTTGCTGCGGATGTAGCTGCCGCTGCTGCTGCGGCTGTCGCTGCCGCTGCTGATGCGGCTGTAGCTCTCGCTGCTGATGCGGATGTCGCTGCGGCTGTGGCTGCCGCTGCTGCCACAGTGGTGGATGGCAAGCCAGGCTCGCTTGCAGCCGTAGATTGTCGTGGCGCGTTGTTGCGGGATTGCGCGGGCCGATCAGATAGGAAAGTTGAAATTGGGTTCGAAATCGGTGCTAGCCCCTTAAGGGAGGGCCACGATGCGCGGGGGCCTCGGGTGCGAGGACGTCCATTGCCGCCACCGTCGCTTGAGCCGCCGACCTGACGCTGCAACTGTCGTGAGCCTGCAGGAGTGCTTGCACCACTACCGTTTCCTCCTGATGCTCCCGCTGGCGGTTGGGCCCCGGTGTCCAACATTGCGGGTGTCGATGTCTGGGTCCCCATTGAGCGGCGGGAGGGCACCAGCCGGGCAATCAAGCCTGACAGCGCCACTTGAAGGCTTCCCTGGCGTCCGCTGTTGTTGTTCGCCACTTTTGCCTTGTTATGCGCGTCCACTGCGCGTCTGCAAGGAACCGTGATGACCAGCGGAGTTTAGGTAAGCTGAGATTGCGGTTGGGGGAATTATGTGGTCGAGGTGGTGTGAAGCGGCGCTTGAAGTTGTACGGATACGTAGGTGGTTGGTGCCGTAATTGCAGGTCATATCTGACACATGAACGCATGTTGTTGACAGGAAACGCTTAACGCAAGGACGAACATAGCAAAGGACTGTTCCTAATAGTGAATGCGTGAACGGCGGTTACTGTTCGTTGTAGCAGTACGGGACTCACTGGTTTCGGATGTGCCACAGGATGTTCTGTTGGACGGTGGCGGGGAATGAGTGATCAGGGGGCATTCAGGGGGTGAAAGGCCGGGATCAAGTCAGGCCAAAAACGAGGTTTGCGGCAAGAGGCTGTTGGACACCCTACGCTCTGAATACCAGCAATAAATGGGAAGCAGTACAAATACCAACCAATGTGACCCTATGCATATCATGTTGCACAAAAAGTTAAACGTGCCATACCTCCACGAGCTTGGCTAGCCGCTTTACGGGTCCGGCTTGGTTTTTCTGCCAGGCCTCTCCGCATCTCTTCCAAGCTTCCGGCATTTCGGAAGCTTTTATCAGTGGATGATATGGGGTTGACCGCTCCCCAGTAATGATGTCGAGCAGCGTGTCTGCCACATTCTCCGTGCTTGGGAACCTGTTGGCAATTGCAGTCAACTTACGGCATTCCCACGCAATTGCTGAGCCTTTATATACCGTATTATGAAAGGAATCTGCCGTAAATGCAGCAAGGAGGCTGAGCGGTAAGAAGCGGAATCCGTGCACACTTGCGAGCAGGGTGCCCCTTACTTCCAAGCATGTTAGGAATTTGACTGGCAACATTCCTAACCAACATCACTCCCGCATGACCCTCACGCATGCAAGGTGACGTAAGGTGGCACTCGGGTTTTACGTTCCTGAGGCCACAGCAGCATGCCACACGAAAAAGCCCACCGCATGAGCATGTATCACACCCAGCCACCAGCCACCAGCCACCATCACAACTGTGATATACTTCATCCCCACCCACTGCCACTGCCACTGCAGGCGCAACGATCTAGTTAGCCATGCATAGCCGAGCAGTACACATCGCGGCACATGTGCACCACTTCAGAGCCGGTACCCAACATTGAGGGTTGACTGCCGACTTGCACGACGCACCTGTAACCCAGCTGTTTGAAGTACGCGGCGCAGGAGCTGGGCGGCCCCAGGTACACAGTGCGGCCCAGGATGTTCTCCTGGGGGGCCATCAGCAGCACCTATACGGTATGTTGGAACCAGGGGCCGTGTCATCAGGGGGCGGTGAGGCACGAGGAGGAAGGTGTTGTGTGATGTGGTGCCGGGTTGCAACGGAGGGATAGGAGTAGATGGCTGATACGCCCAGTACGGATGCATGGCACAGCACAGAGGTCGGCCTTGGCATGCTGTTGTGTGCGCACAGGACGGGGTTGGGAGGGCGTTGTCGGGCCCGAGAAGGGTCCAAGGCGGTGTGCGCTGCACCATGCACGTCTGTTGAGAAAAGCTGGCATGTGCGTGTGCGTTCCTTGGACCTCCTACCTTGTCAAACTGCTCAAAGGAGTTCTGCCGCGGCTGGTGAATGACTGCGATGATGTTGATGCGCGAGAGCTTGGCCAGCATCTTGAGCATCTTGCACAGGTCCATGGACGTGGTAGCGTCGAGACCCGAGGTGGGCTCATCCTGCGGGGATGGGGATGCGGGCCGAGTGTGCAGGATGGGCAGGTGCGTGGGTGAATGGCGGATAGCATGCGCGGGTGTGGGGAGCGAGGGCTGTGAAGTGAAGCACCGGGGTGAGTGTAGTTGAGTAGGACAAGAGCAAGCAGTTGGGATAGGTTCGCATGTGAACCGCGAGTACAGGCAAAACAGACAAAACAGAGGTGACCGAACCTGTTCCATAATGCAATTGCTTAAATGGCTGTTGCTGGATGTAAGAAGAGTGGCAGGTGACGAGTGACGACGCATGTCGGTGATGCTGATGGTGTCGGAAAAAACTAAAATACTACCGAGAACTAAAGCCCGCTGACCAAACTCGACCAAGCACCGGGGTGTGTGTGTCAGCGGCGCAGCTAGCCACGCAAGATGCAAGGCGTGTGCGTGGCAACATGCGCATGCGGCGACCGGGCCAGTAATGGCATGCCCTGCGCTCCCCTCCCCCCGCTACGCTTTCGCACCATGAACAGCACGGGCGGCTTGCCCACGATCTCCACACCGATGCTGACACGCTTGCGCTGGCCGCCGGAGATGACTGCGGAGGGAGAAGAAGGCGGGGGAGTGGTGGGCGGGGAAGTGGTGGGCGGGCGGGAAAGAGGCTGTGCATGTGCAGCAAGGAAGCGGGTACGGATTAACCTAACCGAGCAGCTGGAGCAAGGGGACCCAGAGGAACAACAGGGACTGCAACCGGAGATGGATGGAGCAATGCAGCTTCATTGCTTGTCCGCCTTGAGCAGAACCACCATGCAACAGGAGGATTAGGTAAATCCTGAGCCGCAAGGAAACACTCAACAGGAGGAGTACCCCCATCCTTTTACCAACTTCCGCAGAGCAAATACAGACCACCTTATCCAAACCCGCCCGCAGCATCCTTCGGGTGTCCGCTGCTCCAGCGTACCCATCCTTAACATCGACGTCACAACCCTGTAAACAAGCTCTGTTCCCTGAACTCACCCTTGCGTTCCGGATTGCCCACGGCCTTGTCCCACTCTTTTTCTGGCAAACTGAGCATCTCTAGGGTGTCGGCCACAATCACAGTTCGCTCCGAACCGCTGGTGCTGCGAGGCAGCTTCAGCCAGGCGGCATACACAATGTTCTCCCTGCAACGGACCCATCCATCCGTGTGGGGTAATGACTGATAAGGGAGAGGTCTGTCGTGCATGGTGGGTGCAACTAGTCGCCTGAGTGGGGCATCCGGAAGTGGACGCGCACCATGGTAGATGCGTGACAGGCACATACACGGAAGACGAAGATGAAGGCGCACGGAGGACGAAGATGTTGACGACCCACAACACACAAAAGTCGCTGGGATCGCAACATCATACACGTGTGAACGACCGGAACTACGTACCTAATAGTTAGGTCGGAATGCAGGATGTCGTCTTGGGGCACGAAACCAAGTCTTCGTCTGCATAGCAAGGGGAACGTGCCAGGCCTTGTGAGCAAGCCAGCCGGGGAGCAAGCGCATTTAGAATGCGGCCAGGTGGATGTACGTGCGTGGAGGCCGTACATAGTTGCAGATGCGGCGGAATGTAAATCTAAGCTGTCCTCAAGCGTCCTAAGCACGATGCCGCCCTTTCCCGCGCTAGGCTGCTTATTGTCACTAGGCTATTGACGGGTTGCTTATTGGTCACCTGAGATCCGTCTGCGTCAGCGAAACACGAATATCGGCGCTCAGTGTCTGCACGTTCTTGGCAGGTTTGCGGCCCGACAGCATCAGCAGCAGCGTGGTCTTGCCACAACCGGATGGGCCCTGCAGCAGTTGGGGGTAGCAGAAGGTGGCAGCAGCGGGCATAGAGAAAGGTTTCCACAACTCTTAGTCGCAAAGGCGTCCTAGTAGCAGGCTTATGAACCGGGCGATTCGCACAACCGGTAGCGTTGGGGATACAAGCAAACATGCACGTACGACATGCACGTACGAGTCCCGGCCTGCTGCCTCATACATTCACACTACGTCAACAAGTGCAAGCCGTATAGTGGGCGCCAGACTAACAGCGCTTGTATGGGTTGGCTTGTCCTCGCTTGCCGGTTTAGCAACCCACCCCTTAGCCAAACGGCTCTCTTCTTCACTCAACCCCACATAGCAACGGGACGCCGCTTTCCTTGTCAAATCACAGTCCCAGAGTCTCAAGCATGCACCCCATCCTGCCGTACCATGATGGCGCTGAAGTGACCCGCCTCAAAGATTCCTGTGACCCCCTCGGCGTTATCGCCGCTGCTGGCGTTTGGGTTTGGGGGCTTTTGGCTTTTGGGGCCAACAGCTTCAAGGCTGCTGTCGAGCTGCGACTGGGAGATGCCCTGCACATTCTCAAAGCTGATGTTAATCCTTTTGGGAATGCTCCATTGCGGTTTCGCCAATATGTACTGCAGTTTATTTTGGTCTAGGAGAACCAGCCGCTCCTCTGCTTTGCTCCTATAACTGGACTGCGCGCCGAGCATCCCGAGCTTCATCGTGTTAGTCCGGACAATAGCCCACACGGAGCGACGTTCTGCTGGGTTGGGATACGGACGTCAACGCAACAGTCAGAGATCAAGGCCAACGAAGGGACAGTAAATCATTTATGCATGGGGCGGCTTCCCCAGGATCCCTAGAAGGGCTGTCAAGGTGTTGCGCATCATCGCATCATGCTTTGCTATGCCGTACTGATCTGGTACCCTACCTTGCACGCAAGCACAGCGCATAACGCCGGCTTCACAAGCCAACCCGCAGGTCGGCATGTGCACCCCGACACTGCATGCATGCGCAAATCCGCCCTGCCTGCCTGCCTGGTTGCAAACTTGCCCGCATATACCCGCTGCCTGTGTAGACCCCGCCTTGCCTCACCTTGCTTTCCTTGAGGACCCTCGGACCGAGAGTGGCCTCCGTCGCCCATCCCTGCACGGCCGCGGATTCCACCAAGCTCATTAGTCACCAAGCTAAGAGGACAGGGGACGAGAAAGTGTGCGTGTTACTACTCACCCGAGGTGGTTATGGTGATGGGCGCCGAATTCGCTGTCTTGAGGTCTACGGACTTTCGCAGACCCCTTCTCCATGAGCGCGAGTTCAGGAAGTGCTCAAACCTCAAAAGTGATGAAGACCTCGGCAGCGGGGGCTGTCCATCCTTAGGTGACAAGGGCTCGGACGTAGCCCCAGGCAGCGGGGGCTGTCCATCCTTAGGTGACAAGGGCTCGGACGTAGCCCCAGGCAGCGGGGGCTGTCCATCCTTAGGTGACAAGGGCTCGGACGTAGCCCCAGGCAGCGGGGGCTGTCCATCCTTAGGTGACAAGGGCTCGGACGTAGCCCCAGGCAGCGGGGGCTGTCCATCCTTAGGTGACAAGGGCTCGGACACAGTAGTTCTAATTGATGAAGTCATCCCCCAACCCGAGTAGAAATGGCTCCTTGCGGACGCAGCGGCAGAGGTGAAGCTTGCTAGGATGCTGTGCCGCCTGCTCGCGCTGTTGGCCACCCTCTCGCTGCGCACCGGATTCCGTTTGACGTATTCCTGCCAAAGATTGTCCATCATCTTCCAGCCCTTCTTCAGGCCGTAGTAAAGGATGAAAGTAGAGACTAAGATAATTCCAAAGGCCAGACCAGCCAAGGGCCGGCCGTCTGGGGCTGCGGTGCCCTCCGGACAGCGAACCAACCTGTACATGTAAAACAAGCAGGGCTGTGGGTCAAGGCAAATAGTTCTTCGTTAAGGCAAGCTGGGACGTGCACGAGGAATGCTCAACCCCCGACTGCCCCTTTGCCAGCGTCTGGCGAGCCATAAAACATATTCCCCTGGCAACCCCCAACAGACTCCCCTGGCAACCCTCATCACCTGGGGCACTTGACTGGGTAGATGGACTGCTGTTTGCAGTAGTAGCCGCTGGGGCAGATGAGCTGCACCGATGCGTTGGGGCAGTAGTAGCCGGCGCTGCACGCCTGGCTGGGCTTGGTGGAGCCTTCCGGACAGTAGTTGCCCCGGATGGGCTCGCGGTTCTTCTTCAGCCGCGTGATCAGGTCCTGCTCGCCGTCCTGGGGGAGGGAGCCGGGAGGGGAAGGGGGGGACAGGATGGGGGGCGGGGCGCACGTAGACAGGCGGTGGACATGCGGAGGGCAGCCCCGGCAGGGTAACCCCAAGCAGATGGGTAACCTTAACGAACTTGGAACGGAGCTGCTGGCTGGACTGATGCGTGTTGCGGATGACACATGCATGTGTTCCACACTGGCTGCCACCACACTCCCTGCCCGGCCTGCCGCCAACACAGGCCACCGCTGTCTCACCAGGGGATATAGCGCATCGAAATCGGAGAGCAGCCTGCGAGGGAGCACGGAGGAGGAAAAGAAAGGGCTTTAAGAGCAGCTGGGGACTGATCCAGGTTGTTGCCCTGGCAATAGCTCCGAAGCTGCGCAGCTACGGTGAGCCGCAGCGTAGGGCCATTTGGTGCTGCATGCGGCTGTGAAGCCGGTGCCGATGTCTGCAAGCAGCCATGCCCCTGCACATCCGGCCCAGCTGGCTTCCTCTGCATCCCTTCAACACCACCCACTCACTCCGTGTAGTTGCATGACGTGCGGTTGAGCGACCTGAAGCCGCAGTAGTAGCCGGGCGGGCAGGTGAAGACCTCGCCGGGGGAGGGGCAGTAGGAGCCCGCGGGGCAGTCCAGCTCGCGGGTGCGACGAGTGAGCCCGTTGGCGGGCTGAGGGCAGGGAAGCGCAGTGGGAGAGGCAGGGGTGAGAGGGACTGGCAGGCAACAGGCAAGGCAACCCGCAACCCGCACCCCCAGTCCACTTACCGTGATGACGACTCCCCCTCCGCAACTGAATCCCTCACTGCACGGCAAGCACACGCCCCGCAGCTGCGCCGCAACGGGGTCGAACAGCACGTCTGTGGACATGCCCACGTACGCGCGCTCGGAGCAGGCGTGACCCACGGGACAGCGGTTGTAGGTTGCGTTGGCGGTCAGATTGCAGGGGCAGCCGGGGCCGGTCACTGCAGGCAGAGAGGAGGCTGGCTGGCTGGCCAGGATCTTGGGACACACCAGCGCGCGACTGCTCGTGAGCACGAACGACGCGGCCACAGCCTGCAAGGAAGTGAACGGGAATAACGCCGCCGGCGGGGTATTTATGGCACACGGTTTGGAGTAACTAATCTTAGTATTAGCCGTGGGATGCAGCAACTAAACACATAAACGCCCGAAGCTTACTCTTAAAGACAGCGGCTTGTCCAACGACGTGTTGGCCCTTTCGTACAGCGTGATCACGGCCTCCTCGACGTACGACTGGTCGTACACGGCAGTGGAGTTGATGGCCTTGTGCAGGTACGTCTGGTTGGCCAGGAAGGCTCGCAGCAGGTCCGCGGTGACGGTGCTCCTGTCCTGCTGCTGCTGCTGCTCCCCGCCGCCCCTCCACGGCTCCAGCGCGAAGGCCAGGAACACGGCCGCCTCCACGAGCGCTGCATCGTACTCGGTGGGCGGGTCAGGCGGCGGACCCAGGGTGTTGTCCACGGCGCCCGAGGGGCAGGCGGACGCGCAGCCGCCCGGGTCAACGGAGTCGGAGTCGGAGGCGCAGCGGGTGCATGGCTGCGAGGAAGGGAAGGGATGGAAGGGAGGAGGGGACAAATACCAAGCTAGGTTGCAGCAGTTGAGAGAAAGGGAGGTGAAAGGGGGGCCCAGTAGGCGGTATTAGCCACCGATAACGGGTATGGGACAAGCCGCCTCTCTCCTCTCTTAGTTACTGGAATCTGATCCTTCAGCTTTCTGGGTTCTGAGACGAACGGCGTACATCTGCTGTTACCTGATCGTACACTCACCGCGCAGACGTTAGGTTGGAAGTCCTTGACCCGACAGAACAGCCCTGGTGCACAGTCTGCGCTCGTGGAGCAGAAATCGTCCACGTTGCAACCACACCTGTTGCATGAACGCGGGGTTTTAAGGGTGACAAGTAACGTGCACGGGGTATTGTTGCACCGTGTTGCACCAACCAGGGCCAACGGGTGCCAAATGTTCTTTGGTGTGTTAGCCCCAATTTTAAATGTGTGCCCGAACAATTTGCATCGCATCATAGGTGCTGTGCGATCAGGTAGAGGGGGGGACAGAGGTGATGGGTGGCAGTGGACGAGGTGCGGCCGGCAGGCGACGCGTTTGGTAAAGCTTTGTCTAGGGTTTCGGGTCGGCCACATACCTCTGCGAGCACGCTCCAGCTATAATGCTGTTTCCGCTCAGCATTGCAGAAAAGTTATAGCGGTCTGGGAAGAGACAGCATTTCCAACAATCTTCGCACAATCCATTAGTGCGACTGAATGGCACCGTGCTGCAAAACCTGTAATCACAAAACCGCATTTTGTTGTTATTCTTCAGAGCGAAACAAGGCCTGGCCAACGGGTCAAAAGTATTCGCAAGCAAGCAGCAAGCACGCAAGCATAACAACCCTCACCGGTTGCTTCCAGAGCCACATGCGTTGTGAGAAAGACAATGTTGCTGGCCATTAATGTCAGCTATAAAAGCCAGCATAAACACCTACGGATTGCGACACAAGCTTAGGTGTGAGGACGCATCAGGCAGAGGCGACGCCGACGGGGTGACGGATGAAAGCCACAAAGACTTGCCAGAAACAACAGGCGGTTATTTCGGGAAGTTGCGAGGACCAGTAGCCGCGAACGGCGGCTGCCCGTTAAGACCATCAATGCCATGCTTAGAGCCACCACCGTCACCGGTATCTGGATAAGTGAACACGAGCGAGCTCCATCATTGTAATGATCTATCCATAAATGTCGTCCTGCTTGGATACTGGCCTGATGATATCCGCACTGCTCGTACAGGTGCAATGTGTTGCCACCACTTGTATATAAAGCTGTACTGAAGCTTCTTGAGTAATGGCTTCATTTGATTACAGTGCATTAACGATTGCAATCTTGCCCCGGTTCACCAATACGTGAGGGTATTATCAATGGTGAGCTGTTGGGGTACAATCCCGCAAAGCACGGGCAAGCAGCGCACTGATCCAAGCTTAATGGATTGCCATCCTTTCTGTTAGGCGCTATCGGTGCTAATATATTTTGGTTAGCTCTAGAGCGGTTGGTGAGGATGGCCTGCTCTGGCAAGGCTACGCAAGCGCGGCAAGGAACGCCTTTTCGTGGATCAGAAACACCGCGGAGTGCAATCAGAAGGGATGACAGTAGATGTCTCATGTCTTTCAGGCGTATAACTGCCTCCTTGTCCCTTGCAGCTTGCTCCGGCACAAGAGGATCCCAGAGGCAATAATCGTCAGCAGACACAACCAAGGCTGTCAACATAGGCCATAGTGTGCCAGCATGCAATTACTGGATGTCCAATGTGGAGCGTGCACTAAAGAAGTGGACACACCTAAAGGGTTGGTCGTACATAAGGGCCGTCCCATGGGTCACACTGGTGCACAGCGCTTACCACGTGTTAAGATGCGTTGTTATGCATGCTACTCCGACAGAGCTGCGGCAATGGGTCAGCCGCGGATGACCAACTAGGCATTGTTAGGAAGGGTGTTGGAGAGTAAGGAGTTTAGGTAGGAGATGGGTGATGTTTGTGGGAAGTGGCTAGCTTTCCATAAACGAGCCCCATCACTTCGGGGATGGAAGAGCACGTAAGGAAATCCAAGTATAGAGCACTTGTACGGAAATGGGATGTTGGCGAGTTCATGGCAGGTGATATGTGGTGCTGATTCAGCATATGATAATAACACTTCAGTAAATGCTTGACTGACGATGTCATACTGTGCTTGCATCTTCTCAGGGCGAAGCCTGTGGAGGCAGTGATGGAGCTCCGCTGTGGCCCAGCTGCCAATCAGCAACCACTGGCCTGACGCCGCAATACCACCAATTTCTCTCTAACCTGGTCATAAGCGGCATATCTCAGCAAGTCATGCATCTCAGGGTGAGTACTGAGAATCAATTCGAAACCAGAGGTTGTGCCGTACCGGACGTTCCAACCGTTCGCCAGCTCGTGCGCTCGAACTCTGTCTAGGCTTACCCGTTGTAAGCTTGGTGCCCTGTCAATCAAGCGGACATTAAGGCTAGCGCAGCTTTGGCACTTCGCTGATTGCTGCCCAAAGATAGTAAAATAACAGGCACCTCTTCGTGTTAGCACTCTTCTATATCGAGCATATTCTCTAGAGATGATATATTGAGTATTAAGAAGATTGGACCAACAAGTTATAAGTAACCCTGCTGGAGCGTGTACGAATAGCCCCACACGGTAGACCGTCAACTAGTTAGTTTGTGTTGCGGGGAAGTCCAAGTCCAATTCGGCAGAATGTATAGTATATAACCAAGGGCCGCGCGCTTTGTCTTTAGTATCGCTGGCCAGTAAGGTGGCTAGGGCGCATGGCCTTTACGGGAGGGCTGTCACCAGCTTTGCGGGGCCTGACATGCTGGAAGGTATTAGCTATTTTTACGCCAGTACTTCTGGCTTTTCCTAACACATTGACCGCATAAGGTACCTATATACTTGTACTCACACTACTCAGGTGCTTGCCTTGGCATTGCTCACGGCAGCTAGAGCGCAGTCCACGTGCACCGTGCATGATGATTGCGATACCGGCTCGATACGGTGCGACGGAAGACTATGCCTTGAGTTCGCAATTGAACATAGAACCTAATGTCGGCCTTTGAACGCCGTGCAGATTCTGTAACACCGTTCCCTTTGGCCGCACAAACGGTGTCTGCGAAGATTGTTGGAAATGCTGTTTACTTCCGGACCGTTTCAACTTCCCTGCCACGGTCACGGACAAAGGCATAGTGGTCGCTGGGGCCTGCTCTCTAAGGTGCGACTGCAAGGGGTATGCTTTCTAGGCAACACCGGCCCGGTCATGCCCTCGTCACAACCCCACACTGCATTCCTCGTCTTATCCTCTACGTCCTCCCTTCGTGCGGCATGACAGATGCGGATGCAACACGGACGATGCCTGCACCTCCAACGCGGATTGTGCAGCAGGGCTGTTCTGCATGCGGGGCGGGCTCAGGACCAGCTATTGTGCGGTAGGTGCGGCCCCTGCTGCAAATTGTTGGGTGTGGGAAGCCTGCATGGAGATAGCAGAAGGCAGGCCAGCAGGACTTTTAGGACGCCAATTGCTGCGTCCCATCCTCCCTTCCCTTCCTCGCAGCCATGCACCCGCTGCGCCTCCGACTCCGACTCCGTTGACCCGGGCGGCTGCGCGTCCGCCTGCCCCTCGGGCGCCGTGGACAACACCCTGGGTCCGCCGCCTGACCCGCCCACCGAGTACGATGCAGCGCTCGTGGAGGCGGCCGTGTTCCTGGCCTTCGCGCTGGAGCCGTGGAGGAGCGGCGGGGAGCAGCAGCAGGACAGGAGCACCGTCACCGCGGACCTGCTGCGAGCCTTCCTGGCCAACCAGACGTACCTGCACAAGGCCATCAACTCCACTGCCGTGTACGACCAGTCCTACGTAGAGGAGGCCGTGATATCGCTGTACGGCAAAGAGGAAGTTCCTTTGGACGAGCCGCTGGATATAGCGGTGCGTGGTTTCATGGATTCGCAGCTGTTGTGTAGCAGTGGGGCGTTTATGTTTCTAGGCAGCACGTAGAAGGAGGCAGTGCCATATCGCTTGAGCAGCAGGTTTTCCCAACTTATTTGCATCTCCTCCCTTCCCTTCGCCTCTTACAGGTTGTCGCTGCGTCCTTGTTCACGAGCAGTCGCGCGCTGGTGTGTCCCAAGATCCTGGCCAGCCAGCCAGCCTCCTCTCTGCCTGCAGTGACCGGCCCCGGCTGCCCCTGCAATCTGACCGCCAACGCAACCTACAACCGCTGTCCAGTGGGTCACGCCTGCTCCGAGCGCGCGTACGTGGGCATGTCCACAGACGTGCTGTTCGACCCCGTTGCGGCGCAGCTGCGGGGCGTGTGCTTGCCGTGCAATGAGGGACTCAGCTGCGGAGAGGGAGTCGTCATCACGGTAAGTGGACTTGAGTTACGGGTTGCCCTGTCTCTTGCCTGCGAGTCCCTTCCACCCCTGCCTCTCCCACTGCTCTTGCCTGCCCTCAGCCCGCCAACGGGCTCACTCGTCGCACCCGCGAGCTGGACTGCCCCGCGGGCTCCTACTGCCCCTCCCCCGGCGAGGTCTTCACCTGCCCGCCCGGCTACTACTGCGGCTTCAGGTCGCTCAACCGCACATCATGCAACTACACGGAGTGAGTGGGTGGTGTTGAAGGGATGCAGAGGAAGCCAGCTGGGCCGGATGTGCAGGGGCATGGCTGCTTGCAGACATCGGCACCGGCTTCACAGCCGCATGCAGCACCAAATGGCCCTACGCTACGCCTCACCGTAGCTGCGCAGTTTCGGTGCTATTGCCAGGGCAACAACCTGGATCAGCCCCCAGCTGCTCTTAAAGCCCTTTCTTTTCCTCCTCCGTGCTCCCTCGCAGGCTGCTCTCCGATTTCGATGCGCTATATCCCCTGGTGAGACAGCGGTGGCCTGCGTTGGCGGCAGGCCGGGCAGGGAGTGTGGTGGTAGCCAGTGTGGAACACATGCATATGCCATCCGCAACACGCATCAGTCCAGCCAGCAGCTCCGTTCCAAGTTCGCTGAGGTTACACATCTGCTCGAGGTTACCCTGCTGGGGCTGCCCTCCGCATGTCCACCGCCTGTCTACGTGCGCCCCGGCCCCCATCCTGTCCCCCCCTTCCCCTCCCGGCTCCCTCCCCCAGGACGGCGAGCAGGACCTGATCACGCGGCTGAAGAAGAACCGCGAGCCCATCCGGGGCAACTACTGTCCGGAAGGCTCCACCAAGCCCAGCCAGGCGTGCAGCGCCGGCTACTACTGCCCCAACGCATCGGTGCAGCTCATCTGCCCCAGCGGCTACTACTGCAAACAGCAGTCCATCTACCCAGTCAAGTGCCCCAGGTGATGAGGGTTGCCAGGGGAGTCTGTTGGGGGTTGCCAGGGGAGTCTGTTTTATGGCTCGCCAGACGCTGGCAAAGGGGCAGTCGGGGGTTGAGCATTCCTCGTGCACGTCCCAGCTTGCCTTAACGAAGAACTATTTGCCTTGACCCACAGCCCTGCTTGTTTTACATGTACAGGCTGGTTCGCTGTCCGGAGGGCACCGCAGCCCCAGACGGCCGGCCCTTGGCCGGCCTCATCTTCGCCCTCATCTTCATCGCCACCTACCTGTGCTATTGGCTGGTACAGCTGGGCTGGTTCCTAGTAGACCGCATCATACGTTTCCATTTCTTCAAGGAGCAAGTAGCCAGCGGCGCCGAGTCTGCGGAATCCTCTGTGCATGTGGGCGGTGCCACATCATTCGCCACGGCCGCACGGGGACTGAAGCTGGATCCCCTCGAGCTGCAGAACCAGCACTACTGGCAGCTTGACGAGCATTTCAACATACGCTTTTTCAACCTGCGCGGCCGGGTGCTCCAGGGTGCGGACCGGGGCACCAAGGGCGGCATCAGCGGGCTGTTTGAGGCGGGCAGCTTGAGCGCCATCATGGTGGGTTTAGACTGCATGATGGGAGGGTCATGTGCCACATGTGGAAGCAGCGACAATAGCAAGCAAACCACAAGTGAGAGCAGCGCATGAGGTAGAGGAGGCGACAGGGTGAAACAAGGGAGGGAGCGTACGAAGGGTTTTCTGGCAGCTTGGGAGTGGTGAGGAATGTCGGCATGTGCTTGTCCTAGGCGGGTGGATACCGGTGGTGTTCCTGTCCATCATCAGGATATCTTGTGCCCTCACTCCCTCGCGCGTCCCCAGGGTGCCTCTGGATGTGGCAAGACGACGCTGATCCTGGTACTATCGGGCCGCATGCCGGCACCCGTGGACACGTACAATGAGCACATGGAGCGGGTGACACTCACACAGACGGAGTACAGGTGCGTGGGTGCAAAATGGCTTGGATGACTGCTAAGAATAGTTGGAGGGATAAATAGATGGGCGTTAGGTGGTGGCTTGTGGAGACGGGTTGGAAGGAATAGAGGGGTCAGCGGTTTGCTAGTATGCTGCTGGGAGGGTAGTGCTTGACTTCCTTGTCAAGAGGCTTGCACGGAGGAGTGCTTCCCCACATGCTTGCACCATCGGCTACGGTCATCACATACAAAGTACCACGGTTACCAAAAAAGCAGCACTGGTTAGGCCAGCTTGATTGCCCCTCATGTGGTCCCACACACGCACCCCCCTAAAATCGCTCCTTGCTGTGCTGCGCAGGCGCAAACTGGGCTACGTACCTCAGGACGATGTACTGCACACCGACCTCACTGTGAGGTAGGTTCCGTCATTCGTGTCGGGCTCCAGATCTTGTAAGCCAGCCAGGGTTGCGTGTTTCATGGAGGCCACATGTGCTCGTGCATGTGCATGTGCATGTCTGCCACCAGCAGGAATAACGTATTATAAACCTTTGCGTACGGACCCCTCGCGCGGGGTTCGTCCCAGCGCACCGTGTCTCCCCTGTTGTGTGCTTTGCATGGAGCTATGTGCGTGCGCAAGGTCCATTTTTATACCGTACACGCCGTTTGTCTATTTTATGCCATCCATCGCGTCCCTTGGGCTGCCTCGTTCACTTCCCTGTCTGCTTAAGCGTCGTTTGCGCATATGGGTTGCCGTGCATTTGCCGGTATCTGTTGTCTTGCGCTTTCGCGTTGCCGTGCGCAGAGAGAACCTGGCGTACGCTGCCCGGCTGAAGCTTCCTCGGGATACCCCCCAAGATGACCGGTATGCCATTGTGAACGACACGCTCAAGCTGCTGGAGCTGTACGACAAACAGGACAAGCTAGTGGGCACCCCCGAGCGAAAGAGCAAGTAGCCTTTGCGTTGGGTCACTCATGTACTGCCTGTATCGCATATATCGCATGCCATTCTCCTGTATACCGGCAGTAGTCAAAGGCGTAGAACTTGCAGGTTAGCTGCTACGTGCTACCCCTCAGCTGCGCTTGTGCAAAACGTAAGGCACGTAGCAGCTTTCGTTTCCCCATCCGCCTGCCCATGGGTATCGCCGCTCACCACGACATCCCTACGCCGCCCTCTCCCCCCGCCTTCTTCTCCCTCTGCAGTCATCTCCGGCGGCCAGCGCAAGCGTGTCAGCATCGGTGTGGAGATCGTGGGCAAGCCGCCCATGCTGTTCATGGTGAGGGAGGCGGGGGTAATGTGTATTTGCGGGGGCACTGGCCGCTGGGTTTGGTGCGGGAAGCTACGTACAATCCTAGCAAAGGGTCACTGTCTGGAACGCTACTTCTTTGCAGGCCGGACGCCTTGTTGCCCCTCCCTGTCACCCTGTCCTACTCAACTACACACACCCACTGTCCCGCAGGACGAGCCCACCTCTGGCCTCGACGCCGCCCGCTCCTCCGACCTCTGCAACAAGCTCTCCACGCTCGCCGAGTCCTCCCTCATGAACATCATCGCAGTCATCCACCAGCCGCGCTACTCCACCTTCATGAAGTTCAACAAGGTACATGGGAATGGGCTTTCCGGGCTCCCCTCCACAACATGTACGACACCCCCATGTACGACCGTATTCACTGCACCTATACAAACCTACCCCTCTTGTGACGGCCAGGTGCTGCTGCTGGCGACGGAGAAGAACCGCTTCATGGGGCGGCCGGTGTACCAGGGGCCGCCGGGTCGCTGCGTGGAGTACTTTTGCAACCTGGGTTTTGAGTGAGCAGCTCATGGGGGGCCGGGGGCCGCGATACATGGGGGCCTGGGGTGCGAGATAGCATGGGGGCCTGGGGGGCGCGATAGCACCGGGGGCTAGGCTCTGCATGGGGGTTGGTGGAGGAAGGATTGCACCAGAGAAGGTGATGTTTCCCGTCCCTTTCTCCCCTTCCTCTTCCCCACCTGCCCTCCAGCTTCCCAGTCGAGGAGAACCACGCGGACACATTCCTAGACATCATGAGCGACCCGTTCCGCACCTCGGACAAGGGCATCTGCGTCAGCGAGCTGCCCGACATTTGGAAGACGCACGGAGAGGCCTGGCTGACCCGGTCGGAGGACCCCCTGGAGCGGCTGCTGGTGATTGTCAAGGTGGGTGGGCTAGGTGTGCCGGTATGCTCGCATGTGCGGATAGTAAGTTGAAGACGTCGGGTAAGGTAGGTGTGACCACTAACGGTAAAGGGGGTAGCGAGGAGACATGGACTGGCTGTTTGTCCAGCCGTCGAGAGCAAGTGCAGCCGGCACCGCGTGCATGTGTGCAGCTTTTGCTGTTACGTTGTGTCACGTGTATGCCTGTACGGCTATGCTTCAAGGAAGAGACTACTACTTAAACCCGTGTTGTATGTCCCGTGTGATTAATGTCCCCCCCCCCCATGTCGTATGCCCCCTCGCGTAACAGAAAATTTTGGGGAGGATTCAAGCCGATAGGTGAGTGCTTACGGTGTGGCAGGGCAAGTCGAGGCACTTTGCGTCCCGAAAGCACTTTGGCCATGAAGTGCTGGCTGCACCATGGCTCGTTCGTATTTCGTACTTTGTATGCTTGCCCTTCTATGGCTGCCACCTTCTCTGCAGCCTCTTCCCTCATCGCTCCACGTGTCTCCCTCCAACCGTCGCCAACCCAAACCCATGTTCCCCTCCTGTTCCGTTCCTGTTTGCCGTACCGTAGGCGCAAGGAACAGCTGGCGGGGCGGTCCCTCAAGCAGTCATCCAGCAAGCGCCTCTTCGCGCCCGGCTTTACACTCTCCCGCAAGTTCGGTGACGGGCTGGCCTTCCTCGCAGTCGGCGGCGGCGGCCACGGCCGGGCAGGCAACACCGCGCTGCCGCCTACCTCCCCCACCGCAGGCGGCAAGGCGCCCCTCTTGCTGTTCAGCAGCCCCAAACGCCCCATGACAGCGCTGCCTGCAATTGCAACAGAAGGCGGATCCGGTGTAGGGCCGGGCTTCGGAGCCGGAGCAGGCAGCCCGACGCGGAAAGCGGGGCTGCTATCGCCCTTGTCGCCTGGACGCTTCCAGCTGAGTCATGTGGGTGCGGCAGCACGTGGATCGGTCGTCAGCGGCGCATCAGGTCTGGGTGGGGGTGGAGCGGGCGGCGCTGTCCCGAGCACGACTATCGTGGTGGGAGGTGCACCCAAACGTGTGAGCATCGGGGGCGTTGTGGAGGCGTTGCCGTCACCCTCATCTCCGCACCAGCAGCAGCACAGGAGCCACCCGCCGGGCGTGGGCGTGGCCGTGGCAGCCGCAGCGGCGGCGGGAGGGTCAGGAGGAGGAGGAGGAGGGGACGAGGTGTTGCATGGGGTGGCTTCGATTGGCCTTGGAGGCGTGCAGGAGGAGGAGTCTGATGATTCGGAGGTAAGGTTGTGTGGTGACGTTGACATCCGGGGCGCATGAGAGGGTGGTGGTGTAGGTGCACGGGAGCTGGCTTTGGGTTTTTGGGGGATGGGATGGGTTAGAAGCTAGGTACCAGTGTGTGCCTTTTGAGGTCCATCTTGCTGAGGCTCATGTTGTTATCACTCGGGCACCGGCCTACCCCGGCTGCTCTCCAGCTGCTGCTGTCCCGGCAGCTGATGTGACTCTCCCTGGCTCCCTGGCTCCCTCCCTCCCTTCTGACAGGATCTCGACTCGGCTCCTGAGCCTGGGAGCGAGGGCCGCAGGCAGTGGCTTAAAAAGCGCCTGGTAAGCCAAGGAAGAGCGGGATGGAGAGCTGTTCCATGAATGGCTGAACTGGCTGATGCGCGCGTGCCCTATGGCTGCCTCCCATGCACGGGTCAGACCTCGCCTCTATCTTTCAGCAACGGCTTTCTGCCCTGGTGCTTTCCTGGTGGCCCCCCCCCTTGCACCCCCACACCACACATTGAAATTTCTTCTTTCCCCCTGCACTCTGGTTCAACCTCCCAATACCTGCCGCGGCCCTTCCTGCTGCCCTGCCAAATCCCTCGCAGGCCAAAATCTTTCCGAAGCACTTGGAAGACCAGCGCACCTACGATCTCCAACGAAAGGTGTGAGGGTGGAGGAGGAGGTTGAGGTAGAGGGGCCGTCACTTTGGATACCTTCACAGTGGTCGAAACGGGACCATGGAATAGGAGCAAGGGCTACTAAAGGTTGTCAACACGGGCGTCTTCCCATAGTCCCTGACCTGCCCTGACTGCGATTATCCCCCGGCACGCGTGCACGCTTGGCAACCAGGTCCTCATGGAGAACCTGCCCCTCTCGGAAGAGCACATCGAGCTGCAGGAGTCGGGCTCCCACACGGATGACTCCGAGACGCTGCTGCAAAAGTGAGTAGTGGGCTGGGTCGTCTGGAAAGGCGATAAACCCTGATGGCTGGGGCCAGCCAGCTTGTCGGCTGATGCTGTTTGCTGCCCACCCCTATGCACCCCTATGCACATGTGGTAAAGCTGTGCCGCTCGCTTGGAATGCGGCGGCGGATGCGGAACCAATGGATTGATGGGGCATTGGGCAGTCGCTTAGCTGCTCCAACGGGAAAGCAGGGCATGGCACAATCCATGTGGGCTTCAGGCTCTGACGTTACGTGGACGCTGTCCTGTGCTGACTAGGGCCTTCAGCCGATTGGAGCTGCCAGTATTGGCTCCAAGATGTTGAACGCATCCACCACACAAGCATCCGAACACTCCAGAAAGGCCCTGTAGCCATCCGTAGGCCTAACCTGGCACTCACCCAACCTGCTACGGCCCCTTCCCCATCCGGCACAGGGAGGAAGATGGCAATGTCTACCTCCTGAAGTATCCCGAGATCGGCGACGGGCGCAGCGTAAGTATGAGTGTACGAAGGAGGCAGGCCACACGCTGCGGATGAAGGGGGCCGAAGAGAAACCAAAGCACTCCCAAGTTAGGATTGGAGATACACTGATGTGCCCAACGCACCGCTCCACTCCCTCCGTCGTAACACAACGCTCAATCCTTATAGTACGACACAGCGCTTTATCCCTTAACTGCCTGCCGCAGAAACGCATCTCCACCTTGGAGATGAAGACCAGCAAGCGATACTTCACGTTCTGGGAGTATCTCGTGTTCGTCCGGGACACGATCCGCGAGTGAGTTGTGTTGTGGGATTGCACATGTCTGCAAAAGTCTTAAATTTACCTGCGCTTACCTGACCGGACATGTTCCCCAGATCGTTCTTCTTGAACTCGGACTCCCTCCAGTTCAGGATTGACAGCACCCGCGCTGCCTGGCTTCACCTAGGCTTACAGCTTCAGCGCTCCCCACCCACCCCACCCCACCCACTTTGGCTCCTACCTGCTGGCTACATGCCCCCACCCGCACGCATCCCAACACCCCGCCAACCTCCTTTCCCTCACCTTGCCCTTTCGTGGATTCTTATGAACTAGTCTGCTTTGACCCCACCAATCAACCCGCCTCCAACCCGCTTCCAACTCAACCCGTTTCCCCCCTCCAACAGGGAGCTCTGGCAGCTCTTCTGGCTCATTCAGCGCAACCTGCAAAAGTCCATTCGCGCCTTCTGGCCGGGCACCGTGCTGGACGTGCTGCTGCTGCTGGGTGCGGCGTTCATCGTGGGGGCGGTGCAGGTGGGTGGGGGCAGCACCGGTGCAGTGACAGCAGCCAGCTTGGTTGACCGTTACAAGGGTTCCCTAAGAGAGAACACGGGTGATGAACATTGATGCTCCATTGCAGGAGAAACGGAACACGCCAGCTCGTGGGGTATAGCCGGTTATCGATCTGACTGCCGTTCAGCTGTACACGTGTGCCTGTTCATTCAAGTGCAGACAGGATTGCCTAGCCTCGCCAAGCTTCTAGCTGTAAAAGATCTAGCCAACCTGGAAGTGCATGTCACCGTATTTGCAGTGCAGACCAGCATGCCCGGCATCCCCGCCTCTCTCCCGCTCCCCATCCCTCCCTGCCTCCCATCCCCCCTCAGGGTTCCAAGTGGGGCCTCACCGCCGTGCCCTCCAACGTGGCCATGATCTATCTGGTGCTGTCGGTGCTGGCAACCGTCACGCACCTGCGCACGTTCACGTCCTTCAAGAACGTTCAGGTGCGGGCCTCTGGTCGGTGCACAAGCGCACACGCAGATGCCTTTCTATTGGCATCGCTTCTGGACACACGCCACGGGGTTGCACTGCCTGTATGCAGGAGTGTGCTAGCTGTTAACAGGAGTTCGCGCCTGTGTTCTTTTGTGCATGGGGTTTTAAGGCCGCCCTCTTACAAAGTGCGGCGCGTTTGTAACCTGCATTGACAGAAGATGCGCTGCGCCACCCCTCCCCTTGCCCTCCCCCTTGCCTTCGGAACTGCCCCCCCTCGCTTCCTTCGCTCCTCCTCAGATGCGTGAACGCACTGCGGGTATATCCGTCATCTCCACCTTCCTCGCCTCCAACCTCACCGACCTCATCTGGATTTTCGTGTCTCCCGCCATCTACTTTGCGGTCTACTATTATGTGGCCCTGCCGCGCGCCCCATTTGCCGAGTACTACAACCTAGGCAATCTGGTGTGCTGGTGGAGTGCAGGACTGTCGTACTTGATTTCCGTGTCCGACATCCCGGCGCAGGTAGGGGTGAAGGGATGTAGGGATGAAGGGGTAGTGTATTACGGTAACAACAACGGTTGGTTAGTAGGGAGTTAGGGGCTTGTTAGTTAATGGGCGTGTCAATACAAAAGCACCATCCCGTTGGCCGTACTGCCCCACCCTGGGAAGGCTTGTTGAACCAAACGTGATGACCCGAGACACGTATTACTGCATCATGCTTTGAGATGGTCGGCCACCGCTCCGTTCCGCATAGTCACCCTTTGGAACCTTTTAAGGGAATGGGGCGCGCGGTGGGAAAGGGCCCTGCTGCCCCTTCCCCACCGCTTCAACCCCATTCCTTCACCGTACCGGTTGTAAATTTCGACATTAATACTTACATGTACCTTGGGATTGCCTTAAAGGTCGCAATGCAGCTCAGCTGGAGCCCCACCCTGGGAAGGCTTGTTGAAACAAACGTGACGACCCGAGACACGTATTACTGCATGAGGCCTGGGGCACCTGCCAGTCCTCGGTTGAGGCGCTTGCTTTCTTGCTGTGGTAAACTTCCCGAACCACACTGAACCTGCTCGCATTTACGGTTCCCATCCATTGCTACTGAACCCCACAGGCCCAGCCCATTACTGCGGTCATCACAACGTTGATTCTGGGCGCCTTCCTCAACGGCATCGCTCCCACCATCCGTTCCGGCCGAGGCAACTTGCTGGAAGTTGTTCTAGGTGTCAGTTACAACCGTTGGGCCATGGAGGCTGGAACGATCAAGGTAGGTTCAACCCATGGGACGGAGAAGAGTTTCTGTTTGTACGCCGTGCATGGTACCATCTCCCACTGTACTATCTCCCAACACCCTGTGCTGTGCTGGTCCACATTGCAGGAGCTTATGAACTATAACGAGTACAAGAGCAACGAGATTGTCATGATCTACTACAACTTTGGTATCTGCAACATGGACAAGACCCTGTATGATGACGGTGAGTCAAAGACATGCGCGACACCTCTCTTGCCCCACGTGCCTACCTGCCTCCATCCTCCGTCTTGGCTCCTCCTTCCTCTTGCCTCCCGCCTGTACAAAGCGCTACTTGCGCTCAAAATAGCCCAGACAAACTCCAACACACCGCCTTTTAATTTCGACATACTCCAGCCCTGTGCGGACTTTCCACCCCTCGCTTATCCCATTCCAGCTAGTTGAAAACAAACTAGAAACCACCACTCTTAACTCCCTGCCTTCTCCCCCTGCTACTACTGCATACTGCTGTCTCCAGGCAACGACGAGGTGCTCAGCACCGCCGAGGTGGTGTCCTTTGTCAACCTGCAGCAGACCTTCAACGCCAGCAGCTGCGACAAGTACTTTGCACACGCCAACGTCATCCTCTTCTGCATGGGCCTGGGGCTGCGGTTGCTGGCCTTTGCGCAGATCCTGTACCAGACGCACGAGCGCTACCTGCACGTGCAGCTTGAGCGCATCTGGGAGGCTGTGGACGGCAGGCTGCACCTCAGCGTGCCCTTCAAGTGGTGTTGGACGTGGCGTAAGAGGGTGTTCAGTAGGTGAGTGGGCGGCAATACCTGCAGCGTGTATGGTATGCGTGCTGAGCACCCTGTGAGCAAAGCAGAAGTGATAGGTGACGCATGGGAGCCTGTTTGAGTTGTAGGAGGGAGCTGTGTGGTGTGGGTGCGTGACGTGTCTGCGTGACTGGGGTTTTAGACCAATTGAACCGTGCAGCGTTGGTAACGTACTAAGACTCCTGACCATACTGACGCACTGCGTTCGTATGTACGCCTGCACTGAAGCGTTCGGCCAGTTTGCTACCGGTATAGCCCTATTGCTCCTCCGCACTGCCTGCCTGGGCTTTTCTACTGCATATAGGGCTACAGGACTGTATGATTGTATGAGTCGTGTTGATGTGACGCCGCTTTCTTGCTTGCTGCTGCTGCCTTGCTGCTTCGCCCCCACAGGGTCAAGGAACACTACTCACTGGACGCCGCAAAGCGTGAGGCGCGCAAGGAGGCCAGGGCAGCTAGGAGGGCTGCTGGCGAGGGTGAGGAATTGAGAATGTGGCAGGGAATGTGGGTGTCAGAGCCTTGCTTTAATTTGGAAGGTGGCTTCCATTTGGACTGAGGAGAGGAGGAGAGGTCCTGGGTATGTATGTCACGCATGCGTCCCCACACGTCCAAACCAGCACAGCCCACATACATTTGCCGTATCTCGCAGCATGAGCGGCATGCTGTGCTAGTCCCTCAATCCATCCCTGCCCGCGCCCCTCTAGCCCCCAGGGAATCCCCATCCCTAACCTTCCTAGTCCCTCCGCCTCCCTCCTCATTTATTTTCCCTCCTCACCCTTCCTTGTCGTGTTCCCTTCCAGGTAGCCGCCGCAACAGCACACAGGTCATTCCCGAAGAAGCCGCCACCGCTGCCCTGTCCCTGCAGCCCCGGTCCCACACCCCCCTTTCCGCAGCCACCGCCACCCTCGCGCCCGCAGCCTTCGGCAGGGACAGCGACGTCATGCTCACCTTCCGACAGTCCAGCACCGGCGGTGCAGGCGGCGCTGGCGGCGGCGGTGTCGGCGCCCGCCGAAGCAGCGGCGGCGGCGGCCCCGGCCCTGGCCTCCACGTCACCGTCGCCCCCCGCCAGCTCAGCCTCCACAGCGCCACCGGCGGCGGTGCTGCGGCTTCCGCCAGCAGCGGCGGCTACAGCCCGGCCACTCCCGCAGGAGCTGGTGCGCTGCTGGGGACTTGGGGAGTTGCAGGCGGTGGCGGTGGCACCGCGCCTCCCTCCGCGGGCCCCTCCCCCCGGCTGTCCAGCAGTCCCCACGGCGGCGGCTTCACGGCTCAGCCCCTCTCTCGCAAGTCCAGCAGCCCGGGCAGCGTGTACGGCACTCCGGAGCGCATGTCCAGCGGCCTCTTCGGCAACCCCCACAGCGGGCCGGCAGGCGGTCAGCCGCCCTCCGCCAGCCTGCTGCACCTTACCGGCGGAGGAGCAGCAGCTGGAGCAGGGGGAGGTGGCTTCGTGGTAGCGCCCAGGCAGTCCAGTACGGGGGGTTCCCTGGCACCCAGGATGTCGAGTGCGGAGATGCTGCTGCCCATGCCCCTGGGGCTGCCCAGCCTGGCCGCCTCGCAGCAGCAGCAGCAGCAGCTGGAGCTGCAGCAGCAGCAGTTGTACCGGCAGGGACAGGGGCAGGGGCGCTACCGGCGGTCATCTGGGGGCGGCGTGGGCGGAGCAGCGGCAGCAGGAGGGGGAGGAGGAGGTGGTGCGGAGGGAGGAGCAGGGGCTGGGTGGGAGGAGGGAGATAGGGGGATGGTGATGGAGGGGGTGGTGGATGGAGCAGACAGGCCTATTGGGATGGTGGGCTCGGATGACGGGGGTGAGGGTGGTGGCGGTGAGGGCGGGCGGGGCCAGGGAGAGGGCGGGGCCAGGGCCGCACGGATCAGCGCCTCTGGCGTGCATTACTAATACTTCACAGATGTGGGGCCGTAAGCTGTCATGGAAAGGGTGCATGGAAAGGGTGTGATTCCATGCAGCTCGCTAGCTCTCACTTGTGTTTCACGAGTCGTGATTCGGCGTCTCTGATGTGTGACTCTCGTAACTCTGGTGCGCTTCTGTGCCGCATTCGGCTTATGTGTCGGAGTGTTGCGGTTTATGCGAAACGGAAGTTCAAGTTAAATAAGCAAGGTACGCTCGAGAACAGGTTAGGAGCGAGGCCAACTGTCACAAGCTCTGACAATGCGTGCATGAATAAGCATATCCCCAGGGTGCTATGTGTTTGTCTGCATCGTAGAAGCCAAGCTTCTGTTGTGCTGAAGAGGACAAGTGTACGACTTTTGATGACCCTTTTTGCCCAGTCGTTAACGTACAGCGTCCCAAGGGCCATGTGAGAATCCTTTTCGTATTGCCACTGTGTCGTACGCTGCGAGGCTTTGACGCCGGCTTTGAGGCTTTGACGCCGGCTTTGAAAGTCCAGTTGTAGTGGCACTTGGCATGGTGTTTACCGGTACCCGTATGGAGAGATACAGCCCATTGTACGTAACGAGCATGTTACGCGCACTCTTGCCCCATGCATGAAGACATCCGGCATGGCTATTTAACTGCTGCTTTGTTGTCCTATGTGATGGCGTTGAGAATTTGAGGAATACCACGCTGGGTGAGTGGGGAACATGAGGGAAAGGGGAGGGAGAGGGATAGGAAGGAGGGAGGTATACGTGAAGGAGGGAAAGAAAAGGGAGGCGGGACAGGTGGGGGATAAGGGACAGGACATGTTGGAAAGATGGAGGAGTACTAGAGAGGCAAGAGGGAAAGGAAAGGCAGGAGGGACAGCATAAGGAGGAGGGTCAGGAAAAGCAGCCCGCAACAAAGCAGACAACGGCCGACGAAAAAGGTGATAGATACCTGCGTGCACAGAGATACTGCTGCTGGCGCCGGGTATGCCACACGTGCACCGGCGACTGTGTCCGAGCCATGGATTGACCATGGAGCAATCCAGAACAAGGCAGGATGGTAGCGACCAGCTGGGAACTATAAATGACGGAGAGAGAAGCTAGTTGTAAGCGCTAGATAGAGTGATGATGGCGAAAAGCCGGCACGTAAGGATAACCGAGAAGCCTAAGACATGGTGTTGCGCATCAACACCGGCTTGAACATCTAGTGTCACCGGAGTCCGCACTCCCCAACATGACCCTTGGGGTTGGTTATACCGCAAGGACTCCAACCGCCACCAACCGGTGTTGACGCAGGAGCGAAAGGAACGCGTGTAGGTCAGACCACCGCTTAGCATATCTAGCAAGGCATGTCAATCAAACGCAGCAGCATATCGGCCGTCCATCCACGCCAACTGAACCGTCCGTCCAACCCGCAGAGCCGTCCCTCCTCACCAGTCAGGGACACCCCCCCAGCGACACCAGTTTCCTCCTCCCCTGACTCAGCCCTGCCCTCCGAAGAGGGCCCTCAACCTCTGATACCCACTCACACTAGCCCAGGTCAGCTGTACACACCGACGGCCATCTTCCTACACTCAGCACCCTACAACTCTGCCCCCCATCCCCTCAATGCAACACCGGCCTCACAGCGGCCGCAGTAGACCCAGTTCGTTAACCCAGGCGCAATCTCGCTCACAGTCCGCAGGCGGAGCCACCCCGGCAGGCAAAACAACGACCCCGACCCCGCACGACAGCCCCCCACTGATTAAGCGCGAGCCACTCCCCTACCGGTATGCATGCCAGGGCAGTCTGCTATAGGCCTCCATCCATCCATCCTCCCACGCCACCAGGGCCTCATGACCGGTCCCAGGCTGCACCAACCCGTACAATGCGCACCCTCCTTCACAATGCACCCGCGTCCCCACAAGGGCTGCCGCCCATAATCACGGTGCCTCTTCTGCATCCGAGGAAACAACAACCTCCCAACCTCTTTCACGGCAGCCACACGACCTTGAAAACCTACACCATGGTACGCATTTGACCGGGCACGCCCTTCTCCATCAGCGGACCCTCCAGTGCGCCGCCAACTCCTCCGCCAGTGCTTCCGCCAGCGCCACGGGGACGCTCTCAGCTGCAGCCGGTCGCTTATATACACATTTCCAGGGGAGGCCTTTCCTACCTGAAAAGCGCCCGATGGCATCATGGTCGGAAACAGAACTTTCTGCCACGGGGCGAACTTGGTAGAGGGGGAGTGAAAAAGCGACATCGTTGTACGCCTCGGCCTGGGGTCAACACCTCCTCCACGCACAGGCGACACTGCAGGCCTTTTATCCTTTGCATTCATTGCATACACCCGAATTGGATCGCTCCTTTAGGGGCGTAGTCCTAGTGTTCGGGCAAAATGGTCCGGACCGAGGCGTTCTGTCCTATACTCCTATTGTACCGTGCCCCTGTACAACACCCGATTTTGGTAATCTGCTTAAAAAGCTTTTAATGTTGTATTTGTGTAGCGTCTTAGCTTGGTTTCTAATTCGGGATGTGGTCAATTTGATAACCTGAAGCAGTGGATAGTTGCTTAAAGCACCTTGCGGAGAAACATTTAGTGTATTGTGGTTTGAAGGGTTATTTTTGACGTGTCAAAAATTTGGTTTGAGGACGCTTTAAGGCCACGGAGACGCATCAGTAGTTTTGGGTTGCCATGGGCAAGAGCAGTAGTGTTCGGCGGGAAAAGAGGAGGCCCTGTGTACGGCAGACTTCCCCGAGTCAGGTAGAGCGTTAGGGGGCTCTGACGAGCGTACGTGGTTCTTGATTCTTATCGCTATTAAGTGGTCGTTAGTTTGCAAAGGTGGATTTATCTATAGTTAGGGCTTTAGGTGTGGTAAATTTTTTAGAATGGCTGTGTCGCTTCTTCAACTGAGGGAACGCTTACAGACGCCAGATTATGCTGCTCTTTCGGCTGAGGAGAATAGAGAACTCACGAGCTGCATAGCTGAGAAAAACGCAGCTGACCGAGCTCGTTCGGAGGCATTGCAAGGCCTCGGGCCGATCCCCACCGGAATTTCAGCTCCTGATAAGGCAGCAAAGGACGCTTGGTTTGCTCAGCAAGAAGCAATTAAGTCCACTTACGACCAGGCAGTCGCTCAAATCAACATGCAGCACCCGGACTGGCGGGCCAGGCTCTTAGCTCGACAGACGCGTCGGGACCAGCTCCTCGAGGTGGTGAGGGCTGCAGAAGAAGCGGAGAGCGAGACGGCCATCGCAACCTTGCTTAGACCGGGAGAGGCCGGGCAACGGGCGGCTACGGGGGCGGGAACCGCAAGAGTCACCGCCAGCCCGCCAGCAGCGCTGAACGCAGTAGCCGAGGCTGAGCGCTTAGTAGCAGGGCTGCAAACAGAACTTGCGGGCAACGCGATATCGCCACAGCTGGGACGACTTGACGACCTCCGCAGCGATGAACCATCACCAACCCGCCCGTTGAAGATGCGGCGGTTTAACGTCGAGGCTTGGCTGCCCAGGGAGGGGGTTTGGCCCGCAGAAGAACCCGCTGGAGCAGCTGCTGGCCGCGTATGCTTCCTTGCGAACATGGCCGACAAGTTCACCTTCGTCCGGGAGATGACGCAGATGTTCGACGTGCAGCACGTCTCTCCCGACAAGCAACAGTTCCAGGCGTCAGCAGAACAGACAGTCCGGTCGCTTAAGGAGCAGGCAGCGTACCTCAAGCAGATGTCGGCAATGGAGGCAGACCCCGAAAGGGCTTTGCTCCTGCTAAGAGCCGCCTCCAAGGTTGACGATGACATCCAGCAAGCGCAGGAAACTCACCTGCGCCTCAACAAGGTGGCGGAAGTACTGCCATGGAAGAGCACCGTCAGGATCATGACCAAGGGGCAGGAGCAAGAACGTGACCTCGTCTTGGGCCTCGCGGGTCTGTCGGAGAAGGAGCGGCGGGAGATGCTCCTAGGCCTGACGTCCTCCTCGTCATCATCACCGCAGCCGCAGCTATCGTCACAGCAGCAGCAGCATGGGGACAACAACGGGGCGTAACCTTATTAAGTTGCGGTCTGTGGTGTTGTTTACTTCGGCCCCCGAAAGCGACGACGTTGTATAAGGGCTACTGCGGCGACAATGGTTATGGCCAGGGTTTTGACTAGGTGACGGGCCAATGTTCTCGGCCGGCGCAGCCTGCGGAGCAAGCAGCAAGGTGTTTAGCAAGCTGGTCGGCTCACGTACAGATAAGTCCCTTCCCCAGGTCGACAGGGGCGTCGGCTCCACGTGAAAGGCCCCCATCCTCTGGGTGACAGAGGCGTGAGCGACACGTGACGTGCCTTTGCTGCGTGTGTTCCCCTCCCCGGGTTGTTAGGGGCGTCGGCTCCGCGATAAAGGCCCCCATCCTCTGGGAGAAAGAGGCGTAGGCACCGCGTGAAGGGCCCCCTTCCCGCGTGGAGGGGCACAGTGCATGGTAGCTTGCGGATTCGTTACTTGTCCTGGCATGCGGTTTGGGATGGGGGGGGCTGGCACGCGCACTAGACCGGGGGACTTAGGAGTGTTTGCCTTGTGGACTCTTACTGCCTTACAGTGCCCGTGACACTGCTCCTTTGTGTCTTCGGCTCGTGTCCGCCATGCTATTGCTTTGCTGACAGGCCCGGCCATAGCATTGCTGACATGCCAATCAGGGACACCAACTCTGTAGGGGGGCCATCTCAGATATACCGTAACTGGAGGTGTCCCTGGGTTACGCCAGTCAGGGCAAGCATGTCGACATGCCTTGCAACGTGGCAAAGCGGTTTTGGAGCCGATGAGGTTCGAGTTGACACCTGCCGCCGATCCCTCAGTGCCCCCGAGCGAGTGCAGGTAGCTGGCCGACAGGGAGGCGTAGCGGGATCCATGGCACAGGATGTGTGCCACGCCGTCGCTATACGACGTCACGGCGGGCGCATGGTCGTACAGCGTACGGGCAGGAGCCGCGTCACACCACGCCGTCGCTATACTACGTCATGGTGGGCGCATGGTCGTACAGCGTACGGGCAGGAGCCGCATCACGCCACGCTGTCGCTATACTACGTCACGGCGGGCGCATGGTCGTACAGCGTACGGGCAGGAGCCGCGTCACACCACGCCGTCGCTATACTACATCACGGTGGGCGCATGGTTGTACAGCGGACGGGCAGGAGCCGCATCACGCCACGCTGTCGCTATACTACGTCACAGCGGGCGCATGGTTGTACAGCGTACGGGCAGGAGCCGCATCACGCCACGTCGTCACTATACAACGTCACAGCAGGGGACCGGTGCAACCGTACCATTGGCGACAACGTCGGGCAGCGGAGTGCCGGTGGAAGGGGTGGTTTCACGCCACCTGGCCCGGGCGCCAGCGGACGGAGCAGCCCCGGAACACCCCCTCGTCACGAGAGGCGCGAAGTGGGGCCTGCGACCCATGGGATGCGCAAAGAGGCGACTTCACCCAGCGGCTGCGGATGCTGCTCGTAGAGGTGCAGCGAGCGTACCCGCAACTTAAGCTAGACATGACGCGCTTTTCCGCCCACAGCCTCTGCCGCGGGGGAGCAACGGCGCGTCACATGAGGCCACGGAAGAGGGAAGTCCGAGGCGGTGAATGTATACGTGCACGTGCATGCGGTGCGCATGCAAATAGTGAACAGGATGTGAGTACTTGGTACGACTAGGTGGGGGGGTTGTCTCTGCATACGGCAGCGCTAGGCAAGCCGGATTGCAGGCCACCGCTGGGGATTCCCGGGCTCACAAGGCAAGGGGGATCTCCGGGTGCTATCCCCCCCAACTAGAGTTGGCAACTTCCTGGCAGCGAGGACATGAGACATGATGTAGTGAATATATGGCATGAGACACCGGAGGGAACTGCAAATAGCATGGATGCTTATTATTGCCTTGAGATGCGCAGACGTATTAGCGATTGAGACTTGAGCGAGCTTTCTTGTAAGAGGGGTTGGTCGTAGGATGAATGCCGGTGACAAGGGGCCTTGCGTACTAAAAGTGCGTATCAGATGAAAATGTACGACCGGCGGACCGGGGGCGGACCGAGACAACCGCGCGCCGGTCCGCCCTAAACATGGCCTCACATCCACTGCATATTTTGTTTTATGGATGGGGCAAACGAGTTGCTGCACCTGGGATGTATGTATGTGTATGTATGTCATCCGTCATTCGTTGCTGCAGCAAAACACATGGAACAGACATTGTGTTGTTCATGTAAGTTGAAGGATTGTTGGCACCTATACGGAATCCGCAAGCAGACGCCCGTACGTCGGGCCCAGGAAAAGGCCGGCGGCGGCTTGCTGTTACTCGCAATCTGTTGCACGTATGAGCAAACCTGGTCGATGGGTGTTACCACTTCAATGCGGGCTACAGTGGCATTCATACCTTTCTTACTCCTGTAAGTGTTATGTAGAGAAGGATTACCGTAAATAATCCAAAGACATCCAGCAAAGGAGTTGTATACTTGTATTTCCAGCTGACTTCCAGCTGACTTCCTTCTGTAAATCCTACCTTCAGGGCTTCATGGCCGGGAGTTAAGGCCTGGGCACGTAAGCCTTACTTATCTCAGTACTGTAGTGCTTTCTCGCTTCACGCCTTGCCACCTGGGTGCACTAAGCGCACGCCATACCTGGCTCTTTATGTTACTGCCCCCTAACGTTACTGGCTCTTCGCGCGTGCCCGCAGTGGATAACTTCGGCTGTTACATGCACACCGGCGGTACCGTCCCGTAAGTGAACATTCGTCGACGACTGTCTGTATGGAATTGAGCCACTGTACAGAATTGAGCCAATGACTTGTGGGGTTGCGCAGACCCTTCGCCAAAATTCCGAAGAATGGTGGAGAGGACGTTTGGTCCTACGCCGAACGACTTGCCGCCGCTTGTCTTAATACTACGTGTAAGATGTTCGACATATCCGGAAACATGTATGATAACAACGCCGAAGCCTGTATCGACGACCGCTACGGTGCGTTTTGGGAAAACGGGGATTAGGAAAACGCAAAAATTGACCCCAAGCCCCCAACTGAGGCCGCTTTGCATGGAGATTCCTATTCTGCTTTCGGAATTGTGTTTGGGGGTATATGTATGGAAAAAGGTATGGGCTTGCAAATTTGGCTGTACGGCAGGGGCAGGTGAAGTTCGGGGCCCCAACGACTTTTTATATTGGACTTTCGGAAAATATTTTCCGGGCCACAGGTCAGAGGTCTGGAAGCTGCATTGCAATCCTTTCGTTTATATACGTATGACTAGCTCTATCAACAAGATGGTCACTTTTCGGCTTCTGATAGGTCAGTCGAGGGCCTGCACCACATGGGAAAGAGAAGGCAGGGCCAGGGACGTGGGGCGTGGTGGTGCCGTCGTGTCGGTTGGTGAAGACAGAACTGGCGGTGGTAGGGCACAAATGGAAGGGCCGTGGTGCTTCCTAGACGGCCTTTTCCAGGGCGTTTTGGCAGGGTTTACAGGTTGTATATGCTTGCCGGTGGGTGGGTGGTTCCAAGGTCTTCCCTTTGGAAATTTTGGGTTGGGGTTTATTAGTGAATTTCTTACGTCCCCTGCAGTGTTCCTAAGTAGTCACTTACCTTGCTTGCAACTTACCCCCTGCTACACAGCTTTGACGTACATAATAAATACACAAGCAGTCCCTCCACTCTGCGACAAAGCATCGGAGGCTTGCCCAGCATCGCCACCTCCACCAAGCCCTCCACCCTCGCCTCCCCCCTCTCCACCACCCTCGCCACCACCAAGCCCCCCCCTTCGCCACCACCCTCGCCTCCCCCCTCCCCACCACCCTCGCCGGCACCTTCACCTAGTCCACCCCCCCCACCACCTCCGCCCCGTGTTGTCAGCCGTCCATCTCCCCCTCTTCCCCAGCCACCGAGCCCATCGACCTCAAGCCCTCCACCCCCATCCCCAAGCGTCACCCCTCCGTCCCTTCCTTCAAGGCCACCACCTCACAGCCCGCCGCCCCCCAGCAGCCAACCCTCACCTGTACCCCCAAGTCCCGCTTTCCCCCCGCCCCCAACAAACAGTCCGCCCTCACCATTCCCTGTACCCCCCACACCTTTCTCACCCCCACCCCCCTCACCACTGCCTCCCACTGCACCACCTCCGTCACCTCGACCCCCCTCACCTTCACCGCCTTCACCGCCTTCACCTTCACCTCCACCTCCCTCAAGCCCTCCACCCTTGTTGCCATCACCCCCGCCACCATCACCTCGACCATCCCCGCCACCACACCCCTCATCGCCACCGCCTCCTCCGGTCGTATACTGGGCTTCTTCTGCCTCTGGTCTCAATGTAGGTTCTGTTCTGTGTGTGTGGACGTTGGGTACCCGCCAGCCTGGTAACCGCAGGAGGGGGGTTTGACCTGATAGATAGATAGATGCCATCTTTACTCATCAGACTTTCCTTCTGTCTGTCTGCCTAACGCTAATGATCGTCATCTCAATCTTTGTTTAGGAGTGAACTTTTGGTTCTTGCCATGCCCGTACGCATGTCTACCGCAGCAGCAGGCTTTGCTCCAGAAAGGCGGCTCTGCGGCCCTTATCGTTGGGTCCCCCGGGCTTAAGTTTCGGACCTCACCCAAGGCCTGTAAACCCGCAGCTGACGTTAGCTGGGTGCCAACGATAATGGTGAGTACACGCACAGTTGTCGGATAGAAACCACGTACAACTCCTGCTCTTTCCCATACGCGCCCGTTACCAGTGATAATGATGATTGCTCTTTTTGGTCCCGCACGCCGGCCCCAGACTCCTCGTTACGTGGTGGCCTATTTCAACCATACCCCCGCTGCCCGGAGCGGCCAAGTGGCGTCAGTGGTGCTCTACGTCACCAACAAGGGCACCCTCAACCCCGCCATTGCCTCCATTGACCTGCTGCTACGGTTGGCGACCGCCGGTGGCGCCAACAGCAACAGCCGTGAGCAGGTGGGGATTAGCAGGACCGCTGTTGCACTTGCGGCCAGTCTCCTTGACATACGCATGCATGCAACCCAAAGGGGGGGTGCGGAGGGACTGGAAGGTCCCTGAGGTGGGGCGGGAGGGGAGGAAAGGGGTGAAACGTTCATAGGTGCCCGGCGGGGAGGGGGGGTTGGTGGCTGGAAGGTAAATTAAATGCATGGGGCAAGGGAGGGGGGGATGAAGGGTACCCGGAGGGGGGCAAGGGAGGGCTGGAACCCGTAAGCCATCGGGACGAGCAGCATGGATAGGAGTTCGTTCTGAGATGTCGTAAACTAGAGGGTGGATGAAGATGTTGGTAAAAAGCCAGGAGGGCACAACAGGAACGAGAAAGGGAAGTGGGGACAGGTAGGGGGTGAAAGTCGCATTCATTGGATGCAGGTGACCGCCGGGAGAATTCCAATTTGCGTAGTCAACCCTGCTAAGCCCGCTGCCTGCTTCGGCTCCCACAAAACATCTCCAGGACCCGTGCCATTTACACTTCACCTCTTTTGCCCCCTGCCACATTGTCCCTCTTGCCCCTTTGCCACGTCACCTACGTACCGTACCGCACCGCCGACCACCCAGCAGTGGGTGACTCTTTACAGCGGCAGCACAGGTCAGCAGCTGACGTGTCCGGGACTTAACTACTTTGCCGTATCTGCTGCCGCCGCGATGACGTCAGCTATTGAGTTCAACACGGCCGATGTCATTGCCGTACGAATTAACGTCAATGGTGCAACCGTTTCCATGAAGTCAGAACTGCCGCACCTGGCAGCAGTGGGTCTGCAACTTTCGTGAAGGGTAAAAAAAACAGATGCGGATCAATGCAACTTACCTTGAGCGGTTCTTCATGGCGATGAATCTCGTCGTCACGCTTCTATCTTGTTGGTCGAACATCTTAATTTATAGGTTTATTCGCACCGGAATCCCACCCATCCTGATGCTTGTTCTGTGGGTTTAGCCCTAATCCGTCTATTGTATCTTCTCTTGTGGTGTCAAGTTCGGCAGTGTCATCGGTGTCATCCTAGCCATTCATGAGGAATTTGCTTGTTTCCGGTGTCGTTGCATTCTGCCTTGCACTGAACGCACCGGTGTCGTTACGTTGCGTTATGCGTTGCAGTCAACCCGTAATAACACGTACGGCAATCCCTCTTCGCTTTAGTTGCTGCAAATTACTGCCGCTGCGCTAAGCGGTAATGCAGCTTGCTCGTTCATACGTTTGTTAAGAAATCTGGCCGCAGTCGAAACGTACTGTGTACCGTTTTGCGTGCCTTGTTGTTAGCGTTTGCCTATCTACCTATTCATAGCTTGCGTGCTGGCTGGTGGGCGGTTGGAGACTGCGCAACATGTTTACTGCTGCGTTGGTGTTACGTGGGTCGTGTGTTCCGTGTATCGTGACCCATGGGCCAGTGGGCTCAGTTAATATTACACTTACTGGCTTCGGTTGTCCTGGTGTACAGGAAACGGACACAATCCCACCGTCGGATGTGGGGAAAACATCTTACACCTCTCACAGCTATTCCCCTTTACCACACACCAGGGCTAAGTCCGGCGTAGTATAATACTAATACTTTGTAATGACATGTCCTACCTGCTCGTTGCCTACCGGTACCCATTTCCTGGCTTCAATGCAACATGGGCGGGCCGGTCGGGAGGAGGGCGTTACTGCGTGAGGACAATTCTACGTGTTGGGGGTTGTTGGCCATCCGTTCTGAAGCGCAGAGCATGTTGGGTGGGGAGCTGTACGTAGTATGTATTAACGGTAGGCGGCGGGCATGCTACGACATACAACAGAAAGATCATGGTTGCTGACTACCCCCCGGTGCTTTTAAACTGGAAAAGATAAATCGTTTCCACTACCACCTTGCTCCTTTCTCCCCTTTCTCCTCGTAAAATGTCAACCCTCCCGCTTTCCTCCTGTATCCTTGCGCCCATCGCAGGCTTCGCCGACGCCAACCCGTACCCTCTGGCGGCCCCTTCCGGCTATAAAGCCTTCTACAGAAATGGCTCCTTCAGAAGCAGTAGCCCCTTTTCCTCCTGCCTCGCCCACTCCTTAGCGTCCCTACCTTTCCTCTCCGTCCTCTTCCATCCCTCCCAACACTCCCCTCTCTCCCGCCCACTCGCTCCCTTGCTGTCCAGGCCCAGCGGCCCTCTATCCCGCCCTCACCGCTACTGCCCCCGCCCAATGCATTAATCTATAGGTGGCGCCCCTAACGGCAGGCGTGCCCCATGCAGCTCTCAGTGCCGCAGCCACCCAGCAGCTCCATATCGATCAGCTCCTCGTTCTTCGCCTTAACAGCCACCGTGACCGCCACCATCATCTGCAGCTCAGATGATGGCAGGCGACCTCAGGGCAGCCGCCGCCTATCCTCGCCACATCACCCTCGTGCCCTTGTCCTCTGCCCTCCGTCGTATTCAGGGCGCCTCAGGTAAGTGACCCATGGGTCACATGCACACGCAGGGTTGTGAGGGCCTGGGTTTGGGGTTGGGTTTGGGTGGCGACTTTGGGAGAGGGTGATGGCCCCTGTGGTGTGCAACTTGTCTCCATTCATTGCGTGCTCCTTTATACACGTTTCCCACCCTTCCTTCCCTCCAACCTAGCTTCTACCCCTAAGCCCACTTTCATCCTCATTCATTCCCTCCCGCTCTGCTGGCACTACAGATCCAGCCCAACCCCTCAGCTGCAAATCCTGTGCACTCACTGCCCGCCATGCCGCCTCCTCCTCCACTTCCTCCCCCTCAGACGGCGCCCCTCCTACCCTTCCTCTCCTCTGCCCTACTAGTCCGCCGCCGCTGCCATCCCCCCTTCACCGCTGCCGCCCCCTCTTCCCCACCCTCAACGTCGCCGCCGTCGCCTCATCCTATGCCGCCTCATCCACCACACACCGACCCCGCCGTCCCCCTCCCACCACCTATCCCCGCCTCCTATCCCTCCTGTCCCGCCCTCATTTTAGTTTTGGTTCTATGTAACCACCACCCCCGCCTTTACCGGCGGCACCATGGAGGACTCCAGGCCACCGGGTATCCGCTTCCGCTTCCGCCTCCAGCTACTAGCTAGAGAGGAGGAGGGTGAGGGGCCTGTGCGGGTGTATGGAAGTGGAGGGGCGTATGCTGCTGCGCTGGCGGCAGCGGCATCACCGCAGCTGCCGTTGCTGCCAAGGGCAGCCGCGGAAACCCCTTCCTGACTCCATCGACCCCACCCTTTACCCGCCGCCTCCTTAGCCGTCGCCGCCACACCCGACGCCACAGGCTGCTGCTGCTACATGCAGCGTTTGCAATGAAGGGAGCTACACCAATTGTTGTATATCCCCGGAGCCCGTAGTACACACATACGTTTTCTGACGTTCAGCCGCTGCCGTACGGTGTCTTAGATTGGTGTGGCGCCCAGCCCACTCCACTACAGCCACAGCCGCCGTTTCATTTGCCTCCTCTGCTGCCCCCGCCCCGCCATGGCCCGGTGCCCTGCGCAGTGCAGCACACCTGATGAGCTCTGAACAGCAAGAGCAGGGGGGGTGGGAACAAGGGTTGCGCTGCTGGGTTGCTGCGGCAATCTAGCTTGATTTTGTGATGTACAGCGGTACGGGTCCTTATGGATTGTCGTACCGGCATTATGGCCGTGTCTGGAATCCCTCGTGTGTTAACCATTGGTGTACTTCGGTTGTCGTCGGTTATGAGGCTGTAGACTGTAACAAATATACTGGTACCGGTATACACCCGCCATTGCACCTTCCAGGCAACGGATAAACAGCAGCGGATAGACAAACTTCCAAGCAATAGATACACAGATCACATTCAAAGCACAGGGTCTTGCCCCAAAATCGTGCCGTGCCACAGTTTTGCTGCACAGTGTACGAACATGTGTGCATCACAGCCACATACCGGCACATGACTGTTATGCCATCGTCGTACCACTTACCACAGTTGAGTCGTTTAGCATCTCAATAGCAAAGCTGTGCATACACACCTACCAAGGGTGCGCACCTGGGGTTTTCCATCGTCCTACAGACTGGCGCAAAACACAGCATTTGGCGTCTGCGGTTTGAGGCCGAAAACTCGCTGACAGGGTTCGAAAGAGTACGGGGCGCATACGCTTTACCTTCATCTTCTGCGACAACTTCTAGGTGGTGATGTGAGCCACGTAACCTGCACACAAGGAATGGCTGCTGTGATCTGACTGGGCATGAGCGGTGATCTAGGAGAACAGCGTGGCCCAGCCCACGGTTACGCCGTACTGCACGATTGTCGCGCGCACGGTTCGCCAGCTAAAGCGATGAACTTATTCATCTTTGTTATCTATGCAATTCCTAACTTTATTGTTGTCAATAAGGTCTCCTTATATACAGGTTGACTTGTTAGTTCCAGTCACTGCCCATACCAGCACCTCTAGGCACTCGTAGTTGAAGCTAACAGGGCTGAAAAGTCTATAAGACCTTGCTTCCTTAGGTTTTGGCTATTATGGCGGCTTTTGTGCCAGTAAATCCTAAGCCTTTCTTGCAAGACCTGACCGGAAAGCAAGTTATTGTTAAGCTTAAATGGGGAATGGAGTACAAGGGCTACCTGGTGTCCACGGACGCGTACATGAACTTGCAGCTAGCGAGCACGGAGGAGTACATTGACGGCCAGTTCACAGGGCAGCTCGGCGAGGTCCTCATCCGCTGCAACAATGTCCTCTATCTACGAGGTGTTCCAGAAGAGGACGAGCCCATGTCCTAGGCACAGTTACTCCTAGCGATCGGAGATGCGCAGTTAAGGCGCCAACGGCTGGCTACAATGAGAGGAGGAGCGCTACAGTCTTCGCCATCGCCAATGGTTGATACTGCTTTGCGACGTTGGTGTATACTTCGTTGCGGCAAGCCTGCATGGCCATGGGCGTCAAGTTGGTGGCAGCTTCTTGGTGATAGCCGAACACGACCTTCTTGACAAGATACTGGCGGGGGCCGTCTAGACAGACGAGTGTAGCTGCGGTGAGCGGCTTGGCTGACGAACAACCTGCTGCTGGGTTTCGTTGCTTTGGGGATGGCGGCTATTGCAGCCGGGCTGAACTATGACGCTGCCCGGGTCAGGGGCTTTTATAGATACCCCCTAACAAAGGTCAGCACTGTGCACGCTATCCGGGTTGGCTTTGGCATTCGTACAGTTGAGGGTGTGGCTCCCCGATGTAAGGGCATTGTATGACGATATGCTTGACGACGTGGGGATGCGTGCTGCATGGTCGGAAACAGCAAAAGGGGCATGGTTACTGCTCTTCTGCTTGGTGCACGCCGCGCACCGAGGTTGTTGCCGGGTTGAGGTAGTTGTACTACCGAACGTACGGATGAGGGGTGGACCGTTGGAACGTTTGGGTGTCTCTCACCCTTGTAACACGGTGATTGGGTATTGGTTTCGCCAATGGTGCGTTTCTTGCCGGTTTGCAACCCTGGTTGTCTCAGCTTGTCCTCCATACAGCCAAGTGCCGTACAACTAACTGCACAAAGACAGACTGACGAATACCGGAAGTATTATTCAGGGGTATCCGGAGCCTGCTGATATGATTGGGGAATCAGTGCCGTCTGAACAGCGAATATCATGTACTGATTTGTTGATACCTGCCATCCTCCACCGCAACCAAACAGCCAACAACCAACAACAACATTTCCTTGAGCTGTTTACTCAACGGCGCGGTAACAACAACGACGATACCAACAGAACCCCCCCCCCCCAACTGCCTGCACCCCTCGCCACCTGTTAACGACTCGTTGTCAGGCCGCCTAAAGCCGCATAGCGACGCAGTACAGATTGAGATGACAAACATCATGCTACCATGCTACTACTCGTAACAAAAGACCTGTCCTAAAGCAAGGGACCTCCATGCTACGACTGCTGCTGCTACCACTTTGCACCCATGTGCTTCCCAGTGCCCTCCGCCCACCCACACCAGCTCTCAGCACCCATCCACACCATGGAAACCTCCCAACTGCCGCGGACCCCAAAGCGGGAACACATATCTCTTTTTCTCCTCTGGCACTGTCCTCCCCTCAACCGCTCCCCCTCTTCACTCCACGTCTTAATCCCCCGCCCGTGTCACCATCCAGCAACACCATGACAACATGACATGGAGTCACAGCAACACCCGTTCTACACCCGGCGGGCTCATGCAGCTGCGGGTCGATGTACGACATGCAATGCAAGTAGTTTGATGCCGTACCCGCGGGAGTTGACCCACACGAATTGCGGCCACACCGCCACGTCCAGTACGGAAGACGAGGAGACGCCCTGTTTGGGGTCAAAGACCATACCAAAGCATAGTGAGACCATACCAAAGCATAGGAGAAGTTAGGGCAAAGCAATGAAAAGAGGGGGGAGACAAGGCAGTAAAGAACACATGACAGTAGAAAAGCAGTAGCACGTTAGCCATTAGGGAGGGATTGGAGCGGGGAAGGAGGACGGAGGCATGAGGAGCCCATACCAAAGCATAGGAGAAGTTAGGGCAAAGCAATGAAAAGAGGGGGGAGACAAGGCAGTAAAGAACACATGACAGTAGAAAAGCAGTAGCACGTTAGCCATTACGGAGGGATTGGAGCGGGGAAGGAGGACGGAGGCATGAGAAGCCCATACCAAAGCATAGGAGAAGTTAGGGCAAAGCAATGAAAAGAGGGGGGAGACAAGGCAGTAAAGAACACATGACAGTAGAAAAGCAGTAGCACGTTAGCCATTAGGGAGGGATTGGAGCGGGGAAGGAGGACGGAGGCATGAGAAGCCCAGGAACAAAGGGCCGAATCGCATGCTACCTGGCTTCCACAGTCCACACACTCTGCAAACCAGAGGAGTCAGCAGCACCCAGCCACTCAGCTCACCCCCATCAGGGAACACAAAAACACAACCCATGTGACAGGTCCCTCACCGGCAGTTGCGCCTCAATCCGCGCCAAGTTATCCTCCTTGATCCGCTGCAACTCAGGGTCCGCAGCACCAGCACCAGCACTCCAAACGGGCTGGGTCGAGCTGCTGCTGCTGCTAGCAGGAATGTACGACTCCAGGGGTGGCCAGGGCAGGGCCCGGTACGACGCCTTCTTCTTGTCGTACGTTGACAGTGTGGCCAGGGGCTCCCAGGAGAGCTGCCGGGGGGCGGGTCCGGGCTGCAGGCGGGCGTGCAGCTGCACCGTGAGGCCCTGTGTGTGTGTATTGGGGGGGTGGGGGTGGGGGCGAGGGAGGGCGTGTGTATTGGGTATGGAAATGTCGCAGTAGTGTATGTACGAGCAATCGTACACGTGCGAACCAGCGGAGTGAGGAGAGCAACAATCCAAGCAGTAGCAGTGATTAGAAGCGGCATACAGCCAATGATCACAGCAACGCAACAAGGGAGACATGCGGCCTTGTCCCTCCGTGTTACAAGAGGTGGCACGAGGGCACGAGGGCACCCAAACAGCAACAGCCCCCAACTCTCTGTGTTGTTGCCTGTCCAACCAGTCGGCAGCAGCCCCGACCCCATCGCACCACCACCACCTCCACCATCACCTCCGCTACCCCTCCACGCGCAATTACTTTCTCCCTCCTTACCCCACTCCCACCACTTCCACACCCCCCCACCCCCTCCTGACCTTCTTCTTGGTCTTCCCGTCCTCCCGCCCGCACGAGTAGAGCTGCGCCCGCGCGGCCGCATCCCCGTTGGCCATCACCGCAGCCTGACAGAGGGGGCGACAGCAGCAGCAGCGGCAGCAGAAGGGGAGGGAAAGGAGGTTGGGAGTTGTGTTAAAATAACTGGCCGCGAGGCGAAAGGAGGGGTGTGTGTGTGTAGGACAACTAGGGTTAGAAGGGGAAAAGTGGGTGAAGCATAAGTGTAGCAACGGAGTCGGAGAAGGGGGGAAGAGCAACACGATGTACCACTCGCGACACTTCCCCGAAAACTTTACTTAACTTTTTGCCGTACTTTGCCGTACGCCGTACCCACCTGCCTCGCCAGCCCGTCCAACAGCTCCACCAACTCTCCAAACTCCTCCGCACTCGTCTCGCCGCCGCCATTGCTGCTGCCGCTGCTGCTGGTTGCACCCAACGCCGCAGCGATGTCGCTGCTACCGGTACTGTCCGCGGATGCCTTTTTGGATCGAGATCTGGAACCACCGGACTTCCCTCCGGCAGCGGCGACAGGCGCGGGTGTGAGGAACATGTCCCACTTGGGCGCGTGGTTGTCCTTGTAGGCGTAGCTGCGGGTGGGGTGGGGGTGGGGCCGGGGTTGGGGAGTGCGGGGGTGAGACAGGAGGGAGGAGAAGGATTGGGAATGGGATTCTAGGGTTTTAATGGATGGGGAGAATTGCAGGGTAGGGGCGTGTGACATGCGGAAAGCGTGCAGGGTGGTAAGTGGTGTGCAAGGGTAAAGCAATGGGAGGAAACCCTGCTGCACTCCTACTCAGCCTCACCCTTGATGTCTCTAGTTGCCGTACAACCCTTTAGTGGAAAACGAAATAAAACCTAAAACCAAAACACCTTGCGCTCTGTTCTCCGACCCCTCCAACAAACCCAATCCCCTCCCTCCTGGCGCATGCATCCCACACCTGGCCTTGTTCATGTACCGTAGCTTCACCCCCCGCAACACAACCACAAACGGCAACAACTGCCGTACAAGCTGCGGTTGCGGTTGCTGCTGCGGTGGCGGTAGTTGTGGTAACGGTGCAGGCAACCCCCTGGGCGGCCACTGCTGCTGCGGCCACTGCTGTTGCTGCTGCGGCTGTGGCGGCGGATGCAGCAGTGGTTGCTGCTGTGAGGAGATTGCACCCGGGTGCTGCCACAGCTGCTGCTGTTGTGGCTGCTGCTGTTGTTGCCAATGCGGGTGGTGTTGCTGCTGTTGCTGGTAGGATGGCTGTTGCGAGGAAGACGACTGAGGCGGCACCGCTGCTTGGCTACTGGAACCCCACTGCTGCTGCGATCCCTGCGGTTGCTGCTGCCATTGTCGCGGCTGCTGCTGCTGCCAGTGTTGCGAACCCCACTGCTGCTGCTGTTGATACTGCGGCTGAGAATACCTACTTACCGGCTGCTGCTGCTGCTGTTGCTGCTGTGAAAGTTGTTGTGACCCGCACGATTGCTGATCCAGCGCCCCCGCCGCCGCTGCCGCCCCTCCTCCTCCTCCCGCTGCTCCAGCCACAGCCCCAGCAGCGGTCGCGGGCAGTGTCTGTGGCAGCGTCACCCGCTCCCGAAGCACATCAAACACCCGGAAGTCCCCTCCTCCTCCTCCTCCCCCTCCTGCTGCTCCACCCCGCTTGAGGTGCAGTCCGCCCTCCGCCGCCATTTCACGCAGCTGGGCGAGCGACAACACCACACCACCACCACCACCGCCGCCAGCAGCAGCAGCAGGACTAGCACCGGCAACAACACCCCCAGTAGCCGCCCCCCCTTGCAGCTGTTGTTGCTGTTGTCCCGGTGCGGTTGGTGGCAGCAGGGAGGGCGGCAGCAGGGGCAGCACAGCGGCCTCCAGGTGGCGGGTGAGGGCGTCGGTGCGGGCGGCCTGACTGGTGAGTCCCAGCTGGTGCAGCGGACCTGGGGGGCAGCAGGGAGGAGGGGGAGCGGGCAGCAGGGGGAGCGGGTGGGTGTTTCTCATACATATCCCGCCACATCCTCGTCCGCAATCCGCTAACCCCATCCTTCCTCACAGCCAGACAACTCCCTCCCTCCCTCCTCTCCCCCCCTTTCCCCCCACCTGCCGCCAGCACAGGCGCCCCTCCACCGCCCCCCACCCTGCTGCTGCTGCTGCCTCCGCCTCCGCTGTACATCAGGTGCAGGTGCGGCAGGGAGGGCTGGCCCAGCTTGTCGTACAGCACCCGCCACACAGCCGCCAGGTCCTCGGCATCCACTGCGGCCCTGTGTTGTGTGCGGACGAGAGGGGCAGCAGGCCCAACGTGGTTTATGAGAATGGCAAACAAGACGGCAAGCTCGGGGGGAGGGAAGGGAGGCACAGGCGGGCAGAGGAGCCAGTGGGAGTTGCTGCTATCCGTGTATCGACCCACTATGCCACCCCCCCACCAGGTTGTGTACTGTTTACACTCATGCTACCACCCCCCCACCACCACTGTCCCTCCCCCCTACCTGTGCGCCCTGCCGTTGCTGGTCACCCCCGCCCAGGCCTTGAGGGCCTCCATGGAGAGGGAGGTGCGGGGCCGGGGTGCTGAGGGGCACGAGTGGGGGGGGGCAGGAGGGGGAAGGAAAATTATAAATAAGTGCAACAACAAAATCCCAATCCCGAATCCCGAGGGGGGAGGAGGGGGGAGGAGGGGGGAGGAGGGGGAAGGAGAAATGGGGGCGCTGGGGGGAGAGGAGGAGGCGCGAGGACATTGGAGGGGAGGTGGGGGCGGTGGAGGGGAAGGCAGGCGGCTCCCGGTGGGCAAGCCGGCACTGGCTAGCGCAGCAACACATGCAGGGCACATGCGGACCACCTAGGAGCCGCATGGAAGGCATCAGCCAGCCCCACCAACCCTCCCCTGCCTCTACTCCCCCCCTTCCTCCCAACGCACGGGTCTCTTGTCCTTCTCAACACATGACGTGTTCTCCCCCCCCACACACACTCACCCTTGCCCCCAGCAGCAGCAGCAACCACGCCTTCCTCCTCCTCTGCCGCCTCCTCGCCTTCCTCGCCCTCCTCCTCCAACTCACCAACCCCGTCCCCGTCCTCCTCCTCATCATCATCCTCTTTGCCGCCACCTGCTGCCGATACTGCTGCTGCTGCTGCCGATGATGATGCCGGGGGTGGCATCCTCATTGTGGGAGCGGGTGTGGGTGCGGCAGGCGGCGGCAGGGTGGGCTTCTCACCCTTGGGCCACAGCGCCCTCGCCACCTTCAACGAGTCCACATACCTGGAGGAGGGGGGAGGGTCAGGAATGGAAACACATACACCGGCACGTGGCAGAGGCTACCTAACAGCAGCAGCAGCCCGCATGGCTCCCACTCCTCACTGCTCCCTCTCCGCCCCTAGCCTCCCCCCCCACCTAGCACACACACACACACACACCAGGCCAGTTTTCTTAACACACACCAGGCCAGTTAATTTAACACACACACCTAGCTTCCCTCGCTCCCCCACCCCCGGTTACCCCTCATCGTCATTTGCAAATTTCCACCCCCCCCCCGGGTTCTTTCTCTTTACCTTCAGTTCATCCCCTCCCCCACTTGCACCCCCCCACTCCCCCGCCCCCGCCCCTCTCACCACCAGTCCTGCGGCCAGTCCACTCCCACTCGCCGGCACTCGCACCACAGCACCGGGAAGTCGAATACGGCGCCGTTATGAGCCAACAACACGGGGACCACCTCCACCTCCACTTCCACCTCGCTGCTGTCACCTGCCCCCGCCCCTGGAGCTGCTCCCATGACTCCCCCCCCTGCAGCAGCAGCTCCCTGTGAAGAGCAGGCGGCGGCGGTGGTGGTACTGGCGGCGGCGCGAGCAGCAGCAGCAGCAGTAGCAGCAGCAGTAGCCTGGCAGCGGCTGCGGACGAAGTCAAAGAGCTGCAGGATGGCGGGTCCGGTGGGCGGCACGCCGGGGGCACTCACCTCGGCATAGGTGATGCCTGGTGGGAGGGAGGAGGAGTTGGGGTGAGGTGGGTAGAGGTCGGGGAGTAGAGGGGGGTAGGGGTTTCAGAGGGGGGGTGGGTAATCAGCTATTTACAGCGTTAATAGGATGCAGCCTTATTGCTTTCCGTGAGGACTCGGTCTCAGAAAGGGCCGCTAACCACCTCCCATGCCTTGCTGCTCCCAGTCGTCTCCATCAACTGAAGGGAGGGTGTGAAGAAGGAGGAAAACACACCAACAAACGACCGCTGATGGCTGACGTGTCGCGCATGCGGCGACAACCGCCCAGCGATTGGTATTAGATCCCAATCAACCTCATCATCAGCAGAGCCGTACCGTTGTGTGCCTCCGTCTTCTTGTCCTTGTACGCCCGCCCGCAGTTCACAAGTGTGCTGAACACCGCGCCACCAGCACCCGCAGCACCCGCAGCACCGCCACTGCCGCTTCCCGCAACACTGCTGCCACTGCCGCTGCTGTCGCTGCTGCCACTGCCCCTTCCTCTCCCCGGCGCCTGCTGCAGGTGACGCGAAAGGTCCAGGCCGCCGCCCCCCGAGCAGCAGGTGCTGTTCCCGTCCAGAGGGCCCATGTCCACCGCAGCGAGCTCAATCAGACGACACTGGTGCGTTGGGTAGCGGGTAGCGGGTTGGAGGGGGTGGGGGTTGGAGGGGGGTTGGAGGGGAAAGGAAGGAGGGACGGCAGATGTCAGGGTCAAGGGGCGCCATTAAGGGCAAGGATGGAACCGTGCGCCGTACACCCTACGCATACACCCTGTCGTACACCCCGCCGCAAACCCCGGCATTCACCCGGTAAACCCCTGTCGTACACCTGCGGCTGTATCGTACCTGGTCAGGTCGGGGGAACCGCTTCTGGTTGCTGCGAGGGGGTGGGATGTGGGAGCGCGGGAGCGGAAGGAGGCAGGGGAGAGGGGTAAGAGGGTGCGAAGGTGCAGGAGAAGCAAGCAAGTATTCCTATTGGAACCCCTCCCCTCCCCTCACTTCCAGAATATAGGCTTTCTTTCCCCCCTTGCCATTCCCCCCTACTCACTCTGCTCTCTTCATCTCCCGCATGAAATCCACCGTCTCCACATCAAACGAGAAGAGCTGGAAGACACGCTTGCTGCGGGCCCCGCTTCCTTCGCCGCAGGCGGCCTCCGGCCCCCCCTCCGCCCCACCACCCCCCGCAGCAGCAGCGGCCTCAGCGCTCCCCGCAGCAGCATCAGGCAGCGGCTCCCACCTGCCCGCCAGAGGGGAGGGGGACCACAGCAGGCGGGCAGTGAGCAAGCGGTTTTGGCACTCATCTAATTACACATCGGGCCATGGGGGTTTCAGCGGGCCTGGTATCCATACACAGACACGTTGCAAGGCCTCAAGGGCGTGGGTTGGTAACAGGTTTATCCACACCGCCTCGTACATGCCCCTGCCTTCGCTCTGCCCGCCCTGCCCTACCCGCTCTGCCCGCCCTGCCCTGCCCTACCCCCGCCTGCTGCCCACCTGCCCTAACTTCCCCTTTCCCCCCCCCCCCCTTATCCAACCCATGGTGAAGCCCCGTCTTCCAGCTCGTCAGTTTCCTCTTTCTACCCACTTGATCCAGGCTCCCCCCGCCTGCACCCGCTCCGCCTCAGTCAGCTGCCGCCACAGCAGCGAGCCGTCAGCAGTCAACCCCTGCGGCAGCAGGCCCTTCGCCGCCGCCAATGTCTTTTTGCCGCCGCCGCCGCTGTCCCTTGATACGTCACCGGTGGCGCCGCCAGCGGCAGCGGCGGTACGTGGCGGCTGCGCGTCTCCGCGAGCAGCAGCAGCAGCAGACGAGGACGCCGAGGTGCCACCCAGGAGAGCTTTGGGCGGCCGACCCCGACGAGGCGCCGCCGTCGGAGCTGCTGCCGCCACCACCGCCGCTGTCGTGGTGGTGGTGCCGGCGGAAGCGGCGGAGGTTGGTGCCGCTGCCAGCTGTATCATGCTTCCGCCGACCTCCGCCGCCGCCTCCAGCGAAAACGAGGCGGAGGTCGCTGACGTCAACGGAGCAGCGGCCGCTGTAGCAGCAGCTGCTGGCGCTGCCCCCGTAAGGGCCATGCGTGCTACCTCCCCCGCCAACACCTCCACCTGCACGTCTACTTCCCCGTAGTAGTAGGCACGTCGGGAGGTAACGACTGCCGTACGAGGTGCGGCTGTTGACGTAGGAAGGTCGTCGTTGACGTTGCCATTGCCGTTGGCGGTTGCGGCGTTTGACTTGGCCGGGGAAGTGGCGGCGGGGTAGGTATCCGTACTTGCTGCTATATTGCCGCCACCGCCGCCGCCGCTTCCTTCCCAACGGCTCGTGGCAGCTGTGTCCGTTGCTATTGCTGAAGCGGTGTCAACTGCCCCCGCCGTACTTGCTGCCCTCATCCAGTCGTCAGCATTGGGGACAGCGGCGGTTGTGCAGTACTGCCGTGTCGACTGACGATGCCCAATAGCACCGCTTCCGCCGCCGCCGCCACCCTCGCCGCTGCTAAAGCTGGATCGAGCAGTCCAGCCGGACTCGTTCGACGACCCGCCGAGGGATGATGGAGGTTTGGGGGAGGGCTGGGGCGAGGAGGAGGAGGACGACGGCGAGGAGGAAGAGGAGTATAGCGAGATGGGGGAATCCGCGTTTCCCCGGCTGTTGATTTTGTTGATGTGATGGAGAGTGGGGCCGGTTGCTGTCGTACCAGCGCTGGCACTGCTAGCGGCAGCAGCAGCTCTGAGGGCCTTACGCCGCTCTGAAAGAGAAACCACTTCACGATCTTCCGTCCAGAGGGAAGTTGTCTGTTGCTGCTGCGGTGGCGCTGGTTCCGTCTGCGTGACGAAGGAGGTAGAGTTGGTCGGCGCCGACGTTAACTGCGGCTGCTGTGCATTCTGAACCCGTACGGGATAGGCATGTTGTACGACACATGGCTGCGGAGGCACTGCGGAGGCACCATGCGATGAAAGCCTACTCGTGGTTTCGGAGGCTGATGGGGGGATGGGGGCAAGTGTAGTGGCAGGAGAAGGATGAAGAGTAGGAGGAGCAGGGACGGCGGCAGGGACGTTCTTAGAGGCGCGTGCGAAGACTTGTTGCAGCGTGGGCTGGTTGGGGTCGGGTGCGGCCTTCTTGCCGCGGCCTCGGGCGTTGGTTCTGGAGCCAGCCGCGGTTCCTCCGGCGCTGCCAGAACCTAAAGATGCCTGGCTATGCTGCATCTCCGCTTGGGGAGTGGCCGCCTGCGCGTCTTGCTGGTGGCTGCGATAGTGGGCGTGGTGCCGAAGCTGCAATGTGTGGTGTCGGTTCCTGGTGACAGTGACCACCAACACAGCAAAGGTAATTAGGATTCCAGGGACTACAATAGTGAGAAGATGTAAGACAAGTAGCTAGCAGGGACAGCCCAAGGAGGCAATTCTCACGCCGCTAACTGCTTTACACAAAAAACGATTGTTGCGGCGTTCTGCACAAATACATGCATAATATGCGTAGTCAATTTTACCTTACACTACCAAAGGACCATGATGATTGGCGGAACGTCACCTTGCCTGGTGAGCAAGGGCTTTGCCGAGCTACTTTCGCTGCTTGCAGTAGCCTTGCGATCATCTTGGCGCCATTTCGCAATTCAAAAAGTATGGATTGCGATGCTGTAGATGGACGCTACCGGTACACCAGCCGTATAGCGTGCGTTCCTTAACTGCAATCGATTCACTTAAACGAGTTCCTTGGGGAATCCCTGCGTGGAGCGCCGACATTTTTGTAGCATTCATGCCTTCTATTCCATCGCTAGTAATTGATTGTCACTGTGATGACTTTGAACCCAACATGGCTATGACCCCAGTGGCGCGACCGCAGTAGCGACATGCTTCATTCCATAAATCAACGACTGCAATGATGAACACGTCAGTATTTCAGCGGACATGGATGCAGTTTACGCGGCTGGATGCGGAGCCTGGGCCGACGGATTGGCATGGCCGCTCAATCCTGGATTACCCCCTGCTCCTTACCGTCCGATGCTTTGCTACGGGCATCGCAATTTTCCTCGCACATTGGTCCGCGTACGTCCGCTTCGTCCACAGCGTTCGCTCCACAACCCTACGGTGTTTGCTTGCGGCTGCGTCGACCATCAGCTACCTGCTCTGCGTCTTGTACCTTCATCCCTGGCAGCCGTACTGGATTCGGGAGCTGTCCGTTATGCTGGCGCAGCTCTTTGCTTGGAAGGTGTGATTGCGCTTATGGCGCCTGGTAGTGGTGCAACATGATGACATCCACGCGCGCGACTGGTGTAGTGGTGTTGCCATGTATGACGGCTTCGCCAACGCTGACAACGACCGAGCCGCTTTTACACAAGCTCCTTTTCCCATCCAAATCCACGCATTCTCCTCCTCCTCCCTCAGATAGCCGACCTCGTCCTCCTACGTCGCGAGGAGCCCCTGTCGTACGGCTTCTGGGGCTTCATCTTGTACGACGTGCTCGTACTGCGGCCAAAGGCCTTAGTGTTGCCATACGGCAGCAGTGACAATAGCAGCTGCAAGGGACAAGAGCAGCTGAAACACGGCAGCGAAAATGAGAGTATGGTAGGAGCCGAGGCGACAGCGGACCAGTTGGAGAAGAAGAAACAGCGGCTGTCGAAGAACGGGAGTGTGCCGGCGACAAAACCGAATGCCGACATAGCCAGTAGCGCCGGCAACTGTACGGCAAGTAGCGGCAGCGGCGGACTCGGATTGAAGCATCGCTGGCGAGCGGTGCAAGCTGGGGCTCCTTCTGCGGTCCGTACAAGCGCTGGGAGTGGTGACCCGCATGCAGAAGGTGGCTATCGCAACAGCAAGGGCGATACGAGCTGTGTTAACAGCAGCAGCCGCAGCAATGCTTGCACGAATGGCACCGGTGCCGCCCCCGCCGCAAGCCGAGTCGCCGTGCCAATCGTCGCAGACGGTAGCAGCGCAGCTGCAGTCGCTTCTCCCACGTGCCATCGCGCATGTGGACTCGGCAGTACCGGTACGACAGCAGCCGGCAAGGTGGCCGTTGCGAGGTCGTTATTGCTGCGGTTGCGGTTGGCGGTTGTGGTGTGCTGGCGACCGCTTGTGGACATGTTCGTAAGCTACAACGCGTGTGAGGCTGCCAATGCCTACCTGATGCACCGGTAGGCATGGTGGAGTCGTATGACGATGTGCATGGTGGCGCGGTGGAGAGGGCGATGATGCAACCCTGGGGGGGGTGGTGGTGGTGGTGGTGTGATGATGGGGTGAGGGGGATACATGTTCCGCATACATAGGGATACATGTTCCGCATTAGGCTGGATAGTTGGGTTGAGGATGAGGACCAGGGGCGTGCGTACCAAGAGCTGGGGAGCGCCCATGAAACAAGATAGCCTTGCCAGTCTGCGCCCCAACTTCATATCCCGACATCCCTTCTCAGATGACGTGCAACGCTGCCGTGTGCTGTCCGCACGCAGGCCGGCTGAAGACGTGCTGGCCGCTCCCTTGCTGGTGCAGGTGAGGCGGGGTGGGGCGGGCGGTGGCTTGGAGGTAGGAGGGCGCATGGTGGTGGGGGGGGTAGGTAGCATGGTGGGTAGCATAGTCCGGTTGCGGCAGCAGCTCCAGTCAGTGGGTAGCGTCAACCCATGAAACCAGGATTGCTAGCCCTTCTCCTCCTCACCCGCCTTCTTCCTGTGCGTGGTCTCCCATGCCTACTTGCACGCATGCAGGCCTGGCTGAGCTGTTGCTTCGCCGCGGCGCTCTACTTCCACTTGTCGTACTTTTTCTATTCCATGGAGGTAGGTGGGAGAGGAACCGATGCGATCAATGCGCTTTCTAGCTTGACGGACGTTTGACCAAACATTGACCAGGCAACGATCGAGCTTCAACCACCAATTTGTCAGACTTTTATATGGCATTCGCAAGCACTCCTCACTACCCCCCCTTCGCTTCTTCCCTTTTCCCCACTACCGTACCATAACCACACATACGCGTAGTTGTTGTGGCTGGCGGGGTTTGCGCTTGCGGGCGGACTGCGGGCAGAGCGCTGGGAGCCTTTGTTCCGCAGCCCGCACCTGTCGGAGAGCCCGGTGGACTTTTGGAACAACAGGTGGGTTGGGCTGTTGGCAGTTGGCTGGGCTGCTGGCGTGGAAGTGGATGGAAGGAGAGGAAAGGGAGCACGACACAGAGCTGTGATGCCGGTAGGGCAGCATGGGAATATGAGTAGGCGGTGTACAAGGTGCCAGAGGTGAATGTTGCATGGGATGTGAGAGGCAAAGGCATGCGGCTGTGGAGCGGGGGTGGGTCTAGGGAGCAAGGCAGGAGAGCCTTGCGTAGGTGGCTGGCAGACGGTGTCATATCGTACACGCTAGGTTGGTTTGGAGAGGGCAAGAGCATCGTTCTTGGGGGGTAACGGTAACACGAGCACACGCACCCATGCATGTGTCCCGCTTGTCTTTCTTGTGCCCCGCTTTTCAACCATTCGGGATGCGCATGCCCTGCTCCTCCTGCTCCTCTTCTTCTCGGCCCCCGCCTCGGTTCGTTATCGGGTTTCACAGTGTCGTGCGTGACAGTTGGCACAACGACTGGCACTCCAAGGGCAGCGGCATGTGTCGTCTTTCTAATGCTTCCATGGCTAGGCGGAAAGCCTCTTCCACTCGCCATTAGTGGCATGGCATGGCATGTTGTTGATGTTGGCGGCCATCCCGCCGTCCTAACCCTTCGTCTTTGCCCCTCCTTGGCTGTGCTGGCCCCGCACGCGTATCTTTGCTACCCAGGTGGCACCAGGCCTTTCGATGGTGGTGGACCCGACTGGTGTTCCAGCCGTTGCGGGCGGCCCTCAAACGGGGCCTGGACAGATTGGAGGATGCGCCGGGAAGCGGGAACCGGCATGCCTCACTGTGGCCTAAACAGGCCGCCTGCTGGCTTGCAAGGCGGAACCGCAGGCTGATCCTGGCGGGTCTTCCTACGTTGGCGGTGTTTGGCTTCTCGGCGGCTTTCCATGAGTCACTGCTATGGATCAACTTTGGGCGACCCACGGGTCAGTGCGGGTCTCTCTTGGGGGCTGAGAGCAGGTTTCGGACATGGATGCTGCGCCTTGAGGTGAATGGCGTGCCTGTAGGGTGCCATCCTTATCGTGTGGGCGCTGGGCACTGCAGAACTCATTACGTTGCACCTGCAGGCCACGGCACGCCTCTTTGCATACCGCTACATACATACCTGCATGCAAGGTCCCAAGCCATCCGTATACGTTGGCTGGTTGCCTGCATGTGCAATCTTAACGAAGCTCCTGCCTGGCCCCGCATGTGCAGGCGAGCAAGCCCTGTTCTTCCTCTTCCACGGCCTCCTAGTCATAGCCCAGCGAGGTCTCGAGGCTGTCCGGGCCCCAGCAGCAGCAAGCACCGGTACTCGGCACGTAAGCAAACAGCCAAGCCGGGCCGCAGCCAGATCCAAACCCTCCCGATCCAAACCCGCAGCGCCCAAGATGTTGCTATTTAGGGCGACCGCAGTAGCAGCTAGGGTTCTGCGTGTCGTACTGTTTATGGGCCTTATGAGCTTTACCTCTGTGATCTTCTTTAGGCCGTGGTTTCGGAGCTCGTACCACAGGGAACTGCGGGTACTGCTGTACGGCCCCACGGGCTGGGCCGTACGGGTGTGGGTGCTGGGGCTGCCGGCTGAGAGCGTACGGTTGCTGTGGTAGTAACTGTGGTCCAGTTGTGCGCATGAGGAGGTATTTATTGCGGCCTGACAGGTGACCATGGAGACGATACGACTTGGGTAAGGGCAATGTTGTCGCTGCCGTCCTTGGACCTTGTTTTGAATTAATCTATTGCATTTTGTACTTCGTGGGGGCACATCGTGATCTTATGTTTCTTATTTACAATTGGCAGTGCGGTGCGATTACCGGCGCCGTGAGCGTGGCGAAACGTGTGAGGGGCATCCAAGCCATCCCATATTCCCATTGCCGTGTTTCCGGGTGTGCTGGCCGGCATGGCAGGTGGCGCGGCGCCCGCGCAGGTTGGATGCGTACGAAGCGCGGTGTCAGTGAGCAGCTGGAAGGGGAAAACGACGGTACTGCTGCCCCGGTATTCCGAGGACCGGTGCCGGAATGTCGCTGCTTGAGGAGCCTCACAGGTTAGGGAGATTGGGGCAATGTTTGGTGACGCAAGCCTCAATTGGTTGAAGAAGCTATTGCAGGAGCGCGGAGGAGGGTGCACGGCGTAGGAGGACGCTTGGGTGTGAGAGGGCGCGGGTCCATATGAGCGCTGCTCACCTCGTTTTAGCACTGTGCGGGAGGATGCCTTGATGTGAGGTTTCGGGAGCTGTGCCGTCGTAGGTGTTACACTGCGCCTACCCAGCACCCACCTAGCACGGCTAAAACCATCTGAAGCTTTTGCAAGGGCAGGCTGAGCCTTGCTGCTGTAGCCAACATTCCTCATTCTCATCCTCATTCATCATCATCCGACAACCCAACGCCGAGTGTCCCTGAACTTCCCGACTGCCGCATGCACAAGCGCTGACGTCCGCCATAATGCTCGGAACATTGACGGTATCAGTACGTCAATCCACACACGGTAAAGGCACCGGATAGCCGTACGAACAGCAGGGTGGGTTTCCCATTGGTGAAACCAATGCCGCCAATACTACCACGATCTACACAACCGGTTGTCCCTGCATGTTTCATGCATGGCGGCACATCCACATGCAGAGGAACCGGAAAGCCCGGGCTAGCTAGCCACGGATCGCTTGTTTGCAAGCACACGGCTTCCCGCATGGGCATGCCGTTAATGCGTGCGTGCAACACGAACACCTGGTGGGCTGCACCCCTATCCCTGGCGGGCTCCTCGTTTGCTTTGCTGCTTCTGGTCTGGCTGGTATGTTGCTGGGTTGGCGATGGCACCCTGCTTTGGCGATGAATCGTACGACAGGATTGCTTTGTTGCTGATGCCGCTTCATGTGCCGTACGAGGGGCCGCGGTCTGCATGGCGTTGGCGTGGAGGACCAGGCAGGCGATGATTTCTCCTTTGCAAGAGCACTCGTGTTTGACAGGGCCGTCGGGGCTGGCAGGTAGTGGTGCCTGCTGGATAGAGCGGGGCGCGTACCAGGTGAGGGCAACACAACACCAGCAGCGTCTAGGTCACGACGTTTTATATGTCATGACCTAGACGTTAAGTCCGTGATGGCCTACCGGTATTGAAAGAACAAAACCCAAAGTTTTTGTGCTGCAGGAACACCACGCGTGCAAGCCTACCTGGCGTGGATGGCCTGTTGCAGGTAAGCATGCTGCGCTCAGCAGGGTGCGCCAAGTAGTCAATCAGTCTCGGGGGCAGCTGAAGGCAAGAACGGCCCGTTGCTGTGTCATGGACTTCGCGCCTGCAGCTAGCTGTTGAAGTACCGTTGCCGTTGGTTACCTCCAACGGCTGTCTGTACGGATGGCTGTTCCACTGTTTGCTTTTCGTTGGCAGGGCGGCAGCAACGGGGGCTTCCAAGACCCGATGCGCTGCCCTTCGCTACTGTTGCCTGGTTCCAAGTCTGGATCCAATGCTTGCCGTACATTCCTCTTCTCACCCACGCGGCCAAAACCAGGCGACAGCCACACCCGCCAAGGCAATGGCGCTCCCAATCCAGTCGCCTCGATCTGGTCGGTCGCCGTCAACAGCCCAGCCCCAGCCGTAGCTCATGGCAATGAAGATGCCGCCGTATACGGCGTACACACGTGCGAAGCTGGCACCCTCAGGTTGGAGAGTAGGGATGAGACCATATGCGACGAGCACGATGGCACCTGCAAAACACCACGGCATGGGAGGAGCAGCAATCAAGGGTGGTGGGCTAGAGGACGTCTCCTTTAAACGGATGGGGACAAGGGAAGCCTCACGTAGCCAGTCAGTATGTAAATAATCAACTCTATGCACTGCTGGCTGACTAAGCTATCCAGAATCACCTGCAACAAAATAGTACCAGGGCCTTCTGTTCCGGACGGCTTGCCATACAAGCCAGCCACCTCCGATTTCTGCGAGTCCAGCGAAGATGAAGACACCAAGAGTCCAGAAAACTTTGCCGATCGTCCATTCGATCCCTGATGCTACCACCGTAGGAGCTAGTGGTGGAGTCGATAGGTCGGATGGACCCTCAGATGATAACGGATTTGGGGTGGGATCATCGTTATTTAGGGAAGGCGGCGTCATAACAAGTGTTTGACTGTAACCTACGTAGCTGCGCATAGCAGAGTTTGCAGTTAGGAAGAAGTAAAGCCGATTGTACGGAACGTAGTCAACGGTCAACCCCTTCGGGGCCTTCGCGCCTTCGGCCTTGCTAGGTACGCTAGTTCCTGCTGACGGATAGCATATCAGGTCAAAGGTTTTTCTAGTAGAACGTGAGCGCTACTTGATCTTTGTAAGACGCTTCACACACAAACCCGCGAGGGCAACCTAGTCCTACAGTTTGTATACAAGAACGTTTATTTAACTCCTCTAGGCTATCTGAAAGTACTCTCCTCCAGAGGCGCCGAAAAGCTTTGCCAGAAGGCGCGCGACCTTCCAAGTCTCATGCAAGTAGCAATTCCTCGGTCGATTTCTGGCGCGTAGTGCCACGGAGCAGATGGAGCCTGGAACGCTTTTCCACTTCTTCCTCATAGAAGGTTACCTTTGGGATTGGTTAACGGCTGGAGCAGCAATCGCCGTTAACCTGGTGGTGCCTGCCAAGGCGCTGGATCCGCTAAGCCGTTACTATGAAACAACGGTGAGGCCAAATATCCCCACCTCAGTACACCGGGCTTACATGGCGTGCATTAATGCTGGATAAGGGTAATGACTTTCACCCATCCCTGCCCATCCCGACGTTTGCCCTTCCGCACACCAAACCCAACCACGCGCGGGTTGTAAGGAATGCCAACTCTGCTGTTATCCTGGAATGTTCATGGGCATTTCATACCTTAATGCCCACCGGCTTTACCGCAGCTTCCACCGCCTTCCAACCTTTACTGCACATGCCCCACCCTAACCACGAAGCTACTCACTTCCCACCCTCCTTTCACCCATCTTTCCTTGTTATCATCATGGCTCCTGGGTCAGGATCCAACCTTGTCGTATCCGTACCGGGACTCTTCCGTACCAACGTACGTGCTGTACATTTTGGTGTTTGCGCTTCCCGCTGTGGTGTTTGCCGTAACGGCAACCATCAAGAGCTTCAAGAGGCGCCGAGAGAGCTTCGTTGACTGGTGGGTTGTTATGAATAGTAAGGAGGTGCTGATTTAAAATTGATTCAGAAATGGTGCACGCGCATTAATTGGATGCCATGGATCAGTAGCGGCGGCAGCTTTGACGCGATTTGCTGCAGGGATGTGGGTTGCTGCTAGGGTACTAGGGAACTGCCGTACCTGCGTTGCCTGATGACATACAAAGTACGACACAAAAAGGTATTGGCCGGCTTGTAATGAGACATTTCGATTTCGTTTTAGAGCGGAATAGCTGTCCGAGACTGCAATATGCGTCATTGGCAAGCGAACGAAATAACCTGGCCGGCTGACAAGTATAAGAACAACCTGCCCTCATCCGCCACCACACAGGCATCATGCAGCGCTGAGCATCGCGGAGGGCTTTGCCTTGGTAAGATAGTGACCCATGGGTCATTCGTGGGAGAGGATTGCATTGCGTGGGAGTTCCTCTGCATGTGGGCCAAGCAGCAGCTGCGATGCATGCTTGCCGTCCTCTCATGCTACCGAACGGCAAGGCAGCAGGGGTCTGCTGCAGCGGGTCTTGCAGCGGCCTTAGGTGCCCCTCCATCCTCCATGTAGCTGTTGCTGCCACTTTGATGCCACTTTGATGCCACTTTGATGCCACTTTGCTGCCACTTTGATGCCCCAATGCTCCTTGTTGCCCTGAGGTTGCTGCATCTGACACCCCAATGGATGCGTATTGCTGAGGCGGCTGCTGCTGATGGCGCTGTTGTGTGCGCAGACGACGGGGTTCAAGCGCTGGACCAACCTAGTGGGTCGGCTGCGACCCAACTGGTGAGATGAGAAGGGAGGACGAGGCAATCAGCCGACACTTTGCAGGGCTGCGGAACGCAAGCATTGCTACTAAAATAGCCAGTAATCCCCACTTCGCTCTTCTCATTGTACCCCCCCCCCCCCGCCCATGGTATCGCGTGCCATCAACTCCCCGCCCCGCCAATGCCCTTCAACCCGAATGGGGTACACGCTACTCTCCCTCCCTAACCACCCCCTCACCTCCCTAACCACCCCCTCACCTCCCTAACCACCCCCTCACCCCTCTTAACCACCCCCTCACCTCTCCCACCACCACCCCCACCCCCCTCACCACTCCCTCACATCACCACCCCCTCCCATCCCCCCCCGGGCTCCCGCAGGCTCGCCAGCCTCAAGCTCAAAGACCCGGCGGAAGTGGACGACGCGCGGCTGTCCTACCCCAGCGGCCACTCCGCCTACATGTTCTTCTCCATGACCGTGGTCTCACTGTACCTGCTGGGAAAGCTGGAGGTGATGCACCGACCCAGCCAGGTGGGGCTAGGGATAAGACCAAACCAGGATAGGAAACCCCAAAGTTAGGGCAAAGCAGTAGGGATAGGAGGCGGCGGCAGGGTGCCACAAAACAGGGTGAGGGTCACCGGCGCCTACGGGGCGGGGCTGGTGCACATCAGTTGGGATTCACGCAACGGTGGGGCCTTGCCAATGCCGAACCGCTTCCTCTTTACCTCCCCCCACCGACATCTTTCTCCCCCTTACCCCCCGACTCCACCCCCCTCCTTTCCCCATTTTTCCCCTCCCCTCCTCCCGCCGCAGCCGCTGTTCCTCAAATGCATCCTGGCAGTGGGCCCCCTGGCCCTAGCCACCTTTGTGGCAGTCAGCCGCATCGCGGACTACAAACACCACCCATCCGACGTCAACGCAGGGTGGTGGGTGGGGAGGGATGAATAGGGAAGGGAGCTGCGGGGCGGGTGTTGGATGGTGGATGGTGGATGGTCGGGAGCTGGTGAGAGGATGAGGTTGTTATCTGCTTGGGCGGCTTCGACTGGCAGGGGACGGCGGGGCGGAGTGGCAGTGGGGTAAGGTGTACCAGACTGCGGCTTTGCAACACTCCCGACTCCCGCGAATGTTGGTAGCTACCGGTGCTTGCTTGCTGTTCAAATCGCACTTCCATATTCCTGATTCACATAGCCTGTCACCTTGTAGCCCGCACGACTCCCCGCCGCTCCCCTTCTGCATGCCACCCTCCCTTCCCGCAGTTTCATCGGCACCCTGTGTGGCGCTTTCGCCTACTTCCTGAACTACCCCTCGCTCTTCGACTCCGCATCAGCCCACCCCAAACGACGTGGGGAGGCCGTACAGTGGGGCGCGGGGGCCAGCCGCGGCAGCAGCGCATCAGCTGCTCCCCTGAACGCTCCGCTGCATCATGGGGTGGTGGGGGACGTGGAGGCCAAGGGCCGTTGAAGCGGGGCGAGAGAGATGCCGTACTTTTGCGTACATTGCCGTACACTGGGATGGCAGTGGATTACGACATAAGGCTGCGGTGGCTTGGTGAGGCTAACGGTATAGACTAGGCTAGGCTGCTTTGTTCCCAGGCAGAGGGCAGGAGTGCGGCGGCCCAGGTGTTGTTGGTAGCTACCCAGGTGGCCCCTTGTGACGTGGGCGCTGCCGTAGGGGGCAAGAGCAGCTGAAAAACAACAACAGCGGTGGCAGGATATTACAGTAGAGGGTATCTTTTGCTTAGGGAAGGAGGGAGTTTCTGCATTTACGGATGCTAAATAAAACAGCAGGCCTGGGCTATCCAGGGGATTTCCTGCCGCTAATGGCGCCGTACCGCATTCACGGCATACGAGTGATGCCCCTTGTTCCCGAGCTCCCAAGGCACCGTGTGTGCAGCCCAAGGCAGGGAGACGGGTCTCCTAACATGGGGAAGTAGGGGAACCAACGGATGTACGGTACGTGGCCCAAGGGGGCCCGCATTCGCACTAGTGCAGTCATACGTGCTCGGGTGGGGCCGAAGATATAGTGCGCACGGTGACCTACACGGCTACGTGTGTAAGGTGAAGGTTAGGTGAAGTCAGCCGGCCGCAAAACTGACACGGTTGCGTGTGTACCCTCGTATGCCAGACGAGGTAGTTTGTTGGTAACAGAAGGGGTGTAGGTTGCGTCGTACGATGCCGTACTGAACCATCGGAGTTATGGGACCATGCCGGCTGAGTGTTCGTGAAGTGGTGAAGACAGGGATGTGCGCTAAAAGGGTGTGTCCTTTACTACTCCTTTTCGTAGCTAGCTAGGCAGTTTCCATGCGGGCTAGTATGCCTCTCAATGCCCCCCTCAACACCCGCGTACACCTCGATAAGCGCCGCGGAGCAGGCGGAGCGGCCAGGCAGGCAGATGGCAAAACCATTCATGTAGCAATAATCAAAACATAGCGGCGTGGTTACAAAGCGTGGACACCGCTAGCAAGTCCCCCAAACTGCAGCCTGACAAGACCTCACGTGCCCCATCCCAACCTGAGCGCGATCCCCGCCTGCCCGTACGGCACAGCTATTCTTAGGGAACCAACGGTCATTCAATAAGTTATCCTGCAGTACACACCCTCCCCCAACCTGCAGTAATCCCTGCCCTGACTGCCCTCCAGCAAACACACCTCCTCCTCACACCCTCCTCTCATAGAGCCCCTGCTGCTCGACAACAGCAGGAAGCCACATATGTTTGAAGATACACACCTCCATTAGCGCCATGGCAGCTTAGCGATATACCCTACACTCTACCGGTATGCAGTCCGCCTCGTCCCCTCCCTTCAGTACCCGCAGGCACCACTTTGCCGATACGAACAACGTTATTTCAGTTAGCCTACCCTTGCAACATCTCGCTACCAAAGCCTCACTCCTTCGCAAGTTGCCGCTGCTGTGCGCCATCCAGCTCGCCGTGCCTACAAGAGAGGCATGTGGCGGGAAATGCCTCTCCCCCTATCATTCCCTAGGACGCTATCCGTACCCTGTCGCACCGCACACCGACCGCCGTACCCTACCGAAGGACACCTCACGCCTCATCTCCCCGCAACGCCAGCAATCTTGGCGAGCGCGAAGTCCAGGGTGTACATGCGCGCCAGGGAGTTGTAGCCGCGCGTGTCACCGAATCGCAGCAGATTGCCTGAGGTTAGGAGGGACAGGGAGCGCGGAGAAGGATGGGCTGGAGGGTGCAGGAAGGTTGTGTTATGGCCTTCAAGAAGGGGGGGGTCCTGCACCTCCCCAGCCCCAGCCCCCACCCCGCAGCAGGCAGCAATAGCTCCCCCGCCCCCCGGCGGCCCCCCCAAGCTGCTGCGCCACCCCCAGAAGCTGCACCCAGCCGGTCCCGCCCCACCTGCATCGCAGTTGAGTGGGCTGTCCGGTGCGGGATCACTCATGAGCGCCAGCACCGCCTGGCACACCGAGTGCAGCGTCCAAGCAGGGCTCCAGGCGGACTTGAGGATGTCTAGGCAGATCTCTCCAGTCTAGGGAGGGCGGGAAGGAGAACTGGTAAGGAGAGAGGCAGAAAAGGAAGGTTTGAGGGCAGGAGGTAAAGCAGGAGGCACACACCTTGAAATGCACGTTGGGATGAAAGATGCGCGTGCGGTAGCGAACGGCGGGAGGCTGAAGTGGGTACTGCTCTGGAACGTTGATGACTAGTTCAAAGTTGCCGCCTTCAAAGGGCGTGTCCTTGGGGCCCTGCAGTTCGGCGTTTGGACAAATGCAAATCAGATTGGAGCATCGGGAGGTGTTGCAGAAGCGCAACCGATGGTGCTCAACGCCTTCGACAAACACCCCAAGAACTTACACGCAGTACTGCTCTCCACGCGAACAAGTTGGTTTCGTTGGGTATCAAGGTAATGCCCGTATCCTCCGGTTTGGCTTTAAGGGCCTCTTTGTACTCCTGCGATCAAGACGCCGGGGCGAGTGTCAAGAGACCATACAGTCCGCATATGAACTATATGCTTATAGCTACCTTGAGCAGGCGCTGCCGAGCAGTCGCCATTCAGCCCTAACGCTTCCTTATAGAAAAAAGGCGACTTTGCTCGAGAGCTTAACGTTAGGGAAGGTGTCTAAGTTAGATCCACTCCTGCAACGCAACAAGCAAAGTCCTAATTCCTTGCTTTTAACAATTGAACGTTGGAGGTCTTAGGGTGATGCAGGATAGGCCACAGGCTGTAGTCAACTTCCTACCAGCGGTGCGGTTTCAAGCAACAACACCTCTACCGCACGTGAGAAGCGATAACGGGTGAGTAAGCCCTCCGAAACCAACCGAAATGGCTTACAGCTTCAAGACACGCCCAAAAACAGAAGACACTGTCGACTATAATGCTTTGTATGTAATTGGCATGTTGGCGGGGACTAGCGCTTTTACGCACCTTTTAACTGGACCGTTTTCTTTGTAGGTGCAGTAGGCATTCGTTGACAGCCATGCTTTCATCTAAGGCTCATTTGCGACTAGGATCGTGCCATTCTAGCCGTCAACGCTGCTTGCTAGCTGGTCGAACTGCCGGTCGGCTAGCTAGCGTAAAAATGGCCGCCAACGTAGCACAAGCGGACGCCGCAGCCCAACCAGTTAGCAGCAGTCCAGCCGCGAACAATGGTGCTCCTGCTCGTGTGTCAACCGTTAAGCGAAAGACGAAGGAAACGGAGGTTGAGGTCAGCATCAACCTAGACGGCACGGGCGTCTGCGTCGCTGAGACTCCCGTTGGCTTCCTGAACCACATGCTTGACCAAATTGCCTCGCACGGGCTTTTCGACCTAACCGTCAAGGCCACAGGCGACGTGTGGATTGATGACCACCACACCGTGGAGGACATCGCGCTAGCGCTGGGTACAGCATTCTCGCAAGCTTTGGGCGACCGCAAGGGTATTCACCGCTTTGGGGAGTTCAGCGCCCCTCTAGACGAGGCCTTGACGCACGTCGTCCTGGACCTCTCGGGCCGGGCGCATCTCAGCTGCAACCTTGCCATCCCGGCGCAAAAGATCGGCACCTTTGATACCGAGCTCGTGGAGCACTTCTTCATGTCTTTCTCAAACACCTCGGGCACAACGCTGCATATTCGGCAGCTTGCCGGCAAGAACTCGCACCACATCGTGGAGGCGACATTTAAGGCATTTGCACGGGCGCTCCGACGCGCCTGCGAGTTTGATGAGCGCCGTGCCGGCCGTATCGCCAGCTCCAAGGGTGTGCTCACGCAACAATAAGCTGCTTGCCAAGTACGGATACGTACGGCATGTCGGGCTGTCCTGAGCTGGTGATGTTGCACGCATGGGGAGATGGGGCAAGATGAGCAAGGCAGGACCGCTGCAGGACCTTCCCCACAGCGTCGTGGAGTTACTAGAGCCGGGCGTGTGCCTTGAACGCAAGTGCGGACAGTTATGTACTTGTGGGCTGTGCTTGCAGACCCTCGAGCCGCGAGCAGGATGGGTGGGGTTAGACGGCAATCGTGCCAAACACACCTCGCGTGAAATGTGATGTGGGGGTACTTGTGTACGGCAATCGTTGGAACCTGATGCACTGTTTGTGATTGTGTGTGAGGCGCATACCACGTTGCGCTGCCCATGTATACCAATGCTGTTGTTGGAATCTTTCGGTAGGGTGATTGTTAAAGTCCCAAGTACGGTAGTACGGTTAGCTTGCGGTACTGCCGTACCGTAAAAGGAGAGCGGGACAAAGGTTAGCTGGATTCACTTTGTATCCCCTTCACTCCTGGTTCGTAAAATTAAGGACATATCGTGCCGCGGGAAGAGGCCATCGCACGTGTGTTGTTGAAAGTGTCAACAGTCACGGCTAGCATGTACGGGTGCGTTTGGCTGTGTTACCTAGGCGATGCGTGAGAAGCCAACAATTGCATGGGATGCTTGCCGGCAGGGCTGAAAGAACGTCAGATGACGTGCGTGGAAGTAGTACTAGTAGTAGTAGTAGTAGTAGTAGTAGTAGTAGTAGTAGTACTAGGTGTTTCAGCTGCAGCTGCAGAGGTATGTGGGTGACTCCTTTGTGTAACGGGGTTAACCCTCCTTGGTCTTGGAACCGATGCATCAGGTGGTGCGAGGAGGATGGTCCCCTCCTTCGATTGTGGTCCTCTCCACGACACTGGCCCCAACCTGTCTCGTTCAGGTTTGCTGCTGTCGAGGTGCTAGAGTTGGTGAAGCTCTGGAGGTATAGCGCGGTATCCTCGTACGGTATCTATTTCTACAAAGCCGACTGGGGTCTGGTGTAAGTGGCACACTGCTTCCTCCTGCCGCACAGGGGTGCAACCGTAACAATGTTGGTTGCACCCCTGTGCATGTTGATTGCTTGTTGACTGCCGCCTCGCTCGTGACCGCCGCGTCAAGGAAGAGTCTGCAACGACCCACGGGTCAGTGTCTGCATATTAACTCACGTGACGGTGGTCAAGTTACCGGTACCTATGAAACCGCGTTACTTGTGACAACAAGCATCAATCCCTTGATACGGCCACAGATCTGTCAAACTATGACACATTATTCAGGAACGCCCCCCGTTTTCTTGCTCGTCTAGGGTTCATCTAGTCCTGTCACCTTGCATGCAAGCTCGCAAACAGCTCACCGAGTACGGTAAGTCACCACCGTAACCCTAGTATACATAATAAGGGTAACACGCAGCTCCCTTCCCTCTCACCTACTCAACCCTTACCACCCCCATGTCTTGGAGTCATCCGCTGGGTCATCCTGCATGCGCCCACACACTCCTCCTCAGCATCATCATCCTCCGGCAATCACAGTACGTTCCCACTCGCGGCCACCCACACACTCCTCACTACTTGGCTGCGACCTCCTCCTTTTGAGCCACTTCAGCCACTGCCACCTCCAGCAGGAAAGGATACCCCCCTCCTGCTCCCTCTCCCCCCCCTTCCCCCTCCTTCAATACCACACCCCACACTAAACGCAGCTGCTGCTCCTCAGGCCTTGAACCCAAAGTGCTCGAGCCCCTCCAGTATACCCAGCGCCTCCTTACGGGTGGCCTGGGTGTGTGTGGGGGGGGAGGGTCCCAGCGGGGAGGGGGTCAGAGGTATACCAAACCCACAGGTTAGGGCAAAAAGCATGTGGGTAAGCGTGTGGGTGGGTGGGACACGTCACACAAGAGTCACAGAGCCACACAACTGCCGTGCGCGCGTCAACAGCGGGGTTGTGCAACAGCGGGTGTGTGACGTCATGTCGTCATGAGGTCGCCTCTTTCACGCCTCATGGTGACCCACGGGTCTCTCTCTTCTCACCAGCAGCAGTCGGTGTTTCCCCGAGGGCAGCGGCGGCTCGGCTGCCTGCCGCTGCTGCGCCCACTGCCGCAGGTCGGGCTGCGCGTTACCCACCACGATAGCCAGGTTCTCACCTGGCGGGAGGGGGAAGGGGGGGGGGAGGCGGCAGGGTGTCGCAGGTGTGTTTGGGGGGGGGGGGGGGGGCACCCGCGGGTGGGGAAAAGGAGAGTACCCAATGTGTTGAATGAGCATGGCAAAAAAGATGACAAGTGCGGATAGCGCCGCGCGTAGGTCCCGGTTGGGTTCTACCTCTTTCCCCACCTAGAATGGGTCCACCGGGAGTGTGCACACAGGAGCGGAAGCGCATGCACAGATAACTACGTGGTCTACATCAGGTGCAGTGCAGTGCAGTGCAGTGCAGTGCAGTGCGAAGGACAGGGAAGGGCAGGAAGGGGTGTTCGACAAGGTACGGCAGCGCGGTAATAGTCTTTCCTATGACACGCTCGCGTGCCTGTCGTACCGTTTCCCCTCCCCCTCCCTCGGCCCTCCAACCCACCCTCCCCACTGCATGAGTCGGGATATGGGATTGGGACTCGTTGTTTCACTTATATAATTTCCCCCCCCCACACACACACAGCTCGTCAGTTTCCTCATCTTTCATCACCCACCGCTGAGCATGAGGATATCGTTGCCCGAGTCCCCGCACGCCACGGTGGAGGCGCTGCTGAACCCAAAGTGCCGCCTCACGTGGTTGAGCGCCTGCAGCTTGCCGGCGCGGAGGGGGACGATATCCAGGTACCTGGGGGAAAGGGAGGGGAGGGGGAGGGAAGGATGAGGGAAGGAGGGAGGGAGGGGTGGTTCGAGAAGGAGAGAGGGAGGGAATTGCTACCTGCACTCAGCATGCCCTTGTCGGCGTCCCTCACCAGCCCCGCCACCCACCCCTCCCCCTCACCACATACCCACCGGCTCCCCATCCCATCCCATCCCCCCACCAACCCACTCCAGTTCCCACTCCTACAATGCCGTACAGTACCCCGATACAGTGCCCAGTACGACTAAAACCCCATACACACTCCTCCCCTCCCCTTCCCCCCTCCATTCCCCCTCCCCCCCTCCCATACTCACTTCCAGCCTCCATGCCCGCTGGTGATCACATTCGCGCCCACCCCCGCCGCCGCCAGCTGCTGCTGCACGCTCGCCACCACCCGCCCCACAGCTCCGTCCGCAACCCCGCACGTCACTTTGTGCGGGTTCTGCTCCTCCGGGGGGCGGAAGTGCATGGACTCGGAGCCCACCTGGGGGGGTGGGGTGGGGGGTGGGGAGAAATTCCAATATGTGGTGTGTGGGGTGGGGTGGGGGGGTGGGGGCAGATGCGGGTGGAATGCGAGGGTGGGGGGGTCAGCGATACAATCATACATACCACAACCACATGTTAGGGCAAAGAAACGGGGTGGGGAGTGGGGAAGAGATGCGGGGGGAGTAAGGGGTTAGGGAGTTACATGGTATGTGTTTTTCGCACGCTATGCAACTCAGCCTAAGCGCCCTCCGGCTAAAAACACACACGCCCCCCCGCCCCCCACTTACCTCCCCCAGGGCCTGGTAGCACGCGTCCCGCACCGCCTGCGCCATATGGCACCGGGCAGGCAGGCGGGTTTGGGGGGGATGGACGTGAGCAGGAGGGTAAGGGGTGCCGGTGCCAGAGCGCGATGAAGGGTTGAAGGTCAGAAGGGGGAAGTGGCAGGTCGGTCAACTCACAGGCCGACTAGCGAGGGTCTTGTTACGGTCACCCCCCTCCTCCCCGCCCCGCCCCTCCCCCGTACTTTGAGGTTCCAGCCCTCGTTTAGAGCGGCGGACCACTCCGCGTCCTCCACCCACCCCTGGGGGCTGTCCGGGGGACCGCCGTGGGGGTGGCGCAAATACACACACGTGCCTTCCAGGGGCGGGGCCGGGGGGCGTGTGGGCAGCAGGGGAGGGAGTGTGGCGGAGTCAAGACATGGTGAGTGGGGGTTGCGAAGGCGGTGGCTTCGCTATGTTGTCTTACCGGTCGACATGCATGCTTGTTTATGACTCGCTTATGCTTGCATGCATGCTTGCACCTCCCCCCACCCAGGCACCCCCACTTCCCCCCCCCCCCCCATCCCCCCCCCCCCCACCCACCCACAGCCAGCACCAGCGCATCCGGCACCCCCATGCAGCCGCTCTTGGTCCGCAGCAGATCCAGAAAGGAGGACAGAGACCTGGGGTGGGGGGTGGGGGGTGGGGCGCGATGCGGCGGGGGGGGGGGTAGTGTGTAGGCAGCAGGAGGGGAGCGCAGCCGGGTGGGGTGGGTGGGGCATGTCGCTGTCCCTGTGTGCTATCCGTTACACCCCCCCCCCCGAACCTCCACACCTGACCCCTATCCCGCCATACACGCCGGTCAACCCCCCTCCCGCCTCCCCCCCTCCATTCCCCCGCACCCAGCTTGTGTTTTCCTGTGGTTGGGTCTCTCCCCGACCCCCTCCCTCTCGCTCTAACACACGGTTCGTTACTCGTTTCCTCCCTCCCCCCCCACCTGCCGGTGTTGTACACAAGCACGCCCCCCCGCAGCGCCCCCGCCTCCTCCCACCAGCTGCGGAAGGCGGCCGTGGCGCCGTCGTCACCCACCATCGTACCGTCCAGGTCACTGACCTGCATGACCGCAGGTGTGGGATTCAGCACTGGCCGGATGTGTGTGTATGTGTATGTGTATGTGTGTACGACGCTAAGGGGTTTAGGAGCGGGAAGGAGGTCAATGTACGGCATGGGGGAGAGCAAGCTCCATCTGCCCTTCCCCGGTTTCTCCCCTCCCTTACCCCCCTCCTCCCCCCTTCCCCCCCACTATCCCACAGCTCGTTACATGCCTCGTCACTTTCTTCATTTTACCCCCCCCCCCTTCCCACTTTGTCTTGTGGCGCCCTGCCAACTCCTACCCCCATGGCTTTGCCCTCACTTGTGGTCTCCTATGCTTTGGTATGGTCTTTGATCCCCCTTCCCCTCCCGCCCGCTCCACACTTTGGAATTTCTTTTTTCCCGCCCGCTCACCAGCAGCACTGGCCGCCCGCCCACCCTCCTCAACGCCCCGCCCCGCAGGCTGAACACCCCCGGGGAGTCAAGACGGTAGTTGCCGCCTGGACGGGAGGGGGGAGATCTCAAGTTAGACCAACCATAGGAAACCAGGGATGAGGGCAGGATAATGGGGAAAAGAGGCGGCAGGGCTCTACCAGGCAAAGGGAGGGCCCCTAGCGGCCCCTGGAGAGTGTAGCAGCGCGAAAAGGCTTACTCGAGATGGCAGGAACCCCCTAGGTCTTGGAGCTATTCGTGGGTATTCTGGGGCTGGGGCGGGTGTGCCCTGCTACAGAGGGGCTCCCATCCTGCCCCCATCCTACCCTCGGACGGCTTGTCCCAGTTGCGCCTGGTCGCGTCCGCCACCACGAACTCCAGCAGCGGACCCCCGTTGCTAGCGCCCGAGGAGGAGGTGGAGGAGGAGGGGAGCGGGATCTTGGCGACCAGCCATCGGTCAGGCGTGCCTGAGTCCTGCGTGGGTGTGTGTGGGCGTGTGTTAAGGAAACTGGTCGCGAGTCAGAACGTACTGTGATTGCCGGGAGGTGGCGTGGTGTGTATGTTAAATGGAAGAAAAGAGGGGTTAGAAAGGGAAGAGGGTAAGGGGGACAGGGCTAGAGTGCCCTCCTTGTCGCCTGGGTTGTCGGCCCGAACCGAACCCTTTGAAGGGCAAGACACCAACCAACATCACCACAAACAGCAACAGCAACCGCTGCTGCTCACACCCACCGAGGTCAGTGGGAAGTCCTGCCAGGGGCCGCCAGAAACGGAGCCGTGTACCACTGCGCGATCCCATCCCGTGCGGTAAAAGAGCTTTACGCTGGGGGATTGCACCGAGCTGGATGAGTCTGTCGACCGCAACGCTTCCACGGCAGCCGATGCGATACAAGACACCGGGCGTCTGCTCCTTGCATGGATAATGGCTGTCGCGTATGTCCGGCTGCGGACCTGTGTTGAAAGCACACGATGGGAACTCGTCAATGGCCCTACATGTGAATGGGTAGCTCGCCTGTGGTCGTTTCAATTGATAGCATCTCCAGCTTCTACCTGTAATACAGTTGAAAGTCCTCGATCTGGGCGTAAATGCGCGCTACTGCTCATTCTATCGTATGCCACAGCAGAGGACTTTCTGTGCGGATATAAAATATTGAAGTCGAAAATATATGTATATGCTAATGCCATGAAGTGGTCAGTTTGCCTTTAGCTTCGCGACGGTTTGACGTGATCGGGTTTCGGGGTAACCACGCACATGGATAACCAGCTAACCATGGCTGGACACTGCGTTCATATCGTATGAACTAGCACTTTCTGCACATTGCAATGCACTAAGCTATGAAGAAGGGCATTCGCCATCGAACACATGCTTGCTTTGACATTTCCGCCGAGTATTTGCTTCCACTTCTCTTCTTCCGCATGGTACACTGGGAGAAATGCGTGACATCAATGCATGCATTTTAATGTTAGGTAACGCACGTCCATGTGACTGACCAACGGGCCATGTCATTGTCAATGCCGGTGCGCTCTTTGCCTACAACTCTAGCATAGAACTCGTTGAAAGGCGCGGCTAGGGCTTTCATTCTTTAACAGTCCATGTTCCTCCGGATACCTCGTACACCTTTCTTGCCTTCTCGGCCCGGCCGAATGGCTACGGCCGGTGGGCGGCATGTCATCTTCTCCGCCGGACCTTGTCGCCCGTCATCTCCGCCGCGCCCGGCCGTCACTCCTGCAACGCCATACGCCATAGAATAAAAGAGTCTCCCATGGCTCAGCCATCACCAACATTTCCTACCATCCTCAACAGCGCGCTCAAACAGCGCAAAGCTCCCCTTGCCTTTACCGCGATCCCCGGCTAGGTCCGTGATCCACCCGCCGAGAGGCGGTGCCCGCGATTTACGCCTCCAGCCGCGACGTTTCCGCTTCTCCTTTCCTTGCAAGCACGGTTACCCTAACCGGCACATCACCTGTCGAAGCTATAGCCAATACTGTGCTACACCCTGATCTCCGGTTAGGAATAGTTAGGGACTCAACGAAAAGAGTCAAATAAAGCACACGTTATCCCACCCGCGTCATTAACTCGACAGGGGATATAACCATGAAGGCTCGCACCGTCCTTTGCAGCCTCCTGCTCTTCCTCTTCGTGGGAGCGGTCAGGGCTCAGGACGCGGCCACCGCAGCGGCGCAGCTACCCTCCTCCGCCACCATCACCGCCGACCCTATTGCCACCTCCACAGCCGTCCCTGCTGCCGCTACCTCCGCTGTTCCTGCCGATATCACCACCCCTGCAGCCAGCACCACCCTTACAGCAGCACCCGCTGCAGCCGACTCCACAGCTGCGGCCGAGTCACCCATAACAATAACACCGGCAGCAGCTGTGGCTGCAGCAGCTCCTGCGCTCAATGCAACTGCCGGCGCCGCCAACACCACCACTGCTGGCGCTGCCGCAACCCCCACCGCCACCACCGCAGCTGATCCTGACGCCGCTGCTGACGATTCAACTTCCCCCGCCGCCGCTGCTGACGGTTCGACTTCCCTCGCCAACATGCCAGCTGCCGCCTCGGATGCCTATGCTGCCTTAGTCGCCGCCCTCGCAGCTGAGGCTGCCAACTCCACCACCAATTCCTCCGCCCACACCTCCTCCTCCGCCGCCGCCGCCACCCCTGTCGTACACTCCCCTGCCGCCGCCAGCTGCCAGTCGTACACTAAGAGCGACTCCACGGCGCCGCCCGCCGCCGCCTCCGCCGGGCCGCTGCTGTCCACCATTGTCGTCCCCACCAGCGATTCGTTCAAGGTTGGGAGTGTGTCGGTGACCGACATTGGACTCAAGCACAGCCGCATTGGCGCACTCAAGGTGAGGCGCTAGGGAGGGGGCATAAGGAGGTAGGGAGCGGGGATAAGGTGCTAGGGAGGGACGGAGAACATGAACCATACCCTAGGAAACTAGGGACGTAGGGAGGAGGGGAGGGGGTTAAGGAGCTAGGGAGGATGGGGGGTGCAGGATGCAGGGTGACTTCCGCCGTGTGGCTTCCCCCACTGGAAAGACATGGTGTCCGGACCTTGCACCCGCCTCGTTACCGCATGTCCTGCCTACTGTAATTTGGTACCCCTCTAAGTCACCCTCCCTTCTCCTATCCCACCTCGCCTCCTCGCCTTCGCCCCGCCCAACGCAGATCTCCCTGCTCGCCTCCCCAACTCCCACCGCCACCAACACCTCCGCTGCACCCCTGGCGTCCGCCGTGCTCAAGGACGTGCGAGCTGGGTCGGCGGGCGCGGATCTGCAGGGCACTGGGTTTGCGGATAGCGGTGAGACGGCACCGTGAACCGCTTTCGGTATCAGTCGTGTCTTATCCTCCAAAAACCAGTCCCGGTAATAGTTGTGTCTTATTACCCCTTCAAACACATACGTGTGGCAAACTAGCAGCACAGGGAGGTGCATTGGGGTCTCGGGGATGTGCGGGACAACTTTTCCTTCCTCTCTCCCAAATCGCGGACCAACCCCAACCCTTCAACCCTTCCCGCTCCCCCCTCCTCCCCTGCCTTCCCCCCCTTCCCCCCACTCCTCCTCCCCCAGCCACCGCCGCGTTCCCCTCCTCCTCCTCCTCCGCCCCCTTCACGGGCACCTGGAGCCCCGCCGACAGCCTCACCTCCGCCTTCGCCGGCCTGCCCTCCGCCGCCGCCTCCTGGACGCTGCGAGTGGTGGATCTGGGGGACAAGCGGGACAAGTAAGGGGGAGGGGGGGGGAGAGGAGCAGCGGGGGTGTGTCTCATCATGCCTTATGCGTTGCCCTACCACAACGCTCCCTTTTGCCACCCTCCCTCTTACCCCTCCTCCACCCTACCCCTTTCCCCCTCCCCCCCAGCCGCACCCTGCAGCTCACCAAGTGGACTCTGGTGCTGTGCCCCGAGGGAGCTGCTGCCGCCTCAGGTGCTGCTGCTGCCTCAGCTGCCCCAGCTGCTGCCGGAAGAGCGACGAACAGCACTGGCCCCGTCATCAGTGCCTCCGCCGGCGCCGCTGACACCGCCTCCACCACCTCCACCGCCACTGCTGCTCCCGCCGGAGGTATTGGCGGCATTGGCAGCCTGCGCAGCAGCAGGCTGGGCGCTGCGAGCGGCAATGACAGCGCCGCCAGCAGCACCGGAGGCATGCTGGAGCAGCTGCTCAACAGGATCAACCGGTGAGGGGCTGACGGGGCTGACGGGCGACCCGTGGGTCGAGAAGCGAATGTAGAAGGTAGAAGGTTGTCGCAGGCTTCGACTGCATGAAGGGGTATGCCACACCTTGCATCCCCACCACCCCCTACACATAAGAGGGCGCCCGAATGCATGCATGTGTCTGGCTCGCATTCAGCTGCAAACTGCACATGGCAAACCTCACATGCCGCCAGCAAAACGAAGCCCTAAGAACATCCTAAGAACCGCATCCTTTCCCCGCCCCTCCCCTCCTGGGGTCCCTGTTCCCCGTTACCCTATTGCCATCGCAGTGTCGAAACCCACAACACCACCGCCGCCACCGCCACCTCCCCCGCTGCTGCCACTGACGCTGACGAGGACGCCGGTCTCGTGCAACGCCTCCTCAACCGCCTGACCGAGCTCAACGGCCCCAACCACAACTCCAGCACCGGCACCAACTCCTCTGATACCGCAGCAGCCGGCATCATTCCTCGCAACGGCCTGCTAACCACCGCCGGCAGCAACGGTATTCGTCCAACCGTGCGCGCCGGCGGCATTCTGGGCAGCAACGCAACTGCTGCCGGTATTGTCGGTAGCGCCGCGGGTGCTGCGGGCGGTGTCAACAGCAGCAGCAGCACTGCCGCGACCCCCATGTGGCGTCTGGGGAATGTGACGCTGAGCGACTCCGACGGCCTGGTCTCCAACTTCCTGTCCTCCCTGTCGGATCTGGTGAGAGGGGGGGAGAGGGGGGGCATGCGAGAGGGACCGGGAGAGGGAGATGCGAGGGGCTGCTACGCTGGAGCTCCCCTAGGGCCCCCCAGCAACTCTCGTAACGCCGCTCTCGTAGCACCGCTCTGCCTCTGCAGCATCCAACAAAGCCAACAAAGCCAACAGCCAACCTCAACAAACGAGCGTGTCTGTCCCCTGCTGCTGCCAACCCACCTCCCTTACTCCCCCTCAGCTCTACGCCTTGGCCGACGACAACGCCACCACCACCGCCGCCTCCGCCCTCACCTCCGCCGCCTCCTCCGCCAGCCCCCTGGCCGCCAACATCACCGCCATGGCTCAGGGCGCCTTCGACACGCTGCTGGCGGAGCGGCCCGGGGCGCTGGACGGCCTGCTGCGGGAGGGGTTCACGTGAGCAGGAGGGAGGAGGGGGAAGGGAAGTGAAGGGAAAGGGGGAGAACGTAGGCGGGGTTGGATGGGGGCCATTCATATGTTGCACAATGGACTGGTAAAAAGGGTACTTGCTGGGGTTTCGTTCCGCTTCCCCACATGTGTTTCACACATGTACTTCTCCCAGCTCCTAGGTGTAAGCTCTGAACAGCATATGCATCCCTCACTTCCCCCATGCGGCTCCATCACGTGGTCCCCCCAGGAAGACGGGCTCCATTTGTTTGCAAGTAGCGAGGGGCTAGTGAGCCCGCAAGATTACACCGCTCGCCCCCCACCCTCCTGCCACCCACCCCCCTCCTTCAACCAGGCTGAACCGCCCCCAGCGCATCATCGACCGCCTGCCTGGTGCGGGCCAACAGCAGCTGCGCAAGTCCCTCACCGCTAGCGGTGGGTGGTGGGTTGAAGATCCTAAGTGACCGCATAGCTGACACACTGGCACGTTCCTTGGAAAAGCGGGGACGCTTTTGGCTGTTCTTCATTATCACCACAGCACCCTCGCCGCTTCCCGCCTCACCCACCCATCCGTACCCCTACCCCCCCTCCACCTCCACCCCCACCCCCCCTGCAGCCGACCGGCTCTCCAACGCCGCCCAAACCGCCTCCTCCGCCTCCTCCGCCCTCCGCGACTCCCTGGGTTCCCGCGTCTCCTCAGCTTCCCAGTACGGAAACGCCGCCCTCTCCGCCAGCACCAGCATGGCCCAACAGGCCGCGGAGTACCGGGGTGGGGTGAGCGAGCTGCGGAGCCAGCTGGTGCAGGACCAGGTGGCGGCGTACGTGAAGGCGGCGCAGGTGTGTGGTGGGGTTGTGGGGTGGGGGGGAAGGGTGGAGGCAGTAGGAGGGGGGAGGGGGGAGGGTAACACGTCATCCAAGCTCCCTGGGCTGGCATCATGCACAGTAAATTGGTAATAAACCAGATTGGCGGCACTGCCAACCGATTGCAGCGAACTACCGAACCGAGTAGTCCAACTGACCTGCTGCTGCAGGCTACCATGCAAGCAGGCTGCCTCACGACCCCTCCTCCCCTCCTCCCCGCCCCCTTAACCCCCTCTGCCCCTTCTCTCTGCCGGCCCCCCCCCAGACCGCCGCCTCCGTCACCTCCTCGCGCCTCAACAGCGCCGCTGACAAGCTGACGGCGCAGCTGCAGGACGTGCAGGCGGCGGTGCGGGGCATGGCGCAGCAGGTGGGTGCGCGTGTGTGGTACAAAATACTCCTTTGCCCCTGCCCCGCCCGTCACTCCCCTTCACCCACCTGCACTCTCCTTCACACCCCCTTAAACACCTAATCACCCCATCGCCCCAACTCTTACCCTCCACTCCACCCCCTCCCTGCCCCCCCCCTGCCCCCCCAGATGAACGGCCTGCGTCTGGCCGACGGCTCCTCCGCCTCCTCTCGCCTGGCCCCCGCCATGCAGCAGCTGGAGCAGAGCACCAGCGGGCTGCGGCAGCTGGCGGGCGAGATGTACGGCAATGCGGCCGACAGCGCCAAGAGCGTGGCGGAGGCGTACAGGGCGAGGGTGAGAGAGGGGAGGGGCGAGGGGCGAGGGGGAGAGGGCAGAGGCAGGGAGGTTGTGATGATAAGGCTATAACATTGAGACCCGTGAACTGCCATATCTTGCCATGCTTCTTCCCAGAGGGCGTGCCGTTAGGTCTCTGTCTCTGCCAGCCAACTCCTCCCCCACCCCCGCACCCTGGCTCAGTTGAATACCGCCCCAATCCACCCCACCCCCCTGCTCCCCCCCTACCCCCCTGCCAGCAGGTGGGTGCCGCTCGCGACGTGTTGTCCGCCGGCACCTCCGCCATCACCGACGTGCGGGGCGCGCGGTACGGCATGTCCCTGGACGCGCTGAGCTCCGCGCTGGGTCGGCTGGGCAGCGGGCTGGACTCGCTGGCGACGCAGGGGGGGCCGGTGACGGCGCGGGCGGCGGAGGCGCAGAAGAAGGGGCTGGACATGATGCAGGTGTGTGTGGGGGGGAGATGGGGTGTGCGGGGGGTGTGCGGGTTAGTTCGTTTCTCCCCCTTCCCAACTCCCCCCCTCTAATCTCCCCGCCCATTTCCCCCCAACTCCCAACTCCCCCGGTAACCCCAGGCCTCCATGGCCCAGCTGTCTAGCCAGCTGCGATCCGCCCCGCAGCCGGGCTCAGCGATGCGGCAGGCGGTGGGGCGGCTGCTGGGGCAGATGGAGGGCGTGCAGGGGCGCATCGCCAAGCTCAGGAAGAGTCTGACGAAGTGATGAGCGAGATGATGTTGATGTTGAGAATGACGAGAGGTGGTGGTGACAAGCAGCAACTGAATGCTGTTGGCTGGCAAGGCGTGTAGCTGCTGGTTTTGCAGAGGGTTCGCTCCCCTTGTTTGAGGGTACTGCTGCACTTTGTTGCCTTACCTCCCTGCCGCATCTGTTGGCAAAGAAGTAAGCAAGTGACGGGTACCTCCTAGGGGTGTTGTATTGTACTAGATAGGGGACCATTGTAACGACCATTCGTTCGGTTTGATTCGATTCGCCCTGTGAAGCACCACCATGTTGGCCCTCCCCTCACTCGCACCGTCGCTCAACCTCGAACCACCGCTCTCTTTCCAGTGTGCAGTATCGTGCTGGGAGTACTCTCGCCGCTGAACAACGAGCACGTTCTGTGCGTGTGTGTTGCAGTGTTTGTTGTTCCAGGCGCGTTGTTTGACGCTGCTGGTGGCTTGGGCAGTGTGAATGAATGGCGGGCAGTGCGTCCGTAGTCCGTTGCTACCGTCATAGGGCGACGCGCACGGCGGGTGACAGCTGACAGCTGGTAGGGGTGTGACCCATGGTTCTGTGGTCAGCAAGCAGGGAGTAAGGACGAGAAAGTGATTAGGAGGACGAAGGACTGATGTCTTTATTAACTACTCATCATGTTATTATTTAGCAACAGAAGTAGGGTGATAGCTGATGGCAGCCAACTAGTACCGCACCACTTCGCAGCCGAGTTCGTTAGCCCAATACCGGTATGTAAGCACCCTCCTCGCCCGCCCATGTCCCCCCCAGCCCTTTGTTGTGCTGGTAGCACAACTCCCACACATATCCTTAGTTCAATCCCATCATCGTCATCATCATCATCAACCGCTCTTCCCGTTTCATCCTCTCCCGTTTCTTGCCCTGCCCATGACACCCTCTTAGCGGCCCCCGCCACTCTGGCCTACCTTGGACCCAGGGGAAAAAGAAACCATCTCAGCCCGCCCATAGGGCCTTGCATGTGGGGCCCTGAGGGCCTTGCATTGGGAGCCCTGAGGGCCTTGCATGTGGAACCCTGAGGGCCTTGCATGTGGAGCCCTGAGGGCCTTGCATGTGGAGCCCTGAGGGCCTTGCATGTGGGGCCCTGAGGGCCTTGCATTGGGAGCCCTGAGGGCCTTGCATGTGGAACCCTGAGGGCCTTGCATGTGGAACCCTGAGGGCCTTGCATGTGGAACCCTGAGGGCCTTGCATGTGGAACCCTGAGGGCCTTGCATGTGGAGCCCTGAGGGCCTTGCATGTGGAGCCCTGAGGGCCTTGCATGTGGGGCCCTGAGGGCCTTGCATTGGGAGCCCTGAGGGCCTTGCATGTGGAACCCTGAGGGCCTTGCATGTGGAACCCTGAGGGCCTTGCATGTGGAACCCTGAGGGCCTTGCATGTGGAGCCGGCACAACACCAGCTACCACATGCATTGCGGAATAAGATGCTGCTGCGGCGGCGTGGGGGTGTTCAAAGAAATACCAGAGACCACAGGTGAGGGCAAATAGAAGCTGCTGCTGCTGCTGCTAGCTAGCACGGCTAGCGCCTGTGCCATCGGTGGTGAGTCCAACCGGCTGCCAGCAGCCTCCCTACCGTCGTGTGAACCGCTGCTGCCGGGGCAGGGGGACCAAGGCGCATGGATGGATGCCAGGGGTCGCTGTAGTCAGTCTATGTCGCCGCAGATGGGTGGGCACTTGCAAGCGGGCACTTCCAGCAAGTGGGCACTTCCATATGGCGGCTATATCCCTTCCTTGATGAATCAATCAAACTGGTTGGGACTTGGGAGGGGTCGTTAGGGAACATGCATACAGCAGTCGCCTGTGAAACGGTAACCCTGCTCACTAATACCCTGAAACACATTTCTGGAGACCTGCACGAATGTACGGCAATCGCGTCATACACTTCTTCCACGCCTCATTCACCACCTGTGGCAGCCCGATGGCAGCCGGTTCACGAACACCCCTTCGCCCCACCTCGCTGGTACTTCCCTACCCGGCTCCCCTACGCCAACCCCCGGTAAGTTCGTTCGCTGTTTCCTCTTAACCCCGCTGCTGCAGCTTGTGACCCGAGAACGTCCCTCCGGAAAATGCCATTCCAAGCGTTCCACTCCGTCCAATAGCAAAAGGCGCCTACGGTACACTTAAGCAACACAACCATCCTCCTCCTGATCATAATCGTCGTCTCGCGGGCTACAGCTATCTGCCGCCCTGCCACACCATCATCATCATCATCATCATCATCATCATCATCACCATCAGCAGCAGCAGCAGCAGCAGGTGCAGCTCCGGGCCGCCTGGCCACTCGGCCGCTACAGCCGTAGCAGCGCCGCTCCGCTGGCGGGCTTGGTGGCGAAGAGCACCTCGGGTAGCTGGGAGGCGGGCAGGGAGCCGCCGGAGATGCGGGGCTGAGCATGGGGGAGAGGGAGGCGGGGGGGGAGGATGGGTGAAAGGGAGAGGATGGGTGAGAGGGGGGCGGGGCAGGGAGGAAGCCGTGCAAGGTTGTCGGGTTTCACAGCAAATCACACGCACATCCAGCCGGGGTGGAGCACTCTGCCCCCAGCAGCACCGCCCCTCGCCCCCCCACCCCTCCTAACACTCCCGCTTATCGTGCACCGCGTGGTGCTTCTCCTTCTGCTTTCCCCTCCCCATCCCTCTCCCTCTGTAAAGGCCCCCCAAACACCCCTCCCAACACCCTCTCCCTCCACTCCCCCCCTCCCTCCGCCCTCTCCCTCCGCCCTCTCCCTCCGCCCTCTCCCTCCCCCCCTCTTCCCATCCCCCCCACCCACCTGGTAGTACTGCTCCCGCACCGCCGCCAGGAAGCCCTCCACCTGCTCGTCACCAACCAGCGCCACCATGCAACCACCCCACCCGGCACCTGGAGGGGGAGGGGGGGAAGGGGGTATGTGTATAGTGGCACTACATCGGCACACACGTGCTCTCTTTCTTACAGCACCGGTGCATTTCCTCCCATAACTCCTGCAGCCACCCCTATCATGCCACCCACCCACCCACTCACATGCACCTAAAAACACACATACACACACGTTCCCCCCCCCCCCCCCCCCCCTTACCCGTCAGCCGCGCCCCCAGCGCCCCCGCCCCCCGCGCCGCCGCCACCAGCTCGTCCAGTTCCGTACAGCTGCAGTCGTACAGATCAGCGCATGAGGCGTGTGAGGCGTTCATAAGGGCCCCCAGACGAGACAGCCGCTCGGCGGGAGGCAGGGAGGCGTCCTGGCGGAAGGGGGGAGGTTGGGGGGTTTGGGGGAAGAGAAGGAGGAGGGAGGAGGGGTCAGGAGGGCAGCCAGGAAGGGAGGGCGACTGCAAAAAGGGAAGGAGCAGGGCGGCAAGAAAGGGAAGAGGGAAAGAGCCAAACAACCCCCTACCCCGTTCCCTTGTTCCCCATCACCCCCACCACCCTACCTCCTCACCTCCACCTCCCCAACCCCGCCAACCCATTCCCACCTTCCCACCCCCCCCCCCCCCCCCCACCCCACCTCCTCCCCCACCCCACCTCGCACACCGCTCGGAAGTCCAGCACACGTTGCGCCTCCGAATACACATGTACGGCACGCTTCCGCAACGGGAAGCCGTACTTGTCCTTCTCAGCCACACGTAGGGCCCGCAGGGAGCCCGGCTCGTCCTTGAACAACGCCTCCAGTACGGCAAGGTCGCTGCTGCCGCCCTCTCCTGCCGTACCATCCCCTCCTGCCGTACCATCCTCAGGGGAGGGAGCTAGCGCCTCCGCCAGGGTTTTCATGTCGTACTGCTCGGCCAGGAGCTCCGAAACCGCTGCGGTACAGGTGGCCCCCTCGGAATTGCCGTACTTGGAGGCGATGAGGGGCTCCACATCACGCAGAGTGCGGATCTGCACCAGGGTTCGGGGTTGGAATGGGAAAACCGTTGGCGTTAAATCCTCCCCCATGAATCCTCCCCCAAAAGAGGCCACATCGAGGTGTCATGGCGCTTCCCGCTGACATCCTGTTTCCCTCACCAGTGCAGGGGCACATCCCCGCTTGACTGGAGTAACAACTGGGCACTTTAACGCAGAGTGGGGGCTGCTGTTTCTTCCTCGCTTTTGCACCCCCCTCCCTACGTTCGTCACCGCCCCCCTACCCACCATCCCGCCACTCCCCTACCTTGGCCACCGCCTGCTCCCCGCTCAGCCCCAGCGCCCGCGCCAGCAGCAACGCAGCGAGTCGGCACTCCACCACTCGCAGGTTGTAGCTGGGTGGGGTGGGGGTGTGGGGGTGTGTGTGTGTGGGGGTGTGTGGAGGGGGGGCGAGGGAGAGCGGAGGGTGGCATACAGAAGTGCTTGTAAATTGTCGACTGCTGACTGTCGTAATTGATCTTGGCCCATGTTCACGTTTTACTGCAAATCACCACAAGCGCACGCATTAGGAAAACAGTTTGTACGACAAAACGAATAACTAGACATGTACACTATACACAGCCCGTACAGAGCTATTCCGGTAGATATTCCAGAAACAATACATACGGTGTCATAACCACAAAAGTGCCCGGCAGTACCGTTATGCCGATGAGGGTCTGTCGTACCACCAGAAGTCGTTTTAGCCCTCATTAGCAACATTTGAGTATGTAACAACATTTTGGTTATGCAACATACACAATGCGGTACAACCAACACAACAGTTGCAGCGCCGCCCCACTGCCCGCATGAGAGTAGTCGCTGGATAGATTGCGCTTGTCGTACTACAGTAAGTCATGTCGTACCATTTTAGTCATGTCGTACAACCGCACTGTCGTACCGTTTAGGCGCCGTCTCCGCCTTGTTGGACACGGCGAGGGAGTTTGCGATGACAAAGGTGGCTCCCGGGGGTAGCACAACACACACGCCGCGGACCTTTTGGGGGGGGGGAGGGTTCAAAGATACACCAGAACCACAGGGTCAGAAATATAGTATAACCACAGGTTAGGGCAAAGCAATGGTGATAAAATGTCTTGCCCCGACCTGTGCTTTCCTATGGTTCGGCATGGCCCCTGACCCACATTCCGGGTTGAACTCCACATAGGTGTTCTTCTTTTCCGTTTCCCTCCACCCTCCCCCAAACACACACACACACACACACACCGTGTTCCTACTCGCGGCCAGTTATTTTAACACACACCGGGTTGAACTCCACATGCATGGCCACCCCCTGCTGCCCCATCATGCTGATCGCCTGGTCCATGCCGCCGCTGGTAACGCCCACGTAACGCTCGGCCTGGGGGGGGGGGAGGAAGGCGGGGGGGAGAGGTGGGGTTCAACAGGTAAACCCCGGGGGGGGGGAACAATGAATGAAAAATGAAGCCGATGGGGTGGAGGGCCTGCTGCGAATGGTCAGATAGGCTCCCCAAATCATTTCGCCGCACCACGCCCGCCACCTCCCTCCGTCCCCCACTGCTCCAATCCCTATTCCTCCCTCCCTTCCTCCCCCCTCCCTGCCTCCCTCCCTCCCTCCCCCCCCACCTTGCATGCCGCCTCCGCCACCTGCGCCTTGTCCAGCCCCCCCTCCGGCGCCACCGCACCACTACACGCCAGGATGGCCAGCATGGAGGCACACACGATGGCGGCGGAGGAGGAGAGGCCGGAGCCTGGAGGGGGGACGGAGGGGAGGGGAAAGAAGAATACTCAATGTGTTGAATGAGGATAGCAAACAAGCCGGGGGGGGGGAGGAGCTAGGCCGAAAAGGAGGGCCTGCTCTACTGCTGCGGGCAGGCAAGGTGGCCAGCGTCAAAGTTCTCCTCTTTCCCCTACACTCTGTATCGGGGCACCTCGCCGTATCCTATCCCCATTGCTTTGCCCAAAACTGTGGCTTCCTATGTGGTACGGCATGGTCTTTGACCTCGCCCCCCCCCCCCCTCCCGCCCTCACCTGTGGGCACCTGCCCCTGCACCACCGCTTGCAACCCGCACGGCTCCGGAGCCCCGCCCGCCCCGCCGCTGGACAGCAGCTCGAAAGCGCCCTGGGGGGGGGGGAACAGGAGAACAGGGGGGTTGGGAGGGAAGGAGGGAGGGAGGGAGGGAGGGAGGGAGGGTGGGAGGGAGCAAGATACGGGTGGGGAACCACACCATGATAGGAGCAACAGTGGCAATTCATTAGAGGAGGGGTAGGGAGGGAGGGAGGGAGGGGCAGGGGTGTGGGATGTTATAACACACCCCCGTATAACACTGCCGCACTCCTGTCGTACACTGCAGCGGTACCGCAGAAGTACTATTGTCGTGCTATTGTCGTACTACATTAACAGTACAGTTGTCGTACCTTGTACGCGGAGAGGAAGTAGTTGGCCCATGAGTGGTTGGCCACATCGACCGGCTGGGCGGGGTCGGCTGGGAACTCCTGGGAGGGGGAGGATGGATGGGGGGGTGGGGGGCGGGTGGGTAAAAATAAGGAGGGGAGGAGGGGTAAGGAGGAAACAACAATGTACGTCCTCGCCCCCCCCTAGTCTCGTCCTGCCTCAATCCATCCCGTCATTTCCTTTCCCCTCCCTTCCTGGGATGAGCCCTGAGGTGTCCTACGTCGCCACCATTTCCCCTCTCCCCGCCTCCCCCCTCCCCGTCTCCCACCCCCTATAATTCCTATGGTTCGGTTTTAACCCGCCTCCCCTCCCCGCCCCCCTCCTCCCCCACCTGTGTGGGGTACTTGTCCGCCTCCACATTCCCCACCACCAGCTTGTCGCCGCCCGGGACACGGCGGATGGCAACAACCGTGTCCTGATGCAGAGGGGAGGTGAGGGGGGTCAAAGACCATACCGAACCTCCCCCCGAGGTGGGGGGGGGGGGGTGATGCAGGGGAAAGGTGAACAGAGCCGCGAGGAAACACTTCGGGACTGTGACTACGGGAAGACCCGTTGAGGGTGGTGGGATGGGGTGGGCAGGGGAAAAGAAGATTAGCCCAATGCGTTAAAGGCAATGGCAAACCGGATGACAAGTTCCAGGGCGTGTGGGGGGGTTGGGGGGGGGATGGGAGGCAGGCGGTGGGGTGGGGTGAAGCCGGCGGGCTGTTGTTGTCCACAGGAGGCAGCTACTACGGGTGCAGCAGAGAGGTGCTGCGGCCCCTACGGCCCCTACCAGCTGCCCCACCCCCAGTCTTTTGAGCGACCCATGGTGAAGCCTACGTGTCATACAGCTCGTTGGTTTCCTCTTTTGACCCCCCCCCCGTGTCTTTTACCCCCCGCCCTGATGCCGGGGGGTACCTGCTGGATGGCCATGGGCAGCACTCCGTAGCCCTCATAGTCGATGTGCTCGCCAATCAGGTTGACACGACCTGGGGGGGGACGGGGAGGCAGGGGAGGGGGGGCGGGAGGGGCGGGAGGCAGGGGGGAGGAGGGTAGGAGATATGGAGGGAGAGGGGAGCAGGCAGGAACGGGCGTCGGGAGTTGGCAGCGTTAGGAGCAGGAATGGTGCCACGGGTACGTTTGGGGGAGCAAAAGCAGGCCTGGGGAGGCACAGCATGGGGATATGGAGGTCAAGGATACATGCAGTTTGTGCATATCCCGTACGATGCTCGGCTGAGTTACCCATCCTATGCCATGCGGTGGCAAACTGGCACAGCGAAGTGTTCCAAGCACGCTCTCGCACCCACCGGGAGCCCGAGCATAGAACTCGGGAGCGCCGCCGTAGGCCAGCTCGAAAGCGGTAGCGATTTGCTTATAGCGCTCGGCAACATCTGCAGCACAATGTCCGTCCGCGGAGCTTAGGTGAGCTTTGGGTTGTGCGGAAAAGCGAGTAGCTAGTAAAGACTTGATCGAGGTGTGCTGCATCGTGTTATTTGAGAGGTAAATGAGGTCACCTGGGGCATTGCTGTAGACCTCCCCGAGATCGGTGTAAAGGGGCACGGTGGGGCTGGGCTTAAACGACAAGGCAGCGCTCTCCTCCTTCGTGGCTGTGGCAGTGGTCGCTGCCATTGCGGGCAATGCGCTAGGTGCCCAGCGGGGACTAATCGGAGTGCGTTACGACGAACGAGGGACTGCGTTTAACCGGCAGCGCTCAATATCAGCACCTATAGTTTCTTTGGGTCTTCAGTCCGGTTGCATAAGGTGAACAATAGATTGATCAACTGTCTGCGTCAGCGAGCTGGCTCCAGAACCAGTACGGCACATACGTCGCGGCTCTTGCACTGTTGCTTCTCAGATAGGCTACATTATAAGTCGTTTTACGGCAGCTACGTTTCCTTCTTACCTCAATTTTTAGAGTTTATGTTATAACGGCTTATACATTTACAATCAGAAATGTCTGCCCTTACTTGCTGCACTAAGATTGCTCACCCAACCTGCGGGCGATCTACGCAATTGTCCCGGCGCGCACGTATAGTTTTGCCACGAGCGGTAGAGGTGAGTCGGTTTGCTTGCACCTTGTATTGCTACCACCATACTTGCCACCACCCTACTAAGCGCACCTCGTATCAGAAGGCATGGCCTTTTATAGCGAAAATCAAAAGTTGGCGTTCAATAATAATTAATAACTATTCGCTCAATTCCACCCGATGCATCCGCCGCAGCCGAAGCAGCAGCAGGGCGCCTCACCGAGCACAAACGGAACCGCAGCAGCTGAGGACTCCAAACCCACATTCACGCGCGAGTTCACGTCCTACGGGGCCCGCATCGTAGAGAGCGATGGCAAGCTGACTGGGCCAGAGGATGAGAAGGACTTCTGGGAAGGGGAAAACATGGAGGTGCGTTCAGTCGAATACTTTTGGCAACATGCACCTATTTTGTGGCTTCCCCTCCTGTCCCCTCTTCCCTTTCTTTTACTTCGCCCGTCTGCAGATTCCTTCGTTTGGTGCCGTCACCTCACCCCCGCCATGACAACCCACCAAGTATCCTTCTTCGTGTGCTGCACTAACCCGACAAGTTCGACTACCCGCAATCCTAAAACCCAGACTAATGCGGAATGTCGTATCCCTATTACCCCTCCTCCCCGCCCCTCAGACGCTGGGCAAGCTGGTTGAGCGCTACTTCCTGCCCGCCCTGGTGGTGCTCGGGCTGCTGGCGGGTGGCATCGCAGCCCGGTCGTACAACGAGAACGCTGACGTGTTCCTGGCGCCGCCCAGTGGGCCCGATGCGGATGTGAGGGTGGTGCCGGCGGGGGCGCTGGCGCCCACTACCGTGGTAGCTGCACCTGAAGTGGGGTCCTCCTCGCAGTGAGGGACAGGGAGGGTGGGGAAAGAAGGGGAAAGGAGCTGGCCACCTGTGTAACAAGGGGGTCCTCAGAGGGGGTGAGGGAAGGGGTAAGGGTGAGGGAAGGGAGGCAGCAAGTTCGATGGAGGAGAGTGTGACACGAGGGGGAGGAGGGAGTCATGTTGCTGTGCTGCATGTTGCTTCCAAAACGGGGGAACGGGTGGTGAGATTGAAGCGGAGGCGGCGGGGGAGTAGTTGTTACAGCTGCAGCTGCAATACAGCTGAAGGGGCGCATCTTGCATGCTGCTGGGGCGCATGGGTGCTGCCTGCTGCTGGCTGGTTGGGTGCGTAGGTGCATGGATACATGGCTGGCTTGAGGGGCCATAATGCGATTGGAAACGCGCGGGTTGAAGGAAGGGACAGCGATGGGGCGGCTGCTGAGGAGGAGGGTGCGTTACGGGTGGCACATGGCAGCTGGCGTGGAGGGTTTGGAGAGGAGAGGAGTGTTACCATGTGAGGGGAAAGGGGGCGGTGAGGGATAGATGAAAAGTGAAGCAACGGAGTCCCGATCCCATATCCCGGTGTGAGGGGGTAGAGGTGGTTCACACCGGGAGGATGGACAGGATGAGGGGTCCGGAAGGCGGCAGGAGAGGGGATGATGTGCGCGTAACGGTGCGGTGTGTAGGTTGGTTTGGTTGACAGCTAGGCTCTATTGGGGTCCTTCCAAACCTACACTGGTTAGCTGACCTTGTCAACCTTCAAACTGCTAACGATGAGATGCTTACCGTACTACTCTCCCTCCCTCAAGACTGTTGGAGTGTTTGTGTGTTGATGCATGGGTGTCACGAGAAAGACAGAAGAAGCCACACGTGCTTTCTAGACCCTGATGGAGGTGACAACCCCGAGGGAATCTAGGGGAACAAAGGAGGATGGGAAATACATGGAACGGCATTCCGAGCATTCGTATTCTGGTACTACCCACCCTTCCTGCCTGACGAGTCGATTGGTGACGTGATGCACCGTATACGGTACCATGCGTCCCCTGTTGCTGGGTTCTGATTGGCCGGCTGCCGTACATGTAGCCCCCAGCTGCACGATTCTTGACGTTCCTGGGGGTGGGTTATTTTCATCATTTGGTGTGTGGCCCGCCGACACCCTGATGGCAGGCCAAGCATGACTGCATGGGAAAGAGGAACAAAAGCGGCGGTGTGTGTCAAGAATACTGTGTCAAAAAAGCTGACCACGAGGAAGTACGGCACTTACCGGTGCCCGGTGTGTGGATACAGCTGAGTGTGGCATGGGAGCGACAGCAAGGAAGAAGAAAACGAGAGGTAGAGGAAAGAAATGAAGTGAAGACCAAGCGAGTGGAGGCGGTGGTGCCTCCGGTGGTTTATGTTACCAGCATTTTCCGCTCCGTCATTGTGTTTCAGAATGCTGAAAGTGGCGTAGGAAGAGCCGCGGCATGTGTGCATGGGCAGTCGCTGTCCGGGCGTTACAGAGCATCAGCTGCCTCGACGATGACCATCATGGGAATGGGAAACCGCCATACAGGCCCTTGCCTCCAGCTGGCCAGACCCATGGGTCATCAGGTGCGCCAATCGGGTCAGCCTTATCCCCCTGAATGCCAGCGCCCTAGGCACACCAAGTCCACGGAAAACGTAACGGTGTTGCAGTCTGTCTGCCCAGCTGCCACCTCGCTTGACCTAAACTTCCGTTATGCAGCACACAGCGCCCAACCAACATCGGCCCTTCCGTCACCGCTGAGCAAGGGCTGTGCATTGGTCTCTTATCGTGGCATTGGTCTCTATCGGCTATATATCCCACGCACATGCACTTAAGGTCCCTGCCTCTCTTAATGTCGTTCCTGGTTCGCCGATAGCATTTGAGTTTAGCACAAACGGTAACAACCACTGCAAACTGTAATGGCGACGCAATGATGTGTTTGTGAAGTTATGATACAACCCCAGTAGGATAGATAGAAGACATACATCCCTCGTTGCCTTGCCGTGTAAATCATTTCCTGTGGCCTCCTTCCACACACCCACCGCAACTGCTTCTATGTTGTTCCCCCAAGACTCATAACACCACCACGATGGTTCACTATCATGTGGCACCCATGCCACCTCTCTTACTACGCACACTCCAAACTCCATGCATTGCCCCCCTCAACTGTCGTACACACTACCGTACACATCCGTACGGCACCATATCACAGCAGTCACACCTACCGTACTTGTCGTACGGTCCGCTGCTCCAGCCGCCCCAGCTGCTCCAGCATGCGCCCCACTGCCGGCAGCCCCACCTCGCAGTCCTCCCGCACCGCCGCCACCACCTCCTCCAACTCCTCAGCAACCAACTGCATGGGTGTGGGTGGGGGGTGGGGGAGGGGGGTGGGGGGGCATGGGCATGTCATGACGAGCCCTAGACTGGTAGTAAGCACGCAGCACCTCAACCCCAACGTGGTTCCGCCGTTCCTACCCCTGTGCTACCAAATGGCTGCTGCGGACAGCCCGAACGCCTAGGAGTGTGGTCGGTCCTACCTCTGCGCTCTCTCGCTGCCGTACCAGCATCTTGGTAGCTGCCGACATAGCTGGAGCGCACCTCTGCACGTGCTCCTGCAGTGCAGCGGGGGTACGACACAATACGCGTTGTACTTACGGTGTGCGCATCCGTTGTGAACTCGCAAGTGAACAATAGTACAAAGTATAGAGATGTACTGCAAAATGTCATGATGGTGACAACGTCCTACCGAGACTGCGACAAGCCCTTGCTGTGGCTCCGATGCCACGAGTCGAGGTACCAAAAGCGCGCTTTGACTGAGCTGGGTAACTGTAGCCAGTCGTTAGATAAATGCAGTCATTACACAGTAAAGCAAATAGTTACATATTGGGTAGCAACGCCGAATGTCTCTCAACGCTTTACCGTTTGCTTCTAGTTGATCAGCAGCAGATGGGCGAGATCGGAACATTGGTGCTCCCCAGCAATAGAATATGGATTATCTATGCATTACCTGTCCTTATTGAGGTAATACGTAATAGGTGTTATCTGCTGTGTTGCCGTGCAGCTGCCTTACCCGGCACTGAGCAGTGTGTCCCCTTGTGTCTGCGCGCTGGGGGATGGGTGTGGTTGACTTCTCACTTTTTCCTCGTAAAGCCCCCGACACGGACACCAACTATCCCTTCCCGTCGAGTCCGTCGAGAAACCAAATGCCTGCCTTGCCTGCTGTAAACACATCGTAGTTTGCACGGTCCTGCATTTACTTACAGTTCCAGGTAAGGAGTCCGGACAAATGGAGGTCACAAGTTCACATCTTGTAACACAAAAAGAGTTATTGGAGGCTGTTTGCCAGAGCATAAACTCTGAACTGAATACAATACGGTACGACGAGACATTGTCAGCTATGTGACGGTGACTCTTGACATTTATGTACTTCCTGTGAATGGCGTGTGTGACACACGCATGCAAAACGAGGCGCAAGGTTGGTCACCAGCGCTGCCGAAAAGGAATAAACGGCACCTCCCACGCACCACACCCTAGCCTGTTTCGGCCTCTCCTGCCTCCCCTTACCCCCCAGCCAGGAGGGATACGACGTCTACAGCCCGTTGCAAATCAAACCCAAAATCGTTATCCACAGCCAAGACTCCGGCAAAAGCGTTGATGGGCGACTGCGCTGCAAAAGCGGCAGTGCACATGCTTTCTTCCTCCCTTCCTTTCTTCCTTGCCACGCATGCGCCTGCTGCACCTCGCAGCTGCAAAACGCAAGCAATCACCCACTGCTGTGCTCCGTGAACCCACCTCGCAAGTAAAACACCACACAGCAACGGCCACATCGCGCCGCACTTCGTATCACCTACCCACAGATTGTGAAGGGAGACGCATTCGTACCGGAAGAAGCCAAGCAAGCAGTGAGGCCAAGAAAGCCAGTTTCATCCCACCCTCTGCCCCTTGCAACCACCTGCAAACCCCATAAATGTTTTCAGGACAGCAAAAGGAACACAAGATAGCCATGTGTCACCAGCATCAGACCAACCGCATGTAAGAGACAATGCCGTCTACAGCCCCCCTGCAGCAGGCTGCCAGCCTGCAGTACAACCCCTCCTGCTCTCCCCTTCAACTCTTGGCGTTGGTGAGGGCCCCTCAAGCTCCGGGGGCCCCGCCACACCGCAGAAAGCAGCGCTTCTCTCTGCACAGCAGCATGCACAGCCTAACGGAGATGTAGAAGCAACCCCTGCCTGCGACCCGGGACCCGCAATCACGCGTTCATGCATTCAGCATTCCTTTTCTTGTACACGGTCCCCATTCCACCACCTGTGGCCCCTCCTGCTACTCAGTATGACACACATATCCGACATGTTTGGCAAGAGCGGCATCACATCCAGGAGTCACAAAACACACCTGCGACACACACACCATCATCTTTCGCCAATCACAGTACGTTTCGGCTCGGCAGTTACCCACACACACATACCACCTGCACGCAACCATGTATAACCCTTACACGTCCCTTAGTATGCACGCCAAATTGGTAGCGACAGGAGCTCTGTAGGAAGGGTTGGCCCGCCGACTAACGCAGTTCCCGCTGTCACGGCACTGTCCCTGCTGCCGCCGCCTTGTTGCTGCACCCTGATGCCCCCTCCCCTCCCCTCCTGGGTGGGTGGGCGCAACCCCCCTTCCTCCTGCCCCCCCTGCCCGTGCCGTTGCATGCATGCTGGGGCCCCCTCCCCTCTATTAGCACTACTGCTGCTGCTGCTGTTGGCACCATACACAAGGTAGGCATGTGTGGATCGGGCGGTAAAGGCCAGCGAGGTCCAGGAGATCCGCCCCAAAGTAGGAAGCCTCTCAGAGAGAGACGGAGAGGTTGTTGCTAGGGGCGCTGCTACCGCCGGCCGTGGTAGAAGAGCAGCGCGGGGTCCATGCCTGTGGGCGTGCCCGCGGTGCCGACCTTCTCATTCGTGTACTTGTTTACCTGAGGTACGAGGAAAGGGAGGAGGGCGGCAGGGGAAGCAACGTCAGGCTGAGTTGGGGAAATGGAGGAGGAAAACGTGAGGTTGGGAGAGGTGAGGGATTGCCGGAAGAACCGCGAGGTGTGAGGCAGGTGGCGGAGCGGGAGGTTCAGGTGGCGGTGCGGGAGCAAAGTGAGTGAGGCCGGTGGGTTGGGAGGGCTAGCCGTGCAGTTGCGGGCGGAGAGGCGGGCTTGAGGAGGTAACTGGTTGGGGGAGGTAGGACGGGGACACGACACGGGCTTGGGCCCAGGAGGACACTGTGAGCTGTATGAGACGCAAGATAATAGCAACGCTGTAGCAAGGCTACAATATAAGTCCTAAAGGGAAACCTCACGACATCTCGAGAGGCCTTTTAGGACCGTTGTTACAAACGCTGAGGGATAATACACTGGGCGGGGCGCCGGGCGCCACTCCTGACGCCACCCTTCTGCCTGCCAGACGTTCCCAAGGCACCCCTTTCGAGCACCGACTCTTACTTTTGTGGTGTTGCGCAGGGTCTGGATGGTGATGTCGATGTCCTTGTCGATGTAGAACTTGCGTGTGCGCATGAAGCCGTTGGCGGCTGCGGGGGTCTGCAGGACGGCGGCGTCGCCGTGATAGCGCATGGGGGAGCCGGCAACCGGGTCACGTACACCAGGCCTGGTGAGGAGCGGTAAGAGGGGGGGGGAACAGAGCAAATTAACGAGCTGGAGAGAGAGGGAGAGGGCGATTGGGAGGGTGGGCAGTCGAGAGACTTGTCGCGAGGATGGGGGGATGACGGGCACCGAAAAGGGCAGCATGAGGGGTTGAGCAGGGGGTAGCATGGGCGTTACAGTCCTCCACGCCTGACACTCAGCGCTGGGCCCCAGGTGCAAGCGACCCCAGCCCTGCTGCTGACGTTGCCGAAGCACTCCACCCTACCCTGCTGCACCGCTGGACCGGTAGCTCCCCGCCCACCCGGCCCCTGCACCCAAGCCAATCCGATACAACTTGCGGGGCAGCGAAACGTAGCGCCCCGCCACCACATACCTGTTTTTAGCCACGGGCGTAACAAGCAAGTCACCGCTAATAGGGCTGTGTACCCGTAGGACGGCCCCCGTGTTGTCGAGCGCCACCTCGCCTTCATTTTTGCCGTATAATGACATACGGCAAGCGGTGCTGTTGAAAGTTTGGGCTCCACGAAACGTGTCAAGCCCTACGCAATCCATGCTGCGGCCAGTCATGCGGCGAGGGCTGGAAGAGGCCGGCACGGCGGGCATGGACATCGTGCCGCGCATGGCGCCTACTACGGCGTGGTTGCTTGTTCCGCTGGGACTCATGCGGTCAAGGCTGTTTGTGATGGCCCGACAAGGCAATGGACGTTGTCCTCGTCAAGGATTCCACGATGTCCTCCTTATAGATTCCCGATGCGCTGATGCGCCTTTTCAATTAGTAAAGCGCCCTTTCCTTAGTGCACCGAGGGCGTGGCGCGAAGTAAGATGGACGTTTCCTGAGGGTAGGTCACAGGGTAGGCCATGTCGCGTCGATTCAGACAGTTACGCATACCGCACCGCTTACAAAGTATTTATTTGTAAACTAGTACTACATGAAACACATGTACATGTTAAGCGTACGCCTTGCTCAGATGTGCTTGCTCAGGGTTTTGTAAGAGTGGCAAGCATCGAAGCCTCAAGGTAGCCGACATGCTGCATTTCAGCGCTGGTTGCTGGCAGCGAGTGTGTCTGGATGGGACTGCCAGCAAAGTGTGAGGGGCCAATTCTAAGCTTCGAAGCGAGAGTGCATGCGGCGATAACCCCCAATTTGGGACATAACGGAACAGAAAGCTGCTGCAATATGAAACGCAGCATCCACTTGCCTCTTGTCTATGAGGACTGCACGGCGAGCTCCTGTTCCTTATGTAGTCAAGTATGCGTGAACTGGTGGCTACCTCGCGGAACTAATTAAAATGATAGGGATTGCGACAGCTTGTTGTTATGCAGAAAGGGTCACCAATATGGCTTCAGTTTGGAAATGGCATAGTTTTGCATGGCCAAGTACGACAAAGGATGCCGGTTAGCTCTCCCACCTCCTCGCACATATGTGGAAATTCTTTCAATCGACGCGAAAAGCCAATTGGATACAGCAGGAGCCTTGCCTTGTAACTGTCCGAAAAATGTCTGAACTAGCGATGCCCCTGCTTGTTGTGAACTTGGGTTGTGAAATGGTGTACATTTTAGAGCAACGACTCAAAGCGCAAAACATTCCAGCGGATAAGAGTTGCAAAGTCCTTAACGACGTGATCAGAACCATGTTCGACGCTGAGTACGTGGACAAGCTGTTCGCACCACAGGATATGTACTCAGTGTCAAAAACGCGGAAGATTTTTGATCGGCTGGCACATTCAAGCATCATGCGGCTAAGCGAGTCCAGGTGCGCTCCAACGCCACAGAGCGTGTGATCAAGGAAATTACAGCTTCCGAATTACAGGTTGCTTGTTATATCGGTGTGATGCGTGCAGTGCTAATTAGCACGGGCTACATAGGCCTTTCCAAAGGAGACGACCGCCATGGGTCTTCGCTACGCTGCTCAAACAAAACATGCGGGGATGCAATCAAGAACCCTGATTTGTAGCGGAATAATTGGGTGCATAGATATCCTTGACACTCCTGCGTCCCCTTGAGTATTGGGTTGCTACGTGCGGCCCCCGACTCCCCATCTACCGCTCAGCAACGAGCCTCCATTTCCTGTTCTGCCCAGGCATTTGCATGTCGTTTCTGTATGACCTCGTATCATTGCTTTATGACACCCCTCCCCTCCCCCACGTTACAACCATTTTCTCCTCCTCTTCGCTTCTTGCCCTCCTGTCACTTTCCCTTCGCCTGTACGACACACGCAAATGTCGTACACAATCCAACTCTCCATGTCGTACACATCTGCGCAGCATGGACAAGCTGTACGACCTGATGTTGATGGGCTTCAAGTACCAGCTGCTGTGCGCCACCAAGCTGGAGCAGATGCTGGATGTGAGGGGGAACACATGAGGGGGAGGGGAGGCGAGGACGAGAGGCGGGATGCTGAGTGGGGGTTGGCGAGGGAGGGGGTGACGGGGGATGGAGGTGGCGGGCAGAGGGAAGAGGGTGGAGGTGGCGGGGAGGTAGGGGCGCGCCCCCGGGTTGGGGTGTTGGGGTGCTGCGAGGGCGGTGTTGGGGTGGTGCGGAGTGCACGGGTGGACACCCCACACACTGTTCCGCTCACATCCTCCTCCGTCGCCACCTCACCAGCCCCCCATACTACACGCCCCCCTCCCTCTTCCCCCCTACTGGATATCCTTCTTTCCCCTCCCCATTCTCCCTCCTCCCATGCATTTCTCTATATCTTTCCCCTCCCCCCTCCCCACTGCATGAGTCGGGATATGGGATTGGGACTCGTTGTTTCACTTATATAATTTTTCTCCCCCCTCCCCAGGTGTCGCTGCTGCACCTGGTTACTGTTCGCTCCATCGTGGAGGGGCTGCCGGACCGCAGCAGCCTGCCGCTGATCGCCACGGTGGAGCGGCTGCTGGGGCGCACCTACCGCGGGCTGGGGCAGGGCGCGCTGCACCTGGTGCGGCAGACGCTGCTGCGCTTCTTCCAGGACAAGCGGGTCAAGGTGTCGCTGTTCCTGCAGGTGGGGGGGGAGGGGGTCAAGGGACCATGCCAAACCATAGGAGACCACAGGTTAGGGCACAGCAATGGGGGAAGGAGTTGCAGGTGTGGGGGGGGGGGGGAGGGGGGAAGGGAGGTGGAAGACCCCTAGATCTCCCCCCCGACTAGCGCGGGAGGGGGGTCAAAGACCATACCAAACCATATGAGACCACAAGTTAGGGCAAAGCAATGGGGGTAGGAGTTGGCGGGAGGGGGGGAGAAGAAGGAAACTGACGGGGCAACTGACCAGCTGTGTGACATGTAGGCTTCACCATGGGGTGCAAACATGGTGGCCCATCCCGCTTGGGAGGGAGAGGTGAAGGAAGACCCCTAGACCCTAACCCAACGACTAGCGGGGGGTCAATAGCGACGTTGCTTTTTGATCCTTCGATGTCGGCTCTTCCTATCATTACTTCAGAGAAGACCATACCGAACCATAGGAACCACAGGTTGGGGCAGATTGATGGGGGAATGAGGCAGCAGGGTGCTTCAAGAGGGAGGAGAGGAGATGAGTGAAGTAGGACCCCGTGTTCCGACTCATTCACTGAGCGCAACAACCGAGGCTACAGGTACGCTAGAGACGCGCAGCACAGGGGCCAAGCGTTGCCCCTCCATCTTCGTTCGCCCCCTCCCCTTCCCTCTTCCCCTTCCTCTCCGGTAAACTATACGGCCAGGGTCAGTGCTTCCGCGGCTCAGTTTGCCCAATCCCGCCATCTCCCTCCCGCCCCCCTCCCTCTCCCTCTCCCTCTCCCTCTCCCTCAGGAGGGCATCCAGTCTTCCATGGGTCGCATCATCCTGCCCTCCCCCGCCAACACCTACGTGGGCACCGTCACCACCTACGACATGGCGGGAGGGCTGGAGAGCCAGGAGAAGTTCAAGGTCAAGAGCAGCACGGTAGGCGGGGGACGTAAGGGTCAAAAGCAGCACGGTAGGGGGGGGACGTAAGGGTCAAAAGCAGCACGGTAGGGGGGGGACGTAAGGGTCAAAAGCAGCACGGTAGGGGGGGGACGTAAGGGTCAAAAGCAGCACAGTAGGGGGTAAAATTATATAAGAAATGCAAACAACTAAGTCCCTATCCCATAGCCAGGCAGTCAAGCTCCCTGCCGTACGGTGTGTAGCTGCCGTACGGTGTGTAGCTGCCGTACGGTGTGTAGCTGCCGTACGGTGTGTAGCTGCCGTACGGTGTGTAGCTGCCATACGGTGTGTAGCCGCCGTGCTGTGTGGCCGCCGTACGGTGTGTAGCCGCCGTCGTGTCCATGTATTGGCATGCCCCTCCCATTCACCGCATGGTTCTTTTTTCCCCCCTACCCCCCTACCCCCATACTTTGGAATTTCTTCTCCCCCCCCTCCTCCCTTCCCCCCCCCTCCTCCCTGCCCCCCCCCTCCCCCCCTCCTCCCTTCCCCCCCCCTCCCCCCCTCCTCCCCCCCCCACCCCCCAGATCGACCCACAGGAGTTCTTCGTGCACCCGGTGCCGCTGGGCTCCAACCTGTACAACAAGGAGCGGCCCAAGGTGGTGCCGCCGCCGCGCAAGGGGGACGCGCTAACGGCGCCCATCAAATCGGAGGACGACTACAAGACGAATGTGGGTGGGGTGGCTGGTTGGGTTGGCGTGCGTGGGTGGTACACCGGGCCGCGAGGAGGGTATGCCACACTGTTGCTTACTTACTTTGCCTATTCCTCTTTACCTCCCCTTCCCCTCCCCCCCGGGTATGATCTTTGTCCCCCCCTCCTCTCCCCACCGCTCCCCGCCCCCCCATTGTTTATTACCCGCCCCCCCCCCCCAGGCGGATGACGAGGCGGACCGGCAGCGGTGCGGGCCGCAGTGGGGTCCGGGGGGTGCGGAGTTCGCGTACCTGTCCGCACTGCTGAACGTGAAGGCGCCGCCCGCGGACAACTTCAAACTGAACCTGTTTGGGGACGAGGGGGACGCGGCGGGAGGTGAGGGGGGGTGTGGGGGATATGGGGGGTCAGAGGGCACAAGGTCAAAGCCATGGGAGGGAGTGAGGGAGGAAGTGGGTGGGAGTGAAGGAGGAAGAGGGCGGGAGGGAGGCAGAGTGAGGGGGGCTCTGTCGAATGTGTTTGTCTTTGTACCCCCCACCGCCTCCCCCCACCGGATGGAATTCGACGTCGGGAACTAATCCCCATCTCCTTTTTGTTACCCACCCTATTGCCCTCCTTTTCCCACCTCCTACCCCCCACCTCCCCCCCGCTGCTTCACGTTTCTTTCACTTCTTGTTATATTTCTGGTTTGCCATCCTCATTCAACCCATAGCGAATTCTTCTTCCCCACCCCCCGCCCCCTTCCTCGCCACCCCCGCAGGCCCCGCCCAGTCCAGCAACCTGGCCTTCAGCGGCGCGCAGGCGGACGCGCACCTGGCGGGAGTGATGAGCGAGATGCGGGTGGGGGCAGGCGGGGAGAAGGGGCCGGGGGAGCGAGACCTGCTGGACCTCATGGACAGCGCGTAGGGGGGAGGTGAGGGGAAGGGAAAGGGGTGAGGGGGGAGGGGAAGGTGGGGAGGTGAGGAAGGACAGCCGTGCGTTGAATGATGGGGGAAAGGAAGAATGAGGGGGGAAAGAGGGACGGAGGGGAGGCGTGTTGGTATTCCCACAGCTGCATGTGAGCTGTCTCTCTCGCAGGGGTGTAGTGGGTGGCTGTGTGGTAGGGTGGATAGCCGTGTGGTGCCGGGTATGTGGGGACGGCGCTCGGCGGCACACCCACCTGCGCCAAGAGGCGCCCTGTCTGGGAGCAGGAGAGGTGTGGCGAGAGGTGGCGGGCCAGTTGGAGGGGAGGGTTGGCGCCGTGGGGTGGGAGAAAGAGGAATGCGGAAGAGGAAGGAACGCACGGTACCGCGTACACATGACTGGCTGGCTGGGTGCGGGCGGGGGCGGGGGCGGGGGGGCCGTGTGGGGGCTTAATAGGGATGAAGATTCCGGAGGAAGAGGAGAAGGAGGAGGAGGGAAATTATAAATAAGTGCAACAACAGGGAGGGAGGGAGGCTGCGGTGCATGAGCGGTGTGCAGTGCGGTTATGCCCCGGCGTGGGAGGGGCGGTGCGCTGCTGGCAGCTGTTGCGGGGGAGGGGCAGCATAGCTTGATAGGCTGATGGAAGGAAGGAGGGGAGCTGGGGGCATTGCTTGGGCTTGGACGCGCTAGGTCTGTTACCGCACATCTGTAAGGAGTGCGAAGAGGGAGGGAGGGAGGGAGGAGGGTATTAGGATACCGGGCCGTAAGAGTAGGTAGGAGGGGAGGGCACATCACGCCGTGCGAGTCTTACTGCTGAGCTAAGCTGTGTGTGATCTCCTAATTAGGAAGTTATGTACGTGGGAAGGAGGAAGGTCATAATATAAACATGAACAGCCCAGGTTCCCATCCCTGGTGGCCGCAGGCAGCAGCGTGTGTGCTGTTATTCTTTAGGCGAGGCGAGGGAAGAGGCTTAGGAAGCAGGCAGAGTAGGAGGGGGTGACGTGCGCCGATAGGATGCACAATGACTGTGAATCTCCTGGGCTAGTGTCAGCAAAGTTAGCTCATGAACTGTACTAGTATGCGCACTGATTTAGCCCTTGGTTGGGGCGGGGAAGCCGCCTGGTTAGTGTTGGGGTACCGGTATCTGTGCAGGCGGCGTGCCTGGGCGTCAGGCTGCTAGGTTCTTCCGAAGGGGGCAGCCCTGTTCTTCAGAAGGGGGCAGCCCTAATTACTGGTATGTGGGTGGTTATGTGCATCCAGGGTGTGCGCGTGCTGTGACTTGTGAGGAGGGGAACAGCTCCAGGAACGGATGGCTGGACTCCAGCGCGCCGCGGCGGGCCTCTTGGCTGTGTAAGCCAAGCACTGCTGTGCGTGCGACTTACTACCAGCACGAGTGCTCCTATCTGAGCTGATGGCCTTAATACCTATGTGTGTAGTTGAGTAAAACAAGAGCAAGCAGTTGGGATAGGTGTGTGTTTTTGAGCAAATCAAACATGCAAACCTTGTTACAATGTGTTGCGTGCGCTCAAGCATTCTTACAAGAACGTCTTTTTCTTCGCTTGAGTGTGCCAGTGCCGTGGATTCTCCCTGCACTTGTTGCATGCGGCGGCGAGCGTTGCAAGGTACCCATGGTCCGTTGTGTAAGGCCCATGGGTCGTTGTGGCGACTGCTTGTGTGGGTATGCATTACGTGGGCATGGGGGACCCGATTGGCGACCCCCCACGCGTGCAAATGGATACGTTGGCAGACCAATCCGAGTTACTTCAGTTGCCTCATGAGGACAGCGCAACTCAACAACAGCCCTCGGGACTACAAAGAACACATGTTGTGTATCCCCCACAGCATTGACGGCTCAACCAATGGAAGGCAACCAGCCAAATATCGTTCTTTTATCTTATCTGTACATCCTAACTACCCGGTACGGTAACGACCATGTGAAGTATACAACAACGCCGTGCTGTGCTGTGCCAAATAAGGCGCACTACAACCTACAACAGAAACAGAAACCACATGGTCTGAGTAACCTTGACTGCAACATTGCAACATACACAAACACCAAGATGAAATATGTTTAATTGAACGAAGCGCAAGACAGCAGCTGTAACATAGCCGCTCCTTCACTTCCGAGCTGCTTGCTGACATGTCGCTCGTTTGTACTACTGTCCTTTGCTAAGCCTGCGCAAGTCCGAGCCGACATGGTAGGTATCGAACCTTTTACTTGTTAGCTAGCCCTGAGAAAGCTCAAGACATGTGAGCTCTTAACTCTGTGACTTCAGCCAATCCAATCTTGTAAAGGTCTAAGCAGTTCCCCGGTTCAACAGTAATAGTCCTCCTGCAAACACGCATGCTGTACTGCTAAACTGTATTGTCTGCGACTGCCTCTCATCCCCTCAGCTGACCTGCCTCTGCTGGTCCAACCTGCTGGCATGGACACGTCCTGCAACGCTCTCTCAACTGCAACTCCGCCCCAGTAGTGGTCCCTCCTGCATGTCCACATCCCCCCCGCCCTCCGGCCCCACTTCCTCCGCCCCTGCCCCTCCACCCCATGCCCCAATGCCCTCATCCCCATCCCACCCCTCCTCGCTGCTGCATCCCTCAGGCATCACCTCGCATGCAACGCCAACCCCAAGCCCCCGCACCTCCTCCCCAAGCCCACCGCCGCCCTCCTCTTCTCCAACATCCATCAGCCCTGCTGTGGCAGGCACCTGCTGGGCGGTGCTGCCCCTTCCACCACCGCCGCTGCTGCTGCCTCCAGCCGCTGCTGCTGCTGCTGCCGCACTGCCCACAGCAGCAGGTGCCGCCACCACAGCAGCAGCGCCACCACCACCACTACCATCGCAGGAGGAGGCGGCCTGCAGCTTGCAGCTCCTCCTGCGTCCCCCCGCCGCCGGCTTGCGGGTGTGGCTGGCCAGCCTGCGGGATGCGGGGGGCGGGGAGGCGGCCTGCACACCATGGAGGGGCGGGGAGGCTGCTGCTGCTGCGTGGGCTGCTGCACCATTCCGGCCTGCATGGCCACCATCATCATCACCATCACCAGGCACCACCTCCACCTGCTCCACCTCCACCTGCTCCACCTCCACCTGCTCCTCCTCCATCTGCTCCTCCTCCATCTGCTCCTCCTCCATCTCACCCCAGGTGCGGCTGCCACTCAGGCAGCAGCTGGCAGCAGCCCCACCACCACCACTCCTAGCCGCTTCCATTGCCACTGCTGCTCCTGTCACTACTCCTGCCCTTGCTGCTGCTGCTGTTGTTTCCGCTAGCAGTCCTTCTTCATCGGCGCCAGCAGTCGTCATGCCACCGCCGCCACTGCCACTAGCCGCAGTGCTGCCGGAGTCTGCACCCACACTGCCCACCTCCGGCTCTACCTCCACCACCATGCGGCTGTCGCTGCCCCCCAGGCGCCGACGAGATGGGCTGCCTGCAGCTAGGGTGTGGCCCGCCCCCTGCTCCCCGCGGTGCCGCTTGGCAGCAGCAGGAGCAGCAGCGGCAGCAGCAACAGTGGCCGCAGCTGTTGCAGCAGCTGCAGCAGCAGGGGTACCAGTAGCAGGGGTGATAGCAGGGCCCGCCGAGAATGCAGCTGTGGTGCCACCAACAACCGCTTCTGCATGGGACGAGGCAACTGCCAGCATTGGTTCTGCTAGCAGGGCGACTGTTCCTGCCGTTCGTGGTTGTGGTGGTGGTGGTTGTGCGAATGTGAGGGTGCTGCCTCCTGTCCTCCTCCTCCGGTCGGCTTTTCCCCCAGGGCTGCTGGCAGCAGTGGCTTCTCCCCCGAAGGCGACCTCCTTTGCCCCACCTGTACCAGCCGCATCACCACCAGCATCGGCCTCCTCCCGCTGTCCACGTCCACGTCCCACCGCTCCTGCTCCTCCTCCTCCTCCTCTTCCACCACCTCCTGCTCCTCCTCCCCCCCGTGCTGCTACCCCTGCCCCTGCCGGGCTGCCAACTGAGCCGGCACAGGCGCTGCTGTTGTCGGGAGCCCCTCCCGTGGTGACGGCAGCGCTGGAAGGCGCCTCCAGCCCTGACTGGCCACAGCTGGCACCCCCTCCAGCACCACCACCACCACCACGTCCTCCTCCTCCTCCTGCATGGTAGTGGAGAGAGGTTCTCCCCTGGCGGCACACAGCATCAGCTCCGGCAGCACCTGCTCCTCCCCCTCTGTTGCTGGTCGTGGCTGCTGCCGCTGCTGCACCGGAGGGGCAGTGAGAGGGGCCTGCCACCACCCCAATGGCTTGCCGGGAGGACCCCGGGCGGCCTGGGGGGTGCTGGTGGTGTTGGGGCGCCCGTCCGCCACCCCGCCCTCCGCCGCCTGCTCCCCTTCCTGCTCCTGCTCCTCCTCTTCCCCCTCCTCCTCTTCCTCCTGCTCCTCCAGTGCCACGCTGCAGGACCCTATCCTCGCCGTCCACGTCAATCCGTGGAAACACGACACCAAGGCACTTCGGGGCACCACACCTGCGGGATGGGTAGTACCGGTATATGGGTAAGAAAGGATGGCTTCTCCAATGTTTCTTGGATGCATGAAACGGTGCCACCATGCCATGCTGTGTAGCGGCACTGCTGCGGTGACCAAGTAAGGCCCGGACAGGCTACACTCAGAACCAGCCGCAGAACCCCCAGAGTAAGTAGCCAGTGAGTAGCTGGTAAATAGCCAGTAAGCTTTGCCCCTTGGAGAAGGTTAGAAGAGCCAAGCAACAGGGCCCTGCACACCCAAATAAACCACACCCTGCCAGACGGGTCTATTACACAGACGGGTCATCATCGGAGTGATCATACAAGTGCATCTACATACAAGTGTGACTATACAAGGTTGATCATAGATGTGCGAATCCCACAAGCGTAATCATGCAAAACGGAATCATCCCTACCCCCAACCACCACCTACCACCACCTACCTGCAGCGCACCTCGCCCCTGGGGTTGGCTCGTATCTCCGCCTTCACCTCAACTGACCGCCCCTGCTGGTAGTCTAGTGTGAGCTCCTCGCCCGGCTGCAGGGCGCGGAGGGTGCGCAGCAGGACGGCCATTTGGGACTCATCCAGACCGCCTGGGGGGAGGACGAGGGGGGCGTGTAAGGGCGGGTGGGGTGGGGTGAGGTGCTATAGGCTGGCGGGCAGGCAGGGGCTTTCAACGCTCGAAACACGTTGATACACGTTGCTCATATCCCAGTAGTCTCACCCATGCACACATTGACCGACTTCAGGTTGGCTCCCTCGCAACGGTGGTTGATGAAGCGGGACACGTTGCCGATGTGTGTGCCGTCCACCGCCATCAGCGCCGTCGCTGCCTCCTCCTTGCTCAGCTCGTGCCGTTGTTCCATGTCGTACATGTAGTGCAGCCCGACTGGCTGGTAGAGCCGCTCGCGGTCTTGCACCTGCACAGCGCACATGGTGAGCGTGGTGAGGGACACGTCCTTTCCGAAACGTTTGAAGCGAGTTGATCACTCGAGTGATCGAGTTCCAGGAGCTCCAACACACATTACCGGTATATGTATCCACCATCATACTTGTATGCTGCCGTACATAACGCATAACGCATGGGCCCTGAACACCAAGGGTCCTTGATGTACAAAGATGTACAGCTAGCGGATGTTCCATTCCAGCAACCCGGCTTTAGCAGGAATCCGGCTTGCTCACCTCCATGCTTGTGATCCACTCCCCCACGTATTCTGCCAGGTAGGTGCCCTCGGGGATATACTCCAGCGCAAACACGCCCAGGTCGTTGCGATCCCGCTCCAAAGACACGCGCCGTATCTCCAACTTGTACTGCACGCCCTCGGAACGCAGCTGCTGCAGGGCTAGGCGGGCCCTGTGTCGAGGTGTACGAGGGGGTACGATACACACAGAGAACATGTTGAGCAGGCACGGCAGAGGTAGGCCCGGCTCAGTTGTTTTGACACGCAGCATGGTGACGAGCCGTTGAGCAGCGACTGCTCACTTACCTGTTCTTGCCGCAGCAGTTATCCTCACACGCGCAATCCCCCCTGGGCAGGAACCCCTGGTGCTTGTCACCGTAGACCGGCTCCTTGATGGCAACCCCCTGCAGGACAGGCAGACCCCGCACCGGCGCACTTCACCAACATGCCCGGTAGCATTTCACCACGCTGCTCGCTGCTAGAGGGTAGGGTAAGGTGCGGGTTTGGCCGCGACAAGCCTCACAGGCATGTTGGTTAGACGTTCGGCGCGTAAGGACATACCCGGCTGCTAACTAGGGTTGTTTGCTGTCCAAGGAGACTACAAGTGCCCACTCATATCTAGCTAGCTGTTTAGGTTCACGACAAACTGCTTCACTCTATCCCCATTGCTTTGCCCTTGCCTGTGATTCTGGTATTACTTCGACCCACCCCCTTCCCCCCAAACCAGCAGCCGGCCCACACCCACCCACCTCCGGCGCATCTGGCTTCAGCCGCCAGGGCCGTGTGGAGTAGTAGAAGCAGCCCCCCGTCAACACCGACTCCACTAGGCCGCAGTGCATGGGCTTGCTGCTGCCGCCCGCCGACCCCAGGTCCCCGTAGGCGTGCAGGGTGACGTTTCGCTCCGCCTCGGGCAGGCCGGTTGCCGGGTGCACCCGCCAGCGGCTGCGGTCCTGGCGCCAGGCGTGCACGTCCCGGTCCTGCAGCCGTGGTGGGGGCGTGGTGGTGTTGTCAGGAGGAGGTAGGGGGGTTGCCAGGTGGCGTGGTGTTGCGGCAGGAGGGGGGGATGCGGCAGGGGGCTGGTTGCCAGGGGGTGGTGGTGCAGTTATACCAATTACATGCACCCCTGTGTCTGCCGCACATCTAGATCCGCATACGCACGCTGGGAGGCATGCAGGCATCACAGCGAGTTTTGCCAACACCCCGGCACCGCCGTACCTCCCTTACATCCCAACACCTCGGCACCGCCGTACCTCCCTTACATCCCAACACCCCGGCACCGCCGTACCTCCCTTACATCCCAACACCTCGGCACCGCCGTACCTCCCTTACATCCCAACACCTCGGCACCGCCGTACCTCCCTTACATCCCAACACCCCGGCACCGCCGTACCTCCCTTACATCCCAACACCCCGGCACCGCCGTACCTCCCTTACATCCCAACTCCCCGGCACCGCCGTACCTCCCTTACATCCCAACACCCCGGCACCGCCGTACCTCCCGTACATCCCGGTGCTGCCTCAGCCTCCTGCTCAGCCAGGAAAGGCACAGCGGCTCGCCTTTCTTCACGTCGCTGGCGGGGTTGAAGGGAAGGAAGTACGCAAAGAAACAAGGAACAGGCGACGACGCCGGCGGAGGAGGTCGTGCCGCACTGCTGCTGCATGCTGCGGGTGAGGAGGCCCCGGCGGCAGGGCCCGCCTCGGGTGAGGAGGAGGTGCTGGAAGCCGCCTGGCGTCCAGCGGCGTGGGGGGCTTTGCTGGTTTGCGGCTGGAGATGTCCCGCAACCAGCAAGAACTGTGTATGTGTATGTGCGTGCGGGGGAGGGAGGGGGGGGGGAGGGGGGAGGAGCAGCACAGCGGGACCAACGGGTGATAAACAGGAATTGATAGCATACACGACAGTCCTAGTACCAAGTGTATGTAGTACCATGTGAATGTAGTAAATGTAGTACAAGGTTGTCACCTACTTGTGAAGGTCCAGCATCCTCGGGTTCTGTATGCCATAATATTAAATATAACATACCTTAATAGAACGTAATACCATTTTGATTATGTAACGGCGTGTTAAATACGTAACGGTGTTCAATTGCACAGTGCACGCACCATTATGCCCGACGATACTTACGGCGCCTCGCTCACACTTACCGCCCACTCCAGGTTGGGGGTTGACACGGTGGTGGTGAATTTGAGTGCCACTTGCTTGTCGATGTTGTCGATGCAGCTCGAGTGCCACGATATGAAGCTGCTGGCATTGCTGAAGCCCTGAGCGGGGCGATATATGATGTGGGGTGTGTGCCCAGCCGGAGGGGCCAGGATCCCCGTCTTCGGGTACTCCCATGGTAACAGGCACGGCTTCACTCCTGCGGTTGTCCAGGGAGTTAGTTGGATGGGTACAGCACTGCTTTAAGAAGGTTTGGCACGGCTTCTGCTTTCCACGTCTGTTCGCAGGTTGTGTCTTAACAATGCAAACCCTATGAATTATGACTACCAGATATATGCAAGCTACCTTGATAAGGGGGGGAGGTCTTACGGAAAGGAACAAAGGTTGCGCAGCATACACACCGAGGGGCAAACAAGATGAATGCAACTTCAAATATCCCGAAAACGGAAATATCATGACCATGGATATTGTGTAATGTCTTTTGCAATGGCTCAAGGCCGCGGTAGCAAGGACTTCTATTTCTACTGCGCGCCCATGGCAGGCTCATACCGGTACTCGCTCACGTGTGCCCACCTTGTACCCATTGTGGGATGTCTTCCAGAGAATTTAGATGTCTAGGCCTTGCACAACCGGCAAGGTCGGCCTTGAGGATGGCTCCTTGAATAGCCACCGTATTCCAACCCTTGTTGGTAATGAGGTCACTCCAAGAGGCCTCTAGCGCCGATGAATCCCCTCTGTCCGCCATGTGAAAGACATGCAGATATGCCTACATACGGTAGATGCTTGGCGAATTCTCCGTCTTATGCCAAATGCCAATTACCGGTGTGTGATATGACGTGCCATGGGTGGCCTTAACGTGCTATTCTCGGGTTCAAATCTTTAATGCACATACAATTCTGTGTTTACTATTTTGCAACCTAACAGACTGTAGCGCTGCGGCAGGTTTCCGTTGTCCGAAACTGACGTACTTCACTGCATGCACCCCGCACGCGCGCCCCCTGTGTTCTCTACTAAGCACTTGTTACGCCGGGCGTAACATCGTAGCCCTTGCTCATCTTGAGGAGGACGCACAAAAACTGCCAGCACCACCGCCGGCAGCAGGTTGGGGTAAGTGTTAGTACCGTAGGTTTCACCCGTCCCCTCTAGACATTGGGGGCGTCGTTTCCCGTTCCCGTTCCCGGACACGGTGACGCAGTACAGTTATGTGGAAGCGGTGTATAGCAAAGTGGTGCAGGTTGTCAAAACATGCGGAGGCATCCCTGGAGGGACACCTCTGGCTTTTGACACTTTGATTCTTGGCATGCCGCTGTGACACCCTCCCTTCCCTTCCCTTATTGTCAGCAACTTATATCATTATCACACCACACTTTGGAACTTCTTTTTTCCCCAATCAGGTGCTTGCTCTCGGCGGTGTTCTGGCCAGGCGGGTGGCCGCAGTACGGCTGCCCTTCACCACGTTGTAGCTCAGCTGATCGGCGGGGGGTGGGCCTAGCGCGCCTGTTAGCGTGGGCTGTGTTAGTGCAGTCTGCTGCTGCTCCTTTGTGGTTGCGGCGGCAAGGAGGAGGGCGCAGAGCAAGGCAAGATGACAGCGACGATCACAATGCCAGTGCGGCGGAGGGGGCTGCCTTTGATCCTGCCTCTCCATAATCAAACGTTAGACACGCACGCCTTAGCAACGTTACAGTACTATGCAACTGATCATGCTCGGTGCTGCTGGGGAGATGAGCCGGGCGTGTGTGCAGCTGGTAGGATGTCTGGGGAAGCAGGTCGAGATGGTTATCTACAAGGTCATAACCACAATGTCTAGCGTGAGGGGTATGAAGCGTATACTAGCGTACGGCAAAGTTGGGTAGTATCTTTGTACCGGTACGGCGTGTTCGTCATGTATGATACTACCATGCTACGAGCAAAGCTACCAAAGTCCGTAGGTCGATGCAAGGCCACACATCCCTTCCCATCTAGGTGGGGCTTGTGGAGGCAGGCCGTGTTGCGGAGATGAGTGCGTTAGCATTTTTCTGTCTGGATGACGATGTCTGCTCTGATGAAAGAGAAGCATGCAGTTCGATTTTTTCTTCCTGCCAAAAAACTTGGCGTGTTAAGGAAGTGTTCTAATTCCAGATATCATGTAACTTTTTGTGCGGTGCCTTGACGGATGGGCAGCACGAGCCACGGCATTCACGGCATATGCTGTACACTTCGCAAGAGATAATCTGGCTGGATATCCTGTTTATTGTTGTACACTTTTGTTGCCTCTCTTACCTGGTTAAACTGGTTAACGTTTTGCCTCAGTGCAGCGCACAATAGGCGCGTGATTGCTAGGGCCCGGGCAACCTTCTGCTATTAAATAACCACGCAAACTCGGCTTAAAGTTATCTTAAATTTTAATGGAGCCAGCCTACGATGAGTACGAGTACTTGGAACGCCAAGTAGATGCTCAGCGTGGCGACCCTTCATCGTCTGTGCATCAACCGCCGCACTCCTCCCGTAGCAAGTCAACTGGTGGGACAGCAAGCGATGATGATAACAACCGACGGCGGCGCTCAAGGTCACGTTCGCGGGACCGCAAATCGCGTCGTCACTCGCGCTCGCGCTCACGGTCCCGAGACCGGAGGCGCCGGTCACGGTCGCGTTCTAGAGATCGTTCACGATCTTATTCAGACCGCTATCGGTCGTCATACCGTTCGCCGCCCCGCAGGTATGTTTGTAATTGTGCTACTAGAACCGTCTTAAGGACCTAAGACCTTGTGCCTTTGAAGCCTGACTTGGTTTTTGTATTGCAGGCGGTCTCCTACACCACCTGCTGAGCGCATGGCTCGTGAGAAGGAGCGCGAGCTGCGGGAACTCGAGCGTGCCACTCGCACAATCTTCGCCTATAACCTAAGCCTGCGCGCTGATGAGCGTGACCTTTTCGAGTTCTTCTCAAAGGTGCGTTGCATCCTATAGATGCACGCCCTCAGGCTTTCACCGGGTCGCAGAACAGCTCGCCAGAGTAGCTGTCCTAAATTCTCATTTGTATCTGCATTAATCGGCTTTCGAGAAAATATATGAGCCGTGCAATAACGCAACGGACGAGTTTTGCTTTACCTCCGCAGGTTGGTCGCGTGGTTGACATCAAGCTCATTACGGACAAGAACACGAAGAAGTCGCGAGGCCTGGCTTACATCGAGTTCAGCAAAGTGGAGGAGGTCATCTCAGCCGTTGCCCTCACCGGGAACATCCTAAAGGGCCAGCCCGTCATGGTGAAGGTAGGAAGGAGGTTGCGCCTCCCAATGGATGTTGCAGTTCTTGTGAGTCACAGCAGCCACGCTTTCATAAATCCTGTCCCCCATCAATTTAACAACCGTATTCAACAACCGTATTGCTCTTAACCCTTTTGTCACAAATGTTACAACGCAGGCGTCTGAGGCTGAGAAGAACATGGCTTGGGAGGCAGCCCAGCAGCAAAAGCAGTCGGCACAGGCTGCAACACAGCAGCTCCTTAGCTCCCTAGCGTCCTTAGGCGGCGGGGCGCAAGCAGCAGCCTCCACAACAGCCGGCACCGGACCCTGCTGGCTCAACATCAGCAACCTTCACAAAGACTTGGGGGAGCCGGAGGTCCAGCAGCTTTTCGCGCCGTTCGGCACGCTGCTTGCCGTACAAGTCGTACGGGATTCGGCCGGCCGCAGCACCGGCACCGCACACCTGCAATTTGCTCAAATGGACGCTGCTGCACGAGCCATGGCGCACTGGCATGGCCGCAAGCTCATGGACGCGCAGTTGACGGTTACGGCAACAGCACCACCGGCGGTTGCAGCCCTGCCGCTGATTTCTGGAGCCGCAGTGCTGCCGGTAACAGCGGCAGCTGGGCTCCCCTCGACGGCCTCGCAGCTACCTGCTGGCCTCGCGGGCATCACGGCAGGGGCGCCGCTGCCGGCCGCTGTGGCGCCAACAACAGGGGCTGCCGCTGTCACTGCCGCCCCGCAGGGTGCGGTGGTGACTCCTGGCGAGCTGGACGAGGATGACGAGGGCGGCGGCATCCGGATTAGCGCGCAGGGGCGCGTGGCGTTGATGTCAAAGCTGGCGGGCGCGGCCGGGCTGCCGCCGCCACCTACTCACGTGCTACCCACCGGGGTACCTGTGGTGGCGTCGGCAGTGGCGCCGGTGACTGCTGCGGGACCTGCGGGGCTGCAGGCTGCAGGTGGTCTGAGTGTGGATCCAGTGCTGCTGCTGCAGCAGGGCGTGTTGGGCCCGAGCTCCCCCATCGCGACGCCTTGCTTGCTGTTGAAAAACATGTTTGACCCGGCGAGTACGGCGGGCGATGCGGCGACTCAGCAGGCGGCGGCGGCGACGCTGGCGGAGGAGGTGGAGTCGGATGTGAGGGAGGAGTGCGCGAGGTTTGGGGAGCTGGTGCATGTGTGGGTTGACGCCAAGGCAAAGGTATGAGGGTGGTGTGGGGCCCAGCTTGTGGGTGCTGCGTGCGGGAAGGATGGATAGGGGACAGGGATTAACGTGGAGTCAGCCTGGGTGGTCGCATGGGTGTCAAGGGATGCTGAGGTAGTGATGCGTGAGGTACTGGCGGGCTGCTCATATGTTGTTTGCTGTGTTTGCATGGCGGTTTGGGCACTCCATGGGCTACAGCATGTGCTTGTGGGTGTGCGCAGTCCATGGCACGTAGTTGCCGTGTATAGGTGCCCCGTCTCAACGCCCCATCCATCGTTTCCCCAACCTCTCCCACGTCCCCCTCGCAGGGCTTTGTGTACCTCCGTTTCACTACGACGCACGCAGCGGAGGCTGCGCACCGCGCCTTGCATGGCCGCTGGTACGGCGGCCGACAGATTGTTGCGGAGTTCCAGTTCCTCCAGGTGTATAACAGCCACTTCAAGCTGGCCGCGACGGGGACCAAGTGACGGCAACCAAATGACCATGGCGGCGGAGCTAAACGGCAACAGCAACATCGCTGCTTGTGGTGATGGCCTTTCTTTCCACGTGGTTGGATTGCTGCTGCCGGCTAAGCAGGCTTTCGTCGCAAATCAGCGCTGGCCAGCATGTACGGCATAACCGTCGTACCGTCTTACAATATGTTGCTGACGAGTACTCGTCTCATGCAGGCCGGCGGGACAGCAGCTGCTGCCGTACAACCGCAACAACAGCATCCGAGAAAAACGGAACTTTGGGATATCCGATGGTTTGGGCGGTCTAGCGGGAGTCAAGAGGGGCTGATGTGCAGGGGCGGCGGGGCTCATTGCTAATGGGTCCACTTCGGGCACCATGGGATTAGAAAGACTAAAAATTACGATTGGCTTCTGACCGCAAGGCGTCGGGGCTTTGGGGCAGTGTTCGGGCCTACTGGACATGCAATTTATGCATGGGGCTTGTGCCTGCTAGGGCGTGCGTCTTACGCTCACCCCTGCTTGTTGCACTCTCGTATGCACGCCACCAATCGTAGTTGCTGCCCTTGCTTAGGTGCCCGCCTGCCACCTGGACTGGCTGTGACCCACGGGTCGGGCCTTACACCTAATGGTCAAGATCAAGCAGAGCAAAGGTATTTAAGGCTGTTGGCTCTTGTTACCGTTTACGAAATGGGCTTCTTTGCGTTCATCTGGCACACGAAGCCACATGACGTCTTTAACGTCTTTGCGGGGTTGCTTGTCTGACATTTCACACTTGTACAGGCGGCCGGCGGCGACACGTGGCAAGTAAGCAGAGTAGGCTGCAGCTGTTTGTGTTCGTACTGCAGGGATTGCTCTGTTGACACATCTGGGTGGTTGCATTTAAGACAACCCCCTTATGAGTGAAAAATGCCACCGATGATTGCTGGAAATGGTTTACCTTGTTTTTTGAACAACCAGAGCAGTGCTTCGGTACTGATGTAGTAGGTCGCCTTTGCAAATGAGCGGAAGTGTGCTTGAGGGCTTTCGCAACGTACACAGCTATTTTATATTATTACTTTTGGCATTCCGCAAGATATTACATGGCATACTCCAGCTATGGGGCTGAGCGTGTTCGTTTCACCAGGTGCAGCATTATCAAGTAATTGTAACTTCTGGTGACATGCAAGGCTTTCTAATCGTAAGACCTAAGAACGACAACGTGCAACGTGTCCGCTTCTGTCACGCGCAGCTTTTAATCCGTTTTAACACTCTCCTGCTCGTCCCCAAGCAGCCCAACGAATGCAACTCCAGTTCACAGCATCGCCACCACATGTAAGCCGATATATTTAAAGTGGCATCAGTGCTGGGCAGTGTCAGTAATGCATGGAACAGTTATATAAGTCTTATGACACATGTGCAGGCGTTCATTGATGCGTCACACCCTTGCCTGTCGCATTTGACGAACACCAAGACACGTCACACAGCCCCCCTAGCCTCCACAGCCCTCCTAGCCCCCAGACAACCCCGCCCACCACTCCTCCGCCGGTTGCGCACCAAACACCGCCATCCAGCCATCCATCTGCCGTACCGCTGCCTCGGCCACAGCGTCAACATCATCATCCTGACGTTGCCGAGGAGCACAAGCAAGGACGCCGGTACGCACACTGGCTCCAGCCTGTACGACACCACTAGCTTCACCCACACGAGGGCCCTGTACGACACCACTAGCTTCACCCACACGAGGGCCCTGTACGACACCACTAGCTTCACCCACACGAGGGCCCTGTACGACACCACTAGCTTCACCCACACGAGGGCCCTGTACGACACCACTAGCTTCACCCACACGAGGGCCCTGTACGACACCACTAGCTTCACCCACACGAGGGCCCTGTACGACACGACCTCCTTCACGGGGTTGTTGTGCCGCTGCCGTCACCGCAACTGCCGCCTCCGCCCCTCTGGCGTTGGCGTCCACCGTATCTTTACCTGGCCATAACCTGTTGATGACTCCCAACAAATCCAGTTGTTGCTGAGGTACCGGCATGGGCTTACAGGGAGGTGGCACCCTACGGCGGGATGCTGGCTGCGGTATCATCACGCTTTGCCGTTCTCCTTCTAGTCCGTGCCGCAGCTCCTGCTGCCCCTGTGGCTGCCACTGCTGCTGCTGCTGAGGAGGCCGTTGCGGCGGCGGTAGTGCAAGCGAAGGAGGCGACCGAGGCAGAGGATGTGGCTGTGGCACCTGAGGCGGTCTTGGTTCAGGCTGTGCTTGAGCTGCAACAGCGGGTGCGGGGTTGGCAGTAGTGGTGGCATCCGCAGCGGGATGCAGCGGCGGTTGCCCTGGACTTCTATCCGGCTGCTCCTGCTGCTGCCGCTGCGGCGGCGGTGGGGGTTGTCGTTGTGGTGGCTGCATGTGCGGCGGCAGTTGCAGCACCAGACCCGCAGTACATGCTCGCGTGTATGGCGCCGCCACAGCAGCCCCCGTCGCCGCCGCCGCCGCCCCTACCGTGAACTCCGTATCCTTGACTGTGGGTACTGCCTGCGCTGCTGCCTGCGCTAGCTTCCTACGTTTCACCGGTCGTTCCCGTACACATCTCTTGAAGGAGTGCGCCGCTAGCCGCACCTGCAGGCGGTGTTTGGAAGAGCCTGCTAGCTGAGAGGCAGATGGAAGGAGGCAGAGGCACGGACTGGAGGGGCGGGGGAGCAGGATGGGATGCGCGGGAACATGTCCCACTGGGCCGCGCCAACATGTCCAACAGGAAGGCGGCGGAGTAGAGGTTGGAGTAAGGTGGTAGTAGGAAACAAAATGTGTGGAGTGTGGTTGACATGGCATGAGGCACGAGGGGAGGAAATCGCCAGCATTCAAGATATACGTTGGACAAGATGCACGCTTAAATACTCCTACTAAGTCCTCTAATCCTGCACCATATCTGCGCCTTCTGGGCTTCCTTCTTCCCTATTCGCCTACTACGGTTCGCCTTTGCCTTAACCCGCTACCCCCCCTTCCCACTCCCCCTGGGTCCTGAGACGCTTCACCTTACCCCGACACTCCACCCACCCCAACCCCAACACACACGCACCATCACCGCACCTGCACCTCACCTGCACCAACGCCTCCCGCACCACGCCGCCCTCTCCAGCTGCGGCTCCAGGCGCCCGACATGCGCGCAGCGATTCCGCCTCCGCCTCCGAAACCCGTAGCATGGCGTCGTACAAACCCACGGCAGCGTACGACACCGCCTCCAAAAGCGATTGCCGTACTCGGCCCTGGTCTGCGACGCCAGGTGCGACGCACTTACCGCCAGCAGCGACACCGCTCATGTGGCAGCCATTCGCCTGCACGCCACCATCTTCTCCAACAGCAGCAGCAGCAGTAGCGGTGTCCAGGGCAGGGCTTCTGGCCTGACCACCCCTGCCGCTTGTCGTGAGTGTAGCCGGATTTGGAAAGGCGCAGGTCTTGGAACGTCTAAAGAGCTTGGGGACGGATGGATTGGAGGCAGAAGCTGGCCCATGGGTCACATGGGCCCCGGGTGGCGCTTGGTGGTCCAAATTGCGGCTGCGAGGGACGCCATGTGACCCGTGGGTCGTTTCACGGGTCGTGTCCGTAACGCATGTCCATTCCAACTGTAGGGTCACCTTGGCAGGCCAGCGATGCTCCTGGAGGCTGTGAGGTCGTCACAAGTACGGAAACAGAATATTGGACTTAGATAGAGCATAGGACGATGCTACAAAAGTTATCGAAGAGTGTATAGCAAAAGTTATGGAAGCAGGCATAGCAAGCGTGGCGTTGATGGAACGGTGAAGACGGCTGGAAACCGCTTGGAAACGGATCTGCCGGGCGAAGTTGGCGCGCAGTTGGGGCCAAGAGGAGCTAGCAGCTATAGCAAATGTACTGCTAGCACGTTGCTGTGACGACTAATATGTATAAGGCATTGCTATGAACGTATACCCGTATTTGTGACAACCCCGAATCGTACCATTCAAGCTCCACCCTTGCTAGCAGGTCGCCTGCCATGCGCCGCAACAACTGCACGACGCGCACCCAATCGCCACCCCTTCCTCCATCTCCTCTTTTTCCCATCCCGTGCTTCTTTCCGCCGCTGCTGTCGCCAGCGTCAATGTCGCCAACATAGCCGCCTGATCCCACCGCCGCCACCGTCGCAGCCGCCGCTACTGCTGTTGCTTCCGCTGCTTCTTTGTTGCCCTTATTAACCAAGGCGGGTTCGGCGATTGTCGCCGTCGACGGGACGGCGGGAAGCGGTGGACAAGCGCCGAGTGCAGAGGGTGCTCCATCCATGGAGGTGTGGGGTGGCTTGGAAGCGAGGGAGGAGAACGGCAGGAAGGGGTTGGGTGCGGATGCTGCATCGAGGGTGGCTTGCACCTGCGGTCGGGGCCCCAGCAGGAGCGATAATAGGCATGTTGGGCATGTGAGAAGCAATCAAGAGCTCACATGGGGGCAGAGCAGCAGAAGACGACTTGGAGGAAGGGAGGCCAGGGTTTGCGGGGGCAGCTTCTTCTTCCACGTCCGCGTCAGAAAGTATTTACCGGTATACCTGTAACCCTGCAGCATGCCTTTACAGGGCTTCGCAGGCGGTAACGCCCCCTCGGTTCCCTCGCCAGTTCAGCCCTCTCCGTCCTCCGCCGTGCTCCCCCCACCCGCCCCCTCACCTGAACCGCCCGCAACCTCTCATATGGCGCTCTCACCAGCGCCCCCAGCTGCAACCTCCCCAGTTGCGAATTAACGCCCGTGGACCCGGGCGGCTGCAAGAGTTGTTGTTGCGCCTGTGCTGCCGTGCCTGTTGCTTCCGCCGGCTTCTCCGCCGCCGGCGGTTTCCCTCTCACTGGCAGCTGTTGCGGTTGGCCTCCCCACAGCCCCAGTACTCGCATCCCCTCCGGCCGAGCGGCTTTGCAAGCGCGGCGAGCAAGGCGGGCATTGGGGCCCAATCCTACCTGGGGTGAAGGCAATGGGAAGGCAATGACGAGGTTCGCGCCATTGTTCGCATGTGGTTCAGTGCGTTTTGGGGGTCGGAGGAACATTGCCTCAGTGCCGCATGCGGGTGCCAGGAGGCACCGGTAGCTTGGCATGCACCGCACATTTGCAAATAGCCGTCATATGACATAAACAGGTAGTTAGCATTGAGACGCTTGAGACATGGGCAAACTCATGCGCATGCATGGTAACCACAGCACACCGTATTTCGTCGCCAAATACCACAATACACGGGTATACTAATACAGTGCGGTGCCCGCAGCCGTACCGCGACTCGCAGGCCCAACCGCTCTCGGACCTCCCGCCCAATGCGCTCCCCCAGCAGCCTGGCCTCTTCCTCCTGAATGACCCGCGGGTCACTCGGGGCATCCAAGCCGGCAGTGGCATCCCGTGCAGCTCCAGCATCAGTAGTGCCGCATCCCCCCGCTGAGGTCCCCAGGACAATGTAGGCCGCGTCTAGGGACGTCTGCCGTACGATTGCGCCCCGGGGCAGAAGATCCCGTACGAGCCTGTGTCGTGCAACCGTACAGTCGGACGCAGATTACCGGTAGGTGTACGAAAGAGGTTGGCGGTGCTACCGTATGAAAGCTTCCAGTGTTTGCTAGCGAAAGCGAGGGAGCGTTGTCCCGGTTCGGACCCACGCTCTCCTTATTTGGAAAGCTGATACCCATGTCAGTGATACGGGCGTTATGGACGTTATGCACAGGCTTGGAAGTGCAGGAATGAACTACGGCAGCTGGGAGAGCAGACCTACACCGCTCTGTTCATTTCCCTGCAGTTTCCAAATAACATGAACGTACCATTCGTACAGCTACACAGCTAGTGTGCCCCACCCGCATACGCCTACATGTTGCGCTACCGCTTGCAATGCAACCCGCATAAGCAAAACGTACCTCAGCAAAGCCACGCAGGCTTCACGGTAGGGTTTGTACGACGGTCGTACACTACCGGATTCATCCAGATCGCAGTACACTTGTACGACACGCCCCCCAACGGCCGCCAGCAGCTGCTGAGCCTGGTAGGCATGAACGGCTTGTTACACATGCGCACATGTTTACCCAAGTGAACACAAGGAAGTCCTGGGTGGAGGGGAGCATTGAGGCCATTTAGGACAAGGCGTCTGTATGCACGCTTAGGAGCTAGGAGAAATAAAAACAGGTTAGCGGACACCAAAGTACGTATGCCAGCCCAACACCTCACCTCCGCCGGCGCCATGTGCTTCCGTACGCCCGCCTGGCGAGCTGCGTAGTTCATGGAAATGATATCCTGGGCCAAAATGTTTAGGAGTTAGCCAAAGCATGCGGAATCTTCCGCTCGTGAGCTGGTTGTCGTGCGAGGTAGATAGTAATAAACAACGGGAATTAGTAACCCAGACAGCAGCGGAACGCATGCAGGACCTCAGCAAGCTCTGTATTTCGGACACGCCTGCAATTAAAGCTCTGGCAGAGGGCCCCATGTGTGCCGCTGACCTGGTCTTGCTGCATGGCTAGCGGCAGATGCGGTTGGGACGTCTCCTGGCGACGTAGGGCCTCAACCTGCATGCAACAGGGTATAAGCAGCGGCCGTCTGTGCGCGGGAAGAGATTCCTTCAGTGTTCTAACGCCATGTAGTGCGCAACGGGAAAGCGTGGGGGCGTCCGGGACCGGTGGCGGAGTCTACATCCATCCAAGGAGCATCCCCGGAGAACGTTAACGCGTTGACGGCGAGACTGTTTTAAGATTCCTGGTACGCTTTGGATGTACCTGGCAGAACAGCGCATCTACTTCGACATGGAGCACTAGTCGGTCGTAACTCGCGTGGAGCGTGGAAAAGCCCTGAAGTTGGTTATCCATGGCCACCACGCAAGGCAAACGGCTGCGGCCAGTGGCCAACTGTTTATGTCATGACGATGTGTTGATTTTAGAAATGACAATCATGTAATCTGGAGTTGCTGCCTGCATGTGTACTGGATGACGGATGTACGGGCTTCTATGGGTGTTGCCCTTACAACGTGATCGACGGAGACGAGAGAATGAAGTGGCTCGCTTACCCCCCTTGTGTGCACAACAGTAACAATGCGTAGTCAGCGGCTTCTAAGGTTTCAAGCTGTCGCGAGGCAATGGCTTGGTGGGGAGGCCGTGAGCGGAAGCCATGCCGCAAGCACATCCTCATCGGCAAGCTCTAGCTATTCATGCCCTCTACTATCTCAGCAGAGAAGCGCACTCCAACAGCGGCTTGGTTTGCACACAACGCGGCTGCTTGCATCAGAGGCGGGGTCGCGTCCTTCAGCCCGCGAAGTCGCTCCAGTATCTATGCGGACTCTAATTCTGACGCTTATGGCTGGAGCGGGCATTACTTATGCCACTCGCGTCTACACGGACCAGAAGCTGCAGCAGGTGGCCGTCCAAAGTCAGCAGGTTGTCGGCCAGGCGGCAGTGGGTGGACCTTTTGAGCTAATAGACCAGGATGGCAAGCCCTTTACGGACAAGGATTTGCTCGGCGAGTTCGCGATTCTTTACTTCGGGTTTACGCATTGCCCTGACATCTGCCCCGACGAGCTGGAGAAGGTGTCGGAAGCAATTAACCTCATAGAGAAATGGACAGATGTGCGCATACAGCCGGTGTTCATTTCAGTGGACCCCCAGCGCGACAAGCCGGCGGTGGTTAAGGCCTACGTCAATGAGTTCCACCCGCGCATGATTGGCCTGACCGGCGACATGGAGAAGGTCAAGAAGCTCAGCAAGTCGTACCGCGTCTACTACAGCAAGACCGGTGACAGCGAGACCGATTACCTGGTTGACCACTCGATTATCCACTACCTCATCGACCCCCACGGCGACTTCGTGACCTTCTTTGGCAAGAACAATGACGCGCAGCAGCTGGCCACCCAGATCGTCCAGCACTTGGCGGACTGGCAGAAGGAGCACCCGGGCTACCAGCGTGGCAAGGTGCTGAAGGCCCCCGCAGCGGTCAGCAACGGCAAGTAGGAGGAACGCTGATGTGAGTTGGCAGCTGGGGACGCCGCAGCTGCGTTTGGGGGAGCGTGCGAGAGTACGGGTGGTGTTGTCAGCCGCGGTTTAAGGGATGCATGCATGTAGGGTCTGGTTGCGCGGCGTTAACAAAGCCTGAGGCGGCGGGAGGCGGGTAAAAGGAATTATACTGAACTGGCTTGGCGCGGGAATTGGACTTGCCGTGACGGGGGAGTGTGAGGAGGCGCATGCTGTGGTTGCTGCTGACTACTACGGCGCAAGGATGTAGCTTGGGTGCAGCTGGGTGCAGTGTGGTTTGTGCCTCGTGGGCTTTGGCACCTGGATATTGGATTGCATGTTAGCAACACGGACTTCCAAACAAGAGACCAAGGGCGCTCTCCCTCTGGTGTCGCTACCAGGGCGCTGGGCCCCAAGGGAGGTGCTGTGACATCTATGTGTTCGGCTGACTTCACCTGTTTCATAACTGCCGTTCATGCAAATGGCGTGACGTACTGGTATATGTTTCAACCTTTGCATTCTTATTGTGGGACTTTTGTTCCCAGGGCGTGTTTACCTAGTTAGGCAGCCGGCATGTTGGAGGATACACCGTGGATGGGAAAAAATCCCGTGAAAGGGATTGGGTCTAGTGGGAGTCCTTGGGTGCTTGGCGTATACCGCAGCAGGCGGAACTGTGTGCCCTGAAGTACCCTAGCCTTCATGCGCGGGGAGCACATGCCCAAGGACGGCGGGATTGCATTGCGGGCTTCCCCCTGGTTTGATGCCCAACTGGGTAGTACCCGCAGTTTCGTGCAACTAGGAGGTGGCATGCCCTGCCAGCAGAATGAAGGGGCCTTTCCTTCAAACTGCGGAATGGTTAGGGTTTAGGGAGGCCTCCGAGGATGAAGAAAGCATGTGTGTTTGCGGCTTGGTTGACCTAGTCCGTTTGAATGGATGCCACGTGCTGCTGTAACGGATTCGGTCAGTCAGTCATTCAGTCAGTCAGATGGCATGCTTTTGTCAGGAGCGAAACCTTCTTCATTGCTTATAGCGGGCATGCAGTACCAACCCTTGAGGAAATGGTACGGTGTGCAGCATGCAGCATGTGTCCGGGTATCGAGGGCAGGCAAGAACACCAACGGTTGCCGCATCAACAATCAAGTGCGTCCTGAAACCAAAACCCCGCGTGCGAACCCTGTTGGGTATTTTTTGCCCTGCCTTGCTTAGTCACTACCTGTTCCCCAAAGGGGACCCACGGGTCGCCTTCACAATGCAGACAGCCGTACTAGTTGTGTTTGCACAGCCCTAACGCCTGTCGCCCTAATTGAAAAAATGTTTAATAACCGAGTGGCTATCCGCTATACAGCAGGTTGACGCTCGCATTGCTTAGCTCTCCGAAGCATGCTGTCCATACGGCCTGTTATTCCCACGCAGTGACATGAAATCGGGGGAGTTCAAATCGTGTGTTTTATTAACACAATCACTGACTGCAAGATCCCAGGGCACTGCTCTCCACGCCTAGGGTTCCGTATATACGGCGTTCCTTTCCATACCGACGGACCACTACAAAGTGTTGTACACTACACTTCGATGCCAAACACTAGTGCGGACCGTACGTTAACCAGAGTTCCATGTTGGGAGCGGTCAGAAGCTGGTCACGTATGGACACCAGGTTACGGATGAGCTGCTGCCGTGCTCTGCTGCTGGTACGGGCTTAAATGGAAAGCGGTGCCCGTAGTGATTGCTACGGCTCAGAAACCCAGTTCTCGCAGGACAACGGGGCGACGTCAGAAGCAGCTTTCCCCAAGCTACGTTTAAAGTCGCCCCGGTAGGAAGGCTGCCGGGAACCCGGCCTGCCTCCGTCGTGTGATTGAAATATATATTAAAGCTATAACGGGATCTTCTGTTTAATTTTTCTGCATCTAAAGGTGGCCCTGACTGTCTTGGCTTCTTGAAAGAATCCGCCGTAAACGTACTGTAGCCACGCTGCCACGCTGGTATGTACATAGCACTTCCGTGTGTACCATCACGGCACTTTGCGAAGCAGGAAGTCTGACAGAGCTCTCGTGTAGAACATAACACGAAGCTGGCATGCCGGCCCAACGCCGTACCGGTACCTCCTGGGGCGCCCGCCCCAGGCTCAACCAGTATGTCGCCATTGGAACGCAGCATTGGTATAAGCTTGTAGCGATTGGCGTTTAGTTCTTAACTTGTAAGTTTGAAGCAGTCGTCTCCAGTCTTGCGGGAGTTGCAACATTGGAAGCCCTGTGTCGTAGTCTGCGACAAACACGTGCCAGCTACATGAAAACATGGCTGGCCTTTGCGTTCCTTTCGGTCTTCGCTGCTATGAGCGTGGCAGGCTCACAAGGCAAGCAGCTTGAGCTTTTTCGTAACAGTCGCTCGCGCGCTCGCCCAGTTAACAATGTGAAACGGTAATTATAATACAATTTAATGATCAAACGCAGCTTGCCCGGGCGTGACCGGCTACACATTTTATAAGTCACAGCAAGTGGATGATGCAGTTGTCCTGCCCACCCAAAGTTCAGCGCAAAGCGTCTCTGGCATCGCTTCTGATTGCGAAGACACACCCCGCTGCAATGCTTTCAATACACGTGGGGATCTTATGATAGTTCCTCTAGCACCCATCCTCACCAACGATGTTGCTGCTATTAAACCGTGTGACGGCATATACATTGCCCCGCGATCTCTCAGCGGCTTTGTACCACCGGTGAGTCCTACATAGCTGCTGTTAAGCTCAGTCATGCATAAGCCGCGTATACATGTAGCCAAACTGTATTAAAGCCCAACCGTTTGCAATCAAAGCCCCCAAGGAGGCCATACGTGCTCACGCTGGCCCCATTGCAGGACGGTATTGATGACGCCACGCTCCATGTCGCGAGCACCATGACTTACATGAACATGGCAGCTGCCATATCTGCAGCCCAAAAGGTAGCTTCTATCCGAATGTGCTGGTTGCTTGCAATGATGATGATGATGATAATCTTGTTGGCTGTACTGGCATCCATCTAAGAACAGGGTCGGCCCATGGCGTTCGAATCCAATACCAATTCGACAGTGCTCTGCCCTCCTTCTGTGCGGTCCATCCTTGCAGGTAGCAGCCTCCTTGTCCTCCGGCGGCTCCAAGGTGCTAGATGGGGGCGCTGCTGCTACAGCCGACATCTTCAGCGCCTTCCAGGCTACCAAGGTGGGGAGCTTTCGTGCATGGTTGCATGCATGGCCTGGACGGTAGGGATAGTCTCCTCGGGTGCACCCCTCCATTTTTTTTCTTTTTCCCGATGTGGACTGTTACAGAGGAAGGACAGGAAGACCCTACCTTTCTTGTCGGGGTTGGCTTTCCTGTCGGCAGCAGCATCGCATGCCGTCCTCTGCTCACATCACCAGCAGCATGTCGTGCTCTGCAGGTCTCTGCTCGCCCAGGCTAAGTGATATACGCCTCGAATGAACCTGCCTGCCTGCCTGCCTCCCTTCCGCATGCATGCAGACCCCGATGGCTCAAGTGAGCAGCGTGGCTGGCAACTACACATTTGACGACGTCGTTGCCGCCATCATTGCCCCGGCCTGGGATTCCCGTAACGCTTTTGATGGCAGCACCCACAATTACATCAGTGCGGTCAAGGACCAACGCAGTTGCGGCTCCTGTGTTGCTTTTGCGGCCACAGCTACTGTGGAGGCGGCGGTTGCAGCGGTTAGCAAGATGATAACCAACACCAACGACTATTCGGAGCAATGGTGCGAGCTCTGGAGGGGACGTGTACGCAGGGCCTTTTGAGACCTTCTTTGTTCGTATTGTGCATTGGACTTGTTAGGAAGACGTGAGCCCGGTCGTCCAGCCCTTTACATTACGAATCGTACGAAAGAGGGTTTTGTTATGTTATGTTATGCATATATTATAAATATACGCTTATTAAGAGAACTACCCTTTATGCACATCCTTTCGTCAGGCTTTTCTTCTGCAACGGCCTCTATGCGCCGTCTTGCAGCTACGGCTGGCACGCCGGTCAGGCAGCTGACGTCATCGTACGGAAAAACATACCGTACGAAATCAACTACAAGTACACTGCGGCCCCTAGCTGCACCCTGACCAGCCCGCCGGAGCAGCGTGCCGGCGGCAGCTTCACCAGCATCCGTTACAGTGACCTAACCCTGGTAGGTGTGGTGTGGATTGGTTTGCTGTGGTGTGGTGGGGCGGCAACAAGGATTGGGGCTCACCCAGCCAGTAGTGCAGCCTAGTCATGCACAGCATTACACCCGACGTGACACATATTGACGTTACCGTTGCATGTCGTACTGCCGAGATGTGTGCCGTACCCTTGCGCCCTTCCTTGATTGCCCGAATATACACGTGAACAGGCCAAGCAGCACATCCGTGACTACGGTTCTGTGATGTCGTACTTTGCGGTGTACAACGACTTCTTCTATTGGACCGCGTCCTCACCGTGAGTTGTATTGGATAGAATTGGGAGCGGTGGGGGGCTGCGCTTGCTTCGCGGGAATGGCGCTTTCCGGTGCTGGCCGCGGACCCAAGTGTAACAGTGATGCATGCATGCATGTACGGATGAATGAAAAGATCACCGGGGCTCATCAAGAAGAAACAAGTCTCCCTGATCTCGACTGCCGGTACCTCCTGCGATCCTCCGCCGACAGGCCTTATGTGTGGAACAAGGTCAGCGCCTTGGCAGGCTTCCACCAAGTTTCCGTCATTGGTTACAACGACACGGGGTAAGCTGCGGAGTCCTGGGCCCATGAACCCCATGCATGGACTACCTAGCTACGCTGGTTCGCAAGGGTGACAGGCAGGCTTTTTGGACCGAATCTTGCCTTTGGCGCTACGTTCTCCTCCTCCCAACACACTCGTGATCCATGCAAATTCGTTCGCACATGTTCGTAGTTCCCTCCTTCGTGCATACCTGCTGGTGGGTGGTCCTGGGGCCTTCCGGGTTTGGACCTTCTGATGATGGAAGTTATAGCTGTCACGTTTAAGCCTTGCGTGCCGGTGCTCAAGTCCCGTTTTCTGAACTCTTCCGCTGCCGATATGGCAGGTCCTACTGGATAGTCAAGAACAGCTGGGGGACGTCCTGGGGCGACAAGGGCTACATCCGCATGTCGTACAACGCGGGTGTGGGGCTGATGTGCGGTACGATGGATAACATCATCGGCTTCACTTGGAAGCCCTCGGGTCCGTTTTCCCCTCCCCCGCCACCGTCGCCTCCCTCGCCAATGCCTCCCTCACCCAAACCTCCTCCGCCCCCACCTTCCCCGAAGCCTTCGCCCCCACCATCTCCCAACCCCAACCCGCCACCTTCCCCGAAGCCTTCGCCCCCACCATCTCCCAACCCCAACCCGCCACCTTCCCCCAAGCCCTCGCCACCGCCTTCTCCCAACCCGAATCCGCCGCCTTCTCCCAAGCCCTCACCCCCACCTTCTCCCAACCCGAATCCGCCGCCTTCCCCCAAGCCCTCACCGCCGCCTTCTCCCAACCCCAACCCGCCGCCTTCCCCCAAGCCCTCACCACCGCCTTCTCCCAACCCCAACCCGCCACCTTCCCCCAAGCCCTCGCCACCGCCTTCTCCCAACCCGAATCCGCCGCCTTCTCCCAAGCCCTCACCCCCACCTTCTCCCAACCCGAATCCGCCGCCTTCCCCCAAGCCCTCACCCCCACCTTCTCCCAACCCCAACCCGCCGCCTTCCCCCAAGCCCTCACCACCGCCTTCTCCCAACCCCAACCCGCCGCCTTCCCCCAAGCCCTCACCCCCACCTTCTCCCAACCCCAACCCGCCACCTTCCCCCAAGCCCTCACCACCGCCTTCTCCCAACCCCAACCCGCCGCCTTCCCCCAAGCCCTCACCACCACCTTCTCCCAACCCGAATCCGCCACCATCCCCCAAGCCCTCACCCCCACCTTCTCCCAACCCCAACCCGCCACCTTCCCCCAAGCCCTCACCACCACCTTCTCCCAACCCCAACCCGCCACCTTCCCCCAAGCCCTCACCACCGCCTTCTCCCAACCCCAACCCGCCGCCTTCCCCCAAGCCCTCACCACCACCTTCTCCCAACCCGAATCCGCCACCATCCCCCAAGCCCTCACCCCCACCTTCTCCCAACCCCAACCCGCCGCCTTCCCCCAAGCCCTCACCACCACCTTCTCCCAACCCCAACCCGCCACCTTCCCCCAAGCCCTCACCACCACCTTCTCCCAACCCGAATCCGCCACCATCCCCCAAGCCCTCACCACCACCTTCTCCCAACCCCAACCCGCCGCCTTCCCCCAAGCCCTCACCACCGCCTTCTCCCAACCCCAACCCGCCGCCTTCCCCCAAGCCCTCACCACCACCTTCTCCCAACCCCAACCCGCCACCATCCCCCAAGCCCTCACCACCACCTTCTCCCAACCCCAACCCGCCGCCTTCCCCCAAGCCCTCACCACCGCCTTCTCCCTCGCCAAAGCCGCCGCCTTCCCCTAAACCACCAGCCAACGTCGGAAGGAGGAGGTTCCGCAGGCACTTTGAGTAAGGCCTGGGAATAAGCATCGTACGTGTGCAACCCACGTAGCGTGAAGCTCAGCTTTTACAAGGCCTAATGCACGGGCATAATGTACACAGTGCTGGGGGCGCTCTTGTAGATCATGCGCATAATCCCGTTCATTGTTGACTGTTGTTGTTGGGTTGTGACCGTCACACAGCTACCGGATGCGAAGCCCTTTTCAAGGCCTAAAAGACAGATGACGAATTGCAGGGGTAGCTAGACAGGTGATGGCGTCCTAGAAAGCAGCATGCCCCACTCGTCTTGCTTGGTTAAGTCATATCGTGATTAGTTCAGCTGGTTGCGGCTAGCCCTCCACCGCTAGCTTTCGCAGCGTTCGAATCTTATTTGGCACTGTTCGTGAAGACTGATTAGGTTTGTTAGCTATTGCGTTACTGCATGTGCGCCACCGTTGCGTGCATAATCCATGTTGTAAACCATTGTTAGGGCACCAGCGCACGTACGGCGGGGGTCCGGTATGATGATGGACGCATTTGGTGTCACTGACCCATGGGTCACGGTCTCATGCTTCGCTAGCTACATACCGTACGGACGCGAGGTTCTGTTAATTGCAGTCGGTATGTTAGGAAGCCCACTTCCAGCGCAGGCGGGCTCACCGCTAGGTGCAATGCATGACGACGTTTTCATGGCAATGCATGGTTTCTGGGCTTTGCGGCAATTGAATGAACAGCGGTTGATCACTGAAACGTTTTGTGGCGTAACAACACCTATATTTGCTAAGGGCATACATGTACTGTGACCAAGTCCCGCCTACATGCGGCCGCTGCAGATGGCCTGCGGATCATAGGCCGGGGGGAGGTTTTAGGGCAGGGGAGGTTGTTGAGGCAAGGGGCGTATTAATATACCCGTTAATTAGGGAGAAGAGGAGGCGTGGGGAGTAAGGACGTGTGCACGCCAAAACACCCAACTCAGGTCTACCGGTCTACTCGTGCGACCGGTCCCCTACGTAGTGGGTAATGGCTGCTTGGGCTCGCGCGCTGACGTGTGCCGCTGCTGTTCCCGGCAGGTGGTGGGGTCGCAGCCCCCGGTAACAGGTGAGGGCGGCGGCAGGCGGAGCACTACGAAACCACTTAATCTTTACTCGTGCGTGTGTAATGCTACCCATCCCGGTGATTGTTAGCTGTGTACCAGGATAAGTACGAGCGATAGCGTGGCTTGTACGCAGGGCCTGTGTGAGGACGGTGCGTCTGTCCCCCACCAAGTGCCGGAGCTATGCTCGCTGCATGTATGGTGTGCGTAATTGCGTTAATGTCATAGATGCATGAGGGAGGGTTTGTAAGAGAAATATGTGCGGAAGCGGAAGAGCACGCACGCTATGTGTGGACAACTGGACAGCTGGGGTTGTGACCGGTGAAGGCTGCTAGCTGCTGGGCCTGGTTTGCCGATACTACTGCTGTACCGCCCATCCCACCTGTACCACTGCGCACAGCACAGGCTTGATGAACTTGTGAGCGATTGCAACTGTTGACAGTTGACCGTGTACCTGCCCAGGTTTGTAAGGATAAGAAGACTCGGCTTGCTTGGGCGTCAGTGTGAGGGTCTTGGATGGCCGGCAGGTACGCACGCACTGCTGGCAATGGCGTCCGACAGAAGAGTTCGTACAAACTGTATCTGCCGTACGATGTAACACACTAGCTAGCAGTCTAACTGACGACCGTTACTGTCTAGTATCCGGTGTTGACCGCCACTGAACATGCTTAAGCCACATCCAGGCATGCGAAGGCAGGGTTTTACGCAAGACGAAGCACACATATGCAACGCCTTGTACGTAACAGGGATGAAGGCATGCGCCCTAGGTTGCATGTGTCCTGCTGGCCCGTTTTGTTGTTTTTACGGCGTGTCCCGTTTCTCTTGCAGTGTAGGGTTGGGTTCATCACCCGTGTTTCTTAGGGAACCACTGCAATGTTCCTTGCTTCATTGCAAGTCCTCTGACGCGGATGTCCGCAGATAGAATCACACCATCACGAATGGACCCGTCTCCAGCAAAGCCTTACTTACCGCCTTCTAGAAGGCTTGGTGCGTGTAACGGTTCCACATTGGCCATTCGCTACCGGTACTCAGCTCAGGGCAAAGTGGGCTGCAAAGGGACGAGAGTGCATGAATAAGTATTATATCAATGCTTTGTAACGAAAGGTTTTGGCTGTGTTATAGGCCACAGAAGGACGGGGCGTCGATTTGGATCCAGCGGATTGGAATAGCTGGAACCAGACATAGCCAGCCTACCGGTAATTGGCCGGCAAGCGCGTCTACTGACAGCTGCCATCTGATACGTTTTGAAGTATATAGTTGACGTTGCGTTGCATAGGCGCGCCCAACAGGAAGAGCTTCGCCGGCGTATGAATGGAAGCATTTGACCTTGATAGGGAACGCGAGCAATTGCTATTAAAGAATGCGCAGAAGTTGAAGGTAAGATGCCTTGGCAATTTCCAGACGTTTTGCGCGCGAACAGCAGGATCGCAGCGACGCACGCTTCGTAACTGCAAACCTCTGTAGGAGCTAGGCCTGGCAGCTGCAGCAGCTGAATGTAAAGCGGCTATTGCAGCCGAGGCAGCGGCTGCCCGGCCTCCTCGGCCACCTAAGCAACCGAAACCAAAACGCGCAGAGCCAGAGGGCCCCAGGGAAATCCGTCGCAGTCAGCGAGCGCGTGCTGAGGTATAAGGCTATGCGAACTAACCATTTAACACTTGTAACGTGAACAGTCGAGACGCCATATCCCCTTCGCCATGTTCATCCATCGCAACAACTCCGTAATCCGCTCTTTGCCCAGTCTTCGCGAACATCTCTCCGCCAGTCTTCTCTCCGCCTTTACCTCGCCGCATCCTCTTTGTCGCCCTTGCATTCAGGAATAGTCACCTTAACTTGTGCAATCCCTCCAGGTGTCGTACAACGAGGATGCTGCCTTCCGCGAAGCTGGTCCCTCCTCTTCCCGGGGAGAAGGGGGCTCAAAACGGGCGCGGACGCAGCATCTCACGGAGGACGAGATTGAAGCGGTCCGGGCGCTGCATGGGGCCAAAAGGTGAGGCAGGAAGGTTGCGGCAGGGTTTACCAGAATTTGGGGTTGTGAACCAGCACGCTACGACGTAACCCCTTGGCTAGACGGGGTTCCTGTCGATAGGGCTTGCAGGATTGTAAAGCGTTGCAGGAGAGATAACGAACACCCTTGCTGCGCTCATGCTGACTCCCTTGCACATTCCTTTTTTGGCAGCAACGGAGAGGAGGGTGGCACGGGAGCCGGCGGGCCTCGTGACTCGGGCAAAGGCTTGCGTCGACAGGTAGGTACGCGCACGTGTCACGGGCGGGCTACTAAGTTCCGTCCAAAAGATGCCATACCAAAGCGTTTATGTCGTGCCTTCTTGTTTTGCTTCATGCAGGGGGGCAAATGGTATGACAGTAAAACTGGTGTAACCTGCCATTGGTGAGTTTGCCATAGGCGATGGGTACCTTGTAGCCATGGCAAATACCGTGCGGGTCATCCCATGATGACATGAATGTAGTGAAAGAGCCTATATTGGCTAATTTTACACTGCTCTTGATGGGAACCCAAGAATACTTCACTTCGTAACCCGCCAGTTGCACTTGAATGGAATGCTGTCATGGGCCTAGGTTTGTATAACTCCACTTAACCATCACCCTGACCCCGTTGCAGGTGCCGCCAGAAGACGATCTCCCTCAAGGTAAGCCACAGCTGAAATGCCCGGGGGGGGGGGCGTTACTGCTCGATACGTGGCATTAGCAACGACGCACTCTAGGAAAGCCTGAACGTAAGAACGGCTTGGCGAAACGACTTCGTAGGCTGCCGCTTCATGTCTGCCAGACCGGATTGCCCGGTATGGAACCTCGCTGATAAACATTATGTGCCAGGTATCGCACCAGCTGGTGTAATGGGCTAATGGCAGCATTCATGTTGGACAAGCATGGACCCTTCCACTTCTGTTCTCTTCTAACCCTCTTCTGTCCCTTGAAGGTCACGTGCACCAACCCCGAGTGCGGGCACCGGGGCAGCCGCGGCGGGATGTGCATGAGCTTCTGGTAGGTCCGCTGCGCATCGCTGCTGGCATGTAGTAGCTGCTGGTGCACGCCCATCGTGTCTTGGCGTACCTTCCATAGCTAGAATGAATGAATGGCCGTTGCAATGGTTCGCTTCAAGCTAGCATGTTGCTGCTGTTGGTGTCCTTGCTGCTCCAATCCGTGTCTTTGCATGTGACACAGTACGTAGTCCTACACGCACGTGTGGACTTTGGCTAGCAAGTCTTGGACTGTCACATACATCCCCCAATCCTTGTCATGCCTTGCTGCACTACCAAGCTGCTTTACCCACCCCTTTCTTTCCGCACTTCCTTACAACCCCTCCTTATCCCTGCCGCAGCGAGGGCTGCCTGAGAAACCGGAACGGAGGTAGGGACCACCTACACCGTGGTGCACTCCTGTCAGTCTTGTGCTCCTGTCAGTCTTGTGCACCACTTGTTCTGACTGTTTTTTGCCATGACGTCATCCCCCGGAATCCTAAATGCTTTGTGCATCTGCGCACGTTTTCAGTGCTGCTTCGTTTCCCTGCCAGCATATGGCCCTCCTCACCAACGCTCACCAACACCCTTTTTCCTGCTATGCTCTTTTATTCTGCAGAGGACGCTGCAGAGGCGGCGGCCAGCGGCACCTGGGTATGCCCCCGCTGCCGGGGCTCGTGCGGGGAGGGCTGTGTGGTGTGTTGCAACTGCGGGCCGTGCCGGAAGCGGGTGAGTTGGGGGGGAATGCATGACGGTTTACAATGACTGGATGGACATGTACACCATGGGGGCCTGCTTAGCTGGCGAAGAAACCTGCATGTGTAGTTGAATTTACCGGCACGCTAGTTTTGTTTTTGCACCCGACGCGTCCCTCCCATTGATGGTAGGCGGGGCTGGAGCCCACCGGGCAGATCATGCCCATCGTCCTGCGCGCCGGCTACAACAACGTGCACGACTACCTGGTCGGCAAGGCCACAGGTACGACTCGCCGTTGGAAGCCGTGGGTAGGACACAAACGCCTTGAATCTTTTGTTGTCGTGCTTCTCTCCTTATCCCTGGAATTTCACGTCGGCGCAAGTGCATACGTGTTTTTGGGGCATCCTGTACTGTCACTTTTTGTCCTGAAGTCTTTGGTATGTGGTGTATGCCCGCTGCCTTTGCATCCACAGGTAAGACACAGGAGCAGCTTACGCAGCGCAAGCTGCAGCAGCCATGGGCTGCTTGGATGCGGCAAGAGCAGCCACAGCAGGAGGAGAAGCAGGAGGAGGATGAGGAGGAGAAGCAGCAGGCTCCCGGTGGGGGCAACACCGTAGGCGATGACGCCATGGAGGGTGAGGGCGACGAGGACGAGCAGGAGCCACAGCAAGCTCCCGGTGGGGGCAACACCGTGGGCGACGACGCCATGGAGGAGGGTGAGGGCGACGAGGAAGAGGAGGAGCCGCAGGAGGAGGGCGACGAGGAGGAGCAGGAGCCGCAGGAGGAGGGCGACGAGGAGGAGCAGGAGCCGCAGGAGGAGGGCGACGAGGAGGAGCAGGAGCCGCAGGAGGAGGGCGACGAGGAGGAGCAGGAGCCGCAGGAGGAGGGCGACGAGGAGGAGCAGGAGCCGCAGCAAGCTCCCGGCGAGCACAACGCCGTGGGCGATGACGCCGTAGAGGAGGAGGAGGAAGAGGAGGAGCCGCAGAAGGAGGGCGACGAGGAAGAGAAGGAAGAGCCGCAGGACGAGGAGGAGGAGAGCCAGAAGGAGGTTGGCGACGCTGATGAGGAGGCCGCTGTAGCTGCTGCTGCCCCTGCCCTGGAGGATGGGCTCGTGGAGCAGCAGGGCCAATGTGATAATGAAAGCAGCGGCAGCGAGGAGGACAACGGGCGGCCGAAGCGGAAGGCATGCAGGGCCAAGGCAGCTGGGCGACAGGCCGCAGCGGCCACCGCGAGCGCTGGCAAGGCCAGGTGAGCAACGGGGCCCTTATCGACTATAGGAGTTGGGGAGGTAATGGGAGACCGTATATGGGAATGATGGGGGTTGTTATCAAGAGGAGCTAGAGCATAACTTCACAGGGCAGCTGGAACTCATGATTTTGTTCCTTGGGTGTACTCAAACTTGTAGGCTGGAGCTCGCCGCCAACAAGACACGGGGACGCAAAGCTGCTGGGAGGAAGGCGGCTGCCGCCTGATGCGGCTTAATGCCGCGTGGTGTGGTTGATGCCGCCGTTGTGGCTTGAGGAGTGCACGACGGTCGTGGCCCCCACTGCCGTGCAGCGTACCTCGGGTAGCATTGCAGTTACAGCGCCCCCCCTCCATTTCTCGTCAGTTTCTCAATATTTGGTTACCCCTCCCATTGCGCAGTGCACATCGCACATGGGGTAGCATCGTTCATGTGCTACCTCACTAACCGCAAAACCCCAGAGCGCATGTCAGGTTTTTGTCTAGCTTACAGATAATGGATGTGACAATGGGCTTAGCTTTAACGTGTATTGTGGCAGCTTTGGTGCCGATCCAAGGCCTCGATTTGGTCTGGTGGGGTTACAGGGTCTACTTGTTGTTTGGGGACTCGTGTCTGTTGGAGTAGGCTGTTGATTGTTGCTGTCAGCTTTAGGGGAGGTGGAGTTGTCCTTTTCCTGACTTCTTAACCAGAGTGAGGTTGGACTTGAGCGTCATGTCGCCCATCCATGTCCGGTCTGGTGTGTTTCCGTTGCTGTGTTTCATCCTCTTTCTTCAGGTGGGATTGCAGGGATTCTCTGGAGGGTTTTTCCTTCCCGCTCGTTTGGCTTGGTCTCTCGTCTTCATGTCCTATGTCTGTAACAGTCCGTATCGGAAAAGAAACTGGGGCGTCTCCTGGCCTTCCGTCTTCAGGGAAATGAACGGGTGACGTTTTGAAGACGCAACGGGCACGAGCACTAGGGGCCCTATAACTTGTTGAAGCCAACAGTGTCCCCACTCAAGGTTTGTGTTTGTAGCCCAGCGCCATCGTCCCGACAAGCGTCTTTTGCCAGGTCCGATGCACTGCGGCAAGCTTCAATGGCTTCTATGTACGACCCATGGTCCGGTCCATATATGGATAGGGGTTGTCTCTAAGTTAACATTGCACTACGTTTTGTGATATAGTTGATTGAATGGGGCTTGCGCTTACAATACAGAAGTGCTCCGAGGCGCTAAAAACGATCAACCGCAAAAGGATGTACGGCGATAGGTCCCATCAGCGAATCGGCAATCATTACTGTTGAAAGCAACGTTTACCGGTAGCACTTTTGGGTTATAAGTGGAAGACCGAAGCAGCGGCTACAGTAAAGGCAGTGCGTACCTTACCTCTCTAACCGAAGCTCCACAGTTACCGAGCAAAGAGACTCACCTTGCAGTAATGCATAAACCGCTTATTACAATAACAGCTTGCTAGCTTTGCCATGCGAGTCCTTAGATGCCACGCGCGCCTTATCGATGGACAGCGAATGCCAATATTTGCAACGCTTCTTTTCATCCATGTGCTTGTATTACTCGCCAGAATTGCTGGCAGCAGCTCAGTGGTGTTGCGCAGTGGTGTCGTGAGCCTGAGGTAGGTAGAGTGCTCCTTGGGTAGGGCCTGCCTTTCAGGCAGATTTGATTTAGGAGATATGCAGGATGTCCTATGGGATTACCTTTCGTCAGTTTGAACAACCAAGATAGGTCGGCAGGTTGGGAAGGGAAGCAGAATGCGGCTTTCGTGAAGAAGCGCTCCTTATCCAGTTATGCCCTGTAATTACTCATATCTGCATCAGGTATACTTTACCTGATTTATTGACACTTTTTGCCCGGTGGGATCGCACGTTCATGGCAGTTACTCACCGTTGCGAGCGTCAAACGCGGTAGATGAGTTGCAAAGCCTACTCACCTATACCCGCAGCAACACCTATATACATACAGAATACCTTTCTCCATTCGAGGAGGCCGCTTATTACCTTTGCCCACGGGCTGTCCATGGGCCGTCCTGCTTTGCTTGGCGATTTGCTTTATACCCGTAGCTGCTGTACGCCCATGCCCGACGTTTCTGTTTGTTCCCCCTCTCAACATTACATGTGCAGTAAGCCTACAAGCTATGCAACCGTTGCATCAGCTGGCATCAGTACAAATGCCTTCATGGCAGCAGATACTGCTGGACGGAGCCTGTATCTGCTCCAATATTCAGCCGGTGGGTGAGCACCGGGCGGAACCTACGTGGCGCTTTCTGGCCCTACATGGCTGTGTCCTATAGCTCAGTGAAGCCGTGCTGACATTTCGCTGTTGTGTCTTTTATACCATGCCTGACATCCCCACACACGTTTCACACATGCACATGGTTGTGCACCGTACCGCTTACATGTAGGCACCGGCCACGCATTGGGTGACGATCTGACTTCTCAGGGCGGTAGCGTGGTGTCGTACATTCCAGACGACACGTTGCTGGTGTTTGCAAAGCCCGAAACTGCAAAAGCGGTTGCGGAGCGCCATGCTGCACTCATGGTAGGTGCCATAACCTATCTTATCGCGCACGTGCGAGGTAATTCCACAATGCGTGCAAAGGTATGCTGATAAGACCGAATCCCTCACCTAACCAACTACAGGCAGAGTATGCGGGTGACCTAAAGGTCTCCCCGGAGATGTCCCGCTTCATTGAGGCATCCAGGCCAGTTGCACAGCGCCACCGAAGTCAACGTCGCAGAAGCGCACTTGGCATCACTGGCAGCAGCAGCGACAGCAGCGGCAATCTGGGATCTGGAGGCATCACGGAGGACCTGCCTGACGCCGCATATGATCCAGATCAGCTGCTGCTACACGCAAAAGGGGCCTTGCAGCACATGCAGACCTGGAGCATGCACCGGCAGGGCCAGTACCCATGGCAACAAAGCCGTCGCACTGCTGCTGCCGGGACAAAGCTACAGGGTTCAGGGAAGAAGACGCATCGGCGCAGGAGACTTGCTGCTAAAGCATTTACAGCGCCCGAGCTGTATGCTGTCCAGGCTCACATGGTTCCTGGCTTGGGCGATGAGGTGCTGGCAGCTGCGTACGACACATGGCCCGCGGCGCTGGCATCCGTGCTTGGTCGTACGAGTGATGCAGATCCGTGCTGGCCTCAGGCCTTGGATTATGCATTGTACGAGGCAAGCGCTGGATGGATGCAGGTGTACCTGTGCCAGGAGGTAAGGTGTAACGGATGGTGTAGCTGGTGTCTTTATAGCAAAGCGAAACACCCTGTGTGTGCTGAGGTTGTAACTTCAACCCATTCAAGGTTATGTTACAACCCAGGCGACCCCACTTGACGCTGCGTGCATTTTTCTCCTGTTGAACTTGCTTTTCGGCCCACAATTAAATCAATGTACGACCTGGAAGTTGTTCAACTTTAGATTGGTCATTGGATCTACGCTCGTCACAGGACATCGAGGAAGGCTCGTTGTGGCTAGCCAGCCAGCCAACCGTAATGTGGGTCTCACCCATGATCAAGACAGCGCTTTCCAATGTGTACGCTGGCTGGACGACGCAAGCAGGTATATATGGCCACTCCCAAAGTAATAATTCGCCACCGCCAAATCTTTTGCTTTTGGATTTTATTTGGTTGAAGGCCGATTCTCAAGTGTGTCAGCTGCCGTAAAACCGGGGTCTTAATCCCCCGATTTGAACTTTGTTTGCTAGCAATTGTTTTGGGTACTTTATTTAAGCCCCCGGGCTTTCCTACCCGTATTCCGGCTTGTACCCTTTTGGCGTTGGATGTTTAACGTATGGGTGGCCTCTTCACGACGTCTGCAACTCTCCTGGGAGTCTAAAAGTCCATAAACCCCCTGTCCTAGGCCATGGACCCCGCATGAGTTTTGCTTTACTCCAATTGCTCAATTGCCTGTTCACCCTTCTAATTATTCCAGGGGATATCAGTACGGCACGCTACAATGACGTTGCCAGCCTTCTTAGCGAGACTCGACCCTACTGGAAGGCTGGTATTCAGGGCGAAAACATCATTGTTGGGGTAAGTACGGCATATACCTGTGCTGTGAGGCAGCGATTTTAAGTGCAAGGGGACAGAGCTATGGTTGACTGGGTTGGGCCTTCTTGGGTCTTCATTAGTAACTTTCACAAAGGTCACCCGCATGCTAGACGGCCGCAGGCCGATTGAGAACGAATTCGCTACTTTGCTGTGCATCGTACTAACGCAGGTTGGTGACACGGGTGTGGATGTCGGGCACTGTTACTTTTTGGATGACAAGTACAGCCCCTCCGCGCTCAAGGCCCTGCTCAACAGAAGCGCCACCACGGAGCTCTACCGCTGGTCCCTGCCCGACCACAGAAAGCTCGCGCAATACGCAGTTGCAGGTTAGTTCTTTGTTCCTTCATGTTACCACTAGCATTTGGCTGAACATGCAATATCAACAATATGCTAATTGTGCGTAGCGTGCTGGGTAGGTTTTTATTAGCCACGGGAGGGGAATTCCTGACGTTGGGTGCATCTGCATGCTTCCCCAGCAGCTAACGAGGGTATTTGTCTAACCGACACTTTTTGTTGTCTTATTGTTGTGGTTGTGCCCTTCCCTGGCCCTGTATGTGGGGCTTGCATGCTTGGTCATCATCTAAAGGTGACACGAGCTATTTCAGTGACGGCAGCGGTGGGCATGGTACCCACGTATGTGGGAGTGTTGCTGGAGCTGTTTCCAGCGGCTCTAGCAGCGGCTTCAAGACAGATTCCTCAACAGGCTCGGCGCCGCTTGCAAAGATCAGCATGCTTGACCTGTCATCGGCTTCTTCGGGCTTGAGCATACCCCAACCAATAGACACGGTCTTCCTCAAGGTGCGGTATGGGTTCTCAGCTATGTCACCCGCTTTACTTGTTCCTATGACGCGGTCTGGTGTGGGCGCTCTTGACCTGGCGCGCCATCTACTTGATGTCGTGCAGTTTCACTACTCTGGAGGAGCTCGGATCACATCAGACAGTTGGGGCGAAGTGGGATCAAGCGGCACTGCGTACGACTCGTTGGCTCGTGGGTACGACTTCTTTGCTTGGAGGAATCCGGATATCCTGAGCGCAATAGCGGCATCCAATTCTGGTAAGTCCACAACTAGCACATTGGCCCATGCGTAAGGCTTGAGGATTTTGTCTTTAAAACGGTGCTTGCCAACAGCATCACGTCTTGCACACAGCTTAAGCACCTCCATTTACAATGCAGGGGCAAACGGCAAAATACCAACAGTCTCTTCTCCAGGAGTTGCAAAGGTAAGCCCCTGTGTGTACAGCCGTTAGTTGCTTTGCCAGTACTTGTTTGAAGTTACTGGGGCCTGTGGCTGCGGTAACCTGGTGAGTAAGGATGCATGTTGGAAAATGCCCGTGCATGTGCCTAGGTAACCGCTTGCTTTGTTTCTTTGGTCCTTCGCAGAATGTCATGACAGTTGGAGCCTCGACAAATCACCCCAAGGATGTTACAAGCACGTACGACCAGTTTATGGTTCTCTTCCGATATCGGGATAAGAACATGACCTTGCAAGAATCTGGGGTAAGGGCCTTACTAAAAACCTAGCTATTTTCAAGGGCATGTAATCTCTAGCGTCCTCCTTGAAATATCCTGAGGGACGTGTAGTTTCTTTTGGGTCGTCGGCCCATCACTGCCAGTTCTGCTTTCAGGTTTCTCTGCCACCTTTAATCATCCCAATATTTATGATGCAAGGGCACCCGCCAATTAAGTGCAAATGGGTTTCTATCTTGCAGGTTTGGCCCTTTGGTGGATCGGCATTTAGCACCTGGCGAACCCTTTTGAGCGGCCAGGTGAGTGCATGCCTCCCTCCGCTGCATCGTGATGTCATCCCAACTGCACTGCATGTTGGGATATCCGCAACCTTCCAACATTGTACGCATTGCGCCTTGTTCGTTGGAAATTTGCGTGGTCTGGCCCGGGAGCAGGTGGGCTTACATTGAAGACGTAACGGGCTGCGTAGAAAGTCTGGATGTGATGTATACGCCATGTAAACTGGGCTTAAAATGCCATTTCTGCTACATTTCCTCGCTCATGACCTTAACGTCATAACACGTGATTTGCATGTTGTTCCACAGGAAGTGCGGGTCGTGTTGGCGACCCCACGGGGAGCCTGCAGTACACTTGACAGCACCACAACAAATTACACGAGCGCCATTACAGTAATCGACATGGGCGACTCTACATGCAGCTATGACACACGGCTGGCGTACGCAGCCAGTGCTAAGGCCGCGGCCGTACTACTCGTACGGCCGGATGGTTGCTTCTACGATGAGAGCTTGTCGTCAACCATATCAGTTACAAACATCACATATGCAATTGTTACGAGGGTAAGTGCTTTGGTTCGTTTGACGGAATTAAGAAGGCAAAGAAGGGCCTCTTGGAAATTTCATTATCACCCTACCCTCTAATGTTTTTGACCGAAGCTGGCGGAAGACTTAGTAATGTTCCATGCTCATGCAGGCATATGGCCAATGGATCACCGGCGTCTTGGCAGATACAACCAACACTAAAGCCATCATGACTTACGTTTCTTACGTAAGTTTTCGGTTTTGGCACGGCTTATGATTTTGTTGCCCGAAGCATCGATGTTTGTTGCTTGCTAACTACGAACCTGCTGCCGTTTCGAAGCCCCGTACTTAGTCCTAGCCTAGCCTAGTTAACCAGAATAACCAGAATTGGTTCACTTATTAACGTGCGTACCAATTTGTGCGCATGCATGTGCAGCCTTCCGTAAATTTTGGTACTGATACCGTTGCGTATTTCTCGAGCTACGGCCCGCTATCGGATGGTCGCCTGAAGCCGGACATTGTAGCCCCGGGCGCTGATCTCATGTCAGCAGGGTCGACGGGGAGCCTCAACACTGTCACAAGTAAGTCGGGGGTGCTGACTCTACCGAAATAAACTCCGTGCAACCCCTTGATTTATTTGTGCCGAGTCGTTAAATGCAACTATAGCCAATGTATAAAAATGGATTCTGGTTTTTACTTTACTTGGTAGTTCCTTCGCATTGAACGTTAGCGGTCTTGCCCCAGCGCTGGGGTATTACCTTCCTGCCTACGCGTGAGCTATGCATATGCCCATATTTTAAAGCAAGCTATGTAGTTTTGCACTTCGCACGTTTAGTGTATTGCCCGGATACTGGCTATCACACCATAGGGTTATTTAGAGCGAACCTAATACCTCACCCGCCATCAAGTGGCACGCTTAAGTATCAGGCCTTGCCTTACTTGTGTTTATGGTTTATTTGGATCACGTTCTGCCGCTTACGCTGATTCCCACAGGCGCTACTTGCTCATCGGGCACAATTTCGATGGCGGGCACGTCCATGGCGACACCGGTGGTGGGTACAGGGGTTTATCCTGCTTGTTAGGGAAATACGATGCTGGCATGTTCCGGAGAATGCTGGCTGCACATGATTTGGTTGCCTGCCTCGAGTGTTTTGCAGTTTTTGCTGCTAACATCCAACATCCAAAATGTCCACTCATGTAGGCATCTGGGCATTTATCCCTCATGCGGCAGTACCTCAGGTGAGCGTTCTGGGCTGCACACTAGAGGCCACTGGGGCGCCTTGCGGCCAACAAACAACAATGCTTAATGCCGTGCGCCATCCTCAATCTTTAGTCACGGAAACGTGAACAGTTTTGACCGGTACCTTTTGTACTGGCATGTAAGGAAGGCCAGCCAGCCTGAAGAGCGATGTGCGAAGCCAAGTCTGACGGTTGAAATGTTGCATTGCGGCAGGGATGGCTTCTACCCAGCTGGAGACAAGACAGCGGCTGATGCGGCCAGCTTCGAGCCATCTGGAATGCTAATAAAGGTTTATTTACTGCCCTCATTCGCGAACCTGTTCAGAGCTAGAACTTCTTTTTCGTAATAGGCTAAGCTTGTCTGCTGCTCATAATTTGTCTTAGTGCCCAAATTCCGTACCTCAAACGTCCGGTGAATGGGCAACTTACGAGTCGCCGTATCAAGAGTTCCGTTAGATAGATAGGCAAAGTAAGAATTAGACGCATACAAAAAAATGAGAAATTCCCAGGAAGAGTGGTTTTTGTCCACGGTGCTAACAACAGAACCTCCCATTCCTACGTGCAGGCTGCTGCTATTGCAGGCGCGAGGTCCCTAGAGGTGTGTCAGTCAGTTGCTTGCGCAATGAGAGACTAGGCAAAATTGTATATTGAAGTCGAAAATTGTTTTTTAAACGGATTCGGGGGCAGCGGACGTTTAGGTGTTGATGAGTGTTCATTGTACGGCTTTGGGACCCGTAGGCGCATTTTACAATTCCATTGCGTGAACATTTACATTCGACTAAAGTCGTGTTTGGATACAAATCTGTTCTTTCATTTTGCGCTGTTAATACTTACCCCAACACTTCTTTGCCCATTGTTTCCTACCTGCCCGTTTCAGGGAGGTTACGCCAAGTCAGCTGGGACCGTGCTGAGTGCACCACCGGATGGCTATCAGGTACTTTATTTCTACATACTTTGTTTTTGAGGAGCTGTTGCGAGAACCTGCCAAATTACCGGACTAGGGAGAAGGCACACTCGACACAGCGGAGATCACGCCCAAGCGTGGCAACGTACTTTACTCATCCTGTTTTGCAGGGCTGGGGTCGTCTGGACCTGAGCGGTGCGCTGCCCCTCTCCGGCCTGACGTCCTCCAACTTGCGGCTCCAAGTGGCCGACATGGGCACCATCAAGCAGGGGGACGTCATCTACCTCAAGGGCTTGCGGGCGACTGGAACGGGGTGAGCATGACTTGGAGGAGCTCAGTGCTGCTGCAGTTCCTGACACAACCCGTGACCGCTTGGTTGCATGCCGTGCTGCGTTTGGGGCTTTGGGCAGCAGCCAGGGTTTGCTTGCGATTGGCCCACTACCACCAAAATGAGGTGCCAGCCATGTTTCGGGAAATTGGGAGTCGGAAATTTAGGCATCTCTTCCACGCCGTACAACGTTCTAGGGTAACGAAACCCAGATGTTGGGACAATCGTTGGGATATCTTTGCATTAATAGTATTTAACTAATGTCGCCACTGAATTATGTTGAAACACACCCGCAGCCCCATCCTGGCCGCGCTCGTGTGGTACGACTACCCTGCGTCCCTCATGGCGACCAAGACGTTGGTCAATGATCTCGACTTTGGCTACATAATTAACCAGCAGGCTGCAGCGACCAACCGCGATGGTAAGGCAGCTGTCCGTAAGCCTTGTTAGGCACACGCCCAACACGGAAAAAGGGGATGCTGGGGGTCATGGCCTAGGACAGGGGTTATGGATACCCTCGACTCCAAGACGCGACTGCCCTCCGCCATGCGCATCTTTGCCTTCGTGTGGAGTGGCTGGGGTGGGGTCACAGCTGGGGAGGGGTCACAGCTGGGGAGGCTCTCTAGGGGAGGCCGCCCACCCGCAGAATGCATACCCGCCATGAAGAAGTCATGGAATATACTGCCCATAATTTTAATTAATATTCTTATTTTTTGTCAATGGAGCTGGCCTTGTCAATTGGGGACAGAAATTCGCTGGCAAGTTGTCAATTGCGAGTATAAAAGCCGGGGGCCCCGGATCCTCACCGGGCCATGCATGCCCGTAAGGCTCCTTTTGGGACATTTGGCGCATATAAATTGGGGCTATAAATTCGCCAATTGTGTGTCAAATGGGACAGAAAATGCTTCCGAATCGACAAAATGGGCTGGAAATTAGACTCCAAAACCCATGCCAAACAGATTATGAGCAATATGGTACATGGAATGCCTGGGGATTAGATACTGAGCCGCGGAAAATACTGACCCTGATCGTAATAAACCTGGGGACGTCTGGGGAAAGCTCGGGGCCTCCCTAAAAATCATTTTCATGACAGCAAAAGATGATTTAAGATGCTTTTAATAAGGAGCATTCGTGTTACAAACACCTTGACAATCTTCCATCGCCTTCGCTCCGCAGATCATGTCAACAATGTTGAGCGTGTGGAGTTGAGGAACCTGCAAGCAGGTGACAACGTGACACTGGTCGTAACTGGCAAGAGCATTGTGCACAACATCAACTTCACTGGCGCTGACGCCCAGCTGCCTCAACGCTGGGCGGTCGCTGTTGTTGGCAACTTTATCGGGACGCTGCGGACGCAGCTCAACCCTGCCTACGTACGCCCACAGCGTCTGCTGGTAAGGTTTCGGCTTGGGGGTTCTTTAGGTACCCCCGTCCTACCTCCGTTCGATCGGCCTTTGTGTGAGGCACCGAGCTTTTTTGTTGTGTAGCTAAGCTGTTTGTTCTGTTTTCTCCCTTCTTTGCTACGCACCCAGCCATTCGCACAGGATGCAACTACCACTGTCCAAAGTATCCTGATTGGACTCTCAGGCAGCACTTGTGCCAGCATTCAAGATACGTCGACATCGGTGCTGGTTTCCTCGAGCTGCCCGCTGTCAAACATCAACACATTCACGTTTACCGAGGAGAAAGGTATGTCACAGTGTCCCTTCATTTACTTCAGTCTTGCACGGCCTTTACAGCAATTAATTAAAGTCAATACAGACAATAAAGGAATGAACTCAAAATTGATACATAGATAAGAAATTATTATAAAATCAGTACAGTTAAATTGTTAATATCTGTATTGGTATACAGATAACTACATTCAATGTCATGCGTATGCTTTAATTTGCATGGCATGCACATGGCGTACGACTAATGCATTGAGATGGCTAGGCCGTTCCCGTACAGACAAGGGATGCTTTTCATACCAACACACCGCCGTGTTCTCGCAGGCAGCAATGCCACCGGCGGCGGTTACGTCTACGTGTTGAAGGACTATCTGGGCCGGTGCCTCACACAGAGCGGAACCTCCTTGCTGCTGGCGACGTGCAACACCAGCAGCACCAGCCAGAGAATGGCGTTCTTCAAAAACCCATACTCCACCTCCGGGTAGGTATTAGTTTCTTTCCAAGGTGCACAGGTCATTATGTAAACACCGGGTTGCTCACCCGCAGCCTTTTAGCGCTCATGGTACACTGGATACCGGTAATGTTACCCCAAGAAATGAGCTTCCTTGCTTCCTTGCCTCTCTGACATCATTTTGAGCGCATGTTTTGAGCTGGTCCTCAACAGTGTATGTTTCGGTGTATGTTTCGCTCCTTGGACCTCTTGCCTCTTTCAGGACGCTGTACCAGTTGGTTCCTGTGCCGCTCCTTGGTAGTGGAAGTGACGACCGGCAGTGTGTATCACGGTCTGGTAGCACCCTAGTGCTTGTGGCGTGCAACGCCGATGACACAAACCAAGGGGTCTCACTCTACGTTACGGCTTCCCTAAAGCCTCCTGCGCCACCAGCACCTCCAAGCCCTGCGCCTAATCCTCTACCTCCGTCCCCACCGGCAATGCCGTGGATCCGCTTTTATACTGAGTGGACTGTTAATGGAGGTAAGGAACACTGTTTATTACAGGAGGGCTATCTGCAACAGGAGGAGATGGACTGTGCTACCATGTTAAGCAAGTGTTGTTAAGGATTGTTTCCTTGAGGGGTTTTCCTTGATGTAGTAGTAAACGGTGTCCCCAGGTTAATGGGTTTCTATGGCAAGTTCAACATGTGCCGCCTTCCAACCAACCCTTAACCCTGAACCCTGAAACTCTGCCCTTTGCGCTCGGTGGCCCCTTTCAACCACCAGTCGCCGTGGCGGATGACCTGGACATATTCGTTGCATGGAGTTATAGTGGTGCAGGCTACTACATCACTTACAACCGGACCAGCCTTCGCGGTGGTTTGTACGGCGGTGACAACGGAGCCACCAATCATGAGGCCGTCAGTTGGGGCACTCAGAGCTCACCACCTGACTGGGCGGACTACCGTGCATGTGTGAAGTTTTGGGTCACTGGCAAAACATACAATGTCACCCTCACGGTTTACATGGGGTCGAGCATTGTTCTCATGCAGTCCAAACTCTTGAAGTCCACGTCAGCTATGGACTGGAACTGCACAACCGCCTCTAACGGGTACCTAGGAACCTTCACGTACCCACCAACCACAGCATCACCCCCACCCCTGTCACCGACACCAGTTGTATCTCCTCCATTGTCGTACCTTCCCCCAAGTCCCAATCCACCTCCTTCTCCTCCACCTCGTCCATCAACCCCCCCTACGCCAAGCCCCACTCCACCAAGCCTCTCTCCCTCTCCTCGCCCTCCACAACCACCATCACCTCCTCCAAGCCCCCCGCCCCGTCCTAATCCATCTCCACCTCAACCGCCGTCACCTCCCCCAAGCCCCCCACCCATACCTTCTCCATATCCACCTCAACCACCGTCGCCTCCCCCAAGCCCCCCACCCCTACCTTCTCCATATCCACCTCAACCACCGTCGCCTCCTCCAAGCCCCCCGCCCCATCCTTCTCCGTTCCCACCTCAACCGCCGTCACCTCCCCCAAGCCCCCCACCCCTACCTTCTCCATATCCACCTCAACCGCCGTCGCCTCCTCCAAGTCCCCCGCCCCGTCCTAATCCATATCCACCTCAACCGCCGTCACCTCCCCCAAGCCCCCCGCCCCTACCTTCTCCATATCCACCTCAACCACCGTCGCCTCCTCCAAGCCCCCCGCCCCATCCTTCTCCGTTCCCACCTCAACCGCCGTCACCTCCCCCAAGCCCCCCACCCCTACCTTCTCCATATCCACCTCAACCGCCGTCGCCTCCTCCAAGTCCCCCGCCCCGTCCTAATCCATATCCACCTCAACCGCCGTCACCTCCCCCAAGCCCCCCACCCCTACCTTCTCCATATCCACCTCAACCGCCGTCGCCTCCTCCAAGTCCCCCGCCCATACCTTCTCCATACCCACCACAACCTCCGTTACCTCCTCCAAGCCCCCCGCCCCGTCCTAATCCGTACCCACCTCAACCGCCGTCACCTCCCCCAAGCCCCCCGCCCCGTCCTAATCCATCTCCACCTCAACCGCCGTCGCCTCCTCCAAGTCCCCCGCCCCGTCCTAATCCATATCCACCTCAACCGCCGTCACCTCCCCCAAGCCCCCCACCCCTACCTTCTCCATATCCACCTCAACCGCCGTCGCCTCCTCCAAGTCCCCCGCCCATACCTTCTCCATACCCACCACAACCTCCGTTACCTCCTCCAAGCCCCCCGCCCCGTCCTAATCCGTACCCACCTCAACCGCCGTCACCTCCCCCAAGCCCCCCGCCCCGTCCTAATCCATCTCCACCTCAACCGCCGTCGCCTCCCCCAAGGCCCAACCCACTACCTATGCCTTCTCCTCGCCCACCTCCTCCCGTCCCATCACCACCGTCATTCCCTAATCCGTCACCATATCCGTCTCCTCGCCTCTCCCCATCCTCGCAATCACCACCTCCAAGCCCACTTCCATTGTCCTCGCCCCCCAGCACCAGCCCACCGACCTCCGCTCCACCAAGTCCTCCACCCCTAGCGTCTCCAGGCACCAGTCCACCACTATCACCACCTCCAAGGCCGTCCCCACCTCCACCCAGAACATCCCCGTCTCCACCCAGGCCACCACCTCTGCCACCTCCAATGCCGTCCCCACCGCCGCCTCCAAGGCCGTCCCCACCTCCACCCAGGCCACCACCACCGCCTCCTCCAAGGCCGTCCCCACCGCCGCCTCCAAGGCCATCCCCACCCCCACCCAAGCCGTCCCCGCCTCCACCCAGGCCACCACCGCCGCCTCCTCCAAGTCCGCCCCCACCGCCGCCTCCAAGGCCGTCCCCGCCCCCACCCAGGCCGTCCCCGCCTCCACCCAGGCCACCACCACCGCCTCCTCCCAGGCCCTCCCCACCGCCGCCTCCAAGGCCATCCCCGCCCCCACCCAGACCACCACCGCCTCCACCTCCCAGGCCCTCTCCACCACCACCTCCCAGGCCATCCCCGCCCCCACCCAGACCACCACCGCCTCCACCTCCCAGGCCCTCTCCACCACCACCTCCCAGGCCATCCCCACCTCCACCCAGACCACCACCGCCTCCACCTCCCAGGCCCTCTCCACCGCCACCTCCCAGGCCACCACCACCATCGCCAAAACCCTCGCCACGTCCACCCCCACCGAAACTATCACCACCCTCGCCAGCACCAAGACAGTCTCCACCAGTGTCGACAACAAAGCCGTCACCACCACCGTCCCTGAGCATCAGTCCTCCGCCATTGACTTCACCACAGCCTTTGCCAACGCCAGCCTTGAACCCTAGCCCACCACAATCGCCAAGCCCGCTCCCTCCAAGCCCTAAGCCCCTACCACCTCCTAGCCCTGTTATGCCATGGCTTCAACTCCAAACGTCTTGGACGTTTGAAGGTTCAGGTTAGTCTGGGGGCCTTTATAATGGTGCCGATTAGTTTTAGGGCTAAACATGACGCTTGGACATTTCGGTAAAAATGCCCAGATGAATAGATGCGCTTGCGGGTAGCCACAACTGCTTTACTTTTAATCACAGACGATACCTCAATTGATGAACTCAACTGCCCTACGGCTGCTTGAGGGGATGATCATAAAGGTAACGGAGCAACCTCAATAACAACTTTGTGCACAACTTTCCTGCTCTTTTCAGACACCACGGACGCTGACTTGGATATCTTCGTCGCTTGGACGTATAGCGCGTCCAATTACTATATCACTTACAACCAGACGAGTCTCCGCGGCGGATTCTACGATGGCGACAACATGGACGCTTTGACTAACTCTGAAAGCGTCACGTGGGATGTGGTTTCCGCGGCCCCTGATGCGGCTGAGTACCGTGTGTGTGTCAAGTGGTATGTGTCCTCACGCGGCCCCACCTACAACGTGAGCCTCGCGGCGAGCGTGCATGGGAACCTAATCAGCACCCTGTCGACACTGGTTGCCACTGCCACTGGGGCTTATGACTGGCAGTGCACCTCCACTACACCTGGCTACGTCGGCAGCTTTGTCTACCCACCTTAGCGACTGCCATCTATCTACCAACATCGTCGTCACTGCCACAGAGGCGGTGGCTATGTCATTAGGGTCGTCAACTATCTTTGGCAGCATACATGTCGTATACCATGGAGGCAGGAAAGGGATAGGCCTGTTTGGGAGATCGTGTATGGAGCCTGGTTCCTCAACGGCGCATCAATGTTTCCTGAAGCATCAATAGCTGCCGTGGCGGCTGCTGGTGGCATCAACAAGTTGACTTGTATAAAGATAGGCAAGATTTTTGTACTGCACGGAGGAGCATGGCACGGGTCAAGCAACATGCAGGTAGCATTGCACAGCTTCATGTGTAAGTTCATTGGTAACATTGGTGTTTGAGTAGCGTGTGATTCTACTGGATATCAGTATGTAGGTAGTGTGCGTGAGCCACTATTCGTACTTTTACTTTTGGGTGGCACGCAGTTCTGTTGCCATAATACCGTAGGTGGTCACCGGTTAGGCCTTTGCACCCTATCTACGTCAAATACGGCAGCATGGCAAATGGCAGGTTTGCAGTTAAGCACTCGGCATTCCTTGGATCCACTGCACTTTACGTTTGGGTTGTGCTTGCGGAGGCGAGCAAAGTCAATTGAGGAACTGCAATTCATGACACCGGCAGGGGTTGGTTTGATATGTATTCTTCTAAGGGAGGTTTCAGAAATCAAGCATGTCATGCTGTCATAGCGTGCGTTGGGTTCCATATCGTGGCTAGATGTATGCAGTCTGGTTCACGTATGTTGCTATTCATAGTCCTTGCAAACAGGCCTTCTGTGATGAAGAGGTAGCACCGGGGGGGGGGGTAACTGTGTGTGCAAGCTGTCCTAAACGGCTCAATCGTGCTGTTTTCCGTGTTTTTAGCCGTCCTGTCGTTTATCTGTTTCCACACAGGTTAGAACCCAAAGCATACGAGGATTCCTTGGCGTACACTGTGTGGATGATGCGGATTGGGTAGATGTGATCAAGCGCAAGGTGTAGCTGTTCATGTTCATGTTTATCCACAATGTACCCCTGTTTACCCCGGAGCAAACATGTTGTGTACGCTTGCCCCAGGATTGCTAGGCAGGCTTATGAATGTGGGGTGTAAGGTGCAAGTGTTATGGATCTGTGGGGCTATGGATTTATTACTTGTTTGCGCAGGTGTTATCTGGGGGGCTAAGTGTTTATGGAAATGGCCTATTTGAATGCCATACACATGCTGCTATCTTGCAAATCTCAATGTGGCCGTTTACTCGCGTTCAGCCACCTTCGCTGCGTTGGGTAGCCGCTTGCAATTTAATTCGTTCCAGAGCGAAGCGTCAATGTACCGATGTATGGTGGTCGATGACTTTAAAAAATCGACATTAGCTGAGGAATGAGTGTCTGCTCCGGATTACACGCTGTAAAATCTAAGCCCCGTTCTGTGATTCACCATAAACACTCATCCCGCAAGATCATTGGTGCCACACATACGGCTTTCATGCTCAGCGTGCGTCCCCACATGCGCGCCATCACTGGCAGCATTTTGCAGGGAAAGCCACGTGCACACTGACCCATGGGTCTAATTTCCCAAGAACTAACACTACCAAGGCCGTATTTATCTGTTATAAGCCAGGAAGCAATAGGATGAATGGGCTTACAAAAGCGGGGTGGGCAGGGGCGGCCATGAGGCCACAGACAGGCCACGGCAGCAGTCAATTGCAGTATTGGCATGTACATCATTTGTCGCCGTTTGCATCCGCTGTTCTAGAAGCTAAACTTAGCAACTACCTTTGTAAGCTATGGGCGCACGTCTATACGGCAGGCGACCTCTTATAAATCGTCGTCGGGGATGGGATCGACCATGGTTACCGGTAATCCGCGAGGTTCGTCCCGTTATCTCGCGGCTACGGGCCTGCTGGCCGCTAATACAATTGTACAGATTTGTGTCGTTCTTGCGGTAAGTAAGGTTCGGAAAGCCCATAACTGAGTAAGTCATAACGAGTTAACGACACAAACGCAACGTACTATAGCTACATGCCAATTGCCAAATACTCTTTTTGGCTGAGAGGGAAAAGGAAAGCATACCGGTAGCTAAGCGCCGTCGTTAATAGCTCAGCACTGACTCCTAGCTCTTATGGAAATTTAGTAGTTCCCACGAACACTTTCTTAAGGCATGCTTCTATCAGTTTTTATCATTCGGGAAATCCTTTTATGCTCTAAGAATGTTACTGCTAGGATAAAGTTGTTTGACCATGAGGTCTACCCTAAGGAGTGGCTGGAACACACGAAAATGGTGGCTGATTTGTGTAACAGCACTACTATGTGTTCTTATACCCAACTGCGCTGGCAGCGGAGGCGCAAACAGCGCGGTGTGGCTACGCAGCGGCGCAATTACTCTGAGGTGTGTACTACCTTCGCCCTGCAGCCAAGTGTACTATTTAGAGTAAATCTATGAAGGACCATCCGATAAGTACTGCGAAAGCCGGGGCGAATCCACGTTGTCATGTAGCTAGACGTCGCCTATCGGTACCCTCGGCTGTCCGTGTTCTCCTTGTTTCCACGGCAAAAGCATATTTGGCCGCACCGTGGTGCTTTCCGCGTGTATTGTACGTGCCCACTGAGAAATGTGCACCAAACACCCCCACCTTGACTTGGGAGCATAGGAGCCCCGACCCTCTACCAACGGACGGCTCATCAACTGAACGGAGTCTGCACATCCTCAAGCACCCAACAGGTAAGGACTAAGGGAATCCCCGTTTTTCCTGCCTTCTTTCCCCCGCAGTACTCGGCCCAGCAGGCTTGCTTCCCCACCCAGCAGCAAAGCCTGACGCCAAATTACGCGATGAAGCACGTCATTCCTGCGCTGTCGGTCTTGCACAGATTGGCGGGTTTCGTTATACCAGTCGCGCACATGTTATCCATCTTGTCCTGCACGTGTGTGCTCTTGCATGCAGGCGCCGGCCATGTGCTGAGTGGGGACCTAACCTCCCAGGGTGGTAGCGTGGTGTCGTATGTATCGGATGATACATTGTTGGTTTTTGCAACACCCTCAACCGTCAAAGCTGTTATGGAGCGGCATAGTGCTTTAACGGTAAGGTGGATGGAGTCAGGTGGTTGACGGCCCTGCCCTGTCGCTTTGGAGTCATGGACGTGGGGCCCTGGGAAGCAGCGGGTAGTTATGCTCGCATAGCGCGCCTTGGTGTCCTGTTTTCGGGTTCAACTACACCCACGGACCTACTACAACTTCCAACACCGGGTCCCCGCCCACCGCTTCGTTCACTACAGGCGGAGTACACGGGCGAATCAAAGCTTGCACCCGAGCTGTCTTCGTTCATAAAAGCATCTAGTGCAGCCACGAGGCGCCGCCGATTGAATCAGCGCCACAGGAGCACGCTTCAGAGCGACAACACGCAAGAGAGCAGCAACAGCCACAGCAGCAGCAGCGACATGGACGGCAGCAGCGACAGCCGCATGGGGGGCATGGAGCCCGAAGGCACCAGTACGGCACAACTTGGCGATGCCGGGGATGAGGAGCAGCAGCTGCTGCTACATGCAAAAGGGGCCTTGCAGCACATGCAGACCTGGAGCATGCACCGGCAGGGCCAGTACCCATGGCTACGGGCCAACCATAGCGGTGGTGCGCGCGCTGCTGCACCTGGGGCGGCGGCTGCAGCCTGGGATGAAAAGTGGCAATCCAACGTGACCGCTTCGGACCAAAGCGGTTTGAGTCATGGGACGGCTGCAGCTGCAGCGGATCTGGCTGCAGCCGGCCATCATCTGCGTAGGGGGCTCGCTTCTGATGCAGCATCCCAACCCGAGCTTTATGCTGTCCAGGCTCACATGGTTCCTGACTTGGGCGATGAGGTGCTGGCAGCTGCGTACGACACATGGCCCGCGGCGCTGGCATCCGTGCTTGGTCGTACGAGTGATGTAGATCCGTGCTGGCCTCAGGCCTTGGATTATGCATTGTACGAGGCAAGCGCTGGATGGATGCAGGTGTACCTGTGCCAGGAGGTAAGGGGCCTTTGTGTTCCTCGGTCAGTGATGCGGCTACACCCTATCCGCTCCGATCTTACCCAACGTGATTCAAAGGCCATGCAAATTGCACCTGGTGTTTCATGCGGCATGGCTTGCCACCCTTACGTTTGTGCGAACTGCACAACAATCCTCAAGTGTCTGCCTCGCCCATGCATTCCAGTCTGCTAAGTGCTAGCTCAAGCCGTTGGAACCCAAGCTCGTACCTTTATGGGCCATCCTGCACCGCACGTGAGCCGAATGGCTAGGGCACGGCTAATATACATGCTGTGCCAATGCTGTGCCATACCGGTGCAATGCTACATGTATGCCTCTCACCCGTAGCGTTGTCACTGGTGCACGTTTGCGTCACAGGACCTCCAGGACGGGTCATTGTGGCTAGCAAACCAGCCAACCGTAATTTGGGTCTCACCCATGATCAAGACAGCGTTCATGAATGTGAATGCTGGCTGGATTACTCAAACAGGTAGGAAAGTGGGTTTCGAAGCATGATGTAAGCCACGGCCATTAATGCCTTTTCCTTGTAGTGCCTTCAGAACCATTAAATAGGGATTATGAAAAAACGCCATGTGTCACCTAAGTAAGCCGCTTCGGTTTTGCAGGCAACCTTACACTTGATCAGCAAGCCACGACAGCTACTGCTCTGCTGGGCGTGATGCGCCCATACTGGAAGGCTGGTCTCCAGGGCGAGGATATCATAATTGGGGTAAGCATGCGTTGATCAGCAGGGTTGTGCATTCTGTTTTGGGCGGCAGTTCCGACTCTTCATGCCACGCTGACCACAACACGCATGTGATATGCCGGACAGTTGGGTAAGGGTTTTGCCCTGGATCGCCTACCGGTATATGGCATGTCATGATAATTGGGAATACTTCCGTGGAGCACTTGAGCTCCTTAAATTAACTAATACGGCAACGCCTTGTACTAACGCAGGTTGGTGACACGGGTGTGGATGTCGGGCACTGTTACTTTTTGGATGACAAGTACAGCCCCTCCGCGCTCAAGGCCCTGCTCAACAGAAGCGCCACCACGGAACTCTACCGCTGGTCCCTGCCCGACCACAGAAAGCTCGCGCAATACGCAGTTGCAGGTTAGCCGGTGTTGGTTTCAGTGCAAGCTCGTGTCCCACTCCCATGAGTCTGGCCCTCCACCTTTTGTAACTAGGTGTGGTAAACCCCAACTGGATGTGTAGTATCTCCTTGCGTATGCCCTCATGAGACCTAACAAGCCAGTTCTGCGGGCACACGTATGCATGCGCCCAATCGCAGGCGACACTAGCTTCTTTGGGGATGAAATTCCCCATGGCGGCAACGGGCACGGCACCCACGTGTGCGGCAGTATTGGGGGGGCCATCTTGAATGCCACCTTTGACAGCGGCTACTCCATTGACAAGGCCACGGGAGCAGCCCCGCTTGCCAAAATCAGCATGGTGGACTTCTCGTCATGGAGTGCAGGACCGACTATTCCGCAACCGGTAGACACTGTCATGTTGCAGGTATGTACGTGCATGCACCTTGTGAGTGCTGATGTCCGCCTTTGTATAGGATGGCGACGTGCTTGATTAGGAGAACTGCAGTCCACGACCTCGCTAATGAAGGGAAAGGGCATCATGTGGTGCCAGGCTGCCAGCTGTCGGGGTTTCGGGTTTTTGGGCCCCGTGCCTACCCCAGACAATTTTGTCATGTTTACCTCTTGCAGTTCCACTACTCTGGAGGAGCACGCATAACGTCGGACGGTTGGGGCGAAGTGGGATCGAGCGGGACTGCATACGACTCGTTGGCTCGGGGGTACGACTTCTTTGCTTGGAGGAATCCGGAGGTGCTAAGCGTGGTGGCCGCCTCTAATTTTGGTAAGGAACATATATGCGTCAACGGTCCACCTGGTGACATCCTGTTAAATAAATTTATTTCTGTTGCGTTTCAGGAGCGAACGGTATGATGCCGACCATCACCTCGCCAGGAGTTGCAAAGGTATGGCCCACATTCGTCCCATGGTATGAATCGAAACCCTACCTGGTTTCCCAAGCGTCGGTATAAGAATGGCTAGACAAGATGTGACACAGTGCTTAAGGGGAATGGTGTTTAAGGGGAAAGGAGTTTGGGCGACCGGGCCCAATCATGTTTATGCTGCTATTCTAAATTGAGCCACGACGTCCCTGCATGCTGCATGCAGAATGTCTTGACCGTGGGAGCTACCTTCAATTTTCCAACGGACGGCAACTTGAGTTACTCACAGACGGCGTTTCAATTTAAGTACCGAGACAAGGACTCAACCCCACAAGGATACGCCGTAAGTGAACCCACCGTGTGGAACCTGTCTACCCAAAGTAATATTGCATTCAAATTTTGGTTGGTAGTATCCGGCACATCAGAAGTGCCCCGCAAAAGGGTTTAGGGGCGTCTTTAGCTGCACTAGCTAACCTGTTTAGCCGGCATTTGCCCATAGCTGAAATTGATTTCTTCCTGATAACTCTTCGGTCATTCGTATGCAGTTCTGGCCGTTGGGTGGATCAGGCGAGCCAGCCTGGGCATTGCTTCTAACAGGAAAGGTAGGTTTTGCATGAGCAGGTGGCCCTATAGGCTTGCCCTTACCAACCCATTCCGACGAACCTCTTCAGCGATGTCATTTACGTCCTCTGGGTTTTTGGCTTATGGGGAATTTCTGTACCTCCTTACATGGCGATATTTGTCTGGCCCCAGGACCATGAGATCTGAGAAAGCGTGTAAGGGTTTCCGGTCCCGGATTATTTTAGGTATTCTCATCCTAGCGTTGTTTACCTGGTCCGTAGTGTTTGCGCGCCCATTGCCAAGCCAGCAGCTATGTCTCTAGCCCACCAATCCGAATACGTGTCCAACATATATGCATGCAGGAGTACTGGGTTGTGCTGTCGGAGCCACGAGGAGCCTGCAGTGCTCTTAACAGCACCAGCACCAGCTATGCAGACGCCATCGTTATAATCGACCTTAACGATGCGACCTGGTGCAGCTACGAGACACGGTTCACGCATGCGTCTAATGCCGGGGCCGCAGCCATCCTGCTTGTAAGACCCGACGGTGGCTTCAGTGACGAGGGTCTGCCTGGCTGGTCTTCAGGCAACACAACGATGCCAGCTATTACATATGGAGTCCTTACAAAGGTAAGCGCGTGGCTTTTACTTAGTGAAGCTTGAGACCAACAGATGTGCTCCCTCGTCAGGTGCTGCCCCACGTCCTTGCGGTCGCCCATGACCGGGTAATTGCAACCAAGGAACACGGTCACTGCTTGATAGCATGGCGCCCTCTGCCCGTTTCCGGCTGCCGCACACGCAGGCTTACGGTGAATGGATTATAAGCGTCCTGGCCAATTCTTCAAACACAGAGGCTCTGATGACGTTAACCAAGACTGTAAGTGAATGAGTGATTGTTGCATTAAGTGATGTACACTCACGGCTTAATGTCGTCTCGGGCATGCAGAGTTGTAAACCTGGGAATACAGCTGCACCCATTACCCACATCGTGGTTGTTGAGCCCTTACCAGGTTATGGAACATTGTCCCCAATTTTAAGACCGACAGCAGGCGAAGGGCGTCCTTATCCTGTGTCTTCACTGTTTCCACCACAACATTCAGGTTGCACAGGGACCATATTTTTTTATCGACACCGCATGGCTGGCATGGAAGCATGGCATGTCCTTGGGTAGCCACCCACGACGTTCATCACGTGTACGTGTGCAAGCATCCGCTAACCCATGTACGCCTTCTTTCATGCCCATGTTCGCAGCAGCCGCTTACGTACGGTATCGACACCGTCGACTATTACTCGGGCCATGGTCCCTTGTCGGATGGCCGATGGAAACCAGACATTGTAGCCCCGGGGTCGTATGTTCAGTCGGCAGCAGCGACGGGGACTTGGGACTTTGAGCCTAGTAAGTGTGCCCCGGAATCCGTATGGCAAAACTTTGTATGTCTGTTAGATCGCATTGGTGCAGGCATGGCCTGCATGCACCAATGCGTGATAATAAATGGAACGGCGATCGAAAATTGTGCATTTGTACACATCAATTCTTGATGTCTTTCTTGCACATTCCTTACCTCCCGCGGGCTTTCTTGCACGTTCGCACCTCCCGTCCCTAACTCACGCAGACGGCACATGCTCATGGTATACCAGGGAGTTATCAGGCACATCCATGGTCACAGCAACGGTGGGTACCGTGGTTGTGTTGGCTACTAGCGGAAGGCAGCAGTGCGTTATCGGTTAGGGCCATCCGTCCGTATGCAATCTAAAACTAAACTCAGCGCAAAATAGCTCATACATAATACTCATGGCTTGACTGGTCTAAAAAATGTTTCTTGGTTATACATGCGAACGAAGTACGCGGGTGACATACGCACATGCATGTGAGTACGAACCGCACGATAAGGCGATACTCATGCCGGGTTGCATGTTGGTATGTAGGTTTTAACAGACCTGGCAGACGAGCCACCGTTCCTCTGCCACCTATCGGTGGGCTTGTTCATTCTATTACTCCAACAATCCCACATGCAGGTATCCGGACACCTGGCTTTAATGCGGCAGTACTTCAGGTAATTGTGTGCCCAGTGGGACCGCATGCTGCTGTTGGTGGGGCCTTTCGTACTGCACGTATGACTGCTGTTACGACGGGAACCCATAAGCAAAGTTGCTACATAATAGGCGTACTGTTCCATGTGTCGGGCATGGTTCCTGAAATGTTATTGAACCTTTAATTGGCTGCCTTCCATACCAGAGATGGTTTCTACCCAGCTGGAGACAAGACAGCTGTCGACGCGGCCAGCTTCGAGCCATCTGGGATGCTTCTTAAGGTTTGTACTCCTTGTAATCGCTTATTCCCCTTGTGTAGTACGGTATTGTGGATAATTGACCATGGAAAAATTAAATGCACTGTAATTAACCAAGGTAGCTTGCGCCGAACGCAGGCAACTGCCATTGCAGGAGCAAGGTCTTTGGAGGTACGCCAACATGAGTCGTCGTACAACAGTAATTCTTTCCTTGCTTAACCCAACATGGTGTTTGCTTGCACAACATTTTCGCTAACATCGGCATCCCTTTGTGTACAATCGACCACGCCGCTTTAGCCAGCACCGCTACATGTACTGGTCCCCACATAGCCCCCAGCGTGACCGAGCGATAGCGTTTCTCCGGTATCCGCTTGCACCGAAAAATCACCAACTTCCTGCCTTGCATGTGTGCCCTTCATGCACGGCTCAGGGAGGCTACTCCAGGCAAGCCGGGGCAACATTGAAAGCGCCTCCGGATGGATACCAGGTAAGGGAAATCCTCTGCGTTAGTAGTCTCTGCATGTGGCCATAAGGAGCACACAGCTTGCTGGTCATTGATGGATGCACTTGCAAGACAAACGGCACATTTATGCACCGTTTGCCGGCCCAACTATGTGAGCGAGCGGTAAGCTGTGCATGCGTGCCCGTGCATGTTCTCTGCAGGGCTGGGGTCGTCTGGACCTGAGCGGTGCGCTGCCGCTGCCCGGCCTGACGTCCTCCAACTTGCGGCTCCAAGTGGCCGACATGGGCAGCATCAAGCAGGGGGACGTCATCTACCTCAAGGGCTTGCGGGCTACTGGAACGGGGTAAGTACATCTGGCTGTGAAAGCGCTGATAGTGTTGAACGCATGCATGGGTCAAAGCAGGAAACCGTATATACAAGGAATCTGAATTGCAGGCTAGGGTAACATGCAGCGGGACTTTGCTAGCTCACATAAATGTGCATAAACCGTTAGCGATGGCTGCATGCGTTCCATGATGATCAGGTACTGCTGTTTGCCTCATATGCCCACAGACCCATCATTGCGGCGCTTGTGTGGTACGACTACCCTGCATCCCTGATGGCGACAAAGGCGTTGGTTAACGATGTCGACCTCGGCTATATGGTTAATGAGGAAGCTGTTGCAACTACCCGCGATGGTACGAATGTTGTGTGCGGGTATGATCTGTAGTAAGAAATGCTACCCCTCCTTACAGCAAGCACTCCTAAGCTGCAGATGTTGTCACTGCGCATGCCGGTATGTGCCAGTCCTGTCCCCATGCCATCATCTACGGGTTTTGCTGTGGTCACGTTCAGTGTTCCCCTGGGGCTCAATTTACCTAGTCCCCATGCCATGGAACGTTGTCAAAATACACAATATCTACAGATCACGTCAACAACGTGGAACGAGTGGAGCTGCGGGACCTGCAGCCCGGCGACAATATCACGTTTGTGGTCGCCGGAACAAGCATTGTGCACCACACCCAGTTCACAGGCGCTGACGCCCAACTACCACAACGCTGGGCGGTTGCAGTCGTAGGCCACTTCATCGGAACGTTGATGACGCAGCTAAACCCGGCTTACGTGCGCCCACAGCGCCTGGTGAGGTCTTTCTTGGGGTTTAGGGCGTCCATTCATGTAGGGCGTGCACTCCAGTGCTGTATTGGACATACACGCGGTTTGTATTGCTTTGCATGGAGAGATATGAAGGCTTGCAGCAGCGACGTGGGGCTTGTGCCTTGGGGGCCCCTGTTTCTTTGATAGCGGCTTCTGGGATGGCTATGTTTTTTCGGAACTCCTCGGGCTCTTTTTCTTCAACACATTGACCCTTACTGACCCTTTCCTGTCACATGCTTGCTTTGCTGCGGCCCGTCAGGCATATGCGCAGCAGAATCCGCCAGCAGCACAGATTGGATTGCCTGGAAGCGCATGTGTTACCATTCAGGACGAGGTGGTGATTGGTTCCTTGAGCTGCGCGCTTCGGAGCGCCAACACCTTCACTTTCTCAGAAGAGATAGGTACGTAGGAAGGTTGGTTTAGGGTAAGGAGCCACGCTTAAAACCTATGCTGCACTTTTGGGCAGGGTTCGAGGGAGCGGAAGATATGGGTATATATCACAACACTTTTCATGCGGATGCATGCAGTGTAGCAATTAGTTTGACAGCGTACCGTATGGGATTTCCCTACCGTTGGAGGCCAAGAGAGAGATGCGGTCCGCAGCTGCATATCCAGCGCTCCATAGGTGCTGCATGACTAGCTAACATACCTCCACACGCATGTTTGGTTTCAGGCAGCAATGCCACCGGCGGCGGTTACGTCTACGTGTTGAAGGACTATCTGGGCCGGTGCCTCACACAGAGCGGGACCTCCTTGCTGCTGGCGACGTGCAACACGAGCAGCACCAGCCAGAGAATGGCGTTCTTCAAAAACCCATACTCCTCCTTCGGGTAGGTCCTCTTGTGTGCTTTCAACGCTGCTAAAACACTATTGTCATGCGTCCTTCATGGCAGGTGTTAGCCGTGCCTAGTGCAATGCGTTTTGCGGGCCCTGCTCCACACTATATGTCATTGAAAGACTTCCATTACTGCGGTGGCAGCTTATACCCATGCCATTCGAAATCCAAACAGCCCCAGAACAGTGTGACAGCCACTTCTCTCCATCTGTGCCCACAGGACTACATACCAGCTCGTTCCTGTACCACTTCTTGGTACTGCCAGTGACGACCGGCGTTGCTTGGCGGTGCCAGCAGTTGCCAACACTCTTACACTTACTGTCTGCAACCCAGACGATGAAAGCCAGGCTGTCTCCCTCTATGCGACCGCCTCTCTAGAGCATCAAGCGCTGGACACAACATCGGAGCCAAGCCCACCGTCCCCGTCTCCCAGCCCACTTCCTCCTCAACCATCACCGCTTCCGCTTCCTAATCCAGAGCCGCCGTCACCGTTCCCACCCACTCTACCTCCAAGCCCGCCTTCTCCCCTGCCTCCTCCGAGCCCCGCGCTGCCGTCACCTTCCCCAACGCCTCCGCCCCCAAGCCCGCCCTCACCCCAGCCGCCAAGCCCTCCAACTCCGCCGTCCGTAGGCGGCATGCCTTGGCTCCGCCTGTACACCCAGTGGGCCGTGAATGGAGGTGCGTACCGGTACATGAAGCAGTGTGCTCAATTCTTCACTTCAATGAATGCTCGTTCCTTGCTTTAGATTAATGCTCGTTCCTTGCTTTAGAGAAGCCTACAGCACCTTGCAGGAACACGCTTGCTGCTTCGACGTTCTCAACGCACTTCACCCGTTACTCACTTCCATCCTGCTGTGCTCTGTCACGGCCCCGGTGCCCCAAAACGCAGCTAACAGCACCAACGATTTGGACATCTTCGTCGCATGGACCTACAATGCCACGGACTACATCATCACTTACAACGTTTCTAAAGTGCGCGGCGGCTTGTATCAAGGAGATAACACCGCTGCTGTTCCCAAGACGAATTACGAAAGCGTTGCTTGGACCAATGTGTCCCGTCCGCCTGACAAAGCCGAATACCGAGTGTGCGTCAAATGGTACGATAGCGGACCTACCTACAACATAACGTTTCTGGCCTACATGAATGGCATCTTAATGCAAACGGTTACTGCTGGATGGAAAAGCACCCTCGTCTTCAATTGGAACTGCACCTCTGCCTCTATTGGGTACGTTGGCAGCTACTTCTACCCTCCCGGCAGCCCGCCGCCCCCATTACCCCCATCGCCTCCGTCACCACCGCCCTCGCCACCTCTACCACCCTCGCCGCCACCACTACCACCTCCGGACCCCAGACCGCCATCCCCCAGACCCCCAGAACCGAAGCCACCACCCTCGCCGCCACCAAGCCCAATGCCACCATCACCACTTCCACCAAGTCCCAGTCCACCATCTCCTCCTCCACCATTTCCTAGCCCGCCTTCTCCGCCACCTAGCCCGGAGCCTCCATCACCCAGCCCACCTTCTCCGCCACCTAGCCCGGAGCCTCCATCACCCAGCCCGCCTTCTTCGCCACCTAGCCCGGAGCCTCCATCACCCAGCCCGCCGTCTCCGCAACCTAGCCCTGCGCCTCCATCACCCAGCCCGCCATCTCCACCACCTAGCCCGGAGCCACCATCACCCAGCCCGCCTTCTCCAACACCTAGCCCGGAGCCTCCGTCTCCCAGCCCGCTATCCCCACCACCTAGCCCGGAGCCACCATCACCCAGCCCGCCTTCTCCACCACCTAGCCCGGAGCCACCATCACCCAGCCCGCCTTCTCCACCACCTAGCCCGGAGCCTCCATCACCCAGCCCGCCTTCTCCGCCATCTAGCCCGGAGCCTCCATCACCCAGCCCGCCTTCTCCGCCACCTAGCCCGGAGCCTCCATCACCCAGCCCGCCTTCTCCGCCACCTAGCCCGGAGCCTCCATCACCTAGCCCGCCTTCTCCAACACCTAGCCCGGAGCCTCCGTCTCCCAGCCCGCTATCCCCACCACCTAGCCCGGAGCCTCCATCACCCAGCCCGCCATCTCCACCACCTAGCCCGGAGCCTCCATCACCCAGCCCGCCATCTCCACCACCTAGCCCGGAGCCTCCATCACCCAGCCCGCCATCTCCACCACCTAGCCCGGAGCCTCCATCACCCAGCCCGCCATCTCCACCACCTAGCCCGGAGCCACCATCACCCAGCCCGCCTTCTCCAACACCTAGCCCGGAGCCTCCGTCTCCCAGCCCGCTATCCCCACCACCTAGCCCGGAGCCACCATCACCCAGCCCGCCTTCTCCACCACCTAGCCCGGAGCCACCATCACCCAGCCCGCCTTCTCCACCACCTAGCCCGGAGCCTCCATCACCCAGCCCGCCTTCTCCGCCACCTAGCCCGGAGCCTCCATCACCCAGCCCGCCTTCTCCGCCACCTAGCCCGGAGCCTCCATCACCCAGCCCGCCTTCTCCGCCACCTAGCCCGGAGCCTCCATCACCTAGCCCGCCTTCTCCAACACCTAGCCCGGAGCCTCCGTCTCCCAGCCCGCTATCCCCACCACCTAGCCCGGAGCCTCCATCACCCAGCCCGCCATCTCCACCACCTAGCCCGGAGCCACCATCACCCAGCCCGCCTTCTCCACCACCTAGCCCGGAGCCTCCGTCACCTAGCCTGCCATCTCCACCTCCTAGCCCGGAGCCTCCATCACCCAGCCCGCCATCTCCACCACCTAGCCCGGAGCCTCCATCACCCAGCCCGCCATCTCCACCACCTAGCCCGGAGCCTTCATCACCCAGCCCGCCATCTCCACCACCTAGCCCGGAGCCACCATCACCCAGCCCGCCTTCTCCACCACCTAGCCCGGAGCCTCCATCACCCAGCCCGCCATCTCCACCTCCTAGCCCGGAGCCTCCGTCACCCACCCCGCCGTCTCCGCCACCTAGCCCGGAGCCTCCATCACCCAGCCCGCCTTCTCCGCCACCTAGCCCGGCGCCTCCATCACCCAGCCCGCCATCGCCACCACCTAGCCCGGAGCCTCCATCGCCCAGCCCGCCATCTCCGCCACCTAGCCCGGAGCCTCCATCACCCAGCCCACCTTCTCCGGCACCTAGCCCGGAGCCTCCGTCTCCCACCCCGCCTTCTCCGCCACCTAGCCCGGCGCCTCCGTCACCCAGCCCGCTATCCCCACCATCTAGCCCGGAGCCTCAATCACCCAGCCTGCCTTCTCCGCCACCTAGCCCGGCGCCTCCATCACCCAGCCCGCCTTCTCCGCCACCTAGCCCGGAGCCTCCATCACCCAGCCCGCCTTCTCCGCCACCTAGCCCGGCGCCTCCATCACCCAGCCCACCTTCTCCGCCACCTAGCCCGGCGCCTCCGTCTCCCACCCCGCCGTCTTCGCCACCTAGCCCGGCGCCTCCATCACCCAGCCCGCCTTCTCCGCCACCTAGCCCGGAGCCTCCGTCTCCCACCCCGCCTTCTCCGCCACCTAGCCCGGCGCCTCCATCACCCAGCCCGCCTTCTCCGCCACCTAGCCCGGAGCCTCCATCACCCAGCCCGCCTTCTTCGCCACCTAGCCCGGAGCCTCCATCACCCAGACCGCCGTCTCCGCAACCTAGCCCTGCGCCTCCATCTCCCACCCCGCCTTCTCCGCCACCTAGCCCGGCGCCTCCATCACCCAGCCCGCCTTCTCCGCCACCTAGCCCGGCGCCTCCATCACCCAGCCCGCCATCGCCACCACCTAGCCCGGAGCCTCCATCGCCCAGCCCGCCATCTCCGCCACCTAGCCCGGAGCCTCCATCACCCAGCCCACCTTCTCCGGCACCTAGCCCGGAGCCTCCGTCTCCCACCCCGCCTTCTCCGCCACCTAGCCCGGCGCCTCCGTCACCCAGCCCGCTATCCCCACCATCTAGCCCGAAGCCTCAATCACCCAACCTGCCTTCTCCGCCACCTACCCCGGCGCCTCCATCACCCAGCCCGCCTTCTCCGCCACCTAGCCCGGAGCCTCCATCACCCAGCCCGCCTTCTCCGCCACCTAGCCCGGCGCCTCCATCACCCAGCCCGCCTTCTCCGCCACCTAGCCCGGCGCCTCCGTCTCCCACCCCGCCGTCTTCGCCACCTAGCCCGGCGCCTCCATCACCCAGCCCGCCTTCTCCGCCACCTAGCCCGGAGCCTCCATCACCCAGCCCGCCTTCTTCGCCACCTAGCCCGGAGCCTCCATCACCCAGACCGCCGTCTCCGCAACCTAGCCCTGCGCCTCCATCTCCCACCCCGCCTTCTCCGCCACCTAGCCCGGCGCCTCCATCACCCAGCCCGCCTTCTTCGCCACCTAGCCCGGAGCCTCCATCACCCAGCCCGCCGTCTCCGCAACCTAGCCCTGCGCCTCCATCTCCCACCCCGCCGTCTCCGCCATCTAGCCCGGAGCCTCCATCACCCAGCCCGCCTTCTCCGCCACCTAGCCCGGAGCCTCCATCACCCAGCCCGCCTTCTCCGCCACCTAGCCCGGAGCCTCCATCACCCAGCCCGCCTTCTCCAACACCTAGCCCGGAGCCTCCGTCTCCCAGCCCGCTATCCCCACCACCTAGCCCGGAGCCACCATCACCCAGCCCGCCTTCTCCAACACCTAGCCCGGAGCCACCATCACCCAGCCCGCCTTCTCCACCACCTAGCCCGGAGCCTCCATCACCTAGCCTGCCATCTCCACCTCCTAGCCCGGAGCCTCCATCACCCAGCCCGCCATCTCCACCACCTAGCCCGGAGCCTCCATCACCCAGCCCGCCATCTCCACCACCTAGCCCGGAGCCTCCATCACCCAGCCCGCCATCTCCACCACCTAGCCCGGAGCCACCATCACCCAGCCCGCCTTCTCCAACACCTAGCCCGGAGCCACCATCACCCAGCCCGCCTTCTCCAACACCTAGCCCGGAGCCACCATCACCCAGCCCGCCTTCTCCACCACCTAGCCCGGAGCCTCCATCACCTAGCCTGCCATCTCCACCTCCTAGCCCGGAGCCTCCATCACCCAGCCCGCCATCTCCACCACCTAGCCCGGAGCCTCCATCACCCAGCCCGCCATCTCCACCACCTAGCCCGGAGCCTCCATCACCCAGCCCGCCATCTCCACCACCTAGCCCGGAGCCACCATCACCCAGCCCGCCTTCTCCAACACCTAGCCCGGAGCCTCCGTCTCCCAGCCCGCTATCCCCACCACCTAGCCCGGAGCCACCATCACCCAGCCCGCCTTCTCCACCACCTAGCCCGGAGCCACCATCACCCAGCCCGCCTTCTCCACCACCTAGCCCGGAGCCTCCATCACCCAGCCCGCCATCTCCGCCTCCTAGCCCGGAGCCTCCATCACCCAGCCCGCCTTCTCCGCCACCTAGCCCGGAGCCTCCGTCACCCAGCCCGCCATCGCCACCACCTAGCCCGGCGCCTCTATCGCCCAGCCCGCCATCTCCGCCACCTAGCCCGGCGCCTCCATCACCCAACCCGCCCTCGCCACCACCTAGCCCGGCGCCCCCGGCGCCACCGTCACCCAGCCCACCCCTCCCAGCACCTCCGCAGCAAGTGCCACCTCAAAGTCCTTCGCTTCCTGCACCACCTAGGTCTCCACCGCTCCCACCCACTCAACCGCCATACCCGAGGCCACCTCCCGCACCACCGCCAGCCATCATGCCCTGGCTTCAATTGAAGGCATCATGGGCATTCTATGGTTCAGGTAGGGTTGGTAACTGGCTGTGTAGCAAACCAGCTTAAGGAAAGGATGGTCTCTGCTACTGAAGTTCAAGCTTTGGGTACTCCTCGTTACAAATGTATCATTGATAGGCATATCCTACAGGACGTGTGCAGCTGGCGTTAGGAAAGCCAAGGGCAGGGAATAGCTTATAACATTAGCCTAGTGACATGGATACCGAAATCGACTGTCTACCATGCGACAGCGTAGCTGTGAGGTTTCAGTGGCTTCCCGGCAACTTGGGCTGCATTTTTGGAGTCTCATTGTTAAGAGCCTTGACCATTTTGCTTCTTTTCTTGGCCTCCTTGCCGCAGACACCACGATCGCTGACTTGGACATTTTCGTCGCGTGGACACTCAACACGACAGACTACTACATCACGTACAACCAGACAAGCGTTCGCGGGGGCTCCTACGAAGGCGACAACAGGTTTCTTAACACAAACTATGAAAGCGTTGCATGGAAGCGGATTTCAAAGCCCCCGGACGCTGCGGAGTATCGTGTGTGCCTCAAATGGTACCCCCCTTCACGCGGCCCCACGTACACTGTGATCCTTACGGCTAACGTGGGTGGATACGTCACAACGGTTCAAGAGGCGCTGCTAGGCACAGCTGTGGGGCGTTATGACTGGAAGTGCTCACCAGCAACAAAGGGTTACATCGGCAGCTTTGTGTATCCTCCCGGCTTCGCACCGTAAGAGCCATCATATCCGGGCTGCTCCCTTGGTATCCGTATAACTGTCAGCCGGGATTACCGGTAGCTGCAACTGTCGACAATATTGTTCTTAGAGGCCCCCTTACAATGCACGGTGCTCTCCTACTAAGATGCCTAGCGCCTTACACATGCTGTACAGTACGCTACATGACAGGAACATTATAGAAGCAACCAGCCGTTTGGTATTTTACCGGCTGTTCCTCTCGTAGTGCGGATGAGGGCCGCAATGGTATGGGACTTTCCTTCATGTCAATTTATGGTGGAGCTAACTGGGGCAACCGTCAAGGCAGTTGCCGTACAGGCACGCTTAATGCTGTTTAATTGCCGTACAGTATCAATTAAGGTTATGGTTCTGTCTGCACTTACGGCCATGTGCGTCCTGTAAAGTCGTAGTCTGTAGGCAGCAGCACACGTGTTTTTGGGGTCTGCTGCAATTATAGCACACGGGTGCAGCTAGGAGGTGTGGTGCTGGAATGAGCGCATAATGTTAAACTGAAAATCTATTTTTATTTCGTTGGGGTCGCCAACGGTCATACCGGATGCCCAAGTGCGCAGCATTGGAAGGGTGTAGATAGCAGACTGTGCCAAGCATGATTGCATTATTTCATGTGAGTCTGTACTTTGCTACGAGCTACGGGGGATCCCGGGAATGGGTGGATATTTGTGTTGAGGCTAACTAACAATGCTGGGGAGTTCGTCCTTTTATACTTCACCTGATTGTGGCGCAGGGACGCACCTTTACCCATTGCGGAATAAGTGTGGCGGCGTATAAATCCTTACGTAGCCCTGACTAATAACATGGCGTCGTGCTTTTTAAAAGTTAAACAGTACGAGACAATTTAAACGGCTGTATGTGCCTATGGTTCCAATGATGTCGTACGGCCTAGATACATGGTCATACATGGCCAAATTAGGGGCGGCATTGTCCACGCCCTCGTAGGCCGTTATTGTTTGTTCTTGCTGCAACTAGATAGCCAGCAAAGGTTCTGAAACTGCTGTTGCATGCAATCAATGTGCTATTTGCTGGTCGGACTGTGGCTTGTTTCAATGCTGCGGGTCTGTAGCGGCCTGGAAAGGCGGTTTATTATCCCTTGTAGCATGCACGGCTTCATGGCGTTATTACTGTCGTGCATAGCGTCCTCCTTGCATGCCGGCGATCTTTGCTGGGGGTGCGCCTGAATTGCTCAGTTGTGGATGTGGGGGTGTTTCTCTTTGCAAGAAGATGTGGGGTTCTGGGCTACGGCCCTGCTGAGGTGCCCACCGGCCATAGTTGGGCTAGCATGGTACTCATGCATTGGTACTGACGGATGGACATATGACGCACGATTCAGTTCTCGCGCCTTCACATCCAACCCTGTGCATGTAATTTATAAACCAGGGAAAGGCACGAAGGCATATTTTGACGTAACAAGAGCTGTATCGTTAGCAGCTACCTGCCCTAAAGTTCCTATTAAGCCGACACACAACGTGTGAAGTCCAGTGAAGTGTGAAGTCCATACACGCAGGAGTACCGGTACTTGCAAAGTACACTTCCGGACCAATGCGCCAGGGCAGCAAATGTCTTCTGCGGCATTATAACCAGGCCACCCTCACCATACAGTGTCATCCGTGACAGCCCCAATTGCAAAATACACAGCGTACATCCGCTTCACGCCTACACGGCAAGTTACGTGAACCGCGCTGCATTCGTTTTTGCCATCTTGTTACCGTCTGTAGCAGCGCTACGCGCCCTGCTGCTGCCTTTCATACATGTACAGCACTCTGTGTCGATTGCACCGTACGTCTCAAACAATGGCTGCCAGACCAGACCGAGTTGTATCTACGGCCCTATCAGGGAAATAAATGAAATACCTGTTTTTTGCTTGGGGACAATTACCAATAGTCACTGGCCAAACAACTACCTCCTACGAAGCCGCACGTAGCTCAGCTGCCGTACTTTTTCCAAGCAACATGACACGCAACATCGTTGCACCCAGCCACTTGACACGCACGACTGTGACCCACATATAACTGAGCGGTACCAACCTGCCAACAAGCTATCACAAACCCCGCAATACTTCAACACTCCCCCTGCCACGATAGCAAACGTTTACCGTACGCACTAGTCGACTGCTCATCCTGCTTCGTGCATGCTGTACACATTCTCCAAATTCGCCATTCAATAACACTCGAAGCGTCCTTCAACTTTGCTTTGTGTCGTACACAGCATCGCCATCTGTCGCTCTCAAGCCGGTCGCTTATCCAGCAGCCTCAGCACGTCCCCTACCAGGTACAGGGATCCCGTCACCAACACATGCAAATGGACCCGTGGGTCGTTTACTGCGGCTGTTCGCACAGCCGCGAGGGCATCAGGAAGCGATGATGCCACCGACACGTACGGCAAATCCGGAATCGTACATGCGCCGCCCCCGTCCTTCGCCAAGCCTACCGGTGTGTAAACTGCCATACCATCCATCTCAGGGACGGACCCTTGGCTTGTCGCCCCGGCATGCGGAGAAACAGCGTACCACACATCCCGCATGCGCACCTGCCAGCTCAGATCTACTGCCGGTTGTTGTTCTTGTTGCTGCTGCTGTTGCTGCTGCTGAGAACCTTGTCCTGGAGGAAGCAGCACTCCTCCGCCAGATAGCATGGGAGTAAAGATGGCAGCCTGAAGCTGCACAACACCCCCTACAGCAGGCCCTGCATCTCCCATTCCGCTCTTCACGCCTATCGCAATGGAGGCCTGTACGGAGGGACGCGCCTGGGCTCCAGACGATGCTGCCGGTTGCTTTGTTGGCGTGACTGCGGCGGTGACTGCCGCTGCCTTCAGCTCAGGTGACGATGGTGGCGCTAACAGCGCTGACGCCAGCGGCGGTAGGAGTACGGCAGGGTCACGGTCCCGCATGCAATTGAAGAGCAGGACGAGGGCGTGCCGAGTCGCAGGAGCATCAGTGGAGGCTGTGGTAGCTGCGGGGAGGGACATGAGGTGTAGGGGAGTTTGCAAATGACCGGACACAAGGGGGCATGCAAACGGAGCAAGTCTGAGCAACACAATAAGCTACAAGCCAGGCAGCACGTGTGTGCATCAGGTTTATTATACCGGTAGGCATGCGCTCATTCTTTCTTTAGTGAAAGCCCTCCACCTTCACTCTACTTACCTTATATAAGTAAGTGCAGGCAAGTTAGCACGTCGGGTGCCAGATAAATCTGTGTTTTTACCCGACCGGTATTAATTCGGCTGCCTTAGCCCCTTGCATGCAGCCAAAACACCGACGAGCATCTACGCACCTGCTGTTGTTGTTGTTGCTGCTGCTGCTGTCGCCAGTTCGCCGCGTAGCCAGGCGGCGCACGCTGCCAGGCTCTCCGGCGTGTGAGCCCCATCCAGATACCAGGTCAACTGGCCGCCTTGAGAGGCCACCTGCTCATCCCGGACCACCTGTGGTTGGGGGCGAATAAAGCGATTTAGACGCAATTCAGGTTACGAGGAAGAGCTCAGATAGCGGTAGCGGGATTCCGCCCCGGTAGCGGATACGATGACACCGATGATCAGCGTCCTCCGTACCTCCGTTACCTAATGCCGTCCTCAAACGCAGGTAATGTAAGACACGGTTAACGTCCCTTGGCCTTCCATAGGGCCTTCCGAACTCATCAAGCACTCACCTGGCTTCTTCCAGGCCAGCTGACGCCCCGCAGCCCCTCCACGTAAGGCCCCGGCAGCACTGACATCCCCGCAGCTGCAACCGCCTCCGCCCGCTGCGCCGCCTCAACCGCCGCTGGGCCCCCAGGCGCCAGCGCCAGGGGCCGCCCAACCGCCGCCTCCACTGCCGCCTCCACTGCCGCCGACTTCACCTGTGCTGCACCCTGTGTTACTGCTGCCGCTACTGCTCCACCAGAGGCCGCATCGCTTTCTGGCGCCGCTGTCTCTGACACTACTGCTCCTCCTCCTGCGGGAGCTGTGACTGCCCCTGAGGGGGCGCCATCAGCTGAAGCGGCGGAGGTAGCAGCTGAGGCTGCTGCTGCTGCGGCCGAAGCAGCTGCTGCGTACTGTCGCTCCCATTCCGCCGCCAGCGCGACCGCTAGAGAGGCATTCAGCCGCATGTGCTCACCACCCAACCCCAACACCAACATGCTGTCACCCTCTGCGTGCGTGGCATCACCGCCGCCGCCACCGCCACTGCCGTTGTTACCTCGACCACCGGCGTGGGCAACGTCGACAGCGGCGCAGCGGCAGCTGCTCAACGACAGTCGGTAATGCTGCAGGGGTGGCGGTACGGCTAGGGGCGCTCCCACTCTAGCGGACACCTCCTGAGGTGCGGGAGCGGTAGCGGTAGCGACAGCAATGTGCAGTACAATCAGCAGGCTCGTAAGAAGGAACGGGCATGAGTATATCAAGAAACGACACGTTCACCAGATCTCGTCTGGATGCCACAACAAGAAAGCCGTTATTCGTAGCCTCTAGTTGTTGCCCGAAGGCTTATCCTAACCTCCCGGCGACCGCATCCTTCACCCCAGGCTTCCTGCATGATCGCCGTCATTTGGTTTCCTTATATTTTAACCAACCTCAGGTCCCTCACACCCTCCTCCGCCCTTGTTTCGTCCCACCACCCCCTCCGCCCCCCACCTGCAGCGCCTGCATGGCGTCAGGCTGCTGCGGCGACACCAGCACCGGTCGGCCGGCTTTCATGATGCCCGCCTTCTCACGCGCGATCTTCTGGGGTTGGGGTACAGAGGGGGGGGGGTAAATGAGAGGGATATTTATGATAGGGGACCCGATAGGGAGAAAACTAAGGGAGTGTGTGTGAAACGGAGCAGTCACTAATGGGGTGACAAAAGAGGTACGGCGGTCAAGGGGCCAGCAATGGTTCTGGGGCCAAATAGCGCAGCACTAGGTTACCCCACTGTACGGGAGGAAAGCCATGCTCATAAGCGCTTAAACCTTGTCCAGTGAGCTTGGCAGTGGTTAACGAAAATGCATAACTGGGTCCAGGCCGGAAAGGTGGTGGTCTCCAAGAAAATTTGGATCACTTCCTGATGCCAGACAGCCACACGCACCGGCAGTGTGTCGCCCAGGAGCTCCACGTGATCCATGCCCAGAGAGGTAATGCCGGCAGCCGCAAGTGACCCGTGGGTCACCACTCCGTTGGTTGCGTCCAAGCGGCCCCCGATTCCCACCTCCAGCACCACCACATGCGGCCGCAGCTCGGGCGGCCGGGCGAGGAATGCATCCAGGGCTTCCCACAGAAACGGAACGAAAGGAAGGTCGGGTGAAGCGGGCGCGGGAGGGGGGACGTTGGAACGTAAGAGTCAGAATTCTGAGCATGCGGTTGGATGGGGCTTAAGGAGTGGGGTGTCCTAGGCGAACAAAGGGTATTGGAAACCGGTGAGTACCTGGCACACGAGGTGCAAGGACTCCGTCCTAGCCCAGCAAAAAAAGACCAAGCAGTGATAATAAGCAGCAACAATGCTTGTCGCCTCCGGAGCTGAGACACACACGCGCACACGTTCCTACTCGCGGCCAGTTTTTCTTACACCGAGCCGCTTAGCCAGGCGCTAGATACGTACGGTACGGTGCTCATCCATGTGTCAAAGTATGCTGTTCTGTTTGTTCCATAAGCAGCAGTTAACCGAAGCACATTAGCCCCAGGCAGCCCGTCAGGCGTACCCATGCTACCTCCCAGAACGGTCAAAACATTGCTGCTGCTGTTTCTGTTGGTGGCAGCACCACCTACCCAGAAGCGTCATGAAGGTGAAGAAGCTGGGCATGCCCACGACCACCCGCCCTCCTGCTGCTGCTGAGCTGCTGAGTGCAGAGGAGCCGGTTGGGGGCGAGGAGGCCGAAGAGGAGGAAGACATGGAAGCGGGGCCCGCGGAAGAGGAGGAGGTGGAGGAGGGGGGACAGGCGAAGGGCGGTTGGTCGTTGGTCGCTGCCTGAAGTGCGCCGTACACTCGCCAGAAGGAGGCTGCGAATTCTGACCGGGGCAGCATGTGCCTGCAGGTGAAAGGAGATGAAAGGGAAGGGGTAACTACAGGGAAAGGGGGCGGCCCTGACAACGCGTGTTGGCCCTGATGGGATGGCGAGTTATGAACCCGAGCGAGCAGCGAGCGGTTGGAATTCATCGACTATTAACCGTAGCAATCCTTCGTCCTTGTCCTCGCTGCTTCTTAAGGCGTCCTCCTTAAAGCCCATGCGCACGACGAATGAGTGTTCCTACCTGCCATGCACCGAAACCGCAACGACGCCTGCATGCATGCGAACATCACCACCAGTTACCCCAACCGCCCGACCAACCAAATCCTCAACCCGTCAACCGCCCCCTCTCCAGGTACGTACGTTTTCCAAAATGCGTTTCCATGCCTTGTATGCGTGTCTGTCCTTTTGCTCTGTTTCTTAAGAATTGGTGACAGGCGGCGCGGCACATGTCTTCCTACGCGCGGCGGCTCCTCCCGCACGTCTCCAAAGGTTCTGGTAAGCAAGCCTTCGGTACGTTACGTTCCTTTGCGTGTTTCTAGGATAGCGTCTCCGAATGCACTCACTGCATGAGTCGGGATATGGGATTGGGACTCCAGTTGTTTGCATTTACCGGTATTATATAATTTTCCCCTCTCAGCCCCCCCGCCATCCATCCGCCCTACCCGTCAATCCGCACCCTCTCCCGCACGTCCACCAGGTGGGGTGAGGTGTAGAGCCCCGTACGGTAGCCGCAACGCCGCAGAATGGACTCCACCATCGCACATGTTGAGCCCTGATGAGGAGTCAAGAAACACACACCGAACCATAGGAAACCAGAGGGGGGAGTTACGCCATGCATCAGGCACCTGATAGGGGGAGAGCGAGGTACCAGTACGACAGCATTACTAATTATTGAGAAGTGCGACCTAGGGTGTGTGGCTTGACGCCAACACACGCACGCGTGACACGGGGAAGGACACTACCGGCAGTAGTTCTAGCGGACCTAGCAACGTAGCAAGGAAGTAGCTGAATGTATGTATGTTGCCAAGGCGACTAACGCCCCCGAGCGTGCGGGGTCCTCCTCTTAGCCCTCCCACCATGGCAGAGCAACATGACGGTGGCGAAATGTATTATGCACCGTACAGTGAGACAAAGGAAGGCAGCGGGCTGGTCGCCAGGGTCCCGGCAGCTGCAGTGAGCACGGGTCCCTCCTGCATACCGCCACTTTCAGCCTCTCACCTTCCCCTTGGTTCCAGCCACATGAATGAAGTTGAGCGACGCCAGTCGTTCGGGGGTCAGGCCGGCGCGCTGTGCACAAGAGCAAAGAGGAAGAAATGGGAGAATTGCGTGGTGCACATGACCAACATGAGTGCTCAGGCCGAAGGCTTTCGGTTTTCGCAGAGAGAAACGGAGGCACCGACCAGGCATGTCCTGGTCCCATCTGTGGTCTATCTGTCCTTTCAGCCCTCAGCTCCCAGGGTGCTGTTGCTCCGGACCACCGAAACCCTTCGCTTCCCTGCTACCTACCTTTCCCGCTACGCCACCACCGAGAACCCGCTTCCTCCCCGCTACGCTACGCCACATCACACCTTCCTGGCAGCCATCCACAACCCTGCAGTAATGCCTACAGCAACCCCACCATCCAACACTCCCCACACGGTCAGCTAGGTTGTTTCCTCTTAACCCCACCTGCAAGTGAACAGGCAGGTACTCGAAGGCGTCCCGCCAGCCACCGCCGCCTGCTGCCACCCCCGGTCGCAGCTTGTTGGCCGCCATGCGCCCTAACAGGTCCACCACCTCGCCCCACTCCGCATCGCTAATGGTGCGGCTGTCGCTGTGACTGCTGCTGCTTATAGCGGTGCTGCTGCTGTCGCTGTGTCTGTTGGTGGCGGTGCTGCTGCTGTCGCTGTTTCTGTCGGTGGCGGTGCTGCTGCTGTCGCTGTTTCTGTCGGTGGCGGCGGCGCTAATCGTGTGACCTACATCGGTGCTGGTGTTGCTGCCGGTGGTGGAGATGGTGGAGAAGCTGGTACTGCTCCCTGTGCTGCTGCTGCTGCAGACAGCTGTGCTTGTAACGCAACAGACGGTACGGAAGATGTCTCGGCTGTTGAAGCTAGGGTTGCTCCGTGGGGCAAGGGTGTGACTTCTGACGTGGCTACTGCTGCCATGACCGGAGCTACTGTAGCTCCGGCAGCGCAGGTCGTTGACAATGCTTTGACTAATGCGAACGCGGTTGTTGGGGATGCTGTTATGGATTGTGCGGTCGTAATTGTAGGTGGCAGCTATCCTTGCACCGCCGGGATGTGCTTGACATGGTGGACATTGGAGCAGAGGTAGCGACACCGCTGTGTGCATCGCGGAGGCTTTAGTGCAAAGGGAAGACGAGGGGAGCATCCTGGACTCGAGGGTAAGGGAAAACCGCGATTGATAAAGCGCCAGAAGGAACTGCAGCGGCGCTGATGGTGGACTGGGAAGCGCGTGTAGCAACTTGCGACTTGAACGCAGCGCACTAGTAGGAAAGACTGTGTAAGAAGGTTGAAGATGACACTTTATAAGCCCAAAGAAGCACTGGCACATCCTCTGCCGCCTGATAGCTGCAGTTGGATGGGCCGGCGGTGCGCATCGCCGGTGGCGGGTAAATGTATCTCCGATGCGCACAGCTTCCTGATCTACTAATGATAGAACTCCGCTTAGCACCGAATGCAGTGATACAGGATACCTTACAAAGCGGTGAAAATGTCTAGTCCAAGCAAGCGCCGTGCGATGCGGTGAAGTTTGACTAGTAGCTTTATGTGCCAGTAAAAGAAGGTGGACATCGAGAATAAGTATTATCCGGCGGTTGCATCGCAGCCCTTATCATCATCAGAGCGTCCTGCACAAACCACCAACTTCCAAGTACTCAGCTACAGTGCTTTTTAGGTTAATGAGCGACAACTTTATGTCCTGACGTCTTACTATACTGGTACACTGAAAAATACCATGGCGTTAAAGCTGTTGCCGGAGGACTTGAGTGATGTCCCCGCCCATTTAGCAGGTAATTTGCTTGCATAAGGCGGCGCACTACTTTAAAGTGCAACGTGCAATGTTTTTGTTTACAAAGCCGCACAGCGCACAGTCTCACAGTGCGTCGGTGCTGGCGGCCATCTGGGCCGTCGGCGTCGACTGTCGCATTCTTATACTATAGCCCTTCCAAGGAGTACCGTGATGCATTCAATCACACGAACTCGACTACGCCGTGAACCGTTTTTTTAATACACAGCAAGACCTAACCAACCATTTCCCCAACCCGACAATTGCACACAGACCGGTACGAGGTCCAGGCCGGGCGCTATTGGGACCTCTTCTACCGCCGTAACACCACAAAGTTCTTCAAGGACAGGCACTACCTGCACAAGGGTGAGTCACGCAGTGGGGGTGGGAGAAGACACGGCATGCAGGAAAGGTCAGTCTTTGCTCTAGCTTCTGCATCCTTTCGTCCCTCTGCACATTTATCTTTCATCTTTCAAAAATGCTCAACCCTCTTTGACTCTCCTCGCTTGTAACATTTCCTTGCAGAGTTCCCGGATCTGGTTGCGGGCCCAGCTACGCTGCTGGAGGTTGGCTGTGGCGTGGGCAACACGGTCTTCCCCTTGCACGAGGTGGGGCAAATTAAATTGGCCAAACCTGACCAAACCACAGGAAAACACGGATGAGGGCAAAAGACGGGGGAAAGGGCGGGCATGTGGGGAGGCAGGAAAGGAGGAGGGGGGGTGAGTACGGCAGCTCGAGCGTTACGCCTGTATGTAGATTTTCAGCGCCAATAGCTGTGTCACCGTTTTGGACGACAGCCGTACTGTACCCCGTCATAAGAAGTCTTTCAGCAAACCCTACTTTCCCTGCGCGGGCGCCTCCTTAGCACCTTCCTGCCCCCCCGCAGCTCAACCCCCAGCTTCGGATATACTGCTGCGACTTTGCGCCGTCTGCAATCGAGCTTGTACGACAAAACCCGTTGTACGGCGCTAGCGGAGGCGCCGTAAACGCCTTTGTCGCGGACATCACGTCAGACAACCTGTCGGCACCTGTGTCAGAAGGCGGCTGCGGCGTGCCGGCGGGAGGGTGGGTTGGGAAGCACACATGGACGTATTGGTTTCCTTCGGTACTCCTCGTGTACGTGTGAGGCTCTCAAACGGTCTTCGGGTTTGTGTGTTGCTGCTGTGTGGCCATGGAAGCGTTGATAACGGCGGCGATGATGTGGGTGCTGCGGTCGCGGCTGGTTGTTGCACTGTTGTTGTTGCTGTACATGCATGTTGCTATCCACCCGCGTCCTCTTGCTTCCCACTTGCTTCATACTTGCTTCCCGCTTTACTGTCCTACACCCCTTCCGGCGCGTGTCTGTACGACCAGCGCAGGTGCGATATGGCCACCATGATATTCGTGTTGTCAGCGATCAACCCGCAACGAATGGCGGCGGTAAGGTTTTAGGAACATGTCCTGGCCACATCTGCGGTCTATTTGTCCATTTAACCCTCAACTCTCGGGGTGCTGCTACAGACTACCGAAACCCGCGGTTTGGGGGGTTCTACCAGCTCAGCCGGCTGCATCCTTACTTGGCCCGTTGGGTTCTCCGCTCACTGCATGCGTTGGCCCAAGTGGGATTTGGGATGCCTGCTGCACCTTTCTTACCACCCGCTCTCCCACCGGTACCGGATTGTCAGCAACTTGTATCATTCTCACACCACACTTTAGAATATCTTTTTTTCCCACCGGTACCTCCACCGCAGGCTGTTCACAACGTGGCCGCCTGCCTGCGACCAGGCAGCGGGCGGCTGCTGTTCAGGGACTATGCGGAGGGCGATCTGGCGCAGGTGCGTGTGTTAAAGAAAACTGGCCGCGAGTCGGAACGTGTGGGTCTGTGTGAGGGAGGGCCCATCCGCGGGTGGGGAAAAGGAGGATAGGGTACCCGCTGTGTTGTACGAGGATGGTGAACAAGGTGACAAGTTCCTGGTATGCGGGTGGGCAGGGCGTTAGACAGGGCGAACCTAAAGGGGTGTTCCGTCTTAGCGGCATGCATGCAATACCCGGTACGCTTTTGGATACTACGGATAGGATGTTTGCTATGAACGGGTGGCTATGCGGATGCAGACCCAAGCTATGGGTCCCCCCCCGTGAGGTCCTGATTGCATTCCTGCAATAGTCCTGTGTGGTTCCCTTCCTCTTCAGCCGCCGTTCAGTTGTTCCCTCACCTGCCTTCACATCCGCCCCGTCCCTCCTCCTCCTCCACCTCAGGAGCGGCTGGCGGGAGGTGACCGGCCCAAACGACTGGGGCACAACTTTTACGTGCGGGGAGATGGCACACGATGCTACTACTTCGAACAGGTAGGAACGCACAACCCAACTTCCTACACGCGGCCTGATTTCTAACCCAACTTTGTCCGCGAAGCAAGCAACACCCCGTCTTGAGGCCCAGTTTGGCTGTGGGTATCGTGACAACTGGACTCGGCACATACATGTCTTTGCCTGTGGCTCGGAGGCTTCATCCAACCACGACTCAGTACTTTGGGCCATAGCGGCATCCGTAGCGGCCCTTTTCCAAACCATGATCGTATCCTGTATCGTTCACTCACAGCCGACCATTAGCACATCACCAGCTTGTTGCTTTCTCTTTAACCACCACGCCACCCCACTTCATCCCATCCCATTCCATCTCCTCCCATCCCAACCCGGGTCTCATAGGCGGAGGTGCTGTCGCTGTTCGCGGCTGCGGGGTTCCGCTGCGACTCCCTCACGCTGCACGAACGCACTGTGGTCAACCACAAGCGCGACATTGCCATGGACCGGAGGTGGCTGCAGGTACGGCAGGGCGCTGGAGGGGCAGGTGGAAGTGTAAGGGCGCACGTGTTACGAGGACTATGTTGGAGCTTAGCCGTGTTTCAACACTGAAAGCTTACCGGTACCTCCCCCGCAGGCGATTTTCACGTTACAGCAGCCGCTGCCGCCGCCCCTGCCGCTGCCGCTGCTGCTGGCGCAACCGCCGCCGCTGCAGACTCCTCATCAGCCGCACGCCTCGACGCCACAGGCTCCCAGCAACCCCCACCACCAACAGCAGCAGCAGCCGCCTTCAGAGGAGGGGCAGCACCAGCAGCAGCAGCCGGCTTGGGCAGCTGCAGGAGCTGAGCCGGGAGGAGGCGGCGGCGTGGGTTGCGGGACGCTGGGCGGAGGCGGGAGTTGGCTTACGGGAGCGGCGGGACGTCTGGTGTCGCATCTGTCGGCGGGGCCCGGTGAGTGAGCGATGGCAATAAGGGTTGGGTCGCCGTGCACGTTTTGGAAGACGTAATGTTTTGGTTGCCTCCTGAGGAGCTTATCTTTTACAGGCAACCCTGCAGTCACACCAATGTTACCACCGTACACTGGGCACCCCATTTACTGCATACGTGACACTCACTGGACCCTTTGTCCAGTTGAGCGTTGCCTTTGCCCCTCTCCCAACAATCCCACTCCGCCTCCCATGTCCCCTCTCTTGAGACGTGATATCCCAGCGCCTTACCTATTGCCCTATCTTGCCCTACCCTGCCCTGCATAGTGTCTCCGTATGCGCTCACTGCATGAGTCGGGATTGGGACTCCGTTGCCTCACTTTCATTTCCCCCCTGCCCCGCCCCGCTTCGCCCTCTCTCTCCCACCCACCAGGCCACCCCACCGCCAGCGTCCGCGCCCTGTTGCCCGACTCCCTGGACGCTGCGGACGACCTGAGGGCCGAGCTCTCCCCCTCGCCCCGCTGTGCGGACAGGCAGCACCTGCACCCGCAGCACCCGCGCCACAGCCCCTTCACGGAGGACCATCAACAGCAGGGGGAGCATGGGGAGCAGCAGCATCCACAGCAGCAAGCAGGGGCAGCAGGGGCTGCTTCCGGCTTGCACAGCTACATGCAGGTGGATGGATGTGGCGGCAGCAGCTGCAACAACAACAGCGATGGTGGTGGTGGTGGTGGTGGTGTGGGAGGTGCTGCTGCTACCGGCATGATGCTGCAGCAGGGTGGCCTGGGGAGACGGCGGAGCAGCGGCAGTGGCGACGTGGCGATGGGGGAAGGCGGCGGGGAGGCAGCGGCAGCAGCAGGGGGCGGGCGGTCGCTTGAGAGTGAGCTCGAGGTGAGGTTGCTGCTGCTGCTGCTGCTTGTTGCAGATAGGCGACAGTGGGTGAACAGGGTGGTCCAGTGTGGGTTGGGGCCCTTGTGGCTTTTGCCTGCTTGCTTGAAGGTCACATTTCGCTTTTTGTGAACGGTAAAAGTCGTGACGGCTTTCCGTGACACGTGTGGATGTGCCATGGCTCCCCGTGCGGTGTTGGATGCGCCGGGGTGGTTAGGGAGACTGGGTCGCAGCCACACAGCCGTCCCACAGCCGTGTAATTGTCTGCTCTGCCTCATGTTGTCTGCTGACCTACTGGTCCGTACTACTTACAGGCGGAGTTCTTCGCAACCATTTGCCGAGACAGCGCAGAGGTGGGTGAAGGGGAAAGGACTAACTGACCGTGTGATATAACTCTGATAAGGCGTGGGTGTTTGGGGCCATGGCCAGGAAACGTGCTGTGGCATTTGCATGCGCGTGAAAGCATGTAAAGCACATGATTGCTGTGGCTGCTACATATGCGCATCTGCCCAAACTACTCACCACCGGTACGTCGACCCCAGGTAACAAACATCGTGGCGGATGCATGCACACGGCTCCTATCCTCACCTTCCCTGCGGCAACCCTCCGCCCATCCTCATTCTCCGTTCCATTCGTATTTCCTTAGGTGGTGGCGGAGGAGGTGGTGGCGGCGGGAGCTGCCCTGGCCAGGATACGGCTCATGGAGGTGGAGGACGTTGCCGCCGCCAGACTAGCTGCGGCGGCTGCCGCTGCTGTTGGGGGCGGTAACGTGGACAGCAGCCAACCTGCCACCGCAGCGTCCCCACAGCAGCCGCCTTCGCTGTCACAGCAGCAGCAGCACCCACAGCTGCTGTTGCAGCAGCAGGCGGCGACGGAGCGGGAGGTGGAGGCGGAGGTGCCAGTGGTGTCGGGAGTGAGCTTCCGTTGCTTGTGCGGCGTTTCAACCAGCACAGGTGAGGCGCGTTGGGGAACCCTGACACCTGGTTCTTAGAGCAGCGACATGTACGGCAGCAGCGGGGCAATCTAAAAGGAACAGGGTGTTCGCTGTTCCTTACTTTGGCAGACATCGGGCCGCATCCCAGGACACAAGCGTGCGCCAACATAAGTTCGCTGAAGCGCTGTTCTATACATAAGACTGGGAAATAGCAAAGCCCGCTTAGGTTTGGGGCAAGGTTGGCTGCACTTCTAGCCTGAAGTACCCAGTGACCATCTGCGTACACCTACTCCGTGGCCTTTTTAACCCCTCTCCGTGGCCTTTTTAACCCCTGCCCTCCCTTGCATGCACCCCTTATGCAGGCGCACCTCACGTTCCTCCAGCAACTCTAGCCCTTGCTCGCATCTTCCTCACCTGCCCGAAGCTCCTAGCCGGCAAATCCGCTCTACAGCTAGGACCAGCAGCCCCTCCTGGTCCGTACGGCAGCATTAGTTGCGGTACGGCCTGCCGTACATTGCCCAACGCTCCGCCGACTGCGGCTGCTGCTGCTGCTCTACCGGCCATGGCTGCCGTACGCAGCTCAGCTCGTCGCGTCGTGGTTTCGGAGCCAAGTCGTGAGGGCCTTTCGGCGGTGGCGTCGGACCTCCGCCGGAACTCGCATTCCCTGGTCATTGAGCGCGTACGGTTGTCACCATTAGATTGGGTCGCATCGGCCGCTGCCAGCAGCGGTGCCAGCCCTCTACCTGCAACAACCGTCGGAGGTGGTATTGCCAGCGGCTATACGTATGTATCCGGAAAAGTACGGCAGGTACGGGATCTCCTTCAAATTCAGCCCGGTGGGTACGACATAATATACTCCGCGGATCCCCTTTCGGATCTCACAGCGGCCGCTGCGGCTGCTGCGGAGACGTCTGCGCAAGAGACTGCGGTCGCCGCGGCCCGGGGCCTGTTTGAGACCGCAGGGCAGCTGCTGAACAACAGGTCATCGTCCGAACAGCAGCAAGCAGGAGCCGGCAGCGGTAAGCTGCTACTGCTTTGCTTTCCAGGCTCGTGGGCCGCGTCTCATGGGCTTGGGTTTGCAGCTCTCGCCGGGTTGTATGGCTGGGAGCTAGTGGTTTCGGAGCAGCTAGGTCTCGAGATTCTGGGTAGGGCTTCGTACGGCAGTGCCTGCTGGGGCAGCAGCAGTATGGTGGGAGGTAGCACTGAGGTAGCAGCAGCAGCGGCGGCGGCAGCAATGGAAGGGGCAGCGGCAAGTGTTGGGTGCGCGGTCATGTGCTTCCGCTTGCGCAACAAGTCCTCCTGATGATGGCAACTCTGGCGTTGGTCACGCTTCCCAGGCAGTGTTTTGTGGCTGCTGTTTAGCCCCTTTGGGCAATGGGCGGCTGGCTTTGCAGTGTAGGATTGTGTTGATTAACCGTATTTTTTTCAATGCCGCTGTGGAAAGGAAGCTGCAATCTACGGCATTTAAATCTTACTAACCCAGCACTTGAGTCGTTTGCTCTTCGTCTATGGCCAATTGGGTTAAGTCCTTGGAGCACGTTTAACAGCCCCTAACAGTTGCCTTGCTTTCGTTGCGGGCGCATGTAGCTAGGCCTATCGGGTATGTTCGGCTTGTGTGCCTTGATGCTACCTGGGAGGACATGTGAGGACATGAGTGAGGACATGAGTGAGTCCACATCACAAGTTCACAACGTATTTCCAGTTAGGCCTGGTTAGCGTAGCTGGGTGTCGTGTCCGGGGGCAGTACTAATGGCTGGCTGGCCATCACACGTGATAACACGCCTTTGGATTTCTTTAACAGAGCAATTCACGCCTTCATATATGTTTTTACAAAACGCAATACGGTACGTTCTTACAACCTCATATCCGCTAGAAGAATCACATGCAAGCAACGCACTTTGCACGCAGCATGTACTTTTAACCAACATTGTTAACACATCCGGACGAACCAGCATTCGGTGCACGGATTGCTAACCTGTCGCACATACGCACTGCATAAGCAAGGGGAACACTAAAGGGAATACTCCTAAGCGCGCGCATGATCCCCCTCACATCTTTTGGAAGCCTTGCCAACGTCGGCATTGTCGGTAGAAGGGAACCCAGCCATGCATGCTTTGCGCGCATTTCATTCACATAAGGTATGTAGCACACACCCACACGCTCGGCCAACTTTTTTCATAACACACGCACGCACAGGGAAAGGTAGAGCCCTCTGTCCAGCCAGCCTCCAGAAGGCAATATCGTCAGGGAAATGACACATGCACGGAGAGTGGATCCCAAACGGCAACAAAAAAGCGTGCACAACATACCTCCCAACTTTGGTCCATAGTCATCATGTATCAATCGCCGGCATGACGGCGCCTCCCTCTTCGCATCAATGTGTCCATAGTGCACTACTTGCCCTGTATCCATCCACCCATCCACACACACACACAAGTCAACTTCCAAATGGTAACGACACTCTCGTGTCACGCGCGTTTATGATTAAGGACATGGTATCATGAGCCCGGCCCGGAAACGCAAACCCAGCAGTGCTAGCTGGAGGCAAGCTGGACATGCCTCCATCTAGCTAGCCATGCTACCAAGCAAAATTCCTGTAATGACATCAGCAGGACAATCTATCGTCGAGGGTTACCGCACATGGGTCCACACATGGGTTCAGAACGCGGTGAAGCCCTGCTAGAAGGACAACCCAGTCATGTTTTGTCTTTTAGCCGTTGGAGCAACAAAGTGCGCAAGGGGCGGCCTCTCCTAGGCATGCTGCAATTAGCACCTTTTCATCCGCTGGTACGCCCATCCAAGCACAACACTTGGTCCTTCCACAACCACAACCCAGCGTTCGTGTGAAAGGTACACCAAAGCAAACAGTCATAAACCGATAGCAGCGTTTAAGTAATAGAGATACTTAACGCACGCACACGGCACGGCACGACACGCTTGAAGGAAAAAACCTATAGAAGAATAAAAGCCGTAACGGTCATTCACTCAATGCCGTGCTAGTTGTACCAGCTATAGCAACTGCCGTACAATCGGCAAGGCCATGGCATGCATCGTAAGGAATGCACACAGCCGGAATCACAACAATTGCAACCGCAAATCGTGAATGACTGCAGAGATTAAGGTCCCAGCACACCGAACTCCTCATAGCACGCCACAATTGTGCAATCAAGGAGCAAGGATGGCGGTGTAATCCGGCGGAGTTGCAAAACAGCCAGCAAAGGAGGAAAATGGCCCAATTTGCCCCTAGATTATTTATTAAGACGTGCGATCGGGTGCTTATCTGAGGTCCGGTGACAGCGCCAGACATGGACGTCTACTTGGGACCGTCAAACCACGAAAGGATACGCACATTGACGCCTCACAAGCGTCGAAGGTCGTGCAGCAGTTAGTTGGACATGCATTGGCGCGAGTGTCACACCCCGGCGCACATGGCTAACGACCAACCAACCAACCAATTCAATCCACAATCCGCACTCCTGAACACGGAAAAACATCACATGCTCTCCGCTGTGCGAAGTGCGGCTTCCCCTAACAGCCTCCGCATCCTGTCGTGTCACGTGGGGTACGTCATACTATTGTCTGTCAGACTTCTCATGCAAAGGGCTTCGGGCTCCGGATGACCCATGGGTCATCAAGAGCGAAGACGCGATCCCTGAGAAATAATGTAGAGGACTATTCATATCCCAATAGCGCCTCAAACGGACTTTTAATAACGTTATCACATTGTCAGAATGCCAGCAGAGGGCGCTGGACATCGGTGCGGTTCATGAGATCAGTAGGCAACAAACAAACGTACGGAATCGTACAGAAACACCAAAAGTAGTAATCCCGCATCAAGCCGTCTGTCACAGGTTATGAACATCAACCGTTGCCCAGGTCAACGTTATTTCCTTTATTATTGCTTCACAACGGCAAGAGCCGTACACCCATAAAAGAGCACCGCACAGACCCGCCTTAACCCCGCCCATGGATTGTTTCCTGCGTTCCATCTTGGTTTCCTGTGTGCGCCCCAATGCAACAAATAAAGCGCCGACCCAGATCGAACCCCAAACAAAACATGGCCGAGCCACAACGCACCACCAAGCCACCAGGGACCCCGAGGGAAGCCGAAACATCCCAGCATATGCATATTGCACGTCAGTGAGCGCACCTTCCCGCACCTCCAACACATTCCTTGCTGCCGCCCCCCCCCCCTGCGAATTACCCGAACATTATCTGCTGCGCATTCCGATGATCCGCTCAGAAGATACATAGCACCCTATGTGTAGCACCCTATGTGTGTATGTATACAAACCGAGGCGCAACAGTGATCGACAAGCACACCTGTGCAGTCTGTGAAGTCTGCCATCCATTCAAGAAGACTAGGAAATAACTTTAAACTAGCCGGACAGCAAGCTATTTGCTCCTTCCCCTCCTTTACCCAACAACAGATCACACCGGTATATGATGCCACGGGTGTCAAGAGAAGCGCTGTGATCGTAGCCACATTTTTGTGCGAGTCACACACCGTCGACGCGTGTCAAACACACACACGCCTCTTCACACCACGTTTCTCATGCCCGCAGCCTTACCCAGCCCTCCTGCACCAACACTGTTCCCCTGGAGGCTCACCCTCCTACCCGGCGACCCAGCCATTCCATTTCCCGACACCCGCCTGCCTCCCTGACCCATGGGTCCGCCACCCGCCCCCGTGCCGTCCTCGCTCGTAATCGCCACCTGCCGTACGACGGCACGCGTACGGATGTAAAGCCTGGCATGCGCCCGCAAAACCTGCCGTACATGGCTCACGACATCCATTTCCGCGGGCACGTGACTCAGCAACCCGGCGAGGCGCTCCGCCTCGCGCTCTACGGCAGCCCGGTACGGCCGCAGTATGAGGAGGGCGTACGACAGTACGAGCAGGATTGAGACGATGAGCAGGATGGAGTGCATGGTCTTGATGAGGTTGTACCTGTTGGGGGGGAGGGGAAGGGGGGGGAGGGGATAATGTGTATGTGGGAGGGTACGGCATGTTGTGGATGTGCGTGGGGAGGTTGGGTAGGATGGGAGGGAAGCAGGGGATGCAGGGGAGGACACAGGCAACAAAGCCCAAACTTGATGGCACATACACACGACCACGACCATGCCCACACACACCCTCCCCCTCCCCCTCCCCCCTCCCCACCTGCTGAGCATGTAGTCCATGAAGAGCTGTGCGGAGCTCTGCAACCCCTCGTACAGGTCCTTCATACCCACCATGTACCTGCGGGTGGGGTGTGGGGGGGCCGTGGGTGTGGGTTTTTTTATAAGGAAACTGGCCGGGAGTAGGCACGTGCTGGAGTGTCGTACTGGAGTGTGTTCAAACTTTGTGTGTTAACTTTGTGTGCGAGGAAGGGGCGGGAGGAAGGAAGGGTTTACGGTAAGAAGGCCCTCGTGCCCTACCGCTAATGCTGTGGCGGCCTCCCACGACGCCCCCTCTCCTCCCCTCTCTCCTCCCCCCCCATTTGCTTGCCACTACCGCTTCCAGCTAGGTTCCCTCTCCCCCCACTCCCCTCTCCCACCTTCACTTTTCAACTATTTGCCCTTTCGTCTCTCCCACCCCCCTCCCTTCTCCCCCTCCGGCCTGCCTCCTCACATGGTGGTGTATCTCGTGCCGTTGTACACCGCATCCGCATCCGCGTCCTGCACCAGCAGGCCCATCTCCGATATGATGCGCCGCATCATCACGTCCAGCCCGTGATGGGTCACCTGGGGGAGGGGGGCGGGGAGAGGGAGGGAGGGAAGGAGAGGGTAAAAGATAAAGAAACAGACGAACTGTGCGACGAGGCTTCACCATGGGAGAAGCGGGAGGGAGAGAGCGAGGGAGTGAGAGGCAGGGGATGCGGGGAAGGAAAGGGGATAGGTAAATGATGGGAGATGCTGGGGTAGGTAAAGAGGGAAAGACAACTGCGTGACATGATGTCTCTTCAACCGGGTGTGTCATGTGCCATGTGCAGCCTGGTTGCCGACGACGACCTCTCCTGCAACCCCGAGTAGGGACGACAGAGCCGCAGGGCAGACGGACTTCCTACACCTCTCTGCCAACCACTCTCCCTACCCCTCTTCCAATCCCTCTTTTCCTCTTTTAAGTTTCCTCTTTTTACCCCTCTACCGCACCCTTCTCGCCCCCTCAGCCCCACCCCCCGCTCCCCACCTCATAGTACGGGCTATCCGGCTTGTAGCACTGGCTCTGATCCCAGCGAAAACATCTCTCGTCCTTGAAGTAGTTGCTCGCAAAGCTGACACTCTCAAACGTGGACGCGGGCACGGGGTGCTCAAACACCGTGCCAATCTGTGTCGTACTCAGGCCGCCGTACATGAGCGTGTCGTACTCGCTTTCCAGATTTGCTACCTCAGTGGCTAGTACGGATCGCCACTGGGATCTGTCGGCGGGGGTGGCTCCGGAGACGAGGAGGAAGGAGGCCATGCGCACGCGGGTGTAGCGGTAGATTACGCGGGAGGCCATGTTGAGGGAGGAGAGAGGGTCCTGAGGAGGGGAGGGTAGGGGAGGTTGTCGCTGGGGGCTGGCCTAAACAAGCTACAATCAAGTCACCGCCTCCTAGCGGAGATTGGGAGAGGCCTGCTGTTTCATGCGACAAGGCAGTGGTGAAGAGGGAAATGGTGGGTGCTTGTATCCGACCCTTTATTAGCCCTCCTATGCCACTCCCGCTCCCAGTCCTTCCCTCCTCCCTCCCTTCCCCACCCCCACCCAGCAACTCGTCAGTTTGGTCCCTTTACCCCCCCCCCTCCCACCACCTCTGCCTCCTATCCCCATTGCTTTGCCCTAACCTGTGGCTTCCTATGGTACCGGTATGGTCTTTGACCCCCCCCCTCATCTCCTATACCCATTGCTTTTGCCCTAACATTGTGGTTTGGTTTATTCTACCCCTCATCCCCCACCCCCACTCCCCCACCTGCATCCCGTCCAGTCGGTTGTACGTCACCGCCAGCACCACCATCAGCGCCACCTCCCACAGCACCAGCGGCGCCATGAACTTAATGACGTGGTTGAGACTCGAACTGAGGACCTTGCCGTTCACCTGCACGCGCCCCCCCGGACCCGGCCGAACCACCGCGCCGCGCCGACCGCCGATATGCGCACCCACGCCCCCGCCGACGATGCCCACTCGTTCCAACACCGAGGCAGCTCGCTCGTCGGCGCCAGAGGTGGGGCCGATGGAGGCGTGGTGGGGGGTGGTCTTGCCGCCGCCGCCCAGGCTCCTACGGCCGTTACCGTTGTCGTTATCATCGTCGTCGACACCGCTGGCGCTGGACATTTGGCGGGTGAAGGAGTGGGGGTTGCTTGCATCGTCGCCTCCGCCTCCGCCGCCGCCTAGGGTACCCCCATCTCCGCCCCTGGGTTGGGAGGACAGAGGAGAGAAGGGAGGGAGGGGAGGGATGTGGAGGGGTGTGTTGAAAAAGAGGGTTGTTGAGGTGTGTTGAGGGGTTCTTTTTTCAACTATTTTTACAGTTAAAGAAAGAAGTGAGGTGGGAGCGCGTACTAAGCAATCAGGAGGGAAGATCTGAGGAGAAGTGACGAAGTGAGGGGGGCTGGGAGTGAGGAAGGAGGGGGTTGGGGGGAGTGGTAGGTGGCACCCAGGCGGCACCCCCAAGTGGCACCCCCAAGTGGCACCCCCAAGTGGCACCCACCCGTCTCCGCCCATCTCGCCCTCCTCGTCGTCTCCATCCTCGTTGTCGCTGTCCTGTTAGGGTAGAAGGGGGTTTGGCGAGGATGAGGGGGTTTCAGGAGGTGTTGTGCAAGTCGGAGGATGTTGTGCAAGACGGAGGATGTTGTGCAAGACGGAGGATGTTGTGCAAGGCGGAGGATGTTGTGCAAGTCGGGGAGGACCCGTGGGAAGCCTTCCTCCCATGAAAACACATAAAACCTCATATGAGGTGGGCTGTCCACCTGTTCATGACGGCTTTCACATCCCATGCCATTCCCACCTTCGCGCCCCTCCATTCACCCCCTTTTCCCCTCTCTGACTCCCGCCCCTTCCCCCTTCCACCCCCTGCCTCCTCACCTCCAACACCACCAGCGGCTTGCTGGCCAGCACCCGGAGGATGGGTCCCGGCAGCCCCAGCCCCGCCAGCAGCCCGCCCCGCCGCCCCAGCTCCACCCGCCGCACCAGGAACCACTGCGCGCAGATGCACGCCAGCTGCACCAGCGCCGCCTCAATCACCAGCAGCGCGAGGATGGCTGAGTGGGGACGGGGAGGGATGAAAGCGAGGTGGGGCACCGTTATGAAGTAAAGGAGGAGGAGAAGAGAAGGAGGAGGCGGCAGATGGGAGTAATGGTGTGTACAGAATTAAAGGTCTGTAGCGGCCCCTGCCCGCCTGCCCCCTGCCCCTGCCCCCCTGCCCCTGCCCCCCCTCACCCTTCTGCAGGCTGGTGATGTCCTCCCATGCGCTGCGTGTGAGGTAGTCCAGGGAGACGGAGTAGGCGGAGAAGAGCGACCAGGGTCCGTTGGAGAGCAGGAAGCGGAAGGGGCGCAGGGCGCTGATGTCCCCCTCCCTGCTGGCGCCCCACCAAAGCAGCTCCCGGCCCGCAGCTATGAACCTGTTGCCCAGTTGCCACACGCCCGCAGTCAGGTTGGTCCAGTGGGGATCAGCCACGTCCATGTAGAGCTGAGGGAGGTGGGGTGGGGGAAATAATCAAGTGAAACAACTAGAGTCCCAATCCCATATCCCGACTCATGCAGTGAGGAGGGGTGGGGGGGGTGGGGGGGGATTTTTAGGGATACATATTCAGCAGGGGAAGGGGGAGAGGAGGGATAAGAGGGAGAAACTATGGCAACTAATAACCCTATATATTACAAGGCGGGAAGGCAGGGGTAACCAAGATTCGACTGTAACCGAGCAGTAAAGCAGGATGTGGGGATCCTCCAGTTGTGGGGGTCCTCGCTAATACCTGTGGGGGCCTGGTTCTCTCCATCACTCCCCCCACCCTTAAACCTCCCCCCCCACCCCCACCTTGTAGCTCTGCGTCTTGCTGGTCCACGTGTAATGCAGCTCTGAGTCGGACTGAGTGCGGGGAACCGCCTTCTCACCCAGGTAGATTGCCTGGAGGGAAGGAGGGGAGAGGGGGGAGGGAGGGAAGGGTGGTCAAAGACCATACCGAACCACAGGAAACTACAGTTTGGGGGGGGAGGAGAAGAGGGCTTATAAGGATAAAGGAGTGCTCCGTACACCTAGGGGTTCGTTGTACGTCCTGCAGCGGATGAAACGGCCCCCCTACTTCGCCTTTGCCAAACATCACCACGTAACAGTACAAATCCGCATGTCAACACTCCTTTCCCTCCCCCCCTACCCCCATGGTTCATGTTTCCTCCTTACCCCGCCCCTACTCCCCCCCAATGCGGAATTGTATCCCGCTTAATCCCCCCCCGACCCCACCACCATTATCATACCACACCTGGTGGTACACCTCCAAGTCATCCAGTGTTGCCGTCAGGTCACTCAGCGTGTCCGCCAGCGGCGCCTCACACACGCTCACATTGGCAATGTCCTGCTGGCTGCAGAAGGAGGCCACCTGTGCTCGGAACACCGCCAGCTGGCAGCGGTCGGCGGCAAGCGCCATGCGGTGTACAGCCCGCACGTTTCCGAACTGCAGGTTGACCAGGTTGACAAGCACCACGTAGCACACCTGAGAGGGGGGAGGGAGGGGGAGGGGGGAAAGATGAAAAGTGAAGCAACGGAGTCCCAATGAGGGGAGGAAAGGGAGGGGAGGGAAGGGTAAGGAGGGGAGGGAAGGGGAGGGGATGAGGGATGCATTGAGGACGGCGCGCGCATTTTAGCCATCTGACCTCGCCGAATTGCTATTTCTCTCCTCCCCTCCCCTACTCCCTACTTCCTCCTACGTATCCTGCTCCCGAGCCGATCTCCCGTCCTCCCCTCCCCAGCCTCGTAACATGGATGGCGCTTCCTCCCTCACCCCTGCCCCCTCTCTCCTACCCCCTACCCCCCTATTCCGATTGTCTTGCCCCAACCTGTGGTTATCTAGGGTTCGGTATGGCCCTTGACCCCCCTCCCCCCCGCACCTCTGTTACCCCTCCCCCTCCCCCTCCTCCCCTCCTCCTCCCCCTCAACCCTGTCGCCCCCTCCTCCCCTCACCGCATGTGACAGCACCATAACCGCCAGCAGCAGCAGTGTGCGCAGGTGCAGCCGGGACAGCGGCTCAGCCAGGAAGGGACCCGCCAGCGCCTGGGGGAAGGGGGGGAGGGAGGGGAAATGAGTAAGGAATGTTGCCAGTGGGGGGGGTGGGGGCGATACCCTACCAGCAACGACCCGAGAAAGCGCAGGGTAGGGCAAACAGACAGAACCAGGCACTCTCCTCTCCCCACCCCCCACCCACCTTGCAGGAGTTGCACCCCCCCCCCAGCTCCCCTCACGCCCCCCCTCCTCCTCCCACCTTCATCATCCGCTTCAGCAGTCGGTTCCTCCTCGCATCCACCCCGATATCCAGGTCCATGGCCGACGCGCCGTCATAGTCGGGGCCGCCGCTCTGACTGGCGCCGTCGTCGTCATCGAACCCGCCGCCGCCGCCGCCCGCACCGCCGCCACCGGTTCCGCCGGCACCCTCCAGCCCCTCACCGTCGTCTCCGGTGAGACCGCTGGCGCCTGGAGACGAGGTGTGTGTGGAGGGGAGGGGGAGGGTGGGGGTGTGAGGGTGGCGGGAAACCTAGGAGGGCGCGGTCGGTGACATGTAACCCAACCCTGATCCCTACACCCCTCTTACCTGCCCCATCCACCCTCTCATGAGGATACAAGCGTGTACCATCGCCCCAGCCACCTCCCCCTTCCTCACCCGAGTATTGTATTGCCCCCCTCACCTGCCTCCTCCTTGTTTTGCCCATTCGTGGCTTCCTATGGTTTTGTCTATTTGTCTACTCCAAACCCCCCCCTCACCCGACTGCGCCCGCGTCATTTCCAGATTGCTCTCCATCTTGGACAGCCGCCGGCGGATCTCCGCGTCCATCGCATCATCCTCCTCATCGTCCTCCTCCTCCTCCTCTTCCCCTCCATGCCCCTCTTCCTCCTTACCACCGTGGTGGTGATGGTGGCTGTGCGGTTGCGGATGGGGGTGTGCATGTGCATGGTCCCCACCCTCCTCGCCCTCTCCCTCCTCCTCCTCTATGGTACCAATGCTAGGCTGCTCCTTCACCCCCCGCCTCCCACCGCCTCCCGCCCCTGCGCCACCCCCCACCCCGCTGGCACTGCCCCGGGGGGTCGGCAGCTGCAACACATCCACCCCAACCACGCCAACCCCACCGCCCGGCAAGGCAAAGGGAGGAGGCGATGCCGCCGCACCCGCCCTGCCCAGCAGTGAGGGAGAGCGGACAGCAGCGGCCCCCCGGCCCGCGCTGCCCGCACCCGACACCTGGTGTCGCAGCAGCAGCTGGCCTCCGCCGCCTCCTCCTGCAGCGGAGGAGAAGGAGGCGCCTGCTGCTGCTGCGGAGGCGTCCGCGAGTGCAGGGCCTCGTCCCGGCGTGGGGCCACCCGGGTTGGCGCCGTAGCGCTCCAGTGCGGTGGTCATGTGGCGCGAGAGGACGCGGACCCACTGCGCCACGAAGTCGGTCTGGGAGCGGGCGCGCTGAGAGGGAGGAGAGGGGGGCGGGGAGGAAGGAGGGGGGGGGAGGGGTATACACAAACCATAGGTTAGGGCAAAGCACTGAGGAAAGATGGGGGTAAGTGAAGACACATACTTCGCGTTAGGCTGGAGACAGGGGTCAATCGCAACGGGTGGGGAGGTGGGACAGTAGCAAGGTAGGAAGCATGCTAGCTCGCTCCGTAACCCGTGTTTCACCCCAGCGCACCGCCACTCCCGCCCCCAGCCCCCCTCGTCTTACCCTGTGCAGGTGATCCTCGTCCCCATCTCCCAGCCCGCCCCTCTCCTGCTCCTCCTCCTCCTCCTCCGCCTCCGCCGCCTTCTTCTTCTTTTTCTTCTTCCGCTTCTCCTTCTTGCCGCCCTCCTCCTCCCCTCCCTCCTCTCCCTGCGCCTCCTTCCCCTCCGCCTCCTTCCTCTTCCTCCTCTCCTCCTCCTGCTCGCTGCCGCTGCCATCCGAATCTGACTCCTCCTCCTCCTCCTGCCCCTCCTTCTTCTCCTTCCTCTCCCCCTCCTCCCCTGATCCGCCACCAGAAGACGAGGAGCTCGACTCATCGCTGCTGCTCACTTTGGCGCTGCCCGCACCGCTTCGGGAGCCGTCTGGGAAGTCTTCCGCCGCAGCCAGAGCCTCTGCAGCAGCTGTAGGGGGAGGAAGCGGGAGAGGGGGAAAAGAAGGGAAGGGAAAAGGAAGGGAAAGCGCGGGGGAGAGGGAAGGGACGTGGGGAGAGAGAAGCGGAGAGGAGACGAAAGGTAGCCGAGAAGTCGGAGGGTGGATATCAGGTGGGGCAGGTGGGGGAACGGAGTGCGAATGCGGCATTGCAAGCAGCAGAGGGCGTGGATCCAAGGAAGAGAGGGGGTGGAAGCAGAGGAGGAGGGGGCCGAAGCGGAAAAGGAGGCGGTGGGGGTGGAGGAGGAAGATGCCGTAGTGGAGGTGGAGGAGTGTCCTACCTTCATCAAAGCCGCCCACATTGTTGCTGCTGGCTCGGTGGGATAGCGGGTGGTGGTGCGAGTGGTGGCTGTGTTGCGGGGTTTGCGGGTTTGGGAGGTGGTGGTGGTGGTGGCTGCTGCCGTGGTGGCTGTGCCCATGGCTGTGACCCCCGGGCTGCTGCTGCTGCTCCTGCACATACACGTGACCATGCTGCGGGTGGTGGTGGCTGTGGTGGCCGTGGTGGTGGTGATGTCCGCCCGCTGAGCCTCGCTCCACGCCGCTGCTCAGCCGGGAGAAGGTCCGCGAGCGGAAGGAGGACGACAGCGCGGATCGCAGCGCAGGCGGGGGTGCACCTCCTCCTGCTCCTCCCCCTGCTGACTGCCGGGGTAGTTGAGCCGCCTCCTTGGGACCAGCTCCCCCTGCTGCTGCTGCTGCCCCCGCTGCCCCATTCGGCTGCCCCTGTCCCTGTCCCTGTCCCTGCCCTCCCTGTCCCCCTCCCTGCCCCTGTCCTCCCTGTCCCCCTCCCTGCCCCTGTCCTCCCCCTCCCTCAGTGGGGTGCAGCAGGAACTCCAGCCCCAGTGCGCGGTACACGTCCGCTCGCGCGCCGTGGTAGACGGTATCGGGGTGCAGGGTGGCCATGATGCGGCCGCTGCCGCCGCCGCTGACTCCCTGGGAGGGGAGAAGGGGGGCGGGGAAGGGGAGATTGAAGGGGAAGTTGGGCGTCCAAACAGCTGGCACCAGATGGAAAGACACAAGACCGCTCATGTCCCTCCCGCCACCTGCATCCCCGCCCCCACCCCTCCTAGCGCCTACCCACCCATCCAAGTTCGGTAAGTTTAGCTCGCTTTGCTTTAACCACCATTTCGGCCCGACTCACGATTGATTCCACCAGGGATTGTCAGCAACTTATATCATTATCACACCACACTTTGGAATTTCGTTTTTCCCCCCAACCCAACCCCCCACCCCCACCCCCACCCCACCCCCACCTGCATCACCACCCGCATGGAACCCCCGTCGGGGTGCCCCCCCACAAACGTCTGCGGCGGCGACACCAGCTGCGCGCCCAGCCCCCCCTTGAGCGCGCTCTTCTCGCGCTTCTTGCGCCCCTTGGGATTCATCAGCTCCTCCCAGCCCTGCCGCTCCTTGCCGCCCAGGTCGAACAGCCTGGGGGGAAGGGTCCGGGTTAGGGCTGGTTAGGGGCCTACCCTGTTATCCCAACTAAACTACATCCCAACTGCCCCAAGGCCCTCCGCCCCTGTTACAGTGGGAGGGGTTGCTCGCATCTCCATCGGTACGGCACAGCCCTCGCTATCACCTCCAAAACCCCTCCTAACTCCCACTCCTTCCCTCATTCCCCCCCCGGCTCCCCCCCTACCTTCCCAGCGGCATGCGCTGCAGCACCACCTGCGGTAGCCCCGTGATCAGCCCCGTCACCATGTCCGCCTTGCGCAGCACCAGCTGCTCGTCCAGCTCCACCACACCCGTCAACAGGTCGGCGCGCCAGCTGGGGGGGGAGGAGGGGCGGGGCGGAGGGGAGGGAGGGAGGAGGGGAGGGGGAATACATGAGGAGTGAAGCAACGGAGTCCCAATCAGGGGGGAGGCAGGATGAGGGAGGGGAGAGGCAAGAGGGGAAGGAAAACAAGGAAAGCAATTGTTGGGGGTGCACTTGAGGATGCTGAAGGAGGTAGGTGTCCACACAGACGCCGTACCCCTGTTCCTCCACCCAAAACACACAAGCAACAAACCCCACCCCCCACTCCACCCACCCACCCACCCCTCCCTCCCCACCCCCAACACCCCCCCACCCCCAACTCACAGTATGATCCGCGCCCGAGTGGTGACGGCGGAGGTATCCACCAGCGCCCCGCTCTCCGAGCCTCCCATGCCCTGCTGCTGCTGCTGGCCGTGGTGGTGGTGGTGGTGGTGCGGGTGCAGCGCATGCACCGCATGTTGATGATGGTGCAGTACCGGCTCATCGGGGTCGGCATGCGGCCCCCCACCATGCTCCCCCCCTGCACCCCCGCCTGCTCCGCCACCCCCGCCCTCTTCCACCTCAAGTATCTCAGCCTGCATGAAGGCGCTGCGGCCATTGGAATGCCGGTGGGCATGCGCCCCCGCCGCGGCGGCCTTGGGGTCGATAGGCGGCAGGTGGTCCTCACTATCCGGGCTATGCACCTTCACCCGCCAGCTGGTTCCCGGCATCTCGTTCTCCTTATCCAGCAGACTCAGCAGCAGCAGCTCCAGTTGTTGCGTCCCCACGCGGTCACGCCACTCCGCGAAGACGTCGATGCAGTCCGCCAGGTTGACGCCCACGGCTGCTCCGGCCTGGAAGCCGAAGAGCGCGGCGTGGGGCTGGTCGACGGAAAGGACAGTGCCGTCCAGGGAGACGGTGAGCACCAGGCGCTTGTCGCGGTAGCGGGATTGGGCGGCGGTGTCAACCTTGGTGACCTGGGGGGAAGGCGGGGAAGAGGGGAGGGGAGGGACGGACAGGGGAGGGGAGAGTGGGAGGGGAGAGTGGGAGGCAGGCGGGCAGCCAAAGGGAGGACGGCAGGAGCGCAGGTGAGCTGTCAGGCAGTTAGGGAGGCAGGCAGGAGCGCAGGCAAGCGGTCAAAGGGGCAGTCAGGGGGGCCAGGTGACGCACCTGGATGACGTGGTCCACCCGGCCTGACACCGGGTCGTCCTGCGGGGGGAGGGAGCGGCGGGGGGCGAGGGAGGGAGGGGGGAGCGGAGGGGGGTCAATCGAGTTAGTGCAGAATAATGGGGGAATGAGGCGGCAGGGTGCTTCAAGACAAAGGGAGGGGAGAAGAAGGACAACCATGCTTTGAATGGTAGTTTTTAGGGGAAAGACCAAGCTGGTAATGAATGATATGTGGTGGGGTGGGGGAAGAGGGTGAAGAGGGAGGAGCTAGCGGGGACGAGGGCGCGCGCGTGTGTGTGCTACAGAAGCCGGCCGCGAATAGAGTGCCTGTGTTGTGCTGTCGTGTCATGTGCTGTCGTACAGTTACGACACTCACCAGTGACACCGCACCCCCACCCTTGTCGTACCTTTGTCGTGATGTGTAATCGTACGGGCACGTTGACTCCGTTGCTGTTGACCATATGTACGACACTGCCCGCGCGGCAGCTGGAGGGGGGGACGACAGTGGGCTGGTCCTGCAGGTGGGGGGGGGGGGGTGGCGGGGGGAAGGGTGTGGTGGGTGCTTGGATTGTCGTAGAGTGAGGTCAGGCTCGGGTTCAGGGCAGCAGCGGACTGGGGGGGAAGAAGAATACCCGGGGGGGGGAAGGGATGTCCCCCCCCCCCCCGAGTCCCAATCCCATATCCCGACTCATGCAGTGAGCGCATTCGGAGCCATCGCGCGGCGGTCATGTGGTGTCACAGGCTGCAAGCGGCAGCAGCGGCAGAGTTCACAGCAGCAATAGGGTCTCCACCCTTAGTCTCCTTCCGCCGGGAGAAAGCCGACACCCACCCTGTCCTCTTGTACCTTTTTATAACTAAATTAATTATAATAACTTAGTGACCTCTAATAACAAATAACTTTGGTAAATGTTGCAATGCTCACCTTGAGGTGTTTTGCATGCATGGTTGCAAAGGGCTGCGGCAGCAGCTGGTCGACCTTCATTTTGAGGAACTTGGTGAGCGGGTAGCCCAGCAGCGCCGCCACGTCCCAGGTTGCAAAGTTGACGGCGCCCTTGGAGTCCACCACAAGCAGACCGTCGCCATTGCCGTCGGTGCGGTGCGCGTTGAACACCACCACACGCTGCGAGTCGGTGCCGCCGGCAGTGACTCGGATGTCGACTGGGACGGGGGGGAGGTACCTTTGGAGGGAGGGGAGAGGTGGGGAGAGGGAGAGGAGAGGTAGAGGTGGGTTAATAGGGATAGTAGAAAGTAGATATTCCGCATTAGGCTGGATAGTGAGGTGGGTGGGTAAAATCCCTCCCATGTGCTCCTCGATCCTCCAACCCAGCCGCGTCCTCCCTTTACTTCCCATCCCTCTCCCCCACCACCCCCTCGCCCTGCACCCCCCCCAGTTTCCCACACCCACTTGTGTACGACATCGAACCTCCGTACGATGGACCCGCTGACCAGCGCCTCGTACGGCGACTCCCTGCACAGGTCCAGCAGCGCCTCCACACTGGCCATGTCGGTACACAGCGTCTGGAAGTTGCGACCCACCTGATAAAGGGGGGGGGGGGGGCGGGGGTCAAAGAGGGAGGGGGGAGGGAGGAGGGGAAACCAAACCAAAACGTTAAACCGAATGTTGGGCGGCGAAGTATGTTTTTTGTTTTAGGCAGGCAGAGGCAGGAGGCAGGTACCGGCACGCAGGGGCATGTAGCAGTCGCCCTCCCCTCCCCCACCCCCACCTCCCTACTATCTCCTCCCTACTATCTCCTCCCTTCTATCTCCTCCCTACTATCTCCTCCCTTCTATCTCCTCCCTACTGTCTCCTGAACCCCCCACAACCCCTCCCCACCATCTCCTCCGCCGTGAGGCCGGTGAGGGAAGCGAACTGCGGGTCGGCGCACAGGATGACTCCGTTGGGCGCCACCCAGGCGCGCACGTGGTAGGAGTCCATCTGGGCGGGGCGCAGGATGCCCAGGAACACGGAGTCGCTGTGGGAGGGGGGGGAGGGGAAGGGGAGGGGAGAGATGGGGGGAAGAGGGGGGAGTGAAAAACCAAACCGTATGCGAGGGTGGGGCAATAGAGAAGCGGGGGCGGGTGATCAGGTGGACGCAGCAGGCTGGGAAGGGAGAGTGGAAAGAGGAGGAGGAGGATGAGGAGGAAGGTAAGGGGCAAGGGAGGTGGAGGGGTGCAGCAACAGCAGCGGCAGGAGCTAGACGCTTAGCAACAGGGTGGTACGGAACGCTGTACGGCAGGGAACATTGTACGGCAGAGGGCGTTGTACGGCAGGGGCGTAGGGTGCTGCAACTCACGATCCCACTCCCGAGAGCTTGGTGACGCAGATCTGCAGCGGGAAGACGTAGCGCTCCTGGGGGGGTGGGTGGGTGGGTGGGGGGAGGGAGGGAGGAGGGGAGGTTTTTAACATCATCTTGTGTGTCTTAAAACATGCCGCTGTGTCTGTGTGGCGGAATGCATAAGGAGAGGGAGGTTGAGGGAGGTAAGGAGAAGCAATGGGAGAGGGACAGCGGTGACAGCCCGGCAGGTGTACGGCAGGTGTAACGGCAGGTGTACGGCAGGTGCCTTCGGGGTCCCAGGGGGGGCTGCTGCGCCTATAACCACTCACATCACTCGCTCCTTCCCCCGGCCTCCTGCCCCCTGCACCCCTCCCCCTCCCCCCTGCTCCCACCTTGTGCTGGGCCACCACGTCACGAACCGTGTCCAGGATGCGCCCCTCGCTACTCTGAAGAGGGGGGCGGGGTAAAGAGGAAACAACTAACTGACATTACGTGTGATAAGGCGTCATCATGGTTTACAGCAACATGTGAGCCAGTTGCTTGGGTTGACAGCTGACCCTGACCCTGGCCGAGTGTGTCACATCATCCCCTCCAAGCCTCCCATCCCCCCTCCCCCCGCACCTGCACATATCGCAGCAGGTAAGCGTCATGGCGGCTGGCGAAGGGCTGCGGCACGATAATGCTCACATTGGCTCCCTGTGGCGGAGCACAGCGGGAGCAGGGTTGGCGGGAGAGTACGACACGACATAAGAGGGCGGCATACGGCAAAATGCATAAGAGGGGAGGCCTCCATTCCCCTGGGCCCTCCAGCCCCTTCGGCCCCGGGGCCCCCCATGCCCCCTCCTCCTGCCTACCTCCAGCTCCGCCTTGGAGTAGCCCAACAGCGTGGTGACGCACTGGGTGGGAAGGGGAGGTGGGAAGGGGAGGTGGGAAGGGGAGGTGGGAAGGGGAGGTGGGAAGGGGAGGTGGGAAGGGGAGGTGGGAAGGGGAGGTGGGAAGGGGAAGTGGGAAGGGGAAGTGGTAACAACAGGTGAAAAGTGGAGCAAGGAGGAGTCCCCTCCCCATTTCCCCACTCAGGCAGTGCGCGCGCGGGAGATGGGAGGGGTGGAAAGCAGGAGACGGCACGAGGACAAGGGATAAGGGGGCAGACAAAGGTGGAATAGGGAGTGGGGCAGTGGACGTCAAGGATGGGGAGTCTTCTGAGCGCCTATTATCGGTAATACACTTAACGCGGTTATGTTAGCCCCGAAGCCGTCTGCTGCCATACCATGCCGATGCCCCCGTCCCGTCCCGTCCCGCCAGCTAGCCTGCCTGCCCCCCCCCCACCCGCTCCTCTCCTCTTCCTCCCTTGTGGTTTTTGGAAAATCTCTGACCCCCTCCCTTACCGCGTTAACCATGAGAATGATCCCCTGGGCATTGATCACGATGCATGCGTCTTCGTGCAGGTCCATGGAGGTCAGGAACTCGGGCTTGTCACTGCCTTGGATCTGTGTTGGGGGGGTCAATTTTCGGGCCAATTAAAACCAAATAAAAACACGTGTGTTGGGGCGGGGGCGGGGGTGGAAGGGGGGTTTGGGGAGGTGTTTAGGGAGGGAAGGCTGGGGAAGGAGGAGGGGATTTTATGGGGCAATGAGGAGCGGGTTTCTGCCTCTGCGGCCGGTGTCCGTTCCTTAACACGCGCCTGCTACGGGCCTTCCGCCCTCACCCCCCCACCACCACAACCCCACCTTCAAATCCAGCGACAGCAGTCCATCGCTGCCACCATTCCTCGCCGCCTCCACATACGCCCTGGCCGCCGCCGCCGGGTCGTTCTTCACGTCCTCCAGGAATTTGCCGTAGCAGCGCAGCAGCTTGCCGTTGCTGGGGTAGCGCTCCAGCACACGCAGGTACACCTGCTGTGCCGCCTGAGTGGCGCGATCTAGCCCCCGCAGCGCCTCCTCCACCGCCGACATGCGCACGGCCGAGCGCTGCAGCAGCTGCCAGAACTCGCGTTGCGCGGTGAGCGCCGCCTTGTGCACGCGGATGACGGCGCGGTAGTTGCGCTTGAACTCCACGTAGCTCTGCAGGTCCAGCGCGCCCTCCTGGCCGTCCTTCAGCCGCTTGCTGTTTTCGATGGTGTAGAAGATCTGGTAGCGCTGGATCAGGCTGCGGGGGGATGGTGTAGGAGGGGGAAGGAGAAAAGACAAATGATGAGTGCAGCAACGGAGAAGGAAGGAAGGAAGGAGGAGGGGTCTGACGGCGTTGACGGTTCAACGTTTGACGGCGGGTCAGGACAAAACGTTGGGAAAGGAGGACAGGCCGCGCTTACCCCACTCATGTCCTCCATGCGTTCCCATCCTGCCTGTCATGACACTGCACCTCGTTTGGCCTCCAGTCCGCGGGTCCGTCAACCCTCCAACCCCCTCCATCCCCTCTTCACCCCCCCCAGCTCTCTCCCCCCTCCCCCTCACCTGGGCCCCCCCTTGAGTGCCAGCTGCAGGTGTGTTCGTGCCGCGGGTCCATCCCCGCGCACCTCCATTAGGTAGTTGGCGTACAGCACCAGCAGACCCACGTGGCCGGGGAACACAGCCATGCCGGCCTGGGGGGGGGGGTAAGGCGGGGGGAAAGCCGGGGGGGCAGGGGGGGGAGGTGCTTGTGTGTGTGTGTGTGGGGGAGAGGATGAAATGGAGGAGCAGCACGGGTGTCGTCCATCCACCCGCGGCCGGTTTCTTAACACACGCTGTCCCTCCTCCCCCCCCCCTTCCGTACACCCACACCTTTATGATGGTCTCCCCCAGTGCTGCGCTCTCCTCGAACACCAGCCCGTCCGAGTTGAAGCGCCGCATCACCCGAGCCAGCACCTCCACCTCCTCTGAAGGGGGGGGGGGCAGGGGGGGTCAGCAGCAAGGGGGGCAAGGTGGTCACATGGGTATGTTAAGCGGACCACATGTGCACGGCACGTATCCTAGTTGTGACACCTTCTCCCAACTGACCGCCACCTGCCACCTGCCAACCTCCATGCCACGTCCCCCAACCTGCCCCCAGCTTCCATCAGATCTCCTCCGCCCCGCCCCGGCCCGGCCCCCAACACACCCCTCACACCCCGTCTCCCATGGCGTTTTGGTGGGGGCATCATCTTCCCCCGGCAATCACAGTACGTTCCGACTCGCGGTCAGGCTTCCTAACATACCCACACCCCTCACCAGGTTCCCCAAACTTGTGTATCTTGCGCAGTTTGGTGTTGTCCGGCACCTCCCTGAACTTCACCGCCGGCCGCAGCCGCCACGTCACCCACGCCCACGTAACGCCCGCACCCCCCGCAACCACCGGGAAGATGCCGTACAACACCATGTGCAGGTACCGTCGTGCCACGTCATCCTCCCGCCGGCGTTTGTTGAAGGCCCATGTGGTGTGAACGACAGCGGTGAGGGTAATGCCGGCCCACTGGCCCACCCAGGCATAGTTGACGTAGTTGCGGAGGAAGGGAAGCTCGGAGAAGTTGAGCCACGTGGTTCCAGTTGCCGCGATCAACATGGCAATCGCCTGTGCAGGAAGGGTGGAAAATTATAAATAAATGCAACAACACAATCCCGAATCCAGGAAGGGTGGAGGAAGGGTGGAGGGGGGGAGGGTGCTTAGGAAACTGGCCGCGAGTCGGAACGTAGGTAGGTGGTGCACACGCAGGAAAGGAGGTAGAGAGGAGCACGTGGCGGTGGTGAGTGGGTGGTGGGTGGTGAGGAAGAAGGCGAAGTTTAGGAGTCAAGGAACGATGGGGAAGGATACTCATAACCTTGGCATGTGCAATAGCCCTGCCCCCCCACACCTCCACACCCCGGACGCCCCCCTGTCCCTCCCCCCCTCCCTCCCCACACACAACCACACACACAAACCTGCACGCGGCCAGTTATTTTAACACACCTGCACTTTGGGCCAGGAGTGGAACGCATGAGCCGCACACACAAAGATAGCCTGGGGGGTGGGGGCGGGGTGGAGGGGGAAGGAGGGGGGGATGTTGAAGGCGATTGGGAAGGGTGAAGGCTACGAGGAAGCGCATGCATACACACATTGCCAGTTTTCTTAACACACACATTGCCTTACACATCGAACCTATCCCAATTGCTTGCTCTTGTTTCCGCTCAACTACACACACACTGCATCCACAACGGCACACCGCCAGACACAACCCTCTCCCCCATTTTCCTAGCCCACCCCCCTGTTTTGCCAGGTAAACTCCCCCTTTACGGTACCTTGAGCACCAGAATGCGCATGCGGGTGACGGCGGCGGGCGAGGCCAGGATGCCCCGAGCTACCGGGTTCAGCTCGCTGCTGGCTACCGCCTGTTTGGGAGGGGGGTGGGGAGAGGGTGGGGGGGAGGGGGGTGGGGAGAGGGTGGGGAGAAGGGGGAGAGGGAGGTAAGGGTATGGAGGGGTGCAGAAGGGTGATTGCGACAAGGGGAGCAACTCTTTGTATGTGTATCTGTATTCTTAAACAAAACTGGCTGCGAGTCCGACTTGTATTTGTTTGTGCGCATACACTTGAGGCCCCCAGCCCCGGCCTTAACCCCTCCCTCCCTTCCCTTTGCTTTGGCCGAACCTGTGGCTTCCTATGGTTTGGTATGGTCTTTGAACCCCCCCCACACACATTAACCTTCTTTCCTCCCCCCTTTCCCCCCAGCCCCCCCTCCCCCTTCCCCCCTACCATGAGTGCGGTTGCCAGCAGCGCCACCGCCGCAGTGGTGCCCGCCACCGCTAGCACAATCACGTGGCTTCCGGCCAGGCATTCTGGGGGGGGGGTAGGGGGGAGGGAGGGAGGGTGGGTGGGAGAGGGGAGAGGTAAGGAAGGAGGGCAGAAGAGAGTTGCAGCCGTATCGCATAGGACATGAGGAAAAAGGGGGCGAGGGGGCGGAAGGAGGGAAGGAAAAACTTCGTGCGGGAGGAAGAACTCTGCTTGCGAACCTCAAGCCGGCTCCGCCCCACCCCACCCCGGCCCATCTCTTTTCCTCTTGCAAGAGTCTACACCCTCGCCGGCCCCCCCTCCCACCTCCCCTCCTGTCTTTAGGATAGTGACTCCGAATGCGCTCACTGCATGAGTCGAGATATGGTATTGGGACTCGTTGTTTCACCTATTCAACCCCCCCCCCTCCCCCCCCTCCCGCACTCACCCACAGTGGTCCAGTAGGTGTGGTGGTTGCCGGTGCGGCCGAAGCGGCAGTTGAAGGGGAAGGTCAGGAAGTCGAAGATGGCCACGTAGAGGGTGGTGAAGGTGAGGTCGGCGCAGGTCTGCAGCAGCGACCCGAACCGCCGCAACCAGCGGCTGTGAGGCTCCTGGGGGGGAGCGGAGGGAGGGGTAAAGGGAGGGAGGACTTGGGACCGGTAAGGGCCGCTAACCCTCCCTTGTCTTGTGGCACCCTGCCCCTCTGTCTTGCCCTCCCACGTGGCTGGGTAAGGTCTTTGAACCCCCCGTCCCTCCCTCCCTCACGCTCGTTAGTCCCTTCCTCTGCACCCCTCCCGCCCGGCCCCCCCTTTCCTTGCTCCAACCTGTGGTTTCCTACATTCCTAGGGTTCGGTATGGTCTCCCCCCCTTCTCTCCCCCACCTGCTTGTGCATGGACAGTGTGAACAGCGCAATAGCCGCCAGCACTCCGAAGATGAGCGCCACCAGCGCGTACAGCAACCGCACGTAGGCGGCGTAGGTCTACAAGGCGGGGGGGGGGATGGGGGGGAGCGCGCGGGGGTAGGGTTGGGGGGGTGTTGAGGAAGGGAGGGGGAGGGGAAGGAGGGTTGGGGCCGTGGGCAGGGTAGGCAGTCCATGCGCCCCTCCCTTCCCCCTTCCCTCCGGGTGCACCCACCCACTCCCACTCCCGCCCACTAGGGCTGCGCTGGAAGGGTTGGACATGGTGGAATGCGAGGATGATGCAACCCAGGTTTAAGCTCCTTTCCTTTTTACCCTCCGTTCCCCGCTCACACCCCCACCCATGGTGAAGCATCGTCATGTAGTTCGTCAGTTTTCTTATAATTACCCCCCGCTCACCCCCCTCCTCCCCTTTCCCCCCGCTCACCCCCCCTCCCGCTCACCCAGATGCGCGTCACCGGCACCCTGGGCAGTACCCAGCGCACCACCTGCCACAGCGGGTTGTTGGTGGCGATGGGCCAGCCCATGTGCGGGTTGAGCAGCACCAGCAGCGGGATGAGCCCCTCCAGGGCCGTCTTGACCACCGCCACCTTCCAGCTCTCCGAGTGCTTGGCCTTCACCAGTGTGTACCTGAGGAGAGGAGCGGGGGGAGGGGGTAATGGGGAGGTCAAATGAGACCAAACCATATGAACCCACAAATGGGCGAAATACCGTAATTGGGGAATGAGGCGGCAGGCTTCTACACCTGGCCCTGAATGAGGGTGGCTGGGGGGAAAGGCGGGGATAATGGGGGGAAAGAAAGCAAACCCAATGTGCTGAATAGGGTGGCGAACAAGACGCCAAGCTCAATGGGGGACGAGGGTGTGAGAGGAGGAGGGGGAGGAGGGAGGAAGTGGAAGGGAAGTGGGGGAAGGGGGGGAAAGGGGAAGACGCGGGTTTGGGGGTTATCGGTTATTCAGGGGTACCACGGCAAGCGGCACGGGCTAGGGGAGGAGGGGGAGCAGGGGTTGAGGGGAGAGAATGGAAGGGGAAGGGTGTTGGAGGGGAGGGGAAGGTGGGTGGTAGCAGGAGGGGCTATGCGTTAATGCAGTAGGGGTGCCGACTGTGCATGGGCGGCCGTAATGGAGTCATGGTTGCTCGAGAGGGAGAGGCAGCTGTGAGTCAGTTGCAGGAGGGGACAATCGGAGCACTGCTGAAAGTGCCGGAAGCTGACGCCGCTGCAGAACCGGCCCCCGCTTGCGGTTCAACCCCGCAAACGAGCAACGCAGCACCATAACACCCCTTCACATGGACGACGTGAAGTACATGCGTTAACAGGGATTGTTCAAGACCTCATGGTATTTGTACAGCCACGTTGCACCTGACAGTTGCACCCGAAATCCCATTCTTACATGCTGGTGAAGACCGCCTCTTGAAGCGTCCTCTTTTGCTCCAGCAGGTCCTCCTCCTCTTGTGAATTCGCATTTTGGTGCCTGGAACGGGAATGTGCGCAAAAGGTGCCCGCGTGACAAGTGGAAGGTCGTAAAAGTGCCGCGTTTGAAGGAGAGTATCGCGCGATATATCTTGCAAAATTAAGTCCGCAATGAAGGACAGCATTGCAAGCATCAAAAGATTGCTGTCACGGAAGGGCGACAACGAATGCTTGCACTGCTAACACTACAATTCTGCGAGAACCCGGCCAAAGGCGCGACCATCCGGCTCCGACAAACTTTAGCTGTTAAGCGTAAAACAAAGGCAAATGACACGATGGACGTAAGCTTGCGCGCGGCTACGCAAACTTCTCGACGGCCCGCCGTAACGTCAAAGCGACGTCCGCCAACCCCTTCTGCAAGCTTGAGGACCTGGGGTCGGCTGCCACTACCCACTTTTTCCGTAAGTATTTTGTAGCATCCTCTTGGCTGGATGACGCCGAGCGGCCGCTAACTGACGCTGCCTCGCTCATGCCGCTAGCCACCCCAGCTCGTCCCTGACGTTAGAAGCTCCTGCCAGCGGTATAGCAGCTATAGTCGCACCGTTCCTATAGCTTTTACTGCAGAGTGCTGACGTTCGCAAGTTGTACCGTATAGGTATTGGTCTAGCTGATATGGGAAACCTAGCTCGTCAGTGGGTGTCTGTGAACCCAGGAAACATTATTGCTTTACAGTGGTTTAGGCTAAAGCACAAACAGCAACGCATGTCCGCTTGGCTCGTTGTCAGCAGTGAATGACGCGTCGCGCGGATAAAGGGACAGCTAAGAGACATTGCAGAACCTGTATTCCATCCTCCAAAATTATACAACCACATTTCTTGTTGCGGCAAGCTGCAATGCAGTGTATGGTGTCGTCGTACATAGAACCCTCAAGTAATAGGTCCGCCCGGTTCTCTGCCATGTTTTGATGTGCACACTTGCTAACCTACTTTGTTCTATGCAGTTCAGTCCCACTTTACTTGCTCTCGCATAACTTTTTACCTTGACGCACATGGAGTTCCAGTTGTGAAGTTTGGCACAAAAGCGGGATATGTTACCGCCACTTAACAAAGCATACAAGCATAACCAAGGGTTACTATCAGAAGTATGCGCATAAATAAGCGAACAGGCTTGGCGTTTCAAGTCAACATTTCGGCCTAGCTACCATTTCCCAGTTTGCGCCCAGCCAGTCTCTATTCATGCTATTTTTGGGCAACAGTTGATGAAGCCAGGGCCGCTAGCTAGTTGATCCAAGCGAACAGTTGCAAGGTACCTGACACAATACCTTGGCGCAAGCCGATTCGCTACGATAATATCTGCAGACGTATATGTTGAGAACTAGCTTTCCTCACTTTGAGTTGCAAAACAAACTAATGCGAGCCCGACAATTATGGGCCCTACCTGGCCCTTGCTACCGGTACCTGCCGAGAGCGCAGGACGTGCCTCGTCCTAGAAGCAATGTGATCATGACATTAGAAAAATAGAATCTAGCAAAGCTGTGAATTTAGTGTTACAGCTTTACGTCACCCGACATGCCAGCATACATGCCTGACTGCCTATTGTCGTCTACGGCCTTCGCCGTAAACCCCTTCAGCCACTAACGTAGTGCACCATTCAGATGTTTTTGTGTACGAGCCTCTAAGCTGACAGCGCCGAATGATGTCTCGTGCGAAGTTAAATCGTCGTAAAAACAGATGCACAGCCGCATCGTCAAATCCCGTTGCAGACGTTTATTGATGGCATGGCGCCGGCCCTTACTTACATCAAATACCTGACATGCATTCGAGCGGTACGGGTCAGCCCGGGTCTCATTTGGGGCTAGGCGCAGGCGTCGTAAGCTACGGTTAATCCCGTCGTCAACCCGGCGCATCCAAAGCGTCAACCTTAACAGCTGCCGCGTAGCAGGCCGTACCTCTGCGTTAGGCTTAATACAGCCTGCAATATCGACAATAATTCAATAGAAGTTCAAGCGTCAGATTCTTGGCCCATACGTCCACGTTCACAGGCCTTCGCATCTGCATTCCAAACTAAGCGTAGTAAACCTAGCCGGCTATAGAAAGCTTTCCTCGGCGCTCCTCAGCCCGCGGTTTACAACTTGAGAATTGTCTATGTTGCGGAACGGCTGTCCTAACGGCCGCGCTGCGTCTACAACCGCAGCAAACGCCAAAAAACGTGAGAAGGGGTCAGTAGCTGCCTGCCCTTTCACATTCCAGAACCCCCCAATCCCACGCGACGTACTGTGTAATCTGCGTGCTTCTATAGCATTCATGCGCCTTGTTGCTGGCTCTTCCTTTCGGACCCTTCACAGGTTCCCCAACGCAGCCTGCTGCGTATCGACCACTGCCCGCCGCCCCTGCGCTCACCCCTCCTCTCCCTCGGAGCCGCACCTCCATCTTTGCAATCCTGGAGAGGCCCCGGTCCCCACCGCCTAAGATACAACAGGTAGCTGCCTGGAACGCTGGAAGGCAACGAGTCGGATGCGATGAGTCCCGCCTCGTGCGGTTGAAGAGGGAAGATCCCGCAAGGCAGCTGCTGCTGCACCTGCAACACCTGCTGTGTCAGGCGCCCAACACGCTTTCGAGCGACTAACGGCCATGGGCGTGCGGCCAGTACATGTGCACTAGCATCGCTTCTGCTCCGTCCGCCAGGATACCCTGTAACTAAACATGTACCGTCGCCTTCTCCGCTACCCGCTCCGTTATACCCACAGGACACCCACCCCGCCCAACCTCCAAGCCCCAGTACCACCCGTCCGACCACTCCACCTCGCCCCCAGCCCTCTCCGCCTCCCCAGCAGCCGCAGCGCTTCCCCGGCCCCGGCGACCCTGCATGGCCCCCGCAGCGCCCCTTCGCCGCCGTGGCCCTGGACAACCTGATCGACTCGTTCGTGGACATCGGCAGGCACGTGCGGCGCATGCATGTGCCCGAGGAGTGCCCGCACAAGAAGATGCAGGAGCGGCTGGTGCCAGGTGGGCTGGGCTGGTGATGGTGTACGGCGACAACCGGGCTCACAACCTGATTTGGATGGCTGGATGGGGGTAACCCCTGTATTAAGTCTTGAGACATGTCGTACTTGCGCGTGCTGAATCTACCGGATGGCCCATGCTGCATAGCTGGTGTTGGTCTGGGTGATTAAGCGCGCCGATGCGGGAAACCCGGTGCATGCCTTGCCTTAATAGTACAACGGTTGGATAATACTTTCTTACATCCTGTACTTCTTATTACGTACCATGCCTCATCCATTGCATGTCTCCTTCTGTCAGTGTTTCCGCGGCTCAGTTTATCTAACCCCCCTTCCGTTTCCTTTCTACCACCCATCCACCCACCCCAGGTTCCAACGGCCGCATGCGCCTGCGCTCCTCCTCCCGCCCCGTGCTGCTGGTGTTGGGCAGCGGCTGGGGCGCGCACTCGCTGATCAAGGTGGTTGACACGGAGCTGTACGACGTGGTGGTCGTGTCGCCTCGCAACCACTTCCTGTTCACGCCCATGCTGCCCGCCACGGCGGTGGGCACCGTGGAGTTCCGCTCGCTGCTGGAGCCCATCCGCACCGCCAACCCCTGCGTCACATACCTGGAGGCGGTCTGCGAGGAGATCGACCCGGAGGGTGAGGGAGGCATGGGGGGAGGGGGGCAGCAGGGAGGGAAGGGAGGGGAAGGGAGGGAGCGTCGGAATAATAAGGGGATGGCGGCCGGGGGGGAAGACATATAGGTGGTGTCTTGGTGGTGCAAGCCTGGATTGCTTCCTTCCAGGACGGAGTCCTCAGACCCTCTTCCGTCACGCTGCCGTACATTCGCGTGCGTGCAGGCAAGGTGGCCCTGTGCACCTCCAGGTTCGCCCTGGCGGATGGATCCCAACCGCAGTTCGAGGTGGGGAAGAGGTGGGGGAGGGTCGGGGCTACCGGTAGCTAGCCGGTACTAGGAGCAGGGGGGGGCCGGGAATAGGAGATAAGCTGCCTGTTGACGTTGCTTGCAGACCCTTGGTCCACCCATCTACGGTACATGCATCTCTCGCACGTACATGTGTGTGGGTTAACATGCGCGCTAGCCGCACCGTTGGACATCCCTGTTACCATCCTGCCCCATGGAGGGACACACGACGCCAGCTCTCTTATTAGGACACGAACCCACCTGTCCGACCCCCGCCTTCTGGTGCTGCTGCTGCCATCCCCCCGCCCCTCGCTCCCCCCACGCACACACAGATCCAGTACGACACGGCGGTTGTGGCGGTTGGCGAGCAGGCCGCCACGTTCGGAGTGCCGGGTGTCCGGGATCACTGCTGCTTCATGAAGGGTGAGGGGGGCAGGGGGGGGTGAGGGGGGGGGAGGAGAGGGAGGGGGTGCGGGGTGGTGGCTGATGTGCACCGGCAGCTTCCATGTAGTACGCCTCCATGGCCTCGGATGGCCCCCCCCTCCCGGGTTATGAGGCGGTCTGGGATGGCTACGGTGCGGCGGACAGCCGGTGTCAGGCGTCTCGCTTCCTCCTACCCCCAGCATGCCCACCTCTACTCCCTTCCCTCCTCCCCCCCCCTCGTCATTCAGTTTGTCAGTGTTTCTTTATTTTTACCCCCCTCTGCAGAGGTGTCTGACGCGGTGGGTCTGCGCGCCCGCATCGCGCAGCAGTTCGAGCTGGCCAGCCTGCCCGGCACCTCGGCGGCGGAGCGGCGGGCGGCGCTGAGCTTCGTGGTGGTGGGCGGGGGGCCCACGGGGGTGGAGTTCGCGGGCACGCTCAGCGACTTCCTGCGGGAGGACCTGCGCCGCAAGTACCCGGGGCTGGTGCAGCACGTGCGAGTGACGCTGCTGCAGGTGGGGGGGCGGGTAATGCGGGTGGGTGGGGGTAATACGGGTGGCGGGGGGTGGGGCGGGTTGGTAGGTCAGGTCACGAAATGTGTGCATGTGGAGAATGAGCTTGAAGCTGTCGCCAACGCGCTGATATCCTAGATCCCACCACGCACACACCTCGCCGCTCCCCTCTGCTGCATGCTGCCTCCCCCCACCCCACCCCCCAATCCCCTACAGAGCACGCACACCATCCTCAATCAGTTCGATCAGCGCCTGCAGCGCGCGGCGCTGGACACGCTGGCCGGGGAGGGCGTGGAGGTGCGCACGGACGTCACCGTGGTGGGGGTCACGCAGGACCAGGCGAGTGGGGCGAGGATGGATGGAGGGGCGAGGAGGGGCGGGCTGGGGGTGCTGGTTGTTGGTGAAAATGGCTGTGTGCGAGTGTGGTTGGACTTTTGGGAGTTGGTTGGAAGGGACAGTAGTATTACCAGTCACTACTGACTGCCACAATCATAGGCAGCTCTCTGCTTGGAGCCCTTGCAACTTCTGACAAGGCAAAGCGCGTGACCCAAAGTACCTGAGCCAGAGGCGTCCAATGCCTCATGCGTCAACTGTACGACCACTGCATGACGAACCAACCAACGGACTAACCGTCCGACTCATGCAACTCAACGTAGCTCAACGTAGCCAGGTTTGGCACGAACCCTAATAACATCAACACTCCCCCTCGGGCCATACCTGGCTTAACTAGGCCACCAAACGTAATACCCAAATAACATACAGCAACACTCAGCCGAACAATTCTTGCCTGCCGTTCTGGCTGAGTTAACGTACGAGTACGACAAATAGCATACTGCCTTCGGTTGGCAAAGTCATGCGGTCTGGCGCAATAGAACTATAGTACAAGTGCATAAATGGTACAAGACGCGCAACAGCCTTCGACTTGCCTAAACCATACGGTCCAGTAGCATAAGCAATGCTACACTGCGATATCTGACCGTCACAATTGTGCATTCAGATCTACACGTCCACCCATTGCCATAAGCAAACC